CTCTACGAGGATGCAAGGGTAAGCGGGAACGATCTCCGATATTTTGAGGCGCCATACTGACTTTGAACCAGGACGCGGTGATCGGGTCGCCGGACCCTAACTCTGCCTGATTTTTAATTTTCGGGTTTTCAGTTTAGCCTCAGTTTAGCCTTCAACGGAAGACTGGGGTGTTTTATCAGTTTAACTTGATAAAGTGGATTGGATAATATAAGATTTCTTCACCTTCAACTTCGTATTTAGTTCAACTTAGTCCCGTAGATTGTCTCAACCTAGCCCCCAACCAGTACAACAACCACCAAACAGCACCCACCACGTAACCAAACCAGTAACCTCCACCGATGAATGATACGACGATACGACACTTAGTTGAAACCTACCCAACCCCACAAACTCACCACTACTTATGGCACTACTACGACCCTCTCCGCGTCTCCCAAGTACCTACGTACCGACTGACCAACCGAGCCCACCTATAAATAGAACCACGCAACCACCCTCATCCCATCCATCCCCCTTCATCGCCTCTACGGCTCTCCCAAATCCCAACCAAACTAAACTCCATGTCTCATACTACCTAGACACAACATCCTAAATAAAGTCACATTCGTAACCCAATCCAATTACCTCCTCGGCTCAATACATCCATTCCTTTCAGCTCATCAACCCAATACCCAATACATACATACCCATACACCAAGAATACTTACCCGGTCTAGATCCCTCATTAGTCTGGCTTTAACGAAGGCAGATTTTGATATCAGCGGATAAGGATAAACGCAGTGGGGTGGGATACTTAGTAGCATAACATGGAGGGAGGGGGGGGGGGGAAGGGAAGAAGTGTGGTCTAGACCGACCGGGGCCTGCGACCGGCGAGAGTCTGGACCCGATCGATTGCGAAAACCCGCGCAAATTGTTTATGGAGTTGGGGAGGTGGATGGTCATGTGCGTTGGTGCTGGGTATGCAGGAGGGGGGGAGGATCTAGATCTAGAATTGAATTGTCGGTTAGTTGTGGGTGTGTGTTGTATAATTATTGTTAGATTTTTTTTCTTAGCTGAGGTGGTTGTTGTTAGTGGTTAGTTGTTGACAGCTGAATATATTTTTGGATGATAAGGATAGGATGGGTGTGGCTGAGGGTCGGGGTTGGGGTTGGGTTTGGTTGGTGCGCGTATCTCCGATATGCTATATCTATTATCTTATCATTATATTGATGTATATGAAAAGTCAATTTCGATATTATCGTTATTATTTTTATGACTATGATTATTTTATTGAATGAAAGAAAATGTGGCGGGGTAGGATGAGTCGTAGTTGAGTATGAGTGTGAGTGTGCCCCGACCGGCCGACTGACCGACCGGAGCTGTCAGAGTCAGTGTCCGAGTCAGTGCCAGCTATTTTTATTTCCCGAACTATAGAGCATGGACTATAGAGATCTGGCCCTGTAATGATAATCAATGCTATAGTAAGAGTTATTAATCCACGGAGAAGTTTTGATGAGGTGAAAAATTAACAGCTGTCAGTTGACACAGCCGAGTGAGACATTGGTCACCTGCTGGCACGAGACTCAACGGTCGGGGCGGTCGAGAACCTTCGATGGTTGGGTACTTACATACTTCTCCTGCCTATCTTCATGCATCGCTAGTAGGATCGATTTAGTGCCGGTCGAATTCTGCACCCGACAACAGCCCAACCAGATCCTTCAGGCCGGACATCCTGGCAAGGGTGATGGTGCCGTGGTCCCGAGACAAGTCCTGATCTGCCGGGCCGATGATGACCCAACGACTACGTACGTGACTGGTCACTGATGGTTGATATCTACACAGTATGGTGATGAAGAGTACTCGGTAGAAAATGGAATGTCCATCCACCACGTCATATGCACGCGGTCGCTGGGTCAAGCCCGGTTCGGGACCCAGAAAGTCACGATCGGGCATCTGATACTGAGATACCCCGAGAAGTTAATGCAAGATGTCCACCGATGGTGACTCGTGGGTTGGGGTCCGGAAAACCGGTTGCACTGGCCTCATCAGCCTGATCTCGGCTGTCGGAAGACAGGGTTGCGAAAAAAAAAAAAAAAAAAAAAAAAAAAAAAAAAAAAAAAACATAAAAACAAATATTAATTGTTCGATCTAGGTAGGAGCGCTGGAGGAGAACAGAATAGTGCCGACTAGCGGGGCCGCGCTTCCGAGTCCAAGTGCAACTACTACTATGGTAACACTAACTGCAAGGTTTTTCCCTGCACTCGGCTTTGCACGGCCCAAATTTAGAAGGATTCTAGAAGACGGCGTCGAAGAAGTCTATGCCTCAGACTAAACCGTTTTGGCTGCGTCTTGCAGCCCTTGACGTATCGAACGGACGGACGTTACCACTGGTACGGCATACGCCCGGAGTACGTGGCCAAGTTACGCCTAATCGGGGGCTCCGTAGCGAATGGGGAGCTGCTGGGCCCCACTTGTTGTCCTTGCCGCGGAGATCGGCCTTGATGAACTGGCAACAAACCGGGGAGGGTGTGGCTGTGCGGCCACTAGAGCCAATCAACACCCCTGCCCTATCCCTGACCGCTGCAGGGGGCGGACAGAGAAGGGATCATGGAAGGCCGAGAGAAGAATTTTCTCACCCTTCCATGCATTAGTCTGGCACTAGTCGACTCCGTTAGCATGTGGCAGGCAGGGAGTCTGGAGGACTGTTGACCGGGTCGCTGGTACGTGCTAGCCTGCGATCGTCGCCCCGTGCGAAATCGATTAGAGTGCTGACTGGGCGCCCACCACCAATGAAAAATTTTTCACGGCCCTGGGTATACCTCATAATGCATTTGTCTGGCCCGTTCCTGGCGAAGGATTGGTCCGATCGGATTCGTAGCACATGGTGGCTGTCGACATTGACTTTTGCTTTTGCTGTTCGGCTTGATGCTTCGGCAGTATCGTGGACGCTTGTTTCAACAGACCGAGTGGTGATGTCCTGCATTACGAGGTGAAACTCTCGTGTCTGCTCATTAACCTCTCGCTCAACGCTCCAAAATTGGGGCTCTTGACATCTGTCAAATCATGGAGCTCCCTCCACGGCTGATCGGGGGCTCCCTTTCCCCGGGGGGGTCCAGATACCCGTCTGTAGACCCGCCGGGGTCCATCGCATTGGATCTCGACGCCCGGGACAACTGGGGCAAAGCTACCTCCTCCAAGTCCAACCAGTGGAGGCAGAGTCTTCCTTGCTAGGCCCTCGGCTGACGGACGAAATCGGTGATGGACGTTCTCTCGTAGGCCGCAGCATTCTTACCACGGCTGAATGTAGAGTTTCCAGCTGGCTGGGTGGGAGATAAAGTCCAGTGTTACCTAGACTCGAGTCTTGCCACCAGTTTCAGCTGTCCCGTCGACCTGTAGTGGGCCTGCAACTGGGTCTCTGGGGTTCTTGACAGCGCTCCGTGACCATAGCTTACACTCATGGAGTAACAGTGGGGTCTCGTGGCTTGCATCCAAGATGTAGTTGCATTTAACTATCCCCAATCACAGTATCAGGCCGCAACGTTGGTCAAGCCCATGTGGACCGGGACAACGCCCTGTTCCCCCCATGTTGCGCATGTCAGATGCGGCCACGAGCGGGCAACTCTGATGGAAAAAATTTTCAGGGACGAAAGAAACGTGTCAGGATCCCAAAGGGCTTCCGTATTGCATGTGAAGATGGGAATTGAATCGAAATCGGTGATCAGGGAAGGAACAGCCAACCAGTCACACCACCCGAATCACCTCACTTGTTCAACGCCTTGGGGAGATCTAGTGCTATGATTCGAGCATCTCTGGCTCAACCAATACGTATTCGTAATCGTACGACCCCTAGCCATGCAGACTTTTGTGACTAACTACTGTCTAAGCCATCATGACTCAACTCCAAAGGCGGCCAGATGCTACGATGGACCATGGATATGACTCCCTCCGATATAGGACATGTGCTGCTCGGTTCGCACCAAGTACCGTGGAACCCTCGAAACACGACCTGTCATGCCATGCTGAAGCGTCAGATGATCCCATCACGCGTGTTATGAGGTGCATTGCTGCACAAGCAACATCATTGCAGCCCTCAACCGCAGCAAACCGGCCGAAAAAGTTCGGATCAAAGATGCCGTGAAAATCAGGCTGCTAGCGCGGATTCCTGGGGACGCTAAGGCAGCTCGGCCCAGCTACCCTGTAAGTGGTCAGTGTCGAGAAAACGAAAACCGCAGGTCGGCGCTCACAAATTCCGAGGCCGGGGTTTACGTCTTGGCGCCGGCGTATCGCCGACCTTTTTCCGGCTCCGAGCGTCTCGACCATCCCACCGAGGCCTGGAAGCATTCAACATGACAGACCATATTATCAATCACGCTGACATGCTGGTTGGAATGCAGTAGTGTGTCCCAGAACAGGCTTGTGACGGATTTCCGGGCATGTCCGTCGAGTCCATGGCCGACGGGTACCGTCGCTTGCTGGTGAGTGATGCGTTACTAATGTTACTAATGCTCGGCTTCCTCCATGAGACATGCACTAGCCACATATACTAGTACATCAGTGTGGCGCAGCCATCAGTGGCTGGTGGGGAGCCAGTTCGCGTTGAATCTATGATCGGCACTACGGAGTAGACCCTGACGCATCCAGCCAGGGCAGGCTATGCTGAAGAAGAAGGATCTTCACTTCGATGCTTCTTCCTGATGCGCACAACAAATCCCGCTCCCTTGTTCATCGTACATGTCATCTGTAAGGGTTTCCATAATAGCGGCCCGATCGCAAGACACACGAGATCGGTGTGTCTTCTGCTGCATTGCCGTAGGGTCGCACTTATTAAGCAATACTCTGTGGCTTAGCCGCGCCTGCCTGGCGGTTAATTGGCTGCCTCGGATCCAGACAGAAGATGCCTCTGACACCAGTGGAGTCTTGTCTGATGTTTGGTGCGACTACTACGACGACTAGTATCTCGGGACCTTACTATATCAGGCTTGTAGGTATGGGACCGACTCAAATTTCATCAGATATTCATCTATTTCTCGGTCGACTACCGTAGCTGAAGAATGCCTGCCACCTATCACGGCTGCGCCGTAGTGGTGCACTAACCCAGTGGATTAAGAACCATAAAGAAAATGCGAGAAAATTCTTTGACACAGCAAGCCGAGGATTGAATGGTTGTCCGAAAATTCTCGGGCCAGTCACCCCTGCACGCTCGGACGAAACAGCTGAAGCTAGCGTGTGCAGGTATGCATGGTGGGAGGGAAAACAAAAAAAAAATTAAAAGAAGGAAAAGAAAAAGAAAAAGAAAATGGAAAGGGAAAGGGGGGTGTGGGAGCCACAAGCTGGACAAGCTCGGAGATGCAGAGATTATTGGGAATGGATTGTGGCTTGGGACATCGGGGGTGGGACGCAGGAGAAGCGACCGGGTGTGTCCAGGTCCCCGGAAGCTGCAGATCGAGGCGGCCAAGTGGGGCTTTTCGTAAGGCAGTAAGTTACGTGTCGGCCGTACGGGTAATGAGTACTGCTGTGTATGACGGAAGGACAAGGGCCGCTGTTGATTCCCACTAGGTTGGGTTTTTTGAGTCAGGATCGTCGGGCTGTCCGTCACTGTATGTACACCAACGTCATCCCCCATAAAAGAGGTCCCTCCCCCCCCCCTCTCCAGATCGCTTCCCATGCTATAACTCTACTCTTCATCACTCAATTTAAAATCATCCCATTGATGACTCCTCCACATCGCCATACCTTTGACGTTTTAAATCTCTGATCTTCCCATCTCATCATCCCACCCATCATCCATCCATCCATCCATCCATCCATCCCTCACCCCATCCGCTTAGTGTTCAGTACTTTCCAGTCCCGTGGGCCTCCGATCTACAGTAAGTTGGCCCGTACCAATCTTGCGGCATCCTTACGTTTCCTTCATCTCCTTCATCCTCTGACCTGATCGTTGCATCATTGGATCAGATCGGCTCTAACCAGACAATTGTGAACTCTAGTCTTTCCTGCTACCAAGGATTGTCCTCCGACTGAGCCTTCCTCCACGATCCTCCCCTCTCATTGGACCCCAGTGTGCTCGACGTTTCCAGACTCTTCGACTGTCTTGCATGCCTCGTTGAATTCCGGACCATTCCGTCTCGCTCTCATTGACTCGATCGGCAACAGTCATACGCTTGGCCCCTTAAGACTTTTGTGGGGGCCGCCGGTGCCAACACCTATATTATAACTCTCGAGCCAACCCCGGTGGCAAATCCGAGTCTCCAAGCTCTCCAGTCGGCGTCATCTCCCTTTGACGTCCAATCGCGGACAAGCACATTATGTTCATGCACCCTTCTGCACGTAAGGGTTTGATCACTGAACCAACTTCCGCTCCGTTCCTCAACTACCAAGACCCCGTTTGCATACAAGACGACCCGATTCTCGATTACTCCCAAGAGGCTGCGCTCCACTTCTTCGGCCAACAACAACCTCGACTGCAGACTCCATTCCAGTACCAGCCGGATTTGCAGTTCGTTTCTCCGCCCTCTTCCGCACCCTCTTCTCCTACCTCCTCCCCCGCCTCTACCATCTCCCACTATCCAGCGACAACTGCAGTTGCCGCGGATTACTCCTCTGCCGTCTTTGACGGTAACTCCTTCGAGGCCCCTTCGATGACACCTTCTTCCTCCTACAACCCTTCGATTAACATTCATCATTCCGCATCGCCGCCCTCACAAACCTTCTTGCCCCAATATTCCCAACCTTACTACTTCAACGGCAATCCGATGTTGGCACAACAGTCCGTCGCAAACAACCACGGTTGGGACGGCAATTTGCAGCTGTTGGGCCCAGCTCGCCTCCAGAACAATCTCTCCCGCGTGCCCCAGTTCGGTCAGGAGTCACAACTGAAAGCCTCGGCCAGCCCGTCTTCCAGCCGGTCTGCGCCAGCAGGCAGCTCCTACCAGAGGAACAACGGCCTATCAAAGCCTCTGCCCACGCCTGTGCAGACTCCCGTGCAGTTTCAAGATGGTAGCCAGGCTGAAGCAGAACTTGCAATGAGACGGGCTGTTCTGGAACAGCAGCAGAAGCAGCAGCAACATCACCACCACCAGCATCAGTCCAGCGACTACTCATTAGCTCCTTCTGTGTCGAGCGTGAGCCACAACTCGCCTGTGACTCCACAGACGGGCTTCGAAGACCTCGACGACGCATCGAAGGCAATTGTTAATGGTGAGAACCGGTTTCCCGACGTAGACAAGTGGATGGATGATTACTTACGCCTCGATGCGCTTTCAGACTACAACAACCACAATGCGAATGGTAACATGTCGATTGGCATTCCCAAGCTCAATCGAACCATTTCCGACATCTACCAAGACGAGCTTTACAACCCAGCTTTGATGTCGACGCCACAGGTGCCTAAGCAGCAGTCGACGAACCAGCAGAATCTTCTGGCGCCTTCATTCCGGAATGTGATCGCCGATCGTCTCCAGGCTGCGAACCAGGGTCACTTGACCGCACGGTCTCAGTCTCCTATGGTAAGCATGCAGCGGGATCGTTCTCCTTTCCGACAGAACTCCCCCTTGGCCGCAGAGTACAACCACGCAGCTCTCCAGCCACAAATGGCAACCAGCGCCCCGACCTCTCAAAACGGGGTGAACATGCGACAGGCACCCCAGGGGGAGCCTAAAACCATGTCCCCCAAGGATGCCTTGCTGGACTTTAATGAGGGTGATGATGCCGGCCTTCCCTTGTTCCCCCCTTCATCGCAGCCCGACTTTAATCTGGGAGATGCCCTTGGCGGACTACGACGGGAGAGTTCCTCCTCGTTCCAGCCGGCTCAGAGCTTCACTACCATGGAGTCGTTTCCCACTCAATACGCTACTCAGGCGCCGGCAGCACCCCAGCAGTTCTCCTTTGCTCAGCCGCAACAGAACCACCGCCGGACCCAGCAGCAGAACAATCTGCTGCACCAGACTCCCGAATTTCCTGCTTCTCTCCCGCGGTTCGAGTCTACGGGCAGTGATGTGCTTCCTACGACCGAGATGACTTCCCCCCAAGCACAGCCCAAGATGCCCTTGCAGGCGCAGCCAATCAAGGAAGAGATTACTCGACCGGAGAACACCTCCGCGGACAGTGGCACCTACACCTGCACTTACCACGGGTGCACGCTACGCTTTGAAACCCCGGCCAAGCTGCAGAAGCACAAGCGCGAGGCGCATCGCCAGACGACCCCGGGAGGTCACCTGGTGAGTCGTGATACCTCCGCTCGCAACTCGCAGGCGGGTCCACACAAGTGTGAGCGCATCAACCCGTCTACGGGCAAGCCCTGCAACTCTGTGTTCTCCCGGCCCTACGATCTTACGCGGCACGAGGACACGATCCACAATGCCCGCAAGCAGAAGGTGCGGTGTCATCTGTGCACGGAGGAGAAGACGTTCTCGCGCAATGATGCGCTCACCCGGCACATGCGCGTGGTGCATCCCGAGGTGGATTGGCCCGGCAAGCAAAGGCGGAGAGGGCGGGAGTGAAGCTCTGGTGGACCAGCCCCCTCTGGGATGGTGGGCACCACTGGCATTCAGCTCCATTCAGCACCATTCAGAGTCCTTCAGCATCCCCGTTGTGACAGCATGCGGGCCCAGCACGTCCTATGGGGACGGAGGAAGGGCGGAGATCCTTCTGTGGGCGGCCGTTCCACCGCCGGAAGGGCTTGGGTGAGTCAAGATGACGAGCCAAAGCCTCCGACGTCATGCGCTAGGCCCGAAGAGGCAAGGACTCGCTAACGGGCCCGGATCGCCGGCCCTACCTTCCTCTTCGGGAATATAGGCCTCAGGCCGTGCAGCCCGATGCAGCAGCCATGACATCATCAGTGTTTCCTTTGGGACTGACGTGCCGCATTTTTGCGAATCATCGGTCCGATGACGTATCGTTTTTCTTTCATCCCCGAGCAGGCCTTCTTTGCGATTCTCTTTCTTTGTTCATGCATGCCGTGGGTCCTAGATTTCTTTTTTATCGCCGGTGTTGTTTAAATTATGGCATTTCTCATTGGATCTTTGTGGAATCTGGTTGCATCAAAAGAATTCCGTGTATATGAAAGGGGCGACCCCCATTTGCCGCGGGCGGTTTGTTCTGTTTTGTTTTCGAGCCAGTTGTTACGAATTTTGGGTTACGCTGTACTATATTTTAACCTGTATGATGGTTACGTTATGAGATGTTGCTTGCAACTTGCATTGGGTTTGGCATGGGTCTGGTGTGGATTCGGCGCGCAGATTGTCTACAGAAGGATTGGGCTTGTACAGTATGGAAAATGTATACATACATACACACTGAAAGAATAATCAGCATTGTTTCATCACTTGATCCCGGCTTTGAATAGGGGCTATCTATCGGGTACTGTGTAGGAGCTATGTGAGATAGTCTGGGAGCTATGAACCCTAGGTGCTCTAAGCTCTGTGGCCCTCGGGCCTCGGTGCCATTGGGCATGATTGTGACTTACATCTATTGATCTCAGGCTGCAATATAGCTCCCAATATTGAGATCCAGCTAGCTAGGCACCTACACAGTAGATGAATAGAATCCCGTGAATAACCACCCTATGATCATGGTCCTGATCCTGATCCTGATCTTGGCCGATCCTATGATCCTATGATGCTATCAGACATCGGGAGAATTCTCTGACATCATACATATGTACCCCTGTCTAAACCACCTATCTTCTGCACGCACACACCACACTTACATGACATACTTACTTACATACATACATTCATTGGTTTCATACGGAGTACACATACATACGTACATACCCCCGTCTCCCTTCCTTTGTTCTTATTATGTTTCCGATTTGTGGCGGTGCGTCGCTAACCAAACAATTCAAACAAAGTACTCTCCCAGTATAGTAAATGCACAATTGGGTAGAAGGGTGTAATTGGAGGATAAATCACTCAGTTAATATATTTTAGTTTGGGTTACGTTTCTCTAGGGAATTAGGGATGTAGGATTTAGGAGGGGTATGTATGGTGTGTAAGATTAGCTGTAGGAGTAGGTAGCTTAGCCTTAGCTTAGGTACTTATTGGTAGAGGTGTAGGGTGTAGCGTAGAGTAGAGCTACCCGCACCAGCTGAAGACGGAGGATCCACAGTGGATACCCACAATGAGGGGAAAGTGGATAGGGTATCTTTTGTCAGATTGTCAGATTGGGAGGATTGATAAAGTACCAGATTTGCATAAGCGATAAAGTACGAAGGATGTCATAGTGTGTTGGATGGTTTAGATGGACGAATGAGAGGGGAGGGTTGGTTTGGGATGATACCATAGTACATGGGAGGTTTTCTGATTGACTCTGATTAGTTGGTTAGCTGCCTATTATTTGATTGTGGTAAAGGGTATGTTTTTGATAGTGTATATGATTGACTGTGGAATTGTAAGACAATATATAGGATTTTATTAGCTGAGGGTGTCTGTGACTTGATGGCCGATGATGTTATGATCGGGATAGTGGTGATACGTGACTTGAAATGATGATAATTGATGGGAAGAAGGAAATGAAGAGAGGGTGCCACGGTGGCCCAGGAAGTAAATGGCATGACTTCTTACCTGACTAGAGTGCATACTTCCTAATCTTAGGTTGAATAGGTTCATTTATTGTGTCCGTAGAATGGCATTTATAGTTATTCACCCTTGCAGTAATGCAGCGACCTCTTCCAAGGCACCAAGTAGATGGCTTTTTGCCATACTGATTCTGTGATGCTCGAAAGCTCCGACGCGAGTTGATCCTCTCGAGGAGCTTTTTGGTGGGCATCTTAACCCTTAGCAATAACCCCCAGAGCTCTTCAATGTTTTTTACACCTGAAAACAACACGATACTCCAAGTATCGCAGTGGTAGACCCGGGAAATTCCAGCGGACTAGTGGAGGCTGCTTGAATTTGCGAGGGGGATCTGCAACGAGCAATTGATTAGCTTTGAACCTGGCAATCTTATGGCGCTGCTTATCAAATGGCGATAGAAGGACACTGTCTCCCAAACTGAAGATGATGAGTCTGTACTGGGTGGGCTGAGGCCTTGAGGTCGACGGCAAACTGAGAGAAGACCATACCTTTCACAGCAGCGGCTAGTGTCATGATTATCATGTCCTCCATAATCCCAGCATCAGTCGATTCCTCCTTAGTTCAATTCGAGTTACCGACAAAACTGAGCGAACGGGGTTCTGTGATAGTTGAGACGTATGTCTGGGCTCAAGAACAGCGGTTAGCAATTGTTCCAGTAGGCTCTTTCAGGGATTCTAAGAACTGACGTGGGAAGATATTAGCATCAGTTGCGCTGGAATTCACACTTAAGTCGAATAGCCAAGTTGGTAGATTCGCTCGACGTCCAGTCATCGAGGGCCTCCCTCGAGATGATCCCCGGTACGACCCTTGCTTTGACAATGACATCAAAGCGGCCAATATGCCCTTCTCTATGGGCCCGCGAAGCTTCGTTAGTGGTAAGTGACTTATTCTCATTCCCCTTCTTCACTAGATTATCATCTTATATGAAATTTCTTCGTAGTTCCTCTCTTGCGTGACACTCGCTAGATTTCTGTAGAACTTTGGCTCAATTCCGGCAAACTCGTAGGGACTGGTTGGATCAGAAAGCATATATCCATATGAGTTAAAATTACTCAAGGTAATACTCGTTGCTCATCCGGGATAGTAGAGGCTCTTTGTATTGATATTCGGATTGTACTAAGGCATGTAGAATGGAAGAGTCAGCCTCTATAGCAGAATCAACGGCCAGAGTGGGAGTTGGTAGATGCAATTACCTCATGCACACTCTCTTGGTGCTCCGTTTGTGCGTTGCGCACTGTGGACACGTAATGACAGTACAAAACAAGAGAAAATGGAGACTTATGCCACACTTGCGGAGTGTATGGCGCATGAACAGTCAACACTTGAAATTCCTGTGAGACATGTCGAGATCGTAGAGCGGTCGAGTCAATAAGGATGGTATGATGGAGTGTTAGAAAGCCGAGGCCGTACAAGAATAAAATCAGGTGATCTTTTTACAGCGAAGGCAGAGCGAAACCGGCAATTCCTTCCGCGTAATAACAGTTTGCAGCCTCGAAAAGACAAGCAGTTGTATTGTAGTGTACGTATGAGTCACATTAGAGACTAATTGTCGTATGTACACGACAAGCATCTCCATACAATATTCTCCAAACTGCTTGGCCAGACTCCACCTAAGCGCTAGCCACCACGCTACCCTTCAGTAAAGTCGGCTCTGCAGTAGTGAAATTCTTGATATCACCGAAAACCGCCTGGGCTGCGTCGCTGGTAGCGGCGGCATTGAAATCCTCCATGCTCTTCCACTTCAAGATAGCTTGGACCTGATACGGCGCATCAGCAGGGAAGGTGATGATCTCCCAGCCCACAAGGCCATATGGGGTCCAAGAGCTGTTTGGCAAAGATGTTAGGTGGTATTTTTAGTAGGGCGGGTTCGAGAGATCTTACGAAGACACGAGGGGCATATGAGTCTTGAGGTAATAGTCATGGTCGAAGGATGGACCGGACGAATAGAGGACCTGGACTCGAACTTCGGCCATTTTGTCGATATTGATGATAATGGGTAGGTATGTGCTGCTTGAGGTGGGTTGTTAATGGAATAAATGAAGGTCGCCTGTCTACAATTGAGGGGCCTGTCTCGGGTTTCGGAGTATCTGGGGCGCCGAGATTCATTATTTTGATGGAAATTGTGCATGTGGAGATGTGGGTCTTTTTGTGCCAGCCACGGAGTATAGTGATCCCTTGCACTGTGGTACTCTTGACTACACCGCCGATGACAATTATCTGCATATCTGCCCTGCTGGTTGATATCCTCAGTAGTATGTAGTTTGGGTAGATAAGGCAGACTTGCATATTGCCGTGTAACAGTAGTCCTCAGCCAGATTTCCCACTGCACGGGGTGATGGCTCAGTTGGCTTCATCATGCAGATAGTTGACCTCCAGGCGTATATATGGTCCATATCCCACAGATAAATCTGAAACGACAACATATTTACCAGATATCCAGTTAGCTTCATTAAACAACAACCCAATACCCAATCTCGATTATCATGGCAAAGCTTCAACCCACCGCAGTACCTCGACTAAAAGCCCAGATCGACGCTGTGACAGGAACACCCGATGGGATCCCAGGTGTCGCCTTTGCTGCTGTGAATGTAAGCACGTCATTGCATCAAGATCTATACTGCAGCAGACATCCACCTGCCTGGCCTATTGTAACAACAAATTCTCACATTCTGCAGAAATCTGGCGATGTCATCTTCGAGCACGCTTCTGGCAAGCTTGGTTTTGGCCGTCCGGAGCCAATGGAGCTTGATAGCATCTTCTGGCTGGCGAGTTGCACAAAGCTGATCACAGGAATTGCCTGTATGCAATTAGTTGAAAAGGGTGTGCTCAATCTAGATGACGTTGAGCTAGTTGAGAGATTGTCCCCTGTCAGTGTGTCTTACAGCAAGCCAGGACTGTGGGAACAGATAATCAGCTAACAGTACATGCAGGAGCTGAAAGCCGTGCAAGTCCTTCAGGACGATGGCACGTTGGTGCCTAAGGAAAGAGAAATCACGATCCGAATGCTATTAACCCATACAGGTACATCCATCCTATCTACTCCCACTTATCACATTGGCAAGACTGACTCTTCCTCTTCTTACCTGTTAGCCGGCTTCGGCTACTCCTTCATGAACAAGAAGCTCCTCAATTCATACGGAGCCAGAGGCCTGGATGAGTTCACCGGTTCATACTACGAAATCCTCAGCCAGCCTCTTATTCACCAGCCCGGTGAGAGATTCGAGTACGGGTACGCACCCTCATCCACATCCACCCTGAACAACAACCCCAACACTACTAAACTCTTGTAGCATCAACATCGACTGGGTCGGCCTCCTAATAGAACGCGCCACCAACACCTCCCTAAACGACTACTTTCAGGAGAACATCTTCACCCCTCTAACCATCAAAGAAATCAACATGTTCCCCACCCCCGCAATGCTCTCCAGACTCTGTTTCATGAACAAGCGCACCCCGGACGGAAAACTCTCCCTCAACGAACAAGGCCATATAACCCGCAACCAATTCCTAGCCCAAACTCCCTCGGAAAGAAAACAGCTCTTCAACCACGGCGGCCATGGCTTATTTGGCCGTCCCAGTGAATACATCCATATCCTTTCTACGCTTCTTAACGACGGCACGCATCCCAAAACGGGGAACAAAATCCTAGAGAAGCATACCGTCGATGAAATGTTTACGAATCAGATTCCCCAGTTTCCGGATTTTGGACGTTGTGTATTTCCCACTTTCTCCATATACAATACTACGAACACAGAAGTCTAACCTCCTCACGATAAATAGGCCATCAATCCACCCCGCCTCGACCTATCAAACCCTACCTCCGACTTCTACCCCGAGCCCAACAACCCCCCACAAGGCTGGGGACTTACCTTTTTCCTGCACGTGCAGGACAGTCACACCCACTCCAAGGGTGCAGCCTGGGCGCCCGGTCTGCCGAATGTGTACTGGTGGTGTGATCGCCAACGCGGGATTGGGGGGATGATAGCGGCGCAGATTTTGCCGTGGCTTGATAAGGAAGTTTTGGGGTTTTGGGTGGGGTTGGAGGAGGCCATTAATGGGGCGATTGAGGAAGAAAGAAGATAGGATGTGGTTCTGTGGGTGATTGGAGAGGGCTTTGGAAAGATGCAGACTGTACAGAAAAGGTAACAAGCATTGATTCAAGTGCATCGCAACGAATTTCATTAATCTCAATAACATTGTTATCCAGGCATACTGTTACTATTTTCAGAAAAGTAACTGTCCAGATGCATCACAATCTCGCCAAATTCAGCTCCTGCTCCTTCAACAACCGCACCGTCTCACGCACCGCAGCATGACCCTGTTCAATCGCCCCATCAACAAACCCCCTCCAACCATCAGCCCAATCCGCACTAGCAAAGACAATCCGTCCCCGATGTTGCTGTAATGCCTGAAGGTACTTCGATGCGGCATTCGGGCCCCAACAAGCCCAAGCCCCTTTAGCGTAAGGATCATTCATCCAGTCGTGAGTCGCATAAGCATCAACATGCACATCAGGATTGACATTCCTTCTGAATTCTTCCACAATGTGTCGCGAGTCCCTCTTGTCAACAAGTTTGCCATTGTATCCGAACCCGATACACCAAGTCCCTGCTGGTCCCGACGGTTGGGTTCCATTATGATCGGAGAATGCGAACATGAAGCTTGAGTTGCCGTGTCCACTGCCAGTCCAGAACCAGCCTGGGAGGGTCTCGCGCAGTTTCAAATGGATCTTGGCGCCCTTGTTGATGTGTCCGTTTCTGATTGCTTCTTGCTGGAGGGTGGGAAGAGGGGGCGTGAATTTGATGTCACCGAGACAGTTCCTAAAATGCCAACCTGTAAGTGTACTACCTAGGTATCCTGCAGTAGTTCTCAGTCTCAAGGGATGATAGATGGTTGGTCACTCACAACGGAATCGTCGAAACCACACTCTTCGCCCTCCACAACCTCCCATCCTTGGTCCCAACCTCAACTCCATTCCAACCACCCACCTCCCTAATCTCCTCCACCACCGTCTCATACACCCTATCCCCCGTAAACTCCTCCAAAACCTTCCCCGCAAAACCCGTCATCCCCCCATCCCCCAACTTAAACACTGCCGCCAACTCAAACACCCCAGTCATACTATATCCCCCAAGCGCATACCATCTCAACGCCTCCACAAACCCAATCTCCCTCCCCGACGCACTCCCAAACGTACTAACATTCGACTCGAACAACTCCTTCTCCCACTCCGACACATCCCCATCATCCAACGCATCCAACCGATCCCTCACACTCAAACAATCATACCTCTTCCACGGCGCCTCTCTCACCGGATCATGCGGATACGGCATCAACCCCCGACTATCCAATCCATCAATACTAAACACCCTCTGAGCAACACGCTCCAACACTTCCCTCATCGAACCCACCACCCCCGACGATTTAAACGACACCGTTTCAGGCGCCACCGTCCCCGCCGACGTCTTCAGATTCCGATGAAGCCCGTACCGATGTAACTCCGTATACACGTGCGGCTGCGCCCAATGGACCCATGTCCCTCCCATTTCGATCTCCTCGCCCAGGACGTTGGCCGTCCATGTGCGGCCGCCGATTCGATCGCGGGCTTCGAGGAGGAGGACGTTCAGACGGTGGGTTTGGGATAGGTCGCGGGCGGTGATTAGGCCGGCGAATCCGGCCCCGACCACGATGACATCGTAGTGGGGTTGGGGATGAGGGGAACTGGGGTGGATGGAGAAGGTGGAGAGGCCTTCGGTTGTTGTGCTGGGGGTCCAGAGGAGGCCTTCTTTGGTGTGAGGTGTGGGCATGGCGGGTGGGTGGGTGTGGAATGGTATTGGGGCTGGGACTGGGTGGAGATGTTGGGATGGTCATGCGGATGGGTAGGTGTGAATATATGTCTTTATCTGCTAGCTAGCTATAGGTGGCATGATGTCGGAAAGGCTTTGATATTCGTAAAGGGAGGGACATCTCCAACTGACTTTCGTGATCAATTGGGGCAGTATGGATGGAGTATTCCAACGCACTTTTTAGTCTGTTTAGGATAGTGCAGGGACTAGCGCCTAATGAATGCACTTTTTGATCGATTTGGGATAAGCCTGAGAGGACCTCAGCCCCAGGTTTCGGTCATGGGCAGAATGGTTCCGAGCCCACCCTATCGATGTTTATACGTAAGATGAATGCGTTTAACGAGGGATGTAGAATGAAGCGTCTGAGGCTATCATATTCATAGACTAGATACAAGATAAGGAGGATAGTACCTATAGATTGGGCTATCTACATCACCATCCCCAGACCAACCAGCTAGAGCTTTACATATCTCTGACTCCGACATTTCACCGCAAGTCCATAACTATCCGACGAGAAAGTGATAGTGCTTCCCCTCGGAAAGAAAAACACGTCGCCTGCCTTCAGCGTCGCGGTCTGACCCGTCTCGTCGCGAAAGTTGAACTCCCCTAGCATCATGAACAGTGGGGGTTAGTGATCCACGGTACACGTTATGTGAGTAGAAGCGAGCACCTACCCTCATATACCACCCCGAATTCATCATATTCGTAGGTTGGGGCTGTCGACTCAGTTCCCTTCTCCATGCGAAACCAAGCCCCCACGATGGGGTCGGGGATATCGCTCTGTTGGGTCCCGAGCATGTCATCTAGTAGTGCAGTGAAAGAGTCAGCGGGATACCTGTGGATGTTGACTGTGCACCTACCGAAGAACACATTCGGGACTCCCGGCAATGCAGCAAGCTTGAAGCGCTCGGTCTTGTCTTTGATTTGGAAGGGCATTTTGCCTTTCGAGCACGAGATTCGGTTTTGAAAAGGATTGGATTGGGCTTCAAGACTGGCAGCTCCGAAATGAATTGACCTTGGTCTAATTTAAATTATTCTCGTCCAATCGCATCCCCGGATCCGTGCACTTTTCTGCCGAATCGGGAAGGGGACTCGAACCATACTGCAAAATTCCGTCCTTGGAAATTCATGGAGCTGCAATGTGTCATCGAATGGTTACCCAAGGACCGTCTCTAGTTTCTCTTCCACCATAACCTCAATCCATTGAACAAACTGCTGAGACTCTGCCCCCCGGCCCGGACAGCCTATCGCCGTCTGAGCATCACTTCGAGTCCAGACCTTGTCCAGAATTTCCGTGGCTCGCAAGATCGCGACTATACCCACATGCCGGAGAACGGCCTCCAGACGGGTTCGGACAAAGTCTCGCCAGTACATCTGGACGTCGGCATGGCTGGAGATAGCAACAATTTCACCGCACAGCGTGCTCCAAGCATGTTTTACCGAGCCGCGTCGCACTGGACGCTTCGGCGTCCACTGTAAGGTGCTGCCCGCGATTATAAGCGGGATCGTTAGAAGACAGTTTACTCCAGAGGTCTGCGGGGTAGCAGCAATCAGGGTCAGAGTCGAGACGGCCATGGAGGTGATTTTCTCGGCGGGTGCTGGCTCAGCGCCAGTGGTCTCTTCGGCATCACCTTCCAACAGCTCTGGGTAATTCCGGTAAAGCTCAAGCAAGGCGGCAAGTCTGTATACCTGAGCCAACCTCTGCAGGTCCTGCACAGGTGTCAGAGGATCGGCCGTATCTTCTATCACTTCCTCAGTGGGTATATTGTAATTGAGGAGCGCTGTCTCGGTCTCCCGGGCTGACCGGAGTATATCAGCCTTGAGCTGATCTGCAGCATCCTCCCGAGATGTGACAGATGACAGTTGTTTGAGCAAGGATTGCTGCCGCACCAGAGTACCTACCCTCGCCAGGTGCACAAATAGTGGTGTACAAATACCTGTCCACGGGTTTGGGTGGAGCTTGGGGGGCGTCTTTTGGTCGCAAACCAGATTTAGATAAGCCGTTGCGTCCACCGACTGATTTATTAAGAATGATGCCATGGCTTCCCAATATGCCATAAATCCGGCCATGAAGCTTCGCACACGCAATGATGAATCGAGTGTGAAGGGAACTATCAGGTCGTCCTGAGCGCTCGACATCCACCGTTTGAAGAGGATCCGTGCTCCGTGAAGGTGAGTCGTTCCGAGGGAGGATGGGTTGTGCCAGCCCTATCACACTATTAGCATTGTTAGTTAATACCTTATTCGGAGCAGGCTTCTATACATCCGTCATCCCTAGCAGAATACTTCCGAGCAGTGCTTCCGAGGTTTTGACGGTTGTAAGACTATTGCTCTCGATTCCATCCTTCAGCCTCATCATCTCTGATTTCAAGCACGCAAGTGCTCTTGCCCTATGATCCAACGCAGTAGCTACCAAGTTAGCCTTTAGTGCTGCGAGATGAGCTGCAGACATGGAAAGGACACAGTGGTAGATGAGAGGAGAAGAGGCCATCAGGTCCCCAATGTCCGCGCGAAAGAAATTGACTGCGGAGTCAAAACACGAATTGATCCGGCAAACCTGGACGAAATAATGTCGCAAGATTCCCGATTCTCCGTCCCCAAGAGGTGGAGGTAGAGACAGTGGAAGGGGAAACTGCGCCCATTCGACCCAGTTGGTGGCATCATCTAGGTCATGGCTCAATCGCTCCTCTGGCAATTGCATATCAAGGGGGTCATTCGTCGGGTCAACATTGGGCTCATCCTCTGGAGAAACATTGTTCTGCCGTTGCCCTGTACTGAAGTGCGAGATGGTAAGGCTCTCATCCGGACCCGTGGCAGAAAGATCTTCTAAATTGCTGCCGTCGGGCTGGGTGGACGCAGTAGAACCCCATGGTATCGAGAAAGGCGAGGGGATCCGCAATGCGTCAACGTCGATGACGCTGATAGACTCGATTCTGCTAGAACTGTGCGGGTTTGTTCCTCGAGCGTCGGTGCCACTAGTCCCAATCTCATACTTGGATGACCATTTCAACGGACGCTTGTATCCGGGACAGTCGAAACCCCTTCGAGTGCATTGGCTGCAATGTGGAAGAGTCTCGTCGCATTTCACTCTCTGGGTCATCCAGTCAGCAGGAGCTATGAGATCAAGGACGCTGTTGAACCCACCCTTTGTTTGCAACGAAGACAGCCAGCTGATGATATTATTAGTGCCAGTCTTGCTCCAAGCTGAGCACCTACTGCGAGATTTTAATCGGTTCCGTGGTAGTGGCCGTTGTTCAGACATGGTTGAGTTTTTCGGGATGCTTCCTCAGGGGAAAAGGAGAGGAATGAATGGCTGAGGGGGGTTCGGCTCGATTCCGCGCTTGGGCATTGGAGTCCTCGGCAATGAGAACAGCTAGCCAATCTTTATACTATTCCCCATCTGTCTTATGCTTATCTCGAGCGGTTTGTGGAGAAGATAAGCAGCAGATAAGGCACTTTTATACAATCCAAATTCGTTCTTCTGACCACTATAAAGAGTGCCAAGGCACACACTTACTATACGTCTAACCTCGAATGGTTGAAACCGTATACTCCTTTCTCCCTCTCCAGAACCAATAGAAAGCACTAAAAATCAGCACCGCCCCGAAAATGAGCGACGCATAATTCATATTCTCCGCAGTCACCGGTTGGTACGGAGGAAAGACCATGAAAATACTCGTGTACCCTAGATACAACACCGAGACGAGGTTGATCGGGACGCCAAAGCGACCCATTCTCCACGGGCCGTAGTTGAGCGCTACATGTCTCCTAGAAAGCCGACACCAGAGTATGAGCGTAATTGGAACCAGATAGGACACATGTAACCCCAGAACGGCAAGGGAGATGATGGCGTTGAACGCGGTGGTGGATCCGATATTGACCACCCCAAGAAGAACGAGGACCGTGCTTGTGGCCAGGATTGATCGGGTGGGGGCCTGGGCTTTCGTATCGAGCTCGGTGAGATACCGATAGCCAGGAAGTGCTGTAATCGGGTCAATTGATTGCAAAGTTCTCTGCAAAAAAAAAAAAACATTGGTGGACATACCCTTGTCCCTCGCCAGAGACCACACCATCCGGGCTGCCGATGCTAATAACGCGATCGTACCCAGCCAGGCAGTCAAGATAATCGTAGAAGTCATGGCAGTACTGGCAGCCCGGGAGCCCGTCGCGCTACGAAAGACTTCAATGATCGGATATCCTGTAGAGCTATTGAGAGCCGCGTCCATGTCACCCATACAGAAAAGAACGGCGAGGAGGAACGCGAAGCCCATGACACCATTGATTGTGACAGAGCCTAACATGCAATATGGAACGGATACTGCTGGGTTGTTCATTTCCTCCCCAAGATGAATAGCTCCGTCACATCCTAGGATTAGGTTGCTGTCAGCTTGTGCTATTCCTGTACTGGTGGCTACTCGATCCACTGGCTCACGACCTACCGGCTAGAACATAGCAGCTTGAAAGCAGACCAATGGACCATGCCACCCCATCACTTGACCAGCCAGAATTGTTCACAAAGCTCGTAAAAACGAAATCAGCCGAATGCTTGGTGGGAGAGCAAGCCCATATAACCGCAATATTCGCGATAAATGCGCAGATGTGGATAAGCAGAGATACACCCTCCACAAAGGAGAGAAGGCGGCTGCCCCAGATATTTATAACAGTGCTTAGGCCAACAAGAGCCCAGTATACAAGGGTACTCTGCCATCGCTCCATTTCATATGTTTCGTGGTTGAGAACGACAAGGCCCTGAATCATAGTGGCCGCGAGGAAGGGGGCGCTGGCTGCAAAGGAGATCCAGCCAAATGTACCTAGTAACCGATGAATCTGTTAGTAATTAATCCTTGCAAGGCCCCTTTGGAGGGATTTATACTCACCAGTCCACCCGATAGCCCAACTGAGAGGGTTCTGAAACTTTTCCGGAGCAAGCTTCGCTGTGAAGTGGTACTGACCTCCAGCAGTCGGGTACCTCATAGTTTCTTCAGCTGGGTATCAACTTGAGTGATGGTAACTATAGCTTACATAGAGGCAAGTTCGCTTAGAGAAGCCGCAGTTGCGAGGGCTCCGATCATTGCTACTATGAGTCGGTCAGTCAACCGCTGTCGGTCCACTGGCCCGGATTCCACCAACATAGGAACCCATAGACTAGCGAGACTGGACCCCCACTGACCAGCCCTGCGGCCATTGTGCTTTCCCCAGAGCCCGTGAGTACGTTTTGCATGGCTGAAATGAGCATGTCCCATCTTACCTGGAAAGCGCCTCCCAAGTTGCCATCAGTATTACCGTCATCGAAAGGATTGTGAGACTTGAGAAGCCTTTCTGGAGGTAGATGAAAGTCAATCGATCCCATTCATTTCGTTTACGCTTCGTCTGTGTAATACCTTCAATTCATAAGTCTCTCCCTCATCGTGACTCCTGCTCCTGTCCACCTCAAGCGTGGCGTCGATGGCTGCGGGCTGTATCTTTTTTTCGTTGCAATCCATGATGCTAAAGATACCAGATGGGTAACTGTGTGGGTATGAAGTAATTAGAAGTCTTTAGTGTCGCATCTGAATACTGCCGCAAGTGAATGATGTGGCCATTGGCATTTTTATGAGCCAGGGCAATCCTATGGGGCGCCATCAAACTTACGCTCTTCGATACACGACAGAGATCTGCGGTCCTTATCTCAAGAAGACGGTTGAGCACTTGGTTTCTTTTCCTAAAATGATGCACCAAGTGCGGACGAATCAGAAAATCCCAGATTGATAAGTATTGATAAGTAATCTATCGTGGGATGAGGATAAGCAAGGCGATCAACCCGATTCCGCCAATCGCATTCTGGTGCGAAGAAGAGAAGTGGGGAGATACCTGGAGATGGGAAGGCCCCTGCACTTTTCTCATGCTTTCTTTTGGCTACCTGTGGCTCAAATGACCTGGACCAAAGTGAGTACAACCCCGATTCGTGAGGCGGCCAAAATCACACGCTCTTATCTATAACCGCCAATGTAATATTCGAGCATGCTTCTAGCAAGTTTTAATCACCGTGCTGTTGGGCGTGTCGCAATCCGTAAGTAGTTCTACAAGATAGACTCGTACGAGATGCCTTCGCTTCGTTAAAAGTCTTCTAAACCTCCGGCTGATATTCATATCAATCATCTAGCCTCTGCCCGACATATCCGTCAAAAGAGCGACGCACCCGTCGCAACCTCCGCCAGCTTCCACCCCCCGTAAACATCATTTGCAGCTCCCATCACCAAAATGAACGCCAGGCGCGTATCCTGCTCCTCATCGTTGACTGCCAACGCATAGCTGATCCGCGAGACATACGACGCCAGATTAGCGGCTTCACCCGCAAACGCCGTGGAGCGCGTTGTATCGTTGGTCTTCTGGCTCAGTTCATAGAAGTGCCAGGTTGTTACAACAATATCGTGGAGACAGAGCACGGCGTCGAGAAAGGCACCTGTTCCGCGATGGTCCTTGACGACGAGGTTGCCGGTGCGGAGGACGGGGGCTTTCTCCCCGATTTTATTGAAAATCTTCTGAGCGAGGCCGGAGAAGACAATCTTGAGTGCGATGGCGCTCCCTTTCGAGATATAGGAGAGGATGTTGAAGGGTAGGCTGTCGACGGGGTCCATCGGGACAAGAAAGTCGCCCGCCGCTGAGGAGGCGGCACTCGACAGGCCGACCATGATCGCGCCCACGGTCAGAGGTATGCTCTCCGTTTGATCTTCAGCTTCTAGACCCGTCACAAAATTTCCGACTAGGTAGAGAATCCCGCTGAATAGGTGGCAGCTCATGAAGACTGCTTTTTGTGTCGAGGTTGACATGAGAACCGGTCCTTGGTGCTGGGCGGTGGCGGCGAACGAGGTAAAGGATGACGCGGACGCTGCGAATGAGGTCGAGCGCTGTGATTGAGGGGACAGGCTCGCCACTTCGTCCCAGCTCGCTGCAGAGGTAAGGGTTTGCACCTCGCTGTCGCCCCCCGGGAATGGATAGTGGCCTTCCGTGACCTCGTAGACCACCGTGACGGCGACGGCACCGATCCAGGTGAACAGGTCGAGGAAAGAGATATCAGGCACCCCAATCATATTGAGAAGGTCCGAGATGATGGGAATGTGGATCTTGGTATCAAGCACATCAAGGGCTGACTGGGCCAGCTCAGCCAGCACATTCAAGAGGGCATCAACGACAACCTGCACGCTAGACAGAGTGCCGTCCACAAGGATGGCTGCTAGCTTTTGTAGAATTTCCACTACAGACAATGAATGAAACTGCTTGATCAGATCTTGCAGTTGGCTGAACACGGCGCCCAGCACCTGGCCTTCGTTTGAGACGGCTGTCAGCAGTTCAAGGAGGAGATTCTCGACCAGGTCGAGTGCTGGCGAGTCACCCAGAATCTGTAGCTCACGCGCATGGTCGCGATACTTGTCAGAGAATAGCTTCGCGCTGGGCGTCAGGCTCTCGGATGGATCAGAGCCGGTGCCTGATGCGGACCGGGTTGCCTCCTCTCCAAGCCCAGGAGACCAGTCACTAACGCGAGCCCATTTGTTGACCTGTTTTTCAACCTCCGAGATAGTGCTATCCAGTGCCTGTCGTGCGCGAGGAATTTTATTGACCTGGTCGTGCAGCCATAGCCTAATGAGGTTGTGAATCACATTCTTCGTCCGACAGATATCACCCCAATTCAGCAGGGTTTGGAAGAACATTTTGAGCATATCCCATGCCGTCTTGATTTGTTTGAGCACCCATTGCGCAGCACCTATAAAAGCATTCAAAGTATCCAGAGCAACATGGTAAATCTGCTTGCCGATCTTCGCAAGGAAGTGTAGACTGTTCGTGACCGTATCATAAACGAGCCTCCCCACACTCCCCGCCGCATTCTCCAGTGCTTGCCAGGTGTCGCCCCAGGCAGAGCTGATGGCGCCCGGAATCGATCCCAGGAAATCTCCAAAGTCGCCAGCGAGGGTTCCAAGATCATCGCCCAGGTCTCTCAGATCGTCCCCAAGATCGTCAAGTCTTCCATGAGCAAGATCGTCCAGACCGCGGCCGAGATCATCCACGAACCCAAAGTTGACGACTTTGGGGTTTATGGCACGAAGTCGCATCGTGGATGCTGCTGCTAAATGCGATGTCTTCTTTGGTTCCCGAGCGTTGCGATCGCGAGCTTCTCGAAGAAGGCCCAGATTCTGTGCTACGGCCTGCACGTCACGATCGGGGATCGATGGGTCGACTAAGGGCGTAAACTCTGGTGACCCAAGAATGCCACCGGCCACAGTTTGCTTTGGAAACTGGGCGCTCCGTAGCTTTTCAGCTGAATCGAGTGCAGTTAATTTAGCGAACATCTGGTCTGCCGGATTAATTGCGAGGCTTGTATTCTCCAAGGCGACAGTCAATATCGCACTGCTAAAATTGTCCCCCGTTGCCTGAATGACAGTAAGCGAGCCAGTGGCATCAGTCGCGATCTGGATAGGGGCGGTAGACAGAACATAGTAGAGCCCGTTAATATAGACAGGAATGCGACAGTTGGCGGAGAGATTCACCCGTGCGTATGGAGCTGAGAGCTGCTGATCCATCTGGGTAACATGGATATAACTAGTATACGACATGAAACAGGTAGCATTTTGCTCTGGGGGAGCTGCTAGGGTAATCTCCTGGGCTTGCCATACTTTTCCTGTCTCCGCTGAACCCTGCATGAGCTTGCGGAGCCTTCCATTGCCAGCCACGAAGATGGTGTTGCCACCATCCACTCGGTTGACATAAGGCGAAAACCGCTCGACAGCATCAAGAATCGGCATGGGAGCGCTCCATGAGCCCGGTTCATTGACTTGACTGGTAAGACAGGTTATATAATATACCTGGTTACTTCGATTCCTCCCCCATAGAGTTGTCACCTCATCGCGAGTCATAACCCGCAGTGTATCAGTCCCAGACAGGAGGTCGTTGGTGAGTACTACCATTGGTTCTAGGTTCTCTTCCTGCTTGTCACTGGCGAAGCGGTACAGGGTCGAGTCCTCCCCAGTTGCATAGAGGTCAGTCGACCCGTCAGGATTGCGAGCTGTGGCCATTGACGAGGGAATTGCACCTCCAGGCAGATGTAGCCGGCGCGGCGTGGCAGGACCATGGCCATAGTAGTTGATGATCGGTTCATATACCAGCTGGGGGCTCCCTGCTCCTGTGATGCCCACGGTGTAGATGCCATCCACTGGCTTCCCGCTCACCCGGCCCACGACACTCTGATATGCAGCCGTCGCGATGTCAACCGTAACATCATGCTTAATCCAGGAACGGCCGCTCACTCGAGTAGGGTCGATGTGATAGCGGGCAATGTGCGGGTCACCCTTATTCCCCAGCGGTCGGTCGATATCAACAACTAAATACTGTGTGTGGTCGCGAGTCTCGGCAAAGAGTGCCCCGGTGATGGTAATCGCCTGGGGTAGCTCATGTATCGCATCAAATGGCACCATGGTCCATGTCGGATGGGCTGTCCATGATGTGTCCCCATTTGAATTGGCTAGTGACATGAAAAGATGGTCATTCCCATCCAGACTTACAGCCATCATCAGCCCAATGGTGCCGTCCACAGCGCTCTGACCGACATCAAAGGTGCGAACCGTCGCACTGCAGCCGGGAAACTGGGCGCGTATAGCCGCGGTTGAAAGATCATGGACCTGCCATCCAGTGTGGCATGTACCGCTTTGTTCCTCGAAAACGTTCAAGACTCCCGAAGAGTCAACGGCGAATAAAAGAGCATGACCATCCAAGCTCTGTAGGGCCTCAAACTTGCCGGTAGGTGAGACAACCTGACCTTGCACGTAGTTCTGCATTAATTCTGTGGAGGCTGTCAGCTTCCCGACAGAGCCAGGCAGAAGAGAGGGAGGGACAGGGGGGCTTCCAGCCACAGGCGACGGCTGCTCCTCCTGAAGCGGCGACTGCTGCTGCTGCTGCTGCTGATGACCTTGCGGCTGGGCTGGGCTAACCTTGACGGGATCAACATATGTGATCTTGCAGACCAGGTCCTCGTGGTCCGAGAAAAATGGGTCCTTGTAGGTGAAAACGCGGGCCCCCGGGAACACAAAGCTCTGGAGCTGACTGATTTCCAGCTCGTGTAGGTCGGCAGCGGCGCGGTCAATGTTATCCAGTGCGCCTTCTATAGCACGGGACGTCCCCGATGAAAGAATATCATCCCAAATGCCCACAATCCACGATCCGGGATTGTTAATATCCAGGCTGGCCTCCTTCTTCTCTGGCGGGCTCTCCGACCGATCCACGATGTCCTCGTTGATATTCACCAGCTGCAACGCTCCATTCTGACTGACTGAAATGCTGTACGTGTCGGTCCGGGTCTTATCAATCAGGTTCAGACTAATCTGATGCGTGGAGTCCAGATTGTTATTAATGACCTGGGTACAGGAAACGTTGATTCGAGACCATTGTTCTACCCGGATAGTCCGCTCTTCGAAAAATACATCGAGGGAATAATTGTTCTCGACCTGTGTGAAAATGCGGGAAAGCCAGGGGGACATTAAAGTCGTCTTTGCGAGCTCCTGGAAACCCTCGTCGTAGCCTCTGTGTTCCCCATGAATCACATGGCTCCCGCTCGCGGACACTGTTGCCAGGGATTTTCCACCAACAAGAGGATCAAGGTAGATCCCACTTGATTGAACGTCTGGCAAAAAGCAATACTGAGTCATGTCAAGGTTGGCCGCAACAAAGGCAGCCAAGATGTTGCGGTTTATGGCAATGATTCCGCTGCTTTCTTCGAGGTCCTGTGGTTTCATCCAATTCCAGTCCAACCCGGAGATTCGCGGTACGGGGTTGTTGTTGATTGCACACAGATGGTCCAATGTGGTGGCGGCCGGTTCGGCCGCCACTGTATTCACGATGCGCTCGAATGCGGTCATTTTCAAGGTTGACTCGTCGTCGGGCTGCGTGACCGCAGTGACAGCGACAAGCGGCAAGCCGTGCTCTTTGGCAGTCTTGGTGTAGATATTGCGGAAGTAGGTTTCCAGCACATGTTTGGCGTCGGGATCAGTCACGGTGCTGAAATCCGGGACCGTTTGCAGCACGGCATTGTCCAGGTCATAAAACAGTTGCTGTAAACTGAAGGCCGTGCCTGAGAGATTGACGAGCGCTTTCCGCAGCTGATCTCGGACCTCCGGGTGGCTTTTGAAGTAAGGAGTGTCGAGCTCCTTATCAAGACCTGCCACAGTGAGGTTGACGGACATTTTCATGGCCCAGGGCTGACCGGCAGGACCTTCGGGCTGCTGGAAAACGTTCCAGATGATGTTTCTGCGCGCGTACCTGATCGAGACAACTTTGACCTGTCGGCAGAACAGGTTGAAGGTGACATTGTCAGCGCTGTTCAGGGTGACGATCGGGGGCAGCGTCTTGGGCGTGTGGCCCAGTGGCATGCCAATCTGCAACATTACGCCGACAGCAAAGCCGGCGTCGGCCAGTGCGTCCAGCCGTGGGTCATTTCCGTCGATGTCTTTGGGGATGTCAAAGGGATTGACCCCCTTGCTTTTATTAATCAACTCTTCCAAGCTGATTTGCTCTGTCGGGAAGCCCTTGTCATCTTCCAAAAAACACAGGTACTGGATCGGCTGGGTCCCTTCATCTAAATACTCCAGAAGGCCGGAGTTGATGCTGGCCTGAGTGGTGGCTACCACAAAGTCACATTGACAGCGGGGGTCAGAGAGGTAGGATGACTTGCTGTCCATGGCGAGTGCTGGAGGGTCTCGGCTGGTCGGCTGGAAGGGAAAGATATAGAGAGAACGGTTGGCGGGGTGGTAGGCAATGTAGGCTCGTCCCGTGTTTTTATATCAGTGGAAAGATTCACATGTCGAGGCCCTCTTGCCGAATTCCTTCACTGACCACCAGCTTGGCTCGTCTCAGCCAGCCCCCTTGCTATTATGGAGGGGAGGGGAGGATGGTGGCTTCTGCGCATGTCCTCTTTGGCTAAATTCTTGGGCAGCAGCCTGCAACTGACAGCTTATTGATTTAGCGGGCCGCCGGGGTTGCCCAACCATCATGATTCGGCTGGCTGAGTTGACACTCCCAAGGCTGGTCTAGAATAGACCAAGTAGGCAGTGCAGCGACTCATTGGCTGGCAGCCTGGGGATATTCCGCGAGTCCCGGTCTCTGTCCTCGAAAGATGGAAGTTTTAGCCGACGAGGCGGAGTTTTGTCCGGATCCAGAACCTCCCCGGGAAGCGACCGGCTATTTCTGTTTTCCGATCTAGATCAAAAAGGATTTGATGGGCTGGAATATCAATGCAGGATAGATTCGATGTCTCAGGTGAGGCCTCGGAGTGGAATAGGGAGTCGTTAGACACGGATATCGACTCGTTCATGAAAGTGCCGGGGAAACATGTTGGGTTAACAAGGTGCAGAAAACTCCTGGACCAAATACATTCCTCGAGTGCGCGACTATGAACGTGTCTGTGACGACCAATGGACCGATACTCTACGATCCAAAATCCAGGGTTAATATCCTCTCGATTATCCTCTCCCCACTCAGCTTGACTTTTCATTTTCCTGTCGCCTGTGTGCGGTTTATTGGTGCCATAGGTCAATCCATCCACCCCTTTAGATGTGTCTACCAAGAGGCATTGGCCAGATCCAAAGTCACGATAAGACAGAAAGCTGTTTTCATTGACCGTGAATTTGTGGAAGGGTCGGATACACAGCCGAGCACCAGGGGATTGGCTCCTTTACAAGCTCCCAGAGGGCTTACAACCCTTGATTTCCATCTCAGGACACTGCTGCGACCCAGTGTGCAAATCCGTCATTCCAGGGATGCGCAGATTGTCGCTGGCATCAGACCCAAGAGGGGATGCAAGGTTGGTTTAAAGGAGCATTGCAAAAGGATGTGGCGGTGCTTGATATCATGAGTAATCGGCCGATTGAAGTGTGGATCAGTAAATCGTGGGTGTGGCTGGATGAACTTGTACTGGTATTACAATAACGGCGATCGGACAGTAATCGAATACTAGCTTGTAGAAAATAGGACTCTCCTGTGCCTCTGCTGGCTTGCAGCGATCTACGGTACTATCCACATGGGACAGATTCCGGATATTCCATAGAAGCACTCCACAATAGTGCGATTGGATTATGAAATTCAACCAGTGGCCTTGTAGCGCCGATCATGACAGCTTGATGAGTAAAAGTCATCCAATTTGTGAATGAAGTATATCGAACGTCCTCTTGCGTCATGATGAACGGAGTCTTGCGTACCGGTCAAGTGAACGTGGTCGGCTTGGCATTGGAAGAAATCCTGGACAGGGCTCGACGAGAACCGGGATGTAGCATGATCCACAGGCATGTTTTTAATACCATAGTACTTAATTGATGGGTCTATAACGAGTGCTAACTGCAGCTCGTAACAGCACTATCATCAGGTCGCGGAGATACGAGGATCAGTGACGTAAAGCCTATTCTGTCGCATGATCGGGGGGGGCACGTGTTTCACACTCTGGTATCTGTTCGAGCCAATCGATTCCAAGGTCGAATTTGGAAGCGGGAAATTTGTCCGTCTGCCCTAATGGCGTAGGTGTGGCTTGGGGAGCGGCTGTTGGATAACCCGATCGTGCTTAAGTAGGTGGGTGCTATTGTTCATTTTCAGGGCCGCTGGTGTTATATAAGTCCGGTCTCGACTGCGTGGCCATTTTGCGCATGATAGAGCCATGTTCCTTCTAGGTTCCGACTCGTGTCGTCTGGCAAGGCACATGCTATGCTGTGTTCTTTTGTCGGCTCTCCAGGAACAGGGGGGGCATTCCTAGGCTGTTATTATGCAGATGCTCCTGGATGTATCCTTGACCGTTCTTTGCATGCCGGGACTTTGTTTGCTTGTCGAGGTCTAATTTCAGTAGAGAAAGTGGTCTCTCATAGTCTTCGGGGCAGGTAAGCATGGTAGAACAGTGATGTATCTATGGCGGTGTCTGTTGCCAGGGCTTGTCATTGAGAAGGCAACATGTATCTGCTGTCACTGTGAGTCCTATGCCGTGCAGCGTAATCCTTGCTCGTTGAGCAGCAGTCTGCTTGCAATCGAGAGGGGCAAGGTCGGCCGTAGCCTAATACAACCCCCGGGAGCAACAGTGACACATTCGCGTGGTTTGAGGACTTCTCATGACCAGAGAGCCAATTTCACTCTTTGTTGCATCACCACAGCGTACTATATCTCGCAATTCCCTGCCTTGTCTTCCAATGCAGCTCCACATCCAATCGGTGGATTCGGTCGTGCCATTTCATTGATAACACCGGGAGCAGCGAGTCATGGTGACTGTATATCTAGGACCGTATAGTGCTTGCGACCGTTGTCCGCGGACGTCCAATCCAGAAGCTGCTTGTTTGTGATCCCTGGCCTCCGGGGACGATCTTCATCTAGATTCCGTTAGGTCTGAGCGTCGTACATATTCGGCGTCGTTCTTTGTAGGCTCTTCAGTATCGCACGGCAACCATCTCATCTTGGGAACTGTAGGATCGGATCCAAGGGGCGTTGTGGTGACGTCTGCAGACGCGTTCAGGCCCCGTGACCGTGGTTCAGGTAAGCGGTGGGTGGCCTGGGGCAACAGCATCTGGAGGTCACCTGTGGCAGTCAGGGAGGGTTCATGGGCGACGGCGCCCCTGTTCGCCTTTGTTCGTGAGGTATAAGGCTTTGTATGTGGTGCGGTAGAGCTGTTTCAAACGTATATGCGAATTGAATCATCGTGGGATGCGGCATCAACGATCAGCCCTGGCCGATGTCATAGGGACAGTAGCTAGTACTATCGAGTTGCGGGTTGCGGGTTGTGGGTTGTGGGCCGGTTGCACCTTCCCGGGGTTCAACTCAACCCGCAGCTGGGTTCAACTAGTGCGCTTGGATGTGCGCTTGGATAGATAGCCACTACTCGGCTCTGTGAGCCTGCTGGTTTTGATGCTGTGGTTTTGCCTGAGATATAGGTAGACCAAGTTTGGTCTCTTTGCTGTATGGTGATTCCGATCCTTGAATATTGTGTAAATCTACTGAGAAACGCCTGTGGTGGTCTTCTTTTTGCTGCTGTCATGCGACCGACGTCACCAAGTCTGCGCAAAAGCGCGTTTTCGATCTTCTTAGGAGTATTTCTCGTGTGCTGTGGCTTCTTTTGAATCCTGTATCTGATTATATGCCTAGTATGGTTCAAATTCTATTCGATCGAGTCGGTTTGGGGTACAGAAGTAGATCAATCGATGTGTTGAATATATATATCTGATATGGGAGGCGTACATACCCGCAGGGTTTGGGCCTACAGGTTTACGGTGTATATCCACACAACCACCCACACATACAATTGATATGACGACAAATACATGTTGCCAAGAGCCCTGCGCGCACATATTATCAACAAATATACCCACTCTACCAAATTACTGCTATATCTCGAAGTCAAGGATGAATTCGCAAAAGTTATCCCGGAGTGGTGGAACCGAAGCCGGAGACGCGTAGCGAGTATATCATAAACATCAACACAGAACACACGAATCGACAGAATTTTACCATTGTCCAAGTACGGTGACTCCAAGGCCCTCACGAGAAGGGGATTGTCTTCTGTAGATGACAGACGCCATACGAAATGCATGTAGGTTCAATTGGGAAGCGTTTCTGTATAGAAACTGCTACTACACCATATCCATGTTCTTACGTGGATGTAATAGAAAAACAAAAATAAGCATACAGACTACAGATTCTACACACTTGTAGGAGCAGTCGTGATCATCTTTCGACCGTTCGTATTCATATCGGATCGCGTCCAAGGTCGCGCGATCCTCTTTAGCCTATGGCACCAGCCGAAGCATAAAGGCCGCTATGATACAGAAATTCAACCACGAACACTAGCAGACCAGTAGTGGACGCGTAATAGTAAGTAAAGTACGATAAAACAAACCCAGACCCATGATACTTGTAATGAAAAGATCAAGAACACCCCAACGTCCCAGTCATACCGTGAACCAACCCGAAAAAGCAACCCGTCGCGTCACTGCTGCGGAAGGACAACTGACGCGCCGACCGCGCAGGATGGCTAAAAGAAAGAAGCAGGAAAAGAGAAATGCATTTAACCACCGAAACCGTAGAGGGTACCTGAGATATGATGTTAGACGTGTCGCCAAACAAAACAGAAGTCCGCGCCGAGGGGTACTTACGGCCCTGTCTCTTGAGAGCGTAGACAACGTCGAGGGAGGTGACGGTCTTGCGCTTGGCGTGCTCAGTGTAGGTGACGGCGTCACGGATGACACCCTCAAGGAAGGTCTTGAGGACACCACGAGTCTCCTCGTAGATCATGGCAGAGATACGCTTGACACCACCACGACGAGCGAGACGACGGATAGCGGGCTTGGTGATACCCTGGATGTTGTCACGCAAAATCTTGCGGTGACGCTTGGCGCCACCCTTGCCGAGACCCTTTCCACCCTTTCCACCTGTTGAGACGCGTCAAGTCAGTCACTGTTTATGACGATGATGATGATGATGGATAGATATCCTATCCAAGATGGGAAAGGTCGGATCGACTTACGGCCAGTCATTTTGACGGTTGTTTATGGAGATAAAGTTGAATTAAAATTGAGGAGGAGACGGTGGAGTTGATTGGGCGGCTTAAGCTGGGATGATGAATGCAAAGAGAAGAAGACAGCAGAATCCATGGGACGGGAGATATTTGTATAGCGAAAGGCGCTGCGCGGGGAGGGCGTCGGAATCACACGCTAGAGCGCGGATCGACCAATCAGAGTCTAGGATCCCGACCGGCGGACTTGATCTGTCGGCAACGTGACCGAGCAAGGATGATTCCGCTGGTATGTCGCTGATTCCCACGAGAATGCAGCCAACCACCGAGATCAACAGCCGCAGGGTGTCAGAAGCATTCCTGTCGATGGCTGCGAGCCGCTGCGACAGGCTGATAGAGACACATTCCGAGCCTGAGGTTGGGATCAAGGTGAGGCAGGGGCAGTTTCTAGATCCGTGATCCTGGCCTTCTATTGGTTGGCGGGGGCTAGGGGCTCTCGCTTAGCGCTCCGAGGCAGGCTCGACCGCCTTTGGCCGTCCCGCGCAACCCTTTGATTCTCCCAGCCAAAAGTGAGCCCCGAAATCACGGCTTATGGTGTGCTGCTTTCCGAGCGTTTTTTCGATCAAAGGAACGCCGCGCTAAGGCCCCCCTCCGTTGCTGGCAAACCCAGATCACCACCCACCCTTTCGCTTACTACAAATACCTCCCCCCACCCGCCTCCTCCATCCTTCTTCCATCTCCTCATCCCGTCCACTCTTATCTATCCACCTCCATCTCCTTTCCATCCTCAACGTCATCTTTCCATCTCCAAAACAACTAAATCCATCAAACCTAATCTGCTAAAATGGCTCGTACTAAGCAGACTGCCCGTAAGTGCCACCTTACTGTCCTTTCTCTTCGGGGGTGGTCGTTGAATCGCGTCACGGTCGCGACACCCGTGCCTCACTTGGAACATCACCACTAACCACCATCTACAGGCAAGTCCACTGGTGGCAAGGCCCCTCGTAAGCAGCTCGCTTCCAAGGCCGCCCGCAAGGCCGCTCCCTCCACCGGAGGTGTCAAGAAGCCTCACCGTTACAAGCCCGGTATGTTCCCCTCCCATCTGACGTGGCAAACCATCACCCGAGACATCCGTACTAATAATTCATCCCAGGTACCGTCGCTCTTCGTGAGATCCGTCGTTACCAGAAGAGCACTGAGCTCCTGATCCGCAAGCTGCCCTTCCAGCGTCTCGTTCGCGAAATCGCTCAGGACTTCAAGTCGGACCTCCGCTTCCAGTCTTCCGCCATCGGTGCTCTCCAGGAGTCCGTTGAGGCCTACCTCGTCTCCCTGTTTGAGGACACCAACCTGTGCGCCATCCACGCCAAGCGTGTCACCATCCAGAGCAAGGACATCCAGCTCGCCCGCCGTCTCCGTGGTGAGCGCTCTTAGATTAATTTCTAATGAGTCGATTCCTTTTCTGGTTGGCTCTTATGGGAAGGCGATAATGGGGTTTCTTTTTCTTTTCATGACTACTGGCGATACATGATGGGTTTGCGAATTTCAATGGGTTTCGGCACTGGGTTTTCGTTATTTCTTGCTGCGCAACAAATAGTAGCTGCCGATTCAGCGGCTGGGTGGAATTGATCATGGGGATGCATCCGAATATGTACATTAAGAAAGCTTTTACTTGACGTGACTTCCTCGGAAGCGCCACCGGATGGCATAGACGCGAAATGCAGTATCTATGAAACAATCCCACCTCGTTTGAGATCCGCCTGACAAGGTTGTACTCATAGACGCGTAGAAGTGCCACGGTCGCAGCCTGATGTTGCCTCGCTTGCCAGGTTGTACTCTGCACCGGGGCGATCGACTCGACTCGACTCGACTCGACTGAAAGGGTGTCCAGTGTACGGCATGCAAGGATGGATCTTCAGTCCATGTACCTACTACCCGAGACTTCGTCTGATAAAGGTTGCCAGATGATCTGCGACCGTAAGGACTCAGCGATGTAACGCGGGAGATGCGGTTTTCTGCATCAGCTCCTACCACTGTTTCGGTTACTCCAGGCTTTCTACAGTCCATCCTTATCATGGCGTTGCAAGTTTCAAAGTAGTCTAATTGCTCTGCTTTTACATACTTAGGGAGAGATTACTATTGCGAATCACAAACTGCGGAGTAACTCTGGATGACGCCAGCAAGAACAGTGAGTGGCTTGGGGTTCGGAAACCGCAGCCTGAGTCGCCACTTAGGGGTAAAGCCGACCATAGATGTCTACTGTCGCCACCGATATAGTAGCTAGTACCTCGTATAGTCAGATCCAAAAGGTAGCCTGGCGTGAAAATCCAGATGTGGTTTTAGTTACGAGTTTCTGGTGAGTAGGAGTATACCACACTGCTGCATAGGGTAGAGATACTTCGTAGCGGCGTAGATAATGGAAGATGACTCACCTGCTGCTCGCTCATGATGATGCCCCGGGACTCTGATGGCTCCGTTCGCAGCTGCCTAATCCTCTCCAGCCATTCTTCCCTAATTTCATGACATCCTCCACTTTGCATCATGATGAGTTCAGCATGAGATCCCTAAATTCTAAATTGATGTCCCTAAGGCCATCGGACTTCCTCCATAAACAGAGCCAACAAGGTCAAGATTAACTACGACCCAGCGAGTCTTCAACAGATACGACTGAAGGCCTTCTACAATGATAGCCACGAATATTTAAAGAACAGCGGGGACGGTATAACCAAGGAAAGAAGACAGAAATCTTGTTGGGCTCCAATCATGCACCCAATCTGTGTCGCGCGTATAAGGTGACACCACCATCTTGGGGAACACAGGGGAGAGTGTATGGGTATCGATAGTAGAAGGGAAAGAAAGGGTTGGGTTAAATGCTGACTATTAAATGGTGCAATTCTCTAGGTATCTCTCGATTCATGTCACTCTTTTCCATCTATGAAGATGAAAGGCAGTAAAAACGCTTCAACACCGGGCGTCTTGATACTGTAAGGGGTGTCATCGCGATAAGATTCATGCGGAGGGCTGTTAGTTATCGTTATCGCTCTCTCTTCCGCTGCAGCATGACCCTCACCAACTCCCCTGCGGGACAGCGCGTACATGATCGTCGTCGTCATCATAATCATCACGTCCTGACCCACTGACCTTCCTCATTAGTTCCGGATCAAAGAGATTTATTCCAAATATACGAGCAAGATGCCGTGAATTTCACGATATTGACTGAGACTATAGGCGAATACACACCCTATACCCTCGATGCCATGCTTTGCGATCAAGCACTATCTACCGGCCGACTCAACCCAAGTATCAAGCCCCTTCATCGCATAGTGGTCGTCCAAAGAACCTCCCAGCTAGCAAGGATCCCACACCAGCGAGCTAGCTTATCGGAATCTATCGCGAGTTGCAGATCCCCGTTGGAAGCGCCCTATCCTCTTGTACAATCCGCCGGCTATTACAGTCTTCGTTTGCGCAGAAGAAGAGACCAAAAGGGGTTGGGATACACCGATCCGAATGCTGAAAAACATTTGGTATGGGCTGGGGACAATGGTGGTGCTTTATCAGGCGACCTTGGATGCGTGATGAGGTCAGACGGCTCGACAGTGGGACTTTATAATCATTGATTTCGGCGTAGGGCATGGGATCAATGTGTGCGCGATAAGGAAGTCATGTGAGATATTTGGAGGGTATACAGCACCCAGGAGTGTCAGATTCCCTTCATCATCTAGAACAACCACTGGGACGCGTTTCGGGCGGAAAACCTGCATCATTTACTCGTCGTAGGCGGCCTTGAAATTGGAGATGAATCGCAAATGGGTTATGATATTATAGCAGCCGCAGAAGACAGAGAAAATTGCACCATCATTGTTGATACTAGTATATCGCGAGAGAATGCTTTTTGCTCTTCCTTCAGTTACTTGAGTTCCTACATATCACCTTACGAGAATTAGAGTGGTAGAACCGGAATTATATATAACGTGTCGAGGATTGGGTCCACGAAAACTCAACATCCTGAATCCCCTTCGATTGAATTTGGCACTGCCTATATCGACCCATATAGTCAGTCCCCTCTGATCATTATCGATAGCTCCAACACCCAGTAATTACTACATCACAACGGAATGAGAAGCCGTACACTTTCTTCATCTGAACCTGACACAGCCCTGACAGCGATCAAACCTTCCATACTATCCGAATTTCAAGCACACAGTCCAGATCCCAAGGCTTTGAGGCCATCAATAGATTGTCAAATATACGAGCTCGAGCATGAATAGGGAAGACATAATTTGGCCGTAGCAGGGAGGAGTCATAATCGTTGACATACAAGGACTGACTAGCACCTAGCTATGGTTTTATTAGTCGACTTCGTAAGTCGTAAGATGCTTAGAATAATCTGCTCAAGGAAGGGTATAATTAGCGACTTGATTGAAGGAGTTGGGATGGAATGCACTCATAAATAAACTTTGATGACACTACCCCTAAAATCTCTCATCACTGATGATATTCTCTTTGCTCTCTGGATGCCTAGAAAATATTATAAAATTGATATTCAGACCCGTGTTGGTAGGAAAATGCCTCACGAGCTGATAATGTTGCAGCTCAAATATATACCCCCCCCAATTGAGAGGATTATAATTAACTTCAGCGTCTATGCTGGTATTCCAAGTCTTAATATCATAAGTTAGGATGGTGATCAAGAACCATGGAAGCAAATCAACTATCCCTCGACCGGGAATAGGCCCCATGGAGAAGTAGGTAGGTAATTCGAAATAGTGAGCTCTGTCATCAGGTGATACGATACGGTTGGCTAAGTGGTTTGTATTGAATTGGTACCATTCTTTGATTCGATTCTGGATTTGTGGGTTCACCCTCCTTCCATCCCCTCCACCCCCGCGAGATCAGTTTATGGAAATTTCTTGTGAATATTGATGGATATTGATTGAATTCATCCTGGAGTTTCCAGCACCGACTGCCAAAAGGCATGTTTGAGGTACGTTGCTATCTCGTCCACCATGTTTCATTTCTGTTCGCATAACTGAGTTTCCGATGCTGTTTTCTCACTTATAGGTGACGTTACATTCCAGTGATTAGGATCATCTTGAGTCGGATATTGACTGTGCTATGGAAGCTCTGCATTACATCGCAGAGGCTGCGGGTGGTAATAATGGTTGTTGATCGTCAGGCCGAAGGGATCTGAGGCATGGTAATCTCTTGATGTTTATGATATAATTCTGATATTACTTATCTTAAAGGAAGATGTTGCTAACATGGCTTTTCTCTCAAGGTGTCATCGAAAAGCGTCGACAAGCAGGTTGTACAAGATACCGTAATCACCTTTGTCGTTCGCTTCAGGATCGATGGTCTATGGAAGACTATGTTGATCTGGTTCAAGGAACGACCGCCTGACTATTTCAACAGGACATGGTGTCAAGGATTGCGAGAGGTAAGTCTCGCGTTCCCATTGGCAGTGAGTGGTCTTTTCCGAGTAAGTGAGGCTATTCTAGATTATATATTGCGTGCAAATCTGACCACTGGCTTTCTAGTAGTGAAATTCTATTCTCAGGACAGTCGATTTTCTAACTTCAGGTTGATATGGTCTCAAAAGAACAGTGTTCAGGACCCATGCTCCTAGAGGGACAGGGCGGCAAGAGTTGATGATACCCACGAGCTAACTCCAAGGCCAGTCTCTCTTTCGCAGACATGCCCAATGCTGGTGAGTTGCCATCAAAGTTGCGGTAACGCGAGTTATTCGGACTAGTCAAATGTATGAGTTGCACTAACCAGCGTCGCAATTTCGAGATGCCTGGATGTGAACAGCGCAAGTATGTCGGGGTAGGTATCTTTAAGTTATTTAATAGCGCAGAGCTAGTGGGGTCTGCAGCTATCTGATGGCTTGAGGCCAATGATATCGCGGCACCTAAGATATTCTACCGCTAGCCACTGGGAAACCCTGCTAGCCGAGATAAACGATGCAGTCAGCCGACCACGAGGATGATTGTGATACGGTAAGACCGAGATATCGGGCTTTGACTGTCCTAGGTAATGATGATAAGTTGAAAAGTCAGAAAGCTGTTGATCCGACCCGTAGGGCTAGAATATCTTGGCCCCTTGGGACACGAGATATTCCGACACGGGATACGGAGTACCGATTCGGATCCGCACTCGGAGCACAGACCGCGGTTGCCATTTGGCTGCCTGAAGAAGCAATAAGGATGTTCAAGGCAGCTTCCCTGATCGGAGCCTAGCGCGTGTGCCCGACGTTGGAAATATCACAACCTTGAAAACTCCCCGGATGGCGGGCACGATCGGAGCCTATCATGGTCTGATGTGAGATGGAGCCGGGGTCGTTGCGTGTCTAACTCGTATTCCATCGCACGAGTGTGAAGGATCAAATATCGGTCAGTGCAATCGATCTCAGAGGTCAGAACAGTTACTTCCTGCTGCAGATTCGTCATATCACTTGCGCGAGCGATGCCTTCTGAAATGGCGCGGATACATGGGTGCAACGTATGACATTCATACTACGATCACCTGCTCTTCATCGGCTTCTGTTGCCCTTTGATGTTGGAGATTAGTAATCTCTCCGGGGATGACTCGTGTTATCTGAGACAATATTCATCAGCCTCTCAAAGAGTCAAAAGCACAGCGAAAACCTTAAGGCTGGTGGGTCGACGGGATGGCCGACGGACCACGGCTTCTGCATCAGTGCATCTGCCAGCTTGATCGATAATTAATCCATGATTGAAGTAATGCAGAATTAGCACTGGTCATGATATTCACTCTTGCGAAAGTGTCATTGAAGTATCCTCAATTTGAGTTGGCGATAATATTCCCCGCAGAATGGGGACTGCAGGTCTGAAACAATTGCGACTAATGCCAGTAGTCAAGGCAAGGTTGCTACGGAGTACCTAGGTAGATATGAATCCAGTCTCAGGGAACATCAGCGACTAACTCACGGCCAAGTGTGATTCACCAGATTAGCTGGCGCTTAGCCTGTCACAAACAAACAACCAGATGATCCACGAATGATCCTTGGATCAGACAACGTCGGATATGTCGCCCCAATGAGCGTACCGCATGATGATAGCTGCTCCGATTCTGACGAATCCACGGACAGTGCTACTAGCAGCGGATCCCATTATCTTAAAGTGTTCACTCCTCTGTGCAAGCCACAGCTGCACAGGCGTCAGTCAGACTGGGTTATGATCGCGCTGGCGTTATGCCGTCGGAACCCCTCCGCCTGCCCGCCCTTCTGGAACGGGCAGAAATCTTCACCCTAGGCCTGATCGGGCTAGCTGACCGTGGATCACCTGCCGTCGCGAAGACGCTAACCACAACCAGCTCGGTATGCGACAATGCTGAATGCAGATTGTTGTGAAGACTGAAGACAACAGCGGCTTCTTGTCAGATCGGCGTTCTGCAGCTCGAATCGCCCTGGTCCAAAATGGCCCTACTTCTTCTCGAGTCTTGCCGGAGCCATACCTTTCCTCCGGCGATGAACGACCTCGTAGCTATCCACAGTCCCTGAGACCAAGTACAATAGTCGCGGCTTGGCTCGTCAAACCTCTGGTCCGTCGCGGGGTCTAGAAGGCGCCGTCCAGATAGGCCTTCTATCTGAACCTCGGTAACTCTCATCGACAGATAGCTCGACCGCTCGCGATAGTTCCTACCCAACGGAGATGCCCCACCGCCAAACCTGGACTAATCAGGAACGAAATTGTGGAAGAAATTGTCCTGGATGACTCCATCCTGCCACGAGGCGCGCGGATTCGCCCATGGATCCTGAGCCTCCAGGACTGGTTCGGTCCACCTCAGCCGAGCCAGATCAATCTCGAGGCCCTCAACATTGCCTCCACTCCAGCTAATGCGTTGCATAAGTCTGGCGTAATGCGCAGGCATCGGCCGCGGCCCCCCTTTTCGACTCGGGTGGGCGGTGCTCCCTTGGGTCGGGGGGCGTTTTGCGCAGCTCCCCTCCGTTCCTCTGACTGAAACCGGTGTTGATCCCGAGGCTAAATCCAAACGATTAGTCGTAGTGACGCCGCTTGGCACTCGATGGAGAGAAAGGAACAGAAATTTCGTGGGCCCGTTCGATCTGTATATATAACCGGGGGGTCCATCCTTGATCATCCCTACGGAGTAGACTTTCGTAACCTTGTTTTAGGGTTGTGATCAGCTTTGTTGATCTTTTTTGACGTCTCTCGCCTTTGGAGACCATCTCATACCCTTATATACCCTCATATCCAGATCAGGATCTTACCCAATCCAGCCTCCCCTTGGACGTCCGATCCCCACCCACTCTCGACACTCGACCTCGGCTCGACCGATCCACAAATAACGCAAACATTTCGCCGTCACTCGTTCTAGTCCCTCCGCATATCGCGAACAAACTACACTCCTCCCCCATGGCGAGCGACAAGGGTGTGCCCTCGACGATCGAGGCGCCTGCAAGTCGCAAGATCCCATTCTGGCGCCTAATCACCGACCAGGGCGTTGTCACCCAAGAGATTATCGACCACCCCTACCCCGGCTCGGGCACGGAAGAGGATCCCTATGTTGTGACATGGCTTCCCGAGGACCCCCGTAATCCAATGCAATTCAGTGCGGCGAAGAAATGGTCGTTTACCATGGTCATGGCCATCGCAACCCTGGCCGTTGCCCTGGTCTCTTCCGGATACACTGGCGGTGTTCTTGAGATTGAAGAACAGTTCGAGATTGGCACTGAAGTCGCAACTCTCGGTGTCTCCCTCTTCGTCCTTGGTTTCGCAGTTGGTATGTCTTTCCCCTCGTGGTGGCTTTGGACCCCAAGCATATGGCTAACAATCACAGGTCCCTTGCTCTGGGCTCCTTTCAGTGAAATGTTTGGCCGACAGATCATCTTCTGCATCACTTACCTGGCTCTCACGGCTTTCAGCGCAGGTAGTGCCGGTTCGCAAAACACCGCGACCCTCATCATCCTTCGATTTTTTGCTGGCTCCTTTGGGTCCTCTCCCATGACCAATGCAGGTGGTGTCATTGCCGATATGTTTGCTGCCAAGCAACGTGGTATCGCCACGAGTCTGTTCGCTGCTGCCCCATTCCTTGGTAGGTTTCGATTCCCTCACTGTAGCCCCATCGCCTGCAGCTAACAGTTGCAACGCAGGTCCCGTCTTGGGTCCGATCATTGGCGGCTTCCTGGGTATGAACGCTGGATGGAGATGGGTGATGGGTTTCCTGGGTGCCTTTTCCGGAGTCGTCTGGATCATCGGCTCGCTCACCGTCCCCGAGACATATGCGCCTGTCCTTCTTCGTCGCCGTGCCGAGAGATTGAGCAAGCTCTCTGGTAAGGTGTACCAGAGCAAGCTTGACATCGACCAAGGCAAGACGACCCTCAAGCAAGCCTTCAAAGTTGCACTGTCGCGCCCGTGGCTCTTGTTGTTCAAGGAGCCGATTGTGTTCCTTTTGTCCCTGTACATGGCCATCGTCTACGGCACCCTGTACATGTTGTTCGACGCCTACCCGATTGTCTTTGAGGAGTACCGTGGGTGGAACCAGGGTGTTGGCAGTCTTCCCTTCTTGGGTATCATGGTTGGCATGATGGCTGCTGTCGCCTACAACATCTTCGACAACAAGCGCTATATCAGGACTCAGGAGAAACACGGTGGGTTCGCTCCCCCGGAGGCCCGTCTGCCCCCATGCATGGTGGCGTCCTTTGCTGTTCCGATCGGTCTCTTCTGGTTCGCATGGACCGACGCTCCTTCGATCCACTGGATGGCCAGTGTCGCCGCCGGTGCTCCCTTCGGCTTCGGTCTGGTCCTGGTGTTCCTAAGCAATCTGTCTTACCTGATCGACACTTACACCATCTTTGCCGCGTCCGTCCTGGCGGCCAACTCGGTGATGCGGTCCGTCTTCGGTGCCGTGTTCCCTCTGTTCACCACCTACATGTATGAGAACCTGGGTATCCACTGGGCCACCTGCATTCCGGCATTCTTGGCCCTCGCCTGTGTCCCGTTCCCCTTCCTGTTCTATAAGTACGGCGCTGCGATCCGCACTCGTTGCAAGTACGCCGCCGAGTCCGACGCCTTCATGCGCAACATGCTTGCGCAGTTCGCGAAGCAGCCCGAGCCCCAGGAGGAAGTCCAGGCAGATGAGAAGTTCGACCGTACTGAGGCCCCAGCCGCTGAGGTCGACGCTGGCGACTCCGACTCGAGCACTGAACAGTTGCCCGCGGTGCACCGGATCAACACCAAGGCCTCGACTCGTTCGGCAAAGCAGTCCCTGTACGAGGGAAGCCCGTATGACATCGACCGGGTGAACACCCGCGAATCCTTCAAGCAATAAGTCACGTTCTCCCCGGAGACGGACTCGACTTAGTCCACGAAAGGAGACATCTTGTGATACCTCTACTACCGACCCTGTGAATAATCTTAGTACTTATTACTCCACTTCCCCCCCACTCCGACTCCTCGTTATAGACACGATCCGTGTCAACGCGAGATGTGAATGATGGCAAGAAAGCAAAAAACCGATGTGATTGTTAGACGACTTGCATGGTGATATACCCTTTGATTCCTTTTTTCTCTCTTTTACCTTTAGCTTGCATTTGCATGATAGATGGCGGTGTTTTGTTTTATACATCTCGAACGATAGACCCTCACCAAGTGAGCATAACAACATAACAACATAATGAATTAATCCTTTGCAATGTGTCTGTGCCTGTGTCTGATGTTTCTGTCGTAATCTGTAAGGCTGCCGGATAAATCGGGGCAGTGATCCGCCAGTCATCATCTCCGACCGATCGGAGATAGGGACCGACCTCGGCTACCGCGGGCTTATGCGGTGCCGATGCTGATAAACTTCGGAACTTTTTTTACGAGCCAGGAGGGAGGCATGGCCTTGGGTTGTCGCTCTGCTTTCTCGCCTGAAATTAGTTTTGGATACGTTCATTCTATCTATCGTGCTTTTTGTTGGCTGGGTACCTAAACAGCAACCGGCTCAGGAAGACGTGGCTGCTGCGTCCCTAGTTAGCCATCCACCCATCCATCACTTGGTTGCGCCCGTTGATTCCGCCATCGATATCCCGTCGTCAGCAGGACTAATTACCAACCAACTATCTAACTAACCCCCGAAACTTTTCTTTTCGACGGTTTCTCCTTCTACCTTCTCTGCGCCAAATATATCGTCTGTGGACAGACATTTCTTCCTACGAGGTCTATACCTAGTCAGGTCGCAAATTCACCATGAATACGCACACTCTCCTTGTCCGACGAATACCGTTGCGGTCGTCGCCGCGAACAATACGCTCCCGAAGACACCTTACATCGTCAACACCCAAATCCGAACCCGTTCCTGAGAAACACAACCCACAGCCGGCTGCCACGGTGCCGGGACCGGTCGCTGTATCGGGACCAGGATCGGTATCGGGATCGCGGACACTCATTCAGAGAATCCAGGCCGGTCCGGTGGGAAGAGTGGCGGGGGCATATTCGCGCGTGCAGGACAGGCGACCATATACCACGCAAGTGGTCAGCACGATCATTGTGTATCTCTGTGGTGATTTAGGGGCGCAGTTGTTGTTTCCGCCGGATAATATCCCTTCGTCGTCGGAGGGACAGGGCGATGAAGGGGAGAAGCAGACGGTTGGAGGAGGAGGGTATGATCCGTGGAGGACGCTGCGACATCTGACGGTGGGAGTTGGGAGTGCGATTCCGACGTATAAATGGTATGTTCTTGTCGCGGTGTTGTGTTGAGAATGTGTGAGTGTGGATGTGGATGTGGTTGGCTGACATCTGGAAATCAAGGTTCATGTTCCTGCACCACAACTTCAACTACTCCTCCAAACTTCTTTCCATCCTGACCAAGGTCTGCGTGCAGCAGGCGGTCTTCACCCCAGTTTTCAATACCTATTTCTTCGGTCTGCAGTCGTTGATGACGGGCAAGTCGCTCGAGGAGACCTTCGAGCGGTTGAAGGTCGCGTTGCCGACTAGTATCTCGAATAGTGTTAAGCTGTGGCCTGCGGTTACGGCCTTCAGCTTCATGTATGTCGCGCCGCAGTTCCGGAGCATCTTCTCGGGAGTCATTGCCGTTGGGTGGCAGACGTATCTGAGTTGGTTGAATCAGAAGGCGGCGCGTGAGGTTGAGGCGGAGAAGTTGGCGTCGGTGGAGGTGGGTGTGGGTGCGGTGGCTATGAATGCATAGAGGGATTCGTCTGACGCTCTTTCGTTTCTTTCTTCTTTCGTTTGTTGGATGTGATATCCCCGAGACATGTGGTGGAGTGAAATGGTTTGATATAGACTTGCTGGGTCATAGATTAGCACTGGTTAGAACGCGCAGAACATAGACTTGATTAGACATTGTTGGCATAGATACCCAACTTGGGGAGATGTCTGCATAACAAGCAATATTAAGAAGAAGAGAATAAAGAAAGAGCTGGAGTCTGCGATGGGCTGATGGACGATGACGTGGGGATCCGAGCGTCCGACCCAAACTTTGAGCGTTGCGCGACTGGCCCTTCGTTTCTCCCTTCAATGAACCAGCACGCACGACATGATTCCCTCGCTCGCATTGCAGGCATGTCCTGCCCTTCTCCAGCAACCCCTATAATTCCTGGAGGATTCAACGACAGCGACAGCAGCACCGACTACGGATCCGACTTCTCCCCGGAAGAAGAGGCGCTGCTGGACGACCTACTCGCCAAGGTCGCCCCGGATTCTCACGCCACCTCCACTCCTGCAGTAACAGCAACAGCAACCCCAGCAGCAATCGCTCAAACATCTCCGCCTCCCATCGCGCCCGTAATTCAAGACATTGAAGACCAGTATGCGGATTCCTCGAGTAGCCGGGTGCCTCGGGTACTGGGGCGAGAGAAGCCTGCATGGCAGATTCAATCGAATCGGCCGGGTGGTGGCGCAAGAGCAGCGCCGATTCCAGGCTACATTCGTACCGCGTCTGGTAGTTCCCCCTTCTTATTTTCGTTCCTCATCTGTGTTTTTACTAGTTGGATTGGACAGGTCCGAGGCTGACACTATACTCGAAGCGTTTAGTTGAGCATCCAGATTCGACTGAAGGGCGCGAAAAAGAACGCGAACGACAGGCGGCTCGTCACGAAGAACGGATAAACGATGTGAATGCTGAGTTGGATACCAGGTCACCGGTGGAACGGTTTCGGCGGCCCCCGCATAAGGCTTTTTCGGTCACGGATCTGATTTCGCCGGCGTGGTGTGAGCTTCAGTATTGGTATACGCTGACGAAGTTCGGGAGGAAGCGGAGGACTCCCGCGATGAAGTTGGGCAGTACGATTCACAAGACGCTTGAGGATGAGATTTACACTACTGTTCCGGTGGATATCACGACCAAGGAGGATGCGCTGGCATTGCGCATCTGGAATATCATCCAGGGACTACGCATGTTGAGGGAATATGGGATCACGCGCGAGCTGGAGGTCTGGGGCTTGGTGGATGGGGAGTTGGTCACTGGTGTGATCGATCAGCTTTCCTACGAGTGTCCAGACTCTGAGCTGGAGGCGACGGCGGCTACCTACTATGCCGATATCGAGGCGTCGAGGGCCATTCTGCCCGAGTACCAGATGTCGCTGTCGGATTACCTGCTCTCCGCGACGGGAGGTGGAAGGCTCTTGTCGGACGTGTACGAGCAGGAAAATGCGCCGAAAGAAACAGAGGACCCGGACATGATGGCCAGTAGCCAGGAGTCTAATGTGCCTCACATCCCCCGGATCTACCTCACAGACGTCAAGACGCGCGGCAGTGGCTCTGCCCCAACGGTCAAGAGTACCTCATTCCGACCCACGCTGCTCCAACTCCAACTCTACTACCACATGCTCAACCGCCTCGCCACCAGCGACGACGTGAACATTGAACTCCTCGCCTCGCGGTACAACCTCGACTCCAACAAGCCCTTCACGGACGCCTTCATTGCGGAAGTCGGCGGCCTCAATGACCAATTCTTCGACGCCCTGGTATCGCAAGAATTTGACCCCGACTACATCCCCACTCCACAAGACGCCATCGAGCGCCGTCAATCCCCACACTCCTCCCAGTCTTCATCTGCATCTCCACCCCCTTCTTCAACCAGCCAAGACTCCACCAGCATCCTCCTCACCCACAACACGCTCACCTCCCTCTGGAGCCTAATGAAGGAGCAACTCCGTCTCACCTTTCTCCCACCCTCCGACTCCCTCTCCGTGGCGCCCTCCATCCCTTCTGAATTCCAGCCCCGCATGCTAGAACAATACCCGACGATCCTCTCCCCGCTTCTCACAGCCCGATATATTTCCTCCAAGCCGACAGCGGAACTCCAACCCCGCGTCCTGGGCAGTCGGTCATTCCTCTTCGACCCCACCTCCATGACCTCCTACATCACTGACCAGATGCACTGGTGGCGTGGCGAGCGCGATCCCCGCGGCGTGGAAGTCATGGAGGCGTGGAAGTGTCGCATCTGCGAGTTCAAGGAAGAATGTTCGTGGCGACAGGAGCGGGAGTGGACGTATGCAAGACGCAGCAGGGGGCGAAAAGCAGAGGAATACGATGTTAATGTTTGATTTATTGTACTAGATTACGGTTGGGTGGGTGTATCTATACATTTACACGGTTGGTGCAGGTTGGTTGATTATGTGTTGGCGTTATGGATACGACAGGTAGGTAGATCGTGGCGTGGTGTTTAGTACCATGCATGTATGCTAGTTCTATGCGTGGTGGATGCCACCACACTATATACACTCTACAAGCAACAGAAACCATTTCTGCATCGCTCAGATAAAGTCATATACCACATAAACCCATATGCCACAAGCCAAAAAATCCCTAATATCAAAACGGATACTTCCTCACCTCCTCGCCCTCCACATCCAACCCCCTCATCACCTGCTCCTCATGCTTCCGATCCAAAAACTCCAACAACACCTCCTCATACTTCTCCTTCCCCTTATACCTACTCACATCATCCCCCCAACTCCTCACCGCCGAAGCCAACCGTCCCGGAACATAATCCTCGTCCGCAATCGCCGTGACGGGTTCAAAATACGTCCGAATGGTAAACACCACGGCCCCTGTTTTCGGCAACCTCCTTAACGACTGTCTCTCCGATCTGAAATAATGATGATTAATCGCCTTGTTCTTCTCCGCCGTACTCCACGACACATCCTCCGAGTCCTCGGACCCAATACTATGCGACCAGGCGAGATTATCATCCACTTGAATGAAATAGTTATTCCGGAGGACAGGGTCTTCGGGTTTTAACCGACGGAAGAAATTCATCATTCCCTTTTCGAGCTTTTCTTTGTATTGGGGCACGGAGCCGGAGGTGTGGATTTCGGAGAGCCGCATTTGGTATTTGTCTTCAAGGCGCCAGAAGCCGGCGAGGAGGACGGCGCCCGCGAGAAGGTAGTATTCGCCGTCGGGCTTTTCGAGCATGATGGCTAGGTCGTCTTGGACTAGGCGGGCGCAGATCGTCATGGGGTCTTCGGGGAGGGGGCGTTGGGTGATGTTGAAGGTTTCGTGGGTGATGAGGTTGGTTATTCCCGTGGGGGTTTTGAGGAACATGCTGGGGTAGCGTTCGGGGAGGTAGGTGGTGCTGGGTTGGTTGGGGTTAGTGGTGAGGGGAGGGAGAGGGGGAGGAGGAGGAGGAGGAGGAGGAGGAGGGGCTTACAGCTCTTCCAGGAGCTCGATGGCGGCGTCCATGGCTTCGGGGGCTGTCCTGCAGCATTTGTCGCCTCGTTCTTGGATGCGACGGGCCTTGTCGGCGTGGTAGCGGAGGTAGTGGTTGTCGAGTTCTGGATGGGGCTGTCAGTGTTGTGGTGTGACGGTGGTGAGTGAAAAGGAACCTACCGATCCATTCGTCCCATTTCATACTTCGCAGGCCCATTGTGACGAAATACTTTCTGCTGGTTGTGAGATTGGTGGGTGTAGAAGCGGGTTGAGATCACTCACGGCCCGTATCTAAACGGTCGATAGGGGATGGGTTTCGTCGTGTGGACGTCCCAGTTGGGATAGGGCGACGCTGGAGGTCGCTTGAAGTCTGATGGGATCCATTCTACAAGATGGGGGAATGGTTAGTTGTGTCTAGGACTGGGGTGTGATACGTGGCTCACCTCCCGGTTTCCTGGTTGCCGACTTCTTCTCCAGATCTGGGGTTGATTGTCTGGAGACACCTGGCTTGGATGTCGTCCACCATTGGAAAACGCGAGTGATGATCCAGACGCCCAAGCTGGTTATCGCGCCGATAAGGGCGAGGTTGTAGAAGTGGGACTGGCCGCCATGGAAGGGTTCAAGAAGCATGATGCCGGGATGGGAATTCTAGGGAGCAGAAAAGAAGGCCGTACCATCATGGCGGAGATGGAGTAGGGACCAGAGCTTGGAGATATATACGAAGTAGACTATGGAAGACCACAACAAGCTATGCAGATGATGCACGGCGCCAGGAAGTTGCCCGAAGGGTTAATCGGATGCGAGAGCCGATGGATGATAAGCAAGAAGATCAACTTATCGCCCGGGGATATCTTTCCCCAATCAGGCAAGGCCACCACACCGCCAGCCAAGACGACTTTCAATTCGATCACAGGTGGGCTGCAGCCACGCATCCGCAATACAAACCAGGGCAACCGGGGGAGAAATCTATTTACAGTAGCCTCACCCACGCTCCACCCCCCATCTTCCTCAGCGTCTCCGGAGGAGACAGTACTCGCCCCATTTCCGCCGGAGAGGCTCTGGGACCATCGGCAAATCCGGTGTCCAAATCAATCGCCCCAGAAGACCCGTCTGCCACGCATCCAAGAAGCTATGGCATGCCAGCTTCTCCCACTGCGCGTCTTTGTGGAGGTAAGCCGGCTCCAGTTCGGTTGCCTCCCGGCTCGGGAATTCCGAGTCCACCAGGAAGGAGCATTGCGAGATGTCGACCTGCCTCGAAGATAAGCATGTGAGAGAGATAGGGAGAGAAGAGAGCTTACGTATTTGCCGGGATCTTCCTCATTGCGATCGTTCATACCCGTTGGGATCTGCGAGGTTCCCTCAAAGAGAGCCGAGAAGCCGGCGGCCTCGGGAAACTCGCCCGGAAGCAGTCCTTGGAATTCACTGCGGACGAACTTGGCCCGCATGTCGTTGGGAAGGAAGAACGAGGACGGGAACCGATACCATTCCTTGCCAAAACACACCGAATCGCCTGGCTGAGCAACCCCTGGCTGCTCCAGCGGCGCGAATACCTTCAGCGGAGCATTGTATGCGCTGATCATGCCGGCAATTCGCAGTAGGCCAGCATTGAGGGCCACAAGAACCACCGACATCACCACTGCAAGTTTGATCTTTGGGGACACGCGTCCGACCAGATCCTGCGGGTTGCTGGAGCCGATGAACGACAGAACCATATGGAAGGAGATGGCCGCATTGAGGGCAAGGAACGGATATGCTGGGTACATGAACCGTTCCTCCTTATGGGGCTGAGCGGTAAAAATGGCAAACCACATGTAGAACGGAGTGATGAGAGTCACAGTTCTCAACAAGGTCTGCACGCTGGTCGCACGGGGCCGGAAAAGAGCCTGGAGAGCCAACAGAGGCGCAGCGGCCATGGCGAAAGCAAACCAAATGTTGAAGTTGAGCACCAGGTTCCGAATATAGAATGTCCATGGCTCAGTTCCGAAGATTTCGGGACCTCTGCCCTCCCCGCCAAAGATGTTGTACGCAACGATGTTCCACGGTACAACAACAAGTCTGCGCAGGAAAGCGTAATCAACAGCTACCTCCATAGCCTGAATAGATTAGCATAAAGCAGATGCTTGAAACATTGGAGAAAGCATACCAGGATCACGAGGCACCTAATAGCACCATTCAGGACGCCAAGGAATACTCCTCGGACGTTGGACGAAAAGAAGCCAATGAGCACCTCCTCAAGTAGAAGAGGAATCACCAGAGCTCCAGCAAATGGCCAACCGACAATCGCACCGAGCCCGAACCACATGATCCCTTGCGCTGTTTTCTGCCCCCCTCGCCAGTCCAGAAACGCTGTCAAACCCAACATAGACATGTACATGGTGAAGCTGGACGGAAGAAAAGCTGTCGATGCATGGAACATGCCGGGACTGAATGCAACGATCATGAGGAAGAGGAGGCCGATACGGGGGCTTAGGGTACGACAGATGGCCGAGTATAGTCGGGTTTCGCAAGCCGCACATACCATCGCGAGGAAGAGTCGGATCACGTAGAATTCGGAAGACTTGCTGCTAAGAGCGAAAGATCCAATTTTACCGATCATCGCATGCGTAGAGACATACAGCCAGCTTCGAATGGAGTAGACCGGGGAGTACTCCCAGGTTTGGAGCCCGTATCCATGACCGAGATAATGAGTCGGCTCCCAGAAGTTGAAGACTTCATCGCAATCCTGAATTGGAGCATATAGCGCTGCAATGCCATTGGTAATGACACAGAGATAGAGCGTTATGTTGAGTGGCAAGTAGAAGGGTGATGGCGGCGGCCTTGAGTAGCATGACCATAAGTAGCTGTGAATGGAAGATGCCAGCTGGTGAATTCATACCGTTGTTTGGTGTGTGGAGTAGGCGCTGGCCCCTGGGATCCAGCAGAGGCCTCACCTTTCCTCCGGGCAGGTGCCATATCGGTCACTGGGAGTGATTACTGAAAGAATCCTGTTTTTCTCCCACTTTGCTGATGGCGTGGGATGCGCAGTTCGGAAAGAGACTCGCGACGGCGGCCGACCAAGCGGAAGGAAGCGAGCAGCGCGGCTTATCGATAAGGCGGCGCCACGGCAACCCGCCGCTGGCAAAAAAAAGTTCCCGGCGCAGATTCAGTCCTCGCCCAGTCCACCTTTTCGCTTGCCCTGGGGAGACCGTTTGTCGTGAGACCTTGGAGCTTTCAAGATGAGTGATAATCAACCACCTGCTCAAACGCTGGGCTCCTCAGAAGTTCCCATTGAAGGCCCCCCGGTTAAAAGACCCTGCACAATCGATACGCCACCTATTTCCTTGACGCCAGCAGACGATGGAAGCGATTTCTACAACACCCCTTTGGCTGCAGGAACGCCAGCAGACATTGGTGCTGCCAAGGACCAGGTCGATGCTGCTCAAAATCAGGCTAACGAGTCGGATGTTCCTTCAAATGCCCACCCACTGATTCCAGGATTGAACCTGGTCAATGACAGTATCAAAGATCTGCAGTCAGAGGAGATTGAATCACAGAGCACCACAACCTTGGCCGGTGAGCACGAGGGTACTGCTTCTGCCAGCCAGCCAGCAACCGCGCTGGGTGAGGCTGAGAAGATGGAGGGGATCAAGGGGGAGCCTGCTGTGGGAGGCATAGACGCCATGGAGGTGGATGCCAACGAGAAACAGGAGACCCAACAGTCAGAAGGAAATGCGACCGGCATCGAAAGTACAAGCGCACCCGGGGAAGCATCTGCCATGAATGGCGCAGAAGACGCCCAGGACGAACAGGACGATGAGCACCCTGAGTGGGAAATCGATTCCTCCCCCTACGAATCCTCTTCCGATGACTCTTCCACCGATTCCTCTGACGACAGCGACGATGACGACGAAGACTACCCCATTTTGAGCCCCGAAGAACAAGCGCGGATCTTGATGCAGGCAGAACTTGGTTCCGACGACGAAGGAGACGGAAAGGGTAAATCAGGTGGCCATCTCAGAACCGCAAACGAAATTGATGAAGAAGCGCCCCCGATCCCAGAAATTACCATCACACCCGAGATGAAGGTTGTGCTTCTGGGTCATGTGGAGGCAATCGTTGAGAACACCCTCCTTATCTCAGCCAACACGACCGGTGAATATCAGGTTCTTGAAGCGGGCTCGCTCCTTTGCCTGGAGAACCGGAATGTCGCCGGTGTGGTTTCCGAGACGCTTGGAAGGGTTGAGAACCCGCTGTATGCCGTGCGGTACCCGACCGCTGCCACCATCACTGAGCGTGGCCTGTCCAAGGGCACCAACGTGTTCTATGTTGTAGAATACTCTACATTCGTCTTTACCCAACCTCTCAAGGGCCTGAAGGGAAGTGATGCATCGAACTTCCATGATGAGGAAATCGCCGAGGACGAGGTTGAATTCTCCGATGACGAGGCGGAAGCAGAGTACAAGCGCAAGCTGAAGCAGAAGCGCCAGGAGAAGAAGGACGCCAGGAACGAGAATGGTCCAGCCAGAGGCAGGAGAGGTCCACCGGGTCCCTCCAAGCTCAACCAGAGCGAGCTCAACTACGATGATAATGCGGCTGACGATGGATACACACCGCTGGCTCGCCCAAAGAACCTGCACGAGATGATGCGCCAACAGGAGGCTCCCGTTGAAGCCGATGGCCACTCCGGCCCTAGCAGAAACAACTCCGGCTTCCGCGGTGGCAGAGGACGTGGCCGAGGAGGTGACCGCGGTAGGGGAGGCCGGGGAGGCCGTGGAGGAGGCCCAGGATCAAGGGACTCCCACGAATCCACTTCTCATCAGGACCGCCAAACATACTACCAGCACCAGCACCAGCACCAGCAGCACCAGGCGCAGAGCTCTCAACCTCAACAACACCACCCTTACCCCCAGCAAGCGTATCCTGCGGCCCCGCAAGGCGCTTACGCTCTTCCTCAACAATTTACCTCCTTCGCACCCTTCCAGCCTCAGCAATCTCAGCCTTACGGACAAGGTGCAGTGCCAACGCCGTTCAACTTCCAAATGCCCTTCCAACAGGCCTACCAACAACCAAACCCATACCAGCAGCTTCCTGCTAATGTGCACATAAACCCCTTGTTCTTGGCTGCCCTTCAGCAGCAGCAGCAGCAGCAACAACAGCCACAGCAAGCACCGGGGCAACAACCGCAACAGCCCACCATGAATTTCGACCAGGTGAAGGCGCAGTTGGATCTTTTGCGGCAATTAAGCAACAACAACCAGGGGCCGCCTCGTACGTGATGATATGATGAAATCCGTTGGATTTAATTGCCGCCGTTGTTGTCTGTTGTTATTATATTCTTCCCCTTTTTTTGCTCGCGTAGTTATGGGTTCGGTTGCATATTAGGAGCTGGGCATCGCTTTCGGATGGGTAATAAAAAGTTACGCTACTGCTTCCTTTAGACGTTCATAAGTTTGGCACATGTATGGTGTAAAGACTTACTACCGGGTTACCATGAAGGAGACTTAGGGTGTATGATACAGATAATTGGAATTAAAGAAGCGTGATAATGCCATGGGTCTTGGTATAGTATTGCAAGTGGACGGGAATTCACGACTCGCTCTGTTTTGCGCTCTTGGCCAGAACCCAGAAGTTCTCCAGCTTCGCGCGAGCCAAGACATCCTTGGCTTGAGAATCCGTTTCACAGATTCGCGCGCCTAGCCACTTGCGGAATGCCCGGCCCTTGACCTGACCTTCCCAGACGAGGTCACATGTGTTGGAGCTAAGATCTTTCAGATCCCCGGTTTGCTCATCTTCAGCAGCTAGCCACGAGGCTTGGGCTTCCCGGTTGCCCTCACGCACAGCGCCTGGGCCTGCGTTCTCGGTCCAATCAATCCGGTTCATCATGAGCTTCCTGTAATTGTTGATTGAATGAGAGCCTCCTTCCACAATCACAAGATTGAACCGAGGGTGCATAACACACACCCCAGTGAGAGCGTTCTGCTCGGCGTTCTTACTGATTTTGAAGCGGTTCCGTCCGTTGGCGAGGCTATCGATCCGATAAACAGTCATGAAGATACCTTTCTCAGCATCAGTCTCCTGTTGTCTGGCAAGCTTATCTCGGCGTTCCTCCTTCGTAAGCTTGCGCTCCGCATTGGCAGTCTCGTGCTTCTCACGACGGTCTGCGATTTCCCGGTTCACGCGTGCTTCCACGGCTGTGGGATCTTTAACGGCTTGCTCGCCCAAAACCCGCATCAGGTTAGACTTCTTGACCTTTGGCGGAGGAGCTGGCTCGAGACCCAGCCGGATCTTCGCTTGTTGCTCCTTCAGATCTGCCATTCGGCGCTGGCGACGGATCTTGGCCTGTTCCTTCGGTGTAAGATACATGGGCTTCTGTGCCGGTAAAAGCTTTTCTTGCGGAGGATCTAGGAGAACCGGATGTTGGACGTAAACCGTGATAATCGAATCGGGGGTATCAATCTTGAGATTCTGGTCATTTTCGATGGCCGAATAGTCTTCGCCATCCACCAGACCTTCATCCCACCATTCCATCGCTGGGGGGGCTGGCACGAGGAAAGCCTTTTCCACGTCCAAGTCTTCATCAATACCCGCCTGTCGTGCTCTCTCTGCGATCCGCTTCTTCATAGCCTCCAATTGGGCCTGCCGACGGAGAGCAGCCGCCTGCTGTATGTACTTGCCCTTTTGGTTGAAGATGAGCTGTCGCGTCTGTCGTGGCTTTGCAACTGTTGCCTTCGGGCCAAGGTTCGGGTCGAAGTATGGGTTGCTCTTGATATCTTCCAGAGACGGTCCAGATAAATCAAGTCCGGCTCGATCTGGCCTCCCTGCGGTAGCTGGGGATTCAGTCCGTCGATTTTTCGATAGTGAAGTCTGTCGTCCTTTTCCGCCGCGGTACTCAAGCGTATCGGCCAGCAAAGCGGGATGAAGTCCAACATCCAGGCCACCTCGAGCTCGCGACGAGCCATCATCTTCATCTTCGAACGGAGGAGGTGGAGGGGCTGGCGTGGGGACAATTTGTTGCTGAGCTGCAGCGTTGGCGCGTCCGGTAGCAGCTGCGACTCTAGCCTTCATCTGTTCCAATCTCGACATGGCAGAGCTAGCTGCAGGAGGCGTCGGACTGGCACTCGAGGCAGCTGGTGTAGGTGATGGCGATATGCCTTTGGCGGCTTGCAGTCTAGCACGCACAGCTTCTGCTTTTGCTCTTGCTTCGGCCACCATCTTCTCGATGTCAACTTTGCCCGAGGCGGGCGCCCCTTGGGCGGGCATTGGGGATCCATGATTGGAACGAGGTCTTTTCTGTGAGTTCTTGTCTTCGTCCTCGGGGTGAGGCCGCTTCAGCATGTTGCCTGATACGTCCGCCATGATTTGAGAGACAAAGAATGCTCCACTCACCCACAAAGATCAGCAGAGAGGCTGACGGTTGGTGATGACGGGAGACGATGGAAGATGACGGGGGAGAAGGCCAGCCAGGCAAGGATACAAGACGTCAACTATGCAGAGGAAGTTGCAAGTGCGACCGGCGCGGCAATAATCACGGGGATTGAGCCAGAGCCAACGTGGGTCCCCCGGCGGTGTCGCATGGCAGAAAAAAAGTTGGGTGAAACTTTTCGCATCGTCGAGACGGACGATCCCGCCTCTTCTGCTTCCCAGGCCACCAGCCCCAGACGAACACCCAGGATTTGCACCGCCAGCGTCGTCCGTCGCTCAAGCGGCTGCCAGGGGAATCATGACCACTTTCGCACGGCCCGTGGCCTCCTCCATCGCGGGGATTGACTTTGGTGTTTACAATGATGAAGACATCAAAGCTATCTCTGTAAAGCGAATCCATAATACGCCGACATTGGATTCCTTCAACAACCCGGTCCCCGGTGGTCTCTATGACCCGGCTATGGGTGCATGGGGTGACCATGTGTAAGTCTTTCCTCTTCTTTGCTTCGGATTTCCCCAATACCCCCGATTGGCGTACTATGCGGATGCGAACCGAACTGACACTAGCTAGCTGCACGACATGTCGTCAGACCTCCTGGTCTTGTACCGGTCACCCCGGACATATCGAACTTCCCGTCCATGTGTACAATGTCACGCATTTCGACCAGCTGTATCGTCTACTCAAGGGCCAGTGTGTCTACTGCCATCGCTTCCAGATGACCCGGTTCAACATCAACACCTACACCTGCAAATTGCGACTGCTACAGTATGGCTTGGTTGATGAGGTGGCTGTTATCGATTCCATGGCACATAAGAAAGTCGAGAAGAAGAAGTCAGCCAAGGACGGTGAGGGATCCAGCAGCGAGGATGAAGACGACGACGATATCATCGAGCGCAGAAACACCTATGTCAAGAAGTGTATCCGTCAAGCGCAGGCAGATGGAAGGCTGAAGGGCCTCATGGCTGGTGCGAAGAACCCGCTGGCTGCGGAGCAGCGACGAGTACTTGTTAGAGAGTTCTTCAAGGACATTGGCTCTCCTTCCAAGTGCGCCAGCTGTAGTGGGTACGTTGTGACATTATATATATGTGAATTCTCCCGAGGACTCCCCACTGATACTGGCGCACAGAATTTCCCCGTCATACCGGAAAGATCGGTCTTCAAAAATCTTCCGCAAGGCCCTCACCGAGAAATCCAGACACCTGATGGCGCAAGCTGGATTCCAGATACCAAACTCTTTGGTCCTTCTGCAGCAAGCTAAGAAGCTTACTTCCAAAGAGAAGGAGGCGCTTGCCAACGGGGTGTCTGACAGTCATAGCACCACTTCGGAAATACATGGAGCGGAGGAAGAGGTTGCACGTGGAAATGCTATCGTGGCCCAGGCTGAGAGCAAAAAACAGGCTCCTGGTGAGAGCCAGCAGTTTATGCCCTCTCCCGAGGTTCACGCTACGATGTCACTGCTTTTTGAAAAAGAGGAGGAGATCCTAAGCCTTGTTTATAACTCCCGACCATTGCCGAAGAAGGAGTCGCGGGTTAGCGCGGACATGTTCTTTATCAAGAACATCCTAGTGCCACCGAACAAGTTCCGTCCTGCAGCGCCGCAAGGACCTGGCCAGATCTTGGAAGCTCAGCAGAACCAATCCCTGACGTCGATCTTGAAGAACTGCGACATCATCAACCAGATCAGCAAGGAGAGGCAGAGCGCGGGCGCCGACTCCGCTACGCGGGTGCGGGACTACCGCGATCTTCTTCACTCGATTGTGACCCTCCAGGATACTGTCAACATGCTCATCGACCGTGACCGCGGTAATGCTACGGGACCGGCTGCCGCCGCCGCCCCGATGGGTATCAAACAATATTTAGAAAAGAAGGAGGGTCTGTTCCGGAAGAACATGATGGGAAAGCGTGTCAACTTTGCTGCTCGAAGTGTCATTTCGCCCGACCCCAACATTGAAACCAACGAAATCGGTGTTCCTTTGGTGTTCGCTAAGAAGCTGACCTATCCGGAACCCGTGACAAACCATAACTTCTGGGAGATGAAGCAGGCTGTCATCAATGGCCCGGACAAGTACCCCGGTGCTTCTGCGATTGAGAATGAATTCGGTCAAGTCACCAATCTCAGGTTCAAGAGTCTGGATGAGCGGACAGCGCTGGCCAACCAGCTACTCGCCCCGTCCAATTGGCGCATGAAGGGATCGCGTAACAAGAAGGTCTACCGTCATCTTACTACCGGTGATGTTGTTTTGATGAACCGTCAGCCCACGCTCCACAAGCCTTCTATCATGGGTCACAAGGCTCGCGTTCTCCCCAACGAGAGAACTATTCGCATGCACTACGCTAATTGTAATACCTACAACGCGGATTTCGACGGTGACGAAATGAACATGCACTTCCCTCAGAATGAGCTTGCTCGATCGGAGGCCATGATGCTGGCGGATGCAGACCACCAGTATCTTGTCGCTACATCCGGCAAACCCCTCAGAGGTTTGATTCAGGATCACATTTCGATGGGAACGTGGTTCACCTGCCGAGACAGCTTTTTTGATGAGGATGACTATCATCAGTTACTGTACAACTGCTTAAGACCCGAGAATTCTCACACGATTACGGACCGGATTCAAACGGTGGCCCCTGCGATGATTCGGCCAAAGCGTCTTTGGACCGGTAAGCAGGTTATCACGACCATCCTCAAGAACATCATGCCTTCCGACAGGGCCGGCCTCAACTTGAAGAGCAAATCGTCAACCCCCGGAGACCGATGGGGTGAAGGTAATGAGGAAGGAGAAGTCATTTTCAAGGATGGTGAGATGCTTTGTGGTATCCTGGATAAGAAGCAGATCGGTCCTACCGCTGGTGGTCTGGTCGATGCCATTCACGAAATCTATGGACATACCATTGCCGGAAGGCTGATGAGTATCCTCGGTCGTCTCCTGACAAGAGTCTTGAACATGCGTGCCTTTACTTGCGGTATCGACGATCTTCGGCTGACTGCCGAAGGCGACCGCGTGCGTAAGGAAAAGATCAGCGAAGCGGCCGCCATTGGCCGTGAAGTTGCATTGAAGTATGTCACCCTCGACCAGACTACTGTGCCCGATGAGGATGCCGAGTTGCGACGACGCATGGAGGAAGTCCTCCGAGACGACGAGAAGCAGGGTGGCCTGGATAGTGTTTCCAACGCTCGCACCGCGAAGCTTTCGACGGAGATCACAAAGGCCTGCCTTCCAGGTGGTCTGGTTAAGCCCTTCCCGTGGAACCAGATGCAGTCGATGACAATCTCTGGAGCCAAGGGTTCGAGCGTCAATGCCAACCTGATTTCTTGCAACTTGGGTCAGCAGGTTTTGGAGGGTCGTCGTGTGCCTGTCATGGTCAGCGGCAAGACCCTGCCGTCTTTCAGGGCATTCGACACGAACCCCATGGCTGGTGGCTATGTCTGTGGTCGTTTCTTGACTGGTATCAAGCCCCAAGAATACTATTTCCACGCCATGGCCGGTCGTGAAGGTTTGATTGATACTGCCGTCAAGACCTCTAGATCCGGATACTTGCAGCGTTGTTTGATCAAGGGTATGGAAGGGTTAAGGGCGGAGTACGACAGTTCGGTCCGTGAAGCTACTGATGGTTCAATCGTTCAGTTCTTGTACGGTGAGGATGGTCTGGATATCACTAAGCAGGTCCACCTTAAGGACTTCGATTTCCTGGCCTCGAATTACGTCTCTATCATGGCTCAGGTCAATCTGACCAGCGACTTCCACAACCTGGAGAAGGAGGAGGTGACGAACTGGCATAAGGATGCTATGAAGAAGGTGCGCAAGACAGGAAAGTTCGAGGCCATGGACCCTGTCCTTTCTCACTACCACCCCGGAGGTAACCTGGGCAGTATCTCAGAGAGTTTCTCGCAAGAACTCAAGCAGGTAAGAGTTACTCGGCCCCCAAGAAAAAAAGCCACTGAGGCTAATCATTTTGTTATTAGTACGAGGACGCCAACAAAAGCAAGCTTCTGAAAGACAAGAAGAAGGATGTCAACGGTATCATCAGCAAGAAGGCATTCAACACTCTTATGCACATGAAGTATATGAAGTCTGTCGTCGAACCTGGTGAGGCTATTGGTATCGTCGCTGGCCAATCTATCGGTGAACCATCCACTCAGATGACCCTGAACACCTTCCACTTGGCTGGTCACTCGGCGAAGAACGTGACACTGGGTATTCCCCGTTTGCGAGAAATTGTCATGACTGCCAGTGCGCATATCATGACACCCACGATGACTCTGGTCTTGAATGAAGAGATGTCTAAGGAGCATTCCGAAAAGTTCTCCAAGGCTATCAGCAAGCTTAGCATCGCAGAGGTTGTCGACAAGGTCCAAGTTAGAGAAAGAGTTTCCTCGGGCAGCATGAAGGCTAAGGTCTATGATATTGACATCACCTTCTTCCCAGCCGACGAGTACACTGCGGAATACGCCATCACGACCAAGGATGTGCAGAACACCTTGCAGAACAAGTTCATTCCTAAGCTCGTGAAACTCACCAAGGCGGAACTCAAGAAGCGTCACGAGGAGAAGACCATGAAGAAGTTCTCCACTGCTCAGCCTGAGATTGGTGTCTCTGTTGGCACTGTCCAGGATGCACCTCGCGGCGATGATGCCGAGGAAGACGCTGCTGATGATGACAATGAGGATGACGAGGACGATGCCAAGCGTGCTCGGGGTACTCAGAACCGGTCGAACCAGGTTTCTTACGAAGGCCCCGAGGACGAGGAGATGGAAATGATCCGACAGCAGGATGCCGAGGAAGATGATGATGAGGACGACAATGACACCGGTGAGAAACGCGATGTCGAGATGGACGATGCTTCAGATGACGAGTCCGAGGACGACACGAAAGACACAAAACTGCGTGAGGAAGATATCAAGGGCAAGTACCACGAAGTCACACAGTTCAAGTTCAACCCCCGTGACGGAGGATCCTGCACTGTCCAGCTGCAGTACGACATCTCGACCCCCAAGCTGCTCCTTCTGCCTCTGGTCGAGGATGCTGCTCGCAGCGCTGTCATCCAGTCTATCCCTGGTCTCGGCAACTGCACGTTCGTCGAAGCCGACCCGATCAAGGGCGAACCCGCCCATGTCATCACCGAAGGTGTCAACCTGCTTGCCATGCGTGACTACCAAGACATCATCAAGCCTCACTCCCTCTACACCAACTCCATCCACGACATGCTCACCCTCTACGGTGTCGAAGCTGCACGTGCCTCGATTGTCAAGGAAATGTCGGACGTTTTCCAGGGTCACAGTATCTCCGTTGACAACCGCCACCTGAACCTGATCGGTGACGTGATGACCCAGTCCGGTGGCTTTCGCCCCTTCAACCGTAACGGTCTCGTCAAGGATGGCTCCTCCCCGTTGGCCAAGATGAGTTTCGAAACCACTGTGGGATACCTCAAGGAGGCCGTCGTTGAGAGAGACTTTGATAACCTGAAGAGTCCCAGTGCCAGAATCGTCGTCGGCCGCACCGGCACCGTCGGTACCGGCGCGTTCGATGTCCTTGCTCCGGTGGCGTAAAGTAATTGGCGTGTTGCATTTATCTGTCCTTATTGTATATGTGCAAAATCTTAGTTCCTGTATTTCTATTTCTTTTTTCCTACTGTTCTTGTCTGACGTGTCCAACGATCTCTGCAGTTGTCTTTCAGCGGGAATAAGAAAAAAGTTTTTCTTACGCAGATCGAATCTACCTTTCAAATAGTACGAGCAATCAATAGAACTCTGGGTACTGCAAAAACAGTAAAAGGATATTTCCCTATGCTAGAAGAGGACGCCTTGCTTGTATTGTACATTTTGACCGAATTAAAAACACCAGACGAACCGTGGTATCGTGCATTTTATGCAAGGACTGCCGAGGAAGGGCCAATAGTAAGTGTCGAAAATAAATAGTAAATAGGAGGGAAGGATTCACTGCGCATCCAACATCATCAAATCTTCATCAATGTCGTCATCAAATTCATCTGGGCCAGCACCGTTGCGAACACCGTTGTGAACACCGTTGTATGCACCATTTGCATCGTTAGCAAGGGCTTGGCGCTGGGCTCGTTCCTCCTCAAGCCTCTGTTTCTCGAGATGTCTCTCCAGATCCGCTAAGCTCCATGTCGAGATACCTTCTTGATCCCGGGCTTTGAATGGTTGGGCCATGGTCCGTAGGAAGTTCTTGGCGGTGGCCACTGCCATATCGGTACTGAGGTTGGTTTCGCTTTCCAGCATGGCCTGGTTGATCCATTTGGGGAGCTGGTTGCGCTTCTTCTGGAATCGACGATCGGCGAGAACCATGACTCCGTAGTCGTCTTTGCCACGGAGGACACGACCTAGACATTGAGCGGCGTGGCGCATCGCGTCGAAGGATAGGAAGTCATTTTCTCGGATACGGTAGTTCTCGCGAAGGAATTCGAGGCGGGCCTTCAGGATACGGGACTCGGTGTATTGGAAGGGAACACCGATGTTGATCACGGCGCGACCGTAATGATGGTCGAAATCAATACCCTCGGAGACCTTTCCTCGTGCGACACAGAAGAGAATGGCACCTCGTCCGTTACAGCAGGCTGTCCGGTAGGTTTCCAGGGCAAGGGACGATTCCTGGGCGTCAGGAGTTTCGACGAGGATTAATTTGTAGTTCCAGATTGAGTCGAGAATGCCCATGCCTTGCCACATGCTGATGATGGATTCCATGTAGAGGTAGGAGGGGAAGAAGACGACGATGCCGTCTGGGGTGACTCGAGCGAATTCGAGGACGAGATTGCCGTAGTTTCGGACGACACCAGGGTCGTTGCGAATTTGGAAAGAGGAGGAAATTTGTGCTTGGTCCGATCCGCGGGTTACGACCATGGGGAGGAAGGATCGACGTGCGAGGGTCATACTGTATGACTCCTGCATCACAGTGTTGAATCCCAGCATCTTTGGGTACATTTCAAGAGGCGACAGCGTTCCAGAGGTAATGATGACGGAGCTGAACCGGTCGAACACCGGCTTGATGGCAATAGCGGCATCCAAACAGGTGAAGTGCAACACCGGGTTGGGTACTGTTGCTGCCTCTGATTCGAAGGGCTCCAAGATCAACAGGAAGCCTTTGTCGTATGTTGCGACTAGAGTGGCGAACGTTGCTACCTCCTGGAGTGGTTGGTAGTCTTCTATGTTGATCAGCTCTAGGGTGCGAACGAGCGAAGTTAGTCGTTCAGCGCAAAATCGGAGAGGTTTCCGCTCGATATAGGTTAGATCCTTCACATGCGTTAAGAACGAGGGAGGCGTTTCGGATATAGTATGCATGACTTTCATTCGCGTCTTGAGGTATTCGATAAATCTTTTAAGAAAGGATATGAAGTGCTCCGCTCGTCGTATATTTCCGGGCACGGCTTCCTTCAGCAAGTCGTCTGGAAGGACGGGATTTGAGATGAACTGATCCTCCTCTCTAGCTTGTTCAGCTTCTCGTAGGCCTTCGACGAGTTTTGAGTATTCATTCTGAAGCTTTTCCGCATCCGTACTCTTCATCTCACTGATCTTGCGCTCCAGGTTGTTCGCCCCTCTTGTCGCTTTTCGTAATGAGTCCTCCGTCAGGTCGATACTCAGCGATTCAATGCAGACGTTGTCGATATTGTGCGCCTCGTCGAAAACCACAATACAATCCTTGGAAAGTTCTCGCGATACCCTCTCGGCGATTTTCGGGTCCAGCAGGTAGTGATAGGAGTAGATAATAACGTTGCAAAAGGGCATCTACAGTCCATGTGAGTATGACTGAATAGCGATCGCAGTCCATAGCTAGAAGGGTCTTACCATGCGCCGGGCTGAAAAGTAAGGACATTGTTTATGCTCTTCGCCGTATTTGAGCAAGCCGTCAAGTGTGAAGACACCGGGAGGCACGAGGTTGTGTGGTTCGAGCAGATCGAGGTTCTGTATGGGATGTTATGATATAGTCCAGACCCAAACCGCAAGCTCCATACCTCGTGGTAGACACAGAGTTCGACATCCTCGCCCCTCTCCTTCTTCTCCTTGACGAACCCTGCAGTTAAACTCCGGCACCTTGCATCAACCACTGCACCACTCTTTTCCCGCTTGACAGATGGATGCAGGCACAGATTCTTTCGACTCGTCAGACCTAGGGCGCGGAAGTCTTCTGTGTATCCCAGTTGCTCGGCACGGAACTTCATCAGCGCCTTCAGCTCAGCCAAGGCCTTTTCGATCTCAGACATGGTTCGAGAACAGTAGATGAGCTTTCTGTGCTCCGGATAATGTTGCTGGTAGGCGACAATCAACGAAAGTAGCGATACCGTCTTTCCGGTTCCCGAAGGCATCTCCAGGACACAGTGACCCCCGGCGTCGAGGGTCTTTTTGAGATCGCACATGTAGGCATATTGTTCGGGGTAGATACGAGGATAAGGGAAAAGGACGGGGAGATCGCTAGGAAATGGAGGGCATTAGATGACGATGCTCTAGAAACTGCAGCTGAACCAGTCGGATGAAGGGAGACTCACTCGATGAAGAATTTCATGGTGGGAGGGGAGCGCGGTGCTCGAGTGAAGCAGTTGATCGGCTTGGGCGCAGCGGCGGAGGATCTTCTAGACCGCGTCGACTTTTGCCCAATCGGGCGATCGATGACACCAGGTCACGTGGCGTGCCCGATAGGGACCCCGATAATGTAATCCCGCCGCTTTTAAACGGCGGGGGTTGCCAGAAGATGCTTCAGAACCACAGGTATCCAGGGGAAATTGTGCAATGACAGACGTTGAACTGCGGTAGCTTGGGTCGACTAGCTGGGAGCTTGCACGACCAGATTACTGGAACCTTCTTTCCTTGTCTTTCCGCACCCTTCCCTTCTATATACGCTCATTTCGTCATTTTCTTTACATCCCGCCCACCCCACTCGATTATGAGCAAAAAGTTCAAATCCCAGGCCTCGAGCAGCCGCGCTGCGGCCAGTACCTTTGGCGCTTTTGGTGGCTTTTCTGGCGCATTCTCTGGCCAGGGGAGAGAGCCATCTTCTCTCACATATGTAGCCGAGCCACCGGATCTTTCCCGCCTCTCGGAGGCGCAATTGGGGATTGCGTTCAAGAACTTCCTGAAAAAAGATGAGGTCACCAGGACGAGAGCGCTAGATGATCTGAGAGATCATGTCGCAGGGGTCGAAAGTCGCGGCGGGACGCTTGACGACGGGTTCCTGGAAGCTTGGGTAGGTCTATATCCGCATCATGCGCACCGGAATAACAAGTTGATCGTGGTTCGGGACATGGCCAGATTAAAATCTACCCGCGCGCATCCATAGATCTTTCCCGTAGGGTGAGGCAAACAGCTCATTCTACTCAAGGCTCCATTGCCTGCCTGGTGGGAAAGCGGGTTGCCCGCTTTCTCCCCAAGGTCATCGGCGCGTGGCTTGCGGGCATCTATGACAATGACAGACCAGTCCATCAGTCTGCCTTGGACTCATTCACCCGGGTCTTCTCGACCGACGCAAAGAGAAGTGGCGTGTGGAAGGTTTACCAGAGCGCCATCCTGGACTTTGTGGATGATGTCACTTTGCAACAGACTGCGCAGACATTGAGTGATGAAAGGACGGTCAAGCCTGATGATGCAGAAGCCAAGTATGCGCGCGTAGCGGGGACTGCGCTCTTGTTATTCAACCGTGTTCTAGGTACGCGCAAGATCCCACTATCGGTCTAAGTACGCCCTAACAAGAGCACAATACAGGACACTCCACCCATGAAGATCTTCAGAAGGATGCCGCCACAATTGAAAACCTTCTAGGTAGCAAATCTCTGTGGGCGCTTTCTTATCACGACGACCCTTTTGTCCGCAAGTCACTCTACATTCTTACTCGATCGGCAGTCTCTAAGGAGCCTGAGGAGCTTGATTGGAAGCTCATCAGTGCGGCCTTGATCGGCAAGGCCCTGCACAGTTCCCAACTAGGCTCCGCATCGGAGCTGTCAGAGACGATATTGCAGGTAACATCTGCAAGGCCCCAATTATGGACCGGGGATTATTCCGGGAAATCATCCCCTTCGAAGAGATTACTCCAATACATACAGAAAGGTTCTCAGAGCGGAGCAAGCTCGTTTTGGCCGAACCTATACCAATTACTGCAGACAATTCCATTTGAAACACTGGCAAAGATTGATCCCCAGTCGACTTCGGAAACTATTCTTGGGCTGTCGAGTGCGGTTGCATTGACAGAGTCATTCCAGGAAGGACTGAACTCACGAGATGAGCCTCGACAGAATAGGGCTGTTGGTTGGAAGGCCTACATTGACACTGTGATATGGCTTGCCAGTCGGCTTGCTGAGGATGATAGAGTGAGCTTCCTGCGTGAGAGGCTTTCTCCATTGCCACTGCAACATGTCAAGCCTGAACAAGATCGTCCTCAATGGGCACTTCCCGTCCAATCAGCAGAAGCAATCTGCACCGATTGTCTTGTCGCATTGAGTGTGCAAGGGTACGAACCGGTGTTGAAGCAATTGTGGACGGAGTTATCCGATGACCTGCTGGAAGCCGTAAAGTTATCATCACCAGAGCAGTCCAAGGACTTTAGGTCCTCCCAGGACGCAGTATGTGCGCAGGCTGGAAGGCTCTTTGCCTTGGAAGCCTCCTTGCTGTCTCGTTTGACCGATACTGACCATGAAGCAAGGATTGTGGATATCTTCAATAAAACAAACCTATCATTGCTTGATAGTTGCTTGGAGGTACTGCGCTCTCGAAATGGCAAGCCGTACGGAGCCGCTGCGGTAGTCGAAGAAACTATACGGAACGTTCCGCAAATTGTTCAAGGCTCCCAGTCACTGCTGAGCTTTGTCCAGAACGATGCACCGGAACTCCTGGCATCGCCATCTGCCGATCGATTGATATCCATCATCATGGCTTGCCGTTCCTGGGATGGGTTTGGACCAAGCTTCGAGAAGGTTGTCGAGCATGTTGCTCAATCTGATCCGGAATCCTCGAACGCACATGCTGTGCAGAAGCTCCTCTCGTCTCTTGATTTCCAGGAAGTAGGCGACAAGTCTGGACTGGTTGCTTTAATCATGCGAGCCCTTGATCGAGCTTGCAAAGGCAGCGATCTTCACTGGTCGATTGTCATTGCGGTGCTACAGAACCACACCTCCCATGGGGAAATGACTGATTCCATATTCCTGTCGATCGTTAATGCCCTATCTGAGGATAGCAAGATCTTCGATACACTGCACGGACTTTCTCGTATTTCCACTTCTGTCCCCAGTGCAGTTCGAAACTTCCAGAGCGGAAGCCAGGGCTCCAAACTGTCTGGTAAGCTGCTGTTCCTCACGGAATCATCGGACGAAGAAGTAGCGGGCCTTGCAGAGTCGCTGTCCAAGACTCTGAAAGACTCCGTTGTCAGTGAGACAAGCGCCAAATCCAGTTTTGAGATCTTGCAACATCACTTCGAGAATGTCAATGAGGAGTCTGTTTCGTAAGTAATGGATCAACAAGGAGAAAGGAAAGAGAGGCTAACGATAACAAGCATCGGGTCTTTGTTAGGTATTGCGGAAGAGCTGCTACAAAATGTCAAGCCCGAGGATATTGGCCAAGTAGCCAAGGACATTCTGCCTTCCTGCCGGTCTTGGAAGGATGCTCTAGGGCCTTTCCTTGAGCTTCCTCCTCGGCTATCAGCTGCCATCTCAAGCCCGATCGCCGGTACCGTGCATCTGATTGATCGCAGTGTGTCAGGCACATTCCGTGAACGCTACGCACGTATCCCCCGCGACTCCAACAATTGCTCGTCAGCGTTCCGGTTGGCATACTACACCATCCGGGTTCTCTCTTCTTTTGACATTGTCGGACGTCTTGGTCCCGAGGAGCTTGAGACGTTGTTCTACAATGTGCCTCTCGCGGTGCAGTTGATTGATGACGACCTAAGCATCCAGAACTGCAACGGAATAACCGGCATCACACTTCCCGAGCAGCGCGAGGAGTACATGGAAGTCGTGAACGATGGCCGAAAGGTCATTAATGGCTGGACTCAATCGAAAGAGCAACACGAAGCCGGAAAGGGACACACAGTCGCTTCCAAGCTTTCTACATTCTGGAAAGACCAAATCGAGAAGCTGGACGCCCTATCTCCGTTAGACTACCAAGTTGGTGTGGCCTTTGTGAAGATTATGGATTCCGTGGACCCCTCGAAGAAAAATCGATCCTCAGAAGAGGTCACTCAGCTGTGTAGAGAGATGAGAAAGGCGAACGCTATCCGCTCGGCCTCCTGGGTGGCTGTGTTGCGCCCTGCCATCCTGTCCACCCACGCTGGTACCCGACTGTGCAACGAGTTTGTTGCAGACTCCACGGGCCTAAAGCCCCAGGAAGAGAGTAGAGATGGTCAGTTGAGTTCTGGTTACTATGCTATCATTCTGCTAATCTAAGCCTAGGTCTCCGCAAATTGGTGCTGTTGAACCTCTTGTTATCCGGCGAAGAAGACGTTGCGGCCTCCATCCCCACGCAGCGTTTGGTGTTCCTGATCAAGCATCTCATACAATGTCTCCAGTCTGAAGGCACGTCTCTCAGCGTCAAGGCTGAAATCTTCCAGACCCTCGCCGTAATGGTTCCTAATCTACAGGACATCTACGGCTCTCACTGGGAGGCCTGTATGGATATCCTTAGCACGACGTGGCAAGAGACCAGTGGCGGCGATGAAGCCCTCCCCGCCCTGTTATCATCGTTCAGACTTTTCGCACGTCTCCAGTCAATGGTAGGGGACGAAGAAAGTAACGATGATGTGAAGGATGCGTGGTCGGATCGAAAGACAACGCTGTTCAACAGCTTGACGTCCACGCTTCGTAAATTCGGTGAGTGTGCTTCTACATGTCCGCAAACCCAGATTCTGACCGGATAGATTCTTCGACCACCTTCCATCAACCGCGCGATGTTGCTGTGGAGTTGTTGTGCCGCTTCCTCAACGTCATCCCGATTGATAATCTGGAGGATGTGAGCAAGTTCTTCCCGCTTTTGACAGCGCAGAGCCCCACAGTTCAGCGGGCTGCCTACACTGTCCTTCACCGGTACATTCCGGGCGTGCAGGAGCAGGTGTCTTTTGATGTGGCACTGTCGAAGACGACGGTCGGGCTGCCGGATGAGCTGATGTCTCTGCTGCTTGAAGCGCCCACGATGAAAGCGGTCAATGCCGCTTATGGCGACGATAGGATGTGGGCCGAAATCCGGTCGTATTTGTTGAGCTGGAAGGTGGTATTCGACCACTTTGCGAATGCGGTATGTTTTGCGGATGCTGCTACAAGGGCCGGTTCGCTGACTAGCTACAGTCTCTTACTGTCCAAGAGAACTACGTGACCAGTATCAAGGACAACGAAAGCCTGAGCCCACTGCTGGAGTTTATGTTCGACTTCCTGCAGCGATCACACGGGAAGATGGTGGATGCGTCCAAATTCGACGTCCGCTCTTTCGAGCCCGACCAGTCCGAGAGCCCGGAGAATGAAATCCAGTGGCTTCTTGTGCACTTGTATTTTCTCTGCTTGAGGCACCTGGCCAACATGGTGAAGAGCTGGTGGCTCGATACGAAGAAGCGCATCAAGGGGCCGGTGGAATCCTGGACGGAGAAATTCGTAAGCTGGTCTATCTAAACTAGCATATTCATATGGCTGACTGACCGAACCTAGATCTCACCTTTGGTGATTGAGGACTCTTTGCGGGGAGTCACGGAATGGATCTCGACCCAGGATCCAAACGAAGAGCGCGCGCTGAACGTGAAGATCGCTTCCAAGACAGCGGAGATCATTGCCAGCATTCCGGTGGATGAGGACTCGCCACCAGTGGCCTTGTCTCTCTCGCTTCCTCCGGCTTATCCATTGCAGCCGGCGTTGGTAGTTGGACGAAGTCGGGTGCTGGTGGACGAGAAGAAGTGGCGGAGTTGGCTGCTGACGATCCAAGGAGTGATCATGTTTGCCAATGGCAACCTGGTGGATGGGCTGTTGGCGTTCCGGAAGAACGTGCAGGGAGCGCTCAAGGGGCAGAGCGAGTGTGCGATCTGCTACTCGGTGATTTCGACCGATATGCAGACGCCGAACAAGCGGTGCGCGACGTGTAAGAACACGTTCCACTCGGTGTGTCTGTTCCGGTGGTTCAAGAGCAGCAACCAGAGCACATGCCCGCTGTGCCGGAACAACTTTGTGTATGTGTGAGGAGGGAGTGGCGATGTGTACATAGACATAGAGAGGTGAATACCTCGAAGTCTCGAACTGCTCCGGATTCCTATAGTGGGGCGGCAGCGCGGGGCAGTTCCGTTCCTAAAAGCTCCCCGCCGCCGGCCCCAAACCAAGCTCAGCTCCAACCAACCTGAGCTCCAAAATATAATTCAGCCCCTCACCATGTCCGCCTCCCACATCCCCAACCTCAACTCCCTTCGTCGCGGCGGCGGTCGCGGCCGATTTCGTTCCCGCGGAGGCAGTCAGACCGGCGACGCAAGCCACGGGTCTCATGGGGCCAAAGACCGCGTAGTGCAGGGCACCGACAATGACGCCAGCGTGTCTCGCCTCAGCGCCGTGAGCCTGGGTTATCTCCAGGATGCCTTCGCCCCGGCATTGACAGCCCCAGGGATGGAAACCCGCCGACTCCCCATCATCAACAGAGGTTAGCTCCTCTACCGGTTTTCCTCCCATCGCCTTCATCCCTAACCCACTCCAGGAACCTACGTCCGCACCACCGCCATCGACCACCTCGTCACCCGCTTCCTCAATTCCCATCCCCCGCAGACCCAGAAACAAATCATCTCCCTGGGCGCCGGCACCGACACGCGTGTGTTCCGGCTCCTTTCCTCCTCCCCACGTTCCAATATCCTGTACCACGAGATCGACTTTCCCGTCAACACCGCCGCGAAAATCAAATTCATCCGCGCCGCCCCCCTCCTCCAGCGCGTCTTAGGCAGCCACGACGACGTGGTAATATCCCCCGCAAACGACGCACTACACTCATCCTCCTACCATCTGCATCCACTCGATCTACGCAGCCTCTCGACCTCCCCCCGCTTACCGGGCCTCGATCCTACCCTCCCCACCCTCCTGATCTCCGAATGCTGTCTCATATACCTCACCCCCGAGGAGGCAGGTTCCGTGGTCCGCTATTTCACAGAGGAGCTGTTACCGTCGACCACGCCGGTGGGTTTGATTATATATGAGCCTATTCGACCAGACGATGCGTTCGGCCGCACCATGGTGGCCAATCTAGCTACGCGGGGCATCCAGCTCCAGACACTGCAGGAGTTTGCGTCACTTGAAGCACAGAGGCGACGACTTCGGGAGCTGGGGTTTGTGAGAGGCCAGGCAGCCGCGGATGTGGATTTTTTGTGGGAGCGGTGGGTGCCGGAGACGGAGAAGGAGCGGGTAGCGGGGTTAGAAATGTTGGATGAGATGGAAGAATGGCGGTTGTTGGCGAGACATTATTGTGTTGCGTGGGGATGGCGCGATGGGGAGAGTGGTGTGTTTGAGGGGTGGAGGGGAGTGGAAGGGCAGGAGGCGTAGGACGAAGTATATGTTACCCTACTAACTGAGCACGTTGAACGATGAGATGACGCGAGAGGGATGAACGTGGACGTGATTGCAGATACAGAAATTATTGACAATTATTGATTGACGGGCTGTCAATCAAACAGGGTTTGATGAGCACACACACGGAGAGTGAGAGCTAACCGGGACTATTGCTTGACCCGGCCGACTAGCTGGCTTCCGGGGGTTCAGGTCGCTGCAATTGGGCCGCCCCCTATTTTTTTTGGCCGGGAAGTGTTCCTGGTGTCATGACTCGACGGCGGACCGTCGCAAAGGCTATCTACCAGACCAGCTGCGGCGCCGCTGATCCGGTCTGGACTGTGATGATCCTGGTCTGGGAATTGAGAGCCATGTGATTGTGTCTGACCACAATCAATGGATGGGGACAAAGACATGCCTAGCTATTTCAGCGTCCGCCTAGATAACTATTTATCTATCTTCTCCGTATCTATTGATCGTTTATCTCTTCAGTCCTTATCAATTAGGTTATTGGAATCTTCAGGGTCCATCGTGACGAGGGCTCGTTGCTGTTGCTATAAAAGGAGACCGAATCCATCGGAAATTGCCCCCTCCCCGGCCGGCGCTGAACCAATCACGCTGGCCGGGAGTGGAGTTCTTATCCATGAACTGCCGGGGCCGCAAAGGCCGCTGATTGGCGCGACCCCTGGACACGGAGCCCGGCGTGGCCCAATCGGGTAAGGGCCAGGCGCCTCGATTCGGAACGAAGCTTTAGGGCTTTCCCAATCAGGCAAGTCGGGGGGGATCGCTGTAGTTGTGGATGCCTTTTGTTCGGGGTGTGTCTCGCCCTCTGTCTCTGTCTCTCTCTCTTCCTCTCGCCTCTTTTCTCTCTTTTCTTTTCTGCTGGTGTGGTGATTTCACTGCGTTCTGGCGCCCCTGTTTCTCTGTCTCTCTTTTCCAGTCCGCTTCGGTCTAGTCATTCGTTACATGTCTCAAGACATTCATTCTTCCTGACCATAGTCTGTCGTTTTGGGTGGCCCAAGTGGCGTCGTATAATCTCTCTCGCTCTTTATCTATCTATCTGTCTGTCTGTCTGTCTGCACATATATCATATCTATTATCGGTATATAGATCACGTTCCGCTACGACTCTCACCATGAAGTGCAGTAGCGCAACAATGGCATTGCTTGCCATTGCTACCGTTGAGGCAGCGAGCCATGGTCATGACCATGGCCATGTTCACGCCCACCGCTCCGTGGCAGAGGTGGACGCCCCCGTGGCCAAGAGGGGAGGCAGCTGCCAATTCCCCTCAGGGGCGGGCTTGATTGCCGTCACCCCCAGCGAGCTGAACGGCGGCTGGGCCATGAGCCCGGACCAAGAGTGCAAGCCCGGCGGATACTGTCCGTATGCGTGTCCAGCAGGTCAGGTCTCTATGCAGTGGGATCCCGAGGCCACGTCGTATACCTATCCGATGTCGATGGTAAGTGGTCTGCATGCTAGTCAACCGAGTCGACAACTGACGGAAGACAGAATGGCGGTCTCTACTGCGACGAGAACGGCAAAATGCATAAGCCTTTCCCCAACAAGCCGTACTGCCAGGACGGCACGGGCGTCGTCAGTGCGAAGAACAAGTGCAAGGAGCAGGTTGCCTTTTGCCAGACGGTTCTTCCGGGTAACGAGGCCATGCTGATCCCGACCCTCGTGGAGGAGCTGGTTACCCTGGCTGTTCCGGATCTGAGCTACTGGTGTGAGACGGCGGCGCAGTAGGTGCTTCGGTTCCCTTCTACTTGAAAGTGACAATACTGACCTGTCAGCTTCTATATCAACCCTCCGGGTTACACCACGGAAACTGCCTGTGTTTGGGGCACCTCGGAGAACCCGTACGGCAACTGGTCTCCGTATGTTGCTGGCGCCAATACCGATGGCGAGGGCAACACTTTCGTGAAGATCGGATGGAACCCGATCTATTTGGAGCTGACCACGCCGTTCCGCAATGTAGTCCCTGACTATGGTGTTGAGATCGAGTGCGAGGGAGACGGCTGCAATGGACTGCCATGCAAGATCGACCCGGCTATCAACGGGGTGAATGAGATGGTTGGAGCCAGCACGGACGGTGCTGGTGACGCTGCGTTCTGTGTGGTGACGGTGCCCAAGGGTGGAAAGGCCAACATTGTTGTGTTCGACAAGGAGGGCGGTAGCTCTTCGAGCACGCCTGTATCCAGCAGTAGCAACACCGTCAGCAGCAGTGTGAGCAGCATTGCCAGCACCAGCAGTACCTCGACCAGCAGCATCATTCCCACGACTAGCAGCACGTCGACGAGCATCAGCTCCACCAGCTCCACCAGCTCCACGAGCACTCCTACCCCGTCCAGCACCACCAGCTCGACCACGACATCCAGCACCACCAGCACCACCAGCACCATCAGCACCACCAGTTTCACCAGCTCGACCGCCAGCTCTATCCTAATCACTCCCCGGCCAGCGCCAACCTGGACGCCCTCATCCAGCTGGAAGCTCAGCTCGACGAGCGCGGTCTTGAACCGAACGGCGTCGGCCAGCTACTCATACAAGCCGCTCGCGATGGTGGAGACGGGATCCTCGCACACGACCGCGGACAGCAAGGACTCCACCGAAGATTCCAATGAAGATTCCAACGAGGAGTCCAGCAACGACCAGTCCGAGTCCTCTTCGATTACAAAGTCAGAAGCTGCGGTGACCCAGGGCGCAGCGGTCAGCACCGCCGTGTCGAAGCTGGGTCTGATCCTGGCCGTGGTTGGAGCCATTGTGATGGTCTAGATGAGATCACTACTCACTTTGGCTAACCTATTTCCATCAATCCTTATCACTCTTCTTCTCCTTTTTTTTTTTGGCTTTCACTTCTGATGGGACACTTACCTTACTTATAGCTATACCCTTACGATTGACGTTCTTGTACATGTTTGATTGATGAGTATTTATATAATGTTTACTGTTAATATTGACCGAGTTAGTGAGTGAGGGGGTGGATTGAATGAATTGAATCGAGTTGATCTGGTGAAGGCAAAACTAGCCTAGAGACTTGGCATGAGGTATTAATAACTGTATGACATCTCCGATGAGCCGCCAACCTTGCGGTCCAACCTGCTGTTCCACACACGTAGGCATCCCACCAACCATCCATGGTGGACAGATACCCTGCGCTGATGTCAGGGGTGGATTATGGCAACAGTTGGGTTGGGTTGGGCTTTCACTGGTTTTGCGAATTCAGTTATTAGGTAGGCAATAGGATCGTACAAGTCACTTCTTTGATGTTGAATAGAGAGGAGGATATATGATCTTGAAATTGGGAGATGAAAGAAAGGGTAGGTATGGGGAGGGGAGGTTCTTTTACATTCATTTCACAATATTCTGTAAGTTGAGTGTTATTTCGCTGAGAAACTCCGCAAAGATCCGATATTGTAGTCAGTAACGATGAGATCCGGCATCTGGCAGGCAGGATGATCGCCTTCTAGCCTGTGGTCTATCCCATCTACCGTTAATGGGGAGTTTTATAAACAATTCACTCTGCTCATATAGCCAGGCCTGTATCCAGGCCATACTAAGATTGTAATCGCAAGCATGCCCAACAAAAACAAACGACGGGTACTGGTCACCTTGCATTATCGGGGAGCGCTTTCCCTCAGAGAGAATCGAGAGCGATTAGGCTTTGCTGTATACCACTGGGGCATTCTGGTGGCCCCAAAAGCATCCACAGGGAGAGGCTGCTACTCATTCGATGTCTCCGATGGAATCAATCTGGACCCTGGCAGCGGAGTGAACCGCAACCCGAACTTCGAGTGGGTGTTGCGAGCAAAAACAGGCGTCAACCCGCTTCCGAGTAGTCATTTGCTTGGAAGAGTCATGATAGGCAAAATATCGCATGATGTTTCCTTCGAACAGTTGGATGCTCTTCTCCGGTCGATACCACTTCCAAGAAAAGGTGTGTCGGGGGAGAATTGTGTCAGTTGGACAAGAGCTGCTGTTGCAAAGTTGCAAGAGAAAGGTTGGGCAGAGCGGTTCAACATTGATTGTTTCATGGACGATTCACTCGCGTATGCTCATCAGCGGATGGATGCTGATGATGTTAAGAGCATTATCAATTACACGAGCCGGCCGATGTAATCTGCTGAGGAGAGAGGAGTTCGCGAGATGAAAGATGCTATAAGTTTTCAACATTGATGGTAGTTGGCTGGTGTTTCAGTGTTATGACTTGCAACAGATACCTGCTTCAAAGCACGTCCCCGATGCGGAGCGAAGACGACCCGTTTCGAGAATCCCAGTAGAAACGGAACCACTGCTCCCGATATATACTCAGAACGCATTCACCCACCAAACAGAACTCTCAACCGCCGATCAAACCAAAGCTGCTAGCTAGGTACCCCCGATCATCACTCACTGACATCACCGAGCATGCAATCAACACTGACTAAGTAATGTGTCCCAGCAATAATCCAGGCCAGGTTCCCCTGACGTCACATCTACGCCAGCCTTGGCATCATCACCTCGATCTATAAAACAACACAACACAACCACTTCCTTACCCCAAGTCTCCATTGATTCAATTACCACATACCCAATTACTGCCTACACACAAACAACACTCACCAATCCAAACAAAATGTCCAACATCCAAACCCCCACAACAGGCACCCAGCCTCTCGACCCCTACAAAGCCAAATCCGTCGAAGACCCGCCCCTCGAGCAAAAGATCTCCGATCTATCTACCTTCATCAACGAACAGAAATTCGGCATGCTGACGACCAAATCCTCCGAGGATGATTTGCTCACGAGTCGGTGTATGGCGCTTGCTGGACAGGTAGACCCTCTCCCCTGCCCATGCCCCTATCCTTCTCCACACAAAACTAACGAAGTAATTCCGCAGGAAAACGCCTCCACAACCCTTATCTTCCACACGAACCTCTTCTCCCACAAAACCATGGATTTGACCGTCCACCCCACCGAAACCAACATGTCATTCCTGGATCCAATTAGCGGTTCCTGGGCGTCGATTTCCGGCACCGCCACCATTGTCGCGGACAAGGAGACCGTGGGGAAGTATTATTCGCCGGCGTTGAGTGCTTGGCTCGGTGATTTGGGTGACGGAGTGCATGATGGTGGCCCGGGGGATCCGCGCATCGGAGTGATTAAGTTGGAGGCTAAGACGGCGGTGTATGCGGTCTCCAGGAAGGGGATTTTGGGGAGAGCGGTGGAGACGGTCAAGAGTGTGGCTAGTGGGGATGTCCCTGCCATTAATAGTATCAGGGAGTTGAGTAGGGCCGAGTTGGATGAATGTGAGTTCTCCCTCTCTTTTTTCTTTTATTCGGGGTTTTGGTTTGGGATGTGCTGACTGACTGGGTGGTAGGGCGGAGGACACATGCGTGAGTGAGTAGGTATATCTACTTCGCTTCGAAGTGCCGGTGTACTATATTGTGAGGAATGAGTTATGACCTAGTGTTTGGGAACATGTTTCAATTGGCAGAGATAATATGATCAGACATGCCATTTCATCTATCACTCCCCAGAATATCAATCCTATTATCAATCAAGTAAATCAGTCCATTATCACTCCATATCGTACCGTCGTAATCTGGGTATCTCGAAACCAATGACGCCAGCCCCAGTGACCCGTTAAATCTGGAACAGTCAGTATACAGAAACGGAAAGCAGCGGACGGACTTACCAATCGTAAAGGCATCCGCGCCGGCAAACGTCCATTATGCAGCAGCATCGCAATGTTCTTGTTCGGAGTCGCCTGCAGCTTGCGATAGGCCTCCCGGATGTGTCTCGGCTCCACAGGGGTACGGCCCTCCTCAGGCGGATCGAACAGACCGGTCTCGCGCTTGCGCTTCTTGATGCTCTCACCGTTCTCCGCTCCACCGCGACGGTTCTTCTCTCGATCCTCCCGTTCCTTGACTTTGAGCGCCTCCTCGGTCAGGGTCTGCACGATTTCGAAGGTCAAGAATCCTAGGATATCGACGATATCATCATTCGGCTTGGACTCGGTCACGATGCCAAACCCGGCCCACTCGCGGAACCGTTTGCTCTTGCGGTATGTGAATGACGCCTGACGACATTCTGACCAGAACACGTATTCTTCCTTAGTCATGTTTTTGGTACGTTCATCGGCGGCCGCCAGACGCTGGAGCGTAGCGTAGTTTTGCTCTTCTTCTTCCTCGTCTTCCTCGTCTTCTCTCTCGGGAACCTGGACGGAGTAGAAACTATTCACATCCCACGCTAGACCCACACGAGCTCGCTTGTTCTTCGGTTTCGATGCGACATCCTGCGGTCCAGCAACCACACCGCCGGCGATGGGGTCATCGGCTGCTGCAAAGTCCGCAGCATCGGCGCCGCCCTTGTCGTCAGAGTCTTTGACGTTCTTGCGGACATCCTTCCAGGACAAGAATGTCTTGAGGCGGGACACCTTGGCCTTGTCGTGACGGATCAGAAAGATCAAATCGTCGGTAGAAATGGATCGCACGCCTCGACGGGTCGCCAGAGCGGTGCTTCGGGCGAGCTGCCAAACATTAGCATAGTTCACGAATGATAGACAGAAGCATACAATCTCGACGACCTGCTGGCGGACTATCTCTTCAATCAAAGTGGTGGTGTCCACGGCTGGCTCGGCAGTTTCTCCAGAGACGAACATCATCTGGTGCAGAAGGTCAGTAAGCATGTTCTTGAACATCTCCTCAGTCTCTTCGTCCTGTGGCTGCTGCTCGGTAGGTGCAGTGGGGTGATGTGTCTCCTCCATAGACTCGTCACTGGACTCGTCACTGGACTCCTCAACCGAGGTGGAGGCTTCGGAATCGTAATGTTCGATCTCCATGTTTGGAGTTGAGGCTTGCTCTCAATGACAGACAGCCACAGGGAGGTTTGTTCGCATCGCAGAGACAGCAGAGTACAGGTTCAAGTGAAATTGCAGCAAGAGGTAGAATGGCATAAAAGCCAAGAGAAAAGAAATATCACATCGTATACATAGAAGCAACAGTACATTCACTACCATGCACGACACAACACTGGCTGTGCGCGAAGACGCGAGGACGTGAGATCGTTGCCATAGTGTCAAGGATGATAGGAGAACGATGATGACACATAGGATGCATGAGCAGAACAAATTACAAACAGCACAGAGGCAATATTTTCTCTCCTAAAGTGCAGAGCACAGACAACCCTTATAACAAACAACCCATCACAAGATAGCTGCTTACCTGCTGGATCTCCTGCCGATACTTGGGGGTTCGATCAGTAGACATGCTGGCAGTTAGGAACGCTGATCAAGCATGTTCCACTGCGGAGAAATGAATGGATTCCAGAAAGTGCCCAGGCCACGGTCTAACAGGCACAACACAGAAGCTCACAATAATGCACATGAGATGTAGTGACAATGAGAATGAACACTGGCTGGATGCCGGCTCTACACGTGAAGGCCACAGTCACCTGACCCCCGCTGCCTGGATATCCGGATCATTAGTTGGCCCGGGCTCCGTTCTCCGCCGCATTTGGTGGGGGATCTCGAAAGTTTCCCCGACCAAGTGGGCTGGCAGTCACTCACAGTAGCACAACTCTCCAATTGCGCATTCACCATGTTGTACCTTGTGGGACTCGGCCTCGCCGATGAGACTGACATTACTGTCCGCGGTTTGGAGGTGGTCAAGAAGGCCGAACGGGTCTACCTTGAGGCATACACGGCAATTCTCCTCGTGGACAAGGAGAAACTAGTGAGTGTCGCCCGACTGCGCTGAGGTTTCCCTCTCTACGTGCGGATCTGACTGACTGGAATCAATTGGTTTAGTAGGAAGCTTTCTATGAACGTCCTGTTATCGAGGCAGACCGTGAGAAGGTCGAGAGCGCTAGCGATGAGATTCTCGCCGACGCCGACAAGGTTGATGTTGCCTTCCTGGTTGTTGGCGACCCCTTTGGGTATGCTTTGTGATGTTCCCTGTGATGTTCCCTGTGATGTTGTCATGTCTGACCGATCAGCGCCACCACACACACCGATCTAGTCCTCCGGGCCCGCGAACTGGGCATCGAATCCAAGGTCATCCCCAACGCGTCCATCATGTCCGGTATCGGCTGCACGGGCCTGCAGCTGTATAACTTCGGTCAGACGGTTAGCATGGTTTTCTTCACCGAGAACTGGAAGCCCTCTTCCTACTACGACCGGGTTAAGGAGAATGTCCAACTGGGTCTGCACACGCTGGTGCTGTTAGATATTAAGGTCAAGGAGCCGTCGCTCGAGAACATGGCTCGGGGACGTCTCGTCTACGAGCCTCCGCGTTACATGACTGTCGCACAGTGTGCCAGTCAGATGCTGGAGACCGAGGAGGAGCGCCAGGAGGGCATCTTCGGGCCGGACAGCCTGGCTGTCGGCGCTGCTCGTGTGGGAGCAGCGGACCAGAAGCTGGTGGCGGGTACCCTGAAGGAACTGGCGGAGGTGGACATGGGACGGCCTCTCCACAGCTTGGTGCTGATTGGCAAGAGAGCGCACGACCTGGAGAAGGACTACATCCAGCAGTTTGCCGTCGACCAGGCCACCTTCAACGACAACTGGCAGAAGGGCGGATACGGCAGCATGTAAAGCCAGCTGCAGAGAACGAAACGAGCCCAAACGAGATGAAGATTCATCACGCCAAAATGAACATTGCTAATGAACCACATGCATAAACCCGAAACACCCAAAGCCAAAGCCATGCCATGCCTTGCCATATACCATAGCCACATAGCCAAATCATAAGCCGTAGATCGCCCACTTCACGCCGTCCTCCTAGCAAACAACCTCGTCAAACGTTCAGGAAGTCTCATCTGCAAACCACAATTCATTAGCCAAACCCAACACCATCAACATACTCAACCCTCACCCGCCCAAGACCAAGAAGAACAAAAACATAAACCCACCGTCGCAGAAGAAGGCGTCTCAGGCGGCGTCTGCGTCCTATCACTACCATACTCCCTCCCCTCGCCATCATCCTCCTCCCCATAACTATCCCCCTCATATTCCTCCCCATAACTATCCCCATCCCCCAAGCCCATCTCCCCCTCCTCATCAACAGGAAACCACCTCTCCGGGTCCCCATTATAAACAATCCACCACCCGATCCTCTCCCCAGCCGCATACTTATCCCTAAACTCCGTAAGCGCCTGCATCTCCTCCTCCCCCAACGGCGACTCCTGAAATATATCCTCTGGTTTCCAACTCGTCTCGGGGAGCGGTTCCCCGCCTGCCTCGGGGATGGAAATGACCTTCGCTCCGACGTATGCGTGCGGCTTGCTGACTGCTTCGTCCGAGGTGTCTTCGGGGTCGTATTGCTCGATGAAGCGGAGGGAGGGAAGGCGGGAGAGAATATCCGGGTCGGTTTTTTGGAATGAGGAGAGGAGGAGAGACGTGGTGAGTGGTTGTTGGATGTATTCGGCGGTGGCGTCTTCGAGGTTGTGGAGGACGATGTAGACTCGGATGCCGGTGAAGCCGGCGCGGGGCCAGCGGAAGCCGTAGAGCATGTAGACGGGCATTTTGGGGGGGTGGTGGGTGTGGGTGTGGATGTGGGGAAGTAAGGGTGGTTAGTTGTGGTGGTGGTTATTGGTGACGGTTCAGATCATAATGTCGTTGCTGTTGTGATTTTGTCTGGGGTAAGGGAAAGGAGGCAGGAAAGGTTCTAGGGGGTGTGAATTTGGGGAAGTGGAATGGGATATATAATATGCAGGGGAAAAATAAGAGGGAAAAAGAGAAAGACAGAAAGAGAGATGATATGTGCAGATACGAGGTGCTGAGTTTCTTTGTTTGATTAGACTACCACCGCTAGCTCAATTAAACCAACAGACATGCATATGCACACACACATATATGTGCATAGAAAAGTGTATGTAACTGAATTAAAATCGAGGATCTCCTCCTCTACTCCGTAGCCCCCAAAGGATTACAACGTCCCAGGTAGATAGTATGAAGCGATCGATAATAAATGATGATCGATCTGGAAAGGTTAAAGTCAATTGGTGGCCGCTCAACGGTCAAAAGCGGTCACCTCGGGCAGTATCGAGTCTCGACTCGGCGGACTGGCGGGAATGCCGCGGAGACCATTCGAAGACCATAGTCCTGCTCATCTACCCCTCTCTATTTCCCCTCTATTTGGAGCTGTCACATACATACGGGATGGTCCTCTCATTTGTCATTGTTCAGAATCGCCAGTAAGTTGATCCGCTCCCTCCTCGATATGTCCCAATCAACGCACCCCCTAATGCCGAGAAACAGGGGGAAGACGCGGCTTGCGAAATGGTATGCGCCGTATAGCGTGAGTTTTACAACTACCTGCCCTAGTATTTTTGGATGGGTGTCTAATATATTTGGTATATGGTAGGATGAGGAAAAAGTCAAGCTGAAGGGCGAGGTTTGTATACCCTCCGCCACATCACTGCTACCACTCCGCAATCAGACAAAGTAGTAATGGTGTGGACAGGTCCATCGATTGGTCGCCCCGCGAGACCAGAAATACCAATCGAATTTCGTCGAATTCAAGCGCAGTACCAAGATCGTCTACCGGAGATATGCGGGGTTGTTCTTCTGCGCGTGCGTCGACGCCACCGATAACGAGCTGGCGTATCTAGAGGCCATCCATTTCTTTGTCGAGGTGTTGGATCAGTTCTTTGGGAATGTGTGTGAACTGGATTTGGTATTCAATTTCTACAAGGTGAGTGAGGTGCTTTCGGGTGATGCGGGTTATACTGGGGAGTTGGATGGGGGGAATGGATAGCTGATGAGTGCAGGTATACGCTATTCTGGATGAGGTGTTCCTGGCGGGTGAGATTGAAGAGACCAGCAAGCAAGTTGTGTTAACGAGGTTGGAACACTTGGATAAGTTGGAGTGATTGGTTCATTAGGGGTGGAGGGAAGGACATGGCCCTCGCAGCGGAATTGCATACATGGCCACGGATATGGTCATTATAGGAGTTAGGGATTCTTGGGCGGATCTTCAGATCCGGGCGTGTTTTATATATCTATCGCTTTGTTTGTTGCCAATTTTGTCAGGCTTGCGACTGTTAATACCCTCTGCGTCCCTCTCCGGTCAGTCTAGATTAATTAGTATGGATCAAGAGCCGTGCAAAGCGCTTAATCAAGGCATTTATAGCCGTTCTTCAGGGTCTTTGCAGGTACCCAGGTACCCAGGGTTGCCAGGGTCCAGCTGTGTCCGCTTTTGCGCCCCCGAGTTGGTTGGTTGGTGCCTGGCCTGCAACAGCCGAAGTTGACTGCCGTGATACTTGCCAGCGGAGCATCCGAGACATCGCAGCTGACACCCGTCCACTCAACGCCGCCAGCACGCAACGGCCACCCAACGATGTTATTTAAGCTTATTTCGGGTTGCAGAGCTAGCTGGAATCCGCTCCCGGTTCCAATGATGTGACTGTGGGTGCTATCAGCCGGGGAGAAAGGGTTATCGCGAGCATCGCCTGGGGACGACATCTCAGGCGGAGATGAGGTGATCGCGTGCGGCGATGGCGAGCCTGCCAACAACGATGGTGACAGCACCTCTTGGCAATGCATACTTAAGGGGAACAATCACCCTGAGCACGATCTTCTCTTGTTGGAGTTCTTTGGTTGATGCAAGACTGCACCACCACCCTGCGCTATCATGTTCCGCCGTGAATATTGCCTACCGGATGACCAGCAGGACCCCGTCTGGCCAACCTTCCCATTTCGGAACCGCGTCTCCTTCCCAGTCTGAATGCCGCGACAAGCACCGACACCGGACCGGTGAGCTGCGAAAGAGGCTGATACCTGATAGTGTCTGGAAACCGCCAGCCGCCCGACTCCAATACACCAGCCATACACAGGATAACAAGCACCTTCGTATCACCGCTGTTTCGACTCCACGAACCGCTCAACAATCTTCCAAGTTCCTACTGCTCATCGTGTTGATAATCCCGCACCGGCTCGTGCCCCGTAGCAAAAACCGGAATGTGCTGGCTGATCCTCATCACACTATGAAAAGCATCCACCGGTCGGTTAGCGATCTTCCGTCGCTGAGATCAACCGCCGTGACAAGTTGATAACAGTACCTTACGTGTCATGGTTTTGGTCGAGCGCATGCATTCAACGGAGATTTGGGGATTGGCATTCCATGGGTCCGCAACCCCACGTCGGGTGGCTCGCCAGTGATGGCGGCCTCTGACAGGGCCTGCGTGATGGGGCTTACGACGATTCATTTATCCACTGGTCGTCTGATTGATTGATAGGAGGCGGGATCCATGCCCACTGACTATCAGTCAGGCTTTTGGTCTATCGATCATTCCATCCCCGACATCACTCTTTAACTTTGCTCGGATGCGGGGTTTTTGAGAAAGGGGGAGAGCAACAGGGGGAGGAACGAAAATAGGAACACCAGTAAACTAGAACGGCTGAACAAGTTCACTCACTATTGACTATCTCACCTCCAGGAACGCAAACAGCAGGCCACAGACGGCAGACCGCATTCGAGACTCTTCTGGCTTGCGGAGAGGGCGAACAACGGGCCACTAGTCATTTCCACTTTCACGGGGACATGACTAGTAGACTGTGCTAAGGAGTTGCGCTGGGACTCGTCGGGTAAGGCGAGTTTCACTTTCATGGCTCGGCCGTAACAGCCAAGACGAGACAAGTGAGGAGTGCGTGGGATTAGCATGCTCCTCGTGCGCATAACCAGTGGGGATCTCGCCGGTGGGAATCCGAGATGGATCAACTCGACCATGCCTCTTTGGTTCAACATGAACCTTCGCAGTCGGACTGGCGCCGTTGAGTTGCTGAGCCACCGACACACGTCACGTAGCGGAGTTTTGCAAAGTAGACAGCTGAGGCGACTGTTTGACGCATTGTTGTGTGGCCATGCTAGGCGCAACTTATGATACACCTTTTAGATGGACTTACATACTACATAGTATGTAGTACGGTTGAATAAGTCGGAGATATTGTTTGCCTGACATGCCTTGGTGGATAACCTTAGATATCCCGTACCTCGGGAATAGCGCGTTCACGAAGTCCGTACTCCGTATGGGGCCAGGTTGTCTACAGTCAGCCGGATAAGACAAGATCCCAAGGGTGGCGTTGCGGGGAAATTACTCTGTAGTCTAGATATGGTATGCAGTCCAAGTGATCAGACATGTTCGCTCTGAAGGTCAACACCGCACCATTGGCAATTGGTCCAGAAGGATGCAGGGTGATGAGGCTGGAGCGAGTTACACGCGGACGCCGACGTGGAAGTGTGCAGCCGCCACAGATGGCAAAAGCCGTTCAAGCTTCAAGGTTGTTCCACAGTGGAACATAAGACGCGGGTCGGTACCAGGGCATCCGCACGGCAAGGTTGTGGACACTGGACAGCCAGCATATGCTGTGTCGGGCATTTGGGCTCGAGTCTCAAGCCCGCAAGCGGACTCATGGATAACTTACCTGGGATACTCGAAACATGTTATTTGAGAGGATTTCCTAGACGGTGCTTCGCACGGTGTACAAGACTTTGCCGTGTCTGCAGTAGATCTTTCGATAACTCCACAATGAAGAAGGCGAACTGTGAAGTTCATGAAGCTGAACGGGGATCGGGCTGGGATGTATTGGACGTGGGGGACCAATTGCAGGTTCAGACAGATTTCTCATAAAAAGGTGCCACTAATGCTGTAGTTGATGCAACAGAGGGGCTAGCTGATGAGTTGAGAATTGTGTAGCCTGTTAGAGAAGTCGATATCCATGTGCCATCTCATAGATCTAGTTCTTCCTTTCCAGGGGCTAAAGCGGTCTAGGTGGAGGGTATTTTATATCCTCAATGCCCTGAGACTCGGAGCTATCGATAGAGTCACTTCAGCAGCCACTGTGTTGTCGATTTGGCTCATTATTCGTCTCTAGCGATTTGGTGGTGAGAAGGGTCGTTGGAATTAGATGCTCATGGAGTCGACCAGGATGGGGGAACTAGCCGATTTGGGATAGCTGCACGGGAAGGACGACTAAGCAGTGAAACACGAATAATGCCACCTTCAGCCATCCTTATCTACACGCCTCGACTTGATGTGCGGACTACGGAGTAGATACAATGGAGATAGTTTATACAAGGCTCGGAATCCATGGGTGCATTCCATATCCAAAGTAAATCGAGCAGATCGGTGATACCTACCTACCTACCACCAGGACGCGATATCGCAGAGATTTCGACCCTTGCTGTATACACCACACCGGAATGCAGGGGCAGTAATTAAGTAGTACTACTACGTACCTAGTAGACTAGTAGATAGTAAGTATACGATACGTAATGGGACAGACCCTTGAGGTTGGTGGAGATGGAAGGATGATACGTTTCAAGCCTCGTCTGGCCAAGTTGGGAAGCGGACACCATACTGGAAACCGAAGCAGGACCCGATGGACGTTCTTCAGGTTCGAGGTTGAAAGCGTCCTTCCCCTTTCATGCCCGTGGCGTGGGTGGCTTTACATTAGCCCGGGCGGGGAGTGGCTCTACCGGCGGTGACGGAGAAATGTACGCGTCGTCTATTATGGCCACGGCCAATCAAGGACTGTCCGGGCACGGTTCGACAGTTGAGCCTATGAGGAGGAAATCCAATCCAAAGAATCCAGAAGCTCAACGATCGACCGGCGAAACGCAGGCCTACGCGGCCGATCCCTGGGAGGAGCGACAGCAAGGCTTGGCATGTCTCTATCCTCCACTCTTCCTCTGTTCCATCTTTCTTCGGCTGCTGCCCCGCCGCCCTGGCCTCCTGCTGCCGGTTGACCATCAGGAGACGGCACCGCGGCTACGTTCCCTGAATCCCCTCGCCTCCTCTCGCCTGTGAGTGGCCCAGCAGCTCGGGTTCCCCTTGGCGAGATTCGTGGAAACATGCATCTTCCCTCCAGCAAGTGGAGGAGGGGGAAGGCCACCCCCTGACTATCGCTCTGGCTTTCGGGTGGACGTCAGCCGGTGACGTCTATTATTTCTCCTGTGCAGGGTTTCTTTTTTTGGGTGTCCAATTCCAAGTGACCTGTTATACTTTGTACCCAAGCCCCGAGAAGAGACCAAATGGTCATCGATGTCATTTGCAGTGAAGAATGTTTAGAACGTGGGCGAACCGGCGGGTCTCCGCCGGGGGAAGGAAGGGATGGAGTGATGGCGAGAGGGGAAATAATGCAGGAGGACAATAATACCATAGTAATAATCATCATCATTCAAGTCTCCGGAAGGGGAACAAGAAAAATAAAGAACCTAAAAAAAATGAGAGGGAACAAAAAGAATTCTAACCGCGCCGTTTCAGAAGTACTACTCGTTCCCTTATTTTTTTGATGGAGATCCAAAGACGGCATCCAGACCAATCCAGATTGTTTTCCCCAGAAGAAGAGTTGCCACATTATTAACGCAGAATTAATTAATTTACTCATTCGGCGTCAGTTTGCCAAGGTGCTTTGGCTAGCGTGATCTTAGTCGTCCCTCCCATCGGGACTAGCCAACTGCGGCCGGACTGAGTTATCTACGACTCCATCACCTTGATTGCTCTTGATCTACTCCGTAGCCCCGGGCTCCTTTTAATCTCTGCAACTCCTGCTCCGATTCCTTCTTTTCTTCTCCCTCTTTCTCTTCATCATCTTTCGTCTTCGGTCCTGGACCTGTTCCTTCATTTTCGACCTGTGTCCCTTGCAGACAGTTCATTACTATATACCAAGCGAGCTCCCCCCCGGTAGTCGTTTTAGTTCGCACCTTTCTCGACCACCTAGTAATTCGACACAAACCTTTCACAATGTCCCTGATTCATGCCGATAACCTGGCTCCTCAGCCATGGACCGATGTCTTCACCGATGACACCTGTATCGACCGCCGCCAATGCCACCGTACCGTGCCCATGAAGGTGCTGGCTCTTGGTGTGGGAAGAACCGGAACTGCTTGTAGGTTCAACTATGAAAGCAGACAATTGGGTGGTGACTGACTAGTTCCCTGATAGCCCTTCGCATTGCCCTGGAACGCCTGGGCTATATGAAGACCTACCACATGATGTCCGCCAGTATGGAGAACCCTCCCGACTGCCTGATGTGGCACGACGCCCTGGCTGCCAAGTACGACGGTGTGGGAGAGTTCGGTAGGAAGGAGTGGGATCAGCTTCTGGGAGACTGCCAGGTAAGCCGTCATCTTTATTGCTCTCGCGCAAGGAACTCGCCAGCTGACTCTAATAGGCCGTTTGTGACTGGCCCGCTTGCGCCTTCGCTAAGGAGCTGATCGAAGCCTACCCTAACGCCAAGGTCATTCTGACTACCCGTGAAGTGGACTCATGGCATGCGTATGTTCCCCGCACTTTTGTATTGCTTCGAAATTGGTCTGACTTCCTGCAGATCCGTTATGAAGACTGTTTGGTGGCGTGTTTCCGACCCTGAGCACAAGCTCGTTTCGAACTTCAGCTGGGCCGCCAGCATGTACTACCCCATGCTCAACAAATTCTTCCAGACCTTCTTCCGCGGTGACTTCCCCAACAAGGGCAAGCAGGTCTACCTGGACCATGTCGAGGAAATCCGCAGCCTTGTCCCTCCCGAGAGACTGCTTGAATACAAGATCCACGAAGGCTGGGGCCCGCTCTGCGAGTTCCTGGGCGAGGAGGTCCCCGACACTCCTTTCCCCCGTGGTAACGACATGGCCGACTTCTTCAAGCGCTGCCGCGGCCGCAACAGGCGCCAGATGCTGAACGCCGCCCTACAGGCTGTCACCATGGGTGGTGCTCTGCTTGCGACGGGGTTGGTTGCTACCATGGCCTTCAAGCGCTTCTCGCGGTAGAGGCGCTTCTATGTCGTGATCTTTCCTTTTTTCCGCAGCATGCGCTGGGCGCCAATGCTGCGGGTCGTTGCTCTATTTTGCTTTAATTATTCCCAAAACCGTTTTGCTGATGTTGATATATACCGATGAGCGTACCACCCTGATGTGGGGTGCTTTGATAATACCGATGTTTTTTATTTCCTTGTTTTCTGGCTGGATTTGGCTGTATGGCTGTATGGCTGGCAGTGGGTAGGGGGTTTCTTGGCTTCGTTTATTAGACTTACAACTCCTGGCTGGATTGTTGTTGCCTGGCGCGGATGGAGTCGACGAGAGATGAATATACATTACTTGGCCTATTAGCATCGCTAGTCTCGTCCCTTGTTTTCTTGGCCGTGTCCGGTATTACTATGTACTATGTACGGGAGTCTCGGCATGTCACAAGCAGATGGAAGGTGTCCGACTTCCGCCTTGGCCTGCATGGGTAGACTCGAGTCGCGCCCTACAGGGCCATGGCGGTCGCTGGTTTGGCTTGGCGTGGCCTCGGAGTACGGTGTCTCTATCTAGTAGTCCCAGCTTCGGTCTGCGGGAGTTGAGACTGGCGGTAGCGCCCATACAGTAGATCTATTGATTAGCTGCATGCATCGGCACCCATCTCTTGCAGCGGTTGGCGGGAAATTAACCAGGCACACTGTCCATCACTGTACATCATCGACAGCTGGCGGCAACCAGCGGCCAATCCGGATTGTGCAATAGCACATGGAGCATAAAGCGATGACATAAGGAAAGGCCCGGGCGATGCAAGCCATATCTCTCAAAAATGAGCGGCTATTACTCCCGCCCCAAGCAGGCTCTTGAGGCGAAAGGGGGCACGCCTAATAATAGAGTTCCGCTGATACAGCCAAGGATCGGGGACGATGGATCTGATTCGCATACTCCAGGGGTTATCAGGCGGAGCGCCTATGGAACGGTGCTGATACGATGCTAGGTAGCTGTACTAGTCAAGTTTGTAGAAACCAATGGCTAGATAGGTAAACATGTCCAACATTATACACCCCAATTGTGATGGATACCATGCCATGCAGAATTGCAGAGGACTACTAGTTAGTGTGCATGCCGGCAAGCGCCAGGATTCAACACCCGTGACCCGAGCTCCTCCGTATTCGTTTGGCTTCATTACTATTGAACCATGCCAAGCCCATTCTCTACATTGTTCAATCTCCCATTGACTAAACATAGAATGGTCCCTCTTTCATTTCTCCTTCACCAGCCACTCCAGAATATCTTACCATAGTACCTACCCACATGCATAATCTCTTTGCTCCCCTACTTACCTCCCTATCGTCCTATCTCCTCCAGGCTTCAACATTCTCATAGACCCAAACAATCCAATAATGAATTCAAAGGATTCCATCCCCTGTACCACCACCAACACCAAGAGCTCCATCCAGCCCCGGCAAAATGGCCAGCCAATGCAGCTGCAAGTGGGCCCTTTCCTCGGCTCCACCGCGCCTCTTTTTTTTTTTCCTCCCCAACCACAACCGTGGCGTGACGTTGCGTCGACATGCCCCCCTTGACGAATCGCAATGGCATTTGGAGACTCTGGCAGGTTCCCGACCCTCGGGGCGCGTGGGCAGTGGACACTAAGCCGCATCGGGTCTTATTCTCGGGGTTAACCCAGATTGCAAGGGCTGGGTTCCTCAAATACCGGTCCGTACGGGAGTAAGATATACCCCGTCGTAGGCGACGCGTATCCATTGTATTGAAGGGTCATGTTGAACCCATCCCATCCCCCGATTCCGACCTTTAAATAGCCGGGGGTGGTTTTTAGCGTCGAGAAGTGGTTATTGGATGGATAAGCATCTGGTGGTGCCCGCTGGCGATGGGGGTCTACGTGGAGGGGGTACGTAAGTCGTAAGTATGTTCTTTGTAGGTGGGAATATTTTTCTTGCTTTCGCTTCGTTGCTTTTTCTTTACTGCTTTGGGGGTTGTTTTTGGTTGATTTTGGTGGTGAGGGTTTTATGAAGCTGGGCAGGTGTTCTATGTTCTGTCTATCAACGGGCAGAGGTATGTATAAGGATAGGTGGGCGCCGTAAAACGAGTACTATGGACATCCTGGTGTCAGGATATCAAGATGATGATCATCAGGAGGGAATACGTAGAGAATCAACGTGGACATGTCGAGCTAAGCATTTAGAATAGAACCAGTTCCCTTCCCCAGTCAAGGACCAGGTGTCAAATCTCGAATGCGCCACGATCGCCCATTGTCAACGTGATGACGATTAGAGTAATAAGAACCCAAGGTCCGCTTGAGGGCTACTTACTAGATGCAGCACTTTGCTGCCAGACGGATTGTTATATGTCATATGTCGATATGACCAGCAGCATCGACTGGTCTGCCAGCCTGACCCGTCGCTTCTGCACCTGCGCGGAATCACCTTGAAGGGTGAGGTGGTTTGTCTTAACCAGCACGACGCAATAAACAATGCCGGATCGAGAGTGGGTATTCCATTCTGCCCCGCCTCGCCATCCAATCCGAGCTTGCAACAACTACATCGTACGTCGGCGGGGCTTGGCAAAACCCACCCCGGAGAGGAAAGGAAAGGAAGGAAAATGGGCTGTAACGAACTGTGGCCAGCCTGAAGCATAAAGCAGGCTTGCCAAACATGACTGACCCGGGGTTGCTGGCGAGCAAATTGAAGCAGAGGCAGGACTCTCGCCGCTCGCTTGTTATATCATCATCGCGGATCCTTTCCTGCTTTCCCCGACCTCCCTTTCCTTCGTGTCGTTCGCGATTTCGGGATCGTCCATTATTCCATCCCTGTATACATACTTCCACCCCGATCAGGTGGCCCTGCATTGACTGCTGGATCTTCTCGCCGCCTTGATTTCTTTTGACTTCTTCCCTTCATCGACATTCCTTTTTTCTCTTCCCGTTCCTCCGATCTACTTTCTAATTCCTGGGATCTGCCAGAGCAAGTGATGTAAAGAATCCATGGTTGTCTATACTCGCATCTCCGGAGGCTCCGCGCCGTCCCTCATAATTGCCTGTGTGGCTCTGTTCTGCGCATGTCTACAAACCGTTGTCGCGGAAATCGACTCGGTCTTTAAATCGGTGAGTTGCGTCGATCTAGCTTGCACGCAATAATAGCCAAGATGTTCGCCACCCGGATCACTAACCTTGTCCCAACGTCCACCTTTAGCGACCCGATCTCTATCCGCCCGTCTTTACCTTGGAACATCGAGTGCCCGACAAACTCAGCCCGGGGTACATCTTCGTCGGCCCCTACGAAGCGTCGAATTCGGGCCCATATATCTATGACGATGAGGGGGTATGCTTTGACCATCCCTGCCTAGTTTGTCGCAACGAGGCGTTAACAATGATCGTAGAACCTAGTTTGGAGCGGCTGGGGTAACTCTGGCCCCGGAAACGCCCATGGCATGCACGTCTGCAAGTACAAGGGGAAGGATCATCTGTGCTTCTTCCAGGGTGTCCAGCAGAATGGGTATTGCAGAGGTCATGGAGTGATCATGGATGACCACTACCGCATCGTCCGAACCGTGGTTCCCGGGGGCGGCATGGCGTCCAGCGACATGCACGAATTCATGCCTATCAATGACGGCAAGACCGCTTTGATGACGGTGTACCAACAACGTCAGTTTGACATGAGTCCGTGGAACGTCAAGTCCGGCATGGGATGGGTGATGGAGAGTGTCTTCCAGGAAGTGGATGTGGAGACCAACGAGGTGCTGTTCGAGTGGAAGTCTCTTGATCATGTCGACCCCTCCGATGGCTACACCTGGCCAAGCCACACGGATACTTCGGGCACTGGGCTGGACCCGCGCTCGCCGTGGGATTACTTCCACATCAACTCGGTCGACAAGAACGAGGACGGCGATTATCTGATTTCCTCGCGCCATACATGTGCGATCTACAAGATCTCCGGCAAAGACGGATCGATCATCTGGCGATTGCACGGGGCGCGGCCCACGTTCAAAAACATCAACTTTAGCTTCTCGCAGCAGCACGATGCGCGGTGGCTCAGTGAAAACTCCACCCACACGCTGCTATCCCTGTACAACAATGGATTCAATGGTTTCAACCGGACTCATGAATACTCATCCGGCATGCTCATTCTCATCGACCACCGGGACAACACGGCGACCCAACTGCATGACTACGTCCCTCCCGGCAAGAACATGATCAGCTCCAGCCAAGGCAACATGCAGGTCCTCGAGAACAACAACGTGTTTATTGGGTGGGGAAATAACGCCTATGTTTCTGAACACGATGAAGAGGGCAACGTACTGCTTTGGGGTTATCTTGATAAGGACCGAATCATGAATTACCGGGCCCAGAAGTTCGAGTGGGAGGGCAACCCAACCGACGTGCCGGCCCTGTGGACATACTCGCAATCCATCGACACCTTCTCCCCGACAACTTTCTATGTGAGCTGGAACGGTGCTACACGGGTGAAGTTTTGGCGGTTCTACGGCGCCACCAACTCGACTGGCCCATTCATGCTCGTCAAGCAGGTTGAGAAACGAGGGTTTGAGACCAGCTATTCCGCGCCGTATTTCTACCAGTGGACCTACGTCGAGGCGGTGGATGTTGAGGGTAAAGTCCTGGGCAAGTCCCGGACCATGTTCACCTTCATCCCCTCCGTCGAATTGCAGAGCCATTGTGGGAGGGAATCGTGTGAGAATGCCCCAGCCTATGGACTGCCAGGCGAGCAGGGCGCCGGGCCCGCGATTCCCCCGGCGGGTATCAACACCGTTCCCTGGATTGATCCCGGTCATCCTGAGGCGCATTTCGACTGGGGCCAAACCGGGAGTGGCTCGGAGCAGGGCGAGAGCGGATCCGGCACTTTGAGGACCGCATATAGTAAGCAACTCCAGCTGACCTGCAGTGAATATAACCCCGCTGACTGTGCCCTTGTAATAGATAACGTTGGGTGGATCGCCCCCGCCTTTGGATTCGTTGTTGCTGTTGTTGCTATCTACACGATCCTTCGGGTGTATCGACGACAGCACCAATTTAGCCGGGTGAAGGAGAGGGGGTCGTCGGAGAGCCTGGACAGGGCCGAGGGGTCCAAGCCCTGGCAAGGGTCGTCGGATCAAGTACCGTGGTGGCATTGGCGACGCTGGACGGGGCCACAGGAGCCTCCGCGGTATTTCCCACTGGCAGAGCAGCGGAGTCCGTCCTGGCGACAGAGTGGGCATTATGCGCGATAGATCTAGATCATCTAATACTATGTACTACATGTGTTCCTTCTATTATATATAGACCAAAGCCGTGACCATCTAAGTTCTCTAATTTCAACTACTACAATGTAAACATCGTATCGAATTGACTAAGCTCGGAGCAAACAATACGATACCCCCGATCGATACACCAGCCGGTCATCGAATGACAATACACAAGGCCGAACGATACACGCCACTGATGCCAGGCTGAACCAACTGACTCGTGGGGGAGAACCGCTCGCATAATCATATAGGTACCTACGCATCGAATTGCGTACACAGTACTTACTTACGCCCGCTGGAGGGCTCTGCTGTGACGCAGCCTGCATCGGTTCCAGCTGGCTGAGTCGGGGCCGCTACGTAGTCTTTCCCTAATGAGGCGTTCTTGACGCTCGGTCGGGGGTGCACCAGTTTGTCGAGTTTATCTGGCTGGACTGGTGTTTCAAGGTAATGGCGAGCCAAAGTATGAGACGCTGGTGAGGGTGATCTGGCTGGGCCCACCTGGGTTCGGTTTCGAGTTGGAATAGTAGTCACGGGAAAAGGGAAAAGGGAAAATCGAAAAAGAAGTGCCAAGACGCCAATGCGCGGACGAGGAAACACGGAAGAGGCCGGCTGCAGCGGGTGGAGATGAGCGTCGCAAGCTCTGGGAAACACTGCCGATCGGTATTCATACATAGTACATTGTACAATTGTCTAGTATTCAGTATTCCGTACACTGTACAGAGTACAGAGTCGTACTCTGTACTCTGTACCTTAATTCAGTATGGAAATTGGCCCAACCGGGCAATTCTCCTGATTGTCAGTCCCTCGTTCTTTCCTTCAACTACTGATTACTTCTCACTTCTCGTCACTCATTCTTGTTTTCTATTCCTTCAGTCATCCATTCATTCACTCAATCATTCATTCCATTTTCTTCTCTGGGCATCGATCTATCTGATCGACCGGCCCCTCTCTTCTCCTCTTTTCGTCACCTGTGCGTGGGCACCCTATCACAGTCCGCGCCGGACCAACGCTGCATCTCCAATGCCTGCGCCAAAATCCGGATCCAAAGGAACCGCCGGGCGTCCGTCGCTACCGTCGCTATCGCTGTCCTCCTCCACCAACAACCCTTCGTCGTCGTCGGCCATCGACACCCCAGCGGCCACCCCCAACCCCCTCTCGGCCACTTCGGCCTCCTTCGCCCAATCCTCCTCCAAGAGCCGGAATGCTCGTCACACCCGGGCCACTTCTTGGACATCCGCCCACGACCAAAGCGGCCTACCCTCCCCCGCAGACTTCTCCCTCTCCACCTCCCAGCAACGCCGTCGCCGTGAGTCCAACATCTCACTAGCCGACGTCTCCGAGGGCTCCTCCGGCCGCTACGACGACGACGACGACGATTACTCTCGCGACAACATGGCCGTGAGAAACACCTCCTTCGACTGGGGTCCTGGCCACGCCCGCAGCCGCTCCCATTCCTACAGCCAGCCACAGATGTCCCTGTTACAACCACAAGAACTCGCCGACTCCTCGGCGCCGCGCCCGCGTCCGGCTCCCGTCACATGGATGTCCCTTCCGCGGAAGGGGCAGCTCGCCCTTCTCGGCCTGTGCCGCGTCTTCGACTTCCTACAAATCGCCTCCTTGCAGGCATACATGTTCTATCAGTTGAAATCCTTCGATGAGAACCTCTCTGATGCCGACGTCTCCACACAGGCAGGTATCCTTCAGGGTGCCTTTACCGCGGCGCAGTTTGCGACAGCAATCCCTTGGGGTCGGGTGGCCGATGCGGAATGGGGTGGACGGAAATTTGTTCTGCTGGTTGGTCTTCTGGGCACGTCACTGTCCTGTCTGGGGGTGGCCTTTTCGACGTCGTTCGCGCAAGCCGTATTCTGGCGTTCGTTTGGCGGTGCCATCAACGGGACTGTGGGTATCATCCGGACCATGATCGCAGAGAACGTGAAGGAGAAGAAATACCACTCTCGCGCGTTCTTGATCCTCCCGATTGGATTCAACATCGCCGCGCTATTTGGACCGGGTAGGTGTTCTGGTTGCGATGATGTGGGATCCAGGCTAATTGTGTACAGTGATGGGCGGTATGCTAGCTGACCCGGTCAAGGCCTATCCTCGACTCTTTGGGCCTGACTCGTCTTTCGGGGGCGCGGACGGTGTGCAGTGGCTCGTCCGCTACCCTTATGCGTTGCCGATGCTGGCGAATACCATCTTTCTGTCTTTCGCAGCAGCCTGCGTCGCAATCGGTCTGGAGGAGGTACGTGTCCTGTTTCTAGGTCTGGCTGTGCGCCTCTAACTTTTGCAGACTCTGGAAGCTTGCAAGGGCAAGCCCGGCCTGGGAGTCTTCTCGATGCGCATCTTGGCCCGCGGCATTCGGGCAGTGGTTCCCTCATCCTCCCCGCTGTACCACAGACTGCCTTTCGCGGACTACGACGAAGAAGGTCCTCTGCTCAACCGCAGAGACATTGCCGAAAGTTACGAGATGGAGGAGAAGGCGACCAAGTCGACCCGCCAGTCTCGCACCCTGCCGTTCCGGCGGATCTGGACCAAGAACGTACTGTGCACCCTGTTGGCACAGGCGTTCTTCGACTTTCAGATGGGGTAAGTTCACATTTGTCCTTCAGTGGAGCAATAACTAATGGTTGCAGTGCCTTCAACAACCTCTGGTTGCTTTTCCTCTCTACTCCCCGATATGACGCCAATGACCCCGCCAGTCCAATCCAGAGGCTGCCATTTATCTTCACTGGAGGACTGGGCATGCTGCCCCAGAGCGTCGGTTTTGCTACCGCCATTCTCGGAGTGATTGGCATGCTCCTCCAATTCACCATCTACCCCAGCATCAACGGCCGCCTGGGCACAGCCAAGAGCTACCAGTACTTCTTGACGCTGTTCCCCCTGGCCTACGCGTTTGCGCCTTATATCGCGCTCGCGCCGTCGTCCGCGCCCCCGCCGGGCCAGGCCAACGGAGGATGGGTGTGGTTCTCCATCATTGTGGTCCTCTTCCTGCAGGTCACCGCGCGGACCTTTACACTCCCGACGTCTATCATCCTGTTAAACAACTGTTCCCCGCACCCCTCGGTGCTGGGCACAATCCACGGCATCGGTCAGTCGGTGTCGTCGGCATTTCGCACCATTGGGCCAATCTTCTCCGGGTCGTGGTACGGCTACGGTCTGGAGATGGGCATGGTGGGATTCGCGTGGTGGCTGATTGCACTGGTGTCGGTGTTTGGCTGCGTGGCGGCCATCTTTGTATACGAGGGTTCCGGACATGAGGTCTTTCTTCCGGGCGAGGAAGAGGAGCTCCGGGACTGAGTTTCTTGCACTTGGCGTTTTGCTTTAACTGTTTCTTCTGTACATATATACCATGGACCCATGCATAGCGGTGTCCGAATGTCTGTTTTGGGTATTTTTTATAGTTGGCTTGAGCGGTTGGTGTGTGATACCTGCCGTTACCTTATGCATGGATGACCAAAAGGAGATAGAAGGATGCATCTAATAGAAGTTGCTCGTGCGGCGCTGTCATAACAATCATAACCAATGTACCTACCTACCTGTCATACCTCACCGCCGCAGGGCCGCGAACCGTTGCGTCAGTTCATCCAACTCGGGTATCTCACTCTTTCCTGTCCTCGTCTGGCCCTGGGCTGAGTCTCGCGACACGTCCTCCCCTGCCACTTTGACCCTGGGATTCAGGTTATCCGTCCTAGGTCCCGGCGGTGCCACACTCACTGGACTCTTCCCTTCCGAAAAGAGACCTCTCGGTGGCGTCGCCTTGTTCAACTCGACTGTCTCGGACGCCCGTCGCGCCTCGCTCTCGCTGGCCTGTCCAATCTTCCTCGGTGTGGATGGCAACCCCCCATCCCCATCGCCATCTCCGCCCTCTCCCTCATTTCTGTCTTTCCCCTCCTCCATCAGATCGGGCACATCCCCGTCTACTCGCGACGGAGACTCCGTATCCACCGGCCAAGCAACGCCATACGCGCGCGCAATCTCCATCAAATAACTCTCCACCAACTCGCCCGTCGGCGGTCGCACCCGCAGCCCCTTCAGCAGCCGCTCCGGCACGCGCACATCCTCCAGCTTATTCTCCTGCGCCAACATCATAAAGTCCTTCCCCCATCGATCTGAAAGCAGGCCCCGTAGAATCGTCATCTCGCGTATATCATGCGGAAAGCGCGGATACGAGTAGAAGATGACTGCTGCGGCTTCATCAAGCGCAAGATCAATGTATCCCTCTTTTTCCTCCTCCCCGGACCCAGTTCCTTCTCCCTCTACACCCTTAGAACTATCTCGGACCGCAGACTGTGGTGTAGTGGCGGCGGTGGTATCTTTTCTTCCAAATCCCCAAAACGAAAATCCCGATCCCGAACTTTTCATTGCTGATGAGGAGGAAGAGGGGGCATGTTGTTTCTGCGCCTCGATCCGGGCTCGACTGCGCGCTCTCGTGCCCTTTTCCCCAAAGGCAGCTTGATCGAGCACATTTGCGCGGGCTAGAAGTAGCTCGCAGTAGAGCTCGACCATCTCCATGACTTCCACGGCGGTGTCGGTGGCGATGACATTCTCGACGCGGATGCGGGCGCTGGTGGAGCGGTTTTCGGCGAGGAGGGCTGAGAGGTCGCGGCGTTGGACGACGGAACTGGCGGTATCTTTCTTTTGGAGGAGGCGAAGGCGCGGAATGAGGAGGTGAAGGGTGCTGGTTAGTTTTGCCTGGAGAGGAGAAAAGAGAGGGGTGTTGTTAATTGGGGTTGACATGGAAGTAGCACGGTGGTGGTGGTGGTGCGGGGGAGGGGGGAGGGGGGGTGACACAGGGAGAGAGAGAGTAATGGGTGGTGGTGTCGACGGCAAGGAGATAGATAGTAGGTATGGCTGGGGAATGCAGGACTCACTGTTTGGGGTGAAGGAGGCATGGTGACTATCGATGTGTAATGTTGTGATAATGTAAGAGATGGAGGAGGATGTGGTGGTGGTGAGTGAGACTGAGAGGGAGCCTAAGCTCGGCAGGTGCGGGTGGAGGTGCGGGTGGAGCAGGCAGCTGCTCTTTTGGGGTGGGTTCCTTCCGCCTTGCCATTTACAACAACAGTTATATCATAGGTATATCTAAGCCTACTACTCCCTACTGAATCAACCGTGTGTTGGAACGGCTTAAGACTATGTCATTCATTCATTCATTATATCCCGAAAGATATCAATGTGCTACACAAAATTATACCACAAGGTCGTCTGCAACTCCTCCAGCCGCCGCAACCCCCCCGACACCCGTCCTAGAGCATCGGTCAGGAATGCGCTTCGCGTCGCTCCAGGTCGAGGAGCTTCCCACGTCGTCCATCCCCGCGACATCGCCCGCTGGAACGTCGTTTCGGGATGGGTGTCAGGCCCCAACGGCGCCAGCTCCACCACTGCCTCGGGTCCCAACGTCAAGAGATAGTTAATCCACTCGTGCAGCACGATAATCCCCTGGTTTCGCTCCGGAGCAACGCCTGCATTTTGGAAAACCCCAAATCGACGGGCACGCTCGGTCTCGCCTCGGAGGAACCCTAACATATACTTGAGACATGTCCAGATCTCATCCATGTCCTGCATGTCGTTCACGGACAGGCCGCCGGGATTACCCTCCCCAAATCCCGGAGGAGGGTCGAACAAAATGCTGCCCACATCTTTCGGGTCTGGACAGGGCTGGAACGGGGACCGGACTTCCCCGCGCAGCCAGCTGACTTGTCCGTCTATGTCGTTCTCTCGACCCGTCTGCATTCCGAAGATGAAGCAGAATGTCCACACGCGCCAGATAGCATCGTCAAGCCGGCGGGCGTCCGGGCCGGAAGGGCGGGAAAGTGCCGTGTACGAGCTGGTGCGCATAACCGCCCGGCAGTATGTCATCATCAGGCCCTTGAGAGTGGCTAGGGCACGCAGGTCGCGGGTAACGGCGCGGTAGTAGACAGTTGCCGAGGGCACATCCTGCGGGTCTGTCTGTTGATTGATATCACTCATTTGACGGAGTTCCCATGCGGCAGGCGATCTGCGTCGAATGGTATTCTCCATCAAGGGGAGTTCGTGGCGCTTGAAAACATGGTATGTAGCTTTGCTGGTTTGCGCAAAGGAGAAGAGGTCATCAAGATCGTCAATCTGTAGGAGTACATGGAGAATCATGTCTTCAAGTCCGGGCTTGGAGAGGCTCCATCGCCTGCATGTCATCCGTTGTAGATCGTCGTCTAGGGCGGCCATTACTGCGGCAAATGGCGGGCAGGAACTGCGCGGTTCTGATATCTCATCGGGGGCGGTGCCTGTGAAGTAGCGCACTGAGGGAGCACCTTCGGTGAACGTGTCATCCTCACCATAGCCGACGTATTCCCAGCTGCTTTCGTTGTCACCACGCAGGCTAGGCTGGTGAATTGGCTGATCAAAAAGCGGGTCAACTGACGGATTAAAAGGACGGTCAATCAGATCGCCAACAGGCTGTTCACCAGGCTGTTCAACTGGCTGCTTGACCGACTGGCCAATTTCGTGGGGAAGGGAAGGGCATGTGTGATCCGAGGGCAGGGAGGAGTGGGAAGTCGGTACAGATGGGATAGGGGGCCCGGTATCAACTCCAAGTAGAGGCTCGTTCTGCACTCTCGTGAAAAGAGATCGAAGGAACTGCTGGTTGGCCTCTGCCTGCAGAATCACGTCCATGGAGTACCCATCCTCAAGCAGACTCGCCAGGACGTTCTTCATTCGCTTGATGGCGTTTTCGTAGCGGCCTTCATCTTCCTTCCCGTCAATGAAACCTGGGTCAGTCCCGGCCTCATGTGGGTGTTGAGCAGGGGGCATCATTGACATCCGAACAATAATAGATGCTCTGCGGGCATTCTTATGCTTGTTTCTTCCAGATTTGCCTGCCTTGAATGCTCCGCCGTCATGGGAGACAACTTTGCGGGTTAGGACGCGCCGCACTCCTGCCTTTAGCGTCCGCCATAGGGGTTTGTCATCACTGTCCTGCTTGAGTTCTTGACTTGAAGATTGCTTTACTGGCTGTTTCTGCTGTGGGTACATTTCAGCCGGGCTCAGCCCGTTCGGACTATGACCGTAGCCGTGATCGCTCGGGAAAGGAGGCAATTGCTCGGTCTTGAGGCCTAGGGTTTTCGGCCACATATGAGCATTTTCAGGAACCCTTTCGGGTGCGGAAAAGCTATCATATCCCGGAGTATACTCGTTTCTCAGATTCGTAGCTGCTCGGGTATCTGGGATTGATACTGTAGGCCGGGGGGTCGTGGGCCGAGGGGTTGTAGATCTGGGGGTCGAAGGGCGAGGAGTTGTAGGCCTAGGGGTTGTCGGTCGGGGGGTTGTCGGTCGGGATGACATGGATGGGGGTGTCATGGGTCGGGGTATCGCAGCAAAGGGTGCAGCTGGAGGAAGAGGAGTTGTAGGTCTAGAAGTCGATGATACTGGTGTCATGGGACGTGGTGTGGTAGGCCGGGGTACTGCACCAAAAGGTGCTGCATGAGGTAGAGGAGTGGTAGGCCTGGATGTCGACATAGGCGTCATAGGACGGGGCGTCGTAGGCCGGAGTGCTAGAGGTTGAGGCGTATAACCCGTGGGGGACTCTCGTCTGAGGGAGCTATGCCCGCCACTCGATCTACCGAAGCCTCTGGAATGCGCGCTATCACTTACACCAGGGACCGGGGGAAGAGGCTTAAACCTCCACTCGGTCGTTGATGGTGAGAGCGCCGCCGAACTTGAACTGGATACATATGAATAGCATGGACTTGGCGGGCTGTGGTCGTCCGGCCTGTTTTTAGGTATGTTAAGATGCGGTACAGCCAATCGATCTGCCGAGTCCCATTTTGTTTCCAGTCCTGCGAGGAGGAGTTTGTCGTCGATGTCCTTGGGCGGCATCTTGTTCAGGTGTTGATGGTGGGGGCGGGCCGCGGCGTCGTCAGTATGATCTTCGAGGATGTCGTTGGGGAGAAAATAGAGAGTAGATCGGGAGGCGAGAGTGTCCAGCGATTTTAAGCCTTCAGAATTACTGAACGGAGCATGTGGAGGGGCGAAAGGGGATGTAGAGCGGATGGGTGCGTAGGGACCCTGGGTGTAGTCGGACATGGTATGCAGGGCAATCATGGAGAATCACCACTGTCGGCACAGAAAAGTCCAGAACAAATGGCCTATATTAGTCCAGGGAGGACCGGGAAAGGGTGATATACGTCGCATCCCACGGATGACATACCCCTGGGACCCGGATCCGCACGATACGCAAGCTCACCAGGGCTGGCAACTCGAGAGGCATGGATGTTGGGTCCATAATGTTTTGGATTTAGTCAGAGGGCCCACGCGAAACAGCCAGGACATGCGAGTCCAGCAGCTAGTCCCTGACTGTAAACAGGTGCCTGCGATGGAATGAGAGGAGGCCATCGTCCCAACCAATGACGAGGGAACTGGGCGCAAGCAAGCACCTGTGCCTTGCTGACGGGGGATCAGCTAGCAGGGGACGGGGCAGTGTTGTAGCACTTGGAGGGACGAGAGCAACGCATCAGCGTGGGTGCTGGAGCTCCAATGTGTGCTTGAAGAAACTAGTTCGCGATGGCGTTGGGGCCAAATCGCGTCAGAGTCTGCGAGGAACCCGAACTGCGTCGACCGCAGTGCTGAGACAAATGTTAGTTTTTGCCCCCAACCGTGAATGCCATGTTGAAAACAAGACTCACCTTGACCGGAAAATGGGAGGAATCACGAGTGTGGGTGGTGGTGGAAGAAGGAGAAAGGAAAGAGAGGAGGAAGAGGCCGAGGCGCTAAGAGGGCCAGGCGGATGATGCTCACGCGCAGCCTCCCTCGGACTCTCTGACTTTCCATCCAGCACACTTCCGCCCCCAGAGACGATCCAACCTCATTTCCGTCCCAGCCGATCGAGAAGGCGACGTTCTCGTCGCAAGCCATGTGGCAGAGCCCACCAGACCAGGTGCACCCGGGAACGGGGACTTCCCGGTTCCAGCTGACATCAGATGTTGTTTTCTCAGGCAGGCCCTTTGGTTTGGGGCGAAAAGCGCCCACCGGATTCTTGTTCTAGCAGGAAATCTGGCACGGACAAGAGGACTGTTGGGACAGTAAGGATCCTAGTTCTACACGCGAACGTGGTTTTCTTTCAATGGCACTGACATGGAGTAGATGAGCGGCCAAAGTTCCAGCTACCAAGCCACAATCCACTGATATACAATAGACAGCAGAAAGCTACAGTATTCATGTCAGGGGCGCCTTACTCGAAAACAGTCGGACCTCCTATCTTTGTCAGCTCGACAAGGCCACCGAAGGAATCAGGAGAGTGGATATGAGCCACATGGGTGTCATAGGCGGTCCCCGGATCCGACGTCTACTCCTTTTCTCGAACCCGATCAGCATGTTTAGGTCCTCAAATTGACTTGGGGCAAAATGGCCCCAACTGTTAGTCTAACCTTGATGTGTGTGCCTTGCACTATGGTGTAATAGGAAGGTTGCGTGGGACATCAATCCAGAGAACCAAGACTGCTGGAGTCGTGGAGGGGGAGATGATAAGGCAAAATTCGACTACCACAGGGATTAGTAAGTGCTCTGTCTCTAGTCAACAGAGATTCTTGCAAATATCTCCCCCTGGTTGTCAGCGGTTTCATCCAGAGCAGTGCTTGTACGACAGCAAATGCATCATGGGCTGAGACGATGGCACCGGAGTCCAACCTTCCTCCAAACAAGGAATCATTCCTGTTGGAAATCTTGATAATGACCCCTCTCGCGGATCCTTGAGCGTCTCTTACATATATCATCACTCGTACCCCGGCTGGTACATCATAGTGGGCCAGCTAATCTGGTTTCAAAAGTTGACAAGTCCCAATGAGAGAGGCATCATGGAGCACGCCCAACCCGCCGGCAAATAAATCCTGTAAGCCTCCACAATTGCACATCGCGCAACGAACACCAACAATTATAGCAGCGAAGCGTCATGATTGGAGATTTCGCAACCTTTGTAAGCTTCGCCTGAGACAGATTACATGCATGAATGGCGTGTTTGAGACTTATAGGACTGGCTTGCTACGTATAACTCTTATCTATTATATCTGATACGTTCCGACTCGCAGTAACACACTGCAATCAAGTGTGGTCGGGATAATACCTTGTTTGATAAGAGCCCCGATATGGGACATGCGCAGCACGCCTGATACGGAAGACCCTGAATGGAGCCCCATAGCACCAATCGGTACATTTAAGACCAGTAATCCACCCTGTCATATCCTTACAGCATGTAGCTTTCGTCTGGATCGATGCGACCCTAAGTCGATGCAAGGGTTGACCCCAGCTTTAGATCTCGGCTCCAAAGGCGATTCGCAAAAAGACCCCACCCCCTACCACCAAGGCAGAAAGATTGGACTTAGTCAGTCCCAGACCCTGAACGACATCCAACATCTCAGACCAGTCACATGCTTCCAGTGCCCGGATAATAGGGTACCACCACCATGGGAACGTTGCGCTTAGCCAACAAAATACCCACATGAAACCAACACATCGCTGCCATAGTGGTGTTTCCGTTGCATTAATTTTCTTCCCCTGTAGAAAGACTGCCCAGCAATGTTGCACATTATCCTCAAAGGCTATGGCACCAACCTGCGAGAGGAAGAAGAGCACAGTGCCGGTGTTTCCCCCTTCGATCCCGCCGATAATGTTAACGACCACATGCATTGCTGCAGAGAGGGCGAAGACCGTGGTTAAGTTTGTGTATCGTTCAATTAGGGAGGGCTTGGGAAGGCGGAGGATACGACAGGTGATTGCTGTTGAGACGCTGGTGTAAGACCACCGGAGATACTGATGCCAGAATTTGCTGGTTATTGCCTCATGTTAGTGCAAATTCCTCGCCCAGCGGCAGGCAATTTTCAAACTGAACAAAAAGGGTACCGCTATGGACTGACCCCCAGAATCTGCGAACAGTATATGACTCCCGGAGACACCCAAATACTGGAGGCCATGAATCAACCTTCGATATGCCCGCCCCGATAGCGAGAACAGATCCCACTCGGTATGTGGAGTCCAGGAAGACCATCAATCCTGGAAGACCGAAAACGAATGCCGCTTTGACCCGTGCTAGCAACTGTTCAATGCTAGAATCTGCGTACAAAAACTCGCGTCCTGGTCCGTAAAGGTAGGCCCCATTATGATCCGACTTGATGTACGGCACAAATAACATGAGCACAAGAACCAGGGTAAGGGCCTCCCCCATTACGATTGCCATCTGCCTTCGTATAAACTGGGCTCGGCTAGGTGGGTTTCTTTTGAACACCAATGGAAATTCAGGAACATTTTTCGCCTGCCATTGAGTGCCGATTCCACGAAGGGTCTGGAGTATAAAAAATGCCGATACTAGTTTGCCCTTGGGTGTACCCGGCTGCTCTGTAAAGTCAATGCTGGTAACCAGAAGAAGGTTGATCAATTGAATGATCGTGGTGAACGGCAGACCGCCAGCCGTGGCTTTGAAAAAGCCACCGTGGTTGGAGATCTTCATGAGAACGCCTTCTAGATAGGCCATGTACACTAGCGAAGGAAGGCATATCCAACGTAGAATGGAGCCCTTCGGCGTCCGGACCAGGAGGATGATGGTAATGAGGCACTGAAGAAAAAAAACAACATTGAAAAGTAGGTCTGCTGAGATGGCCATATTGCCTAGTGGTGGGAAGACCGTTGACTGCTGAAACAGCGCCGTCCAAAGGAAAGAGAGGGTTATACCTTGGCTTAGTTGAATGTCGATGTAACTCTGTAATACTTATTCTCCTGAAGACTGCGACGCCCCAGACGTCGATTCATTTACCTGTACGACAGGCGACGCATGTTCCTGAGCGGCAAGAAAGGTGGTGGAGAAGGCCTTTTCGACGAAGAAGCATGCTCAATCTGGGAAAGTCTACGTATTATTGAATGAGAGACTGGGTATGTTGAGCCTCTTTCCAGGCCGAGTCAACCCTTGGCCAATGTAAGCCACTCATGGCTGAGGTGAGGGTGATGTCAGTCAACCAACCAATGCAAGCAGCGTGGTGTAACCTGGATTGGAAGCTTGTATTGCCTGAGCTTTTGAGTCTAGCGAAGACTTCAGCATATATCGACCTGTACTGAAGATGGCGGTGATGAGTATACAAGACCCGAGGTGGCGAGATCTCACTTATCTGCATGATCCCATCGTGCACGAAGTGAGAAGCCCCCCCGGAAGTCAGCTGGTGCTCTTCGCCTCGGGTCATCATCAACCCGATGGAGTCGGAGCATCAACCTCCCGAGGTCCCCAGCGATTGTCCCGGTGACTCGCCATCATTTTCGGTACTCGGTCCTGGACATTCCCTGCTTGCATCCTACCTTGAACCGTGGGTCTTCCAGGTCGAGGCCAGCCGAAGAATGGGGTATCGGGGTATCTAGTGGACCTTCTCCAGATTAGAACCCCTGGGGCGCCATTCTATCTAGCTACTGTTCAGCCAGGGAACGCGCGGAGTTTCGAATGGACTACCACTTGAGCCTAAATGAGCTTGAGGCGAAACAAACAATTATATTCTCATCGTAAATTCGTATGCTGATTGTTTTACATGAACCAGTCATGGCTACTTGCAATAGACGTTAATCCCATAATCCCAAGCTCGTCGCCGGAGCGAGCTTCGCGACTTCCACCATCATATCACATTCGACTAGAAGAGAGCATCGCCCAGACGGTAGTGCACGGCCTTGATCTGAGTGTAGTTCTCGAGGGCGTACGAGCCCAGCTCCCGGCCGATACCGGACTCCTTGAATCCTCCGAAGGGCACCTGGTAGGAAAGCATGTTGTAACTGTTGACCCAAACGGTTCTGTTGATGACGTTAGCAGATGTTTGTCGATACATAATTCAATGGTAGACACTCACCCAGCACGCAGAGCGTTGGAAACGCGGATGGCGGTGTTGACGTTCTTGGTGTGGATACCAGCAGCGAGACCTGGAAGAACATTAGCACATGTCGCCATCGGTACTCATATCAAAGAACTCACCGTAGGAGGTGCTGTTGCCGATCTTAATAGCCTCATCCGCATCCTTGAATTTCTGCACAGTGACAACCGGGCCGAAAATCTCCTCCTGGCTGATCTTCATGTCTGAGGTGACATCGGTGAACACAGTGGGCTGAATGAAGTAACCCTCGGTGCCATGGCGCTCACCACCGACGGCGACAGTAGCTCCGGCATCCTTACCGTGCTTGATGTACTCCATGATGCGGTCAAACTGGAGCTGCGAGACCTGGGGACCCTGGAAAGTATCCTGCGAGAAGGGGTCACCCACCTTATTCTGGGCGGCCCGCTCCTTCAAGCGCGCAACGAACTTGTCGTAAATACCTTCCTGGACCAGAATACGGGAGCCGGCGCAGCAGCACTGGCCGTGGTTGTAGAAAATACCGAAGTTGGCCCAGGAGATAGCATTATCAATGTCCGCATCGTCGAAGACGATGTTGGGTGACTTGCCACCCAGTTCGAGAGTCACCTTCTTGAGGTTGCTCTTGGCCGCGGCCTGAAGGATGGTACGGCCAACAAGGGTGGAGCCAGTGAAGGCGACCTTGTCGATGTCCATGTGACTAGAGATGGCAGCACCGGCCACGCGACCGAAACCGGAGATGATGTTGACCACACCGGCCGGGATCTGAGCCTCCTTGATCAACTTGGCCGCATACAGGGCCGACAACGGGGTCTGCTCGGCAGTCTTGAGGACGACAGTGTTACCGGTCGCGACGGCAGGACCGATCTTCCAGGACCACATCAGGATAGGGAAGTTCCAAGGAATGATCTGTCCACAGACACCAATGGGCTCGTGGCGAGTGTAGTTCAAGGTCTCCGAGTTGGTGTCAATGGTCTGACCATGAATCTTATCGGCCCAACCACCATAGTAGCGCAAGCAACCAGCAGCGTTGGCGACATCGACCTTAGCCATGGTGATAGATTTACCATTGTCAAGGGATTCGATAGAAGCCAAGATATCGAGATCACGCTCGAAAAGGTCGGCCAGCTTGGTCAGCAGGCGGCCACGATCGGTGGGAGTAACATGGCGCCAGGAACCCTCAAAGGCCTTGCGAGCAGCAGCAACGGCAAGGTCTACATCCTGCTCGGTTGCTTCGTGGACGGCAACAATAGGCTTCTCGGTGGTAGGGTTGATGGTCTCAAAGGTCTTGCCTTCGACACCCTTGACGAACTCATTGTTGATGAACCTATGTCACAACAGCGGGGTCAGTCACCGAGGAGACACAAGAGGATCCGGAGGGGTAGAGGGAGAGGGGACACATACAAGCCCAGAGGCTGTTCATATTTGACGGAGGGGGTCTCGATGGTGGTGAAAAGGTCAGCCATGGTGGAAGGATAGAGCTGTGGTCTGAGAGAAGGAGAGAGGAGAGAGGGAGAAACAATTGAAGAAGAGCGGGATTTCCATCCTTATTAAATAAAGCCAACACGAAGAAGATTGGGGGGTGAAGGCTACTAGAGAGGGGAAGCTGGCGAGGGGGGCGAGGGGCGCATTCCAGCGTAGATCGTGGAGCCCGCGGTACTGTACCATAGTATTGATCGAGTACATGGTGACGGTCCAGCCAGATCCATGGGAGTCCTTCCGGGTAACATTACCTCACCCCTCCGCGGATAGCCACAATCGCCGTATCTCCGATTGGAGCAACCGGCGCCTGAAACTGGAACCTGCTTCCCTACAGGTTACGCCCTTGGTTATTCTCCCAGGTAACTAGGTTCCCGCATCCCAGCCCGTCCCCACCCGCCTAGCAATCGGCAGCGATCGTGCGGGGTTTCCAGTCCATCACTTTCGGTTTCTGGCCACCCCTCTTGGACCCTCTCCCCTTTGCCTCCAGAGCTCAAACTTCCAAGTGTTGGCGGTTAGTAGCAGTTAGAGAAAAGGTAGTCCTGTGGTGGTGGAAAAGGGAGAGCGGAGCGGGTGGGTTACATCTTACATCATAGTACCTCAGAACGAGAGGGACTCGGCGCCCGAAGGACATTATTACTCACAACGAAGAATGGCCTCTCGTATCTTCCGGAATTCCTCCACCTTGTTGAGTGGCGGGGACAAGTTGCCTACTAGCAAACTAGTACTATACTAGCAGTTTGCAAGCTGCATCATTTTAGTCAGCCCAACTAGGTGCTTACCGTTACCTATCTATCTTCCTAATGTGGGCAAAGGCAAGACATTAGTTAATGCATCTCCCATTAACACGGTATGGCGCAATTTAGCGCTGACCAATGAAATGCTCCATCTCATCAAACCGTCCCAGGTAGATAGTAGAGGGGAGAAATCAGAAATCGTTCCTGGCAACCTGAGAACTGAGAAGTGAGATCCCCAACTGTTGACCAGATCCACCCTCGCCAAGTCACTAGTGGCTGCCGTTGAGTTTTACCAACGATGACACCTTCGCCATCTTTCAATGTGACGGGCGGGACTTTCGCCCGGGCAGGAAAGGATTGAAACCTGGGGGTGGTCGGCTGATTTGGGCCCGTCGAGGATCCAAGACCTCAGTTATATCCGGATCCATCCCTCTAGGCCGTGTCCGGCAATATGGCTGCTATACCTGGAACCGTGAGTGCGGGCACCATCTTCTTTGCCAGGCTGTTGCTGGCATGCTGCGACACCGAGGATACTCAGGTACCGCTAGCGTCATTACTAGCAGCCTATCTAGAAGACCCCCCCCACCACTTCTGTATTAGATCATAGATATTAGAAATTTAGAATAATTAGATAGGTGGATGGCGGATGGCCATCTGAAACGGCAGGATTCACTATTCCATAACCAGGATGGAGAATCCCGCTGCCATGGCAATAATAATCATTATTATTTGACGCATTTCTTTCCGACTTGGGCCCAATCAGGACCCCGACTCGAGCAGTTCGACAGAACCTTACTTTGGAGGGACTAGATACTAGTACTGTGCTGCAGCTTACACAGCAGTAGCAGTACAGCTACAATCGGACACGGCTTATCTCCGGGTTTACGCTGTCGCGCCTGTCGCCTCTGTTGACTGTTCACTGTTGCTTACGCAACTCGTGGGGTAGTCCCTTCCCGATCGAGCCTCGGCTTCTGATTCTCTGATACCGACCCTCATCTGTTCCCCCTTCGGATTGATCTATACCGGCAGGATCCTAAGATCTCGCTCTCTTCTCTCATCTCACCGAGGTCCCAAGAACCCTTAGCCACTCTTATGTTACCGTTGATGGAAAATGTGGTCATCCATGGAAACCTTGGAACTCTGCAGCATCTAAGCTATCTGCTAAGAACTTCCAGTTCGCTTCAACTTGACCCTCTTATCTTTGAAATCCAAACAAGTTTTTTTCACTGAGTAAAAAAAAAAAAAATGGCGTCTTGACAAGCCAGAGCAGGCACCTTTTCGGTGTGCAACAGTGACGAAGAGAACTTCTCCGTCATCGTGTAGGAGAGGGTCTACGGAGTACTGATCCTTTGAAATGCCTCTGTGGGAGATGGTTTACTGCAGTTCCAATAGAACATAATATGCCAACACCACGGACATACAGGCAGGTATCCTCGTCAAAAGCTTGGAACCGTCGGGGAAAGCTGGGGAGGCTCCGGGCGATATTGCGTCGTTCACATGCAGTAACATGCATCTCAGCAGTCATATGTGTTGTTATGCTGCGATGCTACAAGCCTGTCTGCCTACTTACAACAGGTCCGCATTATCAGAGCGCCGATCTCGCCACCCCCGGAATGAGCTCAACAGTTGGTCCGTGTGCAGGCTTTCTGAATGAGTTGCTGCCAATGCCTTCAAGCCCCGCACAGTATTAACTCAACTGCCCTATGTAATACAGTGTGTATGAAACTAAGAATGATTAATGATCAGGGATGAAAGAATGAGGTAGCACAATGAAGGAATGGCTAATCCATGTTCTGCCGACCATCGAACGCCTATAAAGAGGGCCCTAACTTCACGCATCCCTTTTGCAACTGTGGTGCGTCAATTCACTCACCAACTGTTATTTCCTCGCGGTTAATGCAGGAAAATGCCAAAATTTTACCAGTCGATCACTCCCGAACTCCGCGACTGGGCCCTCCGCCAGAGCGTCTTTTTCGTGGCCTCGGCGCCTCTGCAAGGACGGCATGTCAATGTGTCACCCAAAGGGTTTCCCGACTCGTCATTCGCCATCCTTGGCCCCAACGAGGCTGCCTATGTTGATGCCACCGGTTCGGGTAGTGAAACCATCAGTCATGTGCGCGAAAATGGTCGTGTCACCATCATGTTCTGCTCATTCGATGCTTCCCCGGGCATAGTACGCTTTTTTTGCACCGGGTCCGTGATCGAATGGAATGAGCCTGGATTCACCCCCTACCTCGAGCGGATGGGAGGTAAGCAAGTGGAGGGAGCGCGTGCTATCATCCGTCTGAATGTCTTCAAGGTTCCGTCTCTGACTACTTCCAAAGTTCCCCCCCCCTTGTCTGGTACCCCGCTAACATTCAATGCGATTCATTCTTCGCAATACAGGCTCAACATTCTTGTGGATATGGAGTCCCGCGATTATCACTGAAAGTCGACCCCAAGACCAACAACACTGACCCGTTTCTCCAAGACCGCAGTACCTTGGGCCATTGGACGGGCAAAAAGGTCCGATCCAACGAGCTTCGCGCGTATCAGAAGGAGTATAACGTCCGTAGTCTTGACGGGCTGCCTGGACTGAATACGGCGTTGAAAGATAACCACCAGCTTATCTGGCTGAAACGGTTGGGCAACTGGGCGCGACGCCACCGAGATGAGATTGAGATGATGAAAACCTCCGTTCTGATACTGTTCATCTCCATGACCATTTTGCAATGGGCCGGATATGTGTAAATAAAGCACGAAGTGACAGACGAGAAACGGGTGACCACAGTTCGGAAACTTCCAGGCAGTCTGGTGACGTGACCTTGACTTGTCTCTATCTATCCGCATGTAACATCATCCCCTCTGCGACACCGACACATAATTGCTTCTACCTTATTTTTTATTTCCCCCCCAGGCCCAACGTCTTCATAATTTAAGCTTCCACCGGGTCAACGCTTACTTTTGCTAGGCGGTCGATCCGACCGCAAGTGCGGCGAGTCGGGGCAGATCCCCGCATCCCCTGATCCAAGCAGCCGAATGTCCTCGGCATTTCCGGGGGAAGCATGCGCAGTCTGTTTCTGCCTTGGTACAAATTTACAAGGCAATGACTTATTCGCTTGCTCGAGTTCCCAACAAGCCCACAAAGCTTGTAGCGGTGAAACACCCCATAGATCATGAGTCGTCGTCCAATTCGTATAGCTGGTAGGTCAATCTAACTTACTCACTTATCCCCTAGGCCTGACTGGTGTTGACTGACCACACATGGAAATAGGAGCGTCGGGGTCCAGCGCCGACCGCCGTCATGCCATTGCCGAGTTCGCTCGAAATTACCCCCAGGATCCGGTCGATGTGATCATCGCAGACTTCATGAGCGAGGCGAATATGGTAACGGCGGCTGCACGCAAAGTGGAACAAGACCAGCTCAAGGAGAAAGGTGGACAAGGTCCCCCAATCCCCGACGCTCCAGGCTATGAAGCCGCATTCCTCTTGTCTCTGAGCCCGGCCCTTGAAGACCTAGCAAAGCACGGCATCAAAGTGGCGGTCAATGCAGGGAACGCGGACACCGAGGGCCTTTACAATGTGGTCAGGCAGATGGTGGAGGCGAAAGGACTGAACCTCAAGGTCAATTGATCACTATCGACATGATCCGTGGAGAAGACATGCTCACATGACTCCAGGTGGCTTGGGTATCCGGAGATGAAGTCCTTTCAACCGTCAAAGCTGCACTGTCATCGGGCAAGTCAACATTTAACAACATCTACACTGGCAAATCTCTCTCCGACTGGCCCTTCGAGCCCATCTTTGCTCAGTGCTACTTGGGTGGACTCGGAATCGCGGCTGCACTGTCCCACGGAGCCGATATCGTACTCTGCGGCCGAGTCTCCGACGCTTCACCCGTCATTGGAGCTGCATACTGGTTCCACAACTGGAACTGCAGCGACCTTGATCAGTTAGCCAATGCATTTGTGGCCGGTCACCTCATAGAATGCAGCAACTATGTCTGTGGAGGTAACTTCACCGGCTTCAAGACGCTAGAACACGTCGGCGGTGATGGCTGGGCCAACATCGGGTATCCCATCGCAGAGATCTCCCCTGATGGCAAAGTGATCATCACCATGCAGTCCTACGCAACCGGGGGCGCCGTCACTGTCGACACCTGCTCATCCCAGCTTCTCTACGAGATCCAAGGCCCATGGTACTTCAACTCCGACGTCACGGCCATCCTCAACGACATCCACTTCGAACAAGTAGGGACCAACCGAGTCGCCATCCATGGTATTCGCTCCGATGCGCCACCCCCCACCACCAAAGTTGGCATCACAGCTCACGGCGGCTTCCAAGCCGAGGCGACCTGGTTCCTCGTCGGCCTCGACATCGACGCCAAAGCACGCATGCTAGAAGCCCAGATCCGCCATCTCCTATCCCCATACTCCTCCAAATTCACTGCCCTCCACTTCTTCACCCTGGGCTCTGTAGCCCCCAACCCTCAAGACCAAGACAGCGCCACCGTCTGCCTCCGCATCGTCGCCCAAGCCCGCGACGCCGACGACCTCTCCCCGATGCACTTCCTCCGCCACATCGTAGACAACATCATGCAAGGCTACCCCGGGGCCACCTTCCACCTCGACTCCCGACAAGGCCTCCCTCGTCCCATCTACGAATACCACGTCAGCCTCCTCCCCCAATCCTCCATCAACCACCGCGTCCACCTCCCCTGGCTGAATCAAACCCTCCTCATCGCCCCTCCCCCAACCACCAAAACCTACCCTCTCCGCCAACCCTCCCAGCCCATCACCTCAATGGCCCCCACCATAACCATAAACCCCTTTGGCCCAACCACCCGCGGTCCCCTCGGCTGGATCATCCACGCCCGCTCCGGCGACAAAGGCCCCGACGCAAACTGCGGCTTCTGGGTCCGGCATGCCGACGAATATCTCTGGCTACAATCCCTATTGTCCATTCCAACGATACAAATCCTACTAGGAGAGAAATACAATGCCAATCCCGACCTGAGTATCGAGCGCTTCGAGCTTCCAAATATGAGGGCTGTGCATTTCTTGTTTCGCAATTTGTTGGATAGAGGTGTCGGCGTTACCACGACGGTGGATTTCCTGGGGAAGAATGTGGCGGAGTTTTTGAGGGCCAGGGAGGTGGATTTGCCGGTTAGGTTTTTGAGTAGGGGAAAATTGTAGTGTGTGTGTGTGTGCGGTTGATGCTTTTGGAGGGGATGTGTATGTGGAAGATTCTAAGAGTTGCTTGTGCGGGTGTGATATATGTTAGTATGTGTAGCCGACCAGATTGATTTGCTAGTATCATTTGCAGCCATTGACGGGCCTAATAGTACTAGTAGGTTCTATAGGAATTGTGTCTTATTTCGGTTTTCTTTTATATTGTTGAATGAGAATTGGTTTTTTCGGCACCTATATAATATCTGATATCCCCTAACTCCAATGTAGCCTCGTGATGCCGTACCGTCAACGCCTGGAAATGCAACAAACTCCTCATAATGATATGCCAAGTAGACATAGTAGCAATGAATAGACTCGCAACTTCTATCTGCGTCTGGCGCTACTCGCCATAGGCTCAAACCCATCACTATCATCGTCGATATCACTGATGACACTATTATATCTTGTGGCACGCGTAGATCTAGTACCCGCCGTGCCTCGCACGCTGCTCTGAGAGCCCACGAAATTCAGTGTCGTTTGTGTTTGCGTTTGCTTTCCCCTCGCTCGGCGCGTAGCCGGTGCGGGTCCGATGGTATTCGATGAAGGTGCAGGAGATGGGGCCTTGCGGCGCTGGCTGATGGTGCTTGATCCCTTTGAAGGTGGTGCTGCTGCTCTACGGGATCTGGTGGTGGGTTGCTTGACGAAGAGGGCTTGGGAATCGTCGTCATCGTCGTCTTCTTCCTCTTCGTCTATGTTGGGGAGGGCGGCGGCGGCGGCGGCGTCGTCGTCATCATCATCGTCTACCATGATGACATCGTCATCTTCATCTTCGTCATCCGAGACGGTGCGGCGTTTGCGGCCTTTAGCGGTGGTGGTCTTTACCGGTGTGGCTTTCTTTGCGGTAGTGGAGGCTGCCTTCGTGGTGGCGGTCTTACGCGTGCTGGTGGCAGTGGTAGTAGCTCTACCACCACGGCCTCGGCCCCGACCACGCGTGGATGTTGTTCGAGTGGTGGGCTCAGTACCATCCTCGCCAGCCACTTCTTCGTTGGGGTCACCGTCCTCGTTGTCGGAGTGAATGAGGGCACCCGGCTGGTCCTCCCAGACGCCATCAAACTCGGTGTCCCAGCCATCGGGCTTCGGCTTGAATCGCTTCTTGCCCCGTGTTCGTTTCTTGATGCCACGAGAGAACATGTCTTCCATTTGGGAGCGATATTTATCCATGGCCTTTTGTAACGAGCTCTCAGCAGCTTCTTCTTCGTCTATGTCGTTGTCGCGGTCTAGAGCCATCAAGTGCTTGATTTGGCTCTCGAGTGACTCGTTGACGAACATTTCCAGAGCGTGTTTGTCATCCTTGTCGATGAACTGGGCTACTGCGTCGCCGAACGAGTTCTGTGGGAGAATAGTCAGGGACTGCGCGGAGAGGAAATCGCGCACCAACTGTTCGACCTTGACGGTGTCCAGAGCAGAGAGATGGGAAACAGCCGTCTCGTCAAGGTCATTGTCCGCATCCTTGTTTCGTGTGCTGGCGGTCTTCTTCTTGCGGTAGAATTGGACAACGTCGTTTACGTTAGCCACCTTGCCTACGAAACGGTTCGAGAACCGCTGCGGGTTTTCGCAGTCATAGGTGCCTCCATCCGGGATGGAGGTTTCGACGCGCAGTCGCACCAGAGGTAGCGGGACTTCTAGCTCTTCATTCTCGGCGTTCTCGGCATTCTCATCCTGCGATTCCAGCCATTCCGCTTTTGCTTCTTCGATGAGCTCCTCGACGATCGACATGAGGAAGCGAGTGACTTCCGTGCGGTTGTTCTCCTTGCGGGCCATCTTCTGTGCACCTTTCTCTTCGGAAAGAACGATTTCACGCATAGCAAAAGGACGAACGGACTTTAGTCGAATGGGCTCACATTTGAATTCCCGGCCTGTGACGCTGAGAATTGCGACATGTTTGGCCACTGCTTCGCCGGGGACCAATGAGGTCGCGACTGACGAACCCGGCTGCATGACATGAAACTTGGTCTCAGGATTCATTCGAGGATTGATTAGGCATTCGTGTTCGTGGCCCCAGATGACGAGATCTAGAAATTCGGGCAGGAAATTCTCGGGCAGATAACCGGTTTCGGTGTGTGCGTAGTGATTCTGATGGACACAGATCAAGTTGAACCAGTCTTCTTTCTGGATCGAGGGCTGGTAGAACTTGACCTTGTTGTCTCGAAAGGTGCGGAATAAGCGCTCATCACGGACGTTGCTCATGCCATAGAGGGCAAGCTTGGTGCGCCCTTTCTGAAGCAAGACGGGCCTAATCTGGATATTATCCGACTCAGGCGTCCGTCCGTAGTAATTGAGCAAACCTGATACCTGAAGAAGGTCGAGCGCGGCCAGATGCCCTTCCCCGGACGGGTCATCGTGATTCCCATGGATCGAAAAGATGGGGATGGCCACGTTGATATCCAAGTCCTCGTAATTGACGTGGTTAAATGCGCCCTGGAAGTTTTCGCTAGCATCGCTGAGCATCTCCAGCTCGCAGGGCTTATCGCCCAAACAGTTCATGCGGATGGAGCGCATCACTTGGTACATGGACTTCCGCGACGGTTTGTTCTCATGGAACAGGTCACCTGCCAGAAGCACCATGTCCACATCGTGTTCCTTAGCCAGGCACATCACTTCATGAAAGCTTTTCCAGCTGTCGTCCCCGCGGATGGGGTCCCGTTCATTGTATCCGACATGATTGTCGGTTGAGACGAGGATGCGGATCGTTTCCGCGTCTGGATCCATCAGCAACGAATTCTTCACGGGCAGTGATTTGGGGGATTTACTCACCACCTAGATTGGGCATGTCGCTACGATCGAGTATGCATCAATGTCAAGGGTTAAAGGGAAGAGAGAAAAAGACAGAAGGTGGGGTATAAAAGTAGGAGTATTGCGGGCGACTAGATACTGGTAAGTAGCCGGCAGGCTACCGTGAAGGAATGCTGCCTGGAAACACGATCGATCGACGGCCGTCATCAACCCACTAAGGTCAAGCCCGGAGATCCAGCAGCACAGGAGGATGAAGTGTAGCAGTACTATGGAGTAGTGTAGCGTCGTATAGTCCAGTCCGTAAATGAGAAAAGGCATTTCGCGCCTCATCCGCGACGGCGCGTGAGCACGTGACGGGCACGCGCCGGGATGGCGGCCTCTGATTCATCGCCGCCCCCTCCGATCCCCTCGTTCTCTCTTCCGTCTTCTCGTCGTCGGATCTCCGGACTGTCTTCGTCCTCCCCTTCGCTTGTGACTCTTGTCCCCCCTTCACCTCTTGTCCCTCCCTCACGTCCCCGGTGTCCTACCTCGCATCGCATCGCATCGCATCGCATCGCATCCCACGTTTCCCTTCGTCCATCCCTCGCCACCCCGTTTTCTTTCCGACTGATCCAGAATTCGTCCCTGGTTCAGTCGCCTCCATCATCCCAGTTACCCCGCGAGACTCTTTTATGCAATCCGAGCCTACTGCAGTTTTCGACCGCTCGCCTTTGCTAGACCCGCCGTCAGAAGTGTTCCTTGATTCTACCCAGCATGGAAATGATTCGCATGGTGAGCACCGAGTCTCTGGGCTTCGGTATCAGGAGCCCGGGGACTCTAGTGGCGGTTTTGACTCATCCGCGGTCGGCCAGCACTCGCCCTTGAAGGCCACGGACCCTGCGCCGGTGGTCGACCCCGTTAGTCAATATGAGAATGCGATCGCTCAATCCGCACGAAAAGAGGAGGAAGTTAAATTCAGGGTGAAGCCGTCACCCATCTATCTGGGCGTGTCCCTAGATGCTTTCCCGAATGGTATGTCGCCCCATTCTCCAGGCCCTGAATGACAGTCTAATGAACTCAATCCGGCAGAGGTGCTGACGCACATCCTTTCGCATCTACCCCCGCCTTCGCTGTCGTCGACGGCCTTGGTGTCTCGTCGGTTTCACAGTCTGGTCACTACGCCCCATGCGTGGAGAATTGCCTTCTCGCGCTACTTCCCCGGCCCCTATACAGTGGAGGATGGCGCATGGCTCTCTGCAGCAAACCCGGCGGAAAGAGTGACATCCGACAAGCGGTATTTCTCTAGGCTGACTGCGCTGGCTTCCTGGAGAAGTGAATACATCCTGAGAACCCGCTTGCTGAGATCACTCTCAAGAGGCAAGCCGGCGGACTTCGAGCCTTCCAAGAAAACCGGTACGGTGCGATCAGCTAGCGTCCGTAATGGCAGTGCGGTAGTCACCTATACTTCCCAGCTTCTGTATCCTGTCAGCCACCTACACGGGTCGTTCGGAACAGAAGTCACGAAGAAGGAGCCTCTTTTCATCCATGGCGCTTCCGAGCAAGGGTTTGCGTCGGCTAGCGACCCCTCATCGGTCAAGGTTGGTACATGGGGACTGTCTGACCACCAGTTCTTCCGACACTTTTCAGACTTGTTCCCTGGAGATGCTGAGTATGGCTTGGGCTCCGGTGAACATGTTGGTGCTCCCAATCGCATGGATGTCAGCCAGCCTTATGGTATGATCTATGGCGAGGCTTGCCCTCAGGGGCGTAGCTATTTCATCTCGACTACTGAACAACGCGGGAGATTTCTAGGCGTCGCGGATTCCAGTTCCCAGCCTCGTCTGGGTATCCCTGCGCTCAACATGATCGCAACCGGTGTCACCGCGGTATGGATCGCCAAATCCTCCAATATTCTCAAGATGACTGGCGGTCTGATCGCAATGTTGTCTGGCTCTTCTACTGGAGTTCTCACAGCATATGCCCTCGGCCCTCATCCTACCTATGAAAAACGGTACGAGAGAGGCCAAGTGACTGCGAAATGGGTCCTGTGTCCAGGCGTCCCCATCATCGCCATTGCGGTCGATGATAGCTACTCCCCCAAACGTCATTCCCGGCGGCGAATCTGGGCGACAGTCCTAAATACTTTGGGAGAGGTCTTCTACTTATCTGATATCCCACGGCAGCCTGATGTGCCTTCCACTAAATTGACTGCCGAGGAGTATGAGCAGCTGGCGTGGAAGGCAGGCAGGAGTGTCCGTTGGGAGCTTGTCGAGTTGAGCAGACGGATGGCGCGACCGGATCCGTTCAACCGTGACCTTGTCGATGGCAGCTACAGCCCTCGATCGTCATCGGATGCAATGAAACTTAACGAGGACCAGATAGCCGCAGAGACAAAGGAGATCGAGCGATTCCTATCTTTCAAGCCGAAGCATTTTAAAAAGGTTTGTGAGGGCTGGGATATGCGGCGCGAACTGAAAGTCGACTTTGCTGGAGACGATGGTCTTGGAGCCGGCGAGGCAGTCCTTGTGGTTTCCCGGGGCATGGGGGATGATGACAAGGCTTCGATCCGAAGGTACACGAGGACGTTGTCGAAGCATGATCCGGCGACGGCTAATCATGGTTACGCTGATAACATGCCTGTACCTTCTATTTTCGGTGGACCTGTCAAGTTTCCTCTCCTGCCCTCGGTGAGCAGCTCAAGCAGTGTGCCTTCATCCCGCGCTTCCAGCCGCGTCAGTGAGACTGTCTGTTCAATCACCAACACCGAATGGCGCATCACTGATTTCGACTTCGGTGACCGGAAATCGGTCCAGATTACTGCCAGCGCACTAGACCTCTCGACCTATGCTCTATTGACAACTGATGAGGATCCTCTCATCGGCATGTCAGGTAGTTCTGCCCTCTCTTCGGAAATGTCTTCCCCGCTCCCACATATGAAGCAACCCCCTGGTAATGCAGAAGTCCCTGGTCAGCGGGGACGTTACATGGCCGTGGGCACCGCTGCGGGAATGGTTTTAGTTTGGGACATCCGTTCGCCAACGTCCAAGAATCCTGAAGTCATCAATTCTGTTTCGCCTGTTCGAATCATTCAGACGGAATCGCCTCAGGTCTCTTGCGTGGCTTTGACGTCGCTGTACGTAGTTCATGGTGGAAACGATGGACTTGTCCAGGCTTGGGATCCTCTCGCCTCCTCGACCCGACCGATCCGGACCATCAATTCGCGCTTCTCGACTCGCGCCCGCCGTCGGCTTGTTCAAGCTGAAGCTTCCGTTCATGGTATCGGTAATAACTACTATGCCACGGGCGCTGTCTGCCTTGACCCGGATCCGACCGTCCTACGAGGAATGGTCGCTTTGGGAACGCACTTACGTTACTGGTCCTACAGCTCCTCCGCCGCTGATCAATACAAATCTAGCAAGCGCCGGCTTCGTCGCGGCCCCCGAGGCAGCAACGCTACCCCCGAGGGCCAACGATTCAGCACTAGCGGCCGCGGCGCACTAAAAGACTTCATCGAGGACGAGAAGATCGAAATGGACCGCCAGAAAGTTGCCGACGCGAAGGAGCGCGCCCATCTTAGCCACCGCTTTGGCGTCGATCTCCTAGGCCCAGACATTGACGAAGACCAGCTTCTCGCGTACGCGCAACTCCTAAGCGAAGAGGCTTACTCCAGCGAAGCAGTGAAGCGCAGCGAAGTAGTCGAGTGCTCAGTAATGAGCACCTCGCCCAGCGACACCATCGGCCCGAACGACAGCTCCGTCGCACCAGATGAGCTATCTTCTGCATCATCTCCCTACGAAGACTTCGCAGACGACGACCTCGAGCCAGATATCGCCGAGGCCATCCGTCTTAGTCTGCTCAACGAGAAACCCACCGCTGCCTCGGGCACCGGTTCCTTCGACCCGCCATCCCCATCCGGCCCAGCCGTTGCGGAAAGCAGTCGACAGCAAGAGGTCGATGATCTCGAGTTCGCAATCCAGCTCAGCCTCGCCGAGGCAAAGAGTCAGAATCAGTCGGTCGAACCCACAGAGGAGTTCCCAGCGCTCTCAGAACGGTCCCGGTCTCCAGCGAAAGAAGATAAGGGCAAGGGTAGAGCTTTGTGAATGATAGACTCTGTGATTTTGTTGATACTATGTTTTTGTATTGTACTGTGGTTTTAAATTTAATGTATTTTCACGTCGATACTAGTATTTGGTCACGTATTGTATGGAATGCGCTGTGTCAGCCATTTGTTGGCTATCTTGATGTGAAATATGCCCAGTGTTTTATGTTGCACGAAACTTGCACATGCCGGGGTGTAGATTATATGACGTCATTTTGTGATTGGATAACAGGGACGGAATGTGATTGGGTCACCTGACTTAAATACATGCGGTATGATTTCAGGTTTGATTACGACATGAGCTGCATGCAAAATCCATCAGCACGATTCAGATACAGCGAAGAAATTTATTAGACGTCATCGAAATCATATCCCGAGTCAAACTGCCCACTGCCACTTGGCTCTATTCAGGGACCTCACTCTATACACGTGGAACAAACACCAATCTTGGAATAATGGTCATGGTCATAATGGGCAAGAACAGGTTCGCCGGGAACAGGATGGGATGAAATCGATCAAAAAGAGGTAATCCAGAAGGTAAAGCGAGAAGATGTCTAAGACAAGTGAAATTACAACATGAAGACGGCAAACAGAGTGGCTCCCGTCAGCAGACCCATGAAGGAAGCAGACAGGTGACCGGCGGTGGCACCGCTCACCGAGCTGGCCGCGGAGCTAGACGCAGAGGCAGACGCGGAGGCAGAGGCAGAAGCAGAGGCAGAGGCAGAGGCAGAGCCGGAGCTGGAGCTGGAGTTCGAGGTGCTGCTCACGAGCGAAGTCGAGTTGTTGGGGGTGTTGGACTCGTCGCTGGACAGGACCTTGTACTTGACGTCCGAGACCTTGTTGCCGTTGTAGTCGTAGATGGTCTGGGGGATGGCGGTGGACGAGACGGAGACGAGCGTGCCAGCGGTGACATTGGTGTAGCCGCTCTTGATCCAGTCCGCAACCTTGGAGGGGCGGGTCGGCAGGTCCCAAGAGTTCAGGAAGGTCGAGTTCGTGATCAGGGAGGCGCTGCAGGTCACCGGCTCCTGGGAGGTCTGGGTCGAGTTGGAGGACTCAATGCTAGTCATATCCACCTTAGCGAACTGCTCCGTCAGGTACTCGTAGTCGCGGAGCAGAGTGGCAGTGTCGCTGCTGTTGATGGCAACGAGACCGTAGTCGTTGGCCTCTTGGGTCCACTCGTAGACCAGACCACCGGAGAAGACCTGGTCCATCTCCTTGCCGTAAAGGGCCTGCACCTCAGTGAAGGTACGGGGCATGACCGAGTTGCAACCATACTCGGAGAAGAAAACGGGCAAGGTGGTATTCGAGAAGTCATCGGTCAGGACGTCGTATCCGGAAGTAGTGTAGGAAGAATCACCACACCACGAGTACGAGTTGAGGCCAAAGAAATCGGAACGAGAGCTGGTCGAGTTCTCCATGTTGCACATGAAATAGTCCAGGGTGTCGAGCAGAATGGGACGCACATCAGCAGCGGAGTAACCCACGGGAATGGACCGGTTCGCGTTGGCGGAGATGTAATCCTTCATGTCACGCACGACGGCCTGGGTAGGGAATCAACATACCATCTTCCACAAGGCACCCCAATGGGACATTGGAAAACTTACACGAACGTACGCAGGGGCCTCGTAGACACTCTGCTCGTTGATCACCTCGTTACCGGCGAAGAAACCCAGAGTGTTGGGGAAGTTCTTGAAGGACTCGATGACACCGAAAACCTGCTCGAAATAGACGGAGTTGTAGGTGCTCTCCGGGTCGGTGCGGTCGAGCGAGCCGCCAGAGAGAGGCGAGTTCACGTCGAGGATCATGTAGATACCGGCTCCGTTGAAGACGGAGGCACACTTGCTGTGATCGACGTTGGGAGACAGGTTGTACACACGGATGGTGTTGACCTGAACGGCACGACGGTTAGAGGGATTGCGCGAGAGATCTATCTAGTAAGACGGGGAGACCTACACCCAGGCTCTGCATGAGGGCAGCATCACGCAAGCAGGCATCGGCGTCGCCCAGGGGATCTTCGGTGGAACTGAAGCCGGAGGAGCCACCGGGCTGGTAGCTGTTGCGCGAAGCGAACACAGTCAATATTCGATATTCCGCGTCGATATCGGCAGATGAAGGCTTACTCGACACCCAAGATCTGGAAGCGGTCTCCGGTCTTGCTGTTGACAAAATCCATGCCCTTGACCTCAATGGGGGTCACGGCATTGGCGGTGGTCGCAAAGGCGCAAGCCGCGGCGAACAGTTGAGCGTAAGTCTGCGCCAGTTAGCCCAATGGGGGATCTATCTATAAGCTGACCGCGAGGGCACTCACGGGAACCATCTTGAATGGAGGAGCGACACAGTCTGAAGTATGAAACGAAAGGATGGAGTCTTCCACAGGAAGATCCGAGTGGGATTGATAAGGGCTAAAGGAGTGACGGAGGATGAAAACCCTCAAAAGCAAGGCAATGAACGACGGAAAGCGCGGGGGATGCTGGACTGGCAGGCACGAGGGAACCAAAAGGCCGGGTGAGACATGGCAGGCGAGACATGGTATAAAAAACCAGGCAAGGACATGCCCAGGACTCCAGGAGACCCTCCGGGACCAACAGGAGAAGCGTGAGAAGAGGGCAATCTCCCTGCGATTCGAGATTGATTGCCGGCCAGCAACAAGTGGAGGCTGCTAGTCGCGCCTAATCCCCATAGCGCCTTGTCGCTCCCCAGTTGGCCGGCCGTCATTGGCCTGTCGCGGCCCCATCTGCACGACGGCGGCCTCAGATCAAGGCACCCCAAGGGTTCCAACTTCCAACCCAACAGGCTAACAGCAAGCCCGGTGATCGCGCTGACTTTGCTGGCCCCCGAGACCCTGCAACACCCGCGCCCCAAATGAAGGAGGGTGACCCGATTACGCATGCCCTCGTTTAAATTCGGGGCGGCTTTGATGACTAGATCCGTGCACCACCGCCAGCAATGACGATCACCATCATTCGGCATTCGGCATTCCGCTGTCGCATTCACTTTCAACAAATCGTCGTTTTCTGTCGGTGTGACCTATTCACTACCGACTCCTACTTCTTCGCATGTCTAAGAATACATACCCAGGATTCCATTCCATCGGGGGGATGGGCAAGGGAAAAAGATATTACCGGCCCCAGAGACTCGGATCATCGGCCGTCCGTTCAAGCCCGGAAAGAAAAGGAAGAACCCAGGGGAAAAGAGAGAAAAACAGTCATGGCGCCGAGAAATTCCAACAATGTCCGACATGTCGGCGGTCAAGACACAATGCACATATACAGGGAAGTCTGGAAGGTAAGGGGGGGAAAGTACACGAGTAGCGGAGATGGGATGGGCGTGACAAGATGGTGGATGGGGCTTTCACACCAGTCCATCTTGACAGAGGACCAGGCCACGGCCCAGCGTGAACCGGATATTATAAGAGACACACGTTCAAGGCCAAGGTTTTGATGCGGAAGGGTACGGGTGGGTGAACGAAGCAGGAGGGAGAGCTGGGCCGGGGTTGCAAGTCATGTTGGAATTTACTCAACACCATGGCTCTCGGCGGGGGCACCCTCGCCAGTGAACGAGCCCAGCTTCAAGCCAGCGTCCAGAGCGACCATCTCGGCCAGGATCTCCAGCACTTCCTTGGGCACCGTCTTGTCGTAGATCGAGATGAGGTCCTTGGGCTGGGGATAGACCTTCAGGGCCTTGTAGAAGCACAGAGCAGATTCAATCGGGTCTGTAGCGCGGTTGGTACGTGTACCGCCAATGGGTGAATACTGAAGGGAGGGATGGGGACCGGGGGAAGCGTGTCCGAGCAAGCGCGTCACGGCGGGAGACACATACCTTCGCCAGTGAGAGCCTCTCCCTGAGCGACTTGGCTCATGAAGTAAGACTCCTTGTCCTCAAGGTCCGTGGGGAAACCCTCATCCTTGGCCTGCTGCACGACCTTCTTGATGACCTCGCGCTGCATGGCACCGTGAGCCTCAGCCTCCTCCTTGACAGCCCTTTCCATCCGGCGGTTGTTCCGCTTGAGAGCTTTGCGGAACTCGGGATCGGTCTGTCTCTTGTGATCAAAGTAGACGGCGTAGGCTATGTAGAGCACGAAAGGCGATCAGCATATCAGCATTGATAACCTCGGGATGTGGTTCCGTGGATGGCCTGGTTGGTCCTTACCCAGAAGGCCGGTGACGATTGTGCCGGCAGTTGCGGCCACCAAGGTCGACGTCCTCATGATGAATGGATGGAAGGATGTGAAAGGGGAAAGGTGGAAGGTATGGAATCAAGAACCAGGCGAGGAGGGGGAGAAACGGAAAGAAAGTCCGGAACTGGTCTGGGGAAGAGGGAGATGGAGCTGAAGCAGACAAGACCAGCAGACAGAAAGATGACGGCGATTCTTTTGCTGCCCGGATAATTTTGCCGGGATCATCGTTGTTCCGTCTCGGGTTTCTGTCCCGCTTGAGCCTGTGCTCTCTGCATACTCTCCTCTATACATACATTCCTCCCCTTCCTACCCCCAATTTCCCCTCTCAGATTGCAGGCTCAATCTTATATCTCATTGATTGCTCCCCCTCGTCATGGAAAGCCGTGGCTTGACCCTCCGGAGTAAGTCGCGCCGCCCCCGGCCCCAGATCAGTGCTCCGCAACCCATCTCCGGCCCTCTGCCGACCACCAACGGCAGTAAGGGTGTCGCTGCCCCTCCTGGTCAGATTACTGCCTCTCCCAGCTCGACTTCTCTGGAACGGGGCCCTCCAAAGGATGCGACATCTGATCTAGTCAAGCGCCGATATTCCACCCGTTTCAACCAGATCCCAGACTTCGATGCCAGCGCCCCGCCGGTGCCGGGCCTGCCCAAGGCACCAGCCACGTATGGCGGCCTCAGCCCACCCGAGACGAGTCGGAGACCATCCACGGAGTCTTCCGCCCCCCCCAAGGTTGATTTGAATGCCCTCCGGGATCCTAGCCTTCCTGTCGATAAGTGTAAGTGCCGCTCAAGATCGTTCCCGTGCTTCCCGTCCCCCGGGTGCTAACGTGGCACCAACCCGTCCCAGACGTCGCCAACCTACTCGCCAATGCCTCGGAAGAAGAGATCGAGGAGTACCAGAAGAGTCTCCGGAAGGTCAAGAACCGCACATCAACCGATCTGCAGCAGAATGTGTATCAAAACCGCACCCAATTCATCAAGATCAGTAAAGAGGCGGAGAAGCTCAAAGGAGAAATGCGCACCCTCCGCACTCTGATGGCGGAGCTCACCACTGCGCTCGGACAGACCACCGTTGGCAACACCCCGAACCCCATGTCCCCCACCATCGACGAATACATGCCCAAGCGCAATGCCAACCGCAGCTCCGTGGCCAATCTGGAGAGCATGTGGAACGTCCAGCTTCAAACCCTCTGGAAAACGGTAGAAGGCTCCCAGAAGTTCCTTCCTGTGGCTCCCGGCCGACATATCGTGATGGAGACAGGGCATTGGGTTGAGCTGGACTCGGCGACCTGGAAGCCCAGGCGACCAGTTCACATTGTGCTGCTGAACGACCACCTGTTAATAGCTGCAAAGAAGCGCAAGCGGGTGGATCAGAGCAGCCATCGCGGGCCGGTCCCCACCAAGCTAGTCGCGGAAGAGTGTTGGCCATTGCAAGACGTCGACATGATCGATCTCGGCGCCAATCTCAGCGCGGGGGCCGCTCGAGAAGAAGCCGAAGATCGCGGGATAGCGAATGCGATCAACGTCCGCGTGGGTGGGAAGCCGTTCACCTATCGTCATGACAAGCGGGACAGCTCGGCCAAGGGTGACCTGCTCGCAACTTTTCGGAAAACCGTCGAAGACCTCCGACGTACCCTCCGCTCGGAAACCGAGGCTGCCAGCAAATCCACCGAGTCATTCGGCTACTTGGGCGTCCGACGCCCCTCCTATTCTCCCAAGCCGGACCAGTACGACGGCGGTGAAAGCTCCCGTGACAAGCCGGAAGTGCGCATCGACGTGGATGGGAAGCAGCAGAATCTTCGTTGGGTCGACGGGCAGGTGGACGAGCTGGACATCGACATCGCTCTCCAACGGTTCGAGGAGGCCGTGGCCAACATCGAGCGGCTGCGCAAGCTTGCCAAGGGCCTGAAGGGCAATGCGGTCGCGCAGGACGTGATCAACGCGAAGGTTGACGAGCGCGCAGCCAGCCTGGCTGAGGTTCTCCTGCGATCGCTCGTGGACACGCACTCGTTCCCGGTGGCCACCAAAAATAGAGTCTCTTGGCTCACGCGTCTGGGCTTTGAATACCAAGCCCGGGAGGCTTATCTCAAGTCTCGCACGGAGGTCATCACCAAAAGAATCCGGTATGCGTCCCTCTTTGTTTCCATTGCCACGCTCAGTGACTAATTGCCTACAGCGCCTGCGTCTTCGAGGGCGATCTCCCTCTCTACATCTTCCAAATTTCCTACGTCTACTTCACTCTGATCAAGAACACCATCAGCATCTACCAACAGTGCTTCCCGCCGGTCATGTCCAGCGCCAGCATCCGCTGGGCGAAGCACCACCTTGACGGCTTCAACGCCCTGCTTACCCGCCAGCTCAGCAGTGTCCAACGCGGCACGACCGTCTGGCAGAAATGCATTGACATCGTGCGCGAACATGCCAATCTCCTGGCAGAGGTTGGCGTGGACTTCACGGACCTTGTAGCGAAAGACCTAGAGACCGGCGAGGAGTTCACCGAACGACCCCAGATGACCCGGTCCGAGTCCTTGATCTCCGGGTTAGCGGAGACGGCAGCGGCTGCTATGATCATTTAGAGAAGAGATGAGTGTATAATTTTCCCCTTGTCGTCTACGCATTTGGCGTCTCCTTTCCTACTTCATAGCCTCGGGAGGCTGTGAAGCTTTGCTCATATGTTGTTGCATCGTTCACAAATAGACATGGTCAATGCCCATGCCTATGCCCCATGTTTTCGCTCCAGCAATTTTCCAGCAAAGTCTGTTCGATATAGACTCGTTCCTTCAAGCCATAATCCAGAATGAACCGATGCTGTTCTTTTATTTCCTTCACTTTCTAGCTTTCTGTTTGTATTCATGCCCCATGCAATCTGAGTCCTGTAATGTACATTGCGCTAAATCAACCCACGACCAACCCATTGATGAAACCCGATAGATGCAACCAATATACATATAGGTATAATATTTGTGTATATATACTTATCAGATAAAATCCTCCTTTACGAGTTTCCCGGCAGTACGAGGAAAATCTCCGAAGTCGGCTGGAAGCCCAAAGCCGGAAGGCACGTGCGTGTGATCACGTGAATATAGCCGGGATGCTGGATGATGGCTGCAGGTGACCTGCAGGTCAGCAACTCCCCCTCTTCTCCCCATTCCACAGCTGTCAGACATTCTCTTACTAGCAGCACTTGACTCGCAGAGGAGCAGCTTGGCCAGTATCTATGTGACCGGCTCAGATCATGGCATCTATCCATGATCGTTACTACCTGGCATGAGCGACATCTGCCGTGTGATTTAGACAATTTGATCTTCATCAGACACATCCATGAAAAATCCCAGGCCGCTACCAGTCGCCAGCGGGACTGAGAGCGCAGCCGGATGGCAATGAATGCGCCGCCAGCATGCCTCAAAGAATGGCATCACTGTATCACCTTCGGAGCCAGATCTGGTAGCCGAGCTGCGGGCCCCAACAGTTTCGGCCAAAAAACTCCAATGGAAGCTCCGGGTGATAAGCCCCGGCTAAGAATATTACGTCCAGACGCAACAGTGAGTGGGTTCATACCCCCCATTGCCCACCTTTTGGGACTCCCTTGCTTCTTTTTTTTCCTCCTTCTTTTCTTTCCTCCGACCTGCATCCCCTCCCTTCTTCAATCAGTAATATCCATCCCGCCGCATCAACATGGGGCTCACCACGTCACTCAATGACCAATCTATAGGGTGGGTGTCTCCGAACCTTATCCGCTGCTCGCTGTAGCCCTACCCAGTACTCACATCCAACGCGCTGCGCAGGCACAGTGCTGAACACCTGTCCCTCCCATTGACAGCCCTTCCATCTCTACCCTTGTTTGTGGAGGCAAACGTCCATGCGCAGAACACTCCAGATAAGATCGCCATTGTGGATGCCACCAAGGGGCAGCAGTTCACATTCGGGCAACTTCTGGCTGATGCGGCCGCTCTGAAAAAGGTCATTCTGGAGAAGCTGGATCTTACGGAGCAAGCCAATTTGGAAGAGCGACGCATCACGTTCTTGACGCCTAATGGGTACGACTACGTGGTTACGCAATGGGCCATCTGGGCTGCCGGAGGTGTCACCGTCCCGCTCTGTATGTTCAATCCGTACCACCTTGAATAGGCATTGCGCTGCAATCGCCGAAATTGATCGCTAACTGGCTGCTCGAGTAAGGCACTACACATCCGGTCAAAGAGCTGCTATACACAATCGGAGATTCTGACCCATCCTTGATAATCTTGCACCCATCATTTGAAAAGTTCGAGGCGCCGCTGCGGGAGGGTATTAGCAAAGAGATCCCGTTCATGTCCCTTACGCCATTCCAGCAGAGGCCTGGGCCAGTGCCGTTGCCTGAAATCAGCCCGGTATCTTTCCTGCACCGTCGGGCGCTCATGATCTACACGTCGGGGACGACCTCCAACCCCAAGGGCTGTGTCACCACGCACAAGAACATCACCTTCCAGGCCAAGAGTCTCATTGAGGCATGGCAGTACAACTCCTCGGACCGGCTTATTCATGTTCTTCCGCTCCACCATATTCACGGCATCATTAACGGTCTGACGGCCAGTTTGCTCAGCGGTGTCGCGGTTGAGATGCATCCCAAGTTCGACCCCAAGGTGATCTGGGGGCGGTGGGAGGAAGGAGGGTCCACGATGTTCTTCGCCGTGCCGACCATCTATTCCCGCCTCGTCGATTACTTTGAGGCGAACATTCGGGGCACCGAGCATGAGCAGGCTGCGCGGGCCGGTGCACAGGCGCTGCGGCTTATTGTCAGCGGATCCGCGGCTCTCCCCACGCCTATCAAGAGCAAGTTTGCTGCTATCACAGGCCAGGTCCTTCTCGAGCGGTTTGGCATGACTGAGATCGGCATGGGAATCAGCTGTGGACTGGAAGTAGACAAGCGCATCGACGGCAGCGTCGGCTGGCCGCTCCCGGGCGTGCAAGTGCGGCTCACGGACAAGGAGACCGGACGGGTCATTGATGCCGTGGATGAGGACGGGATGATCGAGATCAAGGGAGACAACGTTTTCCTCGAATATTGGCGCCGGCCGGAGGCGACGAGCAAGGAGTTCAGCACGGACGGATGGTTCAAGACCGGCGACGTGGCCCGGCGGGATACCAACGGCGCGTACTTTATCCAGGGCCGTGCTTCGGTGGATCTGATCAAATCAGGCGGATACAAGATTTCGGCGCTGGAGGTGGAGCGCAAGATGCTTGCAATGGACGCGATCCAAGAGGTGGCGGTGGTGGGACTGGCGGACGAGGAATGGGGACAGCGGGTGGCCGCGGTGGTCAAGCAGCGGACCGGGGTAAGTTGCATGCGTAGTTTCTACCTTGAGTCTGTACTAACGTCTAATAGACCGAGCCCCTGGAGCTGACGAGTCTGCGCACGCAGCTCAAGCAGGAGATGGCGCCTTATAAGATCCCAACGGTGCTGAAGCTGGTTAAGGCGATTGAGCGCAACGCGATGGGCAAGGTGAACAAGAAGACGCTTGTGCAGAAGTACTGGCCGGAGCTGGCCTAGACGCCTCAATAATCCATTAATGCATGATACCATGATTCCATCCTCACCTCCACAGACTATCCTCAATCATCCTTCAACATGTCCACCACAGCCTGATACGCCCTCTCCCTCTCGTCCCATTCTTTTGTCCCTTCCTTAGCAATCTTATCCCACGCATGCCCACACCCCTCCACTCTGACCATCCGCACGTCCCGTCCCGGTGATTCCATCAATCGCTGACCCAATTCCTCCGTCTCCCTCGCCAACGAATCCCACTCACACGTAACAAACAGGCACTTGTCCGGGAACCCTGCCAGCCTCGCCCCAGCCCGTCCCGGCGAGACCCTGTCATCCTCCTCCAACCTCTCCCCACTCCCATGACGGCCACCCCTCAAATAGCACCTCCGATAGAATCCCAACAACCACACCGGCAAAACACCCCCCATGCCCTTCTTTATCTTCTTCCCCGCCCCCACACCCATCCTCCTCTCCTTCACCTTATCAGGAATACTAGCATCCACGACCGGATAAAAAGCCACCAAGGTCTCAATCCCAGACGCCGGGTAGTTCGCCGCCACGGACACCGCCAAATTCCCACCCGCACTGAACCCGCAGATGGCAATCTTAGCCTGGTCGAATTGCTCCGGGTGGTTGTGAACATAGCTCAGCACGTCGACAAGATCCTCGATGGCGGCAGGGAAGGGGTGTTCGGGGGCAAGGCGGTAACCGACGTCGAGGACGGTGTAGCGAGTGTGGGCCGTGATTTGGTTGATGAAGGGGGCGTCACTTCCGAGCGAGGGGATGGTGAAGCCGCTGCCGCTTAGGTTGAGGAGCACTGGGGATGGAGATGGTGAGTTCGAGGTCGAAGTTGAGCGGGAGTAGAGGTGGACGGGGATTGAGCGGTTCGGGGTGCGAGAGGGGATGGAGAGGATGCTGGTGGGATGAGGAGGGGGAATTTGGTAGGCATGTTTGGCGTAGAAGCGAAGGATGATAGCTAGGTATTTAAGGAAGATATAGGAAGGCATTTTGTTTGGAGTGGTGGGGATGGAATGAAAAAGAAATGGATGCAAAGGAGGAAGATGAGGTGGGACGGCAGGCGTGTTATATGAGATTTGTCCGAATATTCAAATCACTCGATAGGGTGAAGCACTCTGTAGTACTTAGTACTGGTGAAATGATGGATGGCTCTCTTCACATGCCTTTATGCTATGGATTCCTTGGGGCCTCAGGCGTCTCACTCATGGACTTCTATATTCTTTTTGCTTATCCTCCCGAATGCAAGACTAGTAATAGTACGTTCATTAATCTGATCTAGCCAGCTCCTGTGAAATAGGCCTGCTATTCATGCTTTTAGACACCTGCTGTCGGCGCTAGACATCTCCGGGCTTATACTGCCGGCAGATACTAGTGGGCTCTTATTGGCCAGTTGTATGTACTAATGACAGACATGATGAGGAAGTTGATGGCCTAGCTAAGAAGGGGCTATGAAGGGGACTTTATACTGCGCGATCAGGCTCTTGCGGAACAGACCGTTCGGGCTGTTCCCTAGAATCGCCGGTAGTCTCCGGTTGCCCGATTGGGACCTTCTGTGAGGGTATCACGATCCAAGAGGTTCCTATGTTCCCTCGCGGATGCCCAGTCTGGTTAGCTCCCTCAATACGCTCTAAGTCGCGCTTTCCTCTATTTCCCCGCTCCTTTATACCCCCCCCCCTCCCCCCACCTTCTCCTTCCTCCCCCACACCCTTGGCTTATCCCCATCAATTCGTCTTCAATATGTCTACGAGTGAAGGGCATCCTGAATGCAAAGCACATGTAAATATACTCTACTCGGCTCCTGGATATACTGTCCCGGATCCCCACAGCATTCAAGAAAAGATCACCAACAGCAACACCATCTACAACTGGGGCGGGGTAAAGGGAGAGCCAAAGGAGAAGCCCACTGGGCCATCAGTAGAGTTGATATCGTGTTCTGCATGTTACAGTACGTAGAAGAGCTCTTCTATGCAGAGATATGGTGGCATCCAGGTCACTAATCTTCACGATATGAATCGCTGCCATGAGGCGGAACTACCTTGTCCCGATGCCCACAGCTAAGTAGAACACCATCCACCCATCCATACCTGAAGTCACTATCTCCTGATCATTCTCAACCAGAAAAAACAAACCCATTCACTCATATTGTATAAGATAAGTCGCATTCCCTCATTCAAAGAACATATTCCAAAACCAAACAATTAGATGCGAAGGACGGATACGCATATACAGCGAAAAGAACCAAAAATTGTAGAAAATTAATAAGTCATTCCATTGTCGCGAGTCATGATCAACATTTCTCGGTGGTGGTCCTAAAGTCGTAAGGGGGTATCTCTGTAGTTGTTGTTGTTCCCATCCCACCCAAATGTCCCAAACCCAAACCCAAATTCAAACCCAACAAACACCAATCCTGTATCCGAATCCAAAGCCCAACCCAAACCAAACCATCCTTGATCCAAACCCATAAAGAAAAAAAAAAGAAAAGGGAAAAGAAAAAGAAAAAGAAAAGAAAAAGAAAAAGAAAAAGAAAAGAAAAAGAAAAAGAAAAAAGAAACAAAAACACGCCAAATAAAAGATAAAACACAGAAAACGCCACGCAAAACACAACACACAAAACACAAACACGACACATCACACACAACACACACAACACACACACACACCACACATAATACACGTACACCACATACATCACACAGAATGGGATCGTGTTTATGGAAGGAAATTTATCTAATCTATCCTGCGGGCATTTCTAGTGCGCCTCGCAGACTACACGGTATATGTAACGACACTGCATAACTTTTGAAAAACACCAGCCAATGCTGAAACACGCAACGTAAATCACACAAGCTGCGTCGAGGTCCACAGAGAGTATCCGCTTCCCTCAGTTCGTATATCGTCAAAACCCCCGAATGACCTAAGGCGCCAGGATCAACGCAAGCAGAGCCATACGGCAGTAGAGACCATATCTCATCTGTAATCTAGTATCAGCATCATATTCAGTCAAGTGAACAGGGGAGAAACTAACCTGGCGGAAGTAGGCGGCCCGCTGGTCAAAATCAACCTCCTCCGAGATCTCCGCGTTCCGGGGCAGAGGGTGCATCACGACCATGTGGCTCTTGGCGTGCTTCAGAAGAGCGTTGTCAATGACAAAGCTGTTCTTCAGGCGCTCGTACTGGGCCAGGTCGGCGAACCGCTCCTTCTGCACCCGGGTCGAGTACAGAACATCGGAGCGGGCAACGATCTCGGGGGTCAACACCTCCGACTCCACCACTAGCTGTCCGGACGCAATGATTTGTTGACGGACCTCCTCCGGCAGGGAAAGATCCTTGGGCGCAACAAGCTGCACCTGCACGTCGTAGAACTGGAGCAGCTTGATCAGCGAGTGAACAGTCCGGCCGTAACGCAGGTCACCAGTGAAGGTGATCGTCAGGCCACCAACAGTTCCAAGCTCTTCACGGATGGTGAAGAGGTCGAGGAAGGCCTGGGTGGGGTGCTCAACGCTACCGTTGCCGCCGTTAAGAACCGGCACGGGCGAGAACTTGGCGGCGGTTTCGGCGCTGCTAGGATCAGGGTGGCGCAGAACAACGGCGTCTCCGTAGCAGGCAAGGGTGCGGAGGGTGTCCTGCAGGGTCTCGCCCTTCTTCGTCGAAGAGTGCTCGGTAGAGATGGCAATGGTCCGGCCGCCCAGACGCTGCATAGCAGCATCGAAAGAAGCCGATGTCCGGGTGGACGGCTCATAGAATAGGGTGCACAGCACGCGACCCTTCAGGATGTCAAGCACACCTTGGCGTTGGACACCCAGACGCATCTCCTGAGCCACGGTGAAAAGCAAGTGCAGATCAGACCGAGTGAACTGGTTGACGGAAAGGACGTGCTTCTGTCTGAAGGGAGACCGAGAGAGCATCTGGAGCAGAGAGGAAGAGACTTGAGGAACGGGAGCGTACAGAGGAGGTCCCAGCTCGCCTACGGCAGGAGCCGGGGTCTGCTCAGCAAGCTTACGCCCTGGCCGCAGAGGTGTGGCAGAGAAGGACAGTCTCCGGTCAAGGGAGCTCTCGGGGCGGGCATGAACCAGGGGAGACATGGCCTTCACGGAAGGAGAGGCGGGCACAATCCGGTGACCAGACATATCCCTTCCAGTAGAAGCATCAGAGATGATCTCACCATCGAGGCAGGAAGTCTTGCCCTGGAAGATGACGCGCTGCACAGCACCCCTAACGCTCTTGCCGTTGAGAGGGGACCAAGCATGGGGGCTCTGGTACAAGTACGGGCGGTCAATCTCGATCTCGACAGAGCTGTCGGCCTGGTCATGCAACTCGAAGATCTTCTTGGGATTCTCGTAGAGACGGGCGATGATATCGTCAACAGTCAGGCGACCCTCCGAGACGGCGGTGAACAGCAGCGGCAGGGACTCGGCGATACCGACCACGGGGGATCCCTTATCACCAGCCAGCTGGTAGGGAATGCTACCGATGGAGAAAACGTCGATAGTGGTGAGGTGCTCCCACAGAGCCTTTTGATCCTCGACCGAGGGCAGAGCGCTGCACTCGGGGTAGTCATCCTTGGAAAGGAAAAGAGAGAAGATGGAAACGTCGCATGTCACCTTGAGTCCCTTCTCCTTGCTAAGAGCGATGAGGCCGATGTCCTCCTTAGACGTCACGCTCATCACATGGATGTTGCGGCTGTGGAGGCTCGCCAAGAGCAGCACGGAGGCCAGGTCAGTCGACTTGGCATCGGTGATGATAGGCTTGCTGGAAGGCCAGGCAGCGAAGTGGCTGGTGACCGCAGCAACCTTGCTGATGTTGCCAGAAAGGTGGTTGAAGGGGATGAAGAGCGAGCCCACGTCTCCCGTCACCTGTTCGATTTGGTCCGCGTTGGTGGCGGTGGCCACAACAGAGAAGTTATAGTCACAGAAGGAGGTCTTCTGGGCATTCTGCTGGGCAGTCTTCAGGGCGCGAGCATCGGTTACCGAGGCGTCAACACCAACGGGCATCACGCGAACCATGCTGAAACCAGCGGCAATGGAAGCTTTGGTCATGAGCTGGAAATCATTGGATCCAAGAGTCATCAGGTTGGGCACGAAAGCAGCGACGTTGATCAAGCCTGGAAGGATGATGGTGCGGTGACTGGTCTGGTAGTCAATGGTCTGCACGTTGAGAGCAAAGTGACGAGCAATGGCCTCGATCAGGATCTTAGCGTTCTTGACATTGGTGACCAGAGGAGTCTGGTAGTCAACAGCCATACGACGAGTGCGGTAACCCTTACTCATGTAGTTGGCAGGACGTCTGAACCGGTTGTTGGACGGCAGGTTGATGTACAGGTCAATCAGGTTGTTGGCCAAGTGCTGAGTGAGCGAGTACTCGGACTTGATGTCTTCATCCTCGCCGGGAAGAATCTCAAGGTACTTGACGGGGACGCCGTTCTCCTTCAGGAAGTCGGCGGTACCAGCGGTGGCAAAAAGGTTGAATCCAATCTGGTGGAGCTTGCGGATCGAAGGCAACATCTCCATCTTCTCCTTGAAGGAACCGATAGAAAACAGCACGTTGCGCTTGGGGAGGCGGAACCCGGTGGAGATCAGGGCCTTGAGGTAGGCTTCGTACTTGTCACGGCCGAAAGACGCGACTTCTCCGGTGGAGGCCATCTCGACACCCAAGACAGGATCGGCGCCAGAGAGACGGGAGAAGGAGAACTGGGGCACCTTCACACCAACGTAGTCCTTGGGGATAGAGACGGGAGGATACTCAGCGAAAGGAACGCCAATCATCGCCTTGGTAGCCATCTCAATAAGATCAACGCCCATAACCTTGGAGACGAACGGGAAAGAGCGGGAAGCTCTAACGTTACATTCGATGACCTTGATATCATTGTCCTTGGCAATGAACTGGATGTTGTAAGGTCCAGTAACGTTCAAAGCATTTCCAATCTTCCTGGTGGCCTCCTCGATCCGACGCACAGTCTCGGGATCCAAGTCCTGGGGGGGTAAAATCAAAGTTGCATCACCGGAGTGAACACCGGCATTCTCAACGTGTTCAGAGATAAAGTGTCCGACCATGACACCGTTGCGAGCCACAGCATCCATCTCGATTTCCTTGGCATTCTCGATGTACTTGGTAATAACCACAGGGTGCTCCCGAGAAACCTCAGCAGCCTGGTTGAGGTAACTGGCCAAGTCATGCTCGGAGTAAACAGTGTTCATGGCAGCTCCTGAAAGCACGTAAGAGGGTCTGACAAGCACAGGGTAGCCAACCTTGTCACAGAATCCAGTAGCTTCTTCAATGCTAGTGAGTTCCTTCCAAGCAGGCTGGTCCACCCCGATACGGTCAAGCATGCGGGAGAACTTGTAACGGTTCTCAGCGCCATCGATCATCTCGGGAGAGGTGCCGAGAATGCGGACATTCAAGCGGTGCAAAGGCAAGGCGATGTTGTTGGGAGTCTGACCGCCCATGGAAATGATCACGCCGCTGGAAGATTCCAACTGGTAGATGTCGAGGACAGTTTCCAGGTTGATGTTCTCAAAATACAACCGGTCGGCTTCGTCATAGTCAGTACTGACGGTTTCCGGGTTGTAGTTGACCATGACAGTCTTGTGGCCTTGTTCACGGAGAGTGCGAATAGCACGCACAGAACACCAATCAAACTCGACAGAAGAACCGATACGATAAACACCAGATCCAAGGACCATGATGCCATTATCGTTGAAGTTGACATCATGCTCAGAGGCATTGTAGGTGAGGTACAGGTAGTTGGTGACTGAGGGGAACTCAGCAGCAACCGTATCGATCTGCTTCACGATGGGGATAATGCCAGACTCAACACGCAGACGTCTGATAGCGAGTTCGTTAGAGCTAAGGAACTTGGCAAGTTGTCGATCCGAGAAACCGAGCTCCTTGGCCTGGCGGATCAGTGGCCGAGGCACGCTCGTCGCGTTGTAAGAAGTCATGAGTTTGCTGAAATCACTGAGACCCTTGAGTCTGTGGAGGAACCATTTGTCGATCTGAGTAAGCTTCCAGATGTCATCGACACTATAGCCAGCGGCCATAGCATTGGCAATAGCAAAGAGACGCTGGTCAGAAGGAGTCTGCAATTCACCCTTGATAGACATGAGGGCATCAGTCTCGTTGAAGCCGAGGTTGTGGAAGTCAACGGAGCGGATAGCCTTCTGAATAGCTTCTTCGAAGGTCCGTCCAATGCTCATGACTTCACCAACACTCTTCATGGATGAGCCGAGCTGGGTGGACACACGAGTGAACTTCTTGAGGTCCCAGCGGGGAATCTTCACAACACAGTAATCCAGGGAAGGCTCGAAGCATGCGCAGGTGACCTTGGTGACGGAGTTCTTGATCTCGTTCAACGGAATGCCCAGGCCAAGCTTGGCTGCGATGAAGGCAAGCGGATAACCAGTGGCCTTCGAAGCAAGGGCGGAAGATCTAGACAAACGAGCATTGACTTCGATGATGCAGTACTCCTTTGAGAATGGGTTCAGCGCATACTGAATGTTACATTCACCGACAACACCAAGGTGGCGAATGACATTGACAGCAGTTGTACGCAGCATGTTGTAGTCCTCATCAGAGAGAGTCTGAGAAGGAGCGACAACGATCGAGTCACCGGTATGGATACCAAGAGGATCGAAGTTCTCCATATTACAGACGGTGATGCAGTTGTCTCTGGCATCACGAACGACTTCGTACTCGATTTCCTTCCAACCCTTCATACTCTTCTCGATCAAGACCTGAGGGCTGGCAGCAAAGGCCTTGGTGCAAAGTTCCTTCAGCTGATCCATGTTCTCTGCAAATCCACTGCCGAGACCTCCAAGAGCGTAGGCAGCACGGACGATGACGGGGAACTTAATGTCCTCGACAACACGGAGCGCCTCCTCCAAGTTGGATGCAGATGCGGACTTAGCGCACTTCTCATTGATAGATTCCATGCTGCGGGCGAACAGCTCACGATCTTCAGTGGTGATGATGGTGTCAATCGGCGTACCAAGAACCTTGACACCAAGGGACTCGAACTCATCCTTGAGTTGAATACCGACCTGAAGCGCGGTCTGACCACCGAATGTGACGTAGATAGCATCGGGCCGCTCATGCTTGATAACCTTGCGCACAAAGTCTGCATTCACGGGAAGGAAGTAGACCTTATCGGCCAAGCCCTTGGAAGTCTGAATGGTGGCAATGTTGGGGTTGATCAAGACAGTGTAGATGCCTTCTTCTTTCAAGGCCTTAATGGCCTGACTTCCGGAGTAGTCGAATTCACCGGCTTGTCCAATGCTGAGACCACCGCTACCCAAGATAAGGACCTTCTTCACGGACACACGAGGAGCAAGTTTGCTATTCTCTTCCTTCGTGCCACCAGGGAAGGACACAGGCTTCTGGAGAGCCTCTGGAGAAGCAAGGGTGTCTTGGATGGTGTTGATGAACACATCGAACAAGAACTCGGTGTCTCTAGGACCAGGGGTGCTTTCAGGGTGAAACTGGACGCTGAAGAATGGACGGCTGACGTGCCGGATACCCTCGTTGCTACCATCGTTGGCATTGACGAAGAGTTCCTCCCAGCCCTCGGGGAGACTGGTGGAATCCACAGCGTAACCGTGGTTCTGGGAGGTAATGTGGCACTTTCCAGTGACCATGCTGGTGCATGGGATGTTGTGGCCGCGGTTACCGAACTTCATCTTCGACGTCTGGGCACCGACGGAACGTGCGATCAGCTGGTGACCCAAGCAAATACCGAATACAGGAGTTCTTCCCTCCTTGAGGGTCTTGGAAAGGTTGTTGACGGTAGTTGAAAGCGTAGCCGGGTCACCGGGACCGTTCGAGACGAACAGACCGTCATAGTCTTTTCCAGCAAGAGTAGGGAAGTCATAATCCCAAGGGACGACCAGGACTTCGACACCGCGGGCGAGCAAACAGCGCAGCTGGTTGAACTTCAACCCCACATCCAAGCAGAGGACGCGGACTGGGCGGCCGGAGGGGTGTTTAAGGGCGACATTCTCAGGGGGGGAGAAGAGCTTGGGTTCCCGAATGGAGACTATCGCGTTTCAAGTTAGAACGATCATCTTTATGGAAGACAAGAGTGAATAGAAAGCTTACCTTCAGCAACCAGGTTCTTCTTGTTGGGGTCAACCCATTCGGTTTGTTCGAAGAATGGCCTCCAGCTATCCTTCTCCGTCGGGATCACTGTGGTGTCACTGACGGTCTCTGACTTCTGCAGCAGCACACGACCCAGCATGCTACCCTTCTGACGAATGCGCTTGGTGAGAGCACGGGTATCCACGCCATGCACGGCAGGGACACCCTGTTCCTTCAGCCACTGGCCAAGGGATGATTGAGCAAGGAAGTGAGAATATTCTTCCCCAGCATAGGTTGCAACGACCAAGCCTGCGATGTGAATCTCTGTGGACTCAAAATGCTTTGGCAGAGTCTTCAACAACTCATCCATGGCCTCCCGGGAGGGAACACCATAGTTGCCCACTAGAGGGAAAGTGATGACGAGGATTTGGCCCCGGTAGGAGGGATCCGTGACTGACTCTGGGTATCCCACCATACCGGTCTGGAAGACCAATTCACCCGCCACACTCTTCTCGGCACCAAAGCTGTAGCCTTGGTAGACAGTGCCATCCTCGAGCTCGAGGGAGACCATCCTCCCATTGCTGCCCCGGTATGGAGACGAGGCGGGGGGGATTACGGCTCCGTTGTGAGCTTCCATCGGGGGAAGCGGCTGCAGTTCCTTGTTGATCTGGCTGTAGGCCACTGCGCCTCCAGCCAGAGGGCTGGAAGGGAGGGCGACCTCCTCGGACTGCGGCATTGTGGTGGTGACTGTAGGGGGAGGGGAAAAGGTCCTCTCGGGGACGATATGACAGGTGGTATTCACTCTACCGTAGCATCAGCAGCCTCCAAGACCCTTTTGAAAGAGATGCAAGAGGGGGGGAGGGATGTGTTTCTGCTGCTTCTGCACGGGAGGAGGAATATAGAAAGAAGAGAAGAGAGGGAGAAGAATTCGCAGAATAAAATTTTGTGTACGGCGGGCTGATGGAGCTCTCTCATTGGACTGTCCGTTTCACCGATCCGGGGATCATGGGCCATTCTGCTACTTCCGACCGCCCAAGAAAAAATTTTTCGACCTTTTTTGGGCTTGGGGGGGAGGGGCATTCGGTGGTTCAGCCTTCGTTTGCCTTCTCTCAATTGCTAATTATGGAGTCTAAGGGATATTACCCGGAGTCCGGAGCCAGTTCCATCCCCTTCCCCGAATCCCCAGAGAGAGACCCAGCAGTCACCAGGATGGATGTGTCTTGCGTCTTGAGGATAACAAAAAATTCCAGGCTTATGCCGCCATACTCCCAATTTCGCCCGTCATGTTTCCTTAGATCTGGTTTAATCGAGAGGGGCGTCTATAATCTATGAGGCAGATGAGGTCATTGGAAACAGGAGCTCTCCTTGGCTTTCTACAGTAGTACTATAGTACTAGTTCGTATTTCAGTTCGGTGGAGGGGTTGCGTGCAGTTCTGCCGCACACACAGACCTGCCTTAGTGGCACCAGCCCCAATTTGCCGACGTTCCCCGTCTCCGTCGCAGGCAATTGGTCCCATGGAGGGGTTCGCCACACGGATCGACCACGCTTGCAGGTGTGCCACCGCAGGCGGTGAGCCTTAGCCGGTTTCTCTGCCTTGGATGGATCCGGTCCGGTGCATGGACAAGCTCACTCCAATGAGCGTCCCGAATTGCGGTTGAGCTCACCCGTTATCGGCATAGCTACGCCGTAGATACTTTTGGTGGGCAAATGACACAGGGGGAATCAGTAGGTAGCTATCGACATCATCCCCCTCCTCTGTACTGTGTAGTGTGTACTGCACAGTATGCTCTCTGTAGATCATTTACCTTTTGAGCTTCCCGATTTGAGAGCTTGGACACCCTCGCTGTCCTCAACATTCTCCGAAACCGGTTGGACTGCTACACCACACCAGAAGCATGCTCAGTACGGAGTAGGTAATAGGTAGGTATATATATCGCTATTTTTAGTCGGCCCGTAGTTGAGATAGTCAGTTACGTGCGTCGTCTTATCAATCAGAGTGGATGATATGCATTATCAGTAGTATGGAGTGCACGAGGCAGGAAAAGAATACCCAAACAGGCGGAGATTTCACGGGTGGGTTGGCTTTATCTCTTCCCCGCTTACTTTATCTTCATTTTCTTTCAACCACATCTTATTGGGGATAAGAAACGACTCTTCTGTCATGTGTCCAATGTACATAGATACTAGACTCATTATCGTTGGTCCAATTTATTGTCAATTCAAGGCATGCAAGTCGGAACAAAGTCTGCAAAGTTTGCTACAAGCCTGCTGCTAAGGCTGCGATTGGGTTCCAAGTGAGTAACGCTGTAACAGGCACCTGACAGCTGCCATCCCTAAAGCTACAGCTCTCGGTGCAGAAGACAAGATATGCACTGTAATTCGTAAATTCGCAACGCTTGATAGATTAATCTTCTGTAAGGGGGTGTGGAACTCATACATCGTATCGGAAACCAGAGGCGTCCATAGCCCCAGTAACCGTGCCACTGCTATTCATTCATCTTTGTTTAGTAGCACTGCTGTCAGCTCGGTATGAATGATGTGTTTTACCCCATGTAAATAGATAGCAACTTTTTTATTCAGTTTTCGCGTCAATCTTCTCCGTGTCCTATTTCTGGAGTCACTGCTTCTCACCCCGTGGTCAGTACTATATATATCCACACGATTATCTTACAACATACTATACATGTTGGATAAGATTGAAGCTCACCATCTATGTGAGAATAATACCGAAGGCAAGGGCTAATAGTCAGGCCACCGATAATAGTACTAGTGGACAGACCGGCATAATGTCATTATTAGATGGACGTGAGGTCATCGGCTTGCTTACCAGTAACACAGTACTAGAACCCAATCTCCCCACATCTATCTGACAGTTATAAGTTGCTCCTAGATATAAGTATCTAACATCCTGTCCACTTACCCTCGTACCATAGGGATCCGCCATTTGTTATTATGTTTCTGCTGTAATCCGCTGAAGAGGTTTTCTTTACCCTTCCCCCCTACTTTACTTTGAACTGAATCGCTAACATTGGTCAAGACAGTGTGGTATCATAATTTCCGTTTAGGCTCCCTATTTCTGCCTCATATTGCGTATAAAGCACAGGGCAGCATGGAATGCGGGAGGTTGTTTCTCACCGAATGAACGTCGATCCACTTCTAGAAGGTCCCTTGCAGCTTTCAGTAGCTTCTAACCTGATCGTCGAAGTGCATAGTACCTCAGGAAGAGGTCATACCGTCAATCATTTCTGCAGCACAGACACCAAAAGCTGATGGGGTCGTCGAAGAGCCTTAGACCCTACATTCCACCCCCACCCCCGGGTCAACGCATTTATCGAGTATACTACGCCTAGCTGCCAAAATGCTCGATTTTACCTGACGCACTGACATCACATTTACCTACAGTATCTTCATACTCATTTCATGCTCCTACCTAACATTGCTCTTCCTAGATTATGTCTTAAGCTCCTCTTTCGTCAACCTCAGGTTCTGACGTCGTTGTGTTGTCGGCTAAGCCTGGCAATGTACAGTCCGCAGAGGATCATCCCGGTGATTGTCATGATGCCAACGCCGCCGCAGCTGTCACACTTACGGGATCGTTCTTCTAGATAGAGGCGACAGTCTCCCCTCCCCACCGATTTATTTCCCATTTCGTTTTCTCTCATATTATGCATCATTGCATCATGGGCGTGTCCAACAAAAGCCCGTATGAGTTGGTGGTATGATTCGCCGTGCAGGATTCCCTTGCATAAAATCGGCGAGGTTTCCGGTTCGGGCGAATAATTTATTGCCCTCCCACTTTCCGCCCTCTTTGTTTTGGCCCGCATGGCATCAGATGCATGTGATCTTGATTGGATTCCCCAAAGGAATTTTTTGTGCTACCATAGTACGTAGAAAGTTGCGCATTGGATTTTTTTTGTCCCTCCCCTCCCCCTCCAGTCCCATATCCCTTATATTAGTAAAGTGGCGAGCAATTGGTGCGAGATTACGAAGTACTATCTGAGTTCTTGCCTGAGCTAACCGGCCGGTCAGCGGTCTGGGCCACTTGCGCATAGCAGTGATCTAATCCATACGCCAATCGACGTCTCGAAAGAGCTGGCAGGGTGACTGCACTGACTGGGCTTATCTGGCGCTAGTCGCCGCCCCGACTCGGGAAGCATCTCGCGATGGGCTGTTTCCCAGCGATCGTCGCCTCCACTCCGCAATGACTGCAGGCGCATGTGGGCTGCGTTAATTTTGGGAGCAAATAGTTTCAACGGTTCGGTAGCGCTCGCTCCCTGCTTATCTCCCTCATAAAGATACCTCCTTGGATCACGCGAACCTTGCCAGACTTCCAGAAATCTTGACTAACAGCTAGAAGAGTCCCTCTTGAGTTCTTAACTGAACCTTCCTCGCCTAACTCCGAGCGGCGCATTGTTCCTTCCTGCTTCGATCTTGGCACGGACCCCAAAATGCTTTGACGGCAATCTCTCCCTGTCGATTGACCCTGAAACTTCAGGGGATGATCTCAAATATGCTTGCCTCCCTTATACGCCCCAAGAAGCGGCGAGTCTATGCGGAACGATCTCCATTCTCATCACCGTACACGACTCGGGATTCGCCATGGCCTTTTTTCCAGGACAATCCACCCCAAGGGGGCCCTGGACCAGGCTACGAAGATTTTAACGGATACAGCGGTATCCAGGAGGAACCTGACGCAATACCTGGAGAGGATGAAAGCGATGGAGACGATGATGGGCCTGCCGAGTCCACACCTCTGCTTCCGATATTCTCTGCCTCGCATCTAGGTACGGATACCATCCTTTGTGCCAAGTGATCGCCCCAGATTTATATTTTCATTCTGACTATTCAGACACTTTGCCGGTTTATGACATCACTCATGCCATACGTCCTTTAATCGTTTCTCGCTGCGAAACCACCCTGACTTGGGACCAATTGCGGTCTCCTCAGATCTCTCAATTCCTGGTCAAGCCTATTCAGCAGAAGATACGAGCATTGCATTTCTCCAGGGCTACATTGTACGCTCTGATAACGAACTGTCTCCAATTCACGAAGGAGGTCCACCTGAATCCGGGGAATAGCGGCGTAAGCCAGACTAGGGCCATGGTGGGCGAGCTTCTCGCCATCAAGTTGCTGAGAGAATATACGACGCGAGAACTAATCGACGCGTTGTCCTATGAGTTCTATCCGCTCAACGGCCAAACGCCAACCGTCACTGCAAGCTCCGAGCGGGCCCCTGGCTGGTATTCTGCCCAGGGAAGCAAGCGGCCGGCTATCGCTCGTATCTCCTGCCTTGAGGTGGCCATCCGTGCTCAGGCGAAGAGGTTCTTGTCGCATCCCCTTGTGGTACAACAACTCGAAGCGATATGGGCTGGCACAATCGTGTTTCATTCAGCCGCTGACAACCTCCATCGCTCGCCAGCTCAAACTCAGAGCAATGGACGACCACAATACGGTACAACTCTCGACCCATCTTCGGCCGGTGCGTCACATTCTCAGATGCAGTCTAAGCTCTCTGGGCATCGACGCTCGGTCACCATCTATGATCCAAGAGATGCCTCATTGTTCAAACTCTCTCGGCTACGAGTACCTCGATACAGACAGTTCTTGTCAACTCTGTCCTTCGCAGTTCTGCTAGGATTATTCCTAGCTGTTCTAAATCAGCGTAGCCTCGAGATCACCCCGTTGGAAATTATTTTCTGGCTTTGGAGCGCCGGATTTATGCTCGATGAGATTGTCGGTTTCAACGAACAAGGGTTCAGTTTATATCTCATGAGCTTCTGGAACCTGTTTGATCTCGGAATTCTGTTTCTTCTTTGCTGCTATTATTGCATGAGGCTTTATGGCGCTGTTTTGCCCTACACCCGCAATCAGGGTGTTGCAGACCAAGCGTATGACATCTTGGCCGCAAATGCAGTCCTTCTATTTCCCCGACTTTTCTCCGTTCTTGACCATTACAGATACTTTTCCCAATTGCTCATCGCTTTCAGGATCATGGCTTCTGATCTGATTGCGGTATTTCTATTGATTATCATCGCCTGCAGCGGGTTTTTCGTCGCGTTCACACAGGCCTTTGGCAGCGGTGAAGATCACTCTCCTGGTGCTGTTGCATATGCCTTATTCCAGATGCTGATGGGATTCACCCCAACGGCATGGGGCCTCTGGGATGATTATAATACATTGGGCAAGGTCATCTTGACGGTGTTCTTGTTTATTTGTCATTTCGTTGTCGTCACCATCCTTATCACGGTCCTGACCAACTCCTTCATGAAAATCGTGCAAAATGCCAACCAGGAACACCAGTTTCTCTTTGCTGTCAACACGATCTCCATGGTCAAATCAGATGCCCTCTTCTCCTATGTCGCGCCGACTAATATCTTTGCTTGGATAATCACTCCGCTTCGTTATTTCATCCCTTTCCGAAAATTTGTTCGGATCAACCGGACGATCATCAAGATTACCCACCTACCAATCCTATTTACGATCTGTTTCTATGAGAAGGCAGTCCTGAGCTCTCAGGTGATCGATTCTAGCGACCTTTTAGAGTCGACATCTCGGTCTGAATCAGCAGGTCGTTACCGGGCCCGTAATCGCCGATTTAGAGCCTTCAGCTCCCAAGCTCATCGCTTCGTTCGAGAACCATCAGTGGCAACGTATCAAAAGGATCGTGCTTTGGACGAGGTATTCCGACGGCCATTCCATGACGCAACATCTCGAGGGCCCGGCGCAAATCTCAATCGAAGAGAAAGCCACAGCGCTGTCAATAAATGGATGCAGACTATGGGATTGGGCCCTGTTAACCCCCCTGATGAGCAAGACTCGGAGGAGGTTGAGCGCCTAGAGCGATCTCCAAGAGGTCGATCAGGCTTTCAGCGGAGGCTTACCAGGAGCTTACGCGATTTGACAGAATCGAATCGCTCCGCTACCTCCGACCCTGACCATACTCATCAGGTGGCATCTTCACCTGCGAGTCCACGTAATGGCAGGGCCCATCTAACCCCGATGAGGACAAGGCAGCTTTCGCGGCATACGGGCATGGAAGGTGACGATGAACTTACGAGTGATGACAACGACGGATGGCCTGAAGAACAGCGGCTTGATCCAAGGCATTCCGAGGACGATATCCCTAGGATTATCAAACAAAGCCCAGTCAATACACCGCCTAAGTTTTTCAGCTCTCGGCCGTCAACTGCTCGACTCAAGTCCCGCAAGACCAGTCCCGCCCGGCGGATCAAGTACCACACGCGGAACTACTCAGGCGTTACTATGCTGTACAACCCAATTTCGTCGGATAGTAACCATGAGGAAGCTCCACCTTCACTAAGACCTTTACGGCCAAGAGCTGAGACCCCTGTCCATGCAGGAGGTGTGAAAGTCTCCACTTCTGCTGACCAGTGGACGCTGAGAAGACATAGTACAGAGGGTGGCAGACTTAGAAACGTGACCATGACCCGGTCTGATCCAATGTCTGTCCCCGATCTGGGTGGCTTTTCGGTGCCTGACTCTCACTTCCAGAGGCGTCGTCAAGCGTCCATTCTGGATGGCTTGGGCTCGGACTTGGGAGACAACAAGGCGATTACGAATGGCTTCCTAGGCGGCGTTCCGTCGAGCCTGACCACTCAAATTGCTTATGCCACAGGCAATATCCGACGCCCTGAAAGCCCGGGCAGCAGTCAGGATATGCTTAGCAAGCTTGTGCTGGCTCGCATGAACAATATCGAGGAGGGCTTCCGGGAGGTGATTAAAGAAGTCAAGGACCTCCGGCGCGGAGGGACTAGCCGGAGCCAAAGCCAAATTGATGAGCAAGGGAACGTCCAACGCGAGAACAAGCGACGCGCAGAGAAGAAGGAGTCGAAAAAGGACGCTCAGGGGTCTCGGAAGAGCAAGACGAGCAGCGAAGGGCAATGGTCGGACGTACCCCCGGCCGAGCCTAGGGAGAAGACCACGTAGGCGGTTGATGTTCGTGGATAGACAATTTTGTTTCATTTGTTGTATTTGTATAGAACATGTGGGGTGGCTGTCTCATAGCTTTTTGCTGTTTAGCACACTTTCCGCAAGTGATACCCTTATAGTCCCTCGTGGTCGCGGGGATGTCTGTCTATGCCGCTCGGGTTAGGTATTTAGCTATCTAGCTAATTTACTAGTTAACCTATTATTTATGGTCCAGGATTTATTATTCTTGTAGCTGAAAGCTCAGCCCAACAAGGCTGGGGTAGAGCTGACCCTGCATGTTTGTTATCCTGGTGAACCCCCGCGGTATCTTCCCGAGTCCGAGGTATACTTGCATAGAAGGTGCCTCACTGCAATAAAGGTTTGTTCGTTTTGCTCGTTTTGCAGCCAGCCGCTGACTCGGTTGTCTCCGATGACTACCAACCTACCACTACTACTCAGTCCCTTCTTAGGTACAACTAACGTGTTGCGACTCGCTTCCTACCTTCAACAACAGACGGGCCCAACTGAGTGGGGGCATCACTGGCCCGTCTCGGGGGCTCAGCCTTGATTTCCAGCAGGCACCGGTAAAACGGTAAGGCTCACCTGAGGCTGTGAAGGCCCTCATCGTTATTCTCCTACCTAACTCAAACCAAACTAACCACTGGGGCTGCAAGATGCAGGAGAAATTCTTACAATGAATACCTGTGTCCCCTCATTCTGTGAACGCCCCTGTCATCATCTTGCTATCCTTCTCACCCGCCATAAGGTGTGCCATCGTGTCATCTCTCCAAGCTAGGAAGCAGGGAGTGCGTGACATTAAACCCATCTAGGTGAGAATTAATCGTCCACGAGATGGAATTTCCCACCCAAAAAGCCGATCCCTGCACGGGCGCCAGGCCTCCTATCGCAACCGACATGGGTACCTCTAGCATCGACATACTTCTTATGGACGGCGCCGACACCCTAGTTTTTATTGATCCTCCGTCATACAGACCAACCTGGTTAATGCAGCCACACTCTGTCACGTCCGTTCCTCATCGCATTCAGAGCAAGAGCCTGTTGAGCACAGAATCTTCCTACTTCACGAAGCTGTTCGAGCCGAGAAAGCAGGCTCGCATTATCAAGCGCCGCGACCTAGAGGGAAAGCTTCCTGGAGGCATCAAATACGCTATTGATCTTACCCCTCCCTCAACTGATGACGAGGCGGTAGCTTTCACCACAGAGTTGTCATGTCCGCTAGGTATACGGTCCTGGGCTCGCGCAAGTCAGCGCTGGAGATTACCGGCAAAATATGTCGAGGGTCGAGACGAGGATGAACACAACCTTCCCTCCGAGTATTCGGAATCCCGCCATCGAATGGGTATCCTGCACATATTACAAGCATTAGGAGGTGTTAGTCCAATTTTAGACACGCCATGCAAACTCTGGACTTTCTTCGCATTGGCTAAGGTGTTTGACGTGGCTAGGCAAGGACAGATCAAGGTTGAAATCCTCACCTGGATCTACGAGTCAAACAATGCTCGGCTCATTGAGATTCATCCGGAGATTACCTACAGAATAGCTTGTGGGATCCAGTGTGATTACCTGTGTCGTGACTCCTTCTGTGTCCTTGTTGGAGAGGAGGCCCTGCTCCGTCTGTCCAACGCAGACAAGGGACCCAGACTCCAGTGGCCACAGAAAACTTTCCATGGTCGCCTCCGTGAGCCTTTGGACGATGAAGATCGTCAGCGAGTCGAATATGCAGGCCAGAGCCTTATGGAATGTGCTCTTGACGAATTTATCCAGTTAGCAGGCACTGAGATGCACTGGCTCCTCGAACTGCCGGCGTTTCAGAGCGTGCTCCGTCATACTAGAGATAAATGTGAAAACTGCATGTTTGCCCCAAGGGTTTTTTCCAAGCTGAAATCATATGTGCGGGGGCACATCGTGTCCATCCTAACCAAACCCGCCATAACTTGGGCCGCGAGAACAAGCCGGTACATTGACTTTGATGATTATCCCACGCGGAAGTTCGCAAACTCTTACGATGAGATGCGTTATGCTGAGCGCCTAACCAGTAAAACATTCTGGAAAATGCTCAAGTTTGAGAACTACGATGACCGTTTCGCATTCCCCGACAAGAAGTTTTTGAACTCAACCGTCGCTGACTTGGGGGAACACCTATATCCTTTCCAGGCCCAAAAAAATGCGACAATCGGATATGTTGATTTCACGGATATATTGTCGGAGATGAATCAGTACAACAGGCACGCAGATCCTATTAGCCCAAGGTTTGGATTCCGTCAGCTTGCGGGTGCGACCTTGATCGAAGGAGGTATGAATCGCCCGGCTTTTTCACTTTGACCACGCAGCTAAGAGAGAGATTATAGGCATGATTGAAGAGAGTCCCACGGCAGTCTTCCTCAACCCAATTGGCTTTTTCCAAGAAGTGCGCTCATATTTAACCGACATTGGAGAGATCATGGCGGACAACAGCAGGCACGAAGCCAGCTTTCATGTAACAGACACGCTCACCTGCCTCACTGACAGCGAGACAAAGTATCTACCGTTGTGGGCGGGGGGAAATGATGATGGATCCGGCGGCGTTTTCACGGACCAAGGTATACCTAATCTCGAGACAGGTGGATTCTCTACACCGGGGCCTGCGATCCATACGGGGAGTACTGTTTCCTCTACCACTTCTTCCTTTAGCATCACTTCCAGTGACTTTGAAAGTACAGTCCAGGGAGCTTCTCACCGAGCCACGGGAGGCTATTGGACGGACATCATGTCCGTGAATTCGGAGTCGTGCGTCGTGGCAGATGAAAACCATGCATCGACCTCATCTGAGACACAAGCCGATACAGACAATCATTCCCTAACCTTGGAGATGTCGGATGACGACGTCGATGACTGTTTTGACACCGATAGCGAAGATAACAATACGGTCATTATGGACAGCTCTGTCGAGGAGACCTCGGAGAGGCTGGAGCACATGGGTCTGGGGGTAGAAGCTTTTCCGGAATGAACTGCAAATCAAGAGGGCATTGATTGCCTTGTTTATAGCACCAAGGCCATAATAATTGACGTTGCACAATAAGCTATCACATAACTAATAGTGTAGAGTTGATGTAAGCTACAGCACGTGACAGAATCCGGGGTGTCTCACCTCGGCGGCGACGTCACGGAGCGGTGATCTTATCTCCAATTCCCTCGCATTCTTCCTTCTCTCAGAGCCCAAGCCAAGCCACGGTGTCAGGCCTGACACGTCGGCGCAGACCAATCCCACTCTCTGCTCACCTGAGGATCAGTCTTTTACACGACTACAACACTTAGCCATCATGGCCGCCTCCTCATCGAAGCCAGCAAGCTTCCTGCTTTAGTACGTTGCCTATCTCAACAACACAGCAGCAACCGAACAGCACCGCCGCTTCCCAATCTCCCCACAGCCTTCTCCCCCCTTGAAAAGTCTTTCTACTAACCAGTTCCACAGCTCCTGCATCGCCCATCGCACAACCATCCTTGCCGAGCATTCCTCCCCAGGCACCTCCTCCACGGCCGCCTCCTCTCTGGCCTCCATCATCCTCCCCAAGATCAGTCACGACCAACCTCAGAAGCTGACCTACACACATGAGCGTCTCTTCGTGCACTACATCGCCGACTCCCCCACAGGCACGAACACCACCGACGACAGCACGCGCCAAGAACCCAACTCCTACGCCCCACTCAGCTACATCGTCGTCGCGACCGCCGAACAAGGCCGCCGCATTCCCTTCGCTTTCCTCCTCGAAATCAAACGCAAGTTCCTTTCGACATACCCACCCTCCAGCACGGATTTCTCTGCACTCCCGGCCTACGGCTGCGCCGCGTTCAACAATGAGCTCCGCTCGCTGCTTCAAACGTACAACACGGCCCCGCCGGCAGACTCGCTGGCCTCGGCACGGCGGGAGATCGATAGTGTGCGCAATATCATGACGGAGAACATTGAGCGAGTGTTAGAAAGGGGAGAGAGGATTGATTTGCTGGTGGATAAGACGGACCGGCTGGGTGGCAGCGCGCATGATTTCCGCATCAGGAGTCGCGGGCTGAGAAGACGGATGTGGTGGAAGAACATCAAGCTTATGGTGTTGCTTGCGGTTGTGGTGGTGTTCTTGGTCTATCTGTTTGTGGGCATGGGGTGTGGATTGCCGGCTTGGGGGAAGTGTGTTGGGCAGAGTGAGTAGGTGGCCATCCCCCAATTTTTACTCGAGAAGGAAGTCGGACTGTAAGGCTCTAAGTGATGATGCCCGGGGAGTTCCGATGTGTGTGTATGTTAGTTGTTTCCTCGTCATGGGTGGTTATGTGGCTTCTGATATAGTTGACGATAAGTGGATTTCAGCCGACTGAGCGGGGTTGCAAACTTCGTATGTATGATATGATGACTGCTGGTCTTTTTTTTTTTTTTTTTTTTTTTTTTTTCAATTTGAACTTATATATTTAGGGAGGGTTTCCCCAATGAGATTAGACCCCAACATGCTTCTGCAATAGTAGTGTATTAATCCTACAGGGATGACTATAGTACTATGTACAGTAGAAGCGCCGTGTGGCAATCAACCCATGCTTCTGAGATTCAAGGCTTCCAAGCAGAAATACGGAAAGAACATATATATGCACGAGTAGTCGAAACGTAAATCATTACATTGAGAATAACAAGAGCCAGGACCGAAACCAGCCCACTATCTTCTATAAATTGATAAAGAGGTGCAACAGAATGTGTCTCACTCTCAAACCCACAGCGTCCTTGCCGAAGCATCAGTGCGAGTCTGCAAGCGAGGCAGAACGACCACTGGATCTAGTCCAGTTAAAATACGTTTCTGCATTCCTTCTGCGCCAGTCGTATACCTCTTCAACCATAGGTTCCGTCCTAAGGGAGGGGATTGATGAGGAGATAAACCTGGCGCGTGATTTGGGGAAAATCAAGGTGTGAGATGAGAGCCCAGCCGTAGAATGGTCAATCTCGTTCTTCGAGTAGCTCGTGTACGAGGAAGCTATCGCAAGGCGATCACTGTGGCCGATGGTCCTTAACCGGCTTGAGCTTGATAGTGACGACCTTCCAGGCTCCTCACGGACGACACGCGATGTAGACCACCAACTTTAGATGGTAGACATTGGTGACTGCCCGTGTTAGTACACTGGGAGACTGTGACCTCGTTGGCATTGCGGATGGTGATAGAGCGAATCTGGATGTTTAGTAGCACCGTCAGATGAATGCACCTGCTGATCATGATTTCATGACACCAGAAAGCATTGTGTTTCTCGGAGTAGCAGCATGGAAAGAAAGAAGGATGGTTGCGACAGAAAGAATAAATAGGCCCGAATGTGCGTCACATGACATCCCGCTTAAGGCTGCCTCAGTAGCTGATTGGCCGGCGCGTGGCAGCTGGGACCGCCCGCGTGAGGTGGTCCGGATCGTCAATCGTCCAGAGCTTTGCTCCATGCGCGCCATCGGAATTGTGGTCGCGTCACGCCGACCCTCCTGCTTGAAGACGCCCTTGAGGTTCTAAAGAAATTGGCGGCCTCACGGCGATTATCTCAGAAGATTATTCCTGGCTCATCTCCGCACTGTGCCCCATCCTGCATGTTCACCATGCTGATCGCGGCGAACAATTGGCACCCGATTTCCTGATACCTTCCCATGCAAGATGTCAAGTGAAGATTTACAGTGGCTCGAAAGTTACCTACGCCATGGATATGATCCGGAAGCCCAGGGAGCCGACGATTCTGCATCATTCTTTCAGTCAAACCCTTACTTTGCGTTGCCCCCACCCTCCTCTTATACAGCTGCCCACAATGGCCCTCCCGGCTCTCATTCATATCAGTACTCGAATGAAAGGAGTGTGAGGCCAACTGGACCCAGCACCTCAGAAACCCCTTACCAGACTCAATACTCTCGTCCCCACCAAGCGCAACCGCATCATCCTCCAGCTTCTACCATGGCGCCACCTCCAGGCTCACATACTGAAGGGTCGTATCGGTTTCCCCCCTCTCAAGGACCGAAGTCGTTCCCGTCGCAATCGCCGAAGCCGCCCCCTTCGCAAGAATACAGACCGGGTGCTCCTCAATTGCCCAAGCCAGTGCCGATACACCAGGCTGGTCCTCCCCAAGGAAATAAGCCGGATCACCCTCGATTGCCTCGACCGGTACCTGCCCAGGCATCCAAGCCGGGGCCCCCTCCTGGATACCAACCAGCCTCATCTGCTGCGGTCCATTCCATGCCTTCACAACCGCATACGACGACTCCAACACAGACGCCAGTATCTTCAACCCTACCGCCTGCGCAAGTGTTACATTCAGTTGTGTCGCCAATGGATCTTATGAAGACGTCGAATTCGGCCCCGCCAACACTTCCACCCGTGCCGGCTCAGACTCCCAGTTCACGCCCGTCACCCATGCCGCCTGTTCAGGCATCAAATACACGTCCTACGCCAATGATAGGTCCACAGACAACGAACCCACGTGCCGCATCGACGTTCCCGACTGAGTCGTCTGCCTTTTCTCGACCGACCATCCCCACCATACAAACGGCAAACTCTGCCTCTCCGCCCTATCAACCTGCGCAAACAACAAATTCGGCTTCGCAACCTACAATGCATCTAAATAACGTCGCTGGGAATGGAAGCGAGCCGGGTCATGACGCCAAGAGACGTCGCATAGCGCCTCCAGCTACACCTGGACGGAAATCTGGGCGGCCCCCAATGCCTACCGCGAAGGTGCCTCCTGGGAGTCTTCCAGCTGGAGGGCTCGCGGCTTACAATTATGCGCCTAGGACAACCGGCTCTACCCCGGGTAAAAGTCATCTCAAAGCTCGGGGAGATATTGTGATGCCATTGCGTGAGGAAGATGCTGCCGAAAAACTGTCTTATGACCCGACGACAATCGCCAGAGACGTTTTGATAGCAGCGGGCCGTCATCCAACCGAGGAGACATTGAACCACCATCTGCTCCGCCTGCGCGATGTCTTCATCCACGTTGACAGCTCGTCGGACTTGTCGACCTTTCGCTGGGACCTGGTCGATCCTCTGGATGCACGTGACCCGGGACCGCCCCAGCCACGGGCCACCGCCGCGCCACCGCCGCCGCGTCCCGCGCCCCGGCCGGTTCCCTCATTGCCTGTTCAACAGAACAACACCTTCCTGTCCCGTCCACCACAACCTCCCCAACCGCCACAACGCTCCGGTCCCCAGCCAGGAGTGTATCTACCAGCTCGTCCTCCACTACCGACGCAGCAGCCGACGCAGCAGCTCACACAAGTGCTTCACGTGTCAGTACCGCAAGTGCCCCAGCCGGTGTCGAGACCGTACAGCGGCTTCTTTCACTCGCGCCCTTCGGTGCAGCATCCCCCACCCGCGTCGCGAGCACATCCGCTGTCACAAGCCCGGCCACCCCCGCTGCTATCTTCACACCCCCCGTCTCAGCCCAATACACCCACGCCAACCGTGCAAGTGGCGGCAATGACGGGCAGAAGACCGGGTCGACCCCCTGCCAGCTCGAAGGCGCAGCAGCCTGTCGCATCGCCGCAGATTCCGTATTCGGTTTTTGCGTGTGGATGGACGGACTGCCAAGCCCAGCTGCACAACATGGAAGTGTTGAAAAAGCATGTCTTCAAGGTTCATGTGTCCCAGCAGCTCACGTGCGGGTGGAAAGGGTGCTCGCATTCGGAGTCTTTACCTGCTGCGCTCTTGTTCAAGCACGTGAAGAAAGACCATCTGGACCCGGTCGCGTGGAGACTGGGCGATGGGCCCTCGGTGCCTGGAACCGGTGAGAAAGCATCTGCTGGATGATTGCCTTTTCAGCATGCGTCTACTTTTGATTGTCGGGACCAGTGATTAATGTTTAACTTACCTTGTGCCATATAGTGGGTAACGATGCCGGCGCGAGTCTTGGGCCTTGGGGGATTCCGGACACCGCGCGACCGGTTGGCGAAGACTCACTCATCTTCCCTGCCAGCTCCCGCTCTATCCATGCTTTTAACAAAGTCCATGGGAATAATACGCCGCAGGAGAAGACCCGGGAGATCTTCAAGGCGGTGCAACAACTAAAGGAGCAGATCGGGGTGGGGTTGGACCCGGGGGGATGTGAGCTTGCGACGCCCGCGCGCAATGAGCGAGTGAGCAATGACGAGGAGGTTTACGAGGTGGTGCCTGCATCCTAGAAGAACTGAGATTCATGATACCCCCCTTTTCGTTGCCTGGAGGAAATGTGTCTTTTTTCGTGGTTTAGCCTACATGGCGTTCGAGGGCGACGGTGGCCGGAATTGGTGTTCAGCGAGTGTTTTCACGGGTCCCTCTTTCTATCCCGGGCCAGCAGGTTTTCAGATGCACCTTGTAAATCAATAGCATGGAGAGGAAATGGAACTGTCCATCATGTACCATACAATCAAAGCATTCTTTCAAAAGATAATATATTGACGGCGACCACCCGGGTATCCATTCTTCGCCTCTTTTCTTTTCTGTGGTCTCCCTCCTATCTTTCCCCGAGCGCTTAGGAACAATAGACATACATAGTACAACAAGAAAACTGATCAACGTCCACCACGGGAAATCACAAAGTTACCGGTCTTTCCCCCCTCCCGTAGCAGAGGACGTCCCCGCCGTGACCGCAGCGGGAGTCGAACCGGCCGACGCGCCCGTGGATTGCTTGTTCGTGTCCTTGAGATCCTCCCCGTCTTCTTTGGCGTTCACCTCGAGGAAGTGGTAGAGGACGATCATCATCATGGCGCAGGAGCCGAGGAAGACGGCCAAACGGTGGAGCTCCTCGTCGGTGATCATGGTGAAGGAGGTGAGGGATGGACTCGCTTTGCGATTTGATCGGGTAACGAGATCGATCGCAGTGGGTAGGTATGGGAGCTGTTGAATTGCACGGAGAGAGATTGGACACGAGACGGCGCGATGAGAGAAGGGAGTTTGCGGTGCGGGAAGCTGCTCCGGAAGCCACGTTGATGGTCAGCGCCAATGGGACGGAAGGCCAGAATAAAGCATTGGAAGGGGAGGGCACAAGAACCGGATGACGGTTAAACTCAAAGGGTGGGTTCCAGAGGGACTTACCTGGGTTGAAACAAGATTTGGGGGAAGAAGAGCAGGACTGGATGGAGGGGGGGGTTGGCTGAGAAGGGGATGTGTAAGGTATGTAGTAGTAGTGAACAAGTATGGTTACTACTTCTGTGGTGACTGGTGAGGTACGTAACGCAAGTCACCGTACGCAGCAGTCACCCGCGGGCTCAGTCAGCACCAAGTAACAACTGCAACTGGCAACAATATTAAAAATAATAATACCACACCAAACAACTGAAACAAACAGCAGCCGGGCTTCATCATCCAACATCTGTCTATGATCTATCTTTCTTTCTCTTTCCTTTCTGGCTCTCCTCCATTCTCCTCCATTCTCCTCCATTCTCCTCCATTCCCCCATTCCCCTGCACTCCCATCACTCCAACCATCCTACCACCCTACCACCCATCCATCCATCCATTTATCAACTCTCGACTCCGGCCCTTTTACTTCCTTTGTTGCCTGGCGCCGTGTCACCCCCATCACTGCAGCTCCACCACGCCGGACTGCCCGATCGTGAACGGTGAATGGTGTGAGATGGGTGGGGACTGCTGCTAAGTACTTCTCACCATCGGTCAAATAAAGAACGGCGGCGAGACTGTCAGAAAGGTACCTTTTGTTTTCTTTCTCTGTGGTGCTTGGCCATGCATGATTCGTGCGGCCGTTGGGCTTAATTATCCCCTACCCTTAATGGTCCCCCAAGTACCACTCTGCCCTCGTCGACCCATCACCTCTTTTTCTTCGCAGCATCCTCCTTCTGCTCCCCCTCCTTTCTCCCTCTCTTCTTTTCCTTCCTTACACCCTCGCACCCTTCCTGCCCTCCCCCGCGTGTACCGCATTTCCGCTGCCTTCTACTTCTCTCCCACCTTTCCCTGCTGGTTTCCAACTCGCCCGCATCGACCACCTCCCCCTCCATCCAACTCTCCTTGTAGTGTCGGAACTGCAAATGAGATCATCGGCTCATTAACTATCGGTGATAGCTCCTCGTCAACATGGACCAAGGAATTCAAGACCCCTTCGTTTCCGCAAAGAACCCCGGCCCGTCCAAAAACTCGGGCCCGTCCCTGCTCGCCTGTCTTTTATGTCGACACAAGCACCTTAAGTGTGATGGGAAGACCCCAGTCTGCGGTCGCTGCGAGACCACGGGGTCAGAATGTCAATACACCCCCTCGCGTCGCGGGTACAAGGGCCCCTCGAAGAAGCGCCGCGCCAATCCGTCATCCCCCGAGCAAGTGGCCGTAGATCTGTCGGGCTCGTTCGATCCCCAGTTCTTCAATGTCCCTACAGACTGGGCCCTCCCAGGTGGTATGCCCTATAATCTACCGGCAGCCACTCCTTTGCCGCCTTCCCTCCCCTCCTCGTCGGCGCCCTCCGGGAGTCCCGATCTGACAGACCATTCTGGCTCCTCGCAGCCGCTCCGCGTCAATAGCCCCCTCACCCCAGATTCGCTCTCCTCCATTACTGGCGATGGCTATCTTATCGACATCTTCTACACCTATTTCCATCCTTCTCACCCGATCCTGCCTCCACTTCGTATTCTATACCGCTCCCAGGCTCCTCCTCCGTTCCTGGAGCATGTCATCAAATTTATCGGGACCCACTTTACCCCGGCCGCCTCCAGCGACGTATACCGGCCATCGGTGATGTCGTCTGTTATGGCACAAGAAGGAACCATCGAGAAACTGCAGGCGCTCGTGCTCCTGGCTATTGTCCTCCATTCCCGGAACGAGCGGGCCGAAGCGGGTGAATGCGTCACGACGGCGGTGAATCTGGCCTTCGAATTGGGATTGCACACTCAGGGGTTTGCGCGTATGATGAGTGACGGTGACCCGGTGCGTGAAGAAAGTTTGAGGCGTACCTGGTGGGAGCTGTTCATCATTGAGGGCATGTTGACCGCACTGGGTGTCCAGGGGGCCTTCCGTTGCAATTCAGTGCCGCTCGAGGTCCCGTTGCCGTGCGAAGAGCGCATCTATCAGGATGCGCTGCCACCCCCGCCCCCGCCAACCATTGCGCAGTTCGATGAGCGTGTCTTCGCAGATGAGGAGCGAGACTTCTCCTCTTTCACCTACCGTATTGAGGCGGTCCGGATCCTTGGACGGGTAGTGGCCACCCAAGACATGATTGAGGGCCAGCAGGACCAGGTTGAGGCCATTGACGCCCGGATCACCAGTTGGTTCCACCACCTCCCCGAATCCAAGGCGGAACTGCTGCGTCCGGACGGGTCTGTGGACGAAATGATGTTCCAGGCGAACATGATCGTGAATGGCTCTGCCATTTATCTTCATTTCCCGCGGTCCGACCTGCTGTCGTCGCCAACCGTGGCGGCGGAAGTCATTTGCGGCCACCACGGGCCGCTGAGCATCCCGGCCTTCTCGCATCATGCCCATGCAATGAAGGCGGTGAAAGCAGCCAGCGAGATCTCCTCGCTGGCGTCTATTCGCATGCCGGTCGTAAAGCACACGCCCTTCTTCATCTGTGCGCTGGTTCTCAGCTCCATGGTGCAATTGGCGGCGTGCTCCGTCAAGGCCGGGCAGATGCCGGACCCGAGTCGTGATCGACTGACACTTACTATCGGCGTTTTTAAGACTCTGGCTCGAACTTGGGCCATCTCGCAGTCCATTATGCGACAGATCAAGGCGGTCGCGCGCGATGTAATGGACCTTGGTCTTCGGCCTACTGTGGGCGAGATTGATCTGACGACCGTTCTCGACAGCAGCCGATTCTGGCTGCCCTAGCCGCTTCCAGTGGTCCGATACAGGAGCTGTGCTCCTATCGCCTGGGCTATTGTTCGCACGTGACCGTCCCTTTTCTTTCCCTGTCGATATTATCTAACATCGCAAATGATACCCCTCCAAGATTGATGATGATTACTTGTCGAAATGACACCGAGATGATGCCAACGAGTTGATTTCATTGTTCCACTGGGGATCCTATGCTCTCAGGAGGTTTGGAAAATTAGGACCAAAATATACCATCCAACCATTTATGCGGATCTACCACCTGCACTCTTCATATTTTGATGACTACACGAAAGAACATGCAGCAGATATCCACGAGGATGTTACACATAATGTCATGGGGAAAAAGAAATGTACTGAGGCCAGTCGGCCATGGCCGCTTTGTGATTTAGGTGCACGGCTTGGAATTGAATAGTACCGGCTATATAAGATATAGTTCTCTTCAGTAGGTACACATGATCATCAGAATGACCCCTATTGGCTACCAAGAATTACTATTACTATAGTGACTTGGATGGAGTGTTTGCAGCATCTCCAAGGAGATCAGGTGATCGATTGACCCTCTTCTTTCTGTTGGATCGTATCGCATCTTCTCGAGAGTTGCTTGGTATTTTTCGGTTGTTTGTTATATTCCACTACGAACCAAGAAATAAATAGATACATTCCAATCAACCTGGGTATCTCAGATGGCTGGCTAGGTAAGGAAAGTAAAGGCAGAAGGTATGCAAGGCTGGCTGGTAGATAATACAAATGCACTGGGTATGTACTAAGTATAGATGGATGGACGAATGTATGTCATGCAAGGAACGGGATGGGATGGCATCAGTCCGTGGTATCTGAGGTAAGGCGTGGCATGTGTTGGGTGTTGAAAGGGCGAAGGAGGGAAGAGAAGGAAAGATGGGGATGAGAGGTAGGCCATGTATGTATGGATGCAAGGGCTAGGATGCGATGAAGAGAAGGAGTGAGTCAGTAGATGAGTTAGCGATGATGGAAGAATATGTAGCAAGCATAATTAGCAAATTCTATGGACACAGGGTGAACTCCAACGCTGGTACAAGTCATCATGCTAGAAGGAAAGGCCCGGCCGTCTATATCAGAAATGGACAAAAAGGAGAGGAAAGACACAATGGTATCGTGGAAGATGATGATGAACAATGATGACCCTGAAATGGAGAAACAAATCGTGATTGGAATCGACATGACACTTTTTCTCTTTTCGCAAGTTTATAATGAGAGAAAATCGAACAATCCAGGTGAGGAAGGATATGGGACTTCCTCTTCTTCTCTTCTAAAAGTCTCCGGATGAAGTGGGACGGCCGCGGGTGAACTCCTGCATCTCGCGGAGGGCTTCGGCTCGACGGGCGACCACATCTTCGCGCCGAATGACGTTCCGGAGGGCTTCGCTGGCCTGGATGAGGCCGTCGATGCTGATGGCGTGGTTGGTCATTTGGTGGTTGATGTAGGTGTAGAGTTCGGCTGGGGAGGTGCACGTGGTGAGCAGCTGTTGTTCGTTGAGCTTGAGAAGAGCAAGAGCCACCTGGAAGAGGAAGGTGCTGCCACCGCCATTGCCGCTGACGCTGGGGTCCGCGTCATTGGGTTCGGTGGTAGACGAGGCCCCATTCACCGTGCTGGTGCCAGGGGTGTTGTTCCCGGCGCTGGTTACGTTCAAACAGAGGACGACGTCCCAGACGCGGTACAGGGCTTCCGCCGAGAGGCAGTCGGTAAAGACGGAGAGGAACCATTGGAAGGTCAGAGCCTCGAGTTCAACGCCGAGGCTCTCGAGGTGGGCGGATAGCTTGGGCAGGACTTGGGCGATGTACTGGCGCAGGACCACCTGGTCGGCACGGGAGGCAAGCAAGCCATGGTCGTAATAATGCTCGGGCAGGATGACCTCGATCATGGATGTGAGAAGCCAGAAGGCATCTTCGGCGGTCGGCGTGATGAGGAGTAGGGACGCAGCAATGAGGTTCATCCCCTGGCAGTAGCCCACCTCCGGGTTGCGACGGGAGTAGGCAAGTAAAACCTCCTTGAGCTTGGCCACACCTGGGCCTCGGCGGAAGAAGACGTTGTCGGTGAGAGTGCGGTTGATATCCATGTCGATTTGTGCCACCACCGACGGGTCGGGCTCACAGCCGCCGGTGCCTTTCACCAGGTCCTCGTAGTAGCCGGGCACCCGCATCGAAGAGGCGCCACTGCATTCGGACCAGACCTTGGCCCGAAGGGCGACGGGGATTCCCCCGAGCACGAGAGATCGAAACTCTCGCCATTTGGCACGGCCCACCTTGCCTTTGTTGCCTAGACCCGAGATCCCCACCACTTCGCCATCAGCCAACGAGGCCTCGGGCATATCCACGGACTGCAGCGGACGATCCGAGGCGGCGGCTGCTGCTGCGGCGGCTTCGCCGTCTTTCCTGCGTTCTGCACGCACCTTGCGCAGGAATTCGTTCCATCGTACGGTCCGTTCCCGTTGTAGAAAGTCGTGTAACTCGGTCAATTGCTCGAGTAGCAGTTTAACGGGCTCGTTTTCGTTGGCGGACAGGCTGAAGATGGCAGGCTCATCGGAAGATATTCCGGAAAACTCCGGTCGATCTGCAACTACAGTCGATGTGGACGCCGATGGTTGAGCATTTGGATTGACGGAGACCGAGCCACGCTTGTCAACAGCCACGGCAGAATTGCGAGGTGAGTTATCGCCGGCAGTGGTGAGGGCCACAATTGGACCAGCCGAGGGCGTGTGCGACAGCAACTCAGTCGGTCCAGTGGGGACCCTCAAATAATCTTGCCATCCCCGAAGTGCGACTGTACCAGCTTCCAGGTTCTCAGGAGACGCCGATGCAGGAGAAGGCTGAGAGTCGGCGGCAGGCTGCAGCTGCCTCTGGGAGTCAGAGGCATCGTCTCCATCGGAGGTTTCACTTCGTAAGCTACTAAGAGTCTCGGCAATGCTGACTCGGTTGCTGCCTCCGGGGGTCTTGAAAGCGTTCGCTTCCCTCTGCCTCCTCTTTCGACGCTGGTCGTAGATAAACCCAAACCTATCGGTCAGCAGCTCGCCCGGTTGGTAGTTGTTGTACATGTTTAGAAGAGTAGGGGGCCTCGATTCGAGAGGCAGAATAGCATCCATTTCAACAGGCCCGAGATTGGTCGCGTTTTTGACCGTAGACTCCGAGTTCGCCCCTTGCGAGACACTCGCAGATGCTTGCCTCCGGCTGATCTGGCCGGACTTGGCTATGCCGCTGGGTCCATTTATCCGCCCTGAAGCACTGTGGATGCTGGTATTGCTATTGATTCGCGTCAAAGCCGCCACGGCCGAAACGGCCCCTCTTGCATTTGGGGGAAGCGCGGGTGAAACACCTTTGCTGGTGCTCCTATTAGCAGAAGATGCCCTGCCGCGTGTGTCGTCACCGCTGGTTTCGTCCTTGTTCGACTGCGCGTTCCCCGCAAACAACTTGACTGTCCACGAGGATAGCGACTTGGACGATTTGCGTGAATGAGTGCTGGCATCATCACCGCCGGCGGATGCACCGAGACGTTTCCCGGCGATCTCACTCGCACCAGGGCCATTCTGTGCTTCGGGGGGTAGGAATAGTTGATCGTCCAGCGCCTTGCGGCGACTGGAAGGATTGCCAAGATTCCGCTGACGCTGGGTTTCTTCTTGTTCTTCGACTTCGCCCATGACGCTGCTCGCCCGGCTCGTTTTCCGGCTACCCGTAGCGTTACCGAAGATGAAATCCTGCCAGCTTCGGATAGAGCTATGCCTCTTCCGATTCGTTCCCGAATCAACGCTAGAAGTGCCAGAGCGCGCATCACTATCGAGACGCTGTGGGCCTCGAACAGTAGCTTGGACATGATTAGCCGTCTCTGCCCCATCCTCATGAGAACGAGATCCGATCCCGTCAATCATTGCCTGCTGCATCAGTCCGTGCACACTGGAGGAGGAACTCCCTGGTTGCTCTGCATTACCCCCAGTATCCTGACTTGGTTCATCGCTAAGTGGCGCATTCTCCAGCTGGTACAATCGACGCTCGATGTCCTGGTTCGAGACAGAAACCTCCCGAAGCATCCTCTTCAGCTCTCTCTCCCTCGCGTCAGCACGCTGCCGCAGCGCCGAGATCTCCGCATCACGCTGTGCCAAATCCCGGGCAAACTGTCGTACGAGTTTGACTGCACCAGTGCTCGCAACCAGACGCTCGATATGAGTGTCATCAGCCAGGTGCAAAGCTCCTGGAAAATCACGGATCGGCACCGAGTCTCCAAACAAAGCCGCACGGCCAGGGCTCGGCGTAGAGGTCCCCGTCAGCTTAGCAAGAGTAGCCCTCCGATCTTTACTGACATCGCCCATACTATCACCACTTTCGCCTTCTAATAAGGCATTTGTTAACGCACGGTTCAACGCCGGTTGGCCTATGAACCCGTCGGGGGCACGGTCCGGAGAAAGCGAGGGGAAGGAGGTGAGATCGGTGGTGGTGGCATTGGAGGAGGCCGAATGACGTTTTTGCGAGCGGGCACGGACGGTCCTAGCCTTCTGACTGCGCCGGGAAGAGGAGGAGGTCCGAGAAGAGGAACGACGGGGTAGTTGGGGGATATCGCACTCCGCCATGACTCGAGGGGCGGTGAACAAGGCAGGGAACTTGAACTGCGGCCTTCATGTATGCTTCTTCGTTGTTGTATGCTGAATCCGAACGGGAAGGTTGAGGCAGTGGACAAGAGTGTCTTTATAACCTATGGTGTGGAGTATGTTCGTGCTACCTGAGTCTTGTCTCCGCCGTTTGCGACTCTGTTTGTTTGTGTGGCAGAAGTCGGACTGAGCAACCAGGGATGAGAGGGGGGCAACACCGGCACGCTAAACCGCGAGAAACTGATTACAATCGAGGAGAAACGCGGCAAAGGGAAGCAGCAGCAGGAAGGAGGAGGAGGCAAGGAATGACTGGAGCGTAGGGAAAAATTGAGGGGAGGAAAAGAGCAAAGGGTCTGGAATGCGTCTTGGGTTTGGAACCGAACGGACGGACCATGACGTGTGGCTGCAGCCATGTGACTTGGGCCCGCTTGCCGGCCCCGCTTATGTAAGATCTCTTGGGTGCCTTAAATCAAATTATCGCCGGGGTAACTCCGGCCGGCAGACTGGCCTCGTCACCTGACCATCAGCCTCGGCTCTCCGCAGCAGCCAGCAACCCATGGGGGATCGCCGTCAAGGGGTCCGAGGCTGTCTCACTCTAGTCATCGCAAGGCTCCTCCGTTCTCTCTCTCTCTGTACAGTCTCTGTACAGTGTACAATCGGAGGATTTGGCTTCACCAAAGCAACTCTTCACCAGAGAAATTCCTCCCCACACGTGACCTTCTCTCTGCGGCTATATACTTATTCCACGCTCTCAGTTGAGTAATTTATTTCGACCACCATGTTCTCAGTAGCCAAACGTCGTCTCCAAGCTCTGAACCAGCAATTGGTGGAAGGCATTCCGGATGCAGGGACATTCGAGGATATTCCTAAAATTCGCCAAGTGGCGCCAGATTCAGTGGGGCCGTAAGTGATTGAACTTACTACAAATTGGCGTTTCTATAGCTCACAAGCTGACAATCCTGTTATAGGCGAGTGAAAGACAAGGTTGCGATTGTGACTGGTGAGAAGCACCTCCGATCCCGAACATCTGAAAGGACAAAGAAATATTAGAGACCCTGGGATCGGTGAATGCTCATATGGCTCAGGTGCTAATTCCCCGGCCGGCATCGGTCGAGCCACCGTCCATCAATATGCGCATAATGGCGCCAAAGCCATTTACATTTGCGACTACAACGACTCGCATCTCGCCACACACAAGCGAGAGATCGAATCTCTTTATCCCGGTGTTGACATCCACATTCGCCAATTTGATGCGGCAAACGAGGACGCAGTCCAGGCAGTCGTTGATGATGCGTTGCAGAAGTATGGCCGGTTGGACATCTTCTTCGCCAACGCTGGCATTGTGGGCCAGCCGAAGATGTTTACTGATATAACTGGGGCAGATTTTATGAAGACCCTAAACACAAACACCGTCGGGTACGAGAGATTCCACCATTGTCTTTGCCGCTTGTTGCATATAGCTCATGTTAAGCAGCGTTTTCCTGGCCGCCAAATATGCCTCCATTGCGATGAAGCAGACCTCAACTTCCAAGCCCTACCCCGCCGGCTCGATCATCTGTACAGCATCCGTAGCCGGCCTGCGCTCCAACGCCGGCTCGACGGACTATTCGGCTTCCAAGGCAGCCGTCGTTTCCATTGCCCAAACATGTGCCTACCAATTGGCTGGGACGGGCATTCGCATCAATGCCATCTGCCCGGGCCTGATTGAGACCGGCATGACCCAGAACCTGTTCGATGCTGCTCGTGCTCGAGGCACGGAGCGGAAGGTCGGCCAGCTGAATCCACTGCAGCGGGGAGCAGTTGCCGATGAGGTTGCTCGGGTAGCGCTGTTCTTGGGGAGCGATGAGAGTAGCTATGTCAACGGCCAGGCATGGGCCGTTTGTGGCGGACTGAGTGCTGGACACCCTGTCGTGCCGGGTAAATTGGCGTAGGCTCCAGGCTACTGAACTATTTATCGACTTAAGAATGAACAAAACCAAATGAAGTGGGTAAACCAACGGATTAGATTCGAATGACCGCTGAGGTTCACGCCGCGGTAGAGATTGGCCAGAGCCAATTAAGTATATCTTGAGACTCTGGACAGCAGCTTTCAAAGCCGCCCTAGTCAACAGGTAAAATTATAGACACAAGGAAACAGGAAGATGACAGGATAGGAAATGTGGGAGAATGAGGGGTCGGCCCAATAAATGGATGCCAAATGATCTACTATAAGGCGCGAGAGGTCGCGATGGACTCTCAAAGAAAGAAAAACGGTGTAACGATGGGCTGGCGGGTAAGAACCAAAGCAATCAATGTAGCCGTCCCATTAAACGTCAACTGGGCTCACATAGTGCTCCCGGAGAATGGAAAAGAAATAAACACCTGGGTAGAAGCTCGGAGAGGGCAATAGTGGGAATCTCCAAAAGGAAAAGACAACGGAAAGACAACCAAAAGTAGAGAATAACGGTAATAGTGATGAAAACTCGAAGCCCAAAATCAATGCCATAGAGGGGCCACAACTCGCTCTAATTCGGACAAGATGGTAGGAGCAGACGTCGTGTCAAAAGTCGTCGAAATCAAGCGTTGCATCATCGTTGGGAAGAGACAATCACGCAACCAGTCGGGAAGAGCCGGATCGCATAAGATCCTCGCTGGCCTGTTTGGAGAGGGTGCCAGTCTCGGTGTGGTCATCAAGACCATCGGTCTCGTGGGCACGCTCATCATCGTCCTCGACTATCCGGGTCGGGAACTCACCAGGCCCATACTGTTGACTCGACCTCTCCGGGAACGTCGAGCTGCTAACCATCGACATCGATGTGCTGGACCGGTTGTGCACCAGGTCTGGAGTGGGCGGGACACTGGAACGCCGGTGGTCAGGATGCAGCGAGTGGTTGTCGCTGTCGCCCATCTCACTACCTGCCGGTGTCAGGTGCCCACGGCCACCTTCAGGGACCAGGCGCCTCCCGCTCGGGGTAGCTTTGCCGGTGACGTCTGAATCGTCATCCTCCGCATCCTGAGCCAGCTGCAAGCCCTCCACGGCGGCGGCGCACTGTTCGCTGATACTGCGGATGATGTCCGAAATCGCATCCGTCTTGTCACGCAGGTAGCGATCTGCAACATCAGTTATGCTTAGACGCGCAAGACGATTGTGCCCTTTACCGATGTTCAGGAGATGTTGCTCCAAATCTGGGCTCACATTGTTGGCGATGCCCTTCGCAGAGACGTTGGCACTCGAGCGTCGCGATGAGGCAGCAGATCCCCTCGGGGTCACTGCCTCGTATTCAGTAGTCTTGGTCTCCACAGCAGCCTCGTGTTCGGCCAGCTCCGTCAGGTCCGCGGAGCTACCGATCGAGCGGACAATGTGTTCCATGTGGTGTGTCTGGCCGTTAATAAGGCTTCGGAGGCCCAGGACCACGCGTTGAGCCTCATCACGCTGTCGTGCCAGGGACACGTTGGTGTGCTGCAGGGAAGCAAGTTCCTTTTGGTTACGCTTCCTTTCGCGCTCGAGTTCTTCTGCAATTTCCTGCTGGAGAACCAACGCCTCCAAAGCGTCGTCGCGCTGCTTCTCCGTGCCGGATAAGCGAAGTGAAAGACGGGCCACATCATCCTTTTGCTGGTCAATGAGACCAGTAAGACGACGATTCTCGCGTTTATGATTCTCAATCTTAACCTTAAGCTCAGAAGTTTCCTTGGTGAGCTGCTCTGCGAAAGCCTGGAACTTGAGAAACTACAAAAAAACAGTTAGCCCGGAAAATGTGCCAAGAAATATGCACAGGGTAAAACAAACCTGCTGTTTCCAGGTTTCCAGTTCCTCAACCAAGAAGTTGTTGCGCTTGGTGACCTTGCTCAACTCGGTGTCCATACGACCCTTGAGATTGATGAAATCTTGCCAAGCCTCCATCGCATCGCGGGAGTATTGGTTCCTCTCACGCACAATTTCGTTCAGATGGCGCATGGACACCTTGGTCATGAGAGGCTTCTTGACAGAGCCACCAAAGATGGCCTTCATGCCAGTGTTCCGTCCCTAAATTGGTGTCAATAAGAGTTTTATCCTGGATTTGCGCTTCGAGGGTGACTAACCAACTTCTCACACACGTGGTCCATAACATGCATCACAGCATCCTGATTCCACCAAGAGGGATCCTGAACGCTTTCGACTTCACCCCGCATCACAATGATTTGCCCAGCTGGAATGAGCTTACCACCGGCATAAGCGGAACGGAGGTGGTTTGGAACACCAGAGGGCGAGACATCCCCGTTCAAAGCCTGGGTCAGTCTGTTGATGAATTTGGTACGTTGACCGGGGCTAAGAACGTCGGGCGGGCTTGATGTCAGAACGAAGTTGCGGTCCAGATCTACGACCAACGCATCCGACGGAGCGTTAAATAGGGTCCGACACTCGGCGGTGACACCGAGAATGTACGGACCAGGTTCTTGAACCAAATCCTTGATGTGACGAGCGTGGACGACGGGGACGTAGAGGCCGCTCCATTCGTAGATGCGAACGCAGTAACGAATAGTTTCGGCGGCCATAGTAAGCATGGCAGGGTAGTGGCTGACGAAGATTATGCGACGCGTTGGCGACACGGCGGCTTCGACCACGCCCACAACGTTGGGAATCGACAGGCATGTAAACAGGGGCCACATGGAGAAGTTTTGGAAGCCCGTTGGTGATGAAGGGAACTGATAGCAGAGGGCATAGTCCTTCATGTCGATACGAACCAGGTCATTCAGGCGAGGCGCAGGGAAGCTCAAAATTCGTGAAACTTCCTCCGCGTGAAACAGGTTGGTCGCTTTGTTCCAATGAATCCACATGCCACGGAGGTAGTCGCCCAATAGGTCGTAGAGGGGGTAACGGGAAAGGAAACTCAAACAGTATGGGATCCAGTAGGTCTCCTCCGGGTTATCGTAGAAATCCGGCTCCGTTTTCTTGCGCAGTTCGCGAATTGTTTCTGCACGCTTATCATCCGCCCGGGACCAGACTCGCAGAGCGATACCGTATAAGGTGTGGGAAGAGTCCTGCTGCAGGACGAAGGCATGATGGACGCAATGAGGCTGGCTCTTGCCGGTGCAAATCTCTACATCGTGGGGGAAACAAGCCTATGGCAATCAGCTTACTGAACATCTCGCTGGACTGCGGGGTTGAGAATACGCACCCTCATGGCCGAATGCAAGGACTTGGCGATTTCATTGTCCTGTTCCAACCGGGGACTGCTCCCCAGGATCTCGGGCAACCAAAACTGGCCCACGGCACCTTTCATGTGACCGATCTTTCCCTGCGCTGGCGCGGGAGCTCGGACCCATTGGGAGGGCTCCCGGCCCACGCCGCAAACCATGTAGGCATGAGTGAGGGTCTTGGGGGTCCGTTGAGCGGCTTTCGGATTGGCTTGCGAAGGGATGGGCTGCGTAATGCGGGAGTGAAGCGAGGAGGTGCGACTAGGAACGACCAGCGAGTTTTCCCCTTGATCGCGAGTTGAGGGCCGGTCGCGTGTGGAAGGACGGACAAAAGATGCGTGATCTCTCAGAGAAGGGCCCATGATGAAAGTTGTGTCTTGTTTCCCAGGGATCGTCGGGGGCTATATGTACAAGAGCAAATTGCGTAGTTGTTTCTTTTTCCCTTTCAGGGCGCAGGCGGTCTCCGAACCCTGGTTCCGATGGTTGGATGAATGGGTCGAATGATAGCGAACTGAAGAGTGGATTTTTTTCCCTTTTTCCCTTTTTCCCTTTTCCCCCTTTTGCTTGCCCCGTAGACAAATCGCAGATTGACAGAATAATAGCACTGCTAAAGGTCGAAAAAGGCGTGAGGCGAAAAGAAGGACAGTTATCCGAATAGGGGTTTGGAACTAAAGAAGGAAACACGGCGGCGATGGGATCGGATGGATCGATCACAACTACTCCCGCGAACTCAATCGATGAGCATTTCTCAGGCTATACAGCACATCCCAGACCGGAAAATCCAACGACGTGTGTGGAAGCGAGGAAGGCGACGCCCTTGGGTGGCGGTCGTATTGATACGGGATGGTCCTAGTCCTCTGGGGGAGGAGATGGATAAGGGAGAGGAAAGGAAGGGGAAGAAGAGGGAAAGGGAGGAGGAGAAGGAGGGAGGAAAAGAGAGGGGAAGAGGACGGAAGAAAAAAGCGCGACAAGAGGAGAGAGGTTAAGCCGGGTTTAGATTAATTGGAGCCGGAGGGTGGAGGGGGAGAAGGGAAGGAAGAAAGAAAAGCAGGGAGACAATCTTGACCGTGAAGAGTAAGGTAGGAAGCGGTTAGTAGTTCGTTGACCACTAAAGGGGGGGGGTGGAAAGGTGGAAAGGTGGAAAGGGAAGGGAAGGGAAGGGAAGAAGTGGGTAGCTTATTAGTCTCTCTTATGATTCTGGTTTTGATTCTCAACGGTGGTAAACTGGTATTATTTATCAGTCAATTCCATTCCCATACCACGGACAGGTAATCTACGAATGGCAGTAATGATGGGAATAGGAATGGTTGTATCTGCGCGGCCTCCAGCGGCGTGGTACTACTGTGAGTTTTGTCTCAAGAGCAGGAATACCTCGTTGGGGTATGCACCGAATATGCAGATGGAGGTACCCGCTCCAAAGAAGCAAGAACCTTCTGAAGTTACCGTACTCCGTACGGGTTGTTCGGTCGTTCCTGCGCCGGTGGGGGGAGGCAAAACCGCCTGACTAGTCCGACTACTAGTCAGGGACACTGGCTTTAGTCGCTCCCACCACGGGTCGGCCTCGTGCGGCCGCTGCTACCTACCTATCAGTATTCACCTAGGTATTACTCGTTATTATTGTTCCCTCTAGTAACGTCGCATTCGATTTCCAACCACTTTGCTGCACTCCTGCGACAGTCCTTGCGCCCGTGCGGGGTGAAAGAAGCTTCTACAGAGTTATCGCAAGCTGTAGGTAAGAACACAATCGGGCCCAGAAGGTTGTTTCCATCCCCTACCATCCACTATCTATCTCTCTACTAGTATTATCCTGCCCATCCTACACAACACCTAAGCTAAGAGTCGACAGGCTAACACCAAGAGTCATTAACAATCCCGGTTTTAGACATATTATTATAACACTGAATACTATTATCCATCCATCGCTAGAATAAACGGACGGCCCGAAAGCCTCTCTCCCACGCGAGAATGGATCTTTCAGGAGCCTTGCCAAAATAATTGACGATCGAGGAGCAGAGTGAAGAGGGCAAAGAAAAGCAAAGAAAATCCCACCCCTAATACTATGATCAATTTTCCCAAAGGCAAGCTAAGGCAAGGCCACTCTTGTCGCTTTTGGCAAGATGCGAACTGACAAATCCTCCACGGCAAGGTTCAGTTGAAAGTTAAACAGCTTAGTGCTGTGCCTGACCGGCCAGTCTTATTCTTGAGCACGATAGTCAGACAGAACCCCGGCTTGGTCGCATAATCCCGGCTCTAACCCAGGCCACGATGTGTACACACACGCTTCCCTTAGGCGTGTAGCAAATTGGCCGACCTTGTTTCAACCTGCTCTCCAGGTCGTGCTCAACTGCAGGGCCCTCTGCACCACATGTCGTACGGAGGACCTCCGGCTATTCGGCTAGGCTTGACATCAGTATTATCTTGTTCTCTTTGTGCTTCTGCCCCTTTTGGGCGTAATGGTATCTCCGGATTTATAATAATAGCAAGAAAAGATAAACGGTCCAGCGCCGGTGGACTAAAGTGCGGGCACGGTCACCAGGGGTCTAAGACAACGTTCCAGGATGGGAGATTACAGTCCCTCCACTGTATTTCCCATCAATTGATGAGTGGCAGGTGATCGCTCCTCCTCGGCGCCAAATTCTATCGACAGTTTGATATCCGAAATCCTAAATAGAGGCCTCGTTTAGCAGTCTGGGCGCTCATATGCTGACTGGGCCCTACCGCACCGTACTCCGACTGTTCGTGTCAAAGCCTGATCAGCCATCCTTGCCTGCGCCAGGAAGATCATCATTTCATGATGCGCAGTGGTTCGCTCTCGGACGCTAAGGCCCTAAGGATCAAGACTATTTGCTAAGGAAGTCCGGAAGAGGCCACCATGAGGGTGGACTGGCCCATGTAGGACGGCTGTTAGGGGGCTCGTTCGAGTCGCACTCGCATAAAAACCTGCGTCGCTGACGACGTCCCCAGCCGAAAATTCTCCTAGAGCGGCTCAAAGGGCATGAAAGCATCGAAACCGAAAGGTCACACAGCCAGCCTTCTTCTACCTATCCTGGTCGAATCGAAGATATTCCGAGCTCATCATCATTGTCTCAGCGAGATGTCTGATCCTGGTTTTGTGTGCATTGAGCTATGGGCGTCATCCTGAAATTTCCGCCTTCTTTTTCTTCCCTTAGCCCCCTATCGATGTGTGGCTTTGTTGAGCATTGACACCTCTGCCGATTGTAATTCCGGTGTCATTCTCCAGATCCCTCTTAGACGCCCCCATCAAGTCCATCCGGTCGGTAAGCGACGCGTTTGTCTCGGTCGCCCGCCGCTGGGTCCGATCCACCGATCGAGTCAGTCCGCCTTCATCCTGACATTCGTCCACCGGCTGTCCGGAATATCAGATGCAGTGCATGCATATGTCGATCTAGATCTCCGCCCCCGATGCGTGGTCGTGATTGAGGGATCGGGATTCTACTGGTCCAATGAACATAATTCCGCGCATAAATAAACACCGACCGTCGACCCTGGAGACTTCGAATGTCTATCTACCAGTCCGATGGCGTCGATCGAATATACGTCGCACTCGGTCAGGTCAGCAAGGCAAACCGAAGGCAAAATATCCAGCACACCGCACCTTCGAGAAGGGGCAAAGAAGGGGCGATGAAGTAATAGTCCGAAGACCACGGTAGAAAAAAATTCAATGTCTACCTGTAACGGGGACCGTGATCTGGCCCTGCAGATGGAGCCCGCAAAGCGTCAACGCATGAATCGCGGTTAATCTCGCCATCCGTGGTTCGCCAACGGGATTTCATTTCGTGGGCCAGATCTGACCGTACCGAACTCCCTCATCCACCTGAACCCTGAAGCGCCTCTGGGTCTGCGAGGTACCGTCAAATACATTACACACTTGCTTTTGACTTTCGTGGATGCTTCACCTCGGAAGTCGGAAGTCTGAGGGTTGACCTATCACCCAGCCAAGCGTCGCGGTGTGTACCCGGATATTGGCCTCAAGAATAGGTAGGGCCTGCCTAAGTCCACCACCACCACCACCACTCATCTTTGGTCCTTCTTTGGTCCTTCACTGCCTCGGGCCTTGTGCCAGAGACACCATAAAGGTAAGACATTCAAAGTCTCCGTTTTAGATACGGAGTGGTGCTTGCTGGCTAGTCGAATAGTCAGTCCACTTTGTCTTTCCAAAAGCCATCGTCGCTCGCTCTATCTAGTATCTACCTACTTGATACATCCCGCAAGGATGTAAACTCAGCACCACCACTGCCAAGCCCAGCAAACCCCAACCGTATCAACCAAATTAATCCGATATTAATCTTCCATCGAGCCCAGTTATCTGCCGCCGAAAAAAAAGGGTGTTAATACTTAACAACCGGGTTGGCTAGTCATTTCCATCCGTCGATCCGTTTCCGTATCCATCGCCTAGTGTTTCACTAGTCTTTCCAACTCCCGGGTTCCACCACTCAACTGCCCTGTTCTAACTTCTATTCTATTGAGTACCTAGTAGCCTGAACGGTCTTGATAAAGAGGGTCATATCTTTTTCTTTGCAAATCCAATCTTTGTAGCTTGGTCAAGGAGAAAAGGAAAAGGACTCTGGATGTGGTCTTCTGGACCACACGTCGGGCATGGATATATAGCGCTAGTTTGGTAGTAACGGGAGGGGGCGCGCATCTGGATGACATTCGACATGTCAAACTACTAACTATTCCCATGTCGACCGTTGGAGGGGCCTGTCGAGCTACTATTTATCTCTCTATCGATTAGTTTAGTTAGCTAAGGCATCGGAGTATCTCCGAACAAACTTAGCACATAGCATGCATCTAGCTGTCATCGGACAGACAAGACAGGTCAAGTTTTCGTCATCCCATTCTCCAGTAGTAGACTTAATATTGCGAATTGAAATCAGATCTATCAGAAGGCTCTTTAGTTACCAGCACATGGATTACTGTACAACGTACATACTATCTATTCCGTAGATGGGTGCGATCGATATCACTGGAAAACATAAACCATTCCCGCCCGGTCAACACTCACAATCATACCATATGGGGCACGTAGCAACGCCACGTCCTGGATGAAATCGAGGTGACTCTTCAACAACTGCTGCTGCTGCAAACTGATCACTGTGCTCCGGGGCAGACGTCCACTTCCGCCCTTTTTGGCGCCCCGCTTGCCGTTCGTCACGGGCACTGACGAAGTTGGAATATGCTCCGTGGCAATGAGGAGCGAGGGACCGGGCTGGAAGAGTTCGTATCGCGGCTTGCCGGTCGCGCCGCCATCCGATACGACGTCTAATCCGCTGACGATCGTGGTCAGTTCCGGTCGCGCCAAGTCCCAGAAGCGGATTTTGCGGTCGCAGCCCCCGGAAACTATGAACCCGCATCGAGTGCTGTTATCGCGGCCGTCGTCGGGAGAGTCGAAGCCAACAGCGAAGGCGCAGATCGTGCCTGAGGGGGATGGTCCAGATGGGTGGTCGGTCGGTCCGGAGGCAAGTCCTTCCATCGCGAAGCGGCTGAGCATACCTTCTGGTCGGCTTCCTTCGACGTGCCAGGCTTCATAGTCGCGAGAGTTTGGGAACCCGAGTCGGGGTTTGGCGCTGTCGGGACCGGGGCTGGGTTGTCCGGCGTTCGAGGCTGGGTTGCTGACGCCGGGCGAGTCTGCTCGATATACCTCCCTGCAGCGGACTTTCTCGATATCCCAGACAGTGATTTCGTTGCCGTGGGTCCCGCTGCTAGAGACGCAGACCCATCGCCCACGTCCCTTGGTGGGATGGACTTGGAGTCTGTGGATAGCGCCCGACCCCGAAAGGCCCCAGGCTTTGAGTCGCACGCGGAAGCGCAAATCCCAGAGATCGAGAATGCCGTGGGTGGTGCCGATGAGTAGCCAATTGTGTTTTCGGTCACAGCAGAAGGTGGTTGGGGTTCCGTGGTGGACTGGGTTTTGTAAGGAGTAGACCGGAAGCATGGTCTTCATATCTAAGGCTAAGATACGGCAGGTGTTTGTAGCAATAAGCAGCGTGGATTGGGCCTCAACGCGGAAATGCTCCATCCAGACAGGATACTCGATGGTCCCATCTTCAGCTGTTGGTAGCTGATACTCGCGCACAAGTTGAAGTTTCCCGTACCGGACTGTGCCGTTGGTGCTATGATAATCCACTTTCACCGCATGGATGCTGCCATCATTTGCTCCGCTGACGAACGTGTGAGTATTTTCAACGAAAGTCAACGTCTTCACTTTGGCTTCGGTGGAATGTCGGTATGTCTGACGAGATCTTGGGGTCAGGTTCTTTTCCAGACGGGTGGTGTCCCAGATCTTGACAGTACCATCGTCGGCGGCGGTAACGAAGAAAGCATGATCTGGTGCCACAACCACGCGGTTGACAGGCCCACTGTGCTCCCCAAAAACGGCGACGGGACCCCCCGTTGGTTTCCACACTTTGTCAGGTTCAAGCCCGTTGGCTTTTACGATCGGCCGTCTTGTGTCTATCTCTTTGACATAAGGTCCAAGATCAAAGAAGTCGGTAGGGTAGTTTTCCGCAAACACAGAATCCAGCAGCTTGAGAACAACAGGATCGTCACCCGCATATGAGTGATTGGCGTGGAATTTGGGGGACTCGTGCTCAGCTGCTTTCCTGTCAAGCGGGGCGGGGGAAGGGGATGATGGTACCTCTGTCCGCTGAGATGGTACGTCAACTTTGCCAAAGGCGTTAGCCGAGCTGGTGCCGGTTTCAGCATATGCTTTGGCGGAGTCCTTGCGGTTGAGTAAACTCATAGCACTGGATTTCCTTTGCACACCGGCGGTCAACTTCTTTATAGCAGGGTTCTCCGCATCAGTGGGCGTGGATGAACTGTCTTGTCCAGGACTCTCCCTGCCTCCTGAGCCCCTACGCCCAGCATCTGAGCCAGGTGGTGACAAGGGCCGAGATCCTGGAGTGGCACCGGGTGATGATGCTATTGGTGAGGATACGGGTGAGTTCTCTGCTCGGATGTTGTCTAGAGCACTCGGTCGTGGAATCGATAGAGTGGCCCCCGTTTCCCTCTGACTCCTCGAGCGCATATGCCTTCGGCGCGAGTCAGGCCTGTTATCGATAGTAGTTGAAGCGTCAAGTAAAGCATCTGTGATGGTGTGTGGTTTCCGCTCGTCAGTGCGATCGTTTTCGGGCTTCCCCAAAGAACTTCTGCGGGGTTTGATGTTTTGAGTCTTGTCAAAGAAAACAGTCTGAGGGGTCACCCCATACTGCATTAGAGCAATAACGTTATTCAAAGGGGATCCTCCAGGATCTGAGTCCTTTGATTGACGCATTGACAGTCTCCAAATGTACTCTCTGAGAGCCAGAAGCTTGGGCTCGTCATCAGCGCTCATTCCCATGTTTCTTAGTCTAGTGATCCACTGCTCATCCTCCTCATTTCTCGGTTGCAGGCTCGGATGACTGGCGATCGTGTGTCCCACCTTGGATAGAGCACTGTCGGTTCCATTCAGCGTGAAAATCCCATCACGACCTGCAGCTTTCCAGAAGATACCCTTCTCTGCCTTTGAAACCCAAACGAAGGCCAGATCGTATACACCCCTTGAAAGCGGCTTCTTGAGTGCGTCGAGCATCTCTTCCTCTGAGAAACTGAATACCTCAGCTATAACGAAGGGTCGGACAAGAGGTGTGAGAATGGAATATTTATCGGCCACAGAAAGGAACTTGGTTGAGTTCACGACGAGGTGAACCGCTGCTTCGCGGATCCAAGCGTTTGGGTGAACAAGGAAGCGGACAGTGATGTGAAGAAGATCCCATGTAGTCGACCGCTGGAAAAGGCCAAGATCGGCCATCGCGGCTAGAGATCGAAGGACCCTTTCGACGACAAACTCTTCTGGATCTGTCATCGACTGGACCATCAACGGCAGGATGTACTGCTCCAAACTTGTACTTCCGACATACGCTGCAACACCAATAACGGCCTCGAAGAAAGCGCACTTCAAAATCCAGTCTCTATCATTCAGATAGGTATTTAGATGGCTCAAGACAACTTCACTGGTTTTGAGATTACCGAAGAACACGCAGAGGTCGGCCACAGAGCCCAGAAAAGCGCGACGGACCGAAGCATCGCTGTCAGTCAAGAGAGATTTGGTGTGATTCTCGAAGTACTCGAGGAGATCGACTCTTGCGACGTCATAGAGATTATGATATGTAGCATCCTCCGTCCATCTGGGTTCGGACCCAGCGGGTATCAGAGCTGGCAAACGGGTGTCAGAACGCAGAGCCTGTATCATGTCCAGAAACCTGAGCGAGGATCGTGCCAGAGATGCAATGCAGGATGCGTATGCAGCGCGGACCAACGGGCTTGGATTTGAATTAGCGTTAGGAACGAACGGTTGCAGTCTCGGGAAGATATATTCTGAAAACAAGTATGCATTGACCGGAGACACCACATGGACCATTTCCAAGAGCTGGGCAAGAGCTCGAATTGCAGCGACCTTCACTGAATCTGCGCGGTCATTGAGAAGTATCATGATGTACGGAAGAACGCGATCCAATTTTGCCTCATCCGACAGCCTCTCAGCAAAAGCAAGGAGGATGTCGCAAGCCTTGACTCGGGCGGATGATTTGGAGGTATTGCGCAAATTAGATACGACCAGAGTTAGAAAGATCAACACGCCGTCATCCGGTTGGGATGGAGATTTGGGTGTTGGCTGTCCATATTGTGGCAGGTCCAGTTGAACGGGGAACGTATTGCCGGTGAGTCTCGAGGATGTGCGACTAGACCCGTCCTTTGCGGTCTTAGGCGAAGCCCCCAGGAAGTAGGATATTTTATCGAAATCATAAAAGACCCGTTCAATTCTCTCGTCAGCCTCTCCTCTATTTGCTGACTCGGCTTCAACCTGCGCTCTACCCGACGACGGGTCAGTCATGAGCGACAAGTACTGATGCAGGAAGCTGTAAAAATAATCAGGGAACGCCTTGTTCTTCCAAAAATTTAGATATTCTTCTGCCGAGTATCTAGACTCTGGCTCAAGCTGAATCATATGCAGGATCAAGGCCCGAATCTCTGGGTCCTCAATCTTGGCAAGTTGGCTATGTTCCGGACTGTATTCCCCCTTGCGGTATTTGTAGATCTGGCTGAGGGTGAATATTGGCGATTCTAGGAAAAGCTCCGCGATAACGCAGCCGGCGCTAAATATGTCCATTGCCCAGTTGACATGTCTACTTCCTGGTTCTTCGCCAGCCACAAGGAACCTTTCGGGTGCTAGATAGCAGGTCCGACGCCCTGAAGTATCGAAGTAGAAAGAGAAATCTGCAGGGTTATCCTCCGGAAGGAACGTCGGCTTGAAGGAGGATGAAAAGTCAGAGAGATAGAGCCAGTTCCATGAGGTGACCAAGACATTTTCCGTCTTAATATCACCATGGAAGACGTCAAGCGAATGGCAATCCCGTAGTGCACAGAGAAGCTGAAAGGCGATCCATTTCTTCTCAATATCTTCGGGAAATGGCCGAGTACTGCATAAAGTCAGTGACCAGACTCACAAAGGCTCTGATTGCGACGCCTACCTCATCCGGTCATAGAGAGAGCTGTGGATGTATTGGCGGACGAGATAACCTCCGGTGCTGGTTTCCAAGATCCTTTGATAACTCAGGGCATTCGGAACTTCAGACAGTAGCTTGCGTTCCCCTATACTAGGTATTAGAGTGCCAATAGGAGGTAAGAAGGAGCAGTTATAGAACATACGGATGATCGCCTTGATATATGGCTCCAGCTTCATGCTGGGGTAAGGCTTCATGATGACCTTCACAAAGACCAGTCCATTATGCTGCCGTGCTCGGATGCTTTTCATAAATCTGCCACCGCCCATGGACTTCTCATACACCAGATCCGAGAGCTCGGGAACATCGATCCCAGCCGAACCCGCGGACAGGGTCGTGAGGGAATAGCCTTGGCCCATGGTGTAGAGGCGCCTTCATCTCACAGGGCTTGCAGCTTGGAGATTGTCCTAGTCATCTATCATCAAGATATTGTAGAAATAAGTTGCCGGATAGTTCTACAGCATTAGATCAGCCCCACCCGGGGTTTAGCAAATTGATCGTAAGATGTCGCAACGTCAAGTTCAACGCGTTCTGGAGGGGGCCGATAGTGCATAGCAGTCACATGATGTCTGCGGAAGGCGGTGAGTCTGCAGCATCGCCGCGCCTCACGGCCGCTTCCTGATGATGCGAATAAGACTAACCATCTGAGTGGATGGTAAGGGAGCGGATAATCGGAGCTTCCATCGCTAAAATTGGATGCAGAACGAAAGATTGACCATACTTATGGAACCTTTTCTCGGCATGTTCTGCTGGATCGTATCATGACTGATCATTTGCCCCTCGAATGACAGGTGTCGCCGATCCACGTCGGTGACGAAGGTCTCTCTTTGTTGGCCAATTAACGTGACCTTCTCGATGTTTCGCTCACTTGGGTCGCGGTGCACAGCTAGTTCAGGCGTTGAAGTGCTAGCCAGCTTCGATCTGATTTGGGGACTGCAATCGACTGGCTTGTTAAGAGAGTCGGAGCTTGTTTCGCCAGCCGGTGGGCACCACCAGCTGCAGCCAATCACACCGCACAGGGCCCCCATAAACCATCGGCCCCGTTTGCTGATAGCTGTACAGCAGATGATTCCCAAGCACTATTTAGCAACCTCCCGGATTTCGTACTCGCCCCCAGCTCCTTGCTACTGGATTGTAAACGGCGTGCATACCTGGTGACGATCTACCATTCCTGGATCTTCTCCTCCTGGGTCTCCACTGCCAGGACCTCAGATAACCTCATGTTCCCTGGATCCCAGGTTCGATAGTAGTACCCGTTACTAGCTCTTGACTAAGTTAGTATCATCTGGGGAACGTGCCTCACCGACACATCGACACTCGCACCTCTTCAGAGAAATCATCCCTGAAAAAACCACCTGTTGGTTGGGAACAAGCCCAGGTAATTCTATCCATGATCACTCCCCACGGTCGCGTCATATCAGAAGGTCCCGCTAAGCTCCTGAACAGCTTGACCAGCTCTCTCACCACATGGCTTCCCTACGGCTGGAGTCCTCTACTTCATCAATTGCACCCGCTGAACAGCTCCCTTTCGAGGTCCCCATCATTGATGACAATGAGCTACTCGTTGACGTGGTTCGAAAACTTCACAAGTGCGCGACCATGTCTCCCTACATAGCTAGCCTCGCTAACCGTGGCCACTTAGTTATATGCTCGTCGCTATAAATGATGTTGCATGCACCTTTGAGGAGCTGAGATTTTCCCCTCATGGCCAAAGCCTCAGGTTGCTCTTGTACTCCTTGGCCGAAAATTCCCACAACCCTTGTATAATATCTGCGTTGATGTGAGTGATTCGTACCTAATTGATCTCCCCCGACCAGATCTAAGTCTATCTAAGGATCCTCAAATGGCAGTTCAGCAACGATGCAGAGAACGATTGGGGCTTGAACGAAAGTCGGGGATATGCCTGCGAATACGTCGCATGGCAGTTTCTCTGTCACATTGATCAGCGTGAAACCATTGAATACCTCCTCGAGGAACTGAAAGTTCCCATCCAAAGTGGAATCAATATCTCACAAGCAGAGAGAGGCACATCTGGATTTGCGTCGGCGGCTGGCGAACCTTTCACGCAAGAGGGCGAAAGGACCCCTTTATTGTTAAGCTCATCATCTTCGCTTTATCGTTTCTTCGGCGGCAAGAGGCGTACAGGGAGCTCTCTCGACATAGATGAGCCGGGAAGCAACGTATCTGCAAGTGATGCATATGAGCTCGAGCGACTGTCAAGGTTCTTTGGACTCAACGCACTAGAAATTGCAACAATTGCCCACGCAAAAAGATTCCTCAGTCAGAAAGTGGTCCAGAAAGTGATAGACAATATTTGGAACGGCGAGATTGTTTTCTGGGATTCTTTGAGCGTGCATTCGAAGAAAAAGCCCCAGTTCTTTAACAAAAGGTAGTATGCTCCGAACATTGGACGGCGTCATTGCCATGTGCTGATTTGTACGCATTGTGTAGAACGGCAGATCCATACTCCCGATTGAGAGTACCAGTATACCGGAAGGCCTTTGAAGCTGCCTTCTTTGTCTCATTCTTATTCCTCTACTATGCGGTGTTGGTTGAGAGGAAGCCTACTGGGATTGGGTTGTTTGAGACCATGATGTACATCTGGATCGCTGCCTTCGCATATGATGAAGTTAGCGGGATGGCTGATGCCGGAATGCTCTTCTATCAGATGGACTTTTGGAGTGCTTGGAACATGGGCATCATTGGCACAGGACTTGCCTTTGTCATTACCAGTGAGTCATTTGCATATCGCAAATCTGCCTTATCCTCGCTCAGCCCTTTCTTTCAGCTGGGCCGGGTTGCTGCGCAGCTGGGGTCATTGACTGATCCTGGCTATGGATTATTCGTTGACTCAACAATCATCCAGGGATAATCGGTCTAGCCAAACATAGTGATTACATCACGGATGTGTCGTTCGACATCCTATCTTTGGAGGCGTTGTTTCTGGTTCCAAGGCGAGACCTGCCTCCCTGCTATGAGACCCGTTTCAGATTCTGACACCAGAGCTGAGCAGGATCTGCTCCCTTGTCAGCTTGAATTCTTATTTTGGAAGTCTGGTAAGCCATCCCTGCAGCTGTGTATGCGGAAGAACCCTGTTCTGGAAAACACGTTGACAGATTCGACGCACAGATCCCCGTGCTCAAAGAGATGGTATGGCTCTCCACCCCTCCAGACCGTGGCCGGTGGCGAAAATCCTGATAAGCTGCTCTAGACAAAAGCGTTTTTTCGATTCATACCGGTTGTCGTAGTGCTGTACCTAGGTGGGTGACCCCAATAATGCATGGGACCAGGCTTAGGACCAACGCGGTGGACGTGCACCTGCAGGGTTCTTGACTACATTCACCATGCTTGCGCGTGACCGCCTCTCTCTGCGCCAAATGTCGTGGATTCTGGTGAAGGTGTTCTTTGGGTATGGCGGTGAAGAACCCCCATTATCGACCGCTACTTGACTAACCGGACGAGGCAGATCGAATGTGCTGGGCTTCGTGCGTTGTTCCTGTTGTGGTGGCATGTGTTCTGCAAACTGACGGTGGCTGAAATGATTGGAAAAGGACATCGCTCACGATGTGAGTCTAATGCACCCGGCGGCCGCCATGCAGCCCAAACCCGAATGGCCAGGGGTTTTGCAGAATCGGTTGGCTCTCGAGTAAAGTTGACTGACGCGCTAATTCTTAGATTTCCCCGATATTTGGCTACGGACTGATGTGAGTTTTCCCTATGTACTCTACTGCGCCACAGGCCCCATGGGACGTGCCGGTCGCATACACTTGCGATCACGTTGGACGTGCCCAGCTGTGCCGAAACTTCGATGGCTAGCCATGTTTTCCTTTTTCTCCCTCTTGCTTTAGGAGAAGGGGGCGATGCGTCTTCTTCCCTCAGGGCTGGAGGCCCATGGACGCCCGTAACTCCATGGCGCCAATCGGTCGCGGCGCAGGGTATCGCCAGATGTGGCATCCGCACGATCGTCCCATCACCACTATCTCGGGGGGCACAGGAGGGTGGCTGATTGGTATGACCTACAGGTTGATTTTCGTCTCCATGACCAACTTGCTGTTGATTTCGTCGTTGGTCAGTCTGATGAGCATGAGTCTGGAAGGGGTACGTCCAATGATGGTCACTGCGGGGCCTGCCCGGGCCCCGGTATGTCCGCCGTGCTAATCTGTCGACCCAACCATTGCCCTTGTCTAGGTTATGGCCCATGCCCGCGAAGAGTATCTCTTTCAGTAGGTGTCATGCTACATCCTATTCGGCCCTATGGCCGCCCGCTGATGTGTGGAAATAGGCTGTCCATCTATGTCCTGGAAAGTAGCAATTCCCGTCGCCTAACGTACTTCATGCCCCCGCTGGTCCGTATACCGTCTCGAGTCACCCTGCATGATTGGTTTGGGTCACTAACAGTAGGCGTCACCTTACGGCAGAATCTCATCCCCCTCCTCTGTATCCGCCCCATGAGGCTCTTCTTACCTGCAGAGCACATCCGCCGGGTGCGCATCGTGCTGCTCCGGGCCACACACCTGCCCTTTGTCGCACTGATCTGGGCCTATGAATCTAGCCGCCGCTACGTTTCTCGGAGAAATAGCCAGTTCCCACCAACAGCGACGACGACGGCGACAGGGAGCAGTCGACCTACGTCTGCCATCCAGATGGGGTTCCCTCTCTCCACGCACCATGCCCCGCTCCATGCCTCCGCACTCGACGGGCGTTCGTTGGGATCAAGCCGGCCTAGGGAACGGTCTAACCCAGGTCAGCAACCCGCGGCGCGCGGACCAAGTTCGGGGCAGACCGGCCGTGGTGACACCGCGGATATGATCGACGAGGTGGAACGGTTGCGCACCCAAGTGGAGCGAGTGGCTGCTCGGATGACCTTTCACCAACGAGGCCAGCTATGATGCAGGAGAGAGGAGGAATGGCTGCAAGAAACTGGGATGCCGTACAGGGCGAAGTGGACGGGCCACAGCGGAAGGACGATATAGACACGCACCTGGTGCATCGCCGGTCCCATAGCCTAACGAATTAGCGTGAGCACCGGCCAGTGACCAATCCGGAAACGGGGGGTATGTACGGAGTCGGAGTACGGAGTAGTAGGTGCAGACCCGCCAGAGATGAACAACTGCTTTGTGCTCCGTACACTGGATAAATATGGTTGATGTTTTGTACAGGTTGTATAATTTGTGTGAATATTTTTTTTTGGTTATTTGCACCCATTCTAGAGAGAGAAATTGTATAGAAAACCGGACGACCCAGGAAGAAGTTGGTGACTCCCGAAGACGGATCTCCAGGGGCAGGCATTTGAAAAATAAAAATAAAAAACAAAAAAGCAAGTTGGACAATTAACCATTCCGAACCTAAGAAAAAACAGGAAACGATCTCGAGGAAATGAAGAAGATTACTAGGCAGGTACTAAATTGTAACAATGAGACGGGGGGCACCCCTAGGTACCTAGTGACTGAACCGGGCTGGGATTTCTTTGTTGACTTGTCCAGGGATGGGACGGCCGGGATTAGGGCCGGCTTGCAGCCCCTCCCTCCTGCTGTTCTGCCCGGCTCGGGGGGAGCGTCCTGCTTCACTCCGTAGGCCGCCTCGCTATACTCCCCTCCTCCCTTCCCTCCCTTGTGCAACTTCATCCATCCATCCATCCTTCATCTCCTCTCTCCTCTCCCCTGAGTCCCCTCAGCCATACTGCCGCAGAGGCTCTTTTCTCGCGCAGTGTCTACCCACAAATCATTTCGAGCCCCTGATGGGGCAGTGTTGCCAGTCGTGCCTCTCTGGCGACACGCACTGCAGTGCAACCTCGCCAAACTAGGTTACCAGACTGTCGGGTCCTACTATTCCCTTTTCAAGAAGAGCAGAGGCAGAAAACCGCGCGCTGTTTGACCCGAGAGTTGCTGATCCAGAAGTCAGGCAGTCCCCCCGGCCACACTGCCAATAATTCAGCCGCTATTGTTGCCCGTCCTGCTCCAGCACCATGGTTTCCCAGAGGCACCGCATCCCTCCCACCCCCCCACTACTACTATCTGTTTCCAATTACCTGACCTACTCCGCTCCCTCCGTGCCATCCATAATCTATCATCATGTTCTTATTGACGGATCCCCTGGCTCGGTCAAGCCCGCTAGGCGGCAAATGACGGCGTCGTCCGGTGGGAATCAACCCATGCACCCTCACACACCCACTCCCTCCCTTTCCCCCTCAACAGGGTACGGCGCCGACTGACACCTTGGCCTGATCACACTCTTCCGGCGCTAAATTCTTGCGCAGAGTCTCTAATTGTCGCGCCTATCTGAATAATGCTGCAGACCCAGGCCGCAATCCACTTGGACCGGGTCTTCCCAGCTAGGTCCGCTCTGAATTCTTCCCCATCCATGTAGCAACGTCCCGTCAAGTCTGCCTTGCCTGATGAGGCGTCAAACCTCTTGCGCATTTCTCTTTCTTTCTCTACCTGTGCCCCATGCAGCGCCTGCTGTACTCCAATCATCATATGGCATTCGTCGAGATAATTTTCAGCTGTTGTTCATGGTTCGCCACATCCTCTCACCTTACAGCAGCATCGCTGTTGAGTCATTTCTTCTTATATACACTGTACATCTTTTACCACTCTCGTTGGATTGCAACTTCATAAATAACTCCTCCACACCGGCCTCTTCTCAGACTTGGAATCAAACGCATCACGGGAGTTTCAAAAACATCGAAGTGACCTGGTTTGCCTAGATACACCCACGTCCCACCCTTTCCCCCTAGTTACCGCCTCCAGTTTTTTCTCTTTTATCTTTTTATGCTTGAACGCCAATTCTATCATGGATCGTACGCCGACATCGTTTCCATCTTCTCCTGTTGCCTACTCATCTCCTTTGCATGCAGTTCCTTTCGATAGATACGACTTCCAATCATTATCCGGCCTGGGACTTTCCAATTGCGATACTGGATCCCCCTCCGATCAGATTAGACTGTACCCCTGTCCAGAGCAGTACGCGCTGTCAACAAGCAATTGGTCCGACCCGATAACGCGTTCGCCCAATTTCCTCGAAACCCCACCGGACGTCAGTCACTTCCCACACTACGAGCAATTTGGTAGCCGTGCAGATGTTTCCGTCTCGCCCAGTTACAGCCCAGTCATGGATTTCCGTGTAATGCATGAGGATATCTCTCGCTTCTGGCCTAACACTCCTCCTTCGGAGACGGCCATGGTTTCCGAAGGATGGACCAATGTCAAGGAGCAGCCGGAAGAGATCTGGGATGCATCCCTGGTAGATGGCGCCAACAACCCTACGATGTCTACTATGCCACAACTGCCCCGGCTACAAATCAACACCACCTTTATCCATCCCCAGCGACCAGATGAGACCCAGACTGAACTAGATGCGAGTCGTGAGGTTCCTGCTGAAACTATCTCGAAATGGATTGAGGATGTCAATGGGTCGCCTCATGGCGAGCAGCTCAAGATACCATCGGCCAGCGGTCTTGAATGTACAACGTGTGGCCTTCGCTTTACGCGACGCTCTAACTGTCGGGAGCACATGAAAAGCCACGACCCTACCTACGTACGGCAGCACCCATGTGAAACTTGTGGAAGGGAGTTCAGGCGGAAGACTGATCTGAAGAGACACGTGGATAGTGTACGTATTAGAGTATGGATTGATTCAAATCTGTTGCTAATAGTACATGCAGATCCATAAAGGAATCCGAAAATACGGCTGCGAGAAATGTGGTCGACGCTACAGCCGGCAGGACACCCTTTCGAGGTAAAGCAGACTTGTCACGCTATTTTCCAGTATCCCATACTTACAATAACACAGACACCTGTTGGATGGCTGTGATGGAAGAACCCGAAAATCTCGAGCCCCACGAAGGGACCTCTAGGCCAAACTTTCCGGCAGCGGCCCTTGATGGATTAACTGCCCAGTCTGACAATCGCTTCAATTTTTTGGTAACGCCATATCTGCGTTGATCGCAAGATGGCTATGAACAATACACGGCTGCATATTCTCGGGAGGCTGCACTGACGTTTTTACTGTATATCTGAAGCATAACTAGTCATGTACATTTTTTTGTATGAGCGCAGGGAGGGCATTGTGGATTTGCTTTTGGCTTTTTGTTTTCTTTTGTTTTTGTTTTTTTTCTTCCCTCATGGAGGCTACGTCGACACTTGATTGAAGTTGCAAATTTTGGAATAACGCTAGAGCTCCAGCATGGCCCAGGAGTGGCTCATAGAAATCAAGCAGCGCATGGCAGGACCATGCTCATCGTTTACCGAGCCTTTAGCCGCCACGATTACATCTGCTCCTCGGGGGACTCACTAATTTTCCTTGCTTACGGCCTGCTTTATTGCTGTTAAGTCCACTGGACCACCATGGGCTCTTACGATTCATGGCTAAAATAGATCATGCAGATGGATCCTGAGTGCTTGCGCTTGTACTTGCACTTGCAGGGATGCAGCCTCACTTCCAAACACCCACGGGCTCCTTTCTGTATTTTCCTGTGACTCGGATCCGCTGAAGGGCCAACGTCGGAAGGAATGGATCCCGGGCGACTACTGAAGTGACCGGTCTTTCTGTCGTCTCCTACGCTCTCGCTATCTATGAAACTGACCCAATAGCGCATCAGTGCAGAGGACATCCACCCCCATACTTGGGGGCTGGCTGTGGAAACTGAAAAAAAGTACGAAGCGGAGGAGTATGGGCTTGTTCCGGACCTGCACGACTCGTTAGCAATGTGCCGTACGGAAGCTTATATCGGCCAAGCACACCAGGAACAAGCCAAGTGCTGCACCGGCTGCCCTAGCAAACTCAATACACGCTGGAAAGCCAGTCCGCGCGGAACCGAATCGGACACCGATGGTGATAGCTGGGTGGGCTGCCAGTCAGCGGTGGAATCATCGCGCGAGGAGACCAGGGCGCTGAGCCGTAAGAGGCAGACGATTACTGCCACCACCGGGGAGCCAGCGCCAGGGTTCCATTTGGCCGCGGGAGTTGTCAGAAAAGGCTACCCATCGCCGAGCGCCGTAGAGATAACCATTACCGTTATGGCTTGGAGGACTATGGGGAAGTCGGAAAGGTTCCTAGTGGACCCATCGAGTCTAGCTGAAGGCACGGAACATCGTCCGCAGGTCCTTCCTCTTTTGCCCTGATCCCGCCGGAGCAAATGAATTTCGACTTTCTAGTCACTTCATCTGCGCTCCATCGGCTCCAACTCTAAGACCAGTGGAGGTCTGCGACCGGCTATGGTTTGATGCTACGGAACGAACAATCCAGACCCCTAACGAACCTTTTTAGGTCCAAACAAGCGCGACCCGGATGGATCCCGCCAAGCGCACGGAATGGTCTGCTGGTGCTTACGGTGAGGTTATTCCACGGCGCGTTTCGTGTACGGCGGTGGGCTTTGCTTCGAAATCCCGTCAATTGCCTCAGCCTCTGCTCTCTGCTTACTGGGAGTCCCATCACGACATTGGACATTGTCGGTGCCGGAAAAGGTCCAACAAGTGGTCGGAACAACCATTATTGTCACAAGCGGGGGACCGAAAAATGGCGCCATTCTCATCGTCAGAAGCTAAGCGCGCGAGTGGAAATTAACTCCGTTCATGGCTGAATGATTTGGAGATGGCAGAGAGCATACTAATCCAGGGGGGGGCCAAGGCTCTAAAGAAACCATCATAATCATCGCACCCTAACTAGGCACTTGGTACTGGTAGGCTAAGATGGGATAAACGCCTTGACCAAGATAGTTGCCTTGTGCACTGTGCGCTGACGGGCCCTTGCTGTTGATTTAAGCGACCAGCAGGTTAAGCGACAAGAGCAGTGGTCTAGGTATCTATGTCCTTCAGCCTACGTATTAGGCAGCCGGCAAGTCGATCCATCACTCGATCATTCAGGTTGACACTAGATGGATTGAGAGCTTGTTGCGGAGCTTTAGACCGTGGTGAGCTGTGGTGGTCTGCAAAGTCCCAGTGATGAGCAGGAAACTTGACCCCGACGGAGCAAGCACCAGTGGTCAATTATTCGACGCTGAATCAGTCAACTAGCCGGGGTCCCAAGGCCATCCTACAACCGAGTACAGCAACTACAAGTGTGATTCAGGTTATGCCGCAGACCTTGCAGACCAGTGTCTGCCAGGCTGGACAATATACCGTCAAAGCGCGTACTATTTCGTTGCACGAAGTTGGTTATCAGAGGGTGTTAGCAGTAGATTGCAAGGCACTTGCCGACTTGCTGTTAGAGAATGACCCGGCTTTGATGTGAACAAGTATGTGCGGCAGTGGACTATTCTATTCTCGCCAATTGCAGCATGGAATGAAGCGACAGCCATGGAGTAGTAGTGAATTGGGATCACATCGTTGGGCTTGTCTTTCTGGAATATCTGGAGGAAGGTAGAAGAAGTCAACACACGCGAGCGACGGTTCAGGTACCGCCACCCGGAGGAACAATATGGTTTTCTGCCACCGCCTGGGCGCCGATTGGACACTTCCCCGCCCATGGCAGTGATTGTCCCTCAGTCCTCCTATTATTGTCCCCCATCAAATCCTCGCTCACTTCTTGCTTCCCATCCTTTGCACCTGGGGTCCCGTCAATCTCCTTCATCTGTCAGCCAATCTACCAGCATGAGTGCCACCGTCACTGTTACCGAGCCCCCGAGGATCACGGCCGAGAATGTTGCGACCCTCTTCCCCGAGGTCGACACTTCGCTCGCGCGGGAGGTGCTCCCCACTGCGACAAGCAACCCCTCCGCCACCCAGGCGGGCGACGAGCTGGCCGGCTACGATGAGGAGCAGGTTCGCCTGATGGATGAAGTGTGTATTGTTCTCGATGATGATGACAAGCCCATTGGCAGTGCCAGCAAGAAGGCTTGTAAGTTTCCTCTATCTCTTAGTCAATCAACGGAGTACTGATCTGTTGCAACCGAATGAACAGGCCATTTAATGACCAACATCGATCGCGGTCTCCTTCACCGTGCCTTTTCGGTCTTCCTCTTCGACTCCAACAAGCGCCTGCTGCTTCAACAACGTGCCTCCGAGAAGATCACTTTCCCCGACATGTGGACGAACACCTGCTGCTCCCACCCCCTAGGCATTCCTGGAGAGACGGGCTCGCAACTTGATGCGGCCGTGCTGGGCGTGAAGCGCGCGGCACAGCGCAAATTGGAGCAAGAGCTGGGAATCAAGCCGGAGCAAGTCCCGCTGGATAAGTTTGAGTTCTTCACCAGAATCCATTACAAGGCGCCCAGTGATGGCAAGTGGGGAGAGCATGAGAGTATGTCCACATCCAAACTAGGCTATCAGACTGGCCGCTAATCATTGCTAGTCGACTACATCCTGTTCATCCAAGCCGATGTCGATCTGAACGAGAACCCGAACGAAGTGCGCGACACGAAATACGTCTCCGCCGAGGAGTTGAAGCAGATGTTTGAGCAGCCGGGGCTGAAATTCACACCGTGGTTCAAGCTAATCTGCAACTCGATGCTGTTTGAGTGGTGGGGTCACCTGGGCTCGTCGTCGCTAGAGCCATACAAGAACGAGCATGAGATCCGTCGGATGTGAGGCGGTGGCGGTCACGACCGACAATGTAATGGCATTTCGCATGGGACTGGCCCGGGCGCAGCCTTTTCTTGATTCCCCTTGAGACCCTGCTTGGACAGCGTTTGCTGGTACGGTCTGAGCCGGCCAGATGTTACTGCAGAGGATCGATGCGTACAACTCCTCCTAATTACCCACCTAGTATATTTCTCATGAGCATAGCCTTTCTTCAATCTCCTAACACCAAATAATCTCCGAACACACCTGAATAAGATGATCATTTGGTCCTGGCATCCGTCGCCAAAAACAGCACACAACTCCCCAAAATTACCGTCCCCACCACCGTAAACGTCACCTGCGTCTTCCACCCACTCTGCACCAACGCCGCCTTCCGACTGTATTTCTTCACCGTACGCACGTAATTCGCAAACCCATTCCCCAAACACGCCAGACTCAGCACCCAGAACACAATCCCCAGCGGTAATGCCATGCGTCGCTCCAACCCCGTCGGGGGCGTCTGAAAATGGAAAGAGATTATGATGGCGATGGCTACGATAGCGAGGTACATTGAGAGGCGCAGCCAGGAGAGAAATGTGCGTTCGTTTGCGCAGTGGTCGCGGGCGTCGGAGGTGGCATTTTCGAAGAGTAGGGCGCTGAGGTAGGGTCGGGTGAGGAAGATGTGGGTTTTTTGGCAGAGAGGGCTGATGGTTTTGGATGATTTGTCAAAGAGGGGTTTTTTTTCGGTTTAGGGGAGGGGAAGAGGGGGAGGGCGTACTCGTCTGCGAGGATTGGAGGGCTATTGGCGGCGTTGATTATGGGGTTGTATGGGGGTGGGGGGAGGGTGTGTCGGTGTTGTTGGGTTGTGGTGGACATGGTGATGTGCTGTGCTGTGTGGTACGCTGTGTTGTAGTTGGTTAGGTTGGGTTGGGATGGAGTTGTTGTTAGAACACCCTAGATCATGGTGTATGGGAGGAAGTTTAGTGGTACCTTTACGAAGTTCGAGTTACTTGCCTGGACTGCATAGGGCGAAGTATGCGATCAGACCAATCAAAGGGATCGAGGCTAGGGAGGCACGTGATGCGGTGTGTGTCGGTGATGATGTCATTGTTGATAGTGCTGTTGTCTATCTATGCTGGAGGTCCTTATGGTATGGCGCTGTTGCTTTGATGGCATCTTCATATTATGACTAGTACTATGTATCTACTATCTACACCTTCCAGCTCTCTGATATCAGACCCATGGTGATCGCCTCCACTGCACGCCTTCGGCTGGACCATCTTGTTTGGGTGAGTCGCAGCAACACTGATTGGCTACCGGGCGGGTATCTTACGACGCCGTAATTGACGTACGGCATTCCTCGCATCTTTCATCCATCGGCGGGGGTCCCTGCTTTGCGGGGTGTCGCTGCATTCTTGCGCCTCAAGCAACGCAATACTATCTTGTTCTTGCTGATGCTGGTGGATAGATGGCAATTCGAGCCTGTCAGGCCCTTGCATTATACTGCGAAATCCGAACCTTAACCCGGTAGGAAAACTTAGCAGCCAACGTGAGTCACTAGTAGAGCCTCGACTCGATCACTAGCAGTGGAGCCCCATGGCCTGAGCGGCAAAATCTGCGGTAACGCGAATACCGGATGGCCTACGACTCACATACAAAACCGGTGCCGGCTCTCTTACGTTCTCTCCCCTGCTTGCTTATTCCTGTGCTTCCCTCCTGCAAGTCCGAGAGGTCAATTCTATCTCTTCTCCCCCCCTGTCTTCCTCGTATAATCATGCGGATGACTGCTCAAGCGCCACAATCCCAATCCCAGTGATACGACATCTTGCATCCAATCCCTGACACCGACCAACCAAACCACTTCGTGCTCTGTGGAACCCATTTCCGATCAGCATGGCCCGCCGCGATAGTATACGCGGGATCGCCGATGAGCACCGCTATAGATCCAGCTCGCCCCGAGCTCGTAGGGCAATTGCCCGCGACATAGAAGACTATGCCGATGACGAAGGCTCCATGCTCACCACCGATGACGAAGCCTCCGAGACCTCTACCATCCGCGCCATTAATAGCCAGCCTGGCACGAGACCCCATTCCCTGGCTGGGTCGTACCAGCGCCCGAGCTTCTTCACCACCGTCTCCCATGCTACGGTTGTTCCGCATCGTCCCGACCATGATGGATTAACGCGGAGGGAGCGCGAACGGGCCATTGAGGATGAACGGAACCTCCTCACGGATAATAACTTTATTGAGTCGAGTCCTCACAAGGGACGGCGCATGAGGTTGGGGTCTGCAACGGGGCCGGAGACGGCGTCGTTGCTGGGGGGTGAACAGCGCGGGTCGCAGTATGATGGAGTGGATTCTGAGGAAATTGATCGCAAGTGGGAGGAGGCTGTCACGGCCGGTCTGATCCAGACGACGTGGAAGCGTGAAGCCCAGGTGATTGGTAAGAATGCGGCGCCGCTGGTGGTAACGTTTCTGCTGCAGTATTCTTTGACCGTGGCGAGTATCTTTACCCTGGGACATCTGGGGAAGAAGGAGTTGGGTGCGGTTAGTCTGGCGAGTATGAGTGCGAGCATCACTGGTTATGCAGGTATGTTTGCAGTCTGTTACTTGGATTTCGTATGGGTGTTGGTACTGACTGAAGTGTAGTCTACCAGGGTCTCGCGACTAGCTTGGATACATTGTGTGCGCAGGCTTACGGCTCCGGACGGAAGAAGCTGGTGGGTCTACAGATGCAGAAGATGGTTTTCTTTCTCTGGGTCATCTCGATTCCAATTATCCTGCTGTGGTTCTTCGCCGACCGGATCCTCATCCGGATCGTGCCGGAAGAGGAGGTCGCCATTCTGGCCGGTTTATACCTGAAGGTGGTTGCGCTGGGTGCGCCGGGATACGCTTGCTTCGAGAGTGGCAAGCGCTTCGTGCAGGCGCAGGGGCTCTTCTCAGCGTCCCTCTATGTGCTTCTGATCTGCGCTCCTCTGAATGCATTTATGAATTACATGTTCGTGTGGCAGTTCGGCTGGGGCTTCATCGGGGCTCCCATCGCCGTGGCCATCACGGACAACCTGATGCCTCTCTTCCTCTTCCTGTACGTGTACTTTGTGGACGGATCCGAGTGCTGGAACGGCGTCACGACTCGCGCCCTGCGCAACTGGGGACCCATGATCAAGCTTGCCCTCCCAGGTCTGCTCATGGTTGAGGCGGAGTGTCTCGCCTTCGAAGTGTTGACGCTCGCATCATCATATCTCGGCACAACGCCCTTGGCCGCTCAGTCAATCCTGTCCACGATCTCGAGCATCACCTTCCAGATCCCATTCCCCGTCTCGATCTCGGGTAGTACCCGTGTGGCCAACCTGATCGGAGCAACTTTGGTCGATGCCGCCAAGACATCAGCCAAGGTGTCGATGGTCGGCGCAGTCATTGTGGGTCTGCTCAACATGCTGTTCCTATCCTCTCTACGCTACTACATCCCCTACCTATTCACCTCCGACGAAGAAGTCATCGAGCTGGTGGCACAAGTACTCCCACTGTGCGCCGCGTTCCAGCTCTTCGACGCTTTGGCCGCCAACTGCAACGGAATCCTCCGTGGTATTGGACGGCAAGAAATCGGCGGCTACGTGCAGCTGTTCTGCTACTATGCGATCGCGATGCCGATCAGTTTCGGAACAACATTCGGGCTGCACTGGGGACTGTTTGGACTGTGGTCGGGTGTTGCGCTGGCTCTGCTGTTGGTTTCGATAATTGAGGCGTTCTTCCTGACGCGGACAAATTGGAATCGATCCGTGGAGGAAGCTCTTCGCCGGAACGCGCTGGTTTAATTCATTTGTGCCTTGCTTTTTCTAACCTTATGTGTGATGATGTATACTGTCAAAAGCATGCGTTAGTATTTGTATAGATGACTGTACTGGATTTACTTTCTACTTCTTTTTTCCCCCTATCAGAGTCTATAATAGACAGACGTGAATTGAACTCAATGAAATGCGATATCATATGAACTGCCTGTATGCATACATGCACATGCCGTGCTATTTTCCCATCTCCCAATTAACACCCATCACCACATCACGACCTAAAACTCCAAAATCGCCCACGTCTGCTCATCCACCGTCGAAAAGATAACTCCCGCCGTAAGCAACTCATCCCCAGCCCTCGCCACATCCGGCATGGGCAGACTCAACTTGGCCGCAATCAACTGAGCATGCAACCCCTCATTACTCTGCGGTTCCGTCTTCAATAGATGATAAACTCTCTTCGCGACGGGACTCATAGCCGGTAAACCCTTCGCAGCCGCAAAATCATCCGCACCATTCACACCTCCCATGGCCGAATCCCCACCTCCCTTCACGCCCCCAGCACCCTCCCCAGAATTAGGATTACTCGGCCCGCGGGTAAAGAACAAATGCACGGCCGACGCCTCCAACAGATGACAATGCAATTCGTTGATATCCTTGATGGGACGAACGCAATGCGCGCCCACGAACCGTTTGTTTCCGAATGATTTTAGTTTTCCGAAGACGCGGGCGTAGCCGTTTAATTCGATTTGGTTCTTGTTGGTGGAGTTGGAGGTGGGGTCGTCGGTGTCCATCGAGTCGGCGGTCATGGAATCAATCCATTGTTTGGCTTCGATTTCGCCGGTGCCGTCGTCGAGCTTGTATGTGATGTTTGTGCTTTGGGAGGAGATGTTGCGGACTTGGCCGATGAAGGTGACCGAGGCGACTTCGGCGGAGTCGATTTGGTAGGGCGCTTCGGGGTAGGGTTGGTTGGCGTCGAGGGCTTGTTTGATGGTTATGGGGCGGAGAGTGGCATTGGTGTAATCTGCCTGTTGGGTTTGGGGTTAGTGATGGTTAGGGAGAGGGGGAGAGAGCCAGCTACCTTTCCCCCTGACGGGCTGTTCATCTCGCCGTTCATGAAGCCGCCGTCGCCGCCGCCACCGCCGGAGTAAGAGCTGTTGTTATTGTTGTAACCGCTATCTGGTGTGCGTGGTTAGTGTTGATGTTGATGGTGGTGGATCAGATGCGGGTGGTGCGTATAGGTAACGAGATGGGAAGACATGAGGGGACATGTTAGAGAATCAATAGAGGGAACTTACCCATGATGTAAAGTGTTTGTCAGTGTGCGTATATGAGTATAGGTGTGAGTTGAGGTGAAAGAGTTCAGCCAACAATTCACTGAAGATTCATTTTACCGCATCGGGACGTGTCGACGCGTCGCGGGGAAATTCTGTTTGGCTGGTTTGCACACCGGAGCAACATTGATGCGGAAGTCTCACCGCCCGGCGGAAATCTTGCGGCCAGAAAAAAGTCTCAGGCCGATAAGTGTGATACGATACAATCATAATCGGCTACAGACCAGGAACGAATTCCCCGTCAAAATGCCTGGTCGTGCCGCTTCTCCGGCTATGTCGGAGAATGAATTCGACATTACCAATGCGCTGTTCCAGAATGACAGCGATTCCGACCATGAGCCCGCCGTGAAGCAGACCAAGCGGCAGCCGAAGGCGGCGGCGCCCCAGCAGCTCGATTTCCTCGGCGTGGAAGGCGATGACGACGACGAAGATGACGAGGCGTTCATCGCGGAGACGCAGGCATCGGCGAATCGAAAGGGCTCGAATTTGAAGGGTCGCACGGTGAAAAAAGGTGGTGGTTTCCAGGCCATGGGATTGAATGCGAATCTGTTGAAAGCCATCACACGGAAGGGTTTCTCGGTGCCGACGCCCATTCAGCGCAAGACGATCCCTGTGATTATGGAGGATCAGGATGTCGTGGGTATGGCGCGTACAGGTTCCGGAAAGACGGCCGCGTTCGTGATTCCCATGATTGAGAAGTTGAAGAGCCACAGCAGCACGGTCGGATCCCGCGCCCTGGTCCTATCGCCATCCAGAGAGTTGGCCCTGCAGACGCTCAAGGTCGTGAAGGAATTAGGCAAGGGGACAGATCTGAAGTCGGTGCTGCTGGTTGGTGGTGACAGCCTGGAAGAACAGTTCTCCATGATGGCCGGTAACCCTGATATCGTGATTGCGACGCCCGGTCGTTTCCTGCACTTGAAGGTCGAGATGAACCTGGACCTGTCGAGTATTCGCTATGTTGTGTTCGATGAAGCCGATCGACTGTTCGAAATGGGTTTCGCCGCCCAATTGACCGAGATTCTGCACGGCTTGCCCTCCACTCGCCAGACTCTGCTTTTCTCCGCCACCCTGCCCAAGTCCTTGGTGGAATTCGCGCGCGCTGGTCTGCAGGATCCAACACTGATCCGTTTGGATACGGAAGGCAAGATCTCTCCCGATCTGCAGAATGCCTTCTTCTCCGTCAAGTCGGCTGACAAGGAGGGCGCGCTGATGTACATCCTCCACGAAGTCATCAAGATGCCTACGGGCCCGACGGAGGTGTCGCAGCGCATGAAGGAGGAAGAAGCCAAGGGAAGAGGGAGATTCTCCAAGAAGCGGAAGCGTGAAGAGAAGGTTAACTGGAAGGAGTCCCCTACGCAGCATTCGACCATCGTCTTCGCCGCGACCAAGCACCACGTTGATTACCTGTATTCGCTGCTTTGCGAAGCCGGTTTTGCAACCTCCTACATCTACGGTTCCCTCGACCAGACGGCTCGTAAGGTCCAAGTACAGAACTTCCGCGCCGGTATCTCGAACATCCTTGTCGTCACGGACGTGGCGGCCAGAGGTATCGATATCCCCATTCTTGCCAATGTCATCAACTACGACTTTCCCTCGCAAGCCAAGATCTTCGTCCATCGTGTCGGTCGTACGGCCCGTGCTGGTCGCACTGGTTGGAGTTACAGTTTGGTCCGCGATTCCGATGCCCCATACCTACTCGATCTGCAGCTGTTCCTGGGCCGGCGATTGGTCCTCGGCCGTGAGCATGGCGACAATGTCAACTTTGCCGAGGATGTAGTTGTCGGAAGCATGCCTCGGGAGGGTCTCTCTCAGGGCTGTGAGTGGGTGTCTAAGGTCCTGGATGATGTGGCGGATATTGCCATGCAGCGTTCGGTCGCCAGCAAGGGAGAGAAGCTCTACATGCGCACGCGCAATGCGGCGTCTCTGGAGAGTGCCAAGCGGTCGAAGCAGGTGGTCAGTTCCGACAACTGGACGGCTCTGCACCCTCTATTCAACGACGAGACCAGTCACATGGAAGCCGAGCGCGAGAAGATGCTCGCCCGGATCGGTGGCTACAGGCCACAGGAGACAATCTTCGAAGTGAACAACCGTCGCAGCGGCAAGCCGGAGAACGAGGAGGCCCTCAGCACCATCAAGCGGGTCCGGACCACGCTCGACACGAAGAAGAAGCGCGCACAGGCTGAAGCACAGGCCGAGCTCCTTGGAAACGCAGCCTCCGGAGACGCTGATGCCGATGACGCCGAGGATGGCGCCTTCGACAACGAAGACGACGATGTCGGAGAGGGACCGGCCGACAACATGTCACTCGCCGACGAGTCCGACCTTGAAGTCACCTTCTCCTCTTACAACACATCGAACGGCGACAAGGCCAAGAAAGAAGCCAGCGCCACGTCATTCCAGAACCCCGAATACTTCATGTCCTACACCCCCAACCAGACCAACATGGCCGAAGACCGCGCATACGGTGTGCATTCCGGCACGAACGCCAACTTCGCCCAAGCGTCTCGCGACGCGGCCATGGATCTGCTCGGCGACGAAGGCAGCCGCGGGTTCGGCGAGCCTCGCACCATGATGCGTTGGGACAAGCGACACAAGAAGTACGTGTCGCGCCAGAACGACGAGGACGGCTCCAAGGGCACGCGTCTCGTGCGCGGTGAGAGTGGTGCCAAGATCGCCGCCAGCTTCCGCAGTGGACGCTTCGACGCCTGGAAGAAGGGCAAGCGACTTGAGCGCATGCCTCGCGTGGGTGAGGCTGAGACTCCGGGTCTGGGTGCTAACCTGGATTACCGCGGTGGAAGACGGTTCAGACACAACAAGGACCAGGCGCCTAAGCGGGCTGATCCTCTCCGCGGTGACTTTGATAAGATGAAGAAGAAGAACGCGGCTGCCAAGGAGCGCCAGCTGTCCAAGGTTGGCGGTGCTGCATCTGGTGGTAAGAGCGAGCTGAGGAACACGGATGACATCCGGCGGGCGCGCAAGCTGAAGCAGAACCGTCGGGAGAAGAACGCTCGTCCGTCACGGAAGAAGTAGTGCTGCTGCTGGGATTGATTTTTTGGACTGTATATACCATTGTGCTAGGGTTAAAAGCTTGAATACTCCTATTCCCATTGTTGCTGTTCACCCCTGACCCATCACATAAGAGATACTCAATTATCCAACACAGAAAAAGACATTATATCATAATACATAGATTAGTTAAACCCTCCCAATAGCGACACATCCCAACACTCCCGCATCCTCATCCGACCTCTCATCCTCATCCTCCTTCTTCTCATCAACAATCACCTTCCCCATCTTGACATTTTTTCCAATACCAACACACCCCAACACCCCCTCCTGCTCATCCACCCCCTCCCCTTTCCCCTCCAATTTCCCCCCCTCCGATTTCGCAATCAACTCCTCATATTCCCGAATATTATTCACCCCCTTGGGCATCCCATTCACCATCAACCCCTGCTCATCCATCAACCCCGCCCTCACCTCCATCGACCTTTTCCACGACTCCCTCTCCTCCATCCGTTTCTGCCACCCCTGCACCCACGGATACGCCTCCAGAATCTCTCCCCCCTCATCACGGGGAATCAACATATCCAATCGGTTATTCCACGGTAAGAAGGCCAAATCCGCATATGTGCATTTATCCCCCACCAGCCAGGTTTTGTTGGTGAGGATGGTGTTGAGAACGCCCAACACCCGGTGGACTTCGTTTTGGTAGCGGGTTATTGCGCTAGGGAGTTTTTCGGGGCTGAGGACGTTGAACCTTTTTTTTCATCATGTTAGTATTGGGTTTGGTGATGTCGATGAAGGGGGGGATGGGGGAGGTAATACCATCCACACTGCCCATAATACGGCCCTTGCCCACTCATCTGAAACTGTAGGTACTGATTCAAAAGATGTTTCTCATTGAGCGTCTCATAACTGATTTTATGGGTGGTGTCGTAAATGTCAATCAGGTATTGGATTATAGCGCCGGATTCCCATAGTGTTAGGTTGGTGTTGGGGTCTTGGATTGCTTTTTTTTGCCCGAGATTTGTTAGTTTTATTGTGTTGTGTTTTGGGGGGACTGGGCGAGAGTGGGTATGTAGGATGTGGTTTAATGTAGTGTGAATGGGGAGAGAGTACCTGGTACGCGTCCATTGGGATTGATATCGATAAAGGGGGGTTTCTTGACGTCATCGAATTTGAATGATCTGATGGTGTATGGAATGGAGAGTTCTTCGAGGATGATTACAACCTGTTTGTTGGTTGTTGTGGTGGTTAGTGGTGTGGTTTGGTGGTATGTTTGGGGTAGTAGTAAGAGTGGGTGTGGGGTGAGCTCCGATGGGTGGGTGGACTGACTTTCCATGGGTTGGGACCCGAGGCTGTTTCATTGTCTTGTTAGTGGGGGTTGGGTTGGGTTGGGTTGGGTTGGGGGATGAGGGGGACGTACGGGTGAGCCAGACGATGATGGGTTGAATTGTCATTGTTTCGGTGTGGGATCTGTGTGAGGGTCGATATGAAAGATGATGCAGGGAGCTGCACTTTATACATCCAGGCAAAGTAAGCTGAGGCTGTAGGCAGAAGCTGGGTGGGGGGAGCTATTGTAGGCTGAGTCGTTGACAGCCCATTAGTCGGGGCGTGGCGTGACGCCGTCGTCCCCTAAATTTAGGTGTGCCCGGGGGAGTTGCTGGGGCGGTCTGTAGGGGTCTGTATGCTGGAGATGATAAAGATGGGAATTGATGGTCATTATTGTTATTATTTTGGGATCTGTTACAATATTCTGCATGATTTGATGCAATTGAGTAGGGATAAGCAGAGAAAACATGCTATAAAAAGGTGCATTGGGAATGGAATGGATAGCCCGCAAGGCTGGCTAGTTACTGTCAGCAATGAATAGAGTCAGATATGAGTCAAAATCTTGCTTATTCCGTGGTCCGTAGACTCAAAACCCACTAGTCCTCACGTAAGCCCACCATCTCCAACGAGTCCCTCCACAGTCGATCCTCCTCCTCAGGGCTGTACGTATAACTCACAAACGTCCTTCCAATATGACCGTCATATTCAGCCTGCACTGCCTCGGCACAGTCAGCAAGAAACTTCCCGCCCTTGCCCTCCCACTCGCTGCCAACAGCACCCCATATAGTTGTCGCAGCTCCCTGCGCTGGGCTCTTTAGGACTTTTGCCACCGTCTCATCATGCACCAAATCGTGAATTTGTTCTTCAGTCATATGTCTTCCCAGTGATGTAGCAATCACCCCAGGGTGGAGACTCGTCGCATGCAGCCCGCGAGACCCATAGCGACGTTCAATCTCACTGGCCATATAGATATTGGCTGTTTTGGACTGTCCGTACGCAACCCAGGGCTCATATGCTCCCTTCTGAAAATGATAATTGTCTGACTCGTTGATGCCATGGACCCTATGTCCCGACGACGCCACCATGACAACCCGGGACTGGAACGTGGGACTGCTCCCGGCGAGCAGGGCAGGCTTGAGAAGCTGAAAGAACAGAAAGTGGGCGAGATGGTTTGTCGCGAATTGCAACTCGTACCCATCCTCTGTGAGCTGGAGATCCCGCACGGCCATGACTCCGGCGTTGGCAATGAGGATATTCACTTGATCGGTCTTGGCGAGGATGGCCGCCGCGGCCTGTCGCACACTGGACAGAGAGGTCTGGTCCATTTGCACGAGCTCCATGGTTTCAGGCTGGAAGATGTCGCCAAGAGCTGCGCGGGCTTTGTCCGGGTTCCTGGCCGTCAGGTAGAGGGTTGCTCCGGTGGCTGCGAGGGCGCGGACGGTCTCGACTCCAATCCCAGAAGACACGCCTGTCACAATGGCAACTTTTCCCACCAGCTTGCCTTCCATGTTGTTATCTTGGATGATTTGCAAAGCTGTGGGTCGCGAGTCACCTGGGCCTTGGGGGTTTGCGTGGGCGGCAGTATAGCAAGACATGATGTGTTGGGGAGGGTTGGAAGTGGAGGTTGTTGTCTGGGAAGATGAGGTGAATTGAGGCTGCTTGATGGCAATGCATTCTGGCTAGATATAAGGCCATTTTATACCAATCTCTGCAGCCAGTGATGAATGTAGCAGAAGAGAGTCGAAACAGACTGCCAAAACCGACATGGCTGACATTATTGCCGTTTTGGGGTTAGTGCATCACCTGAACCGCTCCTCTTGTCTCCGCGCTGACCCTTTTCGCCTTCTTGGTTCTAGTTTGCCCCAGGTTATATCATGGCGATGGAGAATACGAGTGCTCTACGGGCTTCTACAGATGAATCCCTCACGTCGTGACCTCGCATCAACCATGGTGTTGTCCACCAACCCTGGTGGAGTCGACGAGAAGCGTCAGCGGAAGAAGCTCCAGAATCGGAAGAACCAGAGAGCACGACGTAAGTCCATGTCCCTTGATCACTTCAGACTAGCGAGCTTACAAATTCCCATCAGGTCTTCGTATCAAAAAGGAACAGCACGAGGAGCCTGACCGGCGTCCCTACAACGTGCATCGATGGCGACTCGAGGAATACGAGGCGCCCCACAGTACTTCCTGGAAGCTATACAGCTCCCAGCCATCCCCTCAAGAAACCCACGGGGATGAGAAACACATCGAACATCACATCCCTAGTTCATTATCATCATCAACAACCACAACCCCATCCAAGACTCACATAATCACCTCTCAACAGGAAGACCCTAAACTCCCCTTCCCAGCCGACAACCTCCTCCACCTAATCTACTACAACGTATTCTGGGGATTCTTTCAAAACAAGGTCCTCCTCAGCCAACTAACAATGTCCCTAATCCCCGGACCACAACCCATCCAGATAGTCCACCAAGGCAACTTATTCCCCCTATATAACGTCATCATCCCCACAACACCCAACATCCCAAATTGCCTCGTCCCAACACAGTCCCAAGAAAACTTCATCCATTGCTCCTGGATCGATTTCATCCCCTTCCCCAGAATAAGAGAGAATCTGATCACCTGGGAAGCCAACTTCGATCATGCAGAGTTTGTGGAAGACTTGATTGGGTGCTTAGTTGATGGAATGACTTTTCCTGCGCCGTCGTCGGATTTGGATCCGGCGGCGACGGGAAGCATGGTGCTCACGGGGGGTGAGGATGATGAAATCACAGCTGCAAGGAAGGGGCTTATTATCTGGGGTGAGCCCCATCGGGCGGAGAGTTGGGAGGCAACGCCGGGGTTCTTGAGGAAGTGGTCGTGGGCTGTAGAGGGGTGTGACGAGTTGATTGAGTTTAGTAATCGGTGGAGGGTGAGTAGGGGGGAGGAACCAATGAGGGTTTCGTTGTGTGTGTGATACTACTACTATACAGACTATCAAGGCTTTGGGGGAGGTTTCATTTGGATTGGATGTGTATATTCGGCCCTCCACTACTACTACATATAATCTACTAGGACCGTCGCGTATCAATACGATGTCTTTCCTACAATGCTTGGTTTCATAAACCAGACATCAGCCCTTTCATCAAGTAATCGCAGTGTCAAGAGTAAAGAAATATGCTAGATATTCCTTCTTCATCTGCATACCACTGCTAAATTCAGCTACAGCTACTTGTCGAGAATCAAGTTTGTAGTAATGATGAAAGAAATAGTACTAATGTACAAGGTCTATTAATTCTGAAGATTGCCTGAGAAGAGGATAGCACCAAGCTAATACACAACTCTATACATATATTCAAGTAAGAGTATGGCTTCAGGTTACAACTTAAGGAGCATGAAACATTACATGCCAAACGCAACATGTAATCAGGCATAGAAATTTTTTAGATAAAGCACTAAGGTTCATATATTTACGTGGGCCAAGGCACCATTCACTATCTATCATAGAATTTCTACATTGACTGCTTGGAAGGTTAGAAAAATGTCGGCTTACAAATGCTATGTAGATCATTCCCACTGTACCATAGCCAGGACCAGACACTGCCTAGAAAATGCAGAATCGTTAGATTTGTTCAGGGGATTGTGGCATGCTAGCACTGGGTGAATACCTCTGGACTCATCTTTACCATGCTGGCTGAGGCAAAGTGGTGGTTAGCTGGCCCTGGATTCTCTAAGTTGGTTTAAAAATAGGGGGAGACTTGGGGCGATCACTAAGAGATGTCATCTGCTGGGAGTAGCTGCATAGTTAGAGCTGAATTGGCAAGGCGAGCTGGGTGTAGTCTCGACCTTTGAGGTCGGGCTGATATCTTGGCTGTCGAGGCTCTATACTTGGTTGGACTGGTGTCGCGTTCAGTTGGGCTGGCCGTCCGAGTGAAGCAATATAGGATGACTTCAGATCCAAATACGATGGATAGCTAGCACAAGCCTCCTGAAACAATATTTGCTGCCAAGTACCAAGCCATGATCTGCTGGCTTGCTCTTCCTACCTGTCCATCACACCTAGACGGAGGAATTCAACACCAACGGCCCCATAAGCAGGGCACGGTTCATGGAAAATATGGAGCTTTTCAATTGCCGCCTGTAGATATGCAAGTATGTGACTATTCCCCTTCGCTTTCAATAATTGCCTACCCCTTCCATCGCCGGTGGAGAGAGCAATGGCGCTCTTCACGGACCGTCCCGAAAAGGTTCGATTTTTGCTGACCCAAAGGAGAACAAGCTGAAATAGGGTTTACCAGCGGGATTGTCAAAGCAAAAATAGGGAGAACCTTGAAGTCGCTAAATCGGTCTTTCACAGAAATACTCGTCATATCCTCACCGACACTCTGCGAACTGGATTGCCGTTTTCGGACGTACTCAGCATCAACGCCTCCATGCAGGTGACTCGTCACTCTGTATTGCAGTATACAGGCTGCCGGCTCAACGTCCGTCATGCAGCCAGTTCGCCTGCGAAGTTTGGCCCTCCCGGTAGACTGGATGGAGAGCCACCGCCAAGGCTGAGGTCGACGCGGTCACCGTATATCGCGTTCGGCGACATTCAAAGTTTGTCCACGCCACGCCTCTGACTCGCGCAGACAATCACACCCATCCAAGTCACTGATTGTCCATAGTATGTTGCCAGCTTGTTGCCGGCATACTCCGCGCGCTGAGCTAGGTGGGTTCCGTGGGAGTCGTCGTCACGAGGGTGTATAGCGACAGCATGTTGCACGGCGCCACAGGGAGCGCATGATCCACCATGTACAGCCGCGACGAGAACGCACCTATACACGATACGTCTGCCCCGTTGAATAGGACCATTCGAGGATCTACCCTGTTAGCACGGCCGGGATCAGGCAATCCGTTGTGCCAGCGACGAGGCCCGATTGATTGGCCCTTTCTTCCGAAGCCATCATGAGCCGGGATCAAGAGATGGGCAAGGCCTTTCCGAGGTCGTGTCCCTGCGATATCCGCGTTACGGTACCTCTTTCTCTCGGTCCGCTCAACGCGCCGTCAACACGCACGAAGCCTCCGACGGCCAATACTTCGGTAAGTGAAGCGGAAAGCGTCTTCCAAGGAGCGGATCGGGCACACTTGCTCGAGCAATCGCGTGGCATTTTGTCTAAAGCACGTTATATTTGACGTTCGAAGAGTGGTCCTACCTTTGCTCCGTCACCATTTCTTTCCGATTTTTCCTTCCTTGGTTTTTGCCTTGCCACCTGCAAGCTGCATGACGCGGAAGGGTATTGATTCTTAGAAATGCGGAGCCCTGGGAAAGCGCTGGTCAGACAACAGTATTGTTGTGCCGTTGTCTTCAACATTGCACCTGAACAGAGATCGAATAAGAGCAAGCATGCGCATAATGTAGCTAAAGTCACAGGGCGAGGGGAAAGAGAAGGCAAGATGGGTATCACGACGTCCCATGACTCGGGACGGGATGGCGAAGAAGCAGTTATACCCGATACACTGCAGGACGACTCTAGGCGCCTGCAGTGACCATTGCCCCTCGTGTCGCTCTGCGCAAACCCAGCATGGCGAGGGTCCTCTCGGGAAGACCCTTCTCGGAAAATTTAATTGTTTCCTTGTGTAGCCCGGACACGCACTAGCAATTGCTGTGGGAGGGTCGGATGTGCAACCAGCTGGATCGCCGTATGAAGCGATGACCAACACCGGCGATTTCTGGTATTGGCTTTGCCGGGACTGACTTTGTTGACTATTCCTTTTTCCCGCTTTTGACTCGTTAGCTTCTTAGTGTGCGTTCTGCCCGTTATTGTCTCGGAGATGACCCGTTATGGAGCAGGAGTGGACGCAATCACACCAACGGGGGAGGGATGTTATCCAGCCAATTTCAGCCAGAAACGGAGGGGGGCAGTTGGATCCCGCTTCCACTCCGATATAGATAGATAGATCGATAGCAGAGGAGATAAGGAGCTATCATTAGAGGCGAGTTAGTATGGGTGCGGCGTCAGTAGTGGGAGCGATAGTCTGTTTGAGCCTCGAGCGGATGACAAATAGTGCGCGCCAATCGTTGCCTCGTCGGGCTCTGCGTGTTTCCCCAACGGGGAAATGGCAGATCCCGTATCGTCGTTGCCGTCTTTCTCCTAGCTAATCCTTCTTTCTGCTCACAATCTCACTGGCATGATTGTTATTTGGTCTCGACTCTCGCTCCTCAAATTCATGATGCAAGTGGATAACCCCCCCAAGGCTGCCCTTCCTTCAGATGGGACGCGGGGACCGCGATTATAGTACATACTAGGCTAAGCTATCTCTCCGTACGCGTCCATCCTGCAGCCTGCATGGTGCATCATCCTTCATGGCTGGCCCCTTACCCCTTTAGGCTTAAAGATGGGGGGTCGGTCGCCTAAACTATTGGGACGGTGGCAGTCATCGGATCCCCAATAGGCAGATCGTGCTGGTGGCTTCAAGAAACACTTTGCAGTGGTGATTCTGTCCTAGCGCCGAACCGGGATGGATCAGGCTGAATGAACGATCCCTTGCGGGCATCCCGCGTCCCGTACGGAGTATGTGCCAACCACCTTTCACCCACCACTCACCACCCACCACTGAGCTGGGAGAGAGGAAGGTGTGATCATCTCGTCGAGAGTGATTTCCGGTCTCAATTTTTGTCTCCGAGCTCGGATTGACCCATTGATGGAGCTTGGTGAGAGGCTAAGCCGGTGCTGTCATATGGTAGCCCAAAAGGTTAACACCAGAAATTCCCCGCAGTGGCTCCCAGTTGATCGTGATTCGGTGCAAACCGGTAGGACTAAGATAACATTCCAGCTGGGTTATATGAGGCCAACCCAAAGGAGTAACAGAAGAATGGTCAATAAAAAAGAAAAGTGGAAAAAAATGAAGGAGCAGTTAGTCTCTTGTTGGTGATGGACCAGCTTGCTAACGCTCACAGGCAGATGCCGTGGGAAAACCGTTGTCCGGAGTCCATTCATCTAGTTTGAGTGGCCCCTCCTGCTTCACCACGCGCCTTGGTTCCGTGTTCTGTGCTCGGCGAGCCCAGTGGATCTTTCCGTTCATCAGAGGATCAGAGGGGCCATTTTACTTTCGCCCATCACTGACACTGGGGTCCCTGCAAAATTTCCGGTGCTCAGGTGATCAAACCACCTAAGATACAGGCTCGTCTCACTGGCCAGAGCGCTGCAGCAGCCACATCTTGTTTGGAAGTAACCACCACCATGGATCGTTCCTACGGACCGGACAATAACCGTTCGTTGGAGGATAGCTAGACATTGTGCGGAGTGGTCGTCCTTCGGGATCCGCCTCCATTTGTTCGTGGCCAGCTTGCAGGCCAGACCGATCTCCTGCACTTTAGTCTGTTGGGTGTGGCATCGTGACTGGAACATTCTTGCATTTTTATGTGGACTATCCTTTATCCACTAAAGCCAATATTCGTGTCTTCCATTCAAATCGGATAATGAGACTGGGATCAAAGTGTAGGTGCCAGGGTTGGCCTGCATGGCCCCAAGAGCCGACCGGCCGATTTCTTCCATTCCGGCACTCGCAGAATGTGGCACATACATTCCTCAATTGGCACACCCGTTGGTCCGTTGATCCATTTACACTGCGTGGGTGGGACCCAGCATAACCTATTGCAGAATCCACGCGGAGAATTGCGGCCTCTCAGTCCAGTGGTTCGGGCTATTGAGCTGGCGTCATTCATTGAGGCACTCGACACACAGTTCAATGCTGCTGTCCAACCCGATCGAGCAGCTTGCAATCGCCCAAGGAGGCTCTCTGTGAGGACTCACGATAGATACATCAATCATGCCTTCCTACCTAATTCCTAGTGTCCTCCATCCCTTGCACGACCCCGAACGGTCAGCCATGTGAGTGACAACACGTCGATTTGATATCAAAAATTCTACTCGTATGTGTGCTCATGCCATAGCAAAAGAGACATGGCCCTATGACCAAGACAAGACCCCTCTCACTGCAGCGCGGACATTTTATCCTGTTGGCCCTGGGGGATTGGGGTTGCCTTGGAGCGCTATTTCCGACACGTCCGTACGGAGTATATACCAACCTAGATTTGAAGAGGGAAATGGGACGACGTAGGAAGGTAAAAAAAGGGCGATCGAATATTATTGGTGAACCACGGCCCCCAATTATGAGACGAGAACCCCGAAGATCTGAGGGGAAGAACACAAGTCCCAGGGGGGCAAAAGGAAGGAAAGAAGAGCAGTGAGATCACTGGAGCGATTCCGAGATGACCACGTTCTTCTTCTCCTTGCCCGGGTCTATTCTTCCTTGGTTGTGATCTGAATATTCTTCTGGAACTTCAGTCCCTCACTCAGTCTAAAAGAGAAGGGAGAAAAGAAGGCAGGGGGGGAGGCGAAAATGAATTAAGATAAAATCCAAATGAAGCCGGAAGAGGACGAAGCTGCCTGTCATTCGGCGTTCCCAGCGGTATGGCAGGATGTCATTCTGGTCTTATCCTGAATCATGGGGGAGGGGGCAAGGGTACACAGAGCGAACACACGCCGTCACCCATTAGTTTATTCGCCCAATGCAATTGATGGACGAGCTTAAAATCCTGGCGGCGAAGGCCCATCAACAGGCCTCATTCGGTAGCGCGTGTCAAACTGGGGACGGAATGCACCCCCCCATTTCTACCGAGCGGACTATTGGCAATGGGCGCCGCGGGCGGGCGCCGATGTCGATCCGTGGCTCCCCCTTCGCCTTGCTTCCGGGCCAGCTGATTGGCACTGGGCCCCAAAGCTCAGGAGGAGGATGCGAACGAACTTGACGACCGAGGGAAAAGAGCGGAAAAAGGGAAAAAAAGAAAAGAAGCGAGTGCTCGTCCAAGTTCCAGTTTCCCCTCTTCCCTTCCCCCTCTGGGAATCGTTAAACCCTTTTCGGTCGGTGTCACTGACAGCGGCATCCAGTTTCCAGGGCCCATCCATCGTATGCAAGCCACTCTCTGCTTCTGATCCAGCGTGCCGGACAGGACAAATGATCCCATCCTTGATGGCAACCTCTCAACAAACAAGAATGAATTATTGACACAGATCAAAAGACCAATGAGAATCAGGAGGGGGTGATAAAATAAATTAAAAAAAAGGTCAAGCCAACGAAGAGAAATGACAATCAAATCCACAGGACTGATGATAAAGCTGAAAGAGTGACGAAAAAGCTGAAGCCCGAGCTTGTCGAACCGGATCCCCCTCTTCCCTCCGGAGCATTGATATCACTCGTTCCTCCGAACCTCACTAATCTCCATACTTACATATTTCCAGACGCGACGGAGCCAAAGATACCCCATTAAGATCTACCATGATGGAGATCAAGTCTATCGGCTGCTAGTCGGGGTTGCACTGGCCACCAGTTACCCACTTCTGGTTTCCATCTACGGGTCAACCAAGCAAACAGGCTCCCTTCATGTTGGAATCGGTATAAGCCTTGTCACAAGCTGCGGGCAATGACGGGGGTACTAAATTCTGATCACATCTTCTTTCTTATTATTATTCCCTTTAATGCCTTTCTTCGACGAGGCCACGCCTCGGGGGAACTAGACCGCCCAGCCGGATTCCCTCTCCCTCTTTCTCCCCTTGGCCGTTGACAACTTGTACTTCTTGGGGGTCTTGCGAACTCCAAAATAAAAAATAAAAATAAAAATAAACAAAAACCTCCTATTAGCGAATTCCTTCCTTTTACACCCACTCCTGTCCTGTTTTTCTTCTGAAATTCTTTCCCCATATATTACTCCCTGACATCTCACTTCGTTGGGAAAAGGCAGTGTGATCCCACCGGATTTTTACGCCTCACTTTCCGGTATAGTTCACCGTTCCCGCATTTTGCTGTCGGGGGGATTGGGCCAGTTCACCTTCAAGTCACTAAATCTTATACGAGGAGAAAGAAAAGATACTTCGTGACAGTGAGGGAGGAAAAAAAGGGGGGCCGGAATAATAATTAAAAAAAAGAGGGCAGAGGGTTGAAAAAATAATTAAATTCAAGAAAAAGGATAGCCCTACGCTCATCGTTACTGAAAGGTAAGGTACAACTGGTGTATTTTATTTGCATCTACTTTTTTATGCTCTCACGATTATTGCTTTTGCCATGACCATTCTGTGCATTTTCCCTGGGCCCCAGTGATCGCCCACCATGCTGCAATAAATCATCCCAGGATGGGGACCATCGAAGCTATGGAAAACTGCTGTCACGATCTGGCTTCCCTTCGCTGATCGACGCATCCTAGTTTCTGACTCCTCCAATAGTGATTCTTGACTGACTGATTATAAGCTCCAGTGGTCCTCTGACTGCAAGCGTGTGGTTTCAATGATGACTGGCAACTGAACAACACACCGCAACCGACTGACTGACTATACGACGACAAAAGGCTTTTGGGTGCCAGATATGTTGCCTACTTTAAGATCGAAACCAGATCGCATCCCATTCTTGTGAACAACGCGCTTCCCTTGTCAAAGGAACCAAGGTTTACCAGATGCAATCTTTAGTCCTTCCTCCTTCTTCCTTCATCGCTACAGAGTTTGGACACCCCAGGTTTAATCCGGGCCCGGAGCGGCTTCCGTTGAACTTGCCTCGGTCGACAAATGCTCGACGGTATCCCCCTCGGGATCTTCCACTCCCTCGCTCTATGTCCGGTTCGGTCCCAGCAGACGACCCGCTGGAGACCTCTGGAAACACCAGACGCCCCGGACATCCAGAGCTCCCTCAACCCGTCACCACCGTGACGGCGACGACCTCCATCTCCGCTGGCCTGTCGGGACCGGTCCTTCCTCCAGGGTCTACTCATGAGGCCGTGGCGCAACGCATGATCTCGGCGTCAGGGAACGACACACTGCGACAACCCTTCAGTGTGGGCGACACCTTTCCGTCATCGCGACTTCCGCCATCGCTGGTGGGCCCGGGCATACCACAAGCTGCGGCGGCAGCTTATGCACAGCCTTCTTTTGGAACCTCTCCTCCTGGAACAACGACTCGTGCATTGCCGCAAAAGCCCACTCGACGCACCAAAGCTCATGTGGCATCCGCATGTGTTAACTGTAAGAAGAAGCACCTGGGCTGCGATCCAGCGCGGCCATGCCGGAGATGCGTTTTGTCGGGAAAAGAAGTGAGTGTCTCCTGTATTGGATCGGCCATCATACCTTGAAATCGAAGAGCCTTTGCGCCCTGCAAATCCTCCAGAAGCGACCCCTTCAATTTCCAAACGGCCGTGTCAGAATCGCAATTACTGACTTGTATAGGCAACATGTGTCGATGTCACGCACAAGAAACGGGGGCGGCCGCCCTTGAAAGCAGAGGAAGCATCTCTGAGAACATATGCAGCACACATAGACAATAGAGCCACAGCAGGAGAGCAACACGGTCCCCAGTCGAGACGCAGCTTACATAGAGCCACATCCTCACGTGAAATTCGCCCAATGACGGATCTACAGATGCCTGGGGGGCAGGCTGGCGCGATGGCCATGAGGGCTTCGGCTGGTCATCCCCAAAGATGGGCTGCGTCTGTCTATCCTCAAGCCATTGATCCTACAATCACAATGCAGAGGGGCCTTGGACATCGACGATTTTCTTCCTCTGGCTCCGCGCAGTCCCTTGCAGCGGCTTCTCCGCCCAGCTTTGTTCCGATGCCTGTTGGGTATAACCCGGCCCTAGGGGCGGGTCGTATGCCCATGGGCGTGGGAAGACCGATGTCGTCGTACACGCATCAGGGAATGAACCCTGCTACCACGCCACCCCAGTATCAGCAACCCTTCGTCCCAATCTCACCATATCCAGAAAGTGCTCGAATGCCCAATCGGATGTCGATGGGGGAATCTCCTATGTCGAGAGACCCTCGCGAAGGCTATTTGGAATCTCCGGTGAGGCTTCCGCCTATATATCCCCCCACGATGGGGACGCCGGCATCGGCGTCGCAAGGACATCGCCTGAGCGATCCATACCCAGCAGCTTGGTCGCCGCGGACACGTGAAGAGTTTCTTCAGCAGGAGCACCGGCAGCAAATGGCTTCACATGGCTTAATTGACCCACTATCGCCCAATAGCCAGATGCGACACGCTGTGTCTGACTTTGGGTATGGGGAACCAATTCCTCGGCAATTTGGACCTACTGGTTCTGCTGCAGAGAGGCATTCACTGCACATGTCGCTTGTACAAAGTCAAGACGAACCGCCGGCGAATGAGGCCGATGCAGAAGGCAACAGACCAGCTAAGCGACGCAAGATGGCCTTGGACGACATGGTGAACGACTGAATATGGTCCATTTCACATCCACTTCCCACCAAGGTCTCGGTCGAGGTCAGCACACTCCATTCTTTTCTGACCGCTCAAGTGGTTATATCATCTCTTGGAGCATTCAAGGCTTGTAGCGGGATCTACAAAGATAATGATCTTAATGTACACTTTCCTATGTGTCATGTGTGCTCGCCTACGATCGCTGATACCTTCACCCATTCCCCCACACTTATTCCCTCCCATTCATTCTCCTTTGTCTCATCTACAGTACAAACATCCAGTCTTCTGGCACAAAAGTACATGACCCGTCGAGCTACGTTGCATTTCCTTTGTCAAATATTGTCACATCGCATGGATACTGGTATCTCTTTTTCTGCTTTTTCTTGGTCTGTTGTGTACTTGCTGCATAGCGTGCTGCTGTCTTTCTTTACACATATACCTTGGGTTTCTTGAATGCTTTGGTCATCGTCATAGACGGCGTTGGGTGGAGTCCAAACATCACATTATCACTACGTATTCGGGGGAAAGGGAAGCATCATCCAATGTACTTTAATTAATATCCTTGCCAGACTCGTTATAGGTCAGCACCGCCATGCTGCTGGGCAGCTACTTTAGTACAGGGCATGGTTGTGTGAATAGTGAAGATCAATTTCTTAAAAGGCAGGTGACATCTGGATCGAAGTTTATGTAGACCACCACAGCCAACCATGTACAACCGTACAGCAAGTCCGAAGCAAGGAGGCGTGATTTATCGGGTGACGTGGGACTTTGCCACCTTTCATGATCTGCGATCTCGTATATTTTGCCGATAAGCTGGGTTCACGGCGGGTTGCACAGCTGGATCTACTGCCTCCACATGTCTCACTCGGGCGCTTAGATACGCCCAGATCATTCTGCAGAGCCCAACTAGATTGTAGACTTTTATCGGGGCCTGTGTAGAGGGCAATGCAAGGACTCGCTCCAAGAACCGTGGCAGAGAATGTGCCGTCACGGGACCGGGGCAGTCGCTCTGGGCCAGCGTCCCCCGATTGCTTCACCAGTCCATCAAGTGCGCCTTATCGGCTGCCTCATGACGTGTTCTTGGTGCGGCTTCTACAGCTCCTCTCGGAGGTGTGTTTCCATGCCCCATTATTAACCCGAGGGGTTGCATTTCCGTTCACCGGCCCACCTTTGTGTTGACGACAAAGTGTCTGCGCTCCACCCTGCGTACATAGTCCGTCGGACCAGGTCGACCACAAAAGATTTGCCCTGAAGACTTATCCTGACTCCTGGGGTGAGTCCTGCATCTCATCTCGTTCATTTGGGCTTTGATCGGGCTATTGATCCTGCATTGTATTTGCTACCATCGTTCTTCATGCCGTGCTATCTAGCCAACATTATTCACTCGTTGAGGTGAATGCAAGGCTCAACTCGAATCGATATCTACCCAACCTACTCAACCGGGCCAAGATTCTCAGAGACTCTAGGGGTTTGTGAAACCATCAATCCAATCGCTGGCCAGAATCCATCATTTCCTTCATTAGCATACCTGCAAGCTATCTGTCAGAGACTCACAGGAAGGAAACCTGCCACTACTCACGTTGCCACGCTTTACTCGCATTTTGATATTACGGAGAAATATCCATAAGGCACTTGCAGACTTGATGGGTCTTTTTTATCAATTTGTCTAAAAATAGCAATTTTGAGGCGGTATAGCTTTCGAATGAGCTGACCAGTATGAATCAAATACATGCACACGCACTGGAATGTATCGGTAGGAGCTGCAGCTTGACAGCTCCTAGGGCTGTTTTCTCTGCGTCAACATGTGTCACGTTCAGCATGTATTCTGCAATCATATATATTCCAGTGGAAACCCAACTCTTGGATCTGGATCAATCCTAGTGCTTTTCGTTTGAACTCCGTCGGGCACCTACCATCAACATCAGTCCCCTTGAAAATGAATAACGTGCTTATACGTCATTGGTACGCGCTTAATAACGCTCTCACGACTAGTAACATTAGTTGCAACCTTGATGGCAAAACTTTGGACTTGGCCACTGTGGTGGCAGGAGCGAGGTATATCACGGTTCTTCTCAAAGCGCCAGATGAGTCCGTACTTGCGCTGCGATGCTAACTTCGTGTTAGGTACGGAAAACGCATATCGCTCTCACAAAGCACTCGTGAGAAAGTGCATCGATCCGAGGAGGCATTGAAGAAACACCTTGCGGGTGGGGAGCTAGTCTATGGTTGGTCATTCCAAACCAATGATAATTAGTTAAGCATGACTTATCGAAAGGTGTAGGAGTAAATACTGGCTTCGGTGGTAGTGCAGACACTACGACTCATGCAGTCAACAAGCTGCAAGAAAATCTACTACAGATGCTTCAGGCTGGAATCAAAGTAGACGGCTCAAGCCCTGTTGTCGCAAACAAGGAATACAAGAACGTCCTCCCACTGGACGACCCAATATCTGCCACCATTATGCCAGAGTCATGGACCAGGGCAACTATGATCATCCGGTTGAACTGCCTTGCTTTAGGGGCATCGGGCATCAGACAGTCGGTCCTGGATGTGTTGCTCCAGATGATAGAGCACCAAATCACCCCTAGGGTTCCTTTGAGAGGTAGTATATCCGCCTCCGGTGACCTCAACCCGTTATCGTACATCGGTGGGGCAATGCAGGGACATCCGTCTATCTACGTCTGGAAGCGCGACCGAGTCTCGAACTGCCAAGTGAAAGGGGCCGATCTCGCTCTCGCAGAGAGCTCAATACCACCAGTGCGGCTGAATGCGAAAGAGGGCCTGGCAATCGTCAATGGAACGGCGACCTCTGCGGCCGTAGGTGGTCTGGCTCTGCACGAAACCCTCGGCCTTGCTGCTGTAAGTCAGGTTCTTGCAGCAATGAGTGTCGAGGCTTTACACGGTATGAGCGAAAGCTTTGATCCTTTTTTCGCAAGAGTCCGGCCTCACCCCGGACAAACCACGGCAGCAAACAATCTGTGCAGGTTTCTTTCTCAGTCAAAGTTACTCAACGATGGAGATGCGCTTGGGCCCGGGAATCTGCGACAAGATCGATATTCCATTCGCACGTCCGCTCAATGGATGGGACCAATTCTTGAAGACTTGGAGTTAGCATATCAGCAGATTTCCGCAGAGTTAAACTCTGTAACGGACAATCCTCTCATCGACACTGTTGGTGACAGTGCTCGTATTCTACACGGTGGTAACTTCCAAGCGAAGTCGGTTACCAGCGCAGTAGAAAAGGCTCGACAGGCCGTTCAGTCCATGGGTCGTATGCTTTTTGCGCAGTGTACCGAGTTGATTGATCCATCCAAAAACAATGGCTTACCTCCTAATCTGTCTGCTGATGAGCCGAGCATCTCATTCACCTTCAAAGGGGTTGATATTCTGATTGCTGCGTTGCAGTCGGAGCTAGGATTCCTCGCGAATCCTGTTGGAAGCCATGTCCAGACCGCCGAGATGGGAAACCAAGCCTTGAACTCACTCGCATTGATATCAAGTCGATACACTTTGGAGGCCGTTACCGTTCTGTCGCAGATGGCAGCTGCTCATCTCGTCTCTGTCTGCCAGGCTCTTGACCTTCGTGTCATAAACATCCAATTCATGCAGGCTTTGGAACAGGATTTTGTGAAGATATTCAACGAGAGCTTCAAAGTTTATGCTGCTTGGAGCAAAGTCTCTCCAACCGTCTCCAAGGATGCCTGGTTCGCCTTTATCAAGCAAGTAGGACAGCTCCAGTCCGTCGATTCGTGCGATCGATTTCATCGAGCCGCCCGAGCAATTTTGCCCACGTTTCTCACGAAGCTGCCTCCTACCGATGTCTCTCCGAGTATCATTCAGTCTTGGATAGATTGCATAGGCTCGCAGGCGGTTGAGATATACCGTCAAACGCTCAAGATTTACTGTAAGAGTCCGGATGCGACCCCTTACCTTGGGGAAGCGTCACGGAAGATGTACACCTGTGTCCGACAAAATTTGAAACTCCCCTTCATTACCGAAGGGACACTCTGGCGCCCGGAAGATCCCAACAGGAAGCAATCTGGTGAAGCTGCGGCACCACCCCTCCCTACTATGGGCGACGTGGTTGGTATTGCCTACGACGCCATTCGTCGTGGATCCTTATACACGGTAGCGGTTGAATGCATCAGAAATGCAGAGCAGGATACTGTGAAGTGCCGTCACTGCCTGGAGAAAAATGTATTTCGTGCACGCATGAGCAGAATTTGATATGTGTGTAATGATATATTGTGGGAGATGGCATGTAGACTGCGTGGGAGGGGCTGAATTCTATGCCCTGCAAGATTTATTAGGTAGCCCTAGACGAGCTTTGATTACATTTCAAGTGACCGCACATCGAAGATCCTAGGCTTGCTATCGGAATAACATGCATGGAATGCGCAGCATCGTGAAGCATTGAGATTCTCCAGAAGCAAGGCAAATGATGAAACCGGTCCGCTATGCGCATGAAGTCGCCTCCTGACATGCGACATTACGAAAAAGTCGGACAAAAAAACATGGAAAGTCCGTTATCGATGTCGATCGAAGCAGACTAATGCAACATGACAGATGCGAAGCGGCCAAGAAGTCGAGATGGCGACTGTCTGGTGGATTTAGCGGCTGGATGCTGTCATCGCCCCCGGCTATCGTGCAATCGTTCTCCTCTCCTCTCCTCTCCCCTCCCCTCCGCTGCTCTCGTCTCACGGCATTTCCGGCCCAGATGCGATTCTCGCAGGGACTGGAGTCCGGACCTCTTTGAAAGCTGAATGAGCCTAGGCAATTTTTCTGCGCCCAAGAAATCATGGTAGCCTTCGGATCTTATCCCAACCATGGATCGTCTCTCTAACTCCAACCAAATGTCTATAGTATCATATCAAGATGCAACATTATCTCAACTTCCCCGCATCGCTTAAACTAAGCAAGCACCTCATCATCCTTATCATTTCATTTTAACACCCTAAATGCAAGATAATCGCCCACAAGCAATCACGCCATGGGTTCCCGCAATGAGCATCGCATTGTGCCTGTACCACCTCCCTCACTTCCCCCATATCTTGTCCATCGCCGTACCTATATTATAACTCCGGGGCACCACCAAGAATGGCAGATAGAAGACACTCAGCTGCCGACTTCACATTGTGTCCCATTGACACTCCCTGCCAACCACAATGGGTTTCTTACCCTTCACTACCAAAACCACGGAAACGGAGGCGACCTCGGAGCAATCCAGCGACAGACTCAGTGTCATTGACGATGGCAATCTACAATTTACCGCCGGTGGGGGTGCCAATTCCTCCAAGCTTACGTACCAAGAGGCGAGCGGTGCTCCGATCGAGGCCAAATCTCCCCTGGGGTACTCGGTAGGTGCGGTGACGGTTATATTCTTGAACTTGAGTATGATGATTGGAACGGGTGTGTTTTCGACTCGTGAGTACTTCTACTTTACTTTTTCAAGTATCTCTTAAGTTCTGTTGCGTGAAGACAGTCAAAGTTGACTGAATATAGCATCTGCCGTCCTCGACGGCGCCGGATCCGTCGGCCTGAGTCTCTTCTACTGGGTGATCGGGTTCTTCATGGCATGGAGCGTGTTGTCCGTGTACTTGGAATACGTATCCTATTTCCCTAGTAGATCGGGCTCCGAGGTCGTGTATCTCGAACAGGCATACCCAAGACCAAAGTACTTCTTCCCGACAGTGTTTGCGATGCAGACGGTTTTGTTCTCGTTTAGTAGCAGTAATGCTGTTGGTATGTCACCCGAAATCACACTAATGAGCAGGGCTAATGCGATGGTATACGAACAGTGCTGGCGGAATATCTATTCAAGTTGGCGGATGCAGAAACGACCGCTTGGAAGGAAAAGGGCGTTGCTGTGGCAGTGTATACCGTTGCTACGCTATGTACGTTCCAACAATGGGATCAAATTGATGTGAATCTGGGCTGACTGCATCTAGTGCTGAGCTTCAATACCAAGTGGTCGCTCTGGCTAGCCAACGCTATCGGTATTGTCAAGTTGGTCACTTTGATCTTGTAAGTGGATCTAGTTATCGCTTTTGATCGCATTAAAACTAACGAAACAGCATCGGAATCACCGGCCTGGTCGTCCTTGGAGGCCATACCCCGGTGACAGATCCTCTGATCAACTTCCGTGATGCCTTCTCGGGAACATCTGGAGCATCTGTGTACGGGGCAACCAATGCTTTGGTGAAAGTGATGTTTTCGTATGCCGGTTACTCGAATGCGTGCAACGTTGCGAATGAAGTCACAGTACGCCTACTCTTCTCTTATCATAGACTGATACCGTGCTGATACGGATAAACTCTAGAACCCTGTCAAAACCCTTCGCTGGAGTGCGCCTGCTGCCCTGTTCCTCACAGCCGTGCTGTACATCCTGGTCAACATCGCTTACTTCTCCGCCGCCAGCAAGGAAGAGATTCTCAACTCGAGTGTCACAGCAGCGAGTCTCTTCTTCGAGAAGGTCTTTGGCACGTCAGGTGCATCCAGAGCTCTGAACTTCTTGATCTGTCTCAGTGCATTCGGAAACCTTCTGGCCGTGTTGATCGGCCAATCCCGCATGCTGCGAGAATGCGGACGGTATGCGTTACCCAACCTCTACTACCAACATCCATCACTAATCTCAAATGCGGACATGTAACAGACAAGGCGTCCTCCCCTTCACCGAGTTCTGGACTTCCACTCGTCCATTCGGAACACCCTTGGGCCCATACTTCCTCAAATGGGCTCTTACAGTCATCATGATCCTCGCGCCTCCAGCCGGTGACGCCTTCAACTTCAGTACGTACCTACTGCCCCTCTTAACACCCCCAAGCAACATCCTAATCCATTGCCTCAAGTCGTCGACCTAAGCATCTACCCCTCCAACGCCTTCAACTTCCTCCTCGCAGTCGGTATCCTCATCACCCGACACCGGCGCAAACGACTCAACTTCCCATCCTCCGGATACAGAGCCTGGACAGTATCAGTCTGTTTCGCCATCTTATCGAGTTTATATATGCTCGTCGCGCCATGGTATCCACCCAGCACCGGTGCAGACGGCGGAGACGTAAGCTTTTGGTATGCGACGTATTGCGTTGTTGGAATTGCGATGTAAGTGGTTCTTTTCCTTCCTTCCTTGGCCCCCTCTCTCCCTTTTACTCAACTTCATTAAACCTCCCTCAGTCACCCCCTCAAGATGAAACTCAAATTATTGATGATAATTCTCTAGTATCGCCGCCTGCGGAGCTTACTACTACCTGTGGATCAAGATCCTCCCGCGCCTAGGCAAATACGAACTCCGCCAAACAATCATCACCGTCGGCGGCGACGCAACAGCCCATAAGCTAGTCCGCGTTCCCGTTCCACAAGTCGAAGAATGGGACCGGGAACACGATGCCACGGGCCGGGCAATGAGAAGAAATGTCGTTCAAGAGGAAGTCCTTACGAAATCGGATTTAAATGCCTGAACAGTCAGGAATGTTTTCTCCGGATTCTCTCTCTCTCCTTGGTAGGGCAGGATAGTGCACAAACTAGATCTAGAACTAAACGATATCATATCTTTCTTCGACCTCTTTCTTGTCCTTCTTCTTGAGCGGTATGTATGACCACCAAAGTATAACAAATGCTACAGTAAATGGAATATCAAGAATATTATACTCTATATAGTCCTTAGATAGGCATTAAATCTTTTGGTCTAGTTGACAAGTGGGGTGATTTCGTGCAATAGCAAGGAATGGAACTGGATGCCTTGGCAGTTTCTAATCCTGAAGTAGTAGTAATAATCATGACATGCTGAGAACTATCCACCAGACTAACACATCATCAAATGCCTTATACGCGTCATCGTGTTTTATGGGCGTCTACACTACCCATATCCTTAGTTAAAACAATATATTATGAACTAATGCCACTGGGACTGTCTTACCTTGTGCTAAGGCCCCTGTGCCAGCCTTATTCCTCCAACCTGCTCAGGGCCCATTAACCTGAGAAGGTCTTTGGCATATGCGGAAGCACTGGCCGCTGCGTATGGCTGCCATTCATCCGATCTATGAGTATCACAGTAGTCGCTTATACCCCGGATGAAAACACAAGGGAAATCGATCAGCGAACCACCGGCCTCCATCTCCAGACATGCGACACCCCAGGAGTTGCGTAGGAGATCTCGTAGTTTAGTTGAATTCACATCGCGATCTGCCGAAGCAATGAGGCCATAGTGAACCTGTGGTTCGTCTTTGGTTCGTTGAGCCCGCTTTATAATCTCACCGGGGTCACACCTGCCACAGTCAGATTTCCCTCCGACATGATTGTACACTGCATTGAACAGTTGATCGGGGTCATGACCAGGGACGGAGTAGTGTATTGGATAATGATGAACTTCGGTGAGTCTTGTAAATGCAACTTCGACATTCGATAGCATTTTCTCTTTTCCTTTTGAAAAGCGATGGTCGCATTGAAGGCGCTCTACTCCACTCATCAGAGCATTGGGGGGCGCAGTCAGGCGAGATTCGATCTCGGGGGAATTCTCATCCTTCCATGAGGGTGCATTGTAGTTGATGACACCACCTGCGATAATCACGTCAGAGGTCTCCCTAAGATGAAGCGAGATCATCACATACCATGTTTTCCTGTAGGGTAACTCACAACCACATCCCCCAGCCGAATGTCATTGCTTGGGTCAAGATGGGCCAGATCCGGAGCTCCTCCACCCACGCCGACCAGCAGACCAAAGCGTATATTGTGAAAGGTGCGGATGAGATGAGCGACTGCTTGGCCCATGGGAGTGTCGCCACGAATTGATGGGGACGCAATTACCACATTGAGTTTCCACATGCGCCCAAGGACATAGACATTATTGTCGCCGAATAGAGGCTCTAACGGGTCATCTTCTTCATCTAGCAATGCGCGTGCAGCGTCAACCTCGCAGGCAAGGACGCATACCCAAGCTACCGTATAATTGTGATGGGCGAGGTGTCTAGCCACCATGTTTTCCAAGTCTCAAAGATATAATTCGAATTCTAAAAGAAAAGAATGTAAATGTGTACTAAAGATGATTGGTATCACGAACTTGTGATAGGAACTGGAGGAGACGAGGTTCCAAGGGTCAAGTTGAAGGGAAGAATTGAAACATCCATGGATAAAGAGAAAAAGAGAGAAAGGGAAAGAGGGAAAGAGGGACGGGCCCCTCCCTGAATAGGCAGGTGGAACCATCATGACCATTATAGTATTATTATTACTTTCTTTCCACAATTAAAGGAATAACCACATCCCAACCCGCTTCACTTTGCCAAACAACCCCTTCTCATTCCTCCAGGATGACACCAATCCATTCCCATCTCTCCCTTCATCGTCATCATCATGATCACCATCAACCCCCGTACCCTGCATGTGCACCAAATTATACCTGTCGGTAAGTAAGTCCATAGCACTGAGCTTCACAAACTTGGAGCGCTTGCACAACTTCCACCCCACAAACATCACCAACATAATCGGCAACTCAATATAATAGGACACGAAGTCGACGGCTTGGAACGTGGGGCTGAAGCATGACCAGCCCTGCACGAGAATGAGGACGATGTTGAGAATGATGGCAATGATGGGGCCGAATGGGTATGTCCAGTTCTTGTATGGGAGGAGATGTTCAAGGTTTTGGTGGTGGATGGCGGCGCGGAAGCGCAGTGAGGCCAGACCGATGAAGGTCCAGGAGAGTTGGTTGGAGACGCCGACGATACTGGAGGTGGTATTAGCATTGGTCTGGGAGGGATGGCGATGGTAAGGGGGTGGTTACTTTTGCAGCCAGGACCAGAGTTGGCCGGCACCGATGTAGCTAGCTCCGAAGCAGAGACCGCTGATCACCGACGTGGCGAGCACGGCCACCCAGGGCACTTGGAAGCGGTTCAGATGGCCAAAGAAGCGGGGAGCGTAGCCGTCGACGGCGAGGGTGTAGAGGAGGCGGGATCCGGCAAAGAGGGCGTGGTTGGCAGCGGAGATGACGCTGGTCATGATCACGGCGTTGATGAAACTGCCGGCCACGGAACTGCCGGCTTCGACAAAGACAATAGTGAAGGGGCTGGTGGTGGTGGTTTCCGAGGACAGGTCAGGGTAGTTGTATGGCACATCAAGACCGATGAGGATGATAGAGACGATGTAAAAGAGGATGATGCGCCAGAAGACGTTGCGAACGACACGTGGGAGGTTCTTTGAGGGATCTTTCGTCTCCCCAGCCGTGATGGCGATGGATTCGGTGCCGCCACTGCAATGGTGGTGTTGTTAGTAAGGGATACGTTGGAGATGGTTGATGTCAGGGACATACTAGGCAAAGGATGCGGTGACGAAGACCGAGGCAAACCCGCCAATGCCACCAACGAAGGGGGCATCTCCGGTGTGGAAATACTTGTCGCCGATGTATTGATGTTGTTTGTTTCCACCGCAGTTCACAACAATTCCGAGGATGATAAAGATCTATCAGCGTTAATATGAAGAGCAACAAGAGAGTCGGCGGGGGGACATACGATGATGGTCACCACCTTGAGGAGACTGAGCCAATATTCAACCTAGCAATAGTCAGCGATTGAATCTTGTGAGATTGAAGCTGACTTGCCTCTCCATAAACCTTCACGGACAACATATTCAACGCAATGACAACAACCAGGAAGATCAAACTTATTGCCCATCCCGGGAAATTGTCCGTCCAGTACTCGAGAAGAAGTTGCAGCGCAATGATATCTGATGCAGTCGACACCGCATCATTGAACCAGTAGTTCCAAGTAAGAGCAAAGCCCAGTGCATCATCAACAAACCGACTAAGCCCGTCAGCTTCAGATCAGGATGATCCCGAAGGCAAATCACTCACCCGGCAAAGGTACAGAACGAGCCCGCAACAGGGATGAACGCAGCCATTTCACCAAGAGACAACATGGTCACGAAGACAATTGCACCACAAATGGCGTAGGAAATAAGCATGGATGCGGGTCCACCCGTGGCTAAGGCCTTGCCTGTTCCCAGGAACAGTCCTGTGCCAATGGTGCCCCCAATGGCGATCATCTGCACCTGACGGGCAGAGAGCCGACGGGCAAGTTTGTCCGCATTAACATACTGAGCGTCTGAGTCCAAATAGTCTGCAGAGGTGTTGGGATCTTTGGAATTGGGGCCTACAGGCTCCTGGGGAGCTGCAGGACGCTGCTTTTCAATGTCTTGAGCAGCCATGCTGACGCCTTTGACACGGGATCTAGACTTGGGCCAAGTTAGCTGGGCCTTGGACAGAGGGACCGGACCCAGCCCGATCGATACTCACCAGTGATTAACTCTCAGCCCTATAAGACAACTGACTGACACAGGCAGACCGCACGTGATCCACCGCGGAGACCCAAAATTGCGATCAAAAGACACTAAAAAGTGATGGCTCGTCGGGACTATACAAGCCGCATACACGAACGAAGAGAAGAAATTGGACGAAAAGCGCATCCCATCGGATGGCATCTATTGCACCATCACATCTCTGACGCTGGAAATTTGCAGTCTAGTGGATGACGTGCTCGAGAGGAATTACGTACCGCGAATGGGCGAGTGTGTGGAAGGGCGAAGGAACGCCAGCAGTCGTTCGATGGAAATTGCCGATGACAGGCCGGGGTCCCCACCGCTCGGCAGATGGATTTATTACAACTTACGGAGTAGTACACAGTCAGGTGATCGCTTCAAGAAGGACGGAATCACAATTGCTCTATGTACATGGCGATGCTGCCGGAATCTCATAAACTTTTGACATTCTCCGCTGATGAACAAAGAAAGAAACTCAGGCCGAAAGGTATATATCCATTGAAGATGACACAACGTAACCACTTCTCCACCAGTCCACTCATTACACCCATCACCCCAGCAAGCCCGCAGCCAGCGACTCCAAATCTTCCAACGTCTGGATTTGCTCGGGTGCTTGAGACTTCTTGGCCTTCTTGGGCCGGGGCTCTTCCTCGCTCGACTTGTCCGCGAACGAAACCCTGGCTTTCTTGTTCGGACGGGGTGCCTCTTCTTCCGCTTCGGACGCGGAGAACCCACCGTCCATATCGCGGTCCTCGTCTTGGTACGAAGGAAGCTGGACCAAATCCCCTCCTTCTTCTTCCATGGCAAGCAGCTCGCGCTCGCGAGCCTTGCGCTTCTCCTTCTTCTCGCGCTTCTTCTGCTTGGCAACCTCCTTGTCCTCCACATCCGCCTGCCGCGTGCGCTCCGTTTCCTCCGCCAGGAACCGAGCTTGCTGCTCCTTAGCGTCACCCTTGGCCTTGAATTGCTCTTCGTCCTCCATCTCGTAGATCTCATGAGCATTGCCCTCATCGTCGTAGACCAGCTTCGTACCCTTGCCCTTGAATTTGAGGAGCTTCTTCTTCGACTTGAGCAGCTTCTCGCGGCGCTTGGAATCGATGACCAGTGCTTCCTTGCCATCGAGTTGTACCACCTTCGTCTTCTTTGACCCATCCTTCTTGCCCTCGTCCTCATCCTCCGAGCTAGATCCTCCAACATCAAGGTCCTTGTCTCCTGCCTCATAGCGACGCTTGACGGAGAGGAAGTCGTCGTCTTCATCCGCATCCTCTGTGGCCTGAATCGACTCGACCATCGTGCCGTCGTCATTGATAAGCTTGTGGTAGTGGTCGGCCAACACATCCTGGTTCCGCCGCTCAAACATGCGGTCATACTTCGTCCGCACCTGTGGCTCTTCCTTCTTCGCCTTCTTCTCGCCGCCTTCCTCGTCAGACTCGTCATCGCTGGAAGCGTGCGCCGTAGCCCGCGACGCGTTCTTCCGCTCCTTGGTATCATCACCCTTGATAAACTTGATGCGGGGCGCACCCGGAAGACCCAGACTGGCCGCAAAGTCGTCCAGCTTCAGCTCCTTGATGTTGAAAATCTCCTTGTCTTTCTGGACGTACACCGATTTGGCGTAAGAGATGAAGGCTTTCTGGCCGAGATACTTCAACTCGGGATCCTTGAAGCACATGTTCTGTAGCTGATCCTTGACACTCTGCTGCTTGTTGGCTTTGATATTGATCCGCTCAACTTGGACCTTCTTCTGCTCGAGGCGCTTCAGCATACCCTTCTCTTCACTGGGGTCCAGGAATAGCACGGCGCGACCATCACGTTCGTATCTTGCCGTACGACCCACACGGTGGATATAAGTATCGGCATCTTCAGGACAGTCAAGTTGGATAACCCAGTCAACGGCCGGGAAATCCAGACCACGCGCAGCAACATCAGTGGCGAACAAAACGGCGTGTTGAGCCTGTGAGAATTTGGTAGTGATGTCGAGTCTTCCACCCTGCTTCTGTCTACCGTGGAGGTGCATCAGCGGAATACCGGGCTGCATGTGTCGGAAAGATTCGTAGACAAAGCGCACTTGCTTGCCTGATGAAAGGAACACAATGGTCTTGGACTTCAAATTGCTCCGGATAAAACTCCACAAAACATCAAGTTTCTGCGCAAGTGGCGTGACAACGTAGTGTTGCTGCAGCTTAGACGGTGTTGCAGAAGAGGCCGATTCGTGGACAGCCACATACTGAGGATCCTGCAAGCTCAACCGTGCCAGGTCCGACACCTTCTTTGTCTGGGTAGCACTGAAAAGCAACGTCTGGCGCTCTTGCGGGAGATGACCGATGATGGCGTCCACGGTCTTCTGAAAGCCCATATCCAAGATGCGATCGGCCTCGTCCAACACAAGCATCTGCAAGTTGTTGGTTTCGAAGAAAGAGGTCTGATCCAAGTGTTGCAGCATACGACCCGGTGTACACACCAAAATGTTCATCCGTCCCAGCCTATCCTGCTCCTCGCGCAGACTCTTTCCACCAATAACCAGACCCGCGGAGAATGTATGATAGCGACCGATTTTGCGAAGAACTTCGAAGATCTGGATAGCAAGCTCACGGGTGGGCGAGAGAACGAGGGCGCCCAAACCATCGTGCTCCGACCATTGCTTGCGGTATAGGTTCTCCAATATGGGGATCAGGAAGGCCAGCGTCTTGCCGCTTCCTGTCTTTGCGGCACCGAGAATATCCCGACCCTTGAGCGCATGGCTGATCGCACGGGACTGAATATCCGTCAACGTCTTGTAGTGGGACGATGAAAGTCCAGAGGCAGTCGATTCGGACAAGGGTAGATCGGAAAATTGTTTGACGGCTTCTTTGACATCGAGTTCTTCGACCTTCTGCACGAGGGTGGACAAGTCGTCTTGGACACGCTTGCGCTTCAGATTGCCGGCCCGCTGGGGGGCTTTCGAGGGTTTTCCATTGCGGGATCCGTTGATGGGAGCCATGGTGGGCTCGCGAGGGTCAACTTTCCGCGAGATCGACCAAAAACGAAGAGATGCAGATGGATCGGAATAGTCTTGTTGCTGAACAGAAAGCGAATCTGGACAAGGCCGGGCGGTGAAGCAACTTTTTTCTCCTGCGGAGAGTTTAATTTGGCGGGTGCCTGCTTACTCAGCAGAGCGATAAGCGCCGGCTTATCGTCCGCCCGTTGGCCATCGGCACGCATGCGACAGTCCAGACCCCGTGGCTTCCTTCATTCACAACGCTCTCCCACACACCATGGCTTCCGAAGAGCAAGATGCACTAGATGCGCTTGAGAGAGAAGCATCGGACTTTGTCAAGGTACGCCGTCTTGATTTCGCACTGCAACAATTGCCCCCAGACTCACCTATGATAGGATGCAGAAATTGACCGTATTCGAAAAGCGTTCACCTTAGACGCGTGAGTTATAGCTCTGCCATACTCCGCTTGTTTTCCCTATGTATGTACTGTAGGAGCTAACAGTGAATTCTTCCCCAACCAGGTACGCTGTCCTCGATCTACAGCCGGGTGTCACGGAATCAGACATCAAAGTTCAGTACCGCAAAAAATCCCTCCTCATCCACCCGGACAAGACCAAAAACCCTGCGGCCCCCGATGCCTTTGACCGCCTTAAGAAAGCACACACGGCGCTCATGGATGAAAAATCCCGTACATATCTAGATGAGTGCATTGCTGATGCACGACGACTTCTAATTCGCGAACACAAGTACACGTTAGACTCGCCGGAGCTGACGACGGAGGACTTCAAGAAGGAATGGCGCCAAAAGACCGTTCAGGTGCTCCTGGAAGAAGAGGCGCGACGACGGAGACAGGCCAAGGCCAAGCTCCAGGAAGAAGGACGAGAGAGACGCAAGGAAGAAGAAGAGCTAGAGGCGCGCAAACGGAAACGGGACCAGGACAAAGCTTGGGAAGATAGTCGTGAGGAGCGGATTGGCAGCTGGCGGGATTGGCAGAAAGGTGTCAAGAAGGAAGGTGACAAGAAGAAAAAAAAGAAGATGAAGGTTTTGGGATGATAAGAGGATCAGTTGGCCTGCATGACTCGCACTGATTGTTCTGCAGGCCAGTCTGGTCAACCGGCGTTGTGCGGATCTACTTGGAGCTGTTATACTGTGGTCATTATATTGTCATCATCATCGCTATTGGTGTTCTAGTGCTTGTAGGTAGTCATTAGCGGCGTTGTCTCCTATAATAGTATGAACGACACTTATCCTGGTTGATGCCAATAAGATGTTGTCACACCCCCACCGAGTTGACCCTGGTCCTGGCGCGTAACCTGGTGACCTGGATCATGAGGGCCAGATTGTTCCTGCTGGTGGTCGGGATGGAAATCATATCAGACGCGATAAGAAAGCGGTCAGGCGGGATGCGGGGCAGAAAGAACATTCCAGTCAGCAGCAGCCATCAAGCCAGCCGGGCTCCTTTTTATCTCCCCTCCAGCTCAGCTCTCTTCTGCTGCTGCTCTCCGCAATCATCCGTGTTTGTGCTTGATTGATTCTATATTCGTCTTCTTCTTTATTACTACATTTATGTCCGTTGTTTCACTCCTCTTCCAAGACAACTACATACACAGTATACACCCCGAGTTCTTGAACCCGGGATAGATTGCATTCGGATATCACCGAGATAAACCACCGGATTACATCCACATCCACATCCACAGTACACAGTCATCCCTCCACCTGTCTACTAACCATCTCCACCACCCACCCACTCACCCCTCCCTCGCTCCTCAACCACCTACACCACTCCCACCACACAACCCATACAAAGACAGCGATGACCGACTCAATACTCTCCTCCCCCAATGGAGCCACCGTCGCCGCAACAATCACGACATCCCCCACCTCCAACCACCACCCCACCATAACATCGTCCGCAACCCCGAACTCGTCAGACCAATTCCCCTCATCCACCACAGCCTCCCTATCCACAATCATCGCCGACTGCCACCACAAAGTCCACAATTTCCTCGCGGAATCTCACCCTCCTGACTCCCTCCTCTCTGCCGTGCAAGCCCAAACCCGCATCTCCCTCGACGTCGTCTCCGCCGCCCTCCACCGCTACCCCCTCTCCGAACTCGCCCTCTCCTACAATGGCGGAAAGGACTGTCTCGTCCTCCTCGTCCTCTTCCTCGCCGGTCTGCACCCCCACCCGGCCCCCGAACACGGCGACCTGACCTCCATCCCGGCCATCTACGCCCTGCCCCCAGACCCCTTCCTCGACGTCGAGGAATTCGTCCAATGGTCCTCTCGCGCATACCATCTCAACGTGCTGAAGTATACGACGGACCCGCCCCGGACAACAATCAAATCCACCTTTGAAGACTATCTGTTTGTCAATCCAGGGGTGAAGGCCATCTTTGTCGGGACGCGCCGCACCGATCCCCACGGTACCAAGTTGACGCACTTCGATCGCACCGATAGTGGCTGGCCGGATTTCGTGCGCGTGCATCCCGTCATTGATTGGCATTATGCTGAGATTTGGGCTTTCATCCGTCATCTGGGTCTGAGGTATTGCTCCCTCTATGATCGGGGATATACCAGCCTGGGCGGGACCGCCGATACGCACCCCAACCCTAAGCTGCGGGTGGAAAGCACTGGCCAGGAGGCGCCCGTGCAGCAGTATAAGCCCGCTTACGAACTGACCGAGGATCTGGAGGAGCGACTGGGCCGCAATTGATCCTCGCTGTCAGTATAACCCACCGTCCAGGTCATGATGCCCGATTCCGGGTCAATGCTTCGTATATAGAACCTTTGGGGCACGACCCATGTATTCTCCTCTTCATATACTTTCTGTCATGAGCGGCCCTCCCCCTTTTGTCTTGTTTCTTACTCCGGTTCTCATACTATAGACACATACACTAGCTGCATGGCTTCAACTCCGGGCAGAATGACGTTGGGTGATACCTTGGACCGCAGTTGCATAACAACTATCATTAACAACCTGTAGACTGCGCTGATGACTTGCTGGGAAGAAATACAAATGCGCGGCTAGACAAATGCAGAGATACCACCCGTGCCTCCCGAATCTGCAAAACTCCCCTCGCCATAACTCCTCGGAGCCAGGATCCGGCTGTAACAGATACATACTCTTATATCAGCATCATTCTGTTTAACATAGAACCACTGGTGTCGTCAAGAAATCAAGAACAGATAATCCCCATACAACAGTCAAAAGCTCAAGAATCCCAGCACAAAACTTTTAAAAGGGGCAAAACAAGGTCACAAGAAAACCATATGTGAGAAATCCATACACCCATGTAAACCATGTAGACTTTAACGTATTGCCAGACATCCTTGCTGTCATGGCAGGATGTCTCATGAAAAGAAGAAGGAGCAAAAAGGCGACCCATACAAATCCTAAGGATCGCTCCTGAGAGCATCAACTCTTGGTGCTTGTTGGATGACGCGAGAACAAGAAAGGATACAAGGAAAAGCAGGAAGACTTGGTACATCAGAGGAAGGCGGCACTGCACTTCAAGTGTCACGTCTCAGATGACCGACCGGGGCGAAGTCACAATGACCTCCTTGCGAGAGGAGATCGGCGACATGGATCCTGCCTTGATCTCCTTCCGAGGACTGGATCGTTCGGAGCGAGTTTCAATGCAGGGGGTGGTGGGAAAAGCAGCTTTGGAAGAAGAGCCGGAGGTATCTTCAGCCCAAACTCCACGTCGTCCACGGTACAGGGGAGTGTTTTCCAGTCCTCCTGCTCCGTTCCTGGAAGACCACGAGTTGTACCTCATGTTGCTGGCCTGGTTCTTCGCCAGGGGAAACCTGCTTGTCTTGTCAGTTTGGCCCTAGTGCATAAAAATTACTCTGTACATACGATGGGGAGATGGATGTCGCCGGAGTCCAAGCTGCTCCCACTCCAACAGGAGAAACATAGCTAGCCTGCGAGTTGGGGCTGAGATGAGATGCAGTCTGCTGAAGACGGTTAATAGAGGGCGATGGAGTGGAACCCTGGACTACCTCGACCGAATAGTTGTATTCGCCCGCACGATAAGCGCGACGCTCGTTGCTTTGCTGCTTGAGAAGTTTCTGGGCTTTAGTATCTGCGAAGCGAAGGAGCAACTTCACGCCATCTTTGGCGACCATATTATGATATTCAGACAGCACATGCTCCGCGATCTCACGGGTTTCAAAGCTGTGTGGGTATCAGTATACTGACTGTACGTAGGTTTTGAACAGAAGATACCTACCGTGCAAATCCAACCTCTTTGCTCACTCCAGTCTTTTCGTCGCGGCTGATCTTCTCGGATATTACACGGTACGGCTCAAAGTGATGACGGAGATCCTGCCCGAGGATCATCGGTTAGACTTGCATCTCATTGGTATGTCTGCTTGCTTACAGCCTCTGTCCATTCGATTGGAATGTTGGTGCAATAAATGTTGGTGGATGTCTTGTCTTCGAGATCTTTGAGACGGGAGTTGCGGGATTTCTGAATCCTGTCAATCTCTATAATTCGTAGATAGGCAACAACCGATATCTTATACCTGGGCGAAGCTAGCTTGATAGCCAAGATAGAAGAACCCCCGAATGCAGTTTTCGCAGGATTCGAAATTGTAGTACTGAACAAACCCAAACCTATTAGTGCGGTTAGTCGGAGGCGTCAATAGTAAGGGAAGATAAACGGAGGGACTGTGTTTACCCTTTGCAAAGGCCCGTGTCCAAGTCCACAATTGCTTTGCATCTATCGATCTTTCCGAAGCGGGAGGCATAGGCGTGCAGCATCTCATCTGTAGTCTCTGGAAGGAAGCCCCGAATGTAGACATTGGTGATGCCCTCTCGGTTCTCAAGACATTTGGCAAGCGTCAGTTCAGAAGGATTAGTCCACATGGCAGGCACGGCCCGTGGGATTGGTGGATCTTGTTGAGTCAAGCTTTCCAGGTCCTGCAGAATATATCCAGTGGGCGTCTTCATCATCTGGAAAGGTAGACATGCTGGTCCTGGCTGGGGATAGCCATTGAAGCCATAGTTGGGCAGTGCAGGGGCCTCCATGTTCGGGGTCGGACCATGATAGAAGTCCCCGGCGGGGTTTGGAACCACCGGGCATGGAGAGGCCAGGCCTGGATAGATGCCAGTCGCGGGTAGATACGGGTTCTGATCGTAAGGAAGACCGCCGAAGATGGTTCCGTTGGGCAGAAGAACAAGCTGGTTGTAAGGAGGCACAGCTACCGGCATGTTGCTCTTGATACCATTGTACTTGGCTCCTGGACGCTGACCCTGGATGTTCAGGCCCCCAAACAGGGTGGACAGACCACGAGTATCAGGAGCCTGGCCGGAATCAGAGACAGCAGTGTGCATAGCGCCGGACCTAAATAAATCAAGCTCTGTAGCAGTTGTTAGTCTCACCGGTCTGGAGGGAAGAACGCCATGAGAAGCACGCGTCAGGACAACAAATGGAAATGAGTTGTGATTGAGGGGAACGATTCCAAACAGTAGACAAACAACACGGCACTCACTTGGACTAGTAGGACGGTCGGGTGAATTTGGGGAATTGGGATCTATAGTAACCATCAGCAGGAAACTCCATCCCGGGTCTTCACCAGACGGGCATACACGATAATAGAGCGACTAGGGAAGACGGCAGTAGTAGTTGACCAGCACGCAACGAATGACTGGAAGACGATGAAGATGTGAGAGCTGGAGATAGTCTTGCTGGAGGAAGCGGAGCCGGAAGAGAAGACGGCATAAATAGAAGGTTGTTGTTGTTCGTAGCAACTGCCTTCCTGGCCGAGGCCGTCGGGGGCGCGCCACTCGGGGCAGGTGCTGAGAGGGTGCCTCTTGCCTTGCTCCAACCCCCGTGGCCAGGACCGTTGCCTTCTGCCATTCTGCTCCTGATGGCCGATATTGCCACTCGGTGCGATACTTTTCGGGACATTTGTGTAGTAGTTGCAGGTGTGAGTGCTAAGGAAGCGGAGAGAGATTCTATCTAGGATGGTGTATCTACACGCGTGAGAGGCTGCTTACAGGCTATATATACTCAGCGTGCCTTTGTGTGAGGGAGGGCTCCGCAAGGCGACAGCTTTTCATTCGTGATCACTTGGAAGCGGAGACACGCCGAGACACACGGGTCTACCAGTGCTGGAGGTTGGTGTTGTTGTAGTGCTGGTGGTGAGCCTTCCACCGGGCCTGTGCCTCTGTGCTCGTCTAGTAGTAGTAGTAGTAGTAGTTGTGTTGTTGTTGTTGCTGGAAGGTATGATGGATATAGTGCGTGTCCCGACCTTGTCTTACCATCACTGATCATTATTGCTATCCAATTTCTTAGCTGCTACACTTAGTGTAGTCTTCGCAAGGCTTCTATCATGACCTTGACGTCGTCAACATTCATCATACCCACCGAGTTCACGATTTCCTCCTGCACACTTGGCTCGCAAGTCAAAAACCGCTCGATAAGCTCTCCATCCACAAAGCGATACGGTTCTTTGGCTTCCCGCACCATACTGCGGAACCCACGGAATTCATTGAACGGCATGTTCCCCAGCGACTCGACCTTGCCCGCCATGGTCGCCTGTAGACGCATTAAGAAATCCTGGTGCTCTGGGTTGATGATGGCAAAGAGATAGATGGAACCTTCGACCTATTGGAGTGGAAGACATTGCGTTAGTCAGAGAACCCAAGCGCGGAAGGGTTGGGAGCGATTGAAGTGCATACCGTGCCTAGAAAAGCCCTCGGGGTGACCGTCACACTGGCCAACTGTTGGATGTTGACCGGTCGGATGCGGTTGACCATTTCCCCCAGCGAGATCTCGCCCGTTACCTCTAGCCGGCGCTTGTCGTCTTCCTCCACGCCGGTCAGGTTGCGTCGGAGAACGATCAGGTTACCTTCGGCGTCGCTTTCCAGGAATGTGTCCTTGGCAATGCAGGCGACGCCCGTGGCCCAAACGGTCTGGAAGTGACGAGCCACCTCTATCAAGGCATCATTGGTTCCATTCTCGCCTTCCTTGTACTCCACCAGGCAGACACTCTTCATCAGATCGGCGACGGCGATCACGTTATCTGTCACGGTCACGTCGACAGGGGCAGTCGAGGTCCGATAGCTGGCCAGTTTCTCCAGTTTCATCGCTCCGAAGTCATTGTTCACCACCTTGTATATCACGACCTGCACTATATGAGCAACCCGGAAGTGGTACGAAATAAAGGCCAGGCACTTACCGTCTTAACAAGAGCGGCCACAATTTTCTCTCCCAGCATCGCCAAGGCGCGACATGCCCCTTTGACGGGCAGTTCAGCGACCTTGGTTAGTTTCCGACCATTGTCAATTTCGAAGACCAGGATCCGACCTCGGATTGACTCCTCGCCCTCCTCATCCAGGTATGCTGTTCCCACGACGAATCGATCTTTGGATATCTCTCGTCCGTTTTCGTCCTTTCCGCCAGAAAATTCGGCGCGAATGACACTCTCAACCAACTCCTCCGGTCGCAGGTCGAAGGCGTCAAGGCGACGGAACAGGATCTCATCAGCCAGCACAAATCGGCTCTGGACCAGCTCTGCTCCGTCCTCTAATTTGCGCTCTATGGTACCGATACCGAAAGCCTTTTCGGAAGGCGAATACGCAACTCTACGGGCAGTTGCACCTATCGGAAGTGTCTGGATCTGAGTGGTTCTCTCCTTGTCCACTAGAGCGATCTTCAAATCATGACTCGTCGCCACAGCAATCGATCCAGGGTATGCTTCTGAGTTGAAATGGCATACCCGAGAGGCGCCCTCCGAATTGACCGCGGAGTAAATGATACGACCCTCCGAGCCGTATATTAAGCTGGGGTTCTCACATGTCGCGAATACATTATATAGGCCATCACCTCTGGGCAACTTCTTGAAAGTGGGCTGCTCCGAACCGAGAATTAGCCTGTTCATTCCCGTCAAGGAGTAGTCTGTCGGATCAAAGGAGTAGGTGATGACACTGCCATCTGCCATCGAGATAAAGAGCGTGGATGGGCTATTCGCAAGAACATCGGCAACAAGCACAGATCGCGGGAAAGCCTCGCCAGCCGGGCCAACCGATGTTGTATGGAGCTCCGACAGACTTCGGAGGTCCAATACCGAGACCTTGGCCGATTGTGGAAAGCCAACAATACAGACTCCGGCTGAAGACAAGGGGACCGTGACACCAGAGACCTGGCTATCCGCGCCAAAGTCCTTCTGAGTCACGACCTGGACATCATTGTTGATATCGAGAACCGTCATAAGTTGACCGCCGTTAACAAGTACGATCGAATCATTATTCGCAGAGGCGGCCGTGATAACCAGCTGATTCGGGGGGGTCCATTCATTGGTGACCATGCCCCCTTCAATATCTGCGATGAGCACTCGCCGTTCCGTGACTTGCAATATCCTCCCACCGGGTAGGTTCGTAGCAAGGAGGGTGTTCTCCGAGAGGCTGAGTCCGAGGAAGTTGTCCAACTCTTCAACTTCGCCATCGAAACTGAAATGGAAAACTCGCGTCTCGTCGACAAAGGTAACGAGGAGTGTATCTAAGTACCCACCCTTGGTCGCAATCTGCAGCCCGAACAGGTCAGTGATGAGCTCCATCTCCCCGAGTACACCGAGCTCTTCCATGCCGACACCACTGCGTACACTCCTGAGCGTCCCGTCATCAAAGGCACCTGAGCCGGTGACGATGCGAGCCTGGCCCGATGAAAACTCGTGTGTCTGGCTCTCGCTGATACGGTTCCCGAGATCCATAATGGTGAAATCAAGAATGGGCGCAATATTCGACAGTGTCTGAACCACTTCCAACGAGCCGTTACCGATTCGGAGAACCTGCGAATCTCCCTGGTGAGAGCCTACGAAGATGACTCCGCCCCCGAGGTATATCAGCACCGAAGCTCTAGCCGTGTTCCCTAAGTGATCTAGTTTCCAGGATTGAACTTGGCCGTTTGAATCCAGAACTAGCATCAGGAAAAATAGTCTTCCATAATCATCAGCTAGAAGCCATCTCTGACTATCTACCTGCTCCCAAGCCACGAATATCGTGGCTTCATCCAGAGGACGCGATACAATCTCGTTACTATCCGTGTCGACATACTTGATAGAGGTCTCGCCCAGAACAAGAAGACCACCTAACCCAGTCAGCTTTGAGCAAACACGCAATCATTGAGGTCAAATAACAAACCTAACGGAGCGGGAACTGGTATGAGATGTGACGCGCCCAGGTCCAGTTCCTGTGAAAAACCATCCAGCGACTCCTCGAACGCGGCATCTGCCCCGGTACTTGATGTAGCCGCACTGTAGTGCAGAGCCCTAACCTTGAGCCTCACTTTCTTCTGGTTGTCCTCGTATAGCAACGCCAACCGGGGCGGCCCCGACTGGACGTGCAAAAACGCCGACGAGCGCACAAACAGCTCATCGATTCTCGCCGTTGTCGGTTCCCCCAACTCGCCTACCCGGGGCGCATCAGGACCCGAAGGCGGAGCAACCTGTCTCCCTCTTTTCTTACTGGGCAACTGCACAATCGGCACCACGGCAATCACCCCTTCATAAACTTCCAATGTCATAAACCTCCCACTCGGATCAATCAAACAACGATTCCCTGTCTGGGCCTCCCGCGACGAAGGGTCGGAAATATCGACATAATCCCTCTCCGTCCGGACCTGATTCCTCGCGCTATCCCACGACAATGTACAATACGTATAATGATCGGTTCCGACAAACAAATGATCCGTAGGCGAATTCGCGGGCGCAGGAAGTCGAGCTAACATGGTCACTTTCGCAAACAGGGAGCACGACGCAGCCAGGCTGAGTCCTTCAGGCGTGAGCGAATATATCTCGAGGCGGTTTGCTTTCCTATCACCATCATCCCGCAACAATCAATTAGCTCACTCAATCCTCAATCAAACAACCCAACCCATCACCGATAAACCAGAGAGAAAAACGGGACAGAAAGAAAGGACCACCAACGCAACAACCAAAGCCTCCGCTTCCGCATTGAAAAACCGCAACTTGAGCGCATCCCGAATGCTACTCGCCCGATGAATCGGCACCACGTAAGCCATTTTCGACACCCAGACACAAATCCACTCAATCAACCGTTCTGTTCCGAATAATTCTCCTTCAAACCCTCATCCACCATGCACCAAGAACCATGCGTAGGCGGTCGGCGGCGTAGCGTTCAACCTTTTCTCCCACTGCGGGGAATAACCGACGTCAACAACAATCCGTACCGGCGTGTATTGGTACCAGGTTGTTACTTCTGTTTATCTTCCACTTCAAAGATATATATGAGATCGCTGCATCTCTCCTTTGCTTTTTCGTGGGCTCCGCGGAATCAGGGTGGTGTGGTGTGGTGTGGTGTGGTGTGGTGTGGAGTGGAGGAGGGGAAGAGATGAATGGGATGGGGATGGATGGATGGATGCGGAGCTTGGCTGGCACAGCGTAAGATTAAGATTGATTACCTTTACCTACTGATACCGGGATGACGCTGGTCGCCGGTTTGGGTGGATTGCTTAACTCCGGGTTATTGCCGAGCATGGCGGGCTAACTACGGAATAATAATACTTATCAGGGATCTTGCTTCGCTCGTCAGGGATTTTTGTTTAGTTGTGTTGTGCTGGATATTTTATTAGTTAGTACTTTAGTGGATCAGTTGTGATTAAAATATTTCAGAAATTCGGTGCTACTATGCTCGGTATTCATGCCGGACGGTGAATGGCCTCGATATCCAATGATCGCTGACTCAGGGATATCTGAACGACAGATATCAGACTACCTACATTATGAAGGAGCAAAACTATCAATGAAATATATATATCTATCCAATTTGTAATATAATTAAACTGCTTGTCTTCTTTGTTCTCTGGGCTCAAGTAACCAGATATCATTATGCCCATACGACATTTTTCGCAACAATCATGATCGTCTATCCTGTTCTTTCAACACTAGCTGCCACGCTTAGTCTAAAATACCACTTGAATGCGTGGCTGACCATGCGGGGCACAAAAAAACAACACTAGGCATACATGAACCACGCCAAGCAAAACAGATGAATAGACAAAATCGGCCGAGTATATATGCAGAGATCATCTAAGCGTGAAATGGGGTGGAACGAAAAGTCGTGGCGAGAGAAAAATAGGAAAAATCAGCGCAGCGAGAAATCATGACCACACGTCTTCCTGGTAGCTGCCACTGCTACGCATGTGCTTGACCATTTCTTCTCCCTTCTCGGCGGGAAGACCACGCTGCGCAGCAATGATCTGGCCAAGAACAAGGTTGACCTCACGAGCCATGTTTGCGGCATCACCACACACGTAGAAGGTTGCCTTCTGCTTCAGAAGATCGCTGACAAGCTCGGAGTTCTCACGCAGTCTGTGCTGAACGTAAACCTTCTGAGACGTCTCACGCGAAAAGGCGGTGATAATCTTCAGGGAGTCTCCAAGCTGTTCCTGATAAGCCTGCGGGTTGAACACGATATGTTAGTTTCCAAGGCTCAATGAATTTCATCGATTGAGAGCGGATAACTCACCTTCCATTCGTCCTGGTACATGAAATCCTCATCACTCTTGCGGCAACCAAAGAAGAGAACAGTAGGTCCAACTTTCTCGCCCTTTGCGGCCAAAGCAGCGCGCTCCTGGATGAAACCACGGAAAGGAGCAACACCAGTACCGGGTCCAACCATGATGATGGGCCGCGACGGGTCAGAGGGCAGCTTGAAATTCGAGTGGCGAACATGCACAGGGACGTGGATTCCATCATACTTATTCCGGGGGCCAGTGATGGAGTAAGTTAATCCGTGGGGGTCGGGGGAGGGATCGCCGTTCTGCTTCTGCTTGAGCGCGAGAAGATAGTTCGTGGTCACACCTTTCACAACGTGAGAAGCACCAGGCAGGCGAACAGATTCCACAACGGCCGTGATGCTAATCTTGTCCTTCTGAACAAGGGAAGAGGAGGAGATCGAGTAGTAGCGCGGCTGCAACTTGGTGATGCCTTCGATGAGCAGAGAAAACGGGACGGCAGAGAAAGGCTTGGACGTGATGCTCTGGAGAGCCTGTGCAATGTTGTAACACTGGTTGGTGACCTTCTCGTGGAAATAGTCCTTATCGCTACCGAGACGCACAATTTCTGCCTTGCTCTCCTCATCCGGAGCGAAAGCGGCCAAAGTGGCGACGAACTGACGGGACACAGGGGCGCAGGCTTCCATATAGTACCGCACAGCGGCATCGTAAGTGGTAGGAGTGGGGATTGGGACCTTGGCCGTAACATCAATGCCCTTGATGTTGATGACCGAATGACGCTTGTCCTCGAGACCGAAGACCTGAAGGAATCGGTCCACCTCCGCACCAGCGTTAGTGGGCCAAACAGCGATGTGGTCACCGGTCTGGTAGGACAAGTTACTTCCGGCGATACTGATTTCCATGTGGAGACAATTGCGGTCCTTGACATTGAAAAGCTCCCGAGACTCGACGATGGGTGCAACGAAGGGGTTATGCGCAGAGTAAGGACCTTTGGAGCTACCTTGAAGGTGGCTTTGGGTTGGCTCTCCAAGATAGACCGTCTCGTCCTCGGCGCTCAGCGACTCGTTTTCGGTGACAGAGAAGACAGGTTCGTAGACAGCCTCGCGCTCCTGCAGACCCATCGCGTCAGACAGTGCCGCCCACATGGGCTCCTTCCAAGCCAAGAAATCCTCTTCCATAGTACCGGCGCCATCATCACCCTCGCCGGCAGACCCAATACGCTGCGCACCGAGCTTCTGAAAAGCAGTATCCACTTGACGAACCATAGCGTTGTAGTGCTCATAGGTGTTGTTGCCCAGACCGAAAGTGACATATTTCAGGGATGAGAGAGGCTTATCGTCCGCGGAAGCGCCGCTCTCAAAGGCGACGTCTTCACCGGTGAAGAACTGGTAAAACTCAACAGCATTGTCCGTAGGCTCGCCCTCTCCGTAGGTGGCCAACACAAAGAACGCAACCTTGTCCTCGGGGAAGGTGTCCAAGTTTTCGTAGTCGTACTCTTCGAGGTCAGCCACCATGGTCTTCAGGCCGAATCTCTGAGATCCTTCCTTCGCCAATCTGGAAGCATAGTCCTCTGCAGTTCCCGTTTGCGATCCGTAAAAAATAACACAGTTTTTGCCCGTTTCTTCCATTTTCTCGATGATATTCCGGGTCTTGCCGGCCTTGGCAGCGCCGTTCATCGCCGGGCCGGAGGAGGCATAAGGATCTTTGGCAACGGCCCAGTAAGTACCTTTGGTGAAGTAGGCAACACTACCCACCAAAAGCGCCACCAGGACCACCAGATCGAGAGTGTCGAGTTGCGCCATGGTGAGGCGATTCAGCGGCGCGAGAGCAAAGGCCCCGGTTCGTTGGTATCGCGAGGCCTAACAAAGAGCGGAGATTGAATAGAGGGGAAGGGGCGGGAAGGGGCGGGAAAGGGAGAGGTGAACGAAGAATGCTACACCCCCTACGCTTGACCTGTCCCAGGTGCGATCACCGGAGCCGAGGCAAGAACCGAGATAAGGTGGCGGCGTCCCCAAGCCAAAGGTAAGAAGGGAACGAAAGAAAGAACAGAGGAAGGAATGGAAAACGAAAGAAGAGTAAGGGAAGAGGAGGAGGAGGAGAAGGAACAGGTAGAGAATAAGAAAGCTGTGGTGTGATCCAGGAAGAAAGAGAGACCGAACCCACTGCTAAGCAGACCGCATAATTTGGGGCCGGGAACCGGACAGGAGGCAGTCAGCAGTCAGTGTCCTTCTCCGTGCGTACGGAGGAGACGATCAACAACGACGATGGCTGAGGCCAGGCTAATGGTAAGCCTGAGGCGATGGTGGCCTTTTCGGATCTCGGAGAGGGCCTGACCCAAGAATCCGTGACCGTACCTTCTCTCCTGGGTATGGCGCCGGGATGCGCGTCTTGCAATCCGCACCTGCCACGCCGATTTGTCGGGGTCGCCGGGCTTGCAGATAAGGTCCCGAGTAAATAGGCAAATGGGCAAAGTCCTTAAAGAACACGGTAGTAGTAGTAGTACTCCTTGCACGGGGTACTTCTGATGAAGTAAATGCGTAAGTACTAGGTGATAGGCACTAGACCGGCGGTGGAAGGTCCCCAGGTAGATATCGAACGCAATGATTGATTCCACAGGAAATAACGTGTATTGCGCAATAGTAATAGTGCAACTTAATCTGAGGTTAAAAATTGGGTAGGATCATTTCTCTACTACTCTAGTAATATCTAGATATATATCATTGCCCCCCTCGAGGTGGGGAACCCCATAGGCCGACACTTGACCGAGATGGCGTTTGGCTCGGAAGGGGACTTCGGCCCTGGCCTCAATGGCCTGGCTGGAGAGTCCGTCAGCACGAGCAGTGGCGGCGGAGTCCCTCAGGCGAAACCGCGCAAAAACCACACCTGCCCCAAGTTTCATCTGGGCGATCTTCCGAACACGCTGCCGAGTCCCTCTGCTAACCGAGTTCCGCCTTTCGAATCCTGGACACCCTTCTCCTAGTAGGCAGTTGAAGCATCGTGCCATCTCCCGAGACCCGTTCAGATGGCAACCCCGTGGAGGTGGCAAATCCGGAGTCCGGAATACTGTGCCTTTGCAAATCCCTTTCCTGTTTCATTCCAAATGGGGGTTGAATGAGTTCAGGTACAAAACTCACGTAGGCCATCCATGCATATCCGATCCTATGACTTCGTATGTGTATGTCGTCAGCCAGTTTTACTATCTTCTCCGAATTTCCGAAGTCCCCGTCTGTGGCGCCTCTTCTATCACCGTACGTATCAATCTCGCAGAATGGCTGGCCATGGTTGCAGGTCGTGTACAGAGTACAGACAAGTTTTGCGGGGCTGTTTTCCGCTGTTGGTACTTACAACTGTATCATTTCCGCACTTCATGCAGTGCCACTAGATACCTAGATATATGTACACAACAACTAATACCTTCGCGGATTTATTCCGCACAATATGAACAATGTGATCATATCATGGGCTTATATTATAGTAAGTCTTGCCACTACAGTCGCGTAGAGTGCAGAGTCAGAGTACAATACAACCTCTGGGAAGCTTCTCTTGGTCTGCATGGAGTAGGTAGATAGAGGGTCATCCAGTCTGAGACGGACCGGATCTTGTGACTATCTACTCCGTATCAGATGGTTGTGCGGAGTAGGCTACTGATTCACCGCGTATCTGCAACTCATATACGATCTTTCTACCTCCTATACTCCATTGTAATTGTGGTCATACTAAGTAATGTAAGCAAGAGCTTCGTGGATTACTCGCTCGTTTTGATCGCTTTGAAGACCTCGATTTGGGGTGCGTGAGCCAAGCCAGACATCCCCACCCGTGTTCTACCTAGCGTGGGACCCCCGGTGACAAGAGATTGAGCCTAGGAGTAAAGTGGTCATCGTAGGGTCATCTGTACTGAGTAGCTAGTACTGACATGTGAAATTGTAGCCTTTTTTACGATGTACATAGTACAGTCTTGCATATCTCATCTACCTAGTGTGATGTTTTCTTTACCTGTTCGTGACATTTGTGCCGATCTTTCTGCATTAATCGTCGGCGATTAAGAGTTAGTGATATAAACCTGGTAGTAATTTAGAGAGCGGCAGCTTGAGGTAATCCTGCATATGGTGCACCCCATTCAACAGGGTACCGCTCGAGCCACTGATCGAATAGCTCGTAGGGTACTCCGTAAACCTCGCCGGCATCATAATTCGACCATGTATGTGAGAAATGTTGGCACTTGGTAAAGCTGATGGTCTCAAGGCTTGAGGGGCGTAGCAAGCATTGGCGTAAGAATGCATGTTACCCAAGGTCGATGAGTACAAACGGTAGGTCGTGTCTCCTTTTCCTCATTGCCGCACCTCCAACTCGGAGCAAGGTTTCGGCGTGTTCCTTATCTAGAGATAAGATTGGCTGGGGAAGAGTATCGTCAATGTGACCATACTGAGACATGGGCGGTCTTGTCAGGCCCAGAGCGGAGAGTCTGAGGAGAAGAACCTCTATTGCCTCTAATAACAGTGCGAAGAGTGTAATAATGAAAATGGCTACGCTTATAGTTTGGATTTGCTGACTTTTTTCCTGAATGTGTTCTCTCGGGGCCGGTATGTTCCCCGTGCTCAGAGCCTCTCCGGTCGCGAGCAAAGGCTGGAGCTGCTCCAGCAACAAAGCTCAAGTAACGGAAACTCATACTCAAACAACCCACCCTATCCATCGATCTCACCTCCATCTTATGCGCGGAAGATAACCATGCACTGTTTGCAAGTGCACCCAGGTTCTTTCGCTCCAGCTGAAGAGAGCATTAGCAGGCAATGAGCGGCGTTTGACCGGAACGACGTTGGACAGCAGTACGTGACCCTGTCCTTGATCGGTTGATCGGATCTTGCGGTTTTCCATTCTTGTGTTTCAACCCTGCCAATTCTCCCCTCCAATGGATCTTGCTGATGGTAGCTTGTCTCTGACCTGTTGTTTGTGGTAGTGGCCTCCCATCCGTCGATCAAGGCTGGTCCCATTCAGCCAACGCCAATGCCCCTCATCCCTGACGATTCGAGCCCTGTGTCGCACCATAGCTTTTCAACTCCACCAGATCGTCTTGTTACGAGAAGCACCCCATCTTCCACGGTGCACAGTCGGGAAACTTCAACTGTTCGAGGGGGAGCCGATCCATCCGCCTTAGCCCCTTCATCCTCACAACCTCAACACAATCGGCGCGGCAATTCTCACTCCAAGAGCCCCGAACCGAATACTGGGAGGCCTGGGTTTGGGTACGATGTTGGCCTGGAGAGAAGACCATCCAACTCATATGGTCACCATCGAAATACTTCGATCGTCCATGGAATCCAGCACTCCCGAAATCCTAGTTTCGCCGCCTCTACGACCTCTACGAGTCCTCTGAGCCCGGAATTGATTGCTTCGCTCGGCCGTGGCGGTGCTACCGAACAAGAAAGCATGGGGAGCGTACGTATGGACCAGCACGAGTTGCACTCAACCTTTCAGGCCCAAGGACCCAATGGAGCAAGTCACAGCCTGCAGGGCACACTGAGCACTATCGAGGATCGCGATATGGACGACGTCGCCGAGGGAACCCCGGCAAATACAGCCCACAGACGAATAAACTCCAACGGAAAGCCGTGGCAGGAGCGATCTCATAGCCGTTCGCACTCGCGGCATCATTATGGGGCAGAATCGAAGACGGTCGGAGAATACGCTTTGCATCATCTCTTTAATTCTGTAAGTGCACACTCTATCTACAAAACTCGACCGGGCCATTGACAGTAGCGCAAGTTCGTCGGTCAAGCGGACAACAAGATCAATCAGGCTATAATGAAGTTGGGCGAGTCGGACGCGCCAGTCGAAGAGGTATGCGGGCCGGGTGTGGATTCGAACTTTGATCAATTGATCTCTGCTTTGGGCCATATCGCACGGCAGAAACCGAAGCCTTTGATTGATACCATTATGCTTTGGCGGAAAGCAAAGGGCGACGCTGCCACCGTGGCTAAACAGGCAGCTGGTCAGGTACGTCTCGCAATGCCCTCCATCTATTTCATTCCTTCTTCGAGCTGATGGTCATCTTCTTTCTTCTTTCTAGAAGTCTTCCGAGAATGGGCCTTTGATACGCCGTAACACTGAGCCACCCCAGATTATCGCAGAATCGACTACGCAGACTGACTCTCCACCTTCCTCAACTACCCTTTACTCCAGACATGACGATGTTATCTTGACCGAGCGGCGTGCGACAGTGTCCGTCTACCTTGTTTGCAGGGTATTGATTGAGATCTTCAACCAGAGCAGTCTCGCTTCAATTACACTGGACATGGCGGACCGCTTAGAGGATATTGTGTTCGGTCAGCTCAAGACAGTAGATCCTGAACAGATCTCGGCCTCTCCCCTTCGCATGGCAAACTGGAGGATCTATTCCCAAGTTCTAGGGATCATGAGTGAGAACAACTTCACGAGTGTTTCAGCTCGGTTCTTATCGGAGCTTGAGAAGGCCCAGAAGGATGAAACACTCCGTGGACCTTCTAAGGATGGAGACGCCAAAGCCGAACTCCTTATTTTGGGAATGAGGCACATTCGGATTAGGACGCATCCTGACACATGGCCAAGGTCGTGCGATTTCATGCGGTCATTGGCGCGATTGTTCGGTAATGCTCATGGGCAGCGCGTTAAGCAGGCATATTGCTACATATTCGAGAAGTTACTTCTCCCCGTGGCTGCAAGCCCCAACTGTGACTTGACATTGCCCAAGTGGAAGGATTTCTTAGAATTGGTTCAGTCTCGCCTATCACAGATGCTAACGAAACCTCGTCATTGGACTGTGGCATTCCCGCTCCACGTTCTGCTCCTATGCGTGTCAACGAAGGAAAATTTCTCCTCGCAATGGCTCTCCGTGATTCAGTCGCTCCCGCCAAGGTTGAAGGACCGTCCTACGAGAGGCCCGGCACTTCAGGCAATGTGTCGCTTACTATGGACTTATTTCTTCCGCTATTCGGAGTCGCCGACAGCGACACTCCGCAAAGTCGAAGAAGTATCCAGGATAGCTCTTCCGGCAGGAAAAAGAACGTATCTAAGCACAGACTCAGCGGTTGCAGAACCACTGATCCAACTGGTACGGATGATAGGGTTCAAGCATCCCGACGTGTGTTTCCGTAACATTATCTTTTCATTGATTAATTCGGATCTCTTCCTCTCTGGAAAGGAGCTGAAGATCGAACAAATGGAGCCAGAAAAGATGGTGATCGGTATCAGGTCCTTCCTCGCGATCATGACAGACCTCGAGAATTGTGACCAGTTATGCCCTCCATTCCCAACTGGCTCAATTCCTAACCCTTTCACCGACATCTCGTCCTCAACATATCTCCACCGTCCTCAATACCTGGCCGATCCACGATTACCAAATGCTCAAAGGAGTCGCGAAGATGCAGCATCACCTCCTGTCAACACTTCAAGGCTGAGTGACAATGTCAAAGAGTATTATATCCGGTTCTGTGACATTCTTGGAAAAATAACGCTTCTATGCGACAATACTTTTGGAGGACAGGCGGCGCTAGATGAAAAATTTGGCGGCACAACCCCGAAGACTCCGATCTCAGAGGCCTTCAGTTTTGGAAGGCGGGACGACCATCCGAACGCCTTGGATCAGAGACAGGGCTTCTACGATCTGCTTCATGTAGCAGTCCAAGCACTTCCTCGTTGTCTGTCCGACCGCATACCATTCAATTCCCTCATCAATTTGCTTTGTACTGGGACGGCTCACGTTCAGACAAACATAGCGTTCTCATCTGCTGAATCCTTGAAAGCAATTGCACGCCAGTCTCATGCCCAGCAAGTGACTATAGGTTTCGCGAGGTTCATATTTAATTTTGACGCAAGATACTCCACCATGTCAGACGAAGGCATGCTTGGGCCGGGCCACATCGAATCTACATTGAGACTGTACGTCGAATTACTGAGGATCTGGATTGAGGAGATCAAGCAGAAAACAAAGGACGCAGCTGCAGATTCTGGTGAAAAGACTGGCTCTGGAAGCAGAGCCCTGCAACTTGACCTTTCAAGTGTTCTTGCCCAGGTCGAGGAAGTCGAATCACACGGTCTCTTCTTCCTTTGCTCGCAGTCGAGGAGAGTTCGCGCCTTTGCAATCACGGTGCTACGCCTTATTACCGAATTTGATAGCGCCCTTGGCAAAGAGAACACGCGTATCATTCGGATCCTAGAAGCTGATTCGCAACAAATACTGGATGTCAATGATGAACAGTTGACGGTTGCTGAGAGGAGCCGGATCCAGAAAGGCAAGCGAAGAAGCGCCTTTCAAAATACACTGATTGAGCTGTGTAGCAGCGAAGTTTCCTATGACTCCACATTGTGGTCGAAGGTCTTTCCTAACATTATCCGGATTAGCTTTGAGACTTGTCCGTTTGCTGTGACTTTAGGACGTGAGATCGTATGTGCAAGGCTTGTCCTTATGCACAAGACCATCACTTCGCTTGCTGAGAGTCCTCAGCATCCTCAATATGGTCCCATAGACGCTATTCAAGCTCGCTCATATGGCAGAAGCAACACGACCGCCGAGATATTGGTTGAGCAGTGGAAATTGTATCTGGTCATGGCCTGCACCACGTTGAACAGCGTTGGCGCGCAATCCCAGAGTCAGTTGGCAAATGCTCAGCATGCACGGAAAGGGTCGAAAGGCTCCCAGCAGACCCAGGATAAGATCAGCTCCGCGAGGAGCCTATTTGCATTTGTGATTCCTTTGCTATCAGCCGAGCGAGCTTCCATCCGGAACGCTATAGTGGTTGCTCTGGGGTCTATCAACAAGAACCTGTATCGGACTCTACTTGAATCCCTACAATACGCAGTTACGACCTGCAACGAAGAAGCTAAGATTCGAATCGGTACACATTATCGTACTCCGAGCAGCCCGCGGCGCAATCGCAGAACCGACCGGTTGCGGACCGAGGTCACCCATGTGTATAAACTAACATCACACTTTCTCAAAGAGCCTGAAGTATATAACGATGACTGGATCGTCAACAACCTGGTCACCTATGCAAAAGATCTGAGGATATTCTTGAGTGATGCTGAAGTACAAAATGACTGGGAGTTCCAGCGGTTGCGCTTTCATTACTGCGGACTGATGGAGGAGCTCTTCGAGGGCATCAATCGTACCAAGGATCCCTCTCGTTGGATACCTTTCGAGTCACGAAAGTCGGCCTTCTCTCTTATGGAGGACTGGTGCGGGTACTCGCCAAACCAGTCTCAAATCTCGCAGCGTGAGGAGACTATGCGGAGGAACGCCATCTCACAGAACCATGAGTCTGGAGAATTGCGAAATACCGCAGCAGCCATGGAGATAGAGAAGAAGAATCTGCGCGCAGCAGCTCTCAGCGCGATGGCTTCCTTGTGTGTAAGTTTCTTTTCTTTTTTTCTTCTTCTCACAACTTGCGTTAGACTGGGACGACAACTGACTCTTACAGGCTGGGCCAATCAGTATCACAACAGAGAGTGGCTCGGTACTCCAATTCGATGTGGGCCGAATGCTGTCTTGGGTTGATATAATCTTCAATACAATCAGTGACAAGTGGCACGCTATTGGTAGACGAGCCCTTAAGAATCTAATCATCCACAATAAGGAACACTCATACTTGTTGGAGCGGTCAATTGAGATGTGCTATGTCACAGAGCGGCCCAAGGCATTGGAGAGTTACTTCGAAGTGGTAACAGAAGTGTTGATCGAACACACGGATTATCCGCTTGGCTTTTGGAGGATCTTGGGCGCCGTGCTTGTGACCCTTGGCAGCCCCAAACGGGAGATAAGAATGAAGTCTGCGAAGCTGCTTCGGATTTTGGAAGAGAGGCAACAGAAGAGTTCCAGGCTACAGGACTTTGATATCAGCATTTCTGACAAGACAACCGCCGTCTACAAACTGGCTCAGTTCGAGACGTCGAAACGTTTGGCCAAACAACATTCTGATCTGGCTTTCACTCTTTTCTCTGAATTCTCATTGCACTTCAGAAATCTGCGACCGGATAGCCAGCGGAATATGGTGGCTGCCATCCTTCCATGGGTCCAGACAATGGAGCTTCAAGTCGACCCCAACGGGGGACCGACTGCAAAGTCATATATGCTTCTGGCCAACCTCTTCGAAATCACAATTCGGTGTAGTACAATTCTACCGAACGAAGTTCAAGCTCTTTGGCAGGCTCTGGCCACCGGTCCGCATGGCGGCAACGTGCAATTGGTGCTCGATTTCATCATCAGTCTTTGCTTGGAGCGGAAAGAACAGAACTTCGTGGACTACGCCAAACAAGTGGTCGTGTTTCTGGCAGGTACTCCTGCTGGCTCCAAGGTTATTGAGTTCTTTTTATTGCAGGTTGTGCCTAAGCACATGGTGCAGGAGAGGAAAGAAATCACGCCAGCCCCGCCAGATACCAGGGGCCTACCTTATGTCGCAGATCTTGGAACCGTACTCCCAGTCGGTAACAAACAGGCTGGCCTTTCTCTTGGCCAAGTCGCACTCATCTTTCTCGTGGATCTAATGGTTGCACCAGTGACACTTACCATGGAAGATTTGGTGAAGCTACTCCATGTTGTCCTCATCCTCTGGGACCACTATACACTCACCGTACAAGAACAGGCCAGGGAAATGTTGGTCCATCTTATTCACGAGTTGATAGCGGCGAAGATTGAAGACGACGCGCCTATCGAAACACGGCAATCTATTGAAGACTTTGTAGAATCAATCCGCCGGAGCGACCCCAAGGTCGTCTGGGAATACGAAGATACCACTGATAAAGAAGACGAGGAGGATGGTAGCCGCGTCCCGTCGTCGATGGCTTCAGTCACCCGCAAAGTAGTCGATTTCTTCAGCCTTGGATATGAGGGCCTGAATGACCTATGGGCGAAAGAGGCCCTGAATTGGGCGACATCATGCCCGGTTCGGCATCTCGCATGTCGATCGTTTCAAGTGTTTCGTTGCATATCCATGTCCCTGGACTCCAGGATGCTGGCCGATATGCTGGCTCGCCTATCGAATACCATTGCGGATGAAGAGTCGGACTATCGAACATTCTCCATGGAGATCCTTACGACGCTTAAAATCATCATCAGCTCATTGGCACCAACCGATCTGCTCCGATATCCCCAGCTGTTCTGGACTACATGCGCATGCTTGAATACCATCCACGAAACTGAGTTTATTGAGAGTATTGGCATGCTCGAGAAATTCTTGGATCGCATCGACATGAGCGATCCCATGGTGGTGACGGAGCTCATCAAAGGCCAGCCACCAAAGTGGGAGGGGGGCTTCGATGGCCTTCAAGACTTGATCTACAAGGGCTTGAAGTCTTCTGAGTCATTGAATCAAACGTTGGATATCTTACACCGCCTAAGCGGTCTACCCAACAACGAGCTCATTGGCGATGGCAACCGGTTGCTATTTACAATACTAGCGAATGTGCCTCACTTCTTGCATCATTTTGACTCGGAGGTCGATGATCCCAAGACCCTCGCACGTGCCACATTGCTGGCACGCGTTGCCGAAAGCGAAAGATGTCCACGGCTGGCAGCTTCTTTGCTCGGATTTGCAAATGGACAGTATAAAGCGGAGAACGATTTTCTGAGCCATATCATCACCGAGGTCCGGTCCTATTACTTCCCTCGCCATGACGTCCAAAGCCTTATCTTTCTCATGGGCTTATTGACCAATACCACGAACTGGTTCCGTGTCAAGGTCATGAAAATCCTCTGTGTGTTATTGCCCGATATGGACATGCGTCGGGGCGAAGTGACGTGTCATGGTCCTGATCTGATTTCTCCTCTTCTGCGACTGTTACAAACGGATCTGTGCCCTCAGGCTCTGCAGGTGATGGACCACATAATGACTGTCTCGGCCAATCCGATGGAGAGACACCATATCCGGATGAGCATGGCTTCGGCTTCATCGTCTCGGGCCATCCGGAAAGAGTACGAACGTGTCCAGAGTCTGTATGGCATACCGGAACCGACGGGATGGTCGATTCCGATGCCTGCGACTCAATCGAGTATCACGCGACACAATGTCCATGCGGTGTTTTACACTTGTGCTGAAGTCGACAGCATGGAGGCGCAGGAGACCGCCCCTACTGACGTGGAATTCCATGCAGACGAATACAATGACACGTTCTTCCCCATGCGGGCGGACACGATGAAATCCATTGATACGCAGACCGATGGCAACATGGGGGACATTGTCCAGAAGCTGGACAGTTTGGACGACTTTTTCGAGGAAACCGACCCGGTCCATCCCACGCTTGATCCCGATGCCACGCTGCGCGGTTTTACAGGCACCTATGCCGATACCAACGCCAGTCTTTACGATCAGCAAACCGCGCCGATCCTCCGCAAATCCCTTGCCCGGACCGCTTCAACCTCGTCTTTCCACAATGGGCTTGCGGAGTCACGCCCGTCCAATCTGCGCCTGGATAGCATGGGAACGCCATCCCCGGGAACATTTACTCCTCAAGCTCCTAGCAAAAATGTGCGGCCGGTGTCTCACACCCGCTCTGTCACATCTCCGGTGAATCATCTCTTCTCAACTCCGGGGTCGACCGTGCAACATACGACGCCACTTATCGGGTTCGAATCGGCCTTCCTCTCGGACGACGATGTGGAGGACGGGCTTGCTGACCACAAGCTCACCATTCCGCATCCAATCATGCAAACGCGCAGTGCCACGGACGGGTCGTCGTCGCTGGAGTCGATGATCCGTAGCGGCATGAGGCGGCTCACGGGCGGAGCAGCTACGAATCGGGAGAAGGAGAGGCAGCGAGATCTGGTTCGAGCTCAACAGCGGGCGCTCGCCCAAACGGCCAGCTCACCGCGCGTGCCCAAGGTTCCCGCCGAGTACCTCACGGGGCCGGTCAGCAATCCGTCGTCCCCCGCGCAACAGTGACGGGAATGTGAAACCACTCCATCACTGGCTGATTTTTTTGCTTTGGTAATGCGACTTGGTTGTTGGTGTGATCCGGCGTTTAACATACCCATTTGTCTATGCTTCTGTCTGGACTGCGCCAAGTGCGCGGTTCATCCGCCTCTTTTTGCTACCGTATTTAGTACTCGTCTCCTGTAGATTAATTAATTGATTCCTGCGATGAAGATGAGAAGTTTTCATATTACCTCATAGTATATATACCTGGTGGATAAATAGATGCCTGAGGGGCCAGGCCGGACTCCTCCGCAGACTTACCGGATCGGGGCTTCCCCGCATTGGGGGATCGACGGGGAGCCCCATCAATCAGGCCAGCCATGGCAAGACTCGGCCAGCAACGGCCTTTTGGCCTTTCCTCCCCCTCCGCTTGCTCCGAGGGGACGGACGGTACTTCCTCCAGCTACTCCCTCGGCCACCACCCTGTCGCCTACAAATCCCATCCCTTCCTCACTACCATCTTGTGTCAGACCTTCAAGTCCCTCCCTCGAACCAGGTAGCATACCTCGATTGTGAACATGAGTCTCTCGCGTGTTTGGTCCCTTCCATTGCGAAGGGGCCCCATGTCCATCCCCAATGCTGTTCCCTCGGCTCCCTTCCTTTCTCGAACATCTTTTTCATCCTCTGTGCAACGGAGTGCTACCTGGGGCTTTATTGGACTCGGTCAAATGGGTAAGTCTACAAAGAATCGTTGGAAAGAAAGCCCGTTCGTGAACCGTTGTCTAATTAGATTTCTCGTCGCTCCACAGGCTACAACATGGCCAAGAACCTCCGCGCCAAGATCCCTGAGACGGATACCTTGTTAATACGCGATGTGAACGAAGATAGCATGTCCAGATTTGTGAAGGAGGCCGGAGAAGCTACCAGGAGCAGCGGCGCTGGTGATGGCACATCTGAGGTCCTGGTGGCCCAGACTGCCAGAGAGCTTGCAGAAAAGTCGGTAAGTTGAGTCTCCGTTGGCTGATTTTTCCCGCTCAACAACAGCAACTACCTGGCCATTCGTTGCCTGTGTCTGGGTGGGCCACATGCTTGGGGTTCTCCTTACTATCACTCAAATTCATGGCGGGTTTGACTGAGTCCGGGGTGCCAATTCTGATAATTCACTTTACAGACAGTGATTATCACCAGTCTCCCGGGACCGCAACACGTCAAGGATGTCTTCCATTCGATCCTGAGGCAAGGTGACCTTCCCACCTTGGACCAAGAGCGATTGTTCATCGATACGTCCACAATCGACCCAGCGTCTTCCAGGGAGATCGCGAACGCAATACACACAACGTGCCAAGGGCGTTTCGTTGACGCACCTGTGTCGGGCGGTGTGGTCGGCGCCCGTGCTGGCACACTGTCGTTCATGTTTGGAGCGTCTTCTCAAACGGGACAGCTCATTGATCGGGTGCGAGCAGTTCTTCTTCTGATGGGAAAGAAGGCGTGGCACATGGGTGCCCCGGGTGCTGGCGTCGCGGGCAAACTCGCCAACAACTACATACTGGCTATTAACAATATTGCAACTGCGGAAGCGATGAACCTTGGGATCCGATGGGGTCTGGACCCCAAGGCCTTGGCCGAGCTTGTCAACTCATCTACCGGTCGGTGCTGGCCCATGGAAATCAACAACCCTGTACCTGGCGTGGTTGAAACGGCACCGGCATCTCGTGGGTACGAAGGCGGATTCGGCGTGAGTTTGATGAACAAAGACCTTCGACTGGCCATCACGGCTGCCGAGGAGTCGCAAACGCCCCTGGCGCTGGGGGAGATTTCTCGTGGGGTGTACAATTCCGTCGAGGAGGAACACCGAGGTAAGGACTTTTCCGTGGTATACAAGTGGCTGCAGGACCGCTCGCAATAGTGGGGCCAACTTGGTCATCTCGGCTGGTACGTGAGACCATTCACGATATTCTTGATGGTTGGATGTCAAACTTGTGGTCCCTTCCCCGGGCACTTCCTCTATCCGTGAATTTTCCATTCACTATCCCCCTTCTGCGTTTATTGGTCTGCATCTTCCTACACTCACATGTCTTCCGGCTATACCTCGGCTGCTGAGCCTGCTCAGGGAGCTTTTCTGTTCATGCATCTAAGCATAGCCTGCATATTTTAGTTACTGTATTCGCATACACATATCCCATAGAAGCCCTCAATCAATCAAGCAGGCCGGAACAGTCAATCGAAATATCTATCCTTCACGGAAGCAAACCCTATCGTTTTCTACTCATAGCCTGAATAAAATTCAAAAATCAAGACGTATTCCCTCACTATCACCTATACTAGAGCTCTCCCTAGTATCCTCCTGTATAGCCTCTATTATGCCAAGAGTGCTTATAAGATGTAAAGATCCCCTAGTCCTCTATGTGCTTCGAAACAGAGAGTTGCTTTGTTGCAGTAGGGTAGGGTTCTTGGATTCAGTCTCAAAGCAATAGAAACTCTCATTGCACATAATATAATCTGTCCCGCTAAGAAGTATAGCAGGGCACTAGATACAATCAACACATTTATTTCGCGTCAATAACTCTCATCATACCTGAATAAATTTGTTCACGACCGGGGACAAAGCTTGATAACCAGCCCTTCTTGTTTGACGAACCACCTGGACTTGGTTAGTTCATATGTTCTATCAATAGTGGCGGCTCTAATGCCTTTTTTTCACAATATACTTACCAGCACGTTTCCTTCCAAACCGCGTCCGGGTCCGCCAGCTGTATGTCGAATCGGTTCAGAAGAGTCGGGATCATCTGTTTGGTTGATGCGCGTGTTAGCATGGAACAAAGGCTCCTGTGTCTAGGCTATGAGTGAGGGGTCGAGTTGGTGTGGTTTACCTTGCTCATTTCCATCCAGCTAATATCTGGAAAACCGGTAATGTCAGTTGTGTTAAACTGGGATGGTTTTGAGTCACGGGAGAAACCTACTTTTACCAATACAAAGACGAGCGCCAGCGCCGAAGGCGAAGAAATATCTCTCTATTGGATATACCATTAGTTTCTGTCGGGTTTGTGTAGATTACTAGTATGTGGATGACGATGTGGGGTAGCACATACTCATATCGCCGGTTTTCTCGGCTAACCATCTTTCGGGTCGGAAGGCTTCGACATCGTCGCCGTATATACTTGGGTCTCGGTGGACTACCCAAGGGTTGACTCCTACTATTGTCTGAATGGTTTTGGTGGTCAGTGACATTTCTTACGAGGAACAATTTTCAGATGCAAGAACCAAACTTACTCCTCCTGGCAAAAAGCATCCATCTATCACGATTCCCTCCTTGGGAACAACTCGCGGCAGATTCATCCCAACAGCCGGATGCAGTCTCAATGCTTCGTACATACATGCCTGGAGATATGGCATGTCGTTCGCTTCCTCCAATTTAACCGGGTCTGAGAGTCTGCCCTGATTCTTCCGGTCCTCGATCTCCTCCCGGAGCTCAGATAGACACTGGGGGTTCTTCAAAAGATAGTAAATGATTGACCGTAGCGAGATAGCAGTGGTATCGGATCCGGCAAACACATTCGACGCAGCCATGGAAAGCACGTCGTTATCCGACATCTGCTTATCTTTCTTATTCTGCACATCGAATAGTTTATCAAGCAGGTCGCGTTTCTCTCCGACAAGCTGCTTTCCCTCCTTACGACTCGTCATCTCACGAGCTGCGATCTGTCGAATTGTACCATGACGCGCTGTGATCGCCAGATGACTACCAATAATAGGTGTCAGGTAATCATGTAACCAATACAGCCACGGGACTTGACCGACCCAGGAAGCTGAGCGAAGAGCGTTCTCAATCTGTTGGAAAGCACCACTATCTGTCCCGTTCTCGAGGAAGCCAAATGTCTTGGAGAATGTGATTTCGCCGATGATATCTGGCATAATAGCGTATGAGTAACTGTAAAAGGCCGGAACTTGGATAATGCCTACCAAAAGCAAACAACTGCATCCACTTCCCAATATCAACTGTCACTTCAGGCCCCTGTCGTGCCATGCACTGCATAAACTGCTCCACGACCGAATCCACCCCGGATTCAAAATCCTTCAAACTACTCATAGAGTAGACGTTGTTGACGAGCCGCCGTTGAGCCCCATGAATGAGTTCATTTCGTTCTGCGAAGAGATCAAATGTGCGATGACCTTGCCAGACACCTTCATCATAGTCCTGTTAGCTTACCTTCAATTGGCAGATGCGATGGGTGTAAGTGACTCACTGTACCAATCACTCTTCCTAAACTTCGTCCCAGCACCTATCAATCAGTCAAAATCATTAGCTCCAACAATCTCAGCTACAACTCTCACTTCCTACAAAGCACAGAACGTACCATAAATCGCCAGAATGGCATCCAAGTCCGCCACGCTCACTTCATTCGGTCCAACCCTGACCAATTTCCCATACTTGGTATGAAGATCGATAAATTCTCGGTGCATGTGGCCTTTATCTGAGCGCCGCACCATCCATAATCGGGAGATACTGGCCCAGATTGGACCTGGGATGCGGGATAATGGGCTGAGGAGGCGGATGTAGAGGATGTAGAAGAGAAGTGAGAGGGCTAGGAAGCAGGTGGAAGTTGTGAGGAAGGGGAGAGTTGTGTTGCTCTGGTTGTTTAAGAGATTTAGATTTCTGGGGAGGTTGTGTGGGAGGTTCATTTTGATTTAGGGATTGAGTGGTTAGGTAGAATAATGGTTGATATAGTATATAGTGTAGTTAAATGATGCACTGGGATATGTAGGAAGATGGAGCTCTTAAATAGATTGTGATTGCCACTTTGTAATACCATATCTATTGTAATTAACTGGACGGTTGGAAATGCCGTAAGATGGGCAGGGATTGAAGTTACATGGCAGGCACTGCCTTGTCACTGGCTGGATGCGGGGGTGGGGAATCGTCAGATCTGCGGGGTAAGTTATTCCTCCAGATTCCTTGTACGCAGAACCACCATAGGAGTATTCGTGCCTTAATATTATGGTTAAGGTCATGAAAATAGTGACATCACTCAATGTACTGCTGTTGTCAAGCAATTGAGCTGAATCAACAGAGACTGGGCCTATCTGAGTACTACTTGAACCGTATCGTTGAATGCACATATCCACTCACCACGCTGGGCAACACATCCAATTCAGGATACACACATTATCCAATCCCTTCCCATGGCCAACGCCACAGATGTACCTACTATCTATAAGGGGAATCAGACCCCTGCATTATGGGTGCGAATGGCAAATAGCAGCTCGGAACCAAGAGACCCACATTAGATACATACTCCAGGATGGTTTGTTTCGGGTTCTGTATGGTATTATTACCGAACCCGAAACCACACTATTTGTGATCCACCCTCTATTCGGACGACCGGACTACATCGGTACAAGGAAATGTTTTCGGCATTGGAAGTGCCGTCTGTGACGTGAATAGCTATTTTCGATGAAGGGATTGCTAGGGGTTAATTCAGATGGTTATAGTGCCGGGACTCGTTGGGATGTCTCTGCCGGGTGGCTTCGTCGGGTCAAGTTCCTTGGTGATAAGTAGACAGAGGGCAAAATGACACTTTTGTAGAAGAGTTCGGTGTAACTTGATGTATAGTAATAGTGTATGAAGCCTTGGCGTTGCTAATTCATTATTGTGATAGTATATATCAATCTGTCCAATCTGTCAACATCTAAATACAGCAGTTTCCAAAACAAACTTTCATTCCCCCTGAAAATATTCACCATTCACGTCACTTGTTATCTTATAATCATTGCGGAGTCACAAAACCTGCAAAGTAACCAGGGATGCTGCTCGTATCCTCGAGACGCGTCGCGTAACCCAGAATTCCATCGGGTCGGACAATGACAACTGCGCCGTTAGCATCGGAGATCGTGTAGGCAGTATGAGCGGATCGTTCAGAGTCATAGTACAGCCGGCCAATCTTTGGAATATCAAAAATTTGGTCCCCTCCGGCAGGACTCTGAGCGACCACAGTAAAGAACCGAAGCATACCCCGAGGAAGAGTCTCACTAAGCTGCTTCAATGCTTCCACCCCACGGGTAAGGCTATTCTTGGTCTTATCAGGCCGTCCAGCGAAAACAATAACAGACCAGGCGCCAATGTTCTGTGTCAGGTGAAACAGTCTGGTAGGAAGCCGGGAGCCAGGGGCGTAGACCAGTGCATCTGGGGCTCTCCAACCTGCCGAAGTCATGGTCGCTAGGGGGTCCTTGTTGATGATGTTCTCATTGTAGTGGATGCCCAATCCAATGTTGAATTGGATTGTGTCATCGAAGATCTTGGTGAATAGCTCGTTCGCATCCAAAGACAGGTCTTTGTAACCATCGGGCACAGTGCCTGAAATAGTAGCCGAGAAGGCCTTGTCGAGACCGATCAGTTGTTGCGCCGCCGGGCGCCGTTCCGAATCATATGTGCGAAGCATATCGGCACCATACCAGCCTTTGGCGACACCACCCAGCTTCCAGGCTAGGTTGACTGCGTCATGGACACCGGTGTTCATGCCCTGAGCTGCACCGGATGAGTGCGTGTGGCAAGCATCGCCTGCCAACAATACTCGGTCGTTGTTGAAGAAGGAGTCTGCGACCCGCTGATTGATACTGTGCCGAGGTTAGAACGATATGCAGACTTGTTAGGACGAGAACACTCACCCATACAGAGTCCACCATTCGATTGACTCAATCTCCAATGAGAATGGCTCCATGGACTTGATAGCCTCTTTCTTCGCGTCCTCGAGGGTGAGTTTGTCTCCGTACTTGGCTAGCATTTCCTTCGTCATGGCAAATCCAATGCGCTTCACGCCATGGTCCAGTTGAACCCAAAGGACATTACCGTGACTTTTGGATTCGATAGAAGCAAAGCCAACATCAGAGTCAGGCATATCAGTTTTGAAGCGTCCATCAATGCGCACCCATTTAAAGTTTGTGTGATCACCCTCGAAGGGGATGCCGGCGAGACGTCTCACAAGAGAATGGCCACCATCTGCGCCAACGATGTATTTACTGTTGAGAAAGGTCAGAAATATAAATCCTCTGGAGTTAGGGGTGAAGAACTTCGATACCTTTTGACAGTCAAGGCTTTACCCGAAGTAATCTCAGTTATTTGCGAGGTCACCTTGTAATCATCATCACAAGTTCCTTCTTCAACGGAGAAGCCGTCTAGTTTCCATTCAATGTATGGGTTACCACGGAACGCTTCATAAGCATCGCGGATAACCTCCTCCGAGTACTTCTGGCGAATATTGAGACAATAATCCAGGAATGTCCCATGCATGCGCTGGAACATGACATGCCAACCCCGTGAAGTCACACGCTTGTTGCCTCTGTACGTCACACTGTTGCGGGCAACGTAACCAATTTGATTCAGGTCATCCAACAATCCCAGTTGATCTAACAATTCAAGGGTGCGGGGGTAGAGAGTCGTCGCGCGGCCATACATGGCTTGTTGGGATTTATCATGTTGTTCTGATACAATCTGTTATCCAGGGGTGCCTTTGGAAGGAGACAGGGGGTGATCGGAAGTCCTCCTTACCAACAAGAACGGAGTCTACGCCCTGTCTTGCAAGGCCATATGCAACAAGCAAGCCAACAGGCCCACCGCCACAGATTAACACATCCGTTGTGATAATATCCGCCATGTTGTTGAGTCTGGGGACGTTTCTTGTAATGGAGGTAGAAACAGAACTGAGAAATTATCGTGACTATGTCGATGTGACTGTCTCAATGTTGGAAGTGGCTGTGCCTTTATACCTGGTCTGACTTGCCTGGTGAGTTGGCAGATTCCGACATTCCCGATCGCCGGTAAGGAGATGAAACTATACGAGAGTTCACGAGAAACCATAGGCTGACAAGCTTTTGCATGTTACACGACAGCAACACGGGGTCAGTATACGGGTAACGTATCGGAGGATAACAGACCTGTGGTGGAGTATCTGGTAGAAGAACGCCTCGAAACGTGAAATCCGCTACTGCCCGCGGTGGGTTCCAGTCTTCTCCTGGTAGAAATAGTAGAATCGGCCCGGGTGCAAGTTCGGCATGCCGGCTGGCGGGGCCCTTTTCTCGGTGGGCTTGGTTGAAACCTTGGTTCTAATTTCCGTGGCAATGATAAGTCAGGGAGGCTCTCATGAGTTTTGATACGAATAGTACAAAGGAATAAAAAGAAATTATGTATCATATGCAGGTTCTCTTATTATCATGAGAAATAAATCACTCAGGTCGGGACAGCCGTGGAGGGACCATCAGAAAAAAGACGGCGATGTCAGCCAAAGGTCATCCCACAGCATATCCACCAAAGAGCCGTCAATATCTTGTACATTCCAAATAGACCCAAATGGCTCCGGTGGAAATATGCCAAGAGACCCTTGATTGGCACCAACATCCGTTTCCGTTCCGGTAGGCGTCGGGAAGGATGTCGGTATGCCGGGCAATGGTGCGTCAGGGCCCGTACGTGGAATTGTAGGTTGAGCTGCAACTTGTTCAGTGGGCTTGTCAAGAGGGCATATATCGCGGCTTCCTTCATCTAGTAGGTGGGACAGTGTCTTCTGAAGACTACTGGCACAATTCTTGGCAGTGGTGCTGTACGAGTCCATATTATCTAGGCAGTCAGAGCAGCTTTGCCAAGCAACCCCTAGAGCCTGATTGGGGAAAATAGACTTCATAGCAGGACATGTCTGGGCTAACACGAGGACAACTCCAGCTGTAAAGGTATCTAATGGTATATGATTAGCGGGGTAACCATTCGATAGTGTGGACCGGTGGGCGCATACAAAAGAGACTATACCACCATACACTAGCCAATTCAGTCCTCGAGATATCATTCATAAGGTGTGACAGCTCAATCGCAGCTTCGACACAGGAATTTGAGCAGCTGAGACTAAAGTCCGAGATTATCTTACGTTTTATTGCTGCGCCCGCGGAAGAGTCATCCGGTGGACGTTGGGGACGATTTTCACGACAGAACTTAACAAGAGTGGGACGCAGAAGCAAAATCCTCAAGTGAAGAAATCTGCAGGGAAATATTAGAAATCTATAACTGCAGCATTTGCGTAAATCACCCACCTTCCCCTCAACAGACTACTTTCACGGCGAAACTGCTCAGCAAGCCCCGCGGGTTCCTGAGTGCTACGCCATTGTAACGCCTCTGGAAGATTTGATTCAAAGGCCGAAAGCTCCTCGTCCAGCTCTAACAATGCCTGCGCTTGGCTGTTTTCAGACTTTGTCCGTTCAGGCTGATCAGAAGCATTCCCATCCTCCCAGGGTTCATATACTTCAGACAAAATCTTCCTTAGGATTTTGTACAACTGTAACGTTCTGACATAAAATTCTGTCTTTGAGAGTAGTTCGGGCTCTGGTTGGCGGTGAACGGCATTAGTATCGAGAAATTCATCGTTGACAGCCTCTGGGAGAGGTACTGCTGAAGCATGAGTCATGGGAGGGCGACCCAGCATCATACTGCTTGCTCTTGAAATTTCCGTCAGTTACATGAAGATCAACAGGTGATGAAACTTACAGATCCAACATTACACATCCATGCCAAACACGCCTCCTCATCTGTATTTGGGCCGGTGTCCTGTTTCTATCTGCTCTGAGAGAGTGCATTCCAAGAGACTGTGCCGCTCTGCACGCAAGCCCTATTATATTCCAACATCTTGAAGGAGACTCGCCTCCCTGCAAATATTGTGATGTCAAAAGCAATGTCTGTACGAGGGCTAGATCTCCTTTATCAAGGGAGATGACGTTCAGAAGCGATTGAGAGCGCTGAAAGAACTCTTCAGAAGTAGCTTCACGAGCTGTATGATCTAGCTTTGAGAACTGGCATCCCAAGGCAAAGATAATATTAAGTGCGCAGTAGAACATTGGGGGAGAAACACTGGAATCTCCTAAACCCATCCCAGACAAGGGTTTCGGCTCTGTTTCTGATGTCCATAGGTCCCTGTACACGCGAAGAAAGCTTGGTTTATGGATGAAAGGATATAGGATGTGGATTTTGTCGAAGTAGCAATTAAGGAGATAGTCAGCCAGTTGCTGTGGTGGCAGATCGTACGTTTTGACTCTTGAACTAGATGCCTCAGTCACTAATGGCAAGGAAGTTGGGCATGTGCTAGATCTTGCGCGCGGAGCTGTATTTGCTGCTGATTCTGTCCGCTCTGGTTCCATCATTGCAGAGTCTTTTATCTGTTTCAAGAAAGAGGCGACTGAAGAGTCACCGAAGAATTCGTCTTCGCTTTCTGACACATTGAAGGGTCCATCAGATGTTATTCCCATTGCAGTGATTCGGTTTAGGTTCCCGCTCGGGCTTTCATTGTCTGAAGGCGACCTTGAGTTGGAAACAAAAGGGACATTGCCCCCTCTATCCTTTCTTTGACTGTTTTGGGTGGTCGCGGGGCCATCTCTCTCCACTCCTTCGAGAGATACATTTTGAAGGTCAGGATTGTCACCAGCTGATCGAATAGTACAATTGCTGACACCGAATAGATCTCTCAATCTGTTATGGGAAGACCTTATTGAAGCATTTGGGTTCTCTGGCGCCGGGAACTGATCGGTATCCGCAGTCCCGGCTCCATCAAGGGTGACTCGCAACTGGCGTATATACCTGGCATTATCAGCCTTTTGGTAAACTAGGAGTCGCTCGGTTTATTCTCAGCGGCATCTCACTGGTTATCCTGGATCTTCCTTGCGTTTTCACCGGGGTAGGAACACGAGGTCTCTCGTCGCTTGCATGGGCCACAGGTGGGCTCAACGCCGTCGCAGCGGATCTTTCGCGCACGACACGGAGTACAGGCAAGTGCAATCTTTCTTCTTTTTCTGTGGGGCTGGGACTTCGCTGCGTAAGAAGCAGAACTCCACCGCTGATGATGCAGAGTACGTACCATCTTCGTGTCAGTGAGCTAGTAGGACCACTAAGTGCCGTGCCAAGTTGATTAATTCGGGGCAATTAATATCATGTCATAGGTTAAAACACAATCTAGTATAAGCGTTGATTGATTTGATTAGTCGGACTTATATCGCGTCAGGGCGTGGAATGGCAGACGCTTGTCAGTGAATCTGATGTCTGCAGTCAAAAACGGGTGAGGCCGTTCCCGTGCGGTTTCCATGTACAGCAATCCATAGTGGCCATCGGGCAAAAGTGGCCCAAGTGGGTAACATGGTGAAGGACTCCTACTCCAGTCCTGGAGCATGTAGTCGGGTATCCGGCTCAACAACTTCTCTCAGCATAAAATGGGCCGAATTTACTATGTTATGATCCATTCAAATAAAAAATTACACATCCCAATGTGGATGAGATCTCGTTAGCTTAACTCATGATCTAGTTCTATCTAGCGATAGAGATCACATAATACCTATCATAGCATGCTCGAAATATGATCAAACTTTTACGCATAAAGGCACCCCTCACTGAATAGCACCTTGTCGATCTTACCTGACCACGAAATCATGAATAATTTACCCCTTCAGGGTGATGTAGCTGTCGGTATCGGAGTGGTATCGGATGGTGTACCGGGTGTCGTATCGGCATGTGTACCGGAAGTGTACCGGAAAGCTGTGTACCGATCGCCGTAGATCATCCAATTCTTATGCTTACCTCTGGGTTAGTAGCATATTACGCAGTAATGTTATGCTGTGGCACTGGCATAAGTATGAATTAGCGGGAAGACATACTAGAACTCTCAGCTGTTAAGTCTGAAGGCGTTGGAATGTCATTCAGATCAAAAGACAGGCTTGCTACGAGTCCATATTGATGTCAGATGCAATTGACTCTAGAAGCATAGAGACTTAATCACTTAGATCAGAATTGAGGATTTGATTTACCCTTCTTTTTTCTACCAGGCCTAGCTGATAGGCCTTCTACACCGACAAGTAGACATGGCATTCTACATAACTGTATGAAGAACGGTAAGAGTTCTCCAGTGATTCAGCCTTGTTTTGTATTATTGATATTATTAGAGACACTGACAACTGTACAGTTACTCTAAAAACTGAGTCTGCGTTGTCAGGTAAGTAGCAGCGCTGAAAACGACGCCTTAATGCTCGCCATACATATAACTACATTAAAGAACCACACATGGTGATGGTACATTCTCAGAAAAACCAGTCCAAAACCCCCATTATATTACCCGCTCAAATCACAAAGGAAGAGAGAGCAGAGTAAGATAAGATCCTAGCCTACTCCTGCTTCTTGTCCGCACGCTTCTCATCCTCTGAGTCACTCCAATCCAACAACTCCATGAGCTGGTCCTCCGACAGATTGTGCGTGCGGCTCGCGGCCTCCTTCTCCAGACTCTTCAGGTACTTCTTCTGCCTCTTCCGAGCATTCTTCCCCCACTCAGGCACACCACTAGCGGTCGCAAAGTCCTCTCCATCTTCAATCTCATCGTCTGTGTTCTCCACCTCCCCAAGAACGCGGCCACCGCCACCGCCACCGCGCAGCGTATTGGCCGATACCTTGGCTTTCTTCTCGTTTTTCTTAGCCTCTTCCTTCTCCTTAATCTTCCTGCGTTCCCGGTCGTGCATCTTCTTGAAGAAGCCCTCGATGTACGGGCGGAGAAGAAGGTATCCGATCACGGAGCAGATGACCTTTGTCCAGCGGTTGATGCTCACATCGGCGAAGGAGGCATAGAGGTTGCCAAAAAATCGGGTAAAGATGGTTTCACAGAAGCTGTAGATTTGACTGAAGAAGTCGTTGAGGGCGTCGGCAGCGACCTCGCCGGGGTCTCGGGTTGCCATTTTGATTTGTGTAGTATCTTCGGTTTTTAGGTAGGTTGTGTGTGTGGGTGAATTTTGCTGAATTTGCGTAGAGGGGGAGTGGGCGGATTCGGCCGGAAGATAGTAGATGTTTTTGTTGGGGAAGCGTTATCGTGGGGTGGTGGAGCTGGGGAGGAGCAGCTGGAGGGCGGGTGGTGGAGGAACCTGAGTAGCCAGAGCTAGGCAATTGCGTGACAAGCAATTATCCTACCTCGGGAGGGACGAAGCAAAGGCAAGGTAATATCTCTCGACCTCTGGTCAGTTGTGGAACTTCATGGACGTAGAGAAGAATTCCGAATGTGGAAATGGGTTGTTCTAGTCTAGCGTCATTCCGCGTCGGAGATTTGGATTTTCCGGTGGGCTGGGGAGCCAATCACGACCACTCCGCAATTCTATGTAGGCTCAACGCGTCTCCGTGTCGCGCATCGAGTATTCCGTCTATTCATTGCAGGAATCTACCACAGTTATCACTCATCGGTCGAATCGCCCAGTTTCTCTCAGAAATGGATCACGGTGAAGAGGTCAGCCTTGAGGAGGTATGTCCTTGATCACCTACGGTCACTGAGTTATATGGCGCAGTACTGAGTCGTTTGCAGCGCTTGAAGTCCGCTCTCTGGCTGTCGATCGGGAAGATAGTGGATGAGGAGACCATCAAGCTTGGAGTCAACGCCACCCCTCAGTTTATTGGGGCTTTAACTGAAATGGTCTGGGCTCAGATAGGTATGAATATGCATCCATCATCGATGTTAATGCCAATAAGTTGGACAACCAGGCTTTCGTCACATATTGTTCACTATAAGCAAACGCTGACTAAGGACATTGGTTAGAGACGGTCAGCCAAGATCTGGAGTCGTTTGCTAGGTGAGTCGCAATTCTAGACTGCGTTCCTTATCAGGATGGCCTGATTACCTTGTTTAGATGTGGCTACGGTCTAATGAGCCAAATTGAATGAGCGACCGACGATGACCTTGTTTGCCGGCTAACACTCGGTATTTCCTATCTAGGCATGCCGGGCGCTCAACCATCAATGTCGCAGATGTCATGCTACTCGCGCGCCGTAACGAGGGATTAGAATCCATCCTGCGGGCGTTTGTGGAGCAACAGCGCGAAGAAGACGCCTGATTAGACGTTATCGATTCATCAAGGTTGAGTCTAGCGCAATATTGCAAAATAAAATATGTCAGCGGATAATTGGCGGCAGCACATCACTGCAATTCGGGATCGCATTGACTTCTTTTTAGAGGTCATACAACATTATTACCTGACCAGGAAGTTCTCGAATCGGTGGTGAAGAGAACCAAAGTCCGGTTGACTCTATGACTTGTGACATCTGCGAGCTTGGTATCAGTCAGTGACTCAGAGTATCATTCGTCGAGATGTGTGACGCCACTGCCTAGATCCCCACAATCTGGGAACGGTAGTACTTGACACCCCAGACTCCAGGCCACGCCGCTTGTGGAACTTGGTCGCCTTGAAGATCGTGGCACATTCCAACAATGCTTCAAATCTAATTACGGCCCGGACGTCATCCCGACAAATCACAATGTTTATGCTCCTGAGGTTCTATAATAATAGAAGGTCCAACTGGAACAATGGGGATCGCCAAACAGCATCATATGGTGTAATGATTATCTGAACAACATACGATTGATCCAATCGGGCCCTCTTTTATCTAGACTCGACGACTATGTACCACTGAATGCATCATGATCTATCGGACCTAATCTGAATTCGTACTTTTTAACTACAGATCTCAGATCTGAGCAACGTCATCGCAACGTCTTTCAGATAAGCATCTCCTCGACTGCCATGGCGTTTTTAATGTACAAAGCGGAAGCATTTCGCCAAATCTCCTGCGCGTTGAGATCATCTATATTGCTACTGGGAGGACCGCGGTGCTTCTGTCTTGAAAAATATCCGAAACGCGAAAACTCTCGCTCTCGCCTGCGAAGATGCTTAACACTGCAACCGACTCCATCAGCACATATCGAACTACCCTCAAGTCTGCGCCCGTCATGAAAGCTGTGCGCTTCCACGGTCGCGGCGATGTCGGAATTGAGGAGATTGAGGAGCCCACATGTGGCAAAGGACAGGTGAAGGTAGACTTCAATCGACCTTCGGGTTGCGACGACATGCGCTGACGGTTTTAATGATAGATGCGCCCTGCTTTTGTTGGGATCTGTGGCAGCGGTAAGCCCACAATCAACTTTGTGTTGGATTTTATCCATACTAACTACAGAAGATATCCATGAATACTCTGGAGGCCCTGTCCTAGTCCCCGAGAAACCTCACGGAATCACCGGGGACACTCTCCCGGTAACCCTCGGTCACGAATTCAGCGGAATCGTTGAGGAAGTAGGAGAAGGCGTAAACGATATATCTCCGGGACAACGAGCTGTCGTGAGGCCGACCATCTTCGACCGAAAATGTTCTTCGTGCAAGCAAGGCTATGAGTACTGCTGTGAGAACATCGGTTTTATCGGACTTTCGGGTACGCTCGTATTCCAACTCAAGATGGCATGCATACGTCCTAACAAATTTCGCAGGATACGGCGGTGGGTTAGCGAAGTACATCGTCGCACCGGCGGAACATTTCTACTCGATTCCCAAGAATGTATCCCTCGAGGCAGCGGCCTTGGTCGAACCATTGGCAGTAGCCTGGCACGCCGTGAATATATCACCATTCAAACCAAATGATAACGTTTTGGTTCTAGGAGGTGGGCCAGTTGGAATCGGAGTTATTCAGGTGCTCAAACTACAAGGGGCAAAGAATATCATGGTGGCGGAGTTGACGGCAAATAGGAAGAAGTTCGCTTCAGGGTATGGGGCTACGCATATCTTGGACCCTCGGGAAGTAGACGTGGCCGCGAAGGTCCGGGAATTGACCAACGATATGGGCGCCGATGTCATTTTTGACACGGCTGGTGTGGAAGTGGCCCTTAACGGAGCGATTGGTGCTTGTCGAACACATGGCACAATAGTAAATATTGCTGTGTGGGAGAAAAGGCCGGCTCTTCGTGTCAACGACTTGATGTATAGTGAGATCAATTATACTGGGTCTGCGCTATATGACGAGAGCGCATTTCAAAATGTCCTTCAGGCACTTAGCTATGGTACGTTCTACAAGTTACTGTCCACATTGACATGTCTAACTGTACGCAAGGACAATTGAATCCCGAGAAGATGATCACAGCGAAGATAAAGCTGGATGAAGTGGTGGGGAAAGGATTTCAGGCCCTAATAGACGATCGGGACTCTCATTGCAAGATACTAGTTGATGTTCAAGCTTAGCATAGTATTCGTATAGTAATGCAACGCCTTATTGTTGTTCACGTCCCATCAAGTTCCCATCGTTCCACACCCGAGAATAAATATAGTGAACGAGTAATCAGCCACAACCCTAGAGATAAATGGAACTACGACATGATCCTAGAGAAAATACACTGCCATTGTTACCCAATACCGAGACTCATCACTTACCTTCGCCCCATAGCATTCACTAAGCCTTGCTATGTACCGATTCAAAATAAGATGGTGCCGGTCGCCACCTTCACCTTCACATACAGCTCTATAATGGCGTTGGCTTGTATAAGATTAGAAGTAAGCCAGCTGTTTTCAACAAGCGGGTCCCATAGCTCAGTTGGTTAGAGCGTAACGCTAATAACGTTAAAGTCGAGGGTTCGAGCCCCTCTGGGACCATCTTTTTGCTTTTTGACTTTTTACTACACCAATTGTGTGTGCATCACTCACTGGATAATCGTTTTTTGTCTTCAATACATGGCAAAGTGGGTGTCGCCAAATCTTTTGGTAGGATTCTCCAAACATCCGTCCGGAAACTGGGCGAACAACCCACGTCTCTTGATCCGCACCCATCCTTGCAGACAGGTCATTGAACTATCCGCTCGAGGAAGAATAGTAGGTCAACATATCCTGGCTATGAGTCTCACTCAGCCTTGTCTAACACCACGTGTATAATAGAAACCCAGTGCACCCGACAGGGCTGCGTCAAGAACCACCGCGAATAACCGGGAAGAAGAGGAAGCTGGCCACCACCAGGTATATAAATAACACGATCGAATCTGACATGGTTTGAAATTTAGGCAATTTCAATTGCGTGGTCAGCAATGGCTGTCGTGACTTAGAATCGATGACCCCAATCACAACAAGTACAGGGGGAATGGCCAGGGTCTCCAATAGGGTAAGAGAACAGGCCGTCTCCTCGAAAAAACATACGGCAAGTGTGACTGATTGAAAAGAACTGGGAAGTGGTGGCTCGTATCGTAAGTCATGAACAAGTTTGGGCGTTTGCATTACATTACCATAATCATTCTAAGTGTCTCGGAGATTCTCCCACCATATCACTGACACAACTTCGATCCCACAAATTGTCCAATATCACCGACTACAGCTTTCCGAGGTTCTTTCGACCTTGCCAGGTGATCAGGAAAATTTTGATTTGGCGAAACATCTAATCGATGGACAAATTAGGCTAGGATATTACGATCATGTTGAATGAGTGTATTCCGGAAACGGAATCGACAACATTTTCCCCTTGATGCTGATGATATGGATACATCGTGGAATACAGCTGATGGCATATTTTTGTATGCCTGTGTGTGATCTTAAAATGACATCGTCCAATGTATGTCAGATGTTTGCTCTATAGTTTCCGAGTTGTATAGCGGCGGAAGAAAGAACACCACAGCATACCTGCGGAGGGCGGGGAAAATGAAGCTGGAGATCATCAACATCTACAAGAAGGCTCACTAAAGAATTCCGACCAAGGTCACTTACTTCCTGGGCCAAAAGGAATCCAAGAACATTTGCAAAAAACTCAAAAAGATGGTCCCAGAGGGGCTCGAACCCTCGACTTTAACGTTATTAGCGTTACGCTCTAACCAACTGAGCTATGGGACCCGCTTGTTGAGATAGCGAGATTTTTAGTGTAACAGAAGCAAAAGTTTTGCACCGACACAACAAGGGATTTCGTGAGAGACCACACAGGATCGAGACAATAGTACGAACGCTCATGGAATCCGGACAGTGTGAAGACATGAAGAAAAGCCATCCCTTGGAAGCACTATGCTATAGCTTTGGAAATATACTATTACCTTTCAGAGGCTCAGTATCACCAGCACACCTCTATAGGTCCCCTCGATCCAGAAACTCGAGGATTGACCAAATGTTCAAAATACCAATATTCAGCCCAATGTTGGGGTCCGATTGGGTTTGCCACCCCAGATTGTGATCGAACAGTATGCTGAGATACTCTCGGTCATTGCCATGGTAGACCGGGCGTTCGCTTGGTCGTGGATAGACGTTGACTCGGTAAGTGAGTCTGCTGCGAGTAAAGAATTCATTCATGATACGCGCAGACTCCTCTGTTCGCTCTATCCACCACTGGGGGTGGATCTCAATCAGCTGCGCTAACAGCACATTGATCTTCTTCCTCCAATGATCAGGGTTCCTGATCAGTCTCGGAATTATCTCTTGACCCCTGATTGTGCCTAGATACACACCACTCAACTCGTCGTAGCTGAAAGCCGCAGCTGGGGCCGGGGCGGCAACAGCTTCCGAACAACTGGTCGTTTTCAACAGGTCCTTTACCTGTGCCACAGTGACAAGTTCTAGGAAAGACTGTTAATCGGAGAAAATCAAACGATATGGCTGCTGAAATATACATACCCGAATTAGCCGAAGGTTTCTGCACAGTCTGTGTTTGGTCGACATGGATAACTGAGGCCAACAAGAGCTCTTTCGCATATGCTGCTGCAGTGGCAGCCGCATATCCTTGCCAATCCTTCGTCCTGTGTGAATCAGCATAGTCACTAATCCCCCGGATTATTAGGCAAGGGAAATTGTTCATAAACCCTGCTCCACCCGATTCCACACAATAAGCATCGAGCTCGGAGCCTAGCCTATCTCGCTGCCAACTGTTATTCGCTTGATTCACAAATACAATCGTTCCATAGTGAATCACAGGATCCTCGCAGTTTCGTGGAGGCCGTTCAATAACTTTGGTTACATCACAATCGTCGCAATTGCTTGACTTTGTATTGAGGTGGTCGTAACCAGCAAGAAATAACTTATCCTCCCGGCGTGGACGAGTAAAACTAGACACCTGCTCAATCTCGGAAAGAATGTCCATGAACAGCTTGCGTCCCAGGAGATGGTGCGTTTGCAACTTGGACAGCGCAGTCAGGAAGATCTGGGGTGGTCGGTTCAGCATACCCGTCTGCTGAAACACACTGCCACTCAACACTTTGCCGAAGTCATACTGTATAACTCCTCCGTGGGTAGCCGTTGGCTTGCTAACCACGATATCACCGCGGCGAATATCCATATCCTTTCGTGGTACTCCTTCCCCAATACCGACCACCAGGCCATACTGGATAGAGCGAAAACTGGACAACAGTTGCATTGATACGGTGGTGAATGTATTGCCACAGTCGCCACTAGGCAAGCATGCGATCACGATATTATGCTTCCCAATGGCCCCAAGCGTATATGCGTTGTGATCATTTGGCTGAACGGGCAAGTCCTCGTGGACCTCATCTAAAAGGGTCTGAGCTGCTGCCATCTCCAGCGGTAAGGCGCAAATCCACCCGATCTTGTAATCATCATGAGATAAAATCTTTGCCGTCAAGATGGCCCGCATCTTGATGCGACTGTTAAATCGAGAAACCCAGGTTATAAAAGCAGCGAAGCAACCAGACTTGGGGAAGAAAAGCCAGTTGGGCTCCGGAGAGGAGGGGTGCGGCTGATCAGCCCAGGCGGCTAACGCGAGGCTTTGCGACGACACAATTCGCGCCTAACCAATGCGAGATGACACGATCGCATTGGCGGAGCTGCGAAATTATAGGTCGCCCCTGCTAATATTGTATAATCCGTGGAACAGCACGAACACAACTTGTTAGAAGCACGGCTAATGGCGTGCAATCATCTGTTTTCTTTGAAATCTGATTGGTCGGAAAGTTCATCACTGGACTTTTGTGTGTCAAGATAAAATAGCGGCTCAACCACAGAAACAATGCGCAAATTCTGTTTTCAACGTGTGGGACCCTAGAGAGGAGGATCCTGGTGAATGGCGGCTCATTGATATTGGGTTCTCAAATTTTAAAAGATAGATGCGGAGTATGTTCCTCTGGTGGTGAAAGGACAGGAGTCCAACTTCCACCCGACTAACCACCTTTCACCGTGGTTATGACAGGAATTTGAATACTTCGGGCGTCCAAGTCTTCAAGCTGAAGACCATCTAAGCATGAGACAGTTCTCTCGAGATATTACTGTTCTATTTCAATCATTCTTTCGCTCAGTGTCATTGATGGCAATAGTTTATCAATTTATATCATTTCAACCGAACACTACGTTACTTAAAATCAGTAGATATATCATCCAGTTCATAAAAACAAATTAAACAGAGACTTGCCGTCCAACTCAATTATCCCCTGCTCGAATACATGTAAAGCAATAGCCTAAGCCTCCACCGCCACACGCGTTTCTGTAAACTGATACTTGCTAAACTGACGCGTGGGCAACTTTTCTTGAAACATCCAGTCCAGTTCCTCAAACGTGCGGCCTTTGGTCTCTGGAAGAAAGATATAGCACCACAGTGTGTCCAAGACACCAATCCCAGCAAACAGGAAGCCGACCTTGCCACCCCAGTTGGCACCGGTAGTGTCCAGTGCATACGGGATGGCGACGGCGAAGATAACAGACCAGATCACCACCGTGATGTTAGAAAGAGCGATCGTGACCCCTCTAAGGTTGACAGAGGACACCTCGGACATGACAGTGAAACACAGTGGCCCCACAGACATGTCATAGACGAGATTGCACACCACCATGAGAGCGGACATCGCCCAGACGGGCCCTGTATTATGCTGGGGCACGGCAGCCAAAATCCCAATGAGGAATAGCAGCACGGCCATCACGACACAGCCCCACAGATAGATCGTGCGCCGGCCAGCGTACGAGATGAGGACGTACGAGGCTAGCGTACCCACGAGGCCCATGCATGTCAGACCCACATTCATCGAGAAGGCGTTGGCAGTATTCAGACCCGCTATCTCGAAGAAATAGACGGCATAGTTGATGAACAAAATATTGCCGCACAGTGCTTGAATGTTGTAGACCTGGCACGAAATAATCGTGCGGCGCAGATTGGTCCCGCGGAAGCAGTCGAGAATACTGACTGTGGCCTTGGAGCTCTCTTCCAAACGAAGTGTCTCCTGAATATGAGCGAGATGAGCGTCAACATCGACAGCTGAAGTGGTCAGACGCTGGAGGGATTTACGCGCCTCCTCAGGCCGGCCTTTTTTGCAGAGCCAGTACGGGGGTGTCGGGCAGAAGTAGGTGAACGAGAGGATGAAAACAGGTAGAGCCCACTGCGAGGCGAACGGAATCTTGTATGCCCATTTGCTATCCATGGTACTGGTGCCCTTGAGCATACCCGACGCCACTAGTTGACCAATGACGAAGGACAAATTGATGACGGCGGACAGAACACCACGTGCAGCGACCGGTGCAACTTCGCTGACATAGGCATTGGCAAGGACGGGGTAAGCACCAGTGATGAACCCATTGAGCATCTCACCGACGAAGAGAAGTGCTGGCCCTTCGCTGAAGAACTGAAGGAAGATCGAACCGATGGAGCCGATCGAGGCCGCCGCGAGGGTTATTCGTGGACCAACCTTGTCATAGGCAATACCTGCTATGAGCGAGCCAGGTACGCTGCCTATATACGACGCATAGTTGAAGGCCGATAGCCAGGAGGGAGCCACTGTGTACTGACCGTCAACCAATCTGCCGTATGTGCGGACAAACGGGGTCAGGCCAACGAGACTGCCGATCAAGGCACCGTCAAAGCCACACAGAATGACAGCCAGGTTGACAAAACAAGACCAAAGCAGCGCTGGCCGATAGAATTGACAGGCCTTCCAGAACCCAAGACCATGCTCAAACCTGGCGTGGGCCAGGGACTTCTCCGCATCATTGATGCGCTCGGCATCGATTACCTCCACGGACCCGAGTTGTTTCACAATATCATCATCCGGGGCCTCCACACTGGTTCTTTTCTGTTTGGAAGACATAATGGGATTAGGGTCAATGCAAAGATTCAGATTAAATCAGAGAGCATGGTTCTTAGAAATAGGTCACATACCTCGGGGACATGGTCCTGTACTTTATAGTACCGCGCCCTCGTTTATCGGATTGCTGTATCTTGAGGTCGAGACCGACAGGGTCAAAGACACCCCGAGGAGCAGCAGTCCGGTAGATAACGAGCCGGGTGCCAACTGGAATCCTGCTGATTATCTGGAAGAGGAGGAGGATAGAAGGAAGAAGGAAAAAGGAAGGTCCAAGCAGAAGGACGGAAAGCGTGAGACAGGCGATTGGTCGGGTCACCTGCCGCCACCCCGGCCATTCCCAAGACGGAAAGCCCCCGATTCGCTTTCTTATCAGTGCCCCTCGGGATTTCCTCTCGCTTTCCAGCTGCTGCCAACTATATAGTTACCTCCTGTCGTCTCTGCAAGCAGTCCAGTAAGTCTTCTTTACTGCTCATTCTCCCCCGCCCTATCCATTGCCACAGGCCAATTGATAACCCCACCATGACTACCCCGCAGCTCGTTCAGATCACAATCTTGGACGAGGAGCGTGCCTCCAAGAAACTCTCCTCACACAACCTCCAAGCCGCCCTGGAAGGTCTTCATCGAGATGGCGTATGCGTCATTACCAACGGCGTTGATCCCGCTCATCTTGACAAGCTGAATGAGCGCATGGTCCCCGAGGCCCAGACTCTATATGCCAACCCGCAAACCTACCGCAACTTTGGTCCCCGCACGGGCAACATCCAGCAGGAGCCCGTGGTAGACGAAGAATACATGTTTGAAGACATCATTGCCAACCCCTGGGCCACTGCCATCACAGAATGCATGCTGGGACCCAACCCGCACTTACGCTTCTACAGCGCCAACACCGCCTTCAAAGCCGAGGACCGGCAACCAGTACACGTTGACGTGCATTTTGACTTTCCCAAGATCCCCTTTGGCTTCTGCATCAACATCAATCTGGTGGCAACCTCGCCGGAGAATGGCGCAACTGAGCTCTGGCCCGGTAGTCATCGGGACGCTGATCATAGGGACAGCGATAGCACCGGGGTGATTTCGGATCTGGTCGAAGCCCGCCGCAAGATTTCTCCCCCGGTGCAGCCTTCGCTGCCTAAGGGAGCCGTGATCATTAGAGATTTTAGACTGTGGCATGCAGGCATGCCGAACCGCACTGATGACCCTCGCGTCATGCTGGTGACGATTCACTTCCCGGCGTGGTATCGCACAGACCAAAAGTTTGTGCTGCCTAAGGGTATGCAAGGGAAGGTAGACTGGGGGAATTTGGTGCCGTGTGTCGAGTGGGTGGACGAAGACTATGATTATCTGCAGGGCAAACATGACCATGACTTTACTTTGCAGCCGTAAATACCATTGGCAGTTATTTTATTCGAAGTCTATCATATTTACGGCGTCTATAATACTCTAGCACTTCATCCGACTAGCATATGGTTCCAACTCCTTAACCGACCCGACAGTGGCTCATGCTTGTAATACCACACTACTACCTGCCTAGATCCCCTATCAACCAATCGGCCCAATAGCCCTCTCCCTCTAGCACGACCGTAGCCTTCCACAGCCGAGTCCTACATGGATACAGCCAATATATCCTTATCTAGCCACTGCAGACTATTCCGACTAGCTAAAAATACAACAGGCAGATTCTCTTTATCCCGAAGCCAACATACAACAAAACCAATTAGCCCCTTATACCACACAGCAAAGCCCACACCGCACTTGCATCCGACCATTCACATCTCATATTATCCATATTCTTTTCAAAATGTAGAATGCTAGCACTCCACAACAGCCCCCAACTCATAATCAAAGCACGTCCCAGTGACCCTAGCCCTAAACGAGATACTTTCCAGCCCACCCCCTCGCTCCCTCCCTTTCTTATCAATCATCCAATTTTAACTGATAAGTAGCATCTCTACCTTAAGCGGCAATCGAACCTGACCCTCTACTCGCCAACAGGATTGAGAACATAATAATTGTGTCACCCTACCACTACTATTAACTTCCCCGTTCCTAATGGAATAGATGAGATGGTCTAAACCCGACTAATGGAAAATAACATAAGTTTGGATATATTTCAACTATGAGATTGTATTTGGTTTCTAGGGGGTTTGATGCGGGAATTGTCGTTCTTGTGTTGAATATATAGTATCTGGTGGAAGGGTATAATGAGTGGTAAGTAGTGTGAGTAGTGTGTAGGTTAGGTAGGTATTGGGAAGAGTGATTTCTAGATTTTATAGTGGTAGTTAATAACAAATAGGGGGGACTGGATCATCATGGGCATTTTCTATCATGGATTCTACTCAGACGAGATACGTAAGTGTTTGGGTGTATACCTAGGGATAGGGAGGTAAATGGTTGTTTGGATGTTGTGTTGAGTCTCTAGATTATAGGAGCGAGACAGGGGAGGCTGTATCGGAATAAACAAATACAGAACAGTTAGTATTAGATCCCATGTCTATGAAGTAGTAGTAGTAGTGTGCGCTGAAAATCAAGTATTAAAGGCAACTAGACATAAAATATCAATATCTTGAAAGACTCAAACTCTCCGAACAAACCCCGCCGCAGCATCAATCATCTCAATCTGTTGCTCTGGCCATCCGAGAATCTGTCCTATCATATAAATATCATGCGGCAAGCCCGGGTTCTCGAGATACTCGACCCGATTACCTGGAATAGCGCGCATCGCGTCCGCGAATCCTTTTACACTGTCACACAGCATCTCCGCGCCCCCGACCTGGGCAAAAATAGGGACCGGTGTCGCGAACGGATGCAGCGACGGCGAGAGATACGGATCATCCAGTTGCACTGTTTCCGGCGGAGCAAAAGCCCGCGCGCCCCATGCGGCCATCTGTCCGTCACAATAGTCGGTGGGTTGGTTTCGATTAGCGTTAACAGCCTGAGAGTCGCCTTCATAGCTGTATTCGACGGATGGCGAAAACAAAAGACATGCCCTGGGCGGGGGCAGGTCGGCAAGTTCGTGACCGGCTTGGTTCTGGAACGAGGCGAGATGGCGCAAAAGAGCCATGGCCATGGTGGCGCCGGATGAGTCGCCCACGAGCACGATGCGGGAGGGGGAGATGCCCATTTCCTGGACGAGGTAGAGATAGGCGGTGACGGTGTCTTGCATGGGACCAGGATATGGGGTTGGATGATCGCCACCGGCGAGACGGTACTGCACCCATAGCGACCGGGCGCCGGGGCCCAGCGCCGAGTTCAGCAGGTCGGCTGTGAACCCCGAGTCGTCGGGTCGCCCGGTCAGCCACAGAAATGCGCTGCCATGGAACGACAGAGCCACCACGCTCTTGTTGTCGTCCTCGTCCTCGTCTTCATTGTCATCGTCGTCGACCAACCGTGGCGAGGCCTTGGGCGGAGGATTAGGGTACCACGTCGCCCCGATTTTCTCGGGCTTGATGGTGTCGCTCGCAAAGGCACCGCGGTAGCAGTCCGCAGAGGCGGGGTTCATGATAACCCACCGGTCGCCCAGCTCGCCAGACTCGAGACTCAGTGACTGCGTGAAGCCGACTTCGCGAATGATGGTCATGGAAATCTTGGTAAGCCGCGTGGCAAATGCCTGGCGATAGGTCCATGTCGGGCTCTGTCGTAATGAGGGTAGGGCATAGTAGATGCTATAGAAGAATGCGACCAGCAAGATGCGAACAACTGAGACGAGAATCCAGACGGTCAAGCCCGGCTGTCGAATCCGCCAGTCGTTGGGGATGGCGTCTTTCTCTGCAAATGCGCGCGCCATGGGAAGAGTCAGAGACTTGGGAATGATATCTTGGGAGTATGTATCACTCCATTATCACTCCCGGAGAAGAAGGGAAGACGAGTTAAATAAGTCAAGTCTCGCAGAGGACATCCCATTCCGGAAAGCAGGGCGACGGCCTCCTGATTGGCCGGCGAATGCCGGTGGGGATGGCCAAGCTCAATCCGGTCCAAATCGCCGGCGGACCGAGCCGCCTATTGGCGGCCTCAGGCGGGGCGTCGGGTCATGTCCCCACTCTCTCTCTACCGAGTAGATAGTTACTATCAGGCATAAACAACTAGAATTGATGGTGCAAAGTATCTACAGATACAAGATGCAGCCCGTCCCAAGCTAACTACTATCAATATATATACACTTGGTGCTCAAGTCACCGACTGTTTATCGCTACCACTACTTACTTCCTCCTGCCACTCTACCCTCCTAAGGTCGGAAGACCTATCTGAGAATTAGCAAAGCTCATCAGTCAAATGAAATCTCTCTGAACTTACACACCTCAAGAGCCTTGGCCATGAGCATTGTGTGATCGACAGCCTCCCGGCTGATTACACGAAGCAAGTCTTTTGCGTAGGCAGCAGCGGTGACGGCGGCGTAAGGCTCCCAAATCTTGTTCCGATGGCCATCGGAATAGTCGCATATCCCTCGGATCAAAACGCATGAAAACTTGTTTCCCAGACCAGCCGCTTCAGTGTCAAAGCAGTATATATCATGATCAAGGTTGCGCTCCACCGCACTATTTCGTAGTCGATTCCTGACCGCACCCGATTGTAAGGGTGTCTGTCCACAAGCTATAAGCCCGTAGTGCACCACTGGATCCACGGATCTACGATTACCGCGCACTACCAAGCGGGTTGGATCACATTGCGCGCAGCCGTTATTACCTGCAGTGGTTGCATGGGCATAGTCCCATTCAAACAGCCGATCATAGTTCCATCCTGGGAATTGATACGGCGCTAGCAGTGGCAGCTGAGCCGCCCGCTGTGTCACTGCCTGGTTGTAATAGTTCACCATTTGGCTGTTACCGAGGACATGGTCTGATTTTAACTTCCGCATAGCTCGCTGCAGGATGGCAGGAGGTTTTCTCACTCGAAAATTAGTCTCAAAGACGTTCTGCGTTTCCAATAGGTCCGAGTCATAGTAGCATACGCCGTCTGGCTGTCTGTCAGCACCGAAAGAAGGGGGTGGCTGTTATGGACCTACTATGGCTCTCGCCGGGCTCCGCAACTACAACGTCTCCAAGTCTGATGTCCTCAAGAGGATTCACCAGATCCGGTTCACTAGGCGCCGCTCCACAAATGCCAACCGATAGTCCGAACCGGATACGTGGAAAGGCGCTGAGCATGTTTGATACAACATGCGGAGCATTGGTTTGAGCGTACAGCGCAGGATACGCAATCACCACGGTATGGCGGTTAATTTCCCCAAGGATGTAGCTGTTATCGTCCGCTTGATCGGTTGGTAGCGACCCATGCTCTACATCCAACATGGTCCGGGCAGCATTTACCTCGATGGGCGTAGTACATAGCCATCCTACTCGGTAATCATCGTGAGTCCACGCGTTTTGAGCCATGGTGAGATAATTAAGATGAATAAAAGCGAAATATGAATGAGTGTGATAGTGAAAGAGTGTGGAAAGCTGATTGAGAGATTGATGCTGATGCTGATGCTGATGATGATGTGGTGAGGAAGAAGGCCACCGGCAGGAGGAACAAATGAAGAATTGGGCCGATGAGAACTGCTAGGGAGAAGGGAAGGTGCCAGTCACCACCTGCCGTTGGCAAAAGAAGCCAAGCGATGGATGCAACCTGAAGGCAAGTACGACCTCAGGCCAATTAGGCGACAAGGCACGGGAACCCGGCTGGGCTCGTCCCTTCCCTCCTCTCCTTCTCTCCTTCCCTCCTTCTCTCCTTTCCTTGCTTCCTCCCTTTAATCCTCACCTTTCTTACTTTCTTCTTTCCCATCACAGTTAAGTGCTCCAATCCATGAGTCACACTTGACGAGTCATCGCGAGAACCCTGGTATTGTTTATAAAAGTGAGTCATTACTAGCCTAGGTACCACTGGATGACAGGCCGTGAGTGGACCCAAAATTCCCCGAGTGTCACCGTGACGATCAGCGGTGTCTGACAGAACTGGCCTGCGGTATAAATCCCGAGGAGTCGCCCAACCAGTTCGACTGCTCTCCATCCAACCATCGATTCAGAACGAACACATGGCTTTCCATTTTGGATGTTGCTATCTACTTCCCGAGTCGGGAAGCTGGCGATATCTACCCCAGGTGGCCCTCCAGGTCCACGCCACGCTCCTGTCCATCACTTCTCGCACCACCGTCACACAGACCTTCACTAACCCCGCGTCTGAGACAATCAAAGAGGTCTCCTATCGGTTTCCCCTCTACGATGGCGTCACCATCGTGGCGTTTCAGTGCCAAGTGGGCGACCGACTCTTATGCAGTGAGGTGAGGACCAAACAGCAGGCCAATGAAGATTATCAAACCGCAGTCAGCCAAGACAGGTCGGCGGCAATCCTAGACCAGTCCAGCCAGCAAACAGACGTCTTTCAGCTGCGGCTGGGGAATGTCGCGCCTTACGCCACCGTGACAGTTGATATCACCTTCGTTCGGGATCTCAAATCAGATGCGCAGACTGATGGAATCCGATATACTCTGCCGAACGCCATTGCGCCTCGCTACGGAATGACAGCAGGAGAGGCACCATCCTTACACACCAAACACGTTGAGCGACAGGGCCTCGTTATCACCGTCGATATAGCGATGGAAAAGGCATCAGTTATTCGCGAAGTGCGATCCCCCAGTCATCCCATCAACGTCGCCTTCGGGCGTATATCCTCGACTCCGGAAGCATCCAACAGCTTTGATCATAATCATGCATCTGCTTCCCTGCATATAGTGCAAGGTAGCCCACTGCTGGACCAGGACTTTGTACTGGTCATCAAAGCGGATGAGACAGACATGCCACGAGCATTACTGGAACTGCACCCCACAATACCAGATCAACGGGCATTGATGGCCACGCTCGTCCCGAAGTTCGGTCTCCCAGCTGCGCTTCCGGAAGTGGTATTTGTCGTTGACCGGAGTGGCAGCATGACCTTTAATATCACTACCTTGCAGTTGGCTCTCCGAGTTTTCCTCAAGTCCTTGCCCGTAGGAATACCTTTCAATATCTGTTCCTTTGGTAGCGACTATTCCTTCCTTTGGAAACGCAGTAGGGCCTTTGACGCCTCTACATTGCCAGAAGCGCTGGCGCTCGTCGACTCGATGGCGGCTGACATGGGGGGGACCGAATTAACTCAGGCTGTGGAGGCCGTGGTGCGAAATCGCCTTGACGACCAGAACCTGGACGTACTCGTGCTTACAGACGGCCAAATTAGTGAACAACAGGCGCTGTTTGACTTTATCCGAAACACAGCCGCCGACCATACGGCGCGATTCTTCTCACTTGGGCTCGGCCACGACGCCTCACACTCCTTGGTTGAAGGTATTGCACGGGAAGGCGATGGCTTTGCTCAGTCCATACTTGCCGCCGAGCTAGATCGTACGGTTGTGCGCATGTTGAAGGGAGCACTGAGTCCGCATATCTACGACTACGCTCTTGATGTCGAGTATGATGCCAACAGCGCGGACGAATTTGAGATGGTCGATTGTGAACCTGAAACAAAAATTGATCAGGTGCCGGTGACGGCATCACAAAATAGCCACGATACATCTTCGTGCACAATATCCTTGTTCGACAAATCTTTCCAAGAGCCGGAGAGCGATATAAGTGGCATTGGGGACTCTCATATCCCGTCCATTAGAACCCCGGCTACAATCCAAGCACCTCAAAGGCTCCCTACATTGTATCCCTTTATACGAGCCACCGTATATCTGCTCCTGCAGTCTCCCCGCGTTCCAAAGTCTCTCACTCTGCATGCCACTTCGAAACACGGCCAGCTACAACTGCGAATCCCAATTGAAGACGTTGGATTAGGAAAAACAATTCATCAGCTGGCAGCCAAAAGGGCAATAGGGGAGCTGGAGGAGGAGCATGGGTGGCTTGTCGGCGCTACGGACTGCAAAAACACGTCATATAGGACATGGTCCCCCTCAATGAAATCGACCATTGCCATTCGTGAATGCCAGCGGCTCGGCCTGAAGTTTCAAGTACCAGGGTGCCACTGCTCCTTCGTGGCGCTAGAAGACAGTCCAGCCTCATCCGCTGGAGGCAGAGAATGCGAGACCACTACTGCAGTAGTGGCCCACAGACTACCAAGTCGCTCATTGGCATGGAGAGGGGGAGGACATGACATTCGCCCAAGCGCCGAAAAGTACGTTGCTCCAATCGGGCGACCTTATGTCGGTTTCAGAAGTGGCGGAAGCGACATCTCCCCTTCAAGGCGCAGAAGGCAGGCCGTCGAGCCCCCTCGTTCCCGCGGGGTTATCAATCTTCACAAGGCACAACGGTGGAAGACCGTGACCAGCCAACCCGAGCGATCCTTATCTACCATTCATGCCTTGATTGATCGGCAAAACTTTGATGGTGGCTGGGTATGGTCGCCAGGGTTGCTCTCCCTCTTGGGTCTGGGACAGGACGCGATCCGGACACGGCTGAAGCAATGGTGGGCAGATGCGGGCGAAGCGGTGGCCGCAGACTTCCCGCAGAGCGACGATGCCGCCGTGATTGCGACACTCTTAGCGATAGGATATATGGAGCACCGTGCTGCGGAGATCAAGAGCGTGTGGGAGTTGGTGTGTCAGAAAGCGGAGGCATGGGTATGCAATAAAATAGCGGCCATGGACGGCGAGAAGGCAGCTGTTTTCCAACAGCATCAGGAGAAGATAAAGGGATTGCTTGCTAACTAGCAAGTATCCAGATTATCACCAAGAAAGGATCGACAGTCAGCCACCATTGATACTTAGTGATGTCATTCAGGCGGTATTTGCTTTTCATTCTTATGCTAGTGTTATTTATGCAGTGATCGTCAATCTTTTGTAAGCCGAACACACCTCCTAAGCCTAACCATATCCCCCTTTCTACGAAGTACACCATGGAGACATCCATCTGAAAACCAGCATAGAACAAAAATATCCCCTCTGACAAACCCTACCAGCACCGTATTCAGCAGTAATAAAATGTTTACATATAACCCGCTCGACTAGACTTGAACGAAGAATAGCGGGGTGAAAGAAGGAGGAGAGAAGGGAGGAGGAAAAAGGGAAGAAAGAGAGAGGCGAAGAGAAAGGTAAAACAAAAGATAGTGTGTGGGTGTGGGGGTATGGGTTTGAAACCAACTTTGGAAGGAAGATAGATACTATTGTCATTTTTTCTTGTAGGCTTTGTTCGTAAGATGTCGGTGACTAGTCTGGGTTGAAATTGGAGATACTACTGGACTACTACCTATGTACGAGAGTTCCATATGGGATTGAGCTGTGGATGGTAGGGTGGTAGTATAATAGGTCAGGGTTTGAGGCTGAATAATATGTGATGAAGGACATAGGAAATAAGTGGATTTGAGACAAAGTATATTCATTTTGAATAAAAGTAATGGAATAGGTAATGGCTCTATGGTAAATGAGTGTAGAGAAAGGAAGAAAGGGGCTATTTATTATACACAGGCCTCAGGCATGGTGTAGCATGTTGACAGATTGTACTCCGTACAGACTGGTGATTAGAATGGATGGCGGTACAGTCAAGATGAGAAAGGTGGTGGTGGTGGTAGTGGCAGCACAGCTTACCACTCCGGCATGGTAGCGAACCAGCTCTCGATGAACTCGACCCGCTCGTCGCTGTCCGAAATGGGACCGGATCCCCAAGAGTCACCAAGCCACATGGTCTGCTTGGTTTCGGTGCTGGGAGACCACTCGGGAAGACCGTCGCCGTTGGGGTTGCCGGTGCGGATGAAGTTGGCCCAGTAGTTGGACATGTATTCCTCGACCTTGTAGTCGTAGGGGGCCCAGGTGACGTTGGAGTAGTCGGAGTAGGGGATGTTGTTGAAGGTGTACCAGAGTTCGGAGCCGTGGTAGGCGCCATCGGCGATGTTCTCGGCCGGGTAGCGGGTGAAGTAGTAAGTGTAGACGGGGCTCTTGGCACCACCGGCGGTCCAGTCCAGGGCCCACTGCCAGGTACCGATGCGGCTCATGTCGCGGTACAGCTCGTTGGAGTTGTTGTTGGCCTGGGCGGTGGTGTCGCCGGGGTAGAGCTTGAAGAAGTCCTGAGAGAAGTTCAGGAACGCCTCGCTGTAGAGTTCCTGGTAGGTGGCGACGGTGAGACCGGGGGCGGTGGAGGCGCCGGACTCGTCCTTGTTGTTACCGGTGAGGATGGGCACGTCGGCGTGGGCGTTGAGAGCGAGAGCCTGGGTGTAGTCGTGGGGAAGCACGTAGCCGTCGATGTTGGGGCGCCACATGGGCGGGTCCATGAAGAAGGCAGAAAGGTTGGCGAACTGGGTGTTGTCGAAGGTGGTGTCACTGAGCGAGTCGTATTTAAGCAGGGTCTCCATGGAGACCTGGGTGCGCAGTTCGGCGATGGTGGAGACGTTCATTTCCTTGAGGAACTCGACGCCCTGGGCTTCCGCAGCGGCCTTGGTGCGGTGGCTGGTGGCAGCACTGCCGGTCATGGGGTCATGAGGACCGCGAGCACCGCTCTCGGAGATGACACCGGCGACCAAGCCCTCGTTCAGAGGACTCCACATGCTGTCGAGAGCGCTGGCAGAGCCGGCGGACTGTCCGCCAACGGTGATCTGGCTGGCGTTACCGCCGAAGTTGGCAATGTTCTCGTGAACCCAGCGCAGGGCAGCCTGCTGGTCCAGGATACCGTAGTTGCCGGAGCTGTTGTGGCCAGATTCGGCGGAGAGTTCGGGGTGGGCCAGGAAGCCAAAGGGGCCCAGACGGTAGTTGATGGTCACAACGACGATGTCCTTGGCGGCGAGACCGGTGCCATCGTAGGTCGGGACGTCGCCCGAACCACCCTCGAAGCGACCGCCATAGATCCAGAAGTAGACCGGCAGGTTCTTGGAGGCGAGGTCGGAGGTATCGTTGTAGTTGGGAGTCCAGATGTTGAGGTAGAGGCAGTCCTCGCTGGTGCTCTCCTTGCCGCTACTGAAGATGCCAGCGCTACTGTACGACTGGGCGCACTGAGGACCGAACTCGGTCGCATTGAGGACACCGTCCCAGGCCTGGGCCGGCTGGGGCGCCTTCCAACGGTTTTCGCCAGTCGGGGCAGCGGCAAAAGGGATACCCCTGTAGACAACGGCGGTGTCACCGCCACGGAAGGGTGAAAAAGTGCCCTGCACATTTCCAAGGGTGGTGTTGACGATAGGGAGGTCGGAGCCAGCCGATCTCGTCCGAATGCTTGCAGACGCGACCAGCGGCGCAGCGGCTGCCAGGCCAGCAAGAGTAGAAACAGCGCGCATTGGAATGAGGTGAAACTGATGAGAGAAGGGATTTGGAGGATTGGAGCTGTGTGGGATGGAGTGGCTCAAGTGGCCGGGGGGTGAGCCTCTTCTTATAGAGACAGAATGCGAAAGCATACGCAAGCTCGCGGCCGGAAGTCCGACTGTCCGAGGTTTCATCCGACGAGGCTTCTTCCACCGAGGGCGTCGTCATTCCAAGTATGAGGCCCGCGACCTGTGTCCGTCGGACCGAAACATGAGCTTGTCGCCTGGAAGGCGCGTTCTGGTTGACGCAGGAGAACTGACAGTAAGATGGATCATGCTGAGCTGGACGTTGAATCTGATCCTGCAAGCTTGATTAAGGTTAAATGCAGGTACCCCAATCACGCTGCGCTAAACGCTCGCCAGTCGCCACCTGCCCTGGATCCTTCAGACTGAAGAATCCTGCAGAGTTGTGGCACCGGGAATAACGACTGCCAAGACGCCCAAGCGGGTCCTCGGCTCTTAGGCTACCGCCGAGAAGTCGGGGCCGACCCCGAGATGCGCTGTCGATCCTACCCAAAGCAGAGGCTTCCCCCGATAAAGTCGGTGCTACCTATCCCCTCAATCCGGAAGATAAATGCCTCACCGAAATTGGATCCCAGGTAGTGTGGTTTTTTCATGCATTGGTGTCATGACATTCGTTGCTAGGTAGGTATATTGTATGCATGTATGTACAGACAGCCGTTGAGGATAACCGGCTTGGGACCAAAACACCATTATTATTGAACTCCAACGGGTCTCGCTCCGGACAGATTGACGACTCGTCCACCTCCGCCAGCCGGGATGGCTGCCACGGCCGGCGGCTGGACCCAGCCGGGAACGTTCTCATCTTCTCGCTCCCGAGCCAGGATGGTCTGCGAGACATTGGGAAAGCCAGTAGGAAGCGCACCACGGACTCGTGCGCCCGGAATCGCCAGGCGGGGATTCTTATGGGTCAGGAATCCGCGCATCAGACCTTGGGTGAGGAGAGAGGCAAGGATGGACTCAAGCTCGCGCATCATTAGTGTTGGCTTACCCTCCTGCCTACCGTCGGCTCGACTTGCGTACGGGTCGAGCTCATATTGCTGGTATTCCGCCGACGGTTGTCCGTCGACAAGATTTCGCGCGGTGTTGGGCTGCCATTGTCCCAAGGCATCGAAACATCCATCCGGGGCCAGGTAGTCTCCATATTTCGCGATCAGACCAGGACTAGCGACCGCCTCTTGAGCTTCCAGCTCGTTCAATCTCTCAAAATCCCAATCGGGGGCTTTGTTAACGATCTGCGATCCAACCAGGTTCTGTCCGGCCTTGGAATCCACTTCGGGGTAGGGAGAGAAAAAGCCAACCGGCCCTTGGGATGACTGCGCATGCTGCGATTGGATCCACCGAACCGCGGCGTCCAATTTGTTGAGATACAGATATGGGGGTGGCCCGCGTTGGGCTGGGCCGTGAGAAGACTCGCCGTGGAAGCCGGCGTGGATGAAAACCTTTCGTGCCAGGGACCGCCAGACGAGGATCTCACACCGGTTGCGCAGGGGAAGAAGAATACCATTTCGTGCGAACCATTCCGTCTCGGGGGAGCCGATTGCGAGGTGTTCTCGGAAAGCGATGTAATCCCCGCGAGCGATCAGCCGACAGATCGGGAGGAACTTGTCCGCTAGACCTTCGGCCTCGGGACGTTGCAGTAGTTGTGATGAGGGGAAGCGTCCCATGATGATGTTGCAAGGGATGAGGTATGTAAGGATGACCCGCTTTTGGTTCGTTGCTTGTCGGTGGCATTGGTCGTAAGAGGCTTGCAGGGCAATCTGCGCGGGGTAGAACAGGTTGTTGGAGAACAAATAGCGTCCGAGGTAGTAAAGATATGTGACTCGCTGAGACGCTGGGAAGTGTTTTAACGGGGGCGACTGGGCGCTGATGCTGGCGAACATCTGCTCAGCGTTCCGAAGCTTACCACACTGACCACGTTAGCCATTTGATTGTCTTGGGTAATTTTCAATGTCGTACCTGGAAAAGCAGCTTCAAACAGAGGTTTGCCATCAAGTATATCCCGATTCTCTTGCCCTCTGGCTTTCCGTGGATACCTGGTGTCCCGCTTCGGTCCGTCAGGCACTTGATAAATGCCTCCCGGACGACGTTGGCCGATTTCTCCACCAAGGTCACCTTCTCTGTGGTTTCTTCCTGATTTGAACGGCCTTCCAGTCTCAGGTGGGCGACCAGTTCGGGGCGACGGTCCAAGCCCATGGCCAGCTTCGCGAGGACCTTCGAAAGGTATAGAACGGTAGGAAGAACGACCACACCCATTTGGCTGTCACCTAATGCCAGTACGCATTGACTGGTTGGGATGATGAATCAGCAGTTGTGCCAAAAGAATATCATCTGGTACCTACTTCAGAAGCCCCTTGAGAAGATCGTATGTGTCGAGCAGGTTGTCCAGGTTGACATCCCGCAGGAAGGTAAAGTAGAGCTTCATGAAAGTCGGAAAAGCGGACCATGATGCGCCCTTGGATTTGGGGACGAGAGCTTCGCATCGTCGCAACAAGTCCGCCTCTTTTGGCCCGGTCGGATAATGTTGTCGCAACTCCACCACCATTTGTCGATAAATATCGGGCAAGGGTGGTTCGAGCTGCAGGAAGTCCTGAAGCTGAGGTCCATCGCGGGCCTTGACCAGGTCGGCGATGCTGGAGAGGAAGCGGTCCAGAGTGGGCGTGGCCATGTTGGAGGTCGTGTGGGTGGTTGGGAACTAGCGAATGTGGTCCGTCATGGATTGGCGTTGACGAGGCGATCAACGAACGTCGCACATGATGTGGTGCTGATGAGAATCCCTGAGGGGTTGACAGGGAGGGGTTCACTGTTCAGCAGGTCGAGAGAGGATGAATAACAGAGGAATAACAAGAGGAGCTCGAATGGCAGTGAAGCCGGCGAAGTCTCGAGCTCCAGCTGCCGACCGCCCGCTAGGCCCGATTGGGCGTTCCCGTGGATCGGTTGCTTTGCCGCCTTCCTTCTTCTTCTTCTTCTTCTTCATCATCTCTCCCACCTACGCTTCTGAGGAATGCCGCTCAGTGATAGATTATCCTGGATGATCCTGGACTATCCTGAATTATCCTGAACTATCCTGAACTATTCTCTTAGTCACTAGTGAGAAAGCGTTGAGCAGCTGCTCGCAACAGAGGAAGGTGTTTCTTCGAATGAGCTATCCACCTTCATCTGCCCCGCAGTTCATCACTGCGGGATACAGAACAGACTACTCGTCTTGAATTCAATATTTGATTTGGTTAAGAGCTAGTGCTGAAGTCTGGGCCTTTCCAGAGCCTGAACGATGGGTCTACAATGGACGGCGACTCCGCTCGGTGATACAACTCCAGGTGATCGAAGACGCGATGCTGTGCAACAAGCATCAATTCAAGCCAGTGACAGAAGTTAACCAGACGCCGGATTGAGGTTTATTATGACATGCATCGACTGCAATGATGGTATGCATGGCCTCCTCCGACTGGACATGGCGCTTCGGATACATCCAGGTGTATCACGTGACACAGCGCGCAGGGCAGCTTTTGCAACACTGTTGCTGGGTTGTGTCGAAAGACATGACGGAAATTAATCGCAGACGTTGAACACCACCCACGGTTACTCAGTGTTGTCCAAATCCCTATTTAGGAATCTTACGAGCGGCCTACAGATCCCGGCTTGTCTGGACTCACGAGCAAGCAGTGACCCCGTCGGAGTCGTGCAACATCGGAAGCTTATCCATACTACATACAGTAACCAACAGCACCAAGGCAGGATAGGGGAACCTCGGGAATGAGATGATTAGGATGGCCGGTCATGATGCCTGTTCATGCAGCCAGGGCATCATGAAGTAAACATGGCATTGGAGATTGACCCGCCTTCACATGCCGGTCCACACCTACGTCATCGGCATCATCATCCTCATCATCGTTCTCGTCCGGTTTCCCCTGCTCTAGAAAAGGCCCCCGTTCCTGTTTCTTGCTCCCCAAACTCTCCATCTTTTGTCTCCTATAGAAAAAAACCTAGTCATTCAAACATTGCGGCCCTACAGTACATACTCTCAATCAATTGCCCCTCGCAACGCCACCATGGCGGAATCAGAATCCGCCTTCTCCCTGTCGGCCTTTGTCCGAAACCCCCTCCTCCAGAGCTTCACCATTTGTTATATGCTTTTTCAGAACCTCATCAACTGGCTTTTTGCCCCTAACCCGCCCAAGCCCTCCTCGGTTGCCAATGGCATGCCACAAAAGCGAGTGGCCGTGATTGGAGCCGGTCTGACCGGAGTGTCCGCCGCTGCTCATTGCGTTGGTCATGGCTTCGAAGTGGAGATCTTCGAAGCACGACCCAAGGACAAAGGGTTGGGAGGGATCTGGAGTGTGAGTTGATCATCTTAAACTCTTTCCGCATTTGCTAATATGAAACAGCGAGTCAACTCGACCTCCTCCCTGCAGATCCACAGCATCATGTACCGATTTCACCCTTCCGTACAGTACGACACTGCCTATCCTAGTCAAGGCGAGATCAAGGAACAGATTGTCGACCTTTGGAAGCGATATGGTCTGCAGAAACACACTACGTTCAACACCCCGGTTACCTCCGTGAAGCGCACCAAGAACGGCCGATGGATCATCAACAACGACGAGGACAAATATGGCCGCTTCGACGGCATTGTCGCGTCTGTCGGTGTTTGTGGAGACCCCAAGATGCCTACTCTCCCAGACCAGGAACGATTCAAAGGCTCCATCTACCACTCTTCGGAGCTCGACGGAAAAGACGTCGAGGGCAAGAAGGTCCTTATCATTGGCGGAGGAGCCAGTGCCATCGAGGCCCTCGAATTTGCTGTCAAATCCAAGGCTGCTGAAATCGATGTCCTCTCGCGGTCTGACAAATGGATCATTCCTCGGAACGTATTCGTACAGTCCCTCCTAGCGATGAACATCCTCGGCCAAGAAACCTCTCTCTCATGGATCCCAGAGTCGCTGCTCCGGAAATTCTTCTACCGCGATCTGTCCGACATTGCCCCCTCCGGCGGTCTATTCACCCAAACCCCCATGGCCAACTCTGAACTCTTCGAACAAATCCGCGACGGCAAAGCCCGCTGGCTGCGCGGCGACATCGTCTCTCTCAACGAGGAAGGAGTGCGCTTCAACTTCCGAGGCAACGGCGTGCCCAAGGGCGGTCCCGGTCACGAATCCACCGTTCCAGGCGAGGTAATCATCATGGCCACGGGCTTCAAACGACCCTCACTATCCTTCCTCCCCGACGACGCCTTCGAGGAGCCCTACTCCCCACCCAGCTGGTACCTCCAAGTCTTCCCACCCAAATACACCAGCATCTGCGCCAACAACAGCACATACGTCAACGCCATCGGCACCGTCGGCAACATGCACATCGGAATCTACACTCGGTTCCTGCTAATGTTCCTCACGGACCCACTCTCTCGACCAACAGAAGGTCGCATGAAGACCTGGATCGACTTCACCCGCTTCATGAAGCGACTCTCCCCAACCGGAGCATTTGACTTTTTCACCTACACCGAACTACTCTACTGGTTCGTGTTTTGTATCCTGGTAAACCCCTTCCGATGGAAGTGGGCCCCATTCGTACTCTTCGGAGTGGGATGGACATTGCCATTGGAGGTGGTCAAGCAGGAAGAAAGTTTCCGGAAGGAATTGCGCAATCAGCATTAACATACCCCTTCCTACTTCCTTCCCTGTTTCTCTTCCTCGAACATCTCGACGATGAATCCTGGATAGATAAGATGAGATGATGACCTGATGAGCCATAGTACTAGTACCTACTACATAACACAACATAAACTCAATATATGATAGATATAGATTTCGATTACGTAGTACTACCATATACTTTTCACATTCTCGCTATTCTCCTAATCCTCTCTTTTTGTATCTAGTACTAATCATTTAACATACACCGCCCAAGCTATCTATTTATCCAGATGTAGGCTCGTTCTACATTACTGGTTCTACGGGAGAGACCTCATCTGGTGGGCCGGGATAGGATAGGATAAGATGGCCAGATATCAGAATCCTTGGGGTTGGGTTGAAACAATACTGTGTAGGTATAGGATGTATTGTAATAATGTATAGTATATATAGTAGTGGTAGTAGTACATATATTACGGACACACTTACCAGTAATGGTGGATCTAACAAATCTATCAATAACCAAGACAACTACTACTTCCGTTTCAAAAGATAATCACCTCCCCTCCAAGCCCGATATACCCCGTACAAGCCACTCACAGGCCAAATATCCCAAGCGAGCTGTCCGAGCCACGGTCCCCAGCCCAGTCCCTGGTCTGTACTTGCTGGGTCCAAATCAACCCGGACCTTTTGATACAAATCCCCCAAGTAGCCAGCGTGGTATTTTTCCCGCAGGGCATCATACCGGCGTTTATCGTAGATGTCCCAGAACTCGGGCTCGGTGTAATATGCGCACGCATATAGCCATTTCTTGCCGCCCAGGGCACGGACCTTTTGCTCTAGACGTCGGTTTTGGTCGATGAATGCTGGGCCTCGATGGAGGGAGGGCGCCCAGAGGCCGAAGTTGAGGAGGTAGGGATCGTCGTCCTGTCCAGGGGAGAGTTTCCCTCGGCCTATGATCTCCGGGTTGCTTGTGCTTTTGTCGCCGGAGACTTTCAAGGGACAGAGCCAGATGGGGTATGCGCCAAAGTTGTCGGGGTTGTCGAGCCAGGTGAGGAATTCGTGTGCGGTGGAGTACGGAACTGCGACGTCTTGGATGATGTATTGGTTGGCGTGGCCGCTGGCGTGGAGCGCGTGGTACATGACGCGCGTATGCATGAAGTAATCGAGGAGGTAGCGGGTGATGCGGTTGAAGGGGGTTAGGAAGTAATTGTAGGCGTAGCGGCCGGTCCAGAAGGCGCCGCGGTCGTAGCGGAAGAGGTAGTCGGGTAGGGGGATGAGGTCTGTTGTTGGGTTGGCCGGGGGAGATATCTGCCCGGAACGTTGAGCGTGAAGGTAGAACCAGGGGTCCTGGGGGCGGGTGAAGTGTTGGATGTTATGATGGTGGTTGTGCGGGGTGTTGCCATCGCTCAGCTTCCCTGCGCACACAACCACATGGTCTTTGGAAAAGACGATTCCGTCTAGATAGTCAACGTCCGGGTCGTGGGTCTTCTCGTGGAAGATCTGCAGGGCGTCGGGAATGGTCCGCGCCGGCAGATAGGACAGTTCGACAAACGGTTTCGCATCGCGACATTGGATCTCGAGCATAGTGATGACGCCCATGGTGCCAAAGGCAGAGGCCGCGGCATGGAATAATTTGGCGTTCTCGATGCGCGAGGCCGTGCGAAACTCGCCATTGCCTAGGATAATCTCGATCTGAGTGACGGTGGCATCGAAGAAGCCGTGTCGAAAAGAGCTGCTCTCGCCGGAGGTGCCCGAGAAGCCACCGCCTGCAGTGATTCCGGGAAATTCCATGACGACGAGGGGGACGAGGTTGTGGGCGAGAGTGGCGGTCAGGAGAGCGTCCATGGGGACGTTGGGTTCGACCTGGATGGTCTTGGTGGAGGGATTGACGGCGAGGACATGACTGAGGTGGGCGGTGTTGAGGGAGTTGGCGGAGGTGAAGCCGGAATGGCGGGTGGAGTTGGTGGTTCCGTGATAGATGCGAAAGGGCGTGCGGGTGTGGTGGAAATGGGCGATTTGAGAGCAGAGGGGGGTGATACGGTCGGAGTGGGTGGTCATGATGATGATAATTATAGTGGTGAAGTGGGGGAAATTGGGAGAAAGAGAGAAATAAAGAGAGAGGGGGGAAAGAGAGAAGACGGAGAAGAATCCGGGGTGGTTGCCTGGGGCGAGGATGATCTCATTGGGCCCGAATCATATGAGGACCGTCGGCTTTATTGAGCTGCCTGATATCGGCCTCGTCGGAGATAGGACTTAAGCCCCAACGGCCTCAATAGCTACATCAGCTAGCTACATGGTAAGTCTCATCGCCAGCACAGGACGACCCCGTAAAGTTGAAACCAAAAGGCATACATCCATTACGTCCTCACAAGATCCATTCACAATCATCCACAGAGTACCTATCAACATGCCTCCCCCCCCGATCCATCGGCACCACCCCCGTCCCCACCTTCGGCTTTGGCGGCATGAGTGACTGGCTTGCGCTGGGTAATGGTGTGGTTGGTGTGCTGACCGACGCAGACATTATTCGCATCCCGGGCACATGCGGGCGCACTCGAAGTTCCCTTCTCCCAGAACGACAACAAGCGCATTAGGAGCATGGTGGAGAGTGTAGGAGGGGTCAAGGGCGCAAGGTATCCCCCGGCCATCATGTCCATGTGTTTCGGGGATAGACCGGAGCTGGCTCAGGTCTCAGGTTGAAGAACCTGCGGGTTGGGCTATGTATGCCCGGCGACGGGAGGATTTTCTTGGGATAAAGCCGGACCAATGTAATGAAGAGCCAAGGGAAAGCCAAACTGCATGTCTATCTCTAACTGTCAAGCATCGTAAATCGTAAGTCATGTACAACCAGACGCACATTCATCGTTAGAATATCTCATGTCTCAATCACGATTCGCCCCTCTAAGCGAGGCGAAATCCCCGGCGTCCACGTTGGCGTGAACTCCCCCACCTCGTCGGTGTCGTTGATGGCCGACGGCTGTAACCCAGCCCGGTGCATCCACGTCCGCGTGGCTTTCCGCGCCAGGCGGAGACGGCGTTCCTCCTCCGTGACCGACCGCGCCGGCAAGGTGACGTAGTTGGTGGTTGGCTGAGGAGAGGTCAAGATGTCGGGGTCGGTGTCCGAGTCAGAGTCCATCGACTCGTTCTCCCGATCCACGCCCACCCCTCCGCCGTCGATGGTAGGAATTTCAGAAAAGCGCCCATAGAAGTACTGCTTCGAGCGTGGCAGAGGTGGCCTATAGGGCACCTTTTCTGACACTGGTGAGCCTTCAGATGACGGCGGCTTCAGCCATCCATTGCAGTGGAGGTTGTCATGCACCGTGCTCCAGTGTCGCGTCATGCTTGGACCCCACCGCCGCCATTTCCCCAAGACCCTCAAACTCAGAAAGTACTGGCGGAGAAGAGTGCTGATCAGAATACCGCTCTCTTCATCCACGATTTCTCCGACCTCGCCGCCCTCTGACTCAACCAGTAGGGATGCGAACCCGTCCTTCCCGCGTGCCATATATCCCCTGGTTGCCAAGGTGTACTGCCGATTGTAATCAATAGGCTCCCCACCGATCTTGGCCCACTTGACGCGGGAACCCGAAGGCGCCGATGGGTTGTAGCTGTAAGTGATGTTTGACACCTGCGGAAACCGTCCCTCAAGTGCGGGAAGCTGGCTCACACCATTTTCCAGGGCATCAAAAAGCGCCCGGCCTTTCAGTCGGATCAAGACGACCGGATCTTCAAATGGGAAGCAGTTGAGGATGTCTTTGAGGCGCAGGATCCCCGGTGGGTATATCTGATCGCCACGGATGGTGCCACCCGCCATCATCGCGCAGTCGGCACCGTAGTAGAACCGCATGAGATCACAGGCAAAGTTGCCCAGGTTCGACTCCTTCTGACGTACGGTCGAAAAACGACCATCCAATGCAAGTGATGTGTAGCCAATCGGCTTCTCCAACTTCGCTTTCAGGCTGGATGTCAGCCGGTCCACCATTGTCATCGTTGCCGGGTCCTCCGGGATCGACCGGACTATATCCCGGCGTATAATATTGAAGTCCCATCCTGAGCCTTCCACTTTCCGCCGTGCCTCGATATAGCTGAGCTGCTTGAAATCTGTGCCTGACCGGAGCACATGCGTTCCGTTGACTATAGCATGGGCATAAAAATGATCATGTCCCCCGAGAATAATGTCGATTATACCCGATGGGAGCTTCTCGGCTAACTTGTAGTCATTTGGTTCGCGTTGGTGGGTGACGGCCACGATCAGTTCAGCGCCTTGTTGGCGGAGGCGCGGGACCAGCTCGAGGGCCGTCTTGTAGGCGGACTTGTACACGAGGTTGGGTGGGAGGGCATTGATGGTTCCGAGCCTTCACATCGTCAGCCTGGTCAAGTGCAAAAGGAGACACCCAACATACCATTCCCTCTCACCCAGTCCGATGACACCCACCTTTATCCCATTCGATGACGTCAGCATCAACGTCTTCTCACAATTCCCAATGGGCACATCCTTGCCCAAGGCCGGATCCAAGACATTGGCCAGCAACCAAGGAAAGCGACACTGTGTACGTAGATGGCGGAACTGGGCGACGCCGAAATCGAGATCGTGGTTCTGCCAAGGTCCAGTCAGCTACAGCACACTGGCAAACTCCTGGTTCACCCCGGCACGTACCCCAACACAGGCCACATCTGTCCCCGCCTTATTCAAAAACGGCACCATGTGCCGCCCTTTTGTGACCGTACTCTGCAAACTGGGATTGTAGGCATCGCCCGAGAAGAAGGTCAGGACATCGGGTTGTTCGGCGAAGGAGGAGTCGCGTCGATAGTAGTCGATGACGGATTGGAACCGTGCTACGCCGCCCACGGGTTCAGCGGACCCTTCCCTGGTGCATGGTCAGTCGCGGATGGCTGGGGAATAATGAATGAATGGATTGGGACGGTCGGCGAGACGTACTCCACGTGGTACACGTCATTGTAGTGGATCAGACGGAGGTGCGGCGATCCTGTTTGGTTGGCGGCATGGGTGACGGATAGACCGTCGATTGCGACAGAGGGCATGCCTTGGGGAGTAATGATGGTAATAAGAATAATAAGAATAACAACTGACCGAACGAGAAACTGGGAAATGAAAGAGGGGGAAGAGGAGAGCTGCCCGGAAAACGAAGAGGGGCGGCTGGGGGAACGATTGATGCAAGGGTCGGGCAGACACCACTCACGGGCCAATCAGGAGCATCCGATTAGAGGAGGGATCCACGGGTCAGTTACTACTCGATAAGAAGGCAATCATCATAACAAGAATGTAGATCCAGCAACTATCTATCGCCCCTGGTCAACTACATACCCCTCAGTGCCCTCGTCCGATCGTTCAACCTTCAGGTCTGACCACTCGACCCCGTCAAGAATGCCCACTCGGAGTGGCATGATGGCCAGGTTCTGCCGGACCATCTCCTGCTTGGCTGCCGGGAGCCGATCCACCACCGACTGCGGGGGTCCGTGCAGCTTCATGCCCACCGGCACACCACACACGCCACAGAATCGATGCCCCGTGAATCTCCGGCCAAATCGATATTCCACCAAGTTCTCTTCACCTTGGAGGGTGACCTGGGTTTGGTTGGGATACATGCATGTATTAGCATTCTGTGAAGTTAGTGGGGATAATCGAACAGCGAAGGATCCCGAGAATACTCATCGCTTACCCGCTGGCAGATACTGCAGTTATCTTCCTTCACTTCGATCTCGGGCAATGGCTTGGTCCGGACGGCTATCCCGACGGCACCGCAATGGCAGCCGCCCGTGTAGACCTTCCAGCCTTCACCCCCAGCCTCGGGTTTAGGCCCTGTGAATGTCGAAGGGGCATGCGATGCCTGGCCCATTCTACAATCCTTAGTCTCAGCAGTCCAGCCAGTGAGTTCAAACCCACCTTTCCACCTTCAGTTGGAATGGATTCGTCTCAAGCAGCGCTCGCGCCTCCATTTAATACTCAGTTTAAGTTCAACGTCTGTTGCTTTAACCCTTCCACTTACATTGACGCCCATGCCAACACCCCCTGTTGGAGTCTCATGGCCCTTGACTAGAATTCCCGTACCACATGTCGGACAGAACTGCACCGCCTCGCTCAGTCGTTGAACAGCCTGGGATGGGAACCGGAACTGGTAGTCTTACAAAGTGCTCTTCGTGGCTGGTCTGGGCGCAGTACCTGGTCATCTCCCCACCCCCTCGCGTGATTTCGAACTCATCCCTGGCGGGGAAAAGCCAGAGGTACCCCTTTTTCGCACACAGACCACATTGACAAGCATGAGTCGTCTCCAGGGGCTGGGGTAAACGGAGTTCAAATCGGATTGAACCGCAATGGCAGTTGCCGTGGTATCTGTGGGGAGCCATCGAGTAGCTGGGGGTCGGCCCACCGGAAGGACAACGCGGATGACAACTGAGAAAGGTGGAAATCGGATGGCTGGGGGTTTATCACGTTTGTTGACAGGTGGCCTATCTATCGGGCTGTAAGAACTAGTAGTTTAGCCCCTCGTATCTTATCTTCCCCGAATTGCTTACATCCCCGGACCTGAAGCCGTGGCAAGACTCGAGTCAAGAACATCAATTATGGCATTAGGTACACACACGTAGATAATGGTGGAAGAAGATAACATAGGGGATCAGAATGGCAGTACGAAAGAGGAAGAGCATAGAAGGGATCTCATGGCCGAAATCAAAAAAAGAAAATCGTGGTAGATCGTGCAATTTTCATCAAATCAGGGGTATATCATCAATCATGATACCTGGAGAGGTGCCCGACGCAGGGATATCTATTGTCGTCAAAGGCAGTCGTAAGTCATTATCCGTACGCGAACATCAAGCCCATGATCCCCGTCGGGAGGCGTCGGAGTAGTGGCCGTCCAGCCACCGGAAAAGGTCGGTCCCGTCATCCAAGACAACCGTCTCTCCATTCAACCAATTGGTCGCCAGTACATCGGCCGGCAGGGATGCAGGCAAAGGAGGAGGATTGACCGTCAGGATGCGATCCAGGATATTGGAGATGACCTTTCGCGCCCGCTGGCAGACGTCATACATCCCGTCATGCGGACGAACAACGTACTGCAGGTGCGAAGCGAAGACGGTCAGTTTCTGGATGACCTCCGATCGCCGGAAGGTGCTCGGAGGGAGTTGTGACTGGGACTCGGACTGGCATAGCAGCTCGATTGCCAAGACGCCGGCCGCCGGAATTCCAAAAGAAGAGGCCTAGACAAGGGTCAGCGTTCGAAAGGGGCACCGGATTTGCAACACGCACATTCCATCCAACATTGTAGGTACCTGTTCTCGACCCGATCTCCTTGCCGATCAGCTCGAGAATCGTGCCGAGTATGTTCTGTGACACACTGATTAGACCCTCGGATCCGGATTGCGACCGTCGGACAAGCACACGGTAGAGGAGAAAGTCATTGTAGAGAAAGTTGAGATACAACGGAACAAGGACACTGCTGTCATTCGAGTCCGAGTCACCAGGACGCCAGCGAAGGAAGCCTGGTAGGTCATTCCATGTCTTGTGAGACTGTTGCGACACCTCCCTGTGACGAACATTAGCTTGGGTGGCTGGAGGTGGGAAGAGGCAACTTACTGGACTTTGCGTGGCAACTCCTCAATACGACGACTGAGAGACAGCTCGAGGATCTGTTCTCTTGTAGAGCCAATGAGAAGGGCAATGCGCATCCACGCCGCCTGTCCAACGATGCCTTGAGTGTTCCAGCCAGTTTTATCAAGCTGGCTGATGGCCGCCTCGCGGACCTTTGGCTCCGCCAAAATTTCATCGTAGCTCAAGTCCAGGGGGAACTGTACATCGTAGTAGCGCCAGCTAATCTGAGGAGGCCGTCCCAGGAATGTTGCCAGCTGCTTGTCGATGCTGTATGCTCCTGCAATTAGTCGCTTACGCAATTCAAGCAAAAAGAAAGGGATGCGTTTGTCTTCGGGCGGGTTGTGACTGAGTGTAAAGACCGTTGTCGATAGATCGGCTAGCCTTCTCCACGCTCGAGGATCTGTCGACTAATTAGCATGAGTACACACGATGACTGATCGACACATACCATTCTCGCCAGAGACCAAGGTCAGAAGGTGAATGTGTTGAAAAAGCAACCAACCCAGGGAGTCGTTCACCGCGCTGGAGAGATCGCAGAACTGGAGGCAGGCATCGCTTCCACTGATCGCTTGAGCCGCGAGAGACTTCTGGTCCCTTGGTACGCTTCCATCATTCGCACGGACCGATCTCCAGTCGCGTTCAAGCATGGCACCTTGGCCCACGACGGTAAAGACCAGTCCAATACCCTCCCACCTCCCGGAGATACGGCGGATGTAGTCCTCCGGGGACATGGCGGGGTGAACAGCGAGGGGTTTGGAGCTGTCGTCGAAAATCTTCTGGGACCAGCGAAGCAGGCTGGACTGCAGGTCCTTCGTGTTGTTCGGATCTGAAGTCAGCGCTCCGTGCAAGTCGTCCAAAGCCTCAAACATGCCGCTAATCAGACGGTGGCCCAGGACGCATCCCTCTGGCCACACCTCGACCGACGTCTCAGCCAGTCGCTCGTAGAGCGGGAAGTTGTCGAACAACAACGCCAGCAGTCGGGCTCCGAGTTGTATTTGCTTCGGATCGGGCCGAGCCGCCGTGGGAGCATCGATGACCAGGGACCGTTTGAATTGGTCTCCAATGTCGCTAAAAACGGCCGAGTTGTTGGTGAAATCGACGGATAGCTTCTCATCGCCGCTGGGCGAAGGCCCACTCTGAAGGGCCGAGTCCGGGCGGGGTTGGGGACGGGGAGATGCGGTGGGCGAGGGGGCATTGTCTGAGTACCACGTCCGAGTAACTGGGGCCGAGAGATAGACACAATTGTCCCCCTTGCCACGACGCGTACAGTTCTGGCATTGCGGGATGGTGTTGTCGCAGCGGACCTTGGCCTTGCGACAAGGTTCACAAGGAAGAGGCTGGGCATTTCGTCGTGTGGAAGTCATGGTGATGACACCGCTAGACCCGGGAGGGGAAAAGAGGCAGGGAGAGAGATGGGGGAGTTGGGCTGCATTCAAGCAACGGGCCTGAAGAAGAACATGGCGATGAGTTGAAGCTCGGAGGAGCGACGGGAAGGCGGGCGGAGGATTTAAATGCAAGTCATTGCAGTAAATTGCAGTGGCAGGAAAAGCCCCTCGGGGATTGACTAACTATCCTCCGGTGGTTGGAGGCTCCGTTCTACGCTAAGCCGGATAGAGAGACCGTTCGACGGGGCTTCTCTGGAGACAAAGTATCCATCGGATTCATATCACAGACGTCCCATAAGTACTCCCCAAGTCGAACTAACATTCTCCCAAAACATCCCAAAGCAGACCCGTCATCACGCTCTCATACCCAATTGCATGTCGTCAGCCCTAGTGCTTGATCTCTGAGTCACCACCCTCAAAGGAGCTTTCAATCATTGTCTCCCCGAATCTGTTTATTTCTCTGAGACTTACTAACCAGGGGCTAATTATATCCCATACCTGGCAGTATCTAGGGTCTTCTCTAGAAGAGAAGTAAACCATGCCGGTATAATCGGCATTAAGATGTTCCGCCTGCTCCTCGGCTCGGCCCAGGGATAAGGACTGATCCGGAACAATCTTCCCAAGAATACAATATTCTCAGTCTTCTTGAAACGTTTTAACACGAAACTTCTATATCTTCCACTTCTCTTGAAATTCCTGCAGGAGGTCCTGCTGCTCCTGTGTATGGGGATACAGTGCCCGGAGGTTTTTAAGATTAGTGGCGATGCCCGCCACAGCCCCTAGCTTGAAAAATCCAGAGACCCGGAGGGCCCATGCTGCATGCTTACTCCCACAGTGAGGTATACCGAGGAATAAAAAACCCTTGACAGAGTTTTTCAACTCGCTAGTATGGCCCCCAATTTGCCAATCCTTCAACAGCTACCACAAATGAGCTTCGTCTCGGGAAGTTTGGGGGGAAGGGAAGCTTACGGTCGTCGTGATAAGACCTGCACGCCATTGTCCTAGATTAGCCACAGTTGAAACAAGGAGCATCGACATCCTTCTTACCTCCCATTGAGTGGGCGACGAAGAACAATAGCCGATTCGGCTGGGGTATGTTAGTCGTCGTGGTTATGTCCCTACAAGTTGTGTTGGGGTATACTAACACACGTCGCCCTCTGTCTGTCAAGGGCAAACCTAAGGTCCCTTGCATACTGCACAATAGTCCCCCAATTGCACGTTCCCCATCCGGCCACTGAAGAGTCATAACCGAATGTCATGACTCGACACTCTGGGGCGTCTTCTTGTAAAAGGTCCCGTGGCCAAAAGACGGGCTTGACACCTGGCTTGCGAATCTTCGTACTCCAGGTTAGCTGAGGGTGGCCTTGCAAACCGTGTATAAACATGATGCTAAGAGGTCAGAGCGGTCAGTTCGACAGAACCTGTCTATTAGAGTGTTGACCTTACTCTGCGATGGGCTCCTTTCCTTCCGCCGGAGAATATATGGCTGTCAGTCCGACGTTAGTGACACTAATCGCTAGTACTGTAGGACGCATCCCCGTGCATCGCAGGGCAGGATAGGGCGTGGGGTGGGTGGGGCTTATCTTATATGGAATAGTTGTGTCTTCCCATCGGGGAGCAGAAGGCCGGGTGGTCAGCCACCACGCTAAGGCTTTGCAGAAACACTCGAATGGAAGGGCTTCTTTCTCCTAGCAGGCAATAACGACAGATGTTCGATTGGCGGGCATTGTGGCTGAAGAAGGTGCTCGTCTGATTTGTCCCGGTGAGAGTGAGCCATTATAAGACATGAACGGCTACAAGTGGTCGAAAGGTCGCTCAACATGTTGAGAGCAAAGAAAGTGCTTGACGAGCCAATCAAAACTAATGGGTTAATCGAATAGCTTGCTAGCTGCAGCCGGAATGTGCCAGATTATCATTACGGAACTGGCTTCACCTCCTACTGGGCGTTCGTCATTGCGTACAGTTTCTGTCTTTCCTCCTCGCCCTCCGTCAGTACCCCTGCGCGCTTGCGGGGACAATGTGTATGTTTGAAAACGTGAGATACAGGGCCGACATGGCCATTGTGTTTGCCAAAAAGGCTTCCGTCGACCTAGCTGAGTCGTGGACACCCACCAATAAGTGTTTGAGCTTTGGAAACCCCAAATCGATCGGGCTGTGACCCATCCTCCGAACAGCACGTGTATTGTTGCAGGTATGCACTGCCACTCGTACTTGACTAAACGTCTCTAAATGCTCAAACGACACCTCCATTGTCTTTCGGGAGGGGGTGGGTGAGTGGGCAGAGGGATGTTGGACCGTAATTGCATACATCAATCCCCAGAATGATTGGCATACAGCACGCCATGTATATCACTATCTACAATTATCAACAAAGCAGAAATATTTATAGGACGTACGCAGAGAGATCTGGCGGTGAATTGGCATACGTCACTTTAGATGCTCCTTTACAAGGGATTTGTTTTCGTAGAGTGATGGGCTTCTACGTAGTTACGGAGGAGTTGTCTGTCGGCTCCGACTTAGGGAGATGACAGGTTTAAGGTTTCAAACGGGAGAAACAGTGACCGATCCCACAGCATCGTGGGATATTGGAGATGAAGAATATCCGGTCCAGATCCCCAGGATCCGCGCGGACTGAGAACAAGCTTTGACATTTACGGGACGCTAGTAAGTAGTACGTACTGGCGTCCCCACTTACCATCAGCCGTAGCCCCCCCCCTATCTACTAACAGTACCTAGTATATATAGGCGGCCCTTACCGTCTTACCCACTTAGTAGGCATCTTGTTCAAATCCATCGGTATTGGAATGGTGCATCAAAGTGATCCACATGTCGGCAATGGCCGCATCCTTACCCACAACTATGTGTATTATCATAACGATCACAGGATGGAATCGTACCCTGTTTAATGACAGCCATTATAGGAACCGGACCCGTGAGAACCAGGGCTGTGGTGAGCAGGCTCTGTAGCGACCAGGGCCATTTGTGGACTAGGTTTTTGAACACAGAGGGAGAACGACATGCCTAAAAAGCTGCCAAGAGCAGATCGTATCCTCGAATGCCTTGCCAGTCGTAGCCTGGAGGACTAGCCTATCGTCATTCGTCAGCATCAGGGTCAGGTTCTCTAAAGGGGAAGAAGAGGTCTCAGAATGCGCAAGATTCTACGCTCACGTCCCATCATGGATAAAAATTTGGACCTACGTCGGACAGGGAATTTCATCATTTCAAATAAAACCTACCACTGATCACGAATACCGAAACTCTATCTCTTGCCATGCCCCATTGAGACCCTTTTTTCACCCTCCCGTCCTGCTGCCCGCGTGGGTGAGAGCTGCGGCCCATGACCGCATATTTGCGGTGTCCGGGCGAAAATAATCTCGAGCATCGATTTGTTCCAAGCAAAAAAAAAAAAAAAAAAAAATGGAAAAAATGGAAAAAAAGAAAAGAAAAGAAAAGAAAAGAAAAGAAAAGAAAAGAAAAGAAAAGAAAAGAAAAGAAAAGAAAAGAAAAGAAAAGAAAAGAAAAGAAAAGAAAAGAAAAGAAAGAAAAAAGCCCTGACGGTTGAAAGAACCAGAGATCATTGGATAATTATTCCCGAAAATCTATCATACCCTTGAATCCCGAGAAGTCCCTGAAGGAAAAAAAAGAACCCCAATCATGTGATATACTTTAAACCGGCGATGCACAGATGAATTATGCATGACACTGACACTCAATCATCACCGGTGACCCTGCGCGGTCACTTGGGACGGAAGTGGGATTCTATATCCGGATGCATGTGAGGCATTGTACTGTAAGCAACAATTGGTCAGTCTCCCGTAGGCAACACTGCAGAGTTGTTCTTTGGATGGAATTGAGGATGGAATCTACTGGGATTCTGTATCCGGGTGCATGTGTGGCGCTGTACCGTAAGCCAAGCTTGCCTGAGTGTGTTGTTACGGGATGTACAAACAGTGTTCGATGCAACGTAAGAAGGGCTTGGATGTGGGCCTCCGATGGAAATGAGGCCGCGAGTCCTCAACTCGATGGTTTCGAGAGAGTACAGATCAAGCCGGAGCGGATGGTACTACTAAATTACAGTACTGACCAAAATACCGCGATGGAGTTCGATCTGGGAGATATTATTGGCTTGCGAAAATGGTTACTGGTATACGGATCATGGATGTGTACTACTAGCACTGCTACACAAGTACGTAGTAGTATTTTTGGGGTGGACGGTCTGGTTTGAGAGGAGAGGTACTACTTTGGTTAGTCCAAGCCTCACTTATGAGTGCAAAGATACTAGTAGTAGTACTGACCAGACTGAAGGCTGCCCAATCGGCGAATGACTACTAGTACTACAGTAGGCACTGACCATCCGCTGTGGATGACTTCCAATTGGAACGCCCTATTCCCCCCCGACAAAGAAGTAGAGGTATGGTGGACTAATCAACATGCTCTCTCTAAGTACGGCAAGCATCCTTGTGATGATTGTCACCAGATGGTAGACAATAACCACCCGGATAATCTATTTTTATACGGCGGAGTTCAAAGAGAAGAAGGGGGAAAGAAAGAAAGGAGGGAGAGAGGGAGAGAGAGGTAGATCCAAACATCCATTTTGCAGAGAAAAAAAGTGAAACGGTACCCGGATGTGAAGGATGGGAGAGGAAACCAAGGTAGAAAAAGATTGAGGAGATGGTATTGGTCCAGGTTATACCTACTACTAGTAGTAAGGTAGGTAGTACTAGCTGAGGTAGTACATACCCACTTACTAGTACCTAGTAGTAGTGGCCGGCGGGCACCTCAGGCCATTCCGAGGTGGGGGCCGCTGCCGCTGCGGTGCTGGTGCCAAGTGTTGCACCTTTTTAGAAAGGATGACCAGCCAACCAGCTAATGTCTGCGCGACACGTATCTAGGTACGGCGGGGGACGACCGAGAGTAAACGGCTTTTCATTTGGAAAACTTCCCCCCACATCCGCCTTCCGTTCCTACGCCGGCGGGCCGAATTTACTTAGCTAGACATGCGAGGTTTATGCAGATAAGATGAATCTATACTCCATCCCGACAACTGACGGCATCTGGTGCGGAACCACGGCCGCAGGCATCGTCAAGCCAGTCCGTTTTCTTTTGAGTTTCGTGATTGTGGTACAAGCTGAGGTGGCCGGCGGAGCTCCACCTCTTCAACTGCCACAAAACCCACAATGGCATTGGCCAAGCACCATTCTTCTAATTGGAGCGTTGAAGGTGCTGGGAAGACCTCTAGCGCGTCCCTCGGTGGCGAATTTCCTGGCCTACTACCTATCTACGGAGTACCGCATGATTTGCCTGACTTCATTCGGATGTAACTTTCCTCACCCAAAAGACACTCAGTCGGGGCTTTATTGGACGGCCAGGGCTGGCCGTGACATAGGGGGCTCTCCGGGTTGTCTGATTCAATCTATCGCTGATATCTACCAAACTGCTCGCTGTAAGCTATTCAACCCCGTTGCCCCACCCCGCTGCCTTTGCATTTCCCAGCTTCCTACCTCAACTAATCCTCAAAGATTCATTAGCCACCAAGACGAGAACATGCAACATGTCGAAGATACTTTCCAGGCTTTGATCTTGGATGTGGAAATTGTGCATAATAGCTTTCCGAGACTGCTGACGGTCTACCGACAACCGTTAACCTCCCCCCAACAGTCGGCATTGACCGGGCTCATACACTCACCGGTCGTCATCAAAGGTGCAAGCCTTCTGAATTCGTCCCAAACGTTCCTGCCATACTTTCTCTGGATCGACGGTATCACTCTTGTCAGATGAACGCATCCTTGATGAGTTGGTTTTACAACGCATTCCCTGTTTGACACCCACTTCCAACATGGAGACGAGACCCCCCGCCCGTACCATGGACGCGATGATCCCTCTTCCTGGGTTCCAACCGGTAGGGGCCTTGTTTAGATAAAGTTTAGCACTAGCATTTAGCTTCGGGATCGGCTGCAGATCCAAATCGCCCTGATCACCACCGGCATTGTAGCATTGTGCATCCGTGCATGGGACAGAAAGCAACATTGCAGCACCCCGATAACCTTGATACGGCGAAACTATACCACGCGACATGATGTATAAGATGGCCTGGCCTGGCCTGGCCTGGGTGGAGCAGAGCCTCCTGGGGATCCATCATAGTCCGATGCGCTGCACCCTTGCACCTACCTCATTATGACACGGTACGTTGGTGCTCCCCGACCCTTTTTCAATCCAGACTGACGACGGAAAATCGTCCTAGTACACCCGCCGACGAATACGTCCTTCTTACGAATAAAGATGCTCGGCTGGATCCATCCGAGGTCGATGATATCTACAGCCAGCTCCAGCCAGCCGATCCGGCATCCCTGGAAGGCGAATGGGACATGCATGTCATCGATACGGGCCATCCTGCCCAAGCCTTAGCAGAGGACATACTCCCTCTCATGAACACCATGGACCCGGATGCAGGTACTGGGAAGGTTAGCTGTCGCCTTAACGAGGCTATCTCGAAGCATCCCAGCCCAGGGTTAATTTGACTTGATAGATTCACGAGATGAAGTTCCACGGAGCTGCTGGTAGCCTGCTGGTCCCGGAAGATCAGGGAATGAAGCAGCGTTTTCGCTATGTGGACGAAAGTACGATCGCTGCCACCAATGATTACCGGCCTCACTACGGCGATTCGGGCGTTCTTCATTTCTACCTCACCAGGGCGGAGGATTGATGTCCTATAGATCTTTGGGGAAATTCTTGACGGTGACTAGCTTACAATGGCGCAGTGTACCGTACCTGGGAATTGATTTTATTTGATTTCTACCCTCTTGGAGGCCTTGCCGAGCCAGGACCAAAACAACGTGTATCCGGGACAGCCAGAAAGTGGCAACTAATCAACAGGCAGTCTCTCAATCATTGGAATCCAACACTCGTGCAATTTAAACGTAGCGCGGGTCTGATCAAGGGCGAGGTCCCGGGCGCTTTTAGGTACGTGCATGCGAGGATAGCTGAGCAGGAAGTCCAGGAGCTCCTCATTGCGTGTGGTTATTGCCCGGCCGAGCGGGGTTTGGTGGAAAGGTATATCTCGGTGGAGCTGCAGCATATCAAGGTCTTTACGGCCCATAATGGCATCGACAATGTCCATCCGGTTGTACCCGATAGCTGTTGTGAGTGCCGATTCTTTGGTGACATCTAGCGCATACAGGTCGATTGGATAACGCAGCAGGTGCATGGCCACGATCCGGTTGGGGTTCCACAGAGCATATTGCAGCGCTGTGTGGCCCGCTGTGTTCCTCGCATTGAGCAGCTCGGGGGCCTGTTCCAAAATGTAGTCGATTATCTCGGGTCCGCCGCGGACGTTCAGCGCAGCCCGATGCAGCGCCGTCGCACCGTACGCAAAGCTTAGGTCACGGATCTTGGTCCCATTGCAGACGGCCTGGTGAAGGAGGTCGAGCCTGTTGTCAACGCAAATGGTGTCAATGACATTGGCAAACGTGAAAGTCCCGCCGGCTTCAATCAGCACTTCGATGATCGTGCTCTGGGTGGGATATGAGTCACTCAGACAATGGGGCAAGACATAGTCGAGCGGGCGAGCATCGCGCCAGTACCCTGTCTGATTGGGATTGGCCTGGTAGTGAAGCAGCAACCGAACGCACTCAAGTTGCATATGCGCTACAGCCAGAGCAAGCAGCGGGATTTCAGAGGTGCTGTACACACAAGGATCCATGCCATTGTCCAGGAGATGTTGGAGCCCTTTGCAATTGCCGTCCCTCATCAGCCGTGGTGCAGCCTCGGAAGTGCATGGCTCAAACAAACATCGGGACGCTCGGCCGCCGATGTACCGACATCGGTATATCTCGAGCGGGAACCCGACCAGTGCTCGATCCTCACTCAATATCGCTTCCACTTGCAGAAGCCGATAGAAACTCATGTCGCTCCGCAGGAGGACGAACTGCTTTACTGACACGCCCAGGCATTCTTCCATATGAAGACACAGCTCTAAAGGCCAGTCTCCAATGGCGGCTGTATGTCCCCGAAACAGCGGCTTTGATGGGATTGGAGGTTCCATTGACCCAGATATTGGTAGGAGACGATTGTTCGTGGGAGGAAATCGGTCCTAAAAATGGCCGGTGATGATGATGATGGCCAGGGGGTTTATAACCCCGCGTCAAGGGCCATATATCCCTGTCGAGAAATCTCCCATTCTCGTCATCGGCGGTTACCTTGAAAGATCGGATGCGAGTAGATGGCGAGACATGTGCCTTTCCCTCTACCCTACTTCTGATTTGTTACATGGTCAACAGGACGATAGTTCATGCATGATGTCGTTTCCCAGAAGGAAATGACCGTGGACGCAACCCATTCATAATTTCTCCCTGATGCCGTCTGCAACAGCCGGAAGATATCTACCACACCTACCAAGGTAGACCTCAACCGTCGACTATCGAGGGACTGAAAGGTTCATCTGGTACCTAGCCCACACTGACAGCCATCTGATCTCCCAGCAGTCGTTGAATTCCTATTCATGTATGACTGACCAGGTTCAGATATTATGGAAAAACCAGCACAAGCAACGGCAAATCCCCACTCTGGGGGTGGGTCCATCCGATAAGAAAGAACCCCGCTACGGAACCTCGATAATATCCACAAGCAATAATGATATCGTACTATGTACGTACTAGTAATCCCAACTCTAACCCCACAATGAACGGAAGTTTACATACAACCATATCCATATCCCACTACCTAACCAACTTTCCCGTCTATCTAGTACATACCTAACCCCCCACGAAACCGCGCCTTTGAATCACCTCTAGTAAACCTAACTAACTCCTAATATCCACCACCCAATCCAAAAAAAAAAAAAAATAAAAATAAAAAAACCTCCCCCCATTTCAACAAAACCGTAATAGCATCCCAGGTTTGAAATCATGACCCCCCACCCCCCAATCCCATTCACGCATTGACAAGATAGTATATCCTCCAACCAAAGAAACTGCACTCATTCACTTATTTTCTTCACTTATCTACTCTACAGTAAACGGGGATGTTCTTCAATCCCGGATAAATTAGGGCTCGGGGCCGGCCATCTGACACGTCTTAGTTTAGTACTATGGGTACACGAAGCGGGAGTAACAATTAGGGTTAGGGTTATGTGTTTCTGAGATTAGATGGATAGATGGATTTAATGGTGTGGAGATTGGGGGATGATGGACGATATATATGTATGTAAGGAACGAAGGAAGAGAGGAAGGAAGGAAGGGGTTATTGTATTGGCTGGGTCATACTACTACTACTATGGACTGAGTAACTGACTGAGGGGGGGGGGGGTTGAGATAGAGTTGTCTGTGGTGGGTATTACCTAAAGAGGATGGGATTGTAGTGTTATGTGCTCTTCATTGTACCTAGTGGCGCTGTATTAGTATGGGTGGGGTGATGGGATTGGGCTTGCAGAGTAAGTGATTTATGAATCGTTAGTTGTGGACTACTAACTAATAAACTGTGTTCGTTCTGATATAGTCATTGTTTGGAGCAGAATGGGTATATTAGAAGAGAAACTCCGGTATACACAACCCATCAACCAGCGAGCAAGCCAGTCAAGAATTAGTGAATGGTATGGTAGTATCCCGAACGCCTCGCCAAATGAGAATTTTGACAACTTATAAACAACATCACGTTACGGTCGCCGTTCAGTCACCGTCCATCGTCTTTTATGTCCTAGGTCGCGTTCCTTGCTCAGCGGTGAGCTGCTCCATAGGCCCCGCTGGGAGAGCGTTCGCTGTGGGAGTTTTGCCCAGGTCGAGTCGTCTGCCTTCAATGTCGAAGCTTGGCTGTCGCCGTTGACGGCCGGAGCTGATGGAGTGGGCCAGTCAAAGTTGGGCACAATCTCGTCGGTCGGCTCGGCGATCGAGCCCCAGAGGCCAGACGATTTGGATGAGACTGCTGTCGAGGGCCGCTCGGCACTCCATGGCTCCGTGGTTGGACCAGAAGTCGATGAGGGTCCGATGATGAATAACCCCTGGGACAGCGACGGACGATTTGCCACGCGTCGGTAGGACGACACCGACGGGGATGTCACATGGCTCGGAGAAGAAACGCGCGATGTGCTGCCGGTTGCACGGAGGTGCTCTGTCGAGGCCACCAATTTCATGCTATAGCTTGCCAAGCTGGACGACTCGTCCGCCGACCCCCTGGCCCGCACAGGACCGCCGATGGAATCGCCTTCGGCCGTTTCTGGCAGGCGATCATTCCGGACCGCCAGCGTCAGGGAGGCCGTGCCGATATTTACAAGGGCTGGCTCCCCGGACAATGCCCCAATGAGCGCATTGCAGCCGGCCCCGTGGGTGATGACAACCAAGATCGTCTCTGTTGCTTCCTCCGCGTCATTTAGTGGACTGGCCTCCTCCGAGCCGTCTAGCGTCTGTGAATGCCGTCGCGGCCGACCGGAGGGAATAGAAGGATCATGGTCTCGATACCAGCTAATCATGCGGTCGAGTCCAGTGCGGAACCGCGTATGCATAGTGCTCCATTCTTCGCCGTAGTCGCCGCCATCGCCCCAATTCTGCTCCCCGTGCATGCTATCCCACTGAAAATCAATCTTCACGCAAGCATCCCGAGCATGCGTGACATATCCCGCGGGGATGGGGTCTGACGGCGAAATAGCATAGCTAGGTGTCGGAGGCACGTACGCCGCATCCGGGATGGAGGGGAGGTTCGTGTTGATCCGGCTGAGGGTCCGCCGTCCTCGGGTGTTTTCCGCAGAGCCCAAGGCGTCACAGCTACCTGCGCGAGACCTTTGTCCCAGTGTCTGGCGTGTGACGGGTGGCAGCCCTGCCTTGACCGCCCCAGTCGGTTCGATCGCGGGCGAGACAGGAGTGGAGGCGCTTCCCCAGCCACCAGGGAAAAAGCCAGTTGACGGCCTGGGGCCGGTATCAGCTGGAGGCACAAAACTATGTTCGCGTCGCAATAGTTCGAGCTTGGCGGCGGTGATCATACGATCCGAGTTGGGTGGAGGGATAATTTCGTCAAAGTAGTCCGGGCAAAGCCATTCACCGAGGAAGGCATCCACGCGTAAAAGACATCGATGGTCGTTCGATGAGATAGGCCCCGGGGTCAAGGAAGATTCCGAGCTGGACTGGACTATCGTCGAGGCCTTCGAAGGGGTGAAATCCGGTTCGCCAGAATTCTGACAAATCCCTGAACTGACCGCGATGGCCGTCTGCAGGCATCGGGTAAATGGGGAGGTGTGAATGATGATGCGACGCTTGGGTTTGGGTTTTTGGAGACGATCGGAAGGTGCCTTGACCCCGTCCTCTGTTTGTGTTGTCGAGTCGAGGGAGCCACCTAATGACTGTATGATGTCGATGATGCGAGTACCCAGCGTACGGGACTGTAACCAACCGCCGTAGGAGAGAGGAGGGTCATAGGGGGTGGGGGAGGTGAGGTGCCAGTTCTTGTCGGCTGCGTCCAAGCGAGCACCATGTCTAGACCGAGCTGGTCAGCTATTGATGGCGCATCAGAGGGGTGGACATACCGAGCAATAATGATGGCAGCAGGGGGTTTCCCCATGGCGCAAGAGACTGCGTCAAGAGACGCGAGGGAGTGGGTTCGAGGAGGATGAGAAGAAAAAAAATGAAAAGGAGAGAAACAGATGGAGGAGAAGAGAGGGGAGGCAGAGATGATAAAGATGGAAGTGGACACCGACAACAATGAAAGGCGCTGGAGGGGAAGCTCCTTATTGTCCGTCGAGCTGTCCGGCGGGGTAAAGCATCGTCCAGCCACGATCACAACGCGTCACACAAGGCGACCAGGGAAGCCGGCAGGGACATCATGATGGAGAGGGATGAAACCAGGTCGAGACGCGATCGGCACTGTCACATTGTTTCGCGATAAAATCGGAGCGATCGCCCTCCTTACTTTTTTTTTTTTTTCTCCCTCCCCGCGTGCTTTAAATTTTCAACATCTTCCAACCGCCGGCGAGGCGAGTTCAGGCCGCCGCTTTTTTTTCTCCGACAGCATGTGATTGCGGAGGCGGTGAGGTCATTCGCTCGCTTAGGTCAGCCGGCCGCCCGCCGATCCTCGGCATCGTCCAGTTCCGCTCCGGCAATAGGCGATGCCAGCCAGCCATCTTTCCAAGACGAACAGCGCTACGTCTGGAGCATGCCACAATTTCGTGATACGTGGATTAACCTGGGGCTATTTATCTCCTCGAATATGGGATGACATGGCTTGCTTGGTGGCTTCCACGAGCCAAAGAACTGGTGCCAGCGCATGCCCTAGCACAACTATATACAACCAGGGCCCATCCTTGGCACCAAAAGAATGCCCTTGCAAGAGGCATAAATCTTTACTACAACTTGCTCATGCGACAGTCCGACTCCCCCCGATAGACAGCCAGCTGGTCGAGAAATCCCTGCCAGCGTGAAGCCGATACAAAAGGCGCCGTACAATATACTTCAGGCTCCAAGCGGTCAAGTAAATTCTCCAGACGAGGAAAAACAGCATTGGCTGCTTGCTCTTCCATGCTCATAATCTCCATCCTTGAAAGCACGCCGTGTTCAACGTACCAACTAGGATCCAGTTGTACAACCCCCGCTTCATACAGGGAAAGCAAGTCGCGGTCCACTCCGGCGTCGAGAGCGGCGTCGTAAACCATGCGGTGACCGATCGCTTCCACAAGGGGCCGACATCGGGGCAGCATGATATTGTTGTATTTCTCGCTCCGGTGGCCATGGGGCATCGATCGAAGCAGGTCAAGATTTTCAGCGAGCAGCCCGGCTTCGTGTCTCGCAAGAAGAGAACCCGAATGTCGAGCAGGAAGAACAGAGCATCTCCCTAGTAAGAGCTCGGTGGCAAATCCTGGGAACAATTTCATTAGAGAAAATGTTGAAGAAAGCTCTGCTGGTTCTGCAGTGCGACTCACGAATGCAGAGAACAAGAATATCGCCTTCCATGATCGATAGAGCACGAACATGACCCTGTTGTGGTTGACTAGTTAGCCGAGGCAGGGATGAAAGAAACAAATCACAGTACATCAAAGTTGGATAATTGGTTGTGCTCAAACAGGCCCTGTGCGCCGCAACGTTCGATAAGCGATGCAAAGCTCTTTTGGCAATGCTGAATGAAGACCGCCTTGGAGATGGTGGCGATCGCTTGTCGCTCACCCGGGCCATTGGCCGAATCGCAGAAGCGGGAGATAATTTCGGTTGTAAAGGGCTCTATCACTGCACTCAGAGCGAGGGTATGCAAAATGGGTAGTTGTTGGGTCCTGAAACTGATAATTGGAACACGGCTGTTCCTTGGCCCTCCAATCGCTCTTCGCAGACTGTATCGGCCAACCAGGTACGCAGCCATTTTCAGAGCGGGCAGCAGCACCAGGCTGGCCGAAACAGCTCCCACGCCGACCCGATGAAGCATGGCCAGAAAATGTTGACGCATTTCGCCTGGTTTAGCCAGGCTGCCCAGCATGGCGTCTGCCGGTAACGACACCTTGTTGAACGAGGTCAAGGCGTGATCGAGTGCATCTCCACCCTTCATGGGTGGCAGAAGCCTGTGGAAAACGCAGTCAGCTCATAGCGTTTGCCACCAGACGTAGACGTACTGACACTGATGTGACCCCCCTGCACATCGTATTCCCATCGTTCAAGGGTACAACAAATGCACGGACTCCGCGATCCTCATTGTCGACAATCAGCTTGGCCATCACAAGGCCAACCCGAGGGACGTTCGCAACTGGCATCGTTGGGGGCATGAACCTGCAGCATGGTCAGCTTTTCTTCCAGGTCCTGTCAATTGGTTCCGAGAGGAAGAACAACTTTGCAGCACCGGGGCGAGGTGTATGAAGGATGAAGCTCCCATCTGGCTGTCGAGTGGCCGTGGTCTCGAGGTTCTTGGCATCTAAACCATGATCCAGTTCGGTCAACATGAAGACGCCTCTGCGAAGAAATCAGACACCAGGATCGGTCGTATGTGATGCGGGCAAGCAATTTACAAGATCTCTAAGCTCAAGAGCTTTTGCATGAGCGGCTCGAGATCGGGTCTTCCATCAACAAAAGGGGAAATGGTTCCCACCACCAGATTGTACTGCATCGCGAGAATGTAATACGTAGTTAAGTCCACGGTCATCAGGAATTCCATATGGCAGGCCCAGAACCTTTCGGAGAGGGTGTGGATATCGGCCATGGAGAGTCCTGTCTGCAATTAGCCCCTGACCGGCATCGGGCTACTAACGCTCACGGTAGTGTTTGGCTATAGCAACAGCTCTCTGGTAGGAACGTTCCAAAGCCTCAAGACGTGAAACGCCATAGATTGGTTGGAAGAGGGGCGACGAAGCCAAAGAAGCTGTGTCCGGAAGGATGCGGTGCATTTTCGCAGAACGAAAGCAAGCAAGAGATGGCAGAACAAGACTAAATGGTAGACTGGTTTTGGCAAGAAGAAGAGCGAGCTGGCTAGTTTTATATGTGAGATGGGTGTCCCAGGCTATCTCGCTAATGCATCTTTGCGCACTATTGACTGCAAAGGCTCTCGAGCCTGGCCGAAAGAGATTGGGAAGCACAACGCTGCTGATAGCATTGGTCCGACATGTCAAGAATGTCATTGACGAATTTTACCGGTGAATGGCATACAATAGAGGCTTCCGCAAACCTCCTGTTCGGACAGATGGAATGGGATGGTTGCCCCTTTGCCTCGGCTTGTGTGACTCTGTCGACAGATTCATGCATGGCCCGTGCAGCTGAATGAACAATGAATGGGGAAGAGATCAGTGGGGCCAAGGTATCTGTTTCCAATAGACTGCAGCTTATGGGATAATACTTCAATACTTGCTGCGACCGTCGCTGGCGGATGCTGCTGGTAGGAAAAGCAACGAAAACGGCCACTCCGGAGCCCCTCCGACCCTATCCGACCCTATCCGGCTCATCATGGTCAACAGGCGCACTCGCTGCAACCGTGAGACGGAGTATCTCATGATCAGACTGGGATGATCTAGATTAGGACAATCTTCATGGGTCACGGAGTCCAGAGTAGATATAAGAAACTATTCACCGTTGACCAACTTTGTTCGCGGTGAACCTGGTGGAGCCGGCATCTGACATGTTTGGTACATAGTACTCCATCCAGTGCAAAACCTATCCCAGCATGGTAGTCCACCAGTGGTCAAACTCGGTGGTTGGCGACCTGGCTTGAAGTTACTCCGTACAAAATCCGGGTCGGAATCTTTGACGGGCTAGCACGTTCTAGTATGGCTGCAATCGTCTTCACTCTCCAGGTTCCTAATCCCGCTCTAGGACCGAGTGATGCTTTCAGTGTAATAATGATATGGACGGTGGATAAAAGAGCTCGTGTTCCACCGGCAGAGAAATTGTAGACCTCTACCGGACTAGCCTGACTGCCTGAGGCTGTGCCGATCGAAGAACCAAGTCTCGAAAAGGAGTAGTGCTGATCTTTTCAGCAACCCCCCGATTAGGTCTGTGGCTGGAAGGGCCAAGAGAGTGAGCAAGTAATATGGAATGACTCGGTCGGTTTCGTTGGAGAAGAGCCGGTAGGAAGGTGATGAAAAGGCGCCGACAGACGAAGAAGATTGGCTTCCTAGGAGGACAGTATAGACTGAAAGCGATTGCTTTAGCAAAGAAAATCGGATTCAAAGTGATCCCGACTATCACAGGAGGCAAATGGGAGGAAGGAGACCAGCTAAGCGGAGAAAACAGGCGATCACATGACGACGTAGGGATACCACTACGTATATACCGGGAGAGAGTCAGAAAAGAAATTTCTCCAGTGGAGTATGTTTATTTCTGACATCCGGATAAAGTCTTTTCTCCCGTCTAACCACGACTAGCTAGAGAGCTTGGCCATGTCCCCTTCCCTCCACTTCTCGGGCCCGACAGCTGAAAAGCTTGGACTTATCGGCATCCCGTTCGGACGGTTTTGTTCCTTGGCTCGTGTGAGAACCAATCCCTGCATGCGCATCGTGTCAAAGACCCCGACGGATATGTCCTTCTTCCGACGGATGAGGGATCCTGTGAGCCAATAGCATTGCAGGACAGTGCACTGGTGGCGACGCAGTGGGTCTCCGGCAGACATCATAGGAATTTGGGCTATCTTACGGAGGAGATAGACCGATGCTTCATCAATGTCCCGTGCATCATACATAAGGTGCGCGGGCCCCAAGCTCGGCCGTTCGGCCTCTCACCAGCTGTTTTCGCGCCCGATCTACCCCGGTCGGTACTCAGAGGTTTGATTGAACATGTCCTCGGAAACCACGGACAACGATCAACAACTCCCCCAAGATGGATCGCCATATGACTCCGAGTCCACCATCGGTCGTGGCCACTTGCAGGATGAGGATCCCAAGGCACTGACTCGGCTCGAAACCGCGCAGTCGGCTCTCAAGCCGCCGTCTGTGCTCTGGAAGGAAATCATCTTCATTGCGGTGGTTTGCATGGCCCAATTTATGACGCAGGCCGGACTATGCATGTCCATCGCCCCCGCCCACATCATCGGCGCCAGCTTCAACACCACCAGCCCGGGCGAGCTGAGTTGGTTCGCCGCCGCCTACAGCTTGACGGTCGGAACCTTCATCCTGGTCGCCGGCCGGCTCGGGGATGTCTACGGCCATCGACTCATGTTCATCATCGGATTCTCGTGGTTCGGACTGTGGTCTCTGCTGGCCGGATTCAGCGTCTGGTCCAACAAGGTCTTCTTCGATTGCTGCCGGGCATTGCAGGGAATCGGTCCCGCCATGTTGCTCCCGAACGCGATTGCGATCCTCGGTCGCGCGTATCCCCCTGGTCTGCGTAAGGAGATGATCTTCAGCTGTTTCGGAGCCACAGCGCCCGGCGGGTTCATCGTTGGAGGTGTATTCTCCTCCCTCTTTGCGCAGCTCGTGTGGTGGCCCTGGGCGTACTGGGTCATGGGCATGGTGTGCTTCGTTTTGGCTGCGCTGGGTATGCTTGTGATACCGTATACGCACCGTCCGAAGTTCAAGGACGACATGACGACTTGGACGCGATTGGACCTTCTCGGTGCTCTAACCGGTATCTCGGGTCTCGTTTTAATCAACTTCGCCTGGAACCAGGCTGCCTTGGTGGGGTGGGCAACCCCTTACACCTACGTCCTTCTCATCATCGGGTTCCTTATCTTCGGCATCTTCGTTTTTGTCGAACGTTCAGCCCCGTGCCCGCTAATCCCGAGATCGGTGCTAACGGGCGATCTGGCTTGGGTCCTCGGGTGCATTGCGGCAGGCTGGTCCAGCTTCGGCATCATCATCTACTATTTCTACCAATTCATGGAGGTCATAAAGGACGACTCGCCACTACTTGCGACTGCCAAATGGTCCGCCGCGGCGCCCTCTGGTGCGGTCGCGGCTCTGATCACAGGTTTCCTGCTGGGGAAATTGCCTCCTAGTGTCATTATGTTCTTCGCCATGTGCTTTTTCACCGCTGGCCAGGCGATCTTCGCGACGGTACCCTTGCATCAGACATATTGGGCGCAGGCGTTCGTCGTCAGTTTGATTACATCATGGGGAATGTACGTTATATCACGCTTTATCATCCCAGCCCGTAGATACTGACTATAGCCAGGGATATGTCCTTCCCATCCGGTACGCTGATCCTGAGCAATTCCATGCACCATCACCACCAAGGCCTTGCGGCATCGTTGGTCACCACCACCGTGAATTACTCCATCTCCCTTGGACTTGGCTTCGCAGGCACTGTGGAGTCGAATGTCAACGATGGCGGGAGAAATCCCCTCAAGGGGTACCGGGGGGCGCTGTATCTGGGCATTGGGCTTGCTGCGTTGGGACTGGTCACGTCCATTTGCTTTATGTCTGTTAGTTGGAGACGACATCGCCTGGGGAAGGAATCTTCGTGAGATGTAATGTTCCCTGGAAATGATAGATTACATACATATATGTCGGGCGGTAAGGGTTGACTGCAATTACCCGTTGGGGAAGAATGCTACCTACCCCGCAACTCCAACTGTCACCTAGAAAAAACCATCATCCATCGTTCACTTCGAAGCCTTCGTCTCAATTGTTCACTTTCTATTCTTGCGATAATCTCATCTAAAGAATGTTGTATCCTGGCTCGTGAACAGTCAAGGGAAAGATAGGATGGCGAAATTCGCACTACTCTACTCGATGACTGGTGTGGGGCACTGGGCATCCTCGGAAGACAGTGAATCCAGTGAGCTAGAGGGCAAGGCTTTTTCAGGTAGAATGAAGTATGTTCATGCCGAATCTCAACAAATGCTGTGACATTACTGATATGCGGCACAGAATATACTTGACGACCAGTCGCCGTAATACTGCCACGCACTCTGCAAAAGTACCTTCGAGACTACGAGCCTGCGATGTCATCGCCCCATCAAATCTGCCTTATTCCATGGTAAGACATAGATGCCTGTCAATGTGACTGACTCATTGGGCCCACGTCAGTGGCTCAAAGACCGGAACAAAAGTCCGCGCTACTCTTGCTGCTGGTGATTCACCGGCTGGAAAGCTGTCGGCCTAGCCGAAAGAACGGGGGCTTGCTTGAATCCAACATACTGACAAGGATATGACGGTTGGTGCTGACAGCTAACAGTGCGCCACATCAGCTCTGCTCGCATCGCTAGTTATGATAGCCCGACAGGGAGGGGTTGTTAATGGCCAATCATGGGCGGAAGCTTCAGTAGGCCAGTTGTAGGCACAGCCCGACAAAGTCGAGCTTCTCTAATTTCTTCTGTCGACATTTATTCCTGCTCTTCCCCCCTTGAATCTACCTGGGTGACCTGGCTACACGTTGTGTTTACGTTGCCAGGATACCCTCACACTGGAGTCATGGGTAGGTTAAATTTGGAACATTGCTTGCACCAATCAGACTGGCTTTTCCCATCATCACATGACAAAGTTAGTGAATTGGCCAATCACTTCAGAGATTTGCCTCCGCGTTCTTTTATTTTCTTTCTACTTTGCTAATACTAGACATGCAGGGCCGCGCGCTCTGCAACTGCTGCAACAACCACCATCACGATGCCGGACCCCGACATCTTAGTCGACCTTTTTAATCACATCGCGTTTCCCCCGAAGCTTCCAGGCCGACGGGACAAGCAGCCCGCGGATGTCGAACATGAGCTGATCACCCGCTTGCGCCATGCGGTTCAAACGCTCCAAGAGTCGGTGGATGATGACATAAAACCTGCGTGGCAGCTCATCCAACGGACACTCCATGTAAGTCGGGAGGTGAACGAGGAGGGGATGGTAGAGAAAGATGATATGTTAGAGGCATTCAAGAATCTGAATTCACAATGTGCTATTATCGTCAACATCGGTGAGCAGAACGCAGCACTCCTCATTCGAAAGGCCGAGTAGGTTACTACAGTTCTTATTCTTTTCTATAACTTTTCCTAATATGCTATCGACAGAGAAAGCGATGAAGTCATATTCGAGGCCTTCGAAACGTCCACCAGTGCGGAGCAAACCCTTGCCGCTCCAGGGGCCCTCCAATGGCAGTTTCCAGGAACGGCAGTCTCTTTGCCTTGCGAAGAGTTCCAAAACCCTGTTCTCCAACAAACCCTCGGTCAATTTTTAGAAGATGCCAGCATCGAAGAACTGGACGAGTTCGCTGCGAAAACGCGCAAAGCGGGAAAAGAACTAGTTGAGAACCGAGATACCGTTGACCCTGCCATCATTACAGATTTTCTGATCACACTACTCGGAGTGAATGGTAGATACATATACCCGCCCCTTCTATGCAAGCGTATCAAAGACGATGTGTGCTGGGATAACGCTGAGCTCCCGTGGCAGCGGAGTCCCTTTTGGTTGGTGCTTCGGGTTTGCATCCAACGCCTACTTTACCTGCGCCTGGGTGACGCCCTAGGCCGCCTGCACTACAAGTTTCTGCTATGCACTGTCCTCGGGCATCTCTTGGAGGAAATTGTTGATCTGAAAGTCTTGGCACCCGAGCAATGGAGTTGGTTGAACACCAAGTTGTGCCGTCGGTTGGCAAAGCTAGAAACAGAGACAGAAGCTTCATCGCCAGCAGTAAAGGCTGCACATAGTCGCCTATCCCGAACGATCGAGCCACTTTGTGAACGATTTATCGGAGCCACGAAGAATGCCATTAACCATGAATGGGAGGCGTTCAGAAGAGGTGTACAGCGAAGAATACCACCTTTGCCACCCTACGCCCGTGACAAAGATCTTATTCTAACCCTACCCAACAGCATCGCATATCTTCAGAACGTCCTGAACTCTCCTCGGAATAATAATGCCAGGAGGCGAGAGGCGGATTCGGCTGCTTTGGAAAGACCATGGGAAAAGACGGCTGGTCAATTTGACAGCCTATCAAAGCAATATTCATCAATTGCGGAAATGGAGATGGCGATCGAGTCGGACAAAAGCAGTGATGGCTGCCTCGGTGTTGCTGACCGGATCGAGGGTTACCTAAAGACCGCAGGGGACGCCCACGATGGAGACCCGGAGCAAATGAGTCTGTTTATCCTGAATGTCTTCGACCTATGGGTACGCATGGACAGAAAGGCCACAGCCGAATTTCCATTACTCGCCGAGTATCATCCCGGGTTCGAGCCAAAGCTACTAGATGTGATACTTCTCTCAAGGCCAAACGACCTCAGGCGTCTACAAATGATACAGACACATCTGCATGACCGCTGCACAAACGCGTCCATGGGAAATATGTCGATCTTTACGGATCCGTCTCCAGGATGCTTTGCAGATCGCTATCTAAAACACTCGGTTGGGAAAGGCCTCGTCAAGTTGCAAGAGCAGATTGAAACCAGATCTTTGGCTGCCAGAGATGCTAAAGAGAAAGAACTCGCGAGAGTCAACCAGGATTTCATGTCACTGACCGAGAAGAAAGACATGACTGATTGTACGCAGCGGAGGAACCCTGACGGCGGGCATGATATCCGAGGATGCAGTCACTGCTATTATATTCGGTGTCGTCGACGCCTACAGATCGGTGTGCATGAAGACTATCTACCTGAAGATCATAGAATGGCCGAAAAACGGGCTATCGTGTTTGAATTGGGAATTCCCGACGCATTTGACGCGTATCGCAATGTGACGTGGATTATCATCAATCGCTTCGGACCTCAGGTGAATTCGGCTGCAGATGAGCCCCAAATGCTGCTCAAGGACAATAGCCGGCTTTGGTCATACAAATTGCACAAGCACAAGCGTTGTCGAGGAACGTTCTCGCTAGCCTCCTGCATAAAGTCTCACTTGGAGACACATTACAAGTGGAAGAGCTTGCCCGCGTCGCCAAAGAATGTTCTGCGTCCACTCGGGATGAAATTCGTGTACTATGACTTTGGACGGCGACGATGGGCCACAGACAAGCCGGACCCGCTCACCTTCGCACATCATTTTGCTCTTTCTTTACCTCCGAAGCTACCGTTGTCGGGCCTGTATTCTTCGCCTAGTTTTGCCCCTGATGGTCCGGGTCCGTCCTCGTACGAGGCCTTTGCGAATATGCGGGATTGTCCTGCCACTGTTACCGTCCACGAGTTTATGGCCAGTCAAGCCCTGATGGCTGGCAGGCACCGTCGCTGGCTATCCATTCTGACGGAACTCGGGTCTTCGAATATCAATCTCAGCTCGCTGGACACCATGGTCTTGCTGCGTCATCTTGCTCTGCAAGCTGGTCCTGGGCTACAGGATGACCCCATGCGCGTTGTACACACTGTCTTCAACGATGCTAATTTCTGTAAACGGCTTGTCACACAAATCGATCAACATGTTTCCATCATTGCGCCCAACTGGCGCGAGACCACCTACATGGAAACCCTGCTTACATTGACGATTCAGGCGTGCAATTTAGGCGGATTCGGAACTGCGGGAGTCAGGTATTTACTGTTGAAGATTCGCCGCGTCACACTCGAATGGATCAATCACTTGCGGCTAGAGGCTCGAAACGCCACGGAGGTCGACGTTGCAGAAAGGGCAGCTCGTTATTGTTTCCTCGCCGCGCTTCTTTGCAGGCGTACCTTTGCTGCAGAACATTATATCAACGCTGCTTTGGATGAGGAAAGTGCGCAGGACTTCTTTGAAGCCACTCTCACTATGCAACAGAGCTTGGTCGTGGATATGAGCAAATTCAGTGATATCACCCGCAGCATGTTGGTACGTGACATAAAAACGTCTGTTCGACTACGCCCGGTGGTGCAGGATGCGCTCAAGAGGCGGCCTGATAGTCTAAGATCAGCCATTGACAAGGTGTGGCCTAGCAGCTCCAAGAGAGAGTATGCCTTCTGGAAGCATCTACCACATCCCCACGAATATTGGGTGACATCATCCGTTACGAGCGATTCTTCCCAGACATTGCCGCAGACTTTCCATTTTCACCTCATGGAGGGTCACCTTCTGGTTGAGGGTACGCCTTTAGGGAAGCTTCCCGCCGACCTTCGTGACTCGGAGAAGTTGAAGGAGTTGTTTGGAAATCAAAGACTGATTGCCTTTCCTTCCAATCAACCTGGCATGAGTTACGCATTAACACTGGAGAAAGAGGATCATAAGATCCATTTGGGATATCGAGGCAATGATCTGGTTATTCGAGCCTGCAAGGGCGAAAAGGTCTTGGAACATGTCCCGCGGTCAGTGTTTGTTGATGGCCAAAGTTTTGACCTCCCCGTTCCTTTGGTCCAGGACTGTGTGCACTGGCTGGATCTGAGAACCGGGATTCTTGAGGCTAGACGAACACCAGGCATCTGGAAAGAAAGGATTGGGAACTGGAAGATCCACGTTCGAACTCGAAAAGCGCAGCGCAAGAATTCCTTCCTGGTGGATCCTCATTCTCGGCTAGCCGCCTCAATTACGAAGATCTTCGAGCATTTTGAGCGACCATCGATGCTGACGATATATCAACCACCCGTCCAAACTCTTTCGGTTGAGCTGAAGCGAATGAACCTCAGCTTTCATGTGAACATGCAGAAGCAGCTCCTTCAATGTAAGCAGTTGGCCGCAGAGATAGACCCAAATCAGGATGCTGGCACCTGGTATGGGCTGGTGAGCATGCTGGTGCTTCGAAATGTCCACAATCGCTCCCAGCGTAGTATCATTACCACAATGGGAAGGATTCAGTATCGGCGGCACGGTACCCATGTCCTCGTGTATAAAGAAAACGACGGTGACTATGGAAGGTATCGGATTGACGATGTTCTGGGTCGGCTCCAGGGTCCTGCAGAACCCTTCCAGCTGTACACAAAGGCCCAACTACATGCTTTCACCTCTTTCATACTCCCCGATCCACTGACCGGCCGAAGCGGAACAGAGGAGGCCCTATCTTGTCTGGTGTCGGCTTATTCCCAACCATGGACGCCTCTGAATGAAAACATCGTGGGGCTGCTCCAGTCGATTTCGCGTCTTACGCCATCACGACAGTATTATCCAAAGCAAGCCAAACGCCAGCAGGTTGTAAAGTGGGATCAAAGCCTCACTACACACATACAACACGAGGGATACCGACCCGTGATCGAATTGATCCTCAGCAGGTCTCACCGGCTTTCGCTTTTCCAGCTCGAGGGGGCGCCCTCTTCTCTGGACACGGTAACCAATGAGGCATATCTAAGTGAAAGAGCCCGCTGGCGGCGATCCATCTACGAACGGACTGATACTTCGTGCCAGGTCCAGGCTAAATGCTCCGACGTGACCTACCTCTCACGCGTGTCATATGGGCCGTCCAAGCGAGCTACCAAGGTTCGCGAAATCGCTACCTTGCTCCGAGAGCTTCCATCCGAAATCCACACTACAGATGACCTTGCGGGCCTTCTGAAGCAGTGGCCATACATCGGTGGTTATCTTGGCAAGTTCACTCCGTCTGCCTTGCATGAGACTTTATCCGTTGATCTTGCAGTACATTGGGGTAGCTTGGTCCGCCTCTGTAAGGAGGGTAAGACGCAGGATGCTTACTACCTCATGTTCTATCTGGGCCTGATGGCATACGGTGAGAATGTGGATATGAGGGTGATCAGGGTTCTGGCAGCCTTCTTTATCCTGGATGATCTGAAGAAAATATCGTTGCCCCAATTCCCTTCTTTCGAGAATTTCCAGGAAGAAAAGGCTCCTGAGCTTGGCTCGATATTGGAAAAGGTAAAATCTTTCAAGATTGAGTATGAGCATCCCACGCAACGAATGAGAAAAGGAAAGAAGGCCAAAGCGAGCGCTGAGAGCCTTGAAATTGAAATGGCGAGGATAAGACACGACGTGGAATTCGAGTTCGCGAGCGTGCAATTTGCTACATTTCTGACTCAACAATGGCCTTGTGCTGAGCCTGCAGTAAAGGGGTTCTCATCGGACTTCCTGGATGTCGAGGGTGCTGTTAACGATATCAGGCCCGACTGGTTGCGACAGTACAAAAATAGGCGACTTACGGACCACCTCAGTGATGTGCAGGAAGTTCTGGATGCCCATAGCGCAACGATGAACAGACTCAGGAGTCTTCCAGACCGCCGCGCGCCTAAAACCCCTTGGACTCGGTCTAAAACATCCCCAAATCCCACGGCCCGATCAGCACAAGAGCTCTTCTCCAAGCCGGGGCCACAACTGGGACCAAACCCGAACTTTATCTTGGAGCAGAGGGTGACTTCACCAGGTTTAGCTGCACACCGGGCGAAGGAGCCTTATCGGTTTTCAGCAGGGAGGCAGGAGAGCTTCATGCCGGGGATCACCGAAATTGAGCGCATAGTGCATGGCCTCATCAAATCGGACTGCTCGGTCACATCGAGGTACGGTAGAGACCTGCAGCTGAGTATTGATGCGCTGAAAGAGAAATGCCGGCAACCGGAGCAGACTCACACAGAAAGGCTCACCTTTTCCGAGGGGATGACCAAATTCGATGGCCAGATCAAGAGCGCTCGCATTGTTGTGGACGGATATTACCAACAGATCTGTAACACGCTTTCAGCTGGCGACCGGAGATATCGCTGGTTGCGACAGGGAGGCCTTTGGCCATGTATTACCCCAGTAACCATCCTGCAGCAGCTTCGAACCACTGGGGCTGTCACATTTGGGCCGAACATGAAGGAGGCCCTTGTCTCCTATGCGCTTGCCGTGGTCCGGCTACAACGGCTGGTTCGCATGAAGGAGCTCCACGCCAAAGGCGATCAAAGCAGACTGGACCAGGAACAGCTCCATCCTTTCCATGCTATGTGGGATTATATGGCATACCCCGACTGGATCTTACTGGAAATCGATGCTGATATTCAGATTCGCCAGGAGCAAGTGACTGTGGCACTGGAGATGGTCTCCCCTAGCTCCGGCTCGAATTCCGTTCTACAAATGAACATGGGGCAAGGCAAAACCTCGGTCATTATGCCCATGGTCGCATCTGCACTGGCTCATGGCGACGTTCTGGTCCGGTTGTTGGTGCCGAAGGCCCTCACGACTCAGACGGCGCAGGTTCTACGAGCCCGCCTGGGGGGCCTCGTGGGCAGGGAGCTTATCCACATCCCTTTCTCCCGGCGGACCCCGACAACCCCCCAGTTGATCGGGGAATACCGCTCGTTGCATGAAGAGACGCTGCAGAGATCCGGGATTGTCTTGGGAGTTCCTGAACACGCGCTGTCTTTCAAGTTGAGTGGGCTGCAGCGAGTTTCCGACATGAAGATCCCTGAGGCGGTGGAGATGATCGCGATCCAAGATTGGATTGACCTCGTTGGCCGCGATGTTCTCGATGAGTGTGACTTTACGCTGTCTCCTAAGACACAACTCATCTATCCAAGTGGCTCGCAGCTCGTCGTGGATGGACATCCCGATCGTTGGGAAGTCATCATGTCGGTGCTGGGGCTGGTGGCCCAGCATCTTCACGATCTCGCCCGAGAGCTTCCGCAAAGCATCGACGTGGTCGAACGGGCGCTCGGCGCATTTCCGCTCGCGTATCTGCTACGACAAGATGTGGAAGAGATCCTCTGCAAGCGGGTGGTGGACGACGTCTGCTCTGGCCGAGGGTCCGTTCTTCCCATTGAAGGATATGCTGATAGCGAGCTCCAAACACTCCGGCAGTTCATCTCCCAGGAGACCGTGCATGCCGGGGACATTGAACACATCGATGCCATGTTCCATGACGTGCCTCGGGCCCATAAAAGAGCCTACCTCCTACGGGGATTACTGGTGCATCGGATTCTCCTGCTGTGCCTCAAGAAACGGTGGAATGTGCAGTACGGGCTCCATCCGAACCGCGACCCCGTGGCGGTTCCTTTCCATGCGAAGGGCGTTCCATCAGACCACGCAGAATGGGGCCACCCCGATGTGGCGATTCTGTTCACCTGTCTGGCCTTCTACCACGAGGGATTGAACCAAGCGCAAACCCGTCAATGCCTAAAGGCCGTCCTCAAATCAGATGATCCGGCGACAGAGTACGACCGATGGACACACGCCTCAGCAACGCTTCCGGAAGGCCTCCGGCACTGGAATCTCATCAATGTGGATGATCAAGGCCAGGTTGCGGAGATCTGGCGTCACTTACGCTTCTCAACCAATGTCGTTAATTACTTCCTGAAGAACTTCGTCTTCCCGGTCCACGCCAAACAATTTGCCGTCAAATTGCAGACATCTGGATGGGACGTCCCTTTCTTTAGGACTTCTTCTGTGGTTTGCCAGAGCCCAAGATCTAGTCGCGCCGGACTCACGACTGGATTCAGCGGGACAAATGACAACCGCAGACTGCTGCCTCTGACCATTGAGCAGCATGACCTGCCGGACTTGTTGCACACCAATGCTGAAGTCCTCACGTACCTGCTTCAGAACCGAAATCGGGGATACAGACCCGCCGTCATCAATGATAGGCGCCTATCTGAAGCAGAACTCCTGGACAATTTAACAAAGAGCGGAATCCGTGTTCTCATTGATGCGGGCGCTTTTATCCTCGAGATGGACAATCGGACCCTCGTGAAGACGTGGCTGGAGAAGGATTCTCGAGCCCAGGCAGCCGTATACTTCGGGGGTGATAATAAAGCCTGGGTCCAGTACCAAACTGGGCGAAGCTTGCCACTTATTGCCACTCCCTTTGCTGATAACCTCAAAGATTGTCTTATCTACCTCGATGAGGCCCATACAAGAGGGACCGACCTGAAACTTCCCGCCGACGCGAAGGGGGCCCTAACATTGGGGCTGAACCAGACCAAGGATCATACTGTTCAGGGTAAGATACTCTCCCTGTGTTTTTCTCTTGCTTAATTTAACTATGGAGTTAGCGGCCATGAGACTCCGTCAGCTGGGGACAACCCAATCAGTCATTTTCATCGCACCGCCCGAGGTACATCGGAGTATCCTAGATGTCTGCCAGAAAAGGCAGACTGATAGAGTGGATTCTTCAGATGTTGTCCAATGGCTCCTCCACCAGACATGTGTGAGCAATAGAGAGTTAGAATCACTCTTTCACGCCCAAGGCGTTGACTTTTGTCGTCGCACCCAAGCGGCAACAGACCATCCCGACTTTCTGCACGACCAGCACGACCAGGTTAGCTATATGGACTCTCTCAAGCAGCCTGAGCAGCGAACCCTGGAACAGCTGTACAGACCCCGGGTTGTAGATATCGCCGGCGGAGAGTCTATACCGGATGCAGACGCAGACTCGATACTACTCAGAGGAAAGGTTTCCAGATTTATGGAGGAACTCCAGCATAGGCGCGGGCGGTCGAATGTCATTCAGAAATCGATTACCAGTTCGGCGTCGGAAGAGGTTGAACAAGAGCGAGAGGTTGCCTACGAGATCGAAGAAGAGAGGGAAGTCCAGCGTCCTGGTCGACTACGGGCCTATCGGTTTCCTGGATTGCATCCGACCTTATCCAAATTCGCAGAGACCGGTCTTTTGGAGGGCTCGGGGACCCTTCTAGCGGCAGATGTACTTGATGCAACCAAGATCACGCGTGAACACGGGATTAAAACGATGGATCTCCTACCTCATTTGCACGTGTCCATCGAGTTTACCCGGACGGTTAAGCTAAAGCATGGGCAGGGAGGAGATGAATTTATGGCAAGTACATCCCCAGCCTGGTCATACTCTTCGTAGTCCCGCTGACGATTCAAAAGCGCCCTGTGAATTGGATCCTTTGCAACACTGAAGTCGAGAATGCAATTGTCGTTATCCCGGAAGAAGCCGAATTCTTGATTCCCATCCTGCGCACTGCTGCCGCGCCATCAACGCACCTTCTCACATACGCAGCCCCGGTGACAAAGCGGATGCTGAACTTCGATCGTCTTGATTATTGTACGATCCCTCCCCTGCCGACACCGCACCGACTGCCTTCCTGGCTTTCCTTCGAGCTCGGCATCTTCGCCGGCCGACTCTATTTTGGGTACGAGAAGTACAATTATATCCTGAAACGACTGCAGGTGGAACCCGAGTCAATGAGTGCCAGCAACCCTCTGTTGGGAGGATCAGCCAACCAGATCAGCTTCTTACAGCAATGGTTGGCATTCCGTCGTCAGGGCCAAGACATCTCCCATACACCAATGGGTTATGTGTGCCAAAGAAGGACGCTCCGGATCGACCATCCATTCTTCTTGGAGGCCAAAGCACACAAGTCTATCAAGCATATGCTGCGGCCCTTGGGACAGACTTTCACAAGCACCGAGGAGGAGTACTACGACAGTGAAGAGGAGGAATGGTATGAAACCAAAGAGGATCACATTTCTCGCCAGGAGTGGGAGAAAAACCATGCCCACGAGGTCAAATACGATAGCACTGAGGAAGACAGTGGGGAAGAAGACAGTAGTGGGGAGGATGAAAGTCAAGACAGCGAGGACAGTGATGAGGACCAATACTATGTCAGCGGAGAGGAAGAATAATGTTGCTAATTAGCTGGGATGGATAGGATGCATATGTTGGGTTTTTGAAAGTGAAATTTATTGAAGTTCTTCTCTTCCGACTGGTCTAACCGGGTTTGGAATAGCTCCGAGAAGTGTCCGGTTGCACTTGCCTCTTCCATCGTCTTCCTTGTGATTTCCATCCTCTCCCTCTTCTCCCCCCTCTTCTTTCTCCTCTTCTCCCAACACAAATGCTTCGTCGCAACGGAAAGCCGACCTCCTGCGAGCCATGTCGGCTCTCAAAAGTTCGGTGTGACCATGTCACTCCGATCTGCCGGCGTTGTCAATCTCGAGGCAATGCCACCCAGTGCTTTTACCATCCAGCCCCCTTGACACGGGTCAAGGACCGAGCGATTGGACGCACGAGAGCATCTCAAAGACGAGGGGTTCGTCGCCAGTCTTCGTTGGAAGTAAACAGCGCAGGTCTGACGCCAGATCAAGCTCCCCTTACAGCCTCATCGCCCCAGAAGGGCTCAAAAGCCAAGGATGCACACGACTCGGAATTCTTGGGCTCGACGAGCTACCTGTCCGTCTTCAAAGACACGCCGCGAGGAATCACACGAAAGGCAAGCCGGTCTCTTTATGCCGAGTCTGAGTACTGGCGCACTGAGCACGCCTATGCTTCCTCACGGCTGATCCGTCTGGCTTCCGCTATTGTTTTTCATCGTGAACAGATAGAGTGGTATCATTCGGTCAGCCGGTTCACCATCGTTCCAGCGCCAATAGTTATAGACTCGCTGGGCCGAGTTCAAGAGGATATCGAACGTAATCCGTGGGATGTCACGGGCAACTGGAAGGGCCTATATGAGAAGATTACATCTGCAACGGGCCGGCCCCTTGAAATCTCTAGTGACACATCAGCAGGCGAGTTCTATGCGCAATTCACTGGACAGAACCTCCGTTGGGAGTTTATTGCTCTAATGTTTGCCTCGTCAGGTATCAGTGTCATGGTTCGATATCCAGGTCATCATATACTGGAGCTGGCAAATGAGAACATGACCGTTGAGACTTTCATGAAAGAAATGGTTCTGGCAGGGAATACATGCATCGAGATCAGTAAAAAGTATGCAATCGTGAGTGATTTGATGCTGAGGGCGCGATATATGCATGCCCATTTGACAATGGAGGTATTGGGAGATACCAGTAGCCGCCTCCCTGCTGCATACGTTGATGAGCTACTGATAAACTATAGGCGAGCGATTGTACAGTCTCTTTGGAGACCTGATCTCTAACATTTATACCATTGGTCTCCATCATTAACCTTCACGTGACGTGCCCTTCTTTCTGGCGGAGACCAGGAAGAGAATGTTGGCTGTCGTCCATCGAACGGACAAGAAGATCGCAACCCTAATGGCACGTCCTCCTCGCCTGCCGCACCAATATTGCGATGCAGATCCACCACTTGATATTTCGGATGAGGATCTGTTTCTCGACAGCCCAGCAATCAATTCCGTACTAGCATCTCTCGATGGCCAAGGCTGGCATCGTGAGGCCAGACTTATGCCCGCAACTGTCACGCGTATGCGCCATTTTCTTTCTATTCTTCGCGAACAGGTTCTCGAACTATCACTGGGAAGCAAATTTGCCAGTGATTATGGCGACCGTCTTCTGTACCGCGCCTGATTCGTACCTCTAAGTCAACGGCTCATCAATTGTCAGGCAAACATGCCACCTCTATCAGGGGGTGTGGAATCAAATCCCATTCCGCTTCCACTACGATCCCACCTGCTGGACCAGTTGCGACGTGATGGAATCTCTTGCGCGGATCCTGATCCGCTTCGACTACCAATTCAGAGTCCTGCATCTCCAACGCATCCGATGTAAAGAAAACAATGCTGCAATCGGGGACCTGATGGATACCTCGCTTCAGGTTCTATCCATGATCATGGATCTGGCCAGGAACTACCAGCCGTATGAAGTCCAAAGACCGTTTCCGTGCATCGTACGTCACACACTCCAACTGCTCTCAGATCCCACTGATCAAAACCAGTACCTAAGCTACGGTATCCCCGCCGCCGGGATTCTAGTCACAGAGCTCTACACCTACGCTCGAGCCAATCGTCCCCTGCCAGCCTCGACGCCGCGCTCAGAGGTTATTCGCTTGCTGAGCGTGTTGATCGAATGGGTGCGGAGCACGGAGATGCTGCCCTTGACGACCGCAGTCGAGGCTAGCGAGTTGACCAAGGTAATAAGTCAACTTCTCGATGATACACTGAACCATCAACATGGAATCTCAGTTGAGCATGCAGCGGAGAACGTCGCTGCTCCAGTGATTCGAGATCCAGGGGACTCTTTACCGCAAGGATTCGGAGATGGATTCCATCTTCCCTCTGAAACACTTGGTGTGGGACTAGCTGGTGAGGAGTTTCTTAGCTGGTTGAACGAGTTGGATCTGGATATGGTTTCCGGGGAAAGGTTTATATAATGAAGCCATCGGTCTGTTGACATTAGGTAAGCTGGCATTCTCTACTACCTGCAGTAAACATCCTCACGTGCCTTGGAAATCCATCTGTCATGGGATAATCGACTCTTCCTCTCCATTCCTCCTTTTCCCAATTTTAATCCCCTTTAAGGACCCGTATGTCAATATTGGACGACTCAAAAACCACATCGTGAGCTTTCCCATGGGCGCATCCTCCTGCTCATCAAGGCTTTTCCAAGTGGAAATTGATGGTATGGTTGCGAGGTGAGATTATGTGTCTCATACGCATTGGTTGAGAGGCCAGATGATGGCAGTGGAGGCACGTGGTGGGGTGTAGTTGTCTTAAGGGCGCCGGGGGGGTGGGGGGTTATGGTTATATATATGAGATGAAAGGCCCGTTTGGATGTCGAGAGGATAGAGAAAGATGGGATGGTAATGATGGTACTCACGTCATTTTCGCTGTCTCCTGTTTGGGGCAAAGACCGTCTTGAACTTAAAGACAGGAAAACAATATCTTCGATATATGGGTATCACAACACTCTGACTACAGTGACAGGTAATCTTCCCTCCACCACATAACCTAAAACCGAACAAATTCACCACCATTCATGCGAAGACCCCTCATCAAGAAAAGATAAATTGCTGAACTAGTCAGGGCCATCTGAATATTACCCACAGATAGACCTGTGACGAGCGTGAGAGTTTCCAGGACCACCCATCTGAGGAGACATGATTCGAGAAACGTATATATTCCGAGCAAAGTTTCAGACCCGAGGGCGAAACGGTCTATTAAGCGTTGTTTGGTCGCTATCGTGAAGTAGACTGCACGCGAACTGGGGTCTGAAGAGGTGGAAACGAAGTCGTCCATGAAGGGTGAGATGGTGCTTTTCTGATACCAGGAAAAGGCAGGTGGGCTATTTCTAATCTTGATAGTGTCTGTCTTCTGGGATGAAGGAGATCCTAATATTGAGGCAAGAAGAGCTTGATCGGAGACCAGTAGTCGTTGCGAGGAGGGGTCAGCGTGAAGGCCGGTTGATTGGAGTTCGGTGTCTAGTGCTGTTTCAATGCTGGTGTAGTTGATGATTCGGGTGTAGAAGGCTGGATCGGCGGGCTCGATGGAAACATGACGGATGCTTGAATGGTCTTTCTCGCATGAGGGAGATCGCAAATGAATAGTCTCGTTGCTAAATGATCGACATGGGAGGTATGTGACCTCGACGGGATGAGGATGTTTCTCAACGCAGCCGGTGAGATATGCGCGGAAGAAGGGCTCAAGGTCTCTAATATCTTGTTAGTGAGATTTATTGGGGTGGATGGAGACATACATTTCCGTCTTGGTGGCATGGCGCGCAACACTTCCCGTCCGGACCGGAGTCTTGACATTCATCTTCATCAAGCCGGAGTAGTGGATGCGGAGAGCCTGGAAAATAATGTGCGCCGTGGTGAGCATCCCTGGGACAGTCCATTGGAGGAGGAATTTGAAAAGTTGGAATGAGCTCATCTGGGTCGGGTCAATAGGCGATCCGCAGCAGGTCATGCGAGTGGCCATTTTGACTTCTCCAGATTCTGCTATGGTTGTCATGTTGGAGAAGGAAGCATTTGGTTTCCAGGAGGTCGGCTGCAACGGGTCCATGAACCTGTTCGTGACCAGACCATCTACCTTTTCGAAGACCGACGCAAAGATCGTCTTGGTCCAGGTGCCTTTGTAGAAGGTGGATTGGGGCAGAGACGGGAGGGTTCGGACTTTATAGGTGTTTTCAAGATAATCCACCGTCTGGGAAGATCCAGACGTTTTCAGAGGCTGTTCTGAGACCCGACTGACTTTCAGGAAGATGTTTCTTTTCTCATCGTATGAATTGTTGATCTCGAGGATCATGGCATCGAGCTCTCGCTCTTCGGTGTAGAGATACCACCACGAGACCACGCTGCGTGACCAACCCAGAAACTGAGGAATGCCCAGCAGATATGCGTATGGCCACTGTGCGGGGTCTTGATCCTATACAACATGAGAACCAGCTAGTCAGTCATGGGTGAAAGATATCATACCTGAGACCGCAAGAAGTCATCAAGCTTCTCCCGTAGATCTAGTTCGTGGCTCCCGCGGTGTAGGTATCGCTCCGAATCAAAGCTAAACCAACAGCTGAGATGCGACAAAGCCCGCTTCCACGACCAACCCTTTCCCGGGGGACAGTGTAGATCTAGCGTCGCATCATCCACGGCCAAGAGATTACCTATCCGACATCGAAGCCCGACCGGAACCCCCACTGCGAGAAACCGGTTGCTGAATTGATCTTTGACTGGCACGAAGCGCTTGTGGTTGAATGTCATGGGAAACAACAGGGGTCTTCCGATAACGGTCTGGGGTTCGTCTGAAAGGGAGTCCATCTGGCGTGGACGGAGCAACACTCGCACCAGGAATATAGATAAGACAATAAGTAGGGTACAAACAGCAAGTCCCACGGCAGCCCCTAAAGCCTTGACCCATAGTAATGGGGTGTGAGACTTGTGCCCGAGGTAGAGGAGCAACAGAGCAATGTCTTGAGCAATCATTTCGTAGTACCGAGCAAGCAGCAGCCCAGATTTTCAACCCTGATACAGTAACACAATGTAGCAGCTGCAATGTCTCACGCTCATCGAGAAAGTCAAATACGCAGGTGCGAGGATTATCACTTAATATAAGGTCGTGACGTAACGCTCAACTAAAGAGCTAGATCTATGGTGGCACAAGTAATGCTGGAGCCCGAGTGTGCCCGAATTTTTCACTCCACTCTTCAGCTTTGCTTGCTCAGCCAGCTCGGCAGTCTGCCGCATTGTGAGCCGTTGAATATAGAACATGTCACGGGTAGCTTGTGTGTGGCGAGCAACGTCAGAACGCGGATCCACTTTAAGGACAGGGCTGGCTGAGTGAAAGAACCGAACCGCCCGGGATAATCCTGGGCTGGACGTTGACAAGGTGCCAAAGATTGGGCAGCATGGCCATGTCCGTTGCTGTCAAATGACCGGGGCTGCCGGTAGGCAGGGTTTCAAAGCAGCCGGGGACTCCGAAGACCAGGGTGGGGATCGTGGCTGGTTCATGGTGAAAGATAGAGTTTGCAGGAGGGATGCTAAGTGGTGCCAGATGGATGGAACTCGGCTGCATGAGCAATGCTGAGGGGATTATGGAGAGAAGTGGAAGAAAGTGGAGGGAAGTTGTGGGAAGTTGTGGGTGACAATGCCGACGAGGAGAGCTGAACCCGTCAAACAAGCAATTCCAAGCGAGCCCCCCGGATTGGTCGGATGCCGGCGGCCTGCAAACCATCCCCCCTTTGAATATAAACATTCCACTCTCTAGTATACCTCCTCACTCCCTCCAGGCTCACTTCAACTACGCCTTTTTCTTTTTCTGTTCCACCGCCAACAATGGGTCTTCCATCCCGTCCCCCATGTCGAGTCCTCATCATCGGCGGTGGCATCTCCGGCCTCGCAATGGCTTGTAAGCTCAAGCGAGCCTTCAATCTCGATGACTACTGCATCTATGACCGGCAGAGCAGTTTAGGGGGTACCTGGTGGGCCAATACCTGTTAAGACCCTTCTGTTCGTTCCAGTGGGTGTCCAACGCTAACCTGGCCAGATCCTGGATGCGCCGTTGATGTCCCGGGCTTTACCTACACCTTCTCCTTTGCCCCAAACCCACATTTCACTCGCTTATTCCCACCTCAAGAAGAGATTCTCGAGTACCTCTCTACTGTTGCAATTCAGTATGACGTGGATCGCCATTTCACAGGTCACACCGAATGGACAGGGGCAGCCTGGCAAGAAAAGACAAGAACGTGGATCGTGACACTGCAGGACCTCAACACCGGCCAATCCTTTACACAGGAATGTCAAATCTTAGTTTCCGCTGTGGGAGGAATTGTCAATCCCCATGAACTCAAAATCCCCGGGGTTGAGAACTTCCAGGGGGGGATCATTCACACGGCACGATGGCGACACGACGTGGATCTCACAAACAAGCATGTGGCTGTCATTGGGAATGGAGGTATGCTTGACTCCTTCAACTCCTTCATCCAAATATTAACCTGATTAGCATCTGCCATACAGCTAGTCCCTGCCATTGCAGACCGGGCCAAGTCCATCACCCAGTTCATGAGGGTTTGTCCCCATATTCATCTGAACCAGCGAAGCCGCTAACCCTCCCAGACACCACATCACATTGTTCAGGCCAACAACTACAACATCTCCCCCACCTGGCGAGCCATCTTCCACCAGATCCCTATTCTCCTCTACGTCCTCCGTCTGTTTATGCTACTCTATATGGAGACCGCCTTCTTCCAATTCCTCAACACCCCAAACGGCAAGACTCGCCGCCTGGCGTCCGAAAAAGCAAGTCAAGAATACGTTCAAAACACAGCACCTGGTACTATTCCCTGTACAACTCCCAAATGTCAACTCTAACAAGGACTAGAACAATACTGGGACCTCCTCATTCCAAAATACGAATTCGGCTGCAAAGTAAGCCCTCTCCCTCTCTTCCCTCCTCCCACATACACTTAACATAAACCCAGCGCCGCCTCTTCGACCACACCTATCTCACCTCCCTCCACCAAACCCACAAGGTTACCCTAACGAACGACCCCATAGTCTCCCTCACCAAAAATGCCATAAAAACACAGCACGGGTCCTCTATACCCGTCGACATCATCGTACGTCCCCCTCTCTCCCCAATTAACCTTCCCCCCTCGAAAAATCAAACTAAGAATAAATCCAGATCTTAGCAACAGGCTTCAGCCTAACCCAATATACCACCCCTCTAGAAGGCCGAAACCACAAAACCCGGGCCCAGCACTGGTCCACCTACGGGCACAAAGCAACCTTTAAGACCGTCGCGATGCACGGATTCCCCAATTTCTTCTACGTCCTTGGACCAAACTCAGGGAGGTTATATACCTCGACCGTGCAGGTTATTGAAAGGTACGTTCTACTTTCCTCCTTGTGCAAAGATTTGTTAACAGATATTCCCGAAAACAGCGAAGTAGATCTAATCATCTCCACCATAACGCCCATCCTCCGGGGCGAAGCAACAACAGTCGAAGTAAAAGAGGAAAGTGAACGAATATTTGATGAACAGTTACATCAGGCGATTGAGGGGACGGTGCATGGGACCGGAGAGGGGGGGTGTTCTAGTGTGAGTTTTCTTTTTCCTTATCTCCCCCCCCCCACCCCTCCCTTCCCTTCCCTTCTACTGCTTTTTGTCATGATTTGTTGCTTTTTATGATCCCTGGCTTGAGTTGGGGTATTCATATCTTGTGAACGCTAAGCTAACTATGTATGGATAGTACTTCGTCGATCGAGACACCGGGAAGAACTGGTTCGTGTATCCGTGGAATTCGCTCCATTTGTGGATGTCGATGTATTGGGGGGTCGGGCGGGATTGGATTTATCAGTCTTAGTATATACCCTTTTCTTCTTGGTTGCATATAGTACTAGAATTGGGTTAGAGGGATAGGGAGATAGAGGTCAAGAGTTGGTTTATCATCATTATCTGGACTTGGTTATGAATTCATGAAATCATCCATCGAAAGAGTACTGTCAGGTCTCAATGCCCGCGTAGTAAGCGTCCCAGGAGAACCAATCAAATATACTAGCCAAAGTCCGTCGGTTTGCACTGTTTCCCCTCTCGTTCTCGGATAAGGGCAATACAGCATTTAGGTCCATGTCAGCAGGCAGCCAGTCGAGATAGTTGGCGATGTCTAGATCTCCTGCATCGATGCTGGGAAAAGCCTCGTGAGTCTCGCTTGGATGATCAGTTTGCTCTGCGAGTCTAACAGAATGTGCCGCCCCTGGTCCTTGTGATGACCTATCATCGCTAGTACTATCCGATGCACAATTTGAAATATGCAATTGTGCAAGGCGCATACATGCATCCGCGACAGACTGCAACCTCGAGCATACAGGAGCCAGCAGATGCATTTGCGATCTCATTTCAGCGAAATAAGTCACGGTGGAACATAACAGCGTTAGGTCCTGCTGGATAGTATCCGTAGAAGGACCGCGATGCTGGATAATGTTCTCGAATATGACGAAGAATGGCGTAAAGGGGAAATACAGCAGTTGCCTGTAGTGGTAATTAGTAAGAATGTAGAATTGCTGGTTGCTGGCTTACCAAACTACGCCATTGTATACAGAGCTCCAATTCGATACCATGGTTGGTAATAAGGATATGGCTTCGCGGGCAGACGATAGCCGAAGCGCTGAGAACTCTTCTCCCTTCAGAAGAAGCACCCGAACGTGCAGGTACTGAAATTTCAAACTATTGACTCCTAGAGCCATTTCACGGAGGTGTTTTGGAGCAGCGAACAAACTCTCCGTGTCTATGGTTTGGGTTAGGATCTACACAGTTAGTAGCTGACTGGTCATTCGCAAGACGTGGTGTTACATACCTGGGCAGTGTCTGTATGCCATGCGTCCAGTTTCATGCGGATCTCGCACTTCGTCTCCGATGATGCTCCGGTCACAAGGACGTCCAGGATAACACCCATGAGCTTGGACAATTCGAACGACTTGCGGAGAAAATGACAGCCAAATGTGGAAATCGGTGGGTTTACCTGGGTGTTCCCAAACGCTGCACGATCATGCGGGTGGAATTTCAGCAACGAATCATTGTCGGGCAGCGGAACCTGATCATACACGGCCGTGGGTAGAAAGGCAGGGCGGCCAAATGCAAGAGCACAGGCCTTGTCCATCATAAACAAAAGCCAGAAAAGACACAGCCGATGTTGTTGATGAGCCACAGCGAAATGGAGAGCTAAGACGTGGAGTCCCAGAGCCTCGGCCTGTCGACAGGCATGTCCTAACAGCATCCAGGAAATGTTGGGCGCGGCATATTCCTCTCCATGCATGGCTAGCAGGACAAATGCTTTAATGTTCGCTTCACGCGGTTCGAGGAAAATACTGCTATCGTTGAGAGCCAGTTGCACGTTCCGCCGAAAATTTTCTTTCTCATCGGCCTTCTCATGCACGTCTGATACAATGGAAAGAAGCATGTAGTTGAAAGATATTATCCATCCCATATCTCGCACCTTGTGTGGTTCAAATACAACCTGTCCTAAATGTTCATCCGGAGGGGTGCTAAGAAATGGTTCGCCCAGCTCAATCTGCTCCAAAAATTCTGATCTGGTTAGTCAGCCAAATATATGGGGAGCACGGAATTGAGACTAACGGCTGATCAGACGATATCCTATGGCCTTGGATGGCACGTAGAACTTTGCGTGGTCTTGCTGGGTGCGTAGAGTGGCATTTGCCGTTCTCAAATTGGTGGCGAGATACTGAAGTCCCGAGTAGGCACTCCGCCGAGTGTCATCACTTACCTGTTGGGGGACTGCCTCAATGTTTGCTGACATGTCCCTTAAAAAGGAAAACGAATGAGACTGGCCAATATAAAGCCCGGAACCTGGATCCTTTCTTGCGTGAGCAACTGTCGCACTAGGAACTGTTGCTCTGGGATCATCATCACTCTCGAATGCTGATCGGTGGGTTGTCTGCAATGCTCGATTGATGGTGTCCGCTAAGGCCTGCACTGTCTGTTCGAGGCGATGCAGGCGCTCCTCAATATTACCGATGTCTATTTCTCGGCTCCTTCGACGGCCTTTCTCAGCTACTGGGCCTTTTGAAAATGATCTCATGCGAGTCTCACCTGGCATCAATGGCCGCGCGGTTAGGAGACCTGTCTCGCGAGTAATGGCAGATTCCAGGCCATGGCTTGCAGGTGCTGCATTTCGGCAAATCTCGGGAACATCTTTGAGTTGGTCAGCAGAATCGAATACGCTTTCATGCTGTGCTCGACTGTATGCAATACTTTAGTTTCTTTTGTCGACAAAAGTCACACTTCATGAGATAAGGGTCAGCTGGTGAGTAAGAACTTCGGACGATCTCCAGCTCACCGCAAACCGAGCAAGTCCAGAGCCTGTATCCCATGATCTGCTAACTTCCATTTCTTTTTCGAATGCTGGGGACTCCGGCGTCTCGCTCACATCTGCAACTGCGTAGCAGGAAAGTGAGGTCTCGGAGAATGTCCCGCGGGTCCGACGGAAAGAGCACCCAGTGGCGGGTTCGGCTGGTTCCGAGCCCCATGTAGCCAATTAGAGAGCGTTTAGTCGGAGCTCCTCCGCAGTTTCCGATCCCGTCCAATCATGTTAAACTCCTGTCTATACGCTCAACATCAACAGGCACCTTCGAGAGCGCCTCTTAAGTATGGAGGTTCCGTGATTGTAGTCTCATTTTGTGCGTATTTCACTGCGTGTCGGATCTTACCAGAAGTTTGTGTATATCGCCAACCCGAGGACTTCGCACACAATGAAACCATCCCCATCTATCGCTATTATCGGAGCCGGACCAAGTGGGCTCGTCTTCGCACGTCTCCTCGAGGTAAACGGCATCACAGATTATGTTGTCTTCGAGCGTGATGAGTCATCTACACCAGGCCTGTGGCAGCAAGGAGGCACCCTCGACCTGCATGGCTCCTCCGGTCAACTCGCGCTGAAACGCGCCGGCTTGTTCGACAGGTTCAGCAAAGACTTTGCGCGTTGGGATGCTTCACGGATGCATGTGCTGGACCACAGAGGGACTACAATCACCTGCTTCGGCGAAGATGATAATGCTGACCGTCCTGAAATTGATCGCCTGCAACTTCGACAGCTTCTTCTCGACTCAATACCTGCCCACAAGATCCGCTGGGGTCACGCAGTAAGTGCCGTGGAAAGAAGCAATAGAAATAACTGGGCCAAAGATAATGGTTGCATTATTCAGTTTGCGAACGGCACCTCCGCGTCCGGATTTCGATTGATTGTTGGCGCAGATGGCGCATGGAGCAAGGTCCGGCGTCTGGTGAGTCTGACGGTCCTCAGCCATATTCCAGATAATTGACTGTATTTCAGCTCACTTCGGCCCAGCCGAGCTATTCGGGGAAGATGTTCATTGAGGGTCGCTTATTGCATAACAACCCAAGCCACAAGTCAGCTAGTGAGATCGCTGGACCCGGAAGCATGATAGCGCTCGGCAATAGGAAGAAACTTGCAGTGCAGCAAGTCGCCGATGGCACATATCGTGTCTACTTCGGGCTGGTTGTGTCTGAGAGTTTCCACCAGCATTGTGGGAGATCCGGGACTGCAGACCTTAACGGCAAGACAGAGGCACTGCGCGATTTGCTGCTGTCTAGTGAATTTTATGCCACCTATGCCTCACAGCTCAAGGAATTAGTTGGGAATGCTGAAGGTCCATTCCGTCCCTGGCCGCTGTACCGCATGGATCCAGAAGCAGTTGGCTGGGCTCGTAGCGTGGCCCCTGGGGTGACGTTGCTGGGGGATGCTGCACACGTCTCCACTCCGTTTGTTGGAGAAGGCGTCAACTGTAGCATGCACGATGCGGTGGTGTTAGCCGATTGTATTGTCAAGCACTGCAAAAGAGAAACAGATCTCACGATTTCAGTGGGAGCGGAATTGGAAGAGGCTCTGGCCGCATACGAAGAGGACATGTTTGTACGGGGCCGTGATTTGATCCGCCGCAGCAGTGACAGTGAGGCCACGCTGTTTGCTGACAATGCTGCACAGCAGTTTTACAATTTCATGAGCACCTTTGCCGCTGGAAAGGACCAGGGAGAGTGAAAACATGTTGTTTGTGTATTAATAGGTGTGAAACAATGTTTTTGGTGAATTAGCAAGTCGTATATAAATCGAGTCCTGTATCTTTAAACGAAAAGCATTCCGCCGTAGTTGAGAACCCCATTCATCGGCAGATGACCTGGCTACTAGCTGAATTTTATAGCGTAGCCTTCAACGTAGCTATCCTGGCCTGGCCATCGTCCCACCATTGTTGGTAAGTCTGTATCTTACTGTTGGCCTTGTCCTTTGCTGTGGTGGCATCGTCTGGGATTTGACTTGCCCATTCGCGCAATGCAGCGAGCTCTAGTTGCACAGACATGGCATGGTCTTCCATTCTTTGGACTTCGGCCATTGTACGCTCCTGCTCCGAAGTCTCCGGCCCGGTCACATTCAACGTCCTTCCAGGGCAGAGACGTTCTGCGTCAGCTTTGGCAGCTTCCCATGCCTTTCGGTAAATTGCAGCCTCCTTTTCTGCGAGGTAGAAGGAGTTCTGGAATCTCTCCGCGTCCTCGGGATTGGATTCGGGCGTTTCTTCCATCCATTTTCGCTCATCTTCCGCTTCACGTTGCTTGTATTCATACTCCTGCCGTACCGAATCCAGTTCCAACAGAGGTATGTCCTCCAATTTCAAACATACTCCGTCCGGGCATAATCTGCTGGCTTCTTGCTCCGCCTTTTTGAGTTCTTCGGTATGTCTGCGATATGACCGCTCTGCGTCCCATAGTTCCAGCCGCGTCACCCACTCTTCGTCCGGACTCTTAGCCGCAGCAATTGCCTTTCGTCGGTCCTGGATCGTGTTGCCACTCCATTCCTTCCAGTTCTTGAACCTTTCCACCGCTCGCAAGGGCTCTTCGGCGCCGTACTTGACCCTGTCCGCACAGTACGCTCTCGCCTTATCCACTTGGAATGCATCGCCATCAAAATTGTCTGGCCATCCATGCTTCCGGTACAGCCCCTTCAGGTCCAAGTCCTCATGATCCCACTCACCGCCGCTGTGCTCTCCGCCTCCTGGAAGTTCCTTTAGTTCGCGGTACCACCTGATAATATCCCGCAACACATCACCAGCAGGCCGGCTAGGAATATGGTCGAAATTACTTCGATTCTTACTCTTGGGCGTCTCCTCTTCCACATCCTCCAAGGCAGGATCAGTGCTGCACCAGCCCTCTTGGTCGATGATCCAGATCCGGTGCTTCCGTGCATCATAGACAATCACGCTTTGGTGATTACCCAGCCTCGACAGCGGCGTGACCCAAGGACGGATGTACGGCCCATCTTCGTCGTCGAAATCCTCATCCGTAGGACCAGCGTAGAACGGATCACGACCTTGTTCCACATCATCCTCGGTCCGGAAGTCGGTGAATTCGCCACCATTATAGAAATCCTCGTTTCCTGCTGCAGCGGTGTCGACATACGGAAGTATGCTATAGAGGTAGATGATGGAGGGGTCCAGTCCGTGCTGTTCATACAGCGGACGTAGCTCGGTGATATTGTGGGGTCCGATCTGAATTCCCCGAGGGTCAAGATAACGCATCCGTGCGAGAGTCTGATAGATCTCCAGCATGAGGTCTGCAACCTCCTGTAGTTGAGCTTTCTGGGTCTCGGAAATACCGGCCATGGTGGGCTTCGAGGTGAAGGATTTCAGAATGTTGAGGAGCGGCAGGGTGCTGGTCGGCCAGAGGGGGATGAGAAGGGCCAGAGCCAACACGAGAAGACTTTGCGACAATGCAGGAAGATACATGTGGAGATTTGTGAGAGCGAGTCGATACTCATGTTCGGGTGGCCATTATTTATGTGAGTGGGAAATTCGAGATCAGGAAGCCGGTGCCGCTTCTAGACCCGGTTCGCCATTGGCCCGTGGCCCGTGCCCGCGTTGCTGCCTGGGTCCTGCCATGGATGCCTGGAGGACCGATAAGCTCGACTCGATTTCCCAGTCATGACCTGCTATCATCGATCATGCCTATCTAAATTAACGGGTCCAATCAGATCACAAGCCTGTGGTGAGATTCGCGTCCTAATGGACTCGGTCTCGCGACAACTGTGTATTTAAGGGGTCGGTTACCGCCATCTGAGCGGTTTGTATGGGGGAGGGTGGAAATATGTATCATGAGGCTGATGTGCGACACAAACCATGGATTTGGTACTTGCAGGTAACATGACAGCCGGTCGCGACCAGGATCACTCCCAGACTTCCAGTAGCTATTGCCACTCGTTTGGGAACTTATGGGCCGTGCGTAGTACAATGTCTCAATTGCGATGATGTTAGATCCCCTGGCTTTCTGCTGTGCAATGTTCTGCACACCTTCAGCCATAAATAGTTGATTATCATTACTTAATGAGTTCATGGATCTTTTTCGGATATCTCGGGATGCCAGGGGTGTCAGTCCTAGGATATTCTTAGAGTTTAGTGTCTTGCTTTTAGGTTCAACCATCCGGTTGAATGGTGTAATGGGAAACCTACGGGCCCCACTAAGATCGGTCCAAACTCGGCAATCTCACAGCTTCACATCCTTGCAGGCCTTATTTCGAGGTAGGTTTATGGTCCGTGATTCATTATACGTGGATTTTACGCACAATTAGGCTCTTTTTGTGGCCACTGAGCATACTGAATCTTCATCTCAGACCTAGAAGTCATTCTTTAGAGCCTCGTACCCGATCCAACTAATGAACCATATTTAGTAATTATATCATTTCTTTGCAGGAACCTGAGTATCTGGAGTAATACTCCAGTAGTTGGTTAGCCAGCCTCTCTTTGTTTGGCCAGGTTCAATATCACCAACTAACAATGAGAACATATGCACTTATATCTTAATAGGGCGATTTCTCCTTATGTTAGATTGAAAATTTTGTGTGGCACAGTATGGAGTCATATCACATCAGACAAACCTATACATACTACTATTCGCCGGGTAAATGAGCCGGAATCCCGCTAGGTGCATGCTAGAGACATCCGTTCGTTGCAAGTCTGTCGGACTATGCCACTAGGGGTGGGACTGGCTGATCAATCCCCGCCATGACTCCACCCATGGTGACTTCCCCTCAACCAGATCCCGCTTTGAGGCAGGCGGGTTATAATAAATAAGGGAAGTCAATTCCACCTCAGCGACAATTCTGAGCCCTGCACTTTCCGCTGCATTAAGAATGGCATCAACCTTGTCGGACCTTCGTCCGGAGTACGACTATGTCATAGTTGGAGGAGGAACCGCCGGGTTAGTCGTCGCCAGCCGGTTGACAGAAGACCCGGCAGTGAGTGTTCTCGTTCTGGAGGCTGGAAGCAATCGCCTCGATGATCCCCGTATCGCTGCGCCTGCCCTGGCAGCCAGTACCTTCTCCGACCCCGAATTCGACTGGTGTATTACTAGCCCACCTCAGGTACGCCTTCGACTAGATCCAATCTTTTCTGCTGTGCAAATATTAATTGGATCAGGAAGCACTGAACGGCCGATGCATCGCAGAGCCCCGCGGTCGCACACTAGGAGGCTCCTCCGCCATCAATCTGGGTATGGTCATCTACCCCAGCCGCAGCGATTTCGATTCGTGGGAACAACTGGGAAACCCTGGTTGGAACTGGGAGTCTCTGTCCAGCTACATGCGAAAGTCGCAAACGTTCACTCCGCCGTCAGATGAGGTTCGTGACCAGCTATCGCTACATTATATTGACCCGGCTGTGCAAGGCACCAGTGGGCCTATGCACGTCTCTTTCGGCGATGGACCCTTTCCAAGTTTTGTGACTGCCTGGCCTCGGACGTTTGAGACGCTGAACCACAAGGTGACTGGAGACCCATTCTCGGGACGGGCCAATGGCGGCTTCTGCATCCCAGGCAGCATCCATGCAACCTCGCGAACGCGTAGTCATGCGGGCGCCGCCTACTATACTTCCGATGTTGCTCAACGGCCAAACCTCCGAGTCGTCACCGAAGCTCTCGTGGAAAAGGTATTGCTCAAAGAGACACAGGATGGTGAAAATGTAGCGACCGGTATTCAATTTATCGGTAATGATGGCATTCAGCGCACAGTAGCCGCTGGAGCAGAAGTTATCATTGCTGCGGGCACAATCAAAACGCCGCATCTTTTGGAGCTTTCCGGAATCGGTGACGCCAGTCGCCTGCAGGAGCATGGAATTCATACCTTCGTTGATAACCCCAACGTTGGTGAGAATTTGCAGGAGCATGGCTTTGTCCCTTTCAGCTGGGAGGCTGCCGATGGCCAAGTGACAGCAGAGGCGTTACGGAACCCCGACATTGCTAAAGCCGCCATGGAAGCATGGCAAACCTCAGGCGCCGGGCCATTGGGTCTCTGTTCGATTTCCTCGGCATTCATGACTCTGCCCGAACTGCAAGATGGTGAGCTACAGGGCCTTTTGGAGAAATACCTGGACAAGGAAGTTCCGTCCAACTGGGCCGCGCAGTATCGCATCTTGCGGCAACTCCTTGAAGATGTGGATGAGCCAACAGGGCAGTACACGATGGCGCCGTTCCAGGTTACCCCCGAGAAGGGTCCAAGCATGAAAGGGATTTTCGCCATGACGGAGCCAGAGTGTTTTGTTAGTATTGTCGCTGCGCTGAACAGGCCATTCTCCCGAGGCTCGGTCCACCTGGCCTCATCCGACCCGACAGCACTGCCGACCTTTGACCCACGCATGCTGTCACACCCACTTGACCTAGAGCTACACGCTCGTCATGTACAGTGGATGGAGACGCTGGCAGCCACAGAGCCGATGGCATCTTTGATCAAACTAAACGGACGTCGCTTGCATCACTCAGAGCGCGTATCGTCTTTAGATACGGCGCGTGAGCTTACCCGGGACCGCATCCTGGCTCACTATCATGTCACCGGAACAGCAGCTATGATGCCTCGGGAGATTGGGGGTGTGGTAGATGAGCGGCTGCGGGTGTATGGATGTCGAAATATGCGCGTGGTGGACGCCAGTGTGATCCCATTGATTCCTCGCGGCAACATCCAGACGACGGTATATGCTGTAGCAGAGAAGGCAGCCGACATCATCAAGGAGGATAGACTAGCCTAGTTACGTGATCAGTCATGGCTGCGGGATGACGAATAATGATTGCCAACTATGGAGTTCTCAAATGTTCTGGCCTTTCTAGATAATATTCCTGCCTCATTTCTGACCATTTTCAAGCACAGAGGCACGATACAAGCTGTATGACACTCCCTGAAAAACGAGAAGTTTCCTACCTTTCTCCTGTAGAGTTCTAGGCAGATACATTATTGTCGGCTGTCTAGCAATGATGATAATTCGATGAAATAATGGCCTGGTGCTGATGAAGAGAGCTAGTTCAGGAGGAAGAAGAAGGATGAGTCCCGCAGCGAAGAGAATAAGACAGCAAGTGTCTCATTTACCTGACCTGTATAAAGCTACCTGTCCAACCCCGTATTCTGGGTTCTAATATTCTCCGCGTACAGTGTATCGCACCAAGATGAGCCGTACATTAATGATCCAGTCCAAGTCCAAGCGGTCATATCGGTGCTACAGACAATACCGATAGCGAAACACAGTGCGTGACGTACTAAGGTGGCAAAAGTAATGGATTATTAAATCATCTTATATAGTACAGACATATCAAGGCATAAGTCATATCTCATAAATTCGTATCCGAAAAGTAACCATATCCTAAAAGTGCTCTAAACGTATTTAATCAGCATAGCGTGGTAGTGTACACGGTCAGGAGAGATCCCCGAAAACCCAGGGGATGAAGTCTCCTGACCAAGAGGTATCCATATCAATGGGCGACAGCTCATGCATGTCCTGAGATTAATCAGTCAGTACTGACACAAGAAGCGAAGAATAGCAATCACATACTGCCTAGCGGCTTTGCCCTCTTCGTAATAGACTTCACCTGGTCCTGCTTCATCTTCGCTGCGCGCGCCCTGTCGGTTATCATTAGCTTATCTGGTCTCATCAGTATTTTTTTGAGTAGGAGAATGACATACTCAACTCTTGCCTCCTCATCCAACCGCTTCACATGCTCTCTGGCTTCACGCACTGCCCGTCGAGAAGCGATCAGTGCCCGGTCGGCTTCGCGTTCTGCTGCCTCTGCGCGCGAGACTTGTTCTTTCGCGGCGAAAACGGACTGGTCTTCATTCTTTCTGCTGCTTCCGAAGAGAGAGTGGCTGTGGCGATGGGAGGAGGGGGAAGAGGAAGAGGAGTGATTTGAGTGATTTGAGTGAGAGGCAGAGGAGCGGCGGGAGCGGCGCCGGGAAGATGTGGTGTTCGGGTCGTCGATGCTGCTCCGGTCGGAGGAACTTGAGTGATGGAAGAGGGGCATTTTGTTTGATAAAAAGTAGTGCTGGATTGATTGTGATGGGGCGCTGTATGGTTTTGGATGTGTGGGAATGGATGAGAGATTGTAGGTGGTTGGGATGGTGAGGGTTATGGTGTATAAATCTTTCTTCTTGACTAGGTCTGAGGGGCTCACACGTCAGTGGCAATTCAGGATAGATGGTGTATAGAGCTTGTACAATACTTATCTGACCTATAAGCGACATAAACAATAATAACGTGACATGTCGCCTTAAGGTCGGGTCATCCTATAATCCGCGTATGCGATGCTGTGTTTACCCCAGAAAAGATAGCATATCCAGGTCCACAGTCGGGGGTATGACGATATGCCGAAAGGATAAATGATGTGAGTGGATGATAGTTTCCGCTATGATGTCAAAGGAGCGCTGTGCCGCTTGGTGGCCGATCTGCGGTGACATCAGATCAGACGTGGCACCGCCATCATGGATGGTGTTGTTAATCCGCTTCGAGATCTCATTGGTTGAATTGGAAGGTGCTTCTGTTCGGAGAATTTCCTTCCCCATTTTTCATGGGCGACAGTAGCTGCATTCCGAAGATTAAGAGTTCTGCTTAGCCAATGCTTATATCTTACCTCCTATTGTTTCCAAATGCTGTCCTACCATTCCTCACTACCGACGATTTTTCACAGTATTGCTATCCCACAATACTCTTTGTTGTCTGTGCTCAAGTCCAAATCGGCAGGACATGTAACCCTTATGTGTTATGTTGTCTGTCATCGTGTACTTCAGAATCGCCAGAGAAATGCATACGCTTCCTCGATAAGCTGTATCTTTGACACATTCAAACATGTGATATCCCTAAAAAGCCACATATGGTGCACTTATATCCAGTGCTATACCATGGGCTCTCCCTTTCCCACGTCGATGTCATAGAACGTCATAGTAACATGGGTAGCAGCTGCCACATGCCAGGTATGACTCTAGCTCAAGCGTTCACGGGAAAGGCCTCGGAGTAGGCCTCTTTTTGTTTCCCCTTTGCCGTGTCGGAATTTTATCGGTCGAAGGGAGATGGGAAACGGTCATATTCTAAACCAGGTAGTCTCGATATAAGTATCAGTCAAAGCCATAAACTCTATCATGATAGTGGTGGAATCCGAAACACTTACTAGATTCTCCTATGGACTCATTCTGAAGTAGTCTGACAGACATGTCAAAGTACTCGGTTGAGAAGGCGGCAATCCCGTGGGGACGCACTGACCTGTGGAGCCTACCGCTTCAGGCACAACACTTATATAACTTCGGCAGCTTACTGAGCACTGGCCATGAATAAGGGCTTTAAGAGGGTAAGGTTATGACACCATCCGAGATCTTGCTGCAACTTGTCTTGAGCTGACCCTCACAGGCTCACATATCCAGATAGCCATGAACCGGAATCCCAACCTGTTCTCTATCCGCCCATATAAGCAGGTGGTATCCCATTCATCATCATCGCTAAGGTCATGTCAAAAAGCGCAGGAACACGTTCGGCTCCACTTCCCGGATGCGCGCCAGAGTAAACAAAGGCAGTCAAGTCCCCAATCCTTTTTCACGTGCTTTGCTACATCACCAGACAAGAATTTGAGATGAATGGATTTAAGTGACCAAATTCCTATTAAGGTAGGCGAGGACTCTTCGAGGTGCGTCGCACGGCAATCCAGGCAACTTTAACCGAAGCATGCAGCCCCAGAATGTCTCTAGGCCTAAAGAGGCTTAGCAATACGAGGCAACCCTTCTTCAGCTTTGAAAGATGACATCTGCAGAACCGATGGGTACAGTGGACCCTTCATTCCGCTCAACCAAGCCATCAGAAGACCAGACCCCTTGTGCCTGGTGATATGTCCTTGCTAATAAAGAACACGAGCTGTTAGAATGCTGAGCACTGGGCAGATTAACTTCCATCAAAGCAAACCCAACTCAGGTTCCGAGCCTGACGGTCCAGCCCACCTCGGCACGGCCCATGACCGTGCCAAGAATGTCCGCTCGTCTTGGCATCGGTGCCCGTGGCCATGCCATCTCATCTAAGCATTATCTAAACATTATGGATGTGCAGGACTGATGATATCCACCTACCGTAAGGATCTACAGTCTTATATAATATCGGGCTGCTACTCCGGATAGAATGTGCCCATAGTCAGGGGGTTGGACGCTGGGAAGGATTGAATTCACCTTGCCTGAGAACAGGTTTGGGAGAGGAACCACGGTGTCATTCGATTGAGAACAAACTGACTTATACCACATCCTAGGTCTAACATCACCTATCACTCAGCTTTATCTTCAATTGCAGAACCCCGGGCACATGCAGATCTAAGCACTCATCAGATGAATCCTTCTTCCCACTAACCGTTAACCTCCATCAGATACGAGATCACCATTCCAAGACAGGCTAAGCTCTACGAACCATCACCAAACCGAACCTATCTCTAACCTCAATCAAGCAGAAAGCATACGTAACCCAGCATCCACCCATCTTGCAGAGTAAGCCGCCACAAGAGAAAGAACCCTGACGATACGCGATAATTCCCTCATCGCCTGACAACTATACCACCTGCCAGCAGACGCACCTCAGCAGTCCAGGTATATTAATACCTCAATACCCCATGGATTTTCCTCCAACGCATCCACCAAGCTTCCCTCTCATACATCCCCAAACAATACCATCAACCCAACCTCAAAACCAAAACCAAAAGCCAAGATGAAGTCCGTTCTCTCCAAGGTACATCTCCCCACTCTTCTATCTATACGCCTACCCACGACCAAAGTCTAACAACCAACAGGCTACCCTCCTCGCCCTCCCCACCCTTGCCCTCTCCAGCCCCCTCGTCTCCTACGCAGGCTACTACTTCACCAACTGCACCTCCCCCAGCGTCACCGCCACCAACGTCGCCGCCTCCTACTGCGTCAACGTCGAAAACATCCCCATCAAGTCATTCACCGCGTACGTGTTCTCAGGCGCATGCGATGACTCGACCACCCCCGTGTTGAACACATACACCGAGGCGGGATGTGCCGCAGACTCCTTGTTCGAAACCGTGGACGTGGACAGCGAGAAGCAGTGTTTTGAGGCTGATGTCACGTTGGTTAGTTTGGGAGTTGAGTGTGTTTAAACTATAAACATGTCAATATATGGATAGATGTGCAAGTAGTGAGAAGCAGTGAATGAGAATAACTAACAACTTCCCTATAAACATCTAAGTCCATATATGATGTCACACAAACATAGAAAGATAGCACAACTCTTTCATAAAAACTTCCAGAAAATATGTTAGAATTTCCCAAATAGACCAAAAGAGATAACTCTCAGCCAGTGGATGAATTCCAAGGTGAGTAAATCAACAAAATATAGTACTAGTAGTTTAATATATTTCCAAAAATCCTCCGACACAACAACAAAACCCATTCCAACCACCTCTGCAAATCACACCAGGATAAGAAAAATATGCATCAACCTACTATCACCCAAAAAGACCAATCCCATTGTTACCACTTACCAGAAATTGCAATCTTAACTAGTGCAAACTAGCGATATGATTTATGGTGAGTGATCGCAGTCCATCATCCATCCCGCGATGGGGCTCAGTTCTCATCTCGGATGCAAATGTGGAGCCGTACCCAAAAAAAAAAAAAATCTCGGCGAACACCCACCCACCAACCCACCAACCCACCAACCCACCACGCACAAACAAAACTTCAAAAAGTTGACCGACGCAGGATTCGAACCTGCAATCTCTTGATCCGTAGTCAAGCGCCTTACCATTGGGCCAGCCGGCCTTGTTGAATATAGGGGGTGGTAAAGTGGGTTATAGTCAGATGGAGGGGGGTTGAATCATTCCATTCATTTTGCATTTTGAGTAGGTAAGTCAGAAGGGTATGCTATGCTACATTGGATATCATAAATGGAGCCAAAGAGAGGTGGTCACATAGAGAAAGGATGAAAGGTATAAAAAAAGGAAGGAAGGAAAGTTATTGGCAAGATTGGCGGGCGTCAGGTTCCTGATCGCTGTAATGCTCAAGAAGGGCGTCTTTTTCGGAAAATATCTCGCCGTCTTCGATGTGGATGATGGGGATTCTTTGCTCCCGGCGACTCGCTGCGCAAAGGTAGATTGAGATGACGAGACGACCCAGTAGGAATCCAATGACGCAGGCAACTCCACCGGCGAGAATTCCCATCAGGGCGGGGAGGATGACGGGGCGGGCAATCTTCATGATGCTCTGCTCACTTCCAGCCCAGAAGAATCCGCCGCTTTGGCCGTTCTTGAAGACGGGAGGGTATTTGGTGGATGGGTGACGGTGGTCGTGGGAGTCTGAAGTGTGGGAGGGTTGCTTGTGCTCGTGTTCGTAGTGGTGTTCGTGCTCTTCGGCAATCGAGTGCCCTGGCTTGATGCAGCTCTTGACGGCTTCTTTTGCGGAATGGTAGTAGGTTTCGAGTTGTGCTTTCCAGGCCTTCATTTGCCAGACTCGGTTTCCGTGACCGTACTCGCGGCTACCGTTCGGATCGATCATGGCGAGTTGCAGATTACCGTGGGCATCGCTCAGCAGGCTGATGGCAACAGTGTTCTGGGTGGCAGGGCGACCGTGCTGGTCAAAGAGACGGAGTTTCATGTAGTAAACCTCACCCAGGCCGGCGCCGGGACGAATGGGGAGGGGTCGGACATCCAAGGAGAAGGTCACTTGAACGGGTTGAATGGAGTTATCCCATTTGCGGTCTGCGGTGAATTGCATGGGGACGGAAGCTGGAAAGATGGATTGCTTGTTGGCGAGTAGGCTGCCATTTTGGGTGGAGAAGTCGATGGTCTGATGATGATCGTTAGTATGAAATGGCAGACTGCGTCACCGCAACACATACCAGATGTGAGATGGGATCGAGAGCCTCGGAGCAGCTGGAGTCGGAGAAAGCGCAAGGCACGGCGGGAAGATTGATTTGATGCGAGTTGGCAGTGACCTGCTGCTGGGCTGCTGGCAGAGCTGCAGCGGCTGCCGTGCTGATGCACAGAGCAAGGCGAAACAACATGCTGATGGTGATGGATATGGTGAGCGAATGTAGGGGAGGTAAAGAATGTCTGAGGTTGGTGAGAGAGAACGGCGCGGGGGAAAGTTTATAAACAACAAGGCAACGAGAGACGAGACGAGACGAGACGAGAGAGAGAGCCACGGCTGGGGAACTCAGGCAGCAGAAAGGCGACCGGGCGAAGCATATAAAGCGAACTAATCACAGCCGATGACAACATTGGACACTAAAGTCTAACGGAGGGGCCGAAAAGCGATTGGGTCAGTGCCATTTCAGCAATATTATTAAACTGGACTAGAATTAGTCCGTACTACTATGGTACAACCATCTAGTACTAGACTAAGGCTGAGTGACCCTGATTGACCGGCCGGGCAACTGCTGGCTGCTGATTTGATCGATCGGCGGCACCAACAACTGAACCTTCAACCAACACAGCCTCTTCGCGTCTCTCCGCCGTTGGTTTCCCGGCCTTCTTCTTGGGGGCCATCAACCTTTCTTTATGCTCTTCCTGGCTTTCTTTGCTGCTTTTGCCAAACCGCCCCCAGCATTTCTCCTGTCAGCATCCCCCAGTCCATGCAATGATCCGTCCACCTGAAACATCCAGAAGACTTGACGGGCACCACCACCACCACCATCGCCGCCCCTGTTGCTACTCGCTACTCGCTAAGTCACCGTCTATTCCTGGCCAGCTGTCTTGGATTAGTGCGAGACATCCGATCCACTTTGCACGCGATGAACCCTTGGGCTCCAACTAAAGCCTCTCCGACTCGAACCTGCCAATTGCAAAGCCTCGCTGGCCCCCACGGGCCATGGGCGGCATAGCCGATAATCCGATGCAATCATAGGCGTGGGAAGCTTAGCAATAGGTTATCGAGAGTGGTCTCAACCCCTGGCCAAAATTGCTCCGTCTCATTCTGCGACCTTGGCCCCTGACATCCTGCCAATGACCTTGCCCACCACTGCGGCTGACTCCGACCGTGCCATCCTTTAAAATTCCCACGCCCGGATGTGAGCTCATATTATTAGGTGGAAATTCACTCGCTGTCGATCCCTTGGCCAATTTACAATTCCGACGTCTCTTTCCAGTTTCCACCCCTTTATCTTGCCGAGCGCCCCCCCGAAAATCCTCCGACGCCTTCACGAACAGACTTTTCGGATCGCTAGGCTGCCAGCATGCGGGGTCCACGGACACCGTAGGCAGCCATGGACATCTTGTATTCGATAGGCTATAGGCTACTTGGACTAGCCATCGGAAGGCTACCAACTTTTCAGAACAAGGTTGAATTCACCGCAACGATGCTGTGCCTTGCGGGTACTTGCGACCGTCACGTTTGGGTCAAGCTCATCGCGCTGTGGTAGTCGCCCAGGCCAAGCTCTTTAGCTCGCCCATTAGCGGCAAGTGCTGCTATTTATACCGCGCCAATGGTTGTCAAACTACGGATTAGTTTAGTGCGGGTTGGTTAAAATTCTTCGGTGGTGTCTTACTCCGATCAGAGGCTATTGACAACTGCCTGATTTTGCGGCGCTCAGATGCGGCTCTTTCCCGCGGTGATCATCGGCAGGGTAGCACGGTTTGGTTGCAGTCACCCACATTTCCTCAAATACAAGTAAAGCATGCAGAATCACTCTGTCTCGGATCAATTTTGATCAGATTCGATTCCGAGACAGCAACCACTTCACCCGCTGAGATTCCACCAGAGCCGACACCGATTCTTGTCTATCGGGTCCGCAATCATCGCTACGTCCTGCAGTTCCATATTTAGCACGTGTCCGTCGTTTGCATATACCTCCCAATCCGTCGCATTTGCCGATGATGGATAGCCCTGTCGTACGAATGAGATAATGTAATCCTGCATCGTGAAAGCGAGTTCTTCATCGAACAAACCCACCTTCATATCTGGCCGAGAGTGGTTATAGAACGTGAAAGCTAGGTCTTGGGAGTGCAATGCCGGCTGCACATTGAAGACGGACGCGTATGCAGTGTCGAAGACTGAGTTGAGATAGAGGTTCTTGCATCGGAAAAATGCGTCGCTCACAGTGAGGGCTGTCCTTTCTAGTGGACTGCCGTATCCCAGGCTTTCAGCGGACGAGATGTTGTACCTGGGTGGGTAGAAGTTGCGAGCTATGTCCTCCATCACTTCCGGCGTTAGACTCGGGACATAAGCCTCAATAATGGACGGATAGGCTGTACTATTGGCGCCATCTGGTGGAGTAAACGCCAAACCTTCGTTGGACGTATGGCTCGTCATAACGCGGAGGTTCTTCCATTTGAAGTTAGGAGCAAGCATAGCCCGGCTCGGCAAGTCCGGAACGAGGCTCCCGTCAACGACCGGCCCATACGTGAAGGTCCCATACACCGGCGTGGTGGCTATCTGGTGGGCATTCGCCGCCATTAGTTGACTCGAGGGAAGACGGCGCGCTTCTTGGATAGATGTCACGTTGAGCAGGTCCAGGAACTGACGTAAATTAGACTGTTGCTGCTCCACCGAAAGTGGGTACCAGGTCGGACTCTGAATGATGGCTTGCTGAAAGGGCAGATCGTCCGCAGTTCCATTCGGCCCACGTGCTACTGCTGCGATCTGATGGATGATGGATCCCCCACCAGCGGACTCGCCCATGACGGTGACCCGACTGAGATCCCCGCCGAAGAGACCGATGTACTGCCTCACCCACTCTAGAGCCAGCCGTTGGTCATACAGACCAGCATTGGCCATGCCCTCGGTATCCGACAACCAGCCAAAGGCGCCCAACTAGCAAGTCAGCTACGTCCATGCAACTGGAATGCAGAACTCACCCGATAGTTAAGAGCAACATAAATGAACTCCTCCCCAGTGTCCATACTCCTCATAAAGAGACCTTTTGGATCCCTTTCAGACTTGTCACCGGCAATGTATCCACCCCCATTAATCCAAACCAGCACCGGTGCAGACGCGTCCCCCCCACCACTTCTTCCTTCAAAGACGCCCTTCGGTACCACCGCATCCAAGAATAGACAGTCCTCCGTGATTCTCGAATCTCCCGGCGGCCAAACAACCGGGTAATCACTGACGTTGCCCGACTGGTTGAACTGCGTGCCTAAGAGCACGCTCTCCAAAAACGGGACCATGATTTCCGCACTCCATATCGGTACTCCCTGGGGACAAACACGTCCAACAGACCCATTCTGAATCTCCGTGCGATTTTCAATGGGAGGAAGCGGTGGCAGAAAGCGCCGGTCGTCTATCGGGGGTGCAGCGTAGCGGATATTGCTAAAATTGTAAGTCTGGGTTGTTTCCTGCCTCGGTCAGTATATGGGCCCATGTCTGATAAGGAGAGGAATTACATCAAGAGAGATTGCTTGATGCAACTCATATCCCAGATCCACCACCGGCATCGAAGTCGAGGCCAAGCATATCGAGAAAAGAGAAAAGAGAAGATAACACTCCATGATAAGATGCATGATCATGATAGCCCAATAAGCATTCTCGACAAAACTTAAATTTCAACCGCCAAGTGATAAAGATGATTCTAGGTTCTTTTCTTCACATCGCTGAAGTAGACTTCGTGCTGAGCGTAGTATCGGAGATAGATTCACATCCTCGTTTTCGCATCGTCGGATAGGAGGAGTCAGAGTCCAATTAGATAGATACTAGTAATGGTTTCCTTCAAAAGTTGAGGAAATCAATACTATATACTATCCCTTAGTTCCATATGCATACCTATACGTGCAAGAATTATACACGAAGGCAGTATAACAATCAGACCATCATGATATACCCCGGGAACGATGGTCCCCCGGACTGTGGTCATTCCTTTCCGAATCCGGAAATTCCAACATCCAAGGTCAAGAAAAAACCAACATACCAAACACCAAGTCACCCACCCACACACAACCGGTTCACGCATCCACCTCCCGAACACAATGTCCATCTTCAGCATCTAATATCATGGTATTCGACTCCACCGCCTTCCCATCCCGTAATTTATCTGCCGTGTGTATCCCCGCAGCCGGAGTCCTAACCTCGAATTTCTTCCCGGGTGCGGGCCGTCGGTCCCCGGAGAGTGGGTACGGGAAGTGTAGGAACTCAGGTAAGAGGTCTAGTTGCATGAGAACGGTCGCTTGGTCCCAGGAGATGTGTTCGTGGTAGAGGCGGTCGCCGCGGATGTTGACGACGGATGTGCAGGGGATGCGGAGCGGTTTGTGGGTTGGGGGGATACCGGGGAGTCTGATATTTTTTTTCTTAGTATAAGGATTGTGCTATATGTGGATGTAGGCAGATGGATGGATAGAACATACAACCAATCTATCTGCTCTGAATGGGTAAGGGAGGCGATGAACTCGTCCACGACGCGATCTATTCCCACTGTCCGACTGATCAGTTCCAGATTTGTGTCCTTGGGGTTTTTGAATATAAAGTGGTGGAGGTAGAAATTAGTGAGTTTGGCGCGGCCGATTCCGCCGGTGATCTATTAATATCATAATGCACATGTTAGCTGTTGGTTTGTGGTTGGGGTATTGGGTGGGTGGGTACCGTTGGTATATGGTTCACGTATGGTTCCTGAACCATTGTTGCCATGGTTTTCTCGACCGATCGCTCCACAAACTCATAATAAGTGTGCTCCTCCCAGATTTTCTCGAGGTCGAAGTATGGGCCATTGAGGATGGGTTTGAGGAAGGTGAGCGTGCGGGTGTGAGCTACGCTGGCGGTGGAGTATTTGAAGTCGGGGTGGCCGGGGATGATGAATCCAGAGGACTCCACGTCGGGATAGGAGTACTGAGTCCTATGGGTAACGGGAGGATGCGAGCCAGGGGCGTGAGTCAAGACTGGGAGGTCGGGAATCTCCTCCCAAAGACTGTGGTAGACGATTGCCGCGATGGGAGTTTTAGCGATACAGGATGGCAGACTCTGCGCGAATTGGGGGCCGAAGTTGGACACTTCGCCGTAGACTTGCGTCTATGTTAGTATACATGGGATGTTGTGCATTTGTGAGAGGGTGTACCAACTTAGAAGCCCGAATTTGTCCTTGTTGGTACATTCCTCCAGAGCAGTCAATGCTTCTACGGCGGCTTTGAATGTATCGAAGCCGGCAGAGGGGGTGAAACAGGCCGGTTGATCAAGGGTGATTTGCACTACTGCGTAGCTCTCCTCGGCCCATTTTTGCAGAGGTTCTGGATCCAGGCTTGTGTTTTTGTCTTGATACTTTGCCACGTTGTCCGGTCTGATAATTATGAGACCTGGTCCTTTGCCACATCGTGAAAGAGGGGGTTGGAGGACAATGTTTGGGCTGATGTCGACGCGTGGGGCAGATGGCAGAGGGGTGGAATCAGAAGCCATTGTAGTTGGAGTCCTCTCAGGTAAGGTGAGGAATGGGGGTAGCTGGAAAGCATTGCGACGGGAGAAGAAGAAGAGAAGAGGGGAAATGCCACGGCGGGTTTTACCCCGCACGCCGGCGAGCTTGCTTACCTCCGCTATCTTAGGTGGCTTATCTTGATAGCACAAACATCTTACTTTTTGTGGAATGACTGCAGAGGCCGATGAATATATTAGTTCTTGGTTTCCAAAAATAAGACACATGATGTAAGTTGGTGCCTAAATGGTAAAAGAATAATACCAGGTAGAGCAGTAAATCTGCCATGAGGGTTTTCCGTGCGAGCCATACAAAGAAAACACAGAAAAATGAAAAGGTAAAAAGCAAACAAGGAAATACAAATAAGGACGAAAAGTAAGAGAGACATTCTAGTGGGCAGATATGGGGACTCCTTGGTTCGTCGGCTTATAGTCTCCTTATCTTGCGCTCCATGCCGTTCAGCATGCGATGGATTCAGCTGTGATTTTTCTGGTGATGAAGGAATATTCCCACCCCTGATCATGATGGAAGGTTCTTTTCCGTGTACAGATTTGCCCTGAACTGGTACACCGGCCAGCCTCGTATTGCCGCAAGCAACTGGATCAGACCATTTCAAGAACATATTCATGGTCTTGATATATTCAGGTCCTCTGAAGTCGTAGGGTTTCGTGGACTGGATGTGTAACTGACCGTCACGGAAGTATCCCTGGATCACTCGGCAGTGGGATGGCATCAGAAACGAGAGCAAAAGGATCTGCAGCTGAGTTAGTTTCAAGTGATTGGTTCATCTCAGCCTTGTTCTCCAAATCAAGCCCGAAGGTACTTGCTTAGGAAAAAAGCAACAGAGAGACAGAGGGCATATTGGGAACTCCACCCACCGGAAATGTCATATGAAGATCAGAGGCCCGAAGATTCTTCCGCCAGTATGCATATGTCTGAGCTCCCATGCCTCCTAGAACCCAGCTGACCATTATTTCCAACTCCGACACAGTCACACGATCTTCCATCCGATTAGTACTGTACGTAACCAGAACACGATGCGACGTGCGGGGCTCAGCGAATTGTTGAGCGGCTTCAATCTTCGTATACTCTACGCCGCGGATTATCATTCTCCGGTCCGACATTGGACCGGCAAACCTATACTAATGACCCAAACATTAGTCAATTCATGGAAGCCTTTGGAAATCACGTACAGAATGGACTTGGATGGTGGTTGGAACTTCTGCGCCAGAGCGGCACCATACTCCATATAAGTGTTGGTCAGAGAGTCTAGGCGTCCAAGGGTCTCCTTTTCACCGCGGTGGTGTGCGAACTCATCATATTCGATCTGTGCACCAGAAACGTTGTACTCTTCGCCGGGGTTTGGCAGGAAAAAGGAACCCGTGCCCTTAGAAGTCTGCCCCGTTGAGATGTCAAATCCCGAAAATCTGACCTCGAAGCTTTCTGCTTCGTCATCAGAGAGGTATTGTTGCTCCAATGTAGCAAGATGACGGTATAAGGTGTCGAGGGCCTTGTACTCTCTCGGATAGCTCATACCCTTCGAAGTAAGCTCTTTTTTAGAGAACATTGTGGAAGATAGGGACGGCGATGTAAGTAGGAGTGATGAAAGGGGGAAGAATGATGATGAGCAGTGTCAAACCACTCTCCGAGAATGGATGGAACCTTCTAATAGGTATCAAGCTAAACCGCGTTTGGACGAAAGCCCCAGACATCAATCAACTTAGTCCCAAATTTAATGGCATAATTAGTCACAGCCAAGGGAGATACAAAAATTAGTCATTTCTTTATGAAGATGGAAGTGAATGAGAGGTTCTCATTTGGCCGGCAAGCCACAGTAGGCTATCTCTAACCGGCTAGTCCTACTCTCATATACTATACATGAATTCTCCAGGCGACTAAATGTGGCCATGTGATGGTTGAGTGAGCATTTACCAACTCTGATCTTGCGCTAGCAGTATTTCACCTTCAACAGCGTACGTAACGATGGTTGCTTTTGCGTCTAACCCCACTGGGGTCCAAGCCAGGACCATGATCCAGTTCGATTACACTTCCTAACAACCAGGATTTTGTGGAAGTTTGTCACTGTCCGATCACTGAAACATGATGGCATCATGGGAATGTCGGAAGATGTTAAGAGATACGTTAGTAACCATCTCAAAAACGATGCCTCTGAATTTGCTGCATATATCGAAGATATTGCTACCAACAGGGCAGTTCAACCTCCGTTAGGACAGGCCACCCCCCTGGGCGCTTTTACGTGGGCACGCGCATTGCAACTGGTTATTCTGCAGAAGACGAGCATGATATTAAAGCAGACATGGGGCCCATCTTCAAATACGAGGTCATTGGGGGGAGTATTTGATAAAGAACTGGACAGTACGATTGATACCCAGGAGGAAGAACCAGACGACACGACAGATATCCAGGAGGAAGAACTTGACAGTACGACTGATACCCAGGAGGATATCGAGATGGATGACAGTGACCCGTCTGAAGTGACCAACATCGAGGAGTATGACCTTGGAACCTTGATGGAAGAGACGATGACCAATTTTTCCGACGGGTCCTTGATACTTCCGGATAGAACGTCCTATAGGGAGGGAGTAGACATCGTCAAGGTTTCACTCATGGCCTTGCTCTCGGCATTGACGCTTACTTGCGAGCGTGCCAGGCTCAACTGGGACGTCAAGAAGAAGAGATTGGATTGCAACCTAGGACACGCCAAGATACGAAGTATTAACGATGGGTGTTTGAGGGACCGAAAAACTGGGAATGTGCTCGCCGTAGTGGAAGCAAACCCCTTCCTGCTTTTTGCGAACCCAGAGCAAACCCTGATGCAGATGGGCTTGGAGATGCTGGCTCATATCGTGGATTGCGTTCAAAATGGACGCCCAAAAAAAAGGTAAGTTCCACTGATACTGGCGCAATGAAGAGCCTTACTTAACGTCATTTTAGGTATCTCCTATTCTCAGAACATTTGAATGAAATTTACCTCACATGGGCGCTTTTCACTATATCACTGGCCAGAATGGAGCAGACGCGAGGACGCGCGAATTTCTTGAGTTGAGATGCGTGGGACCGTTCACTATCGAGAAAGATTCTCATATGTTGACGCTGGGGCTTCTAGTTCTTGGGCTCACCGTGCAGGAAAGTGACGACCACTGGTCCAGAATAGATGGTGGTATCCATGGTCCGAAGAAGACTATCACGCAATGATGAACTGGCTGGTGTTTTAATGCTGCGATCGGAGGCTGTCCCGGTCCAACTACCGATGTTATATGTTTATTGTGAACTCCACCGGTTCCGGTCCCTGGCACCGAATGTTTTCATGGCATCAAATTTGCCATACGGTCATCGGAGACGAGAACCCTGTTCAGGCTGGAGTGGTTCATGGCCCTCAGGGAGTTGTACCGTGATAGGGATAGCAGAATGTTTGGATGATGGAAAGGGGTTCCTTTCGTTGCGGAGGTGCTAGATCAAATTCAAGACCACTGCACGAACTCATGACTTTGATTTCATCACGATGCGAAGTCTGTGTTCATGGCGCGAAAGAAATACCATGTGGGTCAACTTTTACGCTTCAGTAGCCACATCGATAGGCTTCTTGAGCGAAGGTAATCCGATATACTTGGCAATACACGTATTCTGAACTGAATAGATTGGAGAAGAGCAGAAAGCGGTGAACTTCCACGAATGAGTCAAACCAGATCCACCAACATTTACAAACCAAACCATTGATTGAAAACATTATCAGGATCCGCTTTTGCTTTGATAGCCTTCAACCTGTCGACATTCCCACCATACACAACTGATGGATCCTCATCATTGGCGAAATTAATGTACCTAGTATAACTCACTTATTTAGTTGCAAACCGCAATCTTTCGGGCAGTACATACGCAGCTGGAGAATCAAGTCCATCAGTAGACCTCCATATATCACGAACTTTCGAAGCCCAAGCTATAGCATCCGATTCAAGGGCTGGATCAAAATACCACGGGATAGCGACAGCATTATAGTTAATTTTGTTTCTCCACGCATACGCAGACGAAGCTTGACCGAAAGAGCGTGTCTTTTCGAGGGAATATGCCTCCAAGAGAACCAAGGTTGTACCAGTACCGCCCAGTGACACGAACGAGACGTACTCTTCCCAGACTTCTTTCCATGTGCTGGGAACCATCTTGGTGAGACCGGCAGTATATAGCGGTTTGTTTCCTCCTTTGAGGCAGAAAAGAGCTGTCACGTCGTTCCAGTGAGGGTATTGAGTTTCGGTTGTGGTATCGTTGATTGGACCAATATCGAGAAAGTCTGAGAATGCAGCTCTTCCTTCTTCCTCGGTTCCGTAGTAAAAGGGAATTAGAGAAACCATGGGCGTATAGTCTGGTTTGCCACTAGTTAGAAAAACCAGGAAAACACTCATTTCGGGCTTAAGGGTAATTGCTTCGATTGTCTCCACCAGTTTCTCAAGCTTATCTGGGGTAAAAATAAGCTGTCCAATCCAGGCGGTTTGACCTGAGGGAGAAACGGGATAGGATTTCATCTTTGCAGATGTGACAATGCCGAAGTTGGGACCAGCACCCCGAAATGCCCAAAAGAGATTCTTGTCTTTCGGGGTGATTGTATGAAGGCATCCGTCTGCCATGACTGCATTGAAAGAGAGAATGTTGTCGACCCCGAAGCCCATCAGACCAACTAGATTGCTATATCCAGCACCGAGAATAGCACCCAGCAATCCGATACAGTTGCAATTGGCTGTTTGCACGAGAGCATTGTTTTTTGAGGCGGCATTTATGGCTTGAGATACAGACGCACCGCCTCCAACGGTGACCACTGTTTTGTCAGCATTGAATGTGACCGAGTCCAGTTTCTTGAGGTTTATGATCAGTCCATCGTTATCAATATGCATCGTCTTTGTCCAACCGTGCCCGCCATTCTGGGTTAGGAATGGAATTTCCTTCGAAGTGCAATATTCCACCTATCGTAGCATATCTGATTAGTAGTGGACAATATCCTGTTGCTATTGAGGAATAGATAACCTACTGTTGCAGCCACATCTTGCTCATTGGCTGGTATCACGACGACTCCAGGCTTAGGGACGTGGTAATCACTCCAACGCCTGTATTTCGCCGCGTCCCATCCAATAATAACAGCTGATCGTGATAGCTGCGGTCCCAGTTCCTTGGAGACTTGTTCCGGGGATAAAGCCCAGATACCATATTGGATAACTGAAGAAAGCAAGGTAAAGGCGATTAGGGCCTTCATAATAACATATGAAGTATAACACAAACACAAGGGCATCTACCATGGAAAATATATCGGGGTGACTGACGAAAAAGGGACGTTGGAAAGCGCCACTCTCGATGCCATGAAGCAGGTCTTTCAGTAGAACAAGTCAACGTCACTTTATAGTAGTCTTAAATGAAGGTTCGGAGCAGATAATGTGGCTGCAAGACGTGCGGCAACGGTGCAATTCCGGGTCAACGTCATGATTGCGGGCTTCTCTATGTTTTTGCGGTCCAATTTATGTACCGAATCAAGATAACGATATCTATGTCATATAGGGAATATAAACCAGAAGAAATAGCGCCTGCGATATGTCCATGAGCGGATTGCAGCAGAATTAAATGTGTAGCCTCATCGAGTAATTCAGAACACGGTATGAATTCCAAGTAGGTGCCCGGAGACCTGGCATGGCGGCGAAGATAAAAGTCACGCTAGGTCTATCCAAAAATGACCTGGCACAATTTCCGGAGGATGTTTTGGTAAGAAACACCGACATCCCGAAGCAAAGTTGAAGGTATTCGATGAGATGAGAGATGGAAAGACACGTGATGGTGGAAGATAACGGCAGAAAACAGGGACCCGTCACGTGGCGGGGAAGCTCGATCACGTGTGCCTTGCCGGCGATGTCATTGTTTTCCGACAACAAACCATCGTCGTCGGATTTTGCTGGAATTGCCTCGAGGCGGTGACTAGATTGTGGATCAAAAGCTCAGTGAGCTTCATAGGATATAGAGCATCACATCGATTACCTCATCTGCTCAATCAGACTCAATTGACCACACCTCTAAACCACTTGCAGGTCCTAGCTCCAGCATAAGGCCCCCGCGATTTGTTCGTCTTGATCCCAACTCAACGGAGCAGAATGAACGTCGAGTTTCAAGGAACGCTCTCCAACCTCGAGAACAAACTCAATGCCCTCATCACCAGCCTCACTACCTCCCCTACAGCTGCAGGTGCGCCTGCCGCAGCGGTCGGCCTCCTGGACGCAGACGACTCCTTAACCTCCGCCGTCGAAACACTCCGACAACACCAGCAAAATTACGCCAAGATACTTCGACTGCGGGAAGAGGCCCAGGTTTTGGAGGAGAAGGTTAAAAGCATTGTTCGCGAGGTGGTGGCGTACGAGAAGGAAATTCGAACGACTTGTGGAGACGACGAAGAAAGTGATAGCGATCTGGAATTTGAGGACGATTCTTCCGACTACGACTCGGACAATGACATTCCCGGCGAAAAACCGAGATCTGGTGGGCTACGCGGTATCAAGGAGGTAGACTACAAGCTACTCCTGGACTTCGCGCGGCGAATCAGCAAGTACAACCACCAAGCGGCTGCCGATGCTGCAGTGAATGCGGAGTCTAGATCAAGGGAGAAGCTGCAGGGAGTTAAGGGACCTGATACGGAGGTGACGGGGGCGAATGGCAACACGGACGGCGAGGCAGTGGAGCCGGTCGCATCTGTCACGAAGGAGGCGACCAGTTGGCTTGATGAGTCCGCGAACTTGACTCGCCAGGCTTATATGTTACCATACCCGATGGAGGACCGAATTCGAATGGGACTTATGGCACAGATACAACTTGCTGGTGGGGAGGGCCGACCGGGCTTTGATCCAGACATGGAGGTCGAACGCCTAATACGCGAGGCCGAGGGTGTTGGAATTGCGGATGCGGTGCCCCAGGTCGACGTGGGTGAAGAAGCTCGTCATGCAGATGAGGCAGCGAAGGCGGCAGCGCACGCTGGGTCTGCGGCAACAAGCCGCTCGACGATGGGAGCTGCGCCAGCACCGAAACCTAAGGCTACACTGGACCTGGACCTATATGACCCAGATGATGATGACGAGTGATGCGAACAGTGTATCGCGAGCAATCAGTTACAGCAGGACTGTTGTTTATCTACCTTTAGACAAGGAATGAACTCGACCGGTTGCCATTGCCTTCACATCCTATGCACGGAGGACTTGGCCGTCCACTTCCGCAAACGCTTTCCATAAAAGTAAAAGGGAATCGCAAAAGAGACACCACAAGGCCGCCAGCGACATGTTCAACATGATTGGTCTCACGAAACCGCTCTTCTCTATCCAGGGTGTAATGAATTCGCTGAACCCATAGCCCCAGAGGTTCTTGTTTACGGTTATCGAAACGAAGATAGAGCCAGCAACGGGCTTATAGCTGTCGACTGCGTAGGTGCTGGTGATCGCTGGGATGGCAGCAACCTGGATACCTGCCGCAGTGTATCCGATTATCACGATAGCCTATACGTTGCATTAGGAATCTCGTTGGATCTCAACCACAGAAAGTCAAGGAATTATAGCCAACTCACCCTCCAGTCCCACTTATATTGATACCCAAACGCCACCACAAAGTTGCCGATGATAGATATAATCACATACGGGATTATCGCGGGCAATCGCATTTCTGGTTCTCGAATACCGCGGTTCCTGTTAGTGGCTCTCATCGAGATCCAGTCCGAGAGAGGTCCGTTAGTCGCCAGTCCGATGAACGTCCCGATCCAGATCGCAAAGTTGAAGAAACCTATTGTCTGGCTGGAGAAGTTGTATGGAGGCGCAGCAAATGCCTGGCTTTGGGTGAGGTTCAAGGTCAGGAACACACTGGCTGGCCAGGAGACATTGAAGGCAGCGAATTCCACGATAGGAAAGGACAGTAGCTTCCACGGAATCCAGAAGCTAGCCATTAGCTTTCGCAGACTGTGATCTCCTAGCTGCCATAGTTTGAACTGCTGCTTCGAGGGATACCCTTTTCCAAGCCATGGATCTGTCCGCTCGTTTCTCTCTGCCGAGAGATCCTCCTGGTGGTTCATTTCGGCGGGCTTCTCGGGCTGAGATGATGTATCCGAAGTGTTCGGCGTCTCCTGTCCGTGAATTTCTCCTGGATGGACCCGGTGCCATCTCGTTTCTGGAAAGAAGAATATTACGAGGATCAGGACGAGTCCGAGAAGACCGACGTTATACCAGAAAAAGCTACGCCAGCCAACATGTTGAGCCATTGGACCAGCGATTATAGGGCCGACCTATTCGAAGCCAATGTCAGCAACAATGCAGAATTCTTTGCGCAAGACGTCTCACCATGAGCGATCCAAAATAGAATGTGAAGTACAGGGTGTTGAACGAACCCCTCTCGTGCAGAAATATAGTATCCGCAATGATCTCAGGCTGGGAAGTCTATCAATTATCAGTGTGGCCTACTCTCTTCGACCCCCCAAAGAAGCAAACCTCTGCAGGCCCAGCGCCAAACCCACTGAGAACACAAGCCCCCATATAGCTCCCATAGGACGTTGCAACAGCTCTCCAAACATTGCTCACCAAACAGATCAATGTAGAGAAGATCAACACCGGCCTCCGACCACAAACAGTCTGTATGGGAATCCTTCTTCCGTTAACACATCTCCACGAGCTCAAGATCCACCCAGGACCTACCAAAAAAAATTACTAAACCCCAACACGAGAATGCAAATACCCGTAAACTTGACCACGGAGGCATAATCCGTTTCGAAAGTCTCCATCATCTGAGGAAACATTGGCGCCAGAGCCAGAGGTCCTAGACCCTGACTGAAAGAAACCGCAGTGGACAAGAAAATGGCTGCCATCTTCCATGTTTTGCTCCAGTTCTGCAGTGATCTTCTCAGCGACTTATTTTCTTCTCAAGTTGGACCAACACATACCAAAGGATCATGTCGACTCTGTGATGGCTGCGGAACAAGAACGCGATCTGACCTCGATGACGCCTTCACGAATTGATGAGTCCCTACATCTCTCATGATCTCCGTCCCGGGGTAGATGTTTGTATCGAGCTCGCGCTCAATCCTTCCTATCATTAGCATGATCGCCATTGCACACATATTGACACATACTGATGGAGAGCCTATATACCCAACAACAAAGTCAGCCTTCTTCATCCAACGCCATAGATATAAGGAGTAACCACTCACCGCTTCGTCATAATTCATCTCCATGTTACCTTCTTGGACGCAAAGAGTCTCTTAACAATCCTTTCCAAAATCAAAACAATCATGTCCCGCAGACAGTTCTTTCTCTTCACAACAAACGAAAACCGGTTTATAACTAGAGTTTTTTTCCGCCCACGCGCGGAATCCCTCCGGACTATAATACTCCAATAGCCGATCTTATCCATGGAAAGCCATTTAAGCCATGAGGGATAAAAGCGAGGGAAACAGCCAAGTTACACTTGGACCTTGAAGTCGATGAGGTTCCTTTATTGCTCCTGGACGACGTCGTGATTGTTTTTTTCTTATTGGGTGCGGTGGGTGGACTCCACTTCCCCGGATTTGACTCCACTTGAGCGTGGGGTTTAGTTGGGTTGGCGGGATTAAGCCGCTGTGGGGTCGAGGGTTGGCATTCATCTATCTTTGCCGACAAGTCTTTCAATAATGTCTATGATGAAAACGAATTCTAAAACGATCTAAGCTACTGATTTTCCCCCCACAAGGCCTTTAGCTTCTGAATCCCCGACTCTGTCTCCCATCCTAGGTCCGCCCCGATACCGCAGAGCAAATCAAGGAGGATTTGGCGCTCAGTGGGCTTCTCTAGACATTGACCAGCGCCGAAGAGGAAGGCGGTCATATATATACGTGCACAACCCTGCGGTCGGGCCAGTGAGATGCCGATGATTTCTTTGCAACGGTAGTCTGCTTCCTTGGTTACTTCTCTGTAGCTTTGAATCCGGTCGAATGCGGTGGTGGGGCTTGTGATGGCGTCGGCGGGACGATTGAGACATAGCGCGAGACGGGCGAAATGGTATTGTTGCATTGAGGCCGCGCATGAGGGAAGACTGTAGTATATTTCGGGAAATGGCATGTAAGAGACCTCGGGTAGTTTAGACGTGTCTCGGGGGTTGTTGAGGCGGAGACATGGGCGGAAGGTTTCGGGCATGCGGTCGACCCAGGATTGGAGTTCGAAAGAGAGGTTGAGCCATGTAGTTGGGGATGGAGGACTGATGGGGGCGGTGGTTGGTGATTGGGGGACTATTTGGTCTAGTTGCGATGTTTTGAAGTGGGCGAGGAAGTTGGTCACTTTGGACATAAGCCAGGTCAGGCTGTTTGAGGCGAGGTCTTCGTGAGAGTGGAATATGTAGCTGGCTGAAATGATCTCGCCTTGCTCGTTGATGGGGAGACCGGCTGCTCGCCATAGTGGGAGATTGGTGGGGTCGAGATAGGTGGGTAGGCGGCTGAAGTATGATGCTAGATAATCCTGACGCGCAAAGTTCCAAAATGATGCCTTTATTCCGTGGGAGAATTTGACAGGGTTATCTGAGGAATTGCCATATAGTTGCAGTAGTGATTCAAATAGTGGCTTGACGCCTGTGAGATAGCTGCGTGCTCGGGTACCGTCAGACATGGAAGGCGGAGCAACAAATTGGTGGGAAGGAGTACGTACGACTGCCACTTCTCTCCAGGCTCACATATGAGTCTATACATGGTAAGGACTGTTGCTGTAGTTAGTAAAGTCTCCGCCTTTTTCCAGACGGAGCTGTCTGTCGCAGATGGTGGGCTATTCAGCATTTTCTGACGCAGCCAGTTGTCTATTATGTCCACCGGATATTCCAGAACAGCAGAGCTGGACGGCATATAGGACTCTGACATGCTGGAGCTCATACGTGTGATAGCAAGATAGTAATAGTTTGCAGCTTTCAAAAACCAGTCCACATCCGGAGCGTTCAGATACGTCTCCATGGTTGCCGGAGTCGTGAACATCCCAATGCTTGCCGTACATGTCGCTCCTTTCATTTGGCCGAGATGTTTTGCTGCCAAGGCGGCGATCGAATATCTCACGAAGTCATTGTCAATAGCACGTAGAGGAACGTAGGTTGCGAAGAATCTTCTAGAATCCGATAGATCGAGCCTGAATAGACGTAAGTATGCCAGACCACAGTCGTGGATACTTCCAGACTATTACGCACCATGGTGCTATGACTTGACTGAAATGACGTATGAGAAAAGAGATCTCGTGCTCAGTGTCAGTCATCAGCTCCGACACAACATCGTGGAAGTCCTCTTTCTCGCCCCTAGATGATTGGCTATCTAGAGATGGTATCCTAGCAGGTGTCGGTGCGTTTTCATGTTGAAAATGGACAGGAGTGTTGCCTTGGGGGTGAGACGCATCACCGAATGTGTTGTTTGGACTAAGTGCAAATTGAGGGTTGCCCCTGTTCAAAACACTCCATGGCTGTTGAAGTGTTGTCGTAGTATCAGCTTGGAGGATTGCAGCTGGCTGGTTGGGAGCACTTCTGTCAGTTTCATCCTGGGCATGCGCTTGTGATAAATTGTGCTCTCTCGACTCCTCTCCTGACGATCCAAAAAAGCCTTGACTGGCCTCCAGGAGTTGATCTGCTGCAGATGACGCAGTCCTCTGTGACGAGAGAGTGCTCTGGCTTATCATATCTCCCGTTACGCTTCCATCTATATCTATACCGGCCGGACTTTCTCTGGTAATCTAATTAATGTGAGCAGCAGCAAAGTGAGAATTGTGTATGCGAGCAGAATCGGACTGCAATGGGTTTGTAGCTGGCTGTATCACACTTACCCTCCTCGGACTGTCTGGAGTGCCTCGCTTGGAGTCGCTATCTCTATAGGGAGCATACCGACGTCGGACTGAGGCGCCCTGATCGATGAACTTCCGGGTCTGAACATATCCCGGGCATTCAACTCCGGCATTGGTGCAACGCTGACAATTCGGACGTGTCTCGTCGCACTAAGATAGTCAGAGATATGCAGAAAGCAGGATAAACTCTGAAGCAACCTTGAGATGACGCTTTTTACATCGCTCACACGCCTTATTCGATGGAACCCCAGGCATCGTGTCGACGGCGTGTGGCGTCAGAAGAGGAACTTAGTCTTGCTCCCGTCTTTGAAAAGATAGCATTCTTCATGCTACAGAAAAGAATCGTTATCATATACCCCACTATTGATTCATAGTCATCAGATGAGCTGCAGATTGACGTTTCTAGTTTGGACGCATGGAGCGAGGGAGCTTTCGTCGTCGTCGTGGCGGAGCTTGGCGGTCGAAAGAACCGGGATCGGAGCCCGGAGATCCCTCGGATAAACGTCGGCCGGCCTTCCCGGGATAGCCGCGATGCTCTCTCCTGGAACTCTCATTCACAACCTTGGTTGATTTCAGGATCGAATGAGTCAAAGGCCGGTTGATTAAAACTTTACCATGTATATTATGCTAGCTACTCCTGTAAGCTTCACGGTGTCCGAGATGCTTATACTTCCATATGAGAAAGAGTGTACCAAAGCCGATATCCCCACATGGCTGTGACGCGCTATCTCGATCGTGGCTTCTTGTAGCGCGTGCTTCCAAAGTTATTTTGCATATCGAGGATTCCTTTCCATAGAGTTTCCAATGAAAAGACCTGGGATCGATTGCGACCTCTATTTCTCAAGAGCCTTGAAAAGCACCTGGGTTTGGCTGACAAAGTCATGGCTGTGAATTTGCCTAGGACAATCTTCAGAAAATTGTCGTCACTCTCAATTTGATGTCGACGCATGATGAATGAAATTGCAATGTCGAGGCGCATAGCTAATGGGTGGTTCCGCAGAGGTTGCTGCTCCAATATCTCGGTTTCCATGCGGTATGTTTATGACATGTTCTATGCGTGGTGGATGGGACAGTGTTATGAAAGAATAGAGGTAACTAGGAGAAGCTTGCCATGGGAAAAGTAGACATTCTGTATTGCGGAGAATTAAATAAATATTATAAAGCGCATAGGAACTTGGGCATTCACTTCACTTCAAGCAAATAGTCACCTGATCCTTTCCTTAATTACTTCCTGATGGAGCTTTCATCCCGGGGACCTCCAGACCCCCCAATGATTTTCATCTCGGCAATTACTCTCTCCTGCGAAGCCTTTGCCACACAAGTCCCTGATAATGACACCTCGTGTTTCAGCTGGTACGTCTTGAATGAGCAAGAAGCCATCTGACCCCATCAATCAAGTCTTGTGTGGCAGCCTTGGTCGTCGAGAGTTCTGGGAATATCCAGAATGCGTGAGGCATTCCCGGGTATACGGCAACCCGCAATGGAACGCTGAAAGTCGTTGTCAGCAATCAGCCTTTGCACCTTGTCTGAACAACAGTTGACGTACCGGCATCTCTCAAGTTCATCTGCATAGGCAAGGGCCTCATCGCGGAGCGGGTCGTGGCCACAAATTAGAAGAAACGACGGAGGAGTCCTATCAAGCTCGGTGGACAATAATGGCGAGACTGTTGGATGTTCTGGATTGCCAGGCTGGTACCAATGGAAGAATTGCTCCATGGACTGGCGATTGAGGATTGGGGTATCAACATACCTATCCATACTCTTCAGTCCCATCTTGTGGTGATGCACGTCGCTGGAACACAAGACTGGCGATCGAAGAAGCTGACCTTGGATGGGAATCCCTATTTCCGGCGATAAATGACGAAGTACAACGGCCTTGACCATCTGTCAGCATGGTTCTACGTTCCCCAAACCGTGCATCGCATGGCGTATCATACCAAGTTCGCCCCTGCACTGGTACCACCGACGTAGATTTTGTCTCCATCAAAGCCATGGGTTCGGTCATTGTCCGACACCTAAGGATGAGGAAGGAGGTCAATTTACAGAGTGACTTAATTTCCTCAGTGATAGATAAAAATACCCAGTGAAGTGCCGTGATCGAGTCCAGTATCGCTGCTGGATACGGATTTTCTGGGGCACTGCGCGATTTGATCATCTCGGTATTTGAACCAAGCTATGATGTCCCACTTACAGGCGATAGTCAACGCTGACTATGTGAAGGCTACTTTCAATGCACAACAGTCGACAGATGTTGTCCTCTCCGTCCAAGTCGCCCATTGCCCAGCCTCCTCCATGAAAGCTTCGCGCCGGATATTCAACATTAGGCCCACCTATCATGAGTCCTCAATACAGAAGAAATCGAACTTACTATATCATCACAGCACCATCTGCCTTCGGAGACAGCGATTTATATACTCGGAGAGGAACCTCGACATCGGTCGCAGAAATCGCAGTGTAATCACGTACGTCAAGCCCATGAACTACTGGTCGTCCATGTTGCTGCGCCCGCATCTTGGCTTGGTGCATCGTTTGGCGAAATTGGTCGATGGAGCCTGTCAAATGAGGAACGATGTTCCTATGCCGGCGATAGAACTATACTTTTGAGGTTAGCGTTGGCCCTATACCTCACGATCCTTTTCGGCTGTCGTCTTTCTTTTATCTTATCAGAATCACCAAAAAGCCGTACCTGTTCCCACTCCGAGTCTTCACCAGCTAATATATCCCGTTGTGAAAGCCACCGCCCAACCGTCGAAGTGGAAGTGTCTTCTTCACCCATGATTCCCGTATCAGCGCTGACAGGAAATATAGTAATCGCAAAGAAGGGCAGGTTAGACAGGTTGAGTCATTCTCTCTTTCTTCTGAAATATAGGCACAGTTTTCGCGGTTGTTTGTCCTTTGCTCATCATTGTCAAATAGTGTCGTATAATAATACGGCATGGCATCATAGTGAGCGTTGGCCGATCCACGGTATTGCCCAAAGTATGCCTGGAAATAATATGCGGACATGTGATCGGACATACTGTTGGCACCGACTCCAAACATTCTGCCTCCGAGCCTTTGTCACACCAACACATATTTAGCTTGCTTCTATGCCGTCCATGGCGAGCACAGTCTCGGAAGTATTGTCGCATCAATCTCAAAAATATGTCTATAACAAACATCAAACTGGGGACGTCAAAATTTTCACTTCGACTGGACGATTTATCCGCGGCTAGAAGGGCACGGTAGTAATGCATACTCGCGTGTCACAACCACCAATTCAGAAACGCCGTCAACACGCAAGTACCCTGAGGAACCAGCGCCTAAGACTACAGATGTGATTACCATCGGTTTGTTTGATTATTTTGTGCACACCGACAACATGAAAAGCTCGTCGGATATGTATCAGGGAGCAGGGATCCAGGTATAGAATGACACACAGACCTAAAAAGGCATTCTATAGGCTATGTGCCTATCAGCCGGGCGGTGGAGGCGCCTTTGGCCAGGGAGGCGCTGGTTTTCCGCATTTCGGCAAGCGGGTGATTTCATCCCTTACAGGGACTGGCCAGCGCATTGTCCCGATGGAGGGTTCCCGTTTAGGCATTCCGTCTTGTCAATCACTGCAACTAACGGGCTTCGCCAATGTTGGAGCGGTGTCAACCAGGTTGTATCCGGATAATTGGTCTCGGTGATCTCGATGATTCCCCAGATCCTACCCCTCAGATGGCCACATGCCCCCGGAGAGGGGTGGCTGCCTTTCCGGGACGACATGTTGTGGAGAATTTGGGTGACTATGGAATGCCGCCATCCTACGCGACATCGTTCTGGTTAAATACCTCTCCCCATAAAGAGCTGCTTCTCCTCTTCTGACTCCGTGGTCATCACTTGAGACGCTGTTCATCCCTCCAAGATGTTGGCATTGAAGGCGACTGTGACAATCATCCTCGCATCTGGTATTGCGACCGGGCTAGTCTCGAGTAATTCTAGTTTTGATGTACTGGACTACATTGACCCCCTAATAGGAACGGCTAATGGGGGTAAGCATATTTCTGGGTTCATCCATGTAGGATTACCAGGCTAACCTAGTCCTGTAGGCCATTCATTTGCAGGGGCAACTCTACCCTTTGGTCAGAGACATTGAATCCGTGACATCATGCCATCCTCTGATCTGGATATAGGGATGGCAAAAGCTGTAGCAGACACCCTCGGCGAAAACCAAGCCGGCTTTGCCTATGACACGACTTACGTCTCAGGGCTCTCCCACATGCATGACTCTGGAACCGGTGGTGTAAGTCGTCTTGTTGCGACAAAGCACATTAGCCAGTTCTGAGTGTCGCTGTCTAGTCACCGTCTCTAGGAAACTTCCCAATATTCGTGCATCCAGGTTGTCCGGACGATGATCTTGACAAGTGTACATGGCAGCAGTCCGATCGGGCGACGGCATGGACACAAGAGTCGCCAAAAGCCCGGCCTGGATATTTTAGCATTACACTACAGAACGGTGTTCGTGCGGAGATGAGCGTCACGAATCATTCGGTTTTGTATCGCTTTACCGTCACCAATGCGACCACTCAGTCTCTGAGCCCTGTGGTTCTGGTCGACCTTATGGATCTCCCACAGTCACGCACGAATGGAACAGCTTCGGTTGATCGCTCGACAGGTCGGTTGACCGGAAACGGTACCTTCAACCCCAGCTTTGGCATCGGATCGTATGATCTTCACTTTTGCATAGATTTCAAAGGGGCTAGTGTTCGGGACACAGGCGTGTGGTCCAACAATCGTGCCGGTCAAGGTCAGACAACCATATCGCTGACATCTGATGGGAGCAACACCGCGGCAACACTATCTGCCGGGACATTCGTCCGATTCAACGCTCCAATCAACCAAACCCTTCTGGCGAGAGTAGGTGTCAGCTTCATTAGCGTGGACCGAGCCTGTTCCAATGCCGAAAACGAGCAACCAGACTTTGACTTTCCTGGAACTGTCAGCGCCGCAGAGGCAGCCTGGAGGGATAGGTTGAATGTTTTTCAAATCGATGCAGGAGATGTCTCATCGGATTTGCAGAAGGTTTTCTGGAGCGGAATGTACCGTGCCATGATAAGCCCACAGGACTATACGGGGGAGAACCCACTCTGGCAGAGCGATGAGCCGTACTATGACAGCTACTACTGGTAAGTAACTTTCCATGGAAGTCAGGCATTCTCTGACAAACAACAGTATATGGGATTCCTTCCGTGGCGTTCACCAATTGCTTACTCTCGCGGATCCACTGTCACAGTCTCGCATGATGAGGAGTCTGGTGGATATCTATCGCCACGAAGGATACCTACCCGACTGCCGTATGTCATTGTGTAAAGGATACACCCAAGGAGGATCAAATGCAGATGTACTCCTTTCCGAAGCCCTCCTCAAGAATGTCAGCGGCATCGACTGGACCACCGCGTACGAAGCCGTCGTCAAGGACGCCGAGATTGAGCCCGCGAACTGGAACGTCCAAGGTCGTGGAGGACTAACCAGCTGGAAAACGCTCAACTACATCCCCACGGACGACTTCGACCCCAATGGAGTCGGTCTACACACACGCAGTATCTCCCGAACAGTCGAGTACGCATACAACGACTTTTGTATCGCTCAAATGGCCCAACGGCTAGGTCACCAAGGCGACTACGAAAAGTACATCCAACGCGCCACCAACTGGCAAAACATGTTCAAAGACGACCAGACATCCTTTCTCGAAGGTATCGACACCAACTTCACCGGATTCCTCCAACCCCGATACCCCAACGGAACCTGGGGCTACCAAGACCCCATCTTCTGCAGTGCACTCCTCAACTTCACCTCCTGCTATCTTAATGCAGACGGACACGAGACCTACGAAGGAAGCTCCTGGCTCTATACATTGTAATCCCACCCCTCCCCCTAATTCCACCCACACCACTAACCCCACCTCCACCTCCACAGCTTCGTCCCCCAAGACATGGCCACTCTAGTGACAAGACTCGGCGGTCCCGAAACCTTCACCTCGCGCCTCTCCTACCTACACGACTCCGGCCTCCTCTACGTCGGCGACGAACAAGCCTTCCTAACCGTCTTCCAATTCCACTACTCCGGTCGCCCCGCATTATCTACCGAACGCGCCCACTACTACATCCCCTCCCAATTCAACACGACTGTCGCGGGGATCCCGGGGAACGATGACGGCGGAGCCATGGGCGCGTTCGCGGTCCTTACCATGATGGGATTATTTCCAGTTCATGGACAAGATGTATATCTCATCAGTCCACCGTTTTTCGAGGAAGTTAGTATTCGGAATAAGGAGACGGGGAAGGTTGCCACGATTCGGAATGTTAATTTCGATGCTACCTATAAGGATATTTATATTCAGAGTGTGAAGAGGGATGGAGAAGAGTGGACGAAGAATTGGATTGCTCATGATTTTTTTACTGGGGGTGGTGTTTTGGAGATTGAGTTGGGCTCGGAGGAGAGTGATTGGGGGACTCGTGATGAGGATTTGCCTCCGAGTATGAGTACTTGATTATCAGTGTTGGCTTTGGAGATATGGGAAGGGAAGATGGGTAGATCAGTAACAGAAGACGCGGATGCGAGTCATCCCATACAAATAGGATATCCTACATACATGAAAACAGTCCGAAATATAGAGAACACGAAGGTGGGAGAGGTAGTACTAGGTGTGCCGATTCTCAACCTCAACCAGCCCTAAAAACCAACCAACCACCCACTCCCCTAAGCATAAGGCCGAATCCTCTCCACCGTCTTCCCCCAAACAATCTCCCCCGCATTCATCCCTTCCAACTCCCTCAGAACCTTCTCCTGCTTCAACACCTTCATCTTATCATTAACCAAAAACAACTCTCCACCACCACCATACCTCTCACTTGTCATCAAAAACAACACCTTCTCTGCCGCCACTTCCGGCGCCGTCCCAAACATGCCCATAATCGGCCCAACCAGCACCCAAAACCACCACTTATCACCCCACGCCTTTTTAAACGCCCCCGTATCAACACCCCCCGGATAATGATGAATGAAGATAACGCCCGGATTATCTCTCGCCAATCTCGTCATCGACAAGGTCGTATACGTGGCGATCGATCTCGAAAGAGACACCAGACCAAAATGTCCTGGTTTCTCGAGCTCGAAATCATCGAGGTAGATAGAGGTTGTTTCGTTGCCTGCTGCGAGGACGCTCACGATGCGGGGGCTGTTTGGTGAGGCTTTAAGGAGGGGTAGGAGATGGGTGATTGTTAGAATGCGACTGTAATAGGTTAGAGCTTGGGAGAGGGGGAGGGACTCGGGTGTTTCTAAATCGTATTGGAATTAGTCACTGTCAACGCCAGGAGTCTGGAAATATGAGGTGAAGTGTACATACCAACCCGCTCTCCGGATGTGATGAACCCCGCGCTCATGTATAAACAGTCAATGAACGTCTCACGGGCCTTGATCTCATCGCAGAGTCGTTTGGTGTCTGCGAGGAGAGAGATTTGGCCTTCGAGCCAGATGATGGTTGCTTTTTTGTTGGATTTGCGGAGCTGGGAGAGGAAGGATTCGTGTTTTTGGCCGTTACGGCCGATGGCATAGATTTTGATTGGGAGGTTTGTTGAAATCAGACGAGTAAGTGTTGCTTTGCCGATGCCGTCGGTGGCTCCGGTGAAGACGACAATTTGGGGGGCCGTGGTGGTTGTGATTCGGGCGTTTGAGGCCCTGATTTCGGGGATTGAGACCATTGGAATACTTTTGAGACTGGGTTATGGGGATAGATGGGGGAAACGGGATGTTTGATGAGAGTTGTTGGAGCAGGGACTATATAGAGGAGAGGAACGGACTTGAATGCCGTGTTGTGGGCCTGAGGTCTCCACTGATAATGGGCTAGGCCTGAAGCGGATTAGAACGATCTGTAAACATCTGGGATGGAATTTGGGACCAACTGCAGATTCCGATACAGAGTATCATTCAAGTGCCGTCGTCTTTCCCTTTAATATAAATGAATGAGCATTTATTGGGCCTCCAGGCCTGCCAATCCCTCAAGGGTTGGTCTTATGGCAGCTGTGTGGCATCATTGTTCATCAGAACCGCCCAACAAAGTCCACCAGGTACCAACTTCTATCAATGGGATGAGAATGACTCGTCTTTAATCCATAGTGAATCCAAATGTTCAAGGTTAGCATAATTCAATCCATATCGACCAGTAAAAGATCTATGACCTTGCATCCAGGGGATGGCCGCAATGGGTCTGGGCACCGACCGCCCGAGCGGACTTCGGCATTGAAGTCCGGTCCTGCTGACGGCCAAAAGACCGTTCCCCGTTTCTCATTCTCGCCGCCATCCGTACCCCCCTCGTACAATAAAAATCAATAGAAAAGCCCAGTTACGATGGAGAGACGAGGCCCAACGCCGGGCTCTGGCTCGTACGGCAAGGCTTGCATGCAGTGTTCCAAGGCAAAGTGCCGATGCGTGGCTCGATCCGACAATGCCGGTTGCGAAAGGTGAGCGGCATTGTCCATCTGCCAGTTGCGAGCACTGAGTTGATTGCTCCAGGTGCTTCCGTTTGAAAAAGCAATGCCAGCCTTCAGACTCCAATCGCAGGCGCACTCTTCGGGACCTTGACATTGCGAAGCTCGAGGGCAGAATCGATACCCTCACAACAATGCTCCAATCCATCGCTACTGCCACCGGAATATCTACCGACCCATACCATACCGTGAATGCGCCCTTAAGCAGTGCCGACACTATCACTGGTGGGGGCATAAACAACTCCTTGACTGATGAACCGTCGCAGTCAAGCCCGTTCGGTACCAGTGGCTCGGCCGAGTCATCTCCACCGCTGCATGAAGTAGCACTAGATGAAGCTCCATGGTATCTAGACCGCTTCGTCAATGATATGTTGCCATGTTTTCCTTTCATTTACATCCCTCCTGGCACCACTTCTAAGCGCTTATGCCAAGACCGGCCTTTTCTCGCCGAGGCGATCATCGCGGTAGCTACGCCATCAACGCAAGAGAAACAGGCTCGCGCTGAGAGACTCAAATATCACTTGACTAGATCAGCTGTGCTTGAAAATCAGTCAAGCATTGACATGCTGTTGGGCATGCTAACTTACATTGCATGGAGCACTGACCCTTTCTTCCGACGGGCAAGTAACTTGTCTCGCATGATAATGTTAGCCATGTCCCTGGTCTATGATCTGCGGCTGGGCAAGCCACCACCGCCAGATGCGCAGGTAATAGCAACAATGGCCCCAGGGCTTGGGAGTCTTCAAGAATGTTCAAACGAGAGTTCGCCGCAGGACCTTCTAGAGCAGCAACGAGCGGTCTTGGCGTGTTTCGTGCTCAGTTCCATGTAGGTATTACATCATCCCCATATGCCCAATATCTAACCCCGACACTCTCCAGCATCTCGTTTTCCTTTAGTCGAATAGTCCCTTTGAGTTGGAACTCGCAGATGGAGGATGCGGTCCGTATGATCGAGGCAAACAAGGAATGCCCATCAGATGAAAGTTTTGCGATTCAAGTGCGCCTGCAGGTTCTCTCACAGAGGGCGATATTAGTTCGAGAACCTCAGCAGACGAGCCATCCTAGCGCAACGCAGACGACAACACCCACGCCTTCTGCAACTTCGATGTATCTCAAGGTACTACAAGGGCAGCTTAAGGAGCTCAGAGCCGCGTTCTCGCCGAATCTCCACCGACGAGGTAAGTGACCAAACCTAAACATGTCGTAGTTAACATGCAAATATGGACTGCAGATATGCTCACTGCACATGCTCACTACGTCGAACTTTGTATAAATGAGACGACCCGGCTGGCCTGTTCGGAAGATCCCATCCACATTTCAGGGTCTGGCTCTACGACCGGACTCGAACCCCTAGAGTGTCTGTGGCGGTCCCTATATGCCGTCAAGTCGTGGCTAGACGTCTTCTACACGATCCCACCTGCCACGTATGTGGGCTTCCCTTTTTTCTTCTGGTTCCAGCTTGTACGTTGCATTGTGATCCTGAAACATCTATCGACGTTCGATGATCCGATGTGGGACCGTCAGGCCGTGCGAAACACAATTGACATGTCGACACTATTGGAATGGATGACTGAGAAGGCCGAGCTAGCTAGCCAAGAGGCTGGTGAGCGATCTGAAGACGATATGTTCCGGCGTGTCAGTAGGTTGTTGCGCCTGTCCCAGAGGTGGGTGATTGAAAGACAAAGAGCTGCAACGCAGGCAAAAGGATATACCACACTCTATTGTGATGAACCTTTAGCCACTGCTGCAGATGAGATGGCCGATGCGACCGACATGGCATGGATGAATGCACTGGAAAGTGGAGACGGGACATGGCTTGAGGAGGTTCTAGGCTGGTCTCCGATCGTACTTTAGGCATGAGCAGTTGGTACTTGCTAGCCAGCTGTATTTGATAGACCGGATTGGCATAGACCTCAATCTGAGTATGTTCATCAACACGAGCGAGAACGTGAATTCCCAGGGATGGAAATTGAGGCAGGTGCAGATTGCGACAGAAATAGGCAATTGCGAGCAGAATAGTCAGGGAGCCTAGTCAAGCAACTGAGACTGCAGGGGCACAACAAGAGGGGTAGGATGAAGGAGACAGAGCGGAGAAATTGAGGAGAGAAGTAGAAGACGAAGACACAGACCACCGAGGCCACGCTAATTTCTCGCCAGACCCTACTAACCACCTTGGGACTAGGCTTCATCGACCAGGCCTGAGTCCAACTTTGAGCTATAAAATACAGACCTATATTAGGTTTAAAGGATAATTCTATAGTTCATGTATGATTATGAAAATTTTCATCGTAAGTTGGAAACTATTTCTAAGCCTGTTGCGCCGAAGGCCGCATTACCTGACTGCCTCCGATCACGTGACCCGTTCTTGACCGGTTCCCTGGCTGGTTCCTCGGAACCGCTTATCTCTAGCAGGCAGGAACCTCGCGATAGCTTCACGGATGGTCTTATTACGGTAACAGGAAACTACCAGCATTCTTACGAAACAGCCTGTACGGTCTGGTCCGCTAGAGCCTGATCTCACAGTATAAAGACACCTTCAAAGCCCCCCTTTAGCCAATTTCTTCATCATATCAATTATTAGTCCATACATTGGCCAATTAGAGCCCACTATCTGCCGGCTGTATAAGACAGAAGACGTCCAGCGCTGAGATGTGGTGTCAAGAGGGCGAGGTGGCATGACATCTCACAGAACTAACTCGAATAGGAAGTACGCAGTCAGATGGAGAAACCACGATCTATAGATCCCTAACGCAAATCGATCTGGCCAGGGCTGTTCCAAATTCACTCAGCTCGATGCTGCGCAGACATGTGAATGTCCTACGCAGATTAAAACGTATATTGACCGATATCCGGAACTCACGTCAATTTTCGGCCCACCTCCAAGCTGGGCCCACTTCGCGTCTATTGCTCTGCTAGCCTTATCGAACGGCGGAAGAGTCCGATGCTCATTGCTCCGGAAGATGCCAACGGATCGTATGGATCCATCCCACAGAGACTAGGTATTTAAGATGTGCCTGCGCCTCTTTAATGGAGATTGATCCTCCGGACAATCTCACGTTTTTCATTGACCAGGCCTGATCGGCCAAAAATGCCAACAGAAGCCACACGGATAGACGGCAAGTGCTGAGCGACAACTACACCAGGATGAACAAGCTGAGTTGGGGAAACAAAGAAAACCTCTTGCTTTGAGCTGTAACGATCCACTTGGTGGACTGGCGTGGGGGCTGATTCTTCCATTGAGGTGGCCCGATTGCCATCGGTTTGGTTGGGCGGGAATCCGACGGCCGGGCTATAATTAAAATAGGGGAGCGGGTGAAGGCGGGCCCCAATGACGGCTTGATTTAAGCCACATCCGGGCACCAACAAGGCTGAGTCCAGCGGAGAGCCAGATATTCTATTGGTAGACTTACATTAGTGACTACTACCTCTAGTCCGGGTTACTGACAGGGAATTGAATGAACAAAGACAACAACTTCGCCGCATGGCAGCCTCATCGATCCCAGCTGTTGTTGGTTAGCACCGGATAGAATTCCCTTGCTTCTCCAATCCTCCCGCACCTTATAAATATCACCATATCACCTCCTTAACCCACCAACTTTATTCACTTCATCCCTCACCCCCCCCCCTCCCCCTTCACAAAATCACCGATACATACCGACCCATGATGGATCTCATCAAGAACACACTCTATGGCTACCCCAAGCCCCCTCCACGAGTCCGCACCAAGCCTCTCCGGGTGATCTGCACAGGTCTCCCCCGCTCCGCCACGGAAAGTCTTCGGAACGCGCTCGCCCAACTTGGCTACGAACCCTATCACGGTTGGGACCTGATCTTCGACGAAGCCGACTACATCCAAGAATGGTCCGCATTGGTACGCCGCAAATACGACGGCGCCCCGGACGGGGACTTCCACGTCACCGCGGCAGAATTCGACGCTCTCCTAGGCAATCACGATGCAATCCTGGACTCCGTCCCCGCCATGTTTGCGGCGGAATTGATCGAAGCGTACCCGGACGCGAAGGTCATTATAAACACTAGAAAAGATCTCGATGCCTGGCACAAGAGTATAATGAAGACAGTGGTTGCCGAGACGGAAGGTAGTTGGAAGGTGTGGTTAGTCAGTACCTTTAATGCGGAGATGTTCTGGTTGTGGGAGACGTATTTCACATATGCCTATATTGGGTTGTTCCGGACTCCGAAAGGAAAGTCTGCTTCGCATGCCATCGAGAGAAATGGCAAATGGGTGTATCGTGACCAATGCAACATGGTCAGGGGAATGGTGGAAAAGGAGAGACTGTTGGAATGGTCAGTTGAAGATGGATGGGGGCCATTGTGTGAGGTACGTTTCCAAAATCCTCTTTGGCAAGCGACGCTAATATCTGGTACAGTTCTTGGGCGAAAAGGTCCCCGATGAACCTTTCCCCAACGGCAACGATGCGACCGCATTCAAGAAGCGGTCAGGGGAGAAGCTGATGCCCCGTGTGCAGCGCGCAATGCGCAACATCGCACTCACTGCGACCTCGGTAGGAGTAATGGGAGTTGTCATTGGACTCGCAGTCAGAGAACGAGGCATGCCCTGGAAGGCCATCGGAAGTGTTTCGAGCGCGATAGGAAGCGGGTGGGCTGCAGTTAAGGGCCTGGGAAACTGAGAGTATCCATTTCCTCTGTATTCAGTATTCGATATTCGACGATAGAAGAACGATAGATTCATCATGTAACAAGCAACCTTTACGAATTATTCTGTACCGTGACACGCCTTTTATTTTATCTTCCCTTCCCACCACCCCCCTCATCTTTCTACAATCTCATTGAAGCACCAAACTGAGTAGTCACGAGGGATATATCCCCGTCTTTTAGTCTACATTGTAGTAACTTTAACACTAAGTATAGTAATACTTCTTCGCTCCTGTAGATGGCACGGAACATCTTCAATAGCAGGTCGTGGTCTGTAAGTCCATCGGAGACGAATGGTCTGAGGTGGTTACATGCTTCTTGGATTGAGGCCACTGGGATTATATTTGAGGTACCCGGGTCGTCAGCCATGATGGTGTTCAAGGAGAAGGGAAAGTAAAACACAAAAGAGGATGGGAACAGCTGGTATAAAAGCCCCCCACTTCCACAACGTCACGACTGCCTCATGTGTTAGGCGGCACCTATGTAGTCATACTGACTATCAACCAGGACTGTATCATGTCTGAACCGCTGCCTGTTCCATTGAAGAAACGAAGATCACGCTCTTTGATTGAATTGGAAAAATGGTAATTGGGTCCTCATCCATTACCCGCTCTGAGCTCTGATTTGTAAAATAAGTCTGCGGTGATTATCCATGTCCAGCTTTTACGTTCCTCTGACACTAAAGGTTGAAAACCAGTGAATACTCACAGATACATTCATTGTTGGATCGCTGCGTTCCGCGGATCGAAACATAGAATAGTCAGTCAGTTATATCCACTGTACTTCGCATTATACTCGATAGAGAAAACTTACAGAAAAATCCGCCGCAGCATTTGTTGGGTGTTTCCAATCTCGGCCTGTGGCCTGGGTTAGAATACTATTATCGCGACCTTCTTTCTGATCATCATAAGAACATATGATTGTACCGGTAAGAACCTTGCAGAGCGTCATGAGCTCTGAACCACTGCGTCGATTGTATAAGCATCGCAGTGTTTGCTCAATTGGACTTCGACCACGTCATTGGGTCTACGGTGCTGTCCCCGTTTGAGGCATTTAGCGCGACCAATTCCAAACCCCAAGGGATACCTGGAAGACCTCTTCTGCTGCTTTTTTCAATCAATCAAGAAGATGCATGGAAAAGGTTCGACTAGTCTCTCACAGATGAATTGCTCTGCATGTTCCCATGGTATGTGACTCTCGAAGGGAACTTGGAAAACCAGAGTGCATTCGGTGTTGCTGGGAGAGTATCACGATAAGGAATTCGAGTGCAAAGCCAACACCAAATAAGGAACTTCCTATCTGGGGTCCAAATTCGTTTGTATGCGGGGTTTTCCGCGGAGATGCGTAGCATCACACATCGATTCGATTCGATCCGTTAGACATAATCGCCCGGACATCGGCCGATGTTATCGCAAGCGGTGCCAGCTAATGGCAGTCGTCGCCTCGAACAGTCCCAAGACAGTCGCAGCATTATCCAAAGAAATAAGTGAACTACCTGCATTTTGTCCAACGACTTGTCCATCCTCATCTGCTATATGATTCCATCCTGCGGTTTAGAGCGGGTGTAACTGATCACCAAACATTGGATGTAGTACGACTGCTGCGCGGCCCCGACGCAAAGCGCAAGGGACTCTATTTTACCGTATGATACATGATGATGATCACCATCACACGGTATTTTTCTCTTGCTAGCAAGTAACGCTAGTAACCAGCAAGTCAAGAGTTCACGACGATGTAAACGCAAAGGAAATACATTTTGGAATGACCCTTTATGGGAGGGGCTGGGGCTGACCGCGGCGCCAAAGTTACTGATGATTTGTTTGGACAAGCGCTGTTGCGGGGACGAAGGGGGTTAATTTCGCATCCCTTCTATGACACGTACCCGACTGCCTCCGAGTCACAGCCGTGATGATTCAAGAAGCGACCGAGAAATGATAAATTTATCGAACAAATGTTGCTACTAAATTCTCTTGCCTCAAAGGGGCTCTCTCGTTTATCGTGTTTGCGAAATCCCCTCATCACATTGCGCCAGTCAGTATATTCCTCTCATTCCTGTCGAACACTCGCAACATCGCTGTCATATTGTGTTATGCAGTCCACCATGGGTGAAGACTCTTATCCGCAGCCGATATACCAATGGCAAGAAGACGTTGAGGATCTCGAGAGTTATTAACTGGGAGGCTACCATCCTACCCATATCGGTGACCAATATCTCCATGGCCGTTATGAGGTTGTCCATAAGCTTGGCTTCGGTAGTCATTCAACCGTTTGGCTTGCCAAAGACTACCAACAGACAAGATATGTTGCGTTGAAGGTTCTTGATGCCGCCTCATCTGAAAATCATTCTGAAAGCAAGATCTTACGTCACTTACGCTCAGGGAAAGTGGACCATCCGGGCCGTGCTTATGTTTCGTCGTTGTTGGATGAATTCACAATTGACGGGCCAAATGGTCGGCATCTTTGTATTGTGAGCGAGGCTGCAGGGTGCAGTATTGCCCAGTCGAAGGACGCTAGTTTGACCTGGATGTTTCCTGTTAATGTGGCTAGAGCTATAACCGCTCAGCTTTTAATGGGTTTGGATTATATCCACTCAAGTGGTGTTGTGCATGGGGGTAAGTTCAAGTGATCGATTGGATACTTCCGTACTGATGGTTATTAGACCTACATTCGAACAACATTCTCTTTAGAGCCCCGAGTCTGAAATGGTCGACTACAGAGGAACTTTACCATTCCCTGGGAGAACCCCGAAGGTTTCCAGTGGAACGGCTAGATAAAAGATCAAATGGACCGGAAGCTCCAAAGTATTGTGTTCCGCCTGCCATGATCTTTCAGTCGAGCGAAAATGTCACGGACGCTCGGGTACTCATCTCAGACTTCGGTGAAGCTTTCTTTGAGAATGAGGAGCGCAAAGACTTATGTACTCCCATCTTAATTCTCGCTCCGGAGCTCTTCTTCCATGAGCGACTCGGTCGAGCGATTGATGTATGGTCTCTGGGCTGTACTCTTTATGAAGTTCTTGATGAACGTACTCTTTTTGAAGGGTTCATGCCAGACCAAGACCACATGATTGCAGAAATGATCAGCGCTCTCGGGGACCTTCCACAGCGCTGGTGGGATCAATGGCAATTGAAGACAGACTTTTTCCTCGAGGATGGCTCCTGGAAAAAGGATACACACCGCATTCGTGCACCGTATTCTCCACCGCTAACTGAAAGACTGCGCATCATGGGGCGAGGAAGAGACGCTGCCACCTGCGAGTTTAGCCCGAGGGAAATGGCAGCCCTTGAGGGCTTACTAAGAGCCATGTTGACTTACGAGCCTGCAGAGCGGATTGGCACCAAGGCCGCACTCAAATCGGAATGGATGGAGAAATGGGGTCGGCAAGCCATGAGCGAGACTGGTATCAGCCCGATGTTTGATTGAAATATTTTCTTCTCCACATCGATTCCTCGGCTTTTGATACAATCAAGACAACCTGGGGAAAGATCGCAGATAGCGGTAGTGTTTTTGCGGTGGGCTATAAGAATTTTGGAGAGCGGCTGTTCCTATTCTGTGTGAACTTGATTTTCGGTCGGATACCGATTTTATATAGGATACAAGCCTTGTATGTCGGAGTGAAAATAAAGCCGGGTGGGTCGGATTGACTTGAAGCCGGGTCGGCCCAAGTGGGTCGGCACAGCGGCCTTGATGCCTGTAGATAGCTCTTCCCTACTAGCGCTTTAAGATTTTGGAGTGTACGTTGTTGCTACATAATTCAAAATTTCTGCCATGATAGAACCGCGCGGGATTATTTACCATGCAAATCATATCTGTTGTCAATTCTGAGTATTTTATTTGGTTCTCGCATATGGAAAAGGATGCTCTTTTGTTGGTTGGCATATATCTATGTCTAATGGGGTACTTGCCGGTTTTTACCCCTTCTAGACATGAGAAATATTTTCGGTGTGTTGATAATGAGTGCAAACAGGAGAGGGGTATGTCTAGCACACTGACGCGTCTGGCGTCGTTTGCCCACCTCGCTTTCCTCTTACCCCTCTTCATAGCGCCTCGCTACCTCACTTCTTCCACTTTCTTTTACTATCTCACCTTATAGCACCACATTTCCATCCTTTTTACTCTTTGTCTTTCATTTTGTATCTTCAAATGTGCTGGTAATTTTTACTACTAATAAAGTTCTGACGCGATCTGACCAGCATGGAAGTCTTCATGCACAATGTCCCGCGTCAGCTCACTGACGAGGGCCTGAAGAGGCAACTAGAACCGCTTCTAAAGCAACTAGGGATCGTCGATTTCTTCTGTGATAAGCCAAAGAAGAAAAATTTTGGTTTCCTCACATTTCGTCATCGAGAGGACGGAGTAAGGTTCCTGCTATTCCATGGACAGGAGGAGATCCCAGGAACACTGAATACTCGGGGAAAACCACGTTTCAAATCCAAGTTACAGATCATGGGTACCGACGTTTTCTGCGCGCCAAGCAAGAATCCTCCAAACAAATTTGCTCTGCAAAGTCTTCAACATGCTGCCGACCAACGAGCCAATGACACTCTCCACAAGTATGAGAAGGATGACCGTGTGTCTTTCCGTGTACTGGGCTTTAGCTGCGGTTATTATAAGTTTGTAGGGGACGAGCTTGGATACATCCCTGAAGTGCAGTGGTCTGACACTGGCATCATGAAGTTCAAAAGACGGTTCATCATGGTCAAGTTGAAAACCAATTACAACATCCGCATACCTCTTAATACCGTCATAGAGTTGATATGGTCCAGGGATGGAAGCTTGACCCTCACTTTATCCACGGTTCCATACTTCTTCATTGAAGAAGGTTCCATGGAGACCATCGTAATGCAAATGCTCGAGCTTGACGTTCGGGGACTGAACAGATATCTACCGACATCTTCGCGCTCGCGCATGTGTTCCTTGGGAGAGGCACACACTGGGGCTGTTGGACAATGTCTTGTCTACCAGTTCCGGGTCCCTCCTATACATCTCATGACCGCCATCCAAGACTTGAAGGAGTGGGAAATGTCAATCGTGCAATATGATATTATTGTCCCTCATTTGACAATCATGGAACCCTTTGAGACTCAAATGAAGACTCTCAAAAGTGAATTGGCTATCTACACCAGGCAAAGCTCTCTCCCATTCGGCATTCTGTTTCAGCTACAGGCGCTTGCGTACAACGCCTATCTCCTACCTCATACGGTTTCGAGTCTTGCAAAGGAACTGATCAGGGCTTACAAAGAGGACATATCAGCAGGCAGAAGACCTATTTCTGTGCTGGCCATGAAGAAATTATTAGACATGATCGACTGGCCTTCCCCACACAGCAATCCAACCGATTTTGAGCCGACCTCGCTCTTGGCGATGTTGAAACAGAACAACAAGGAAATCATACAGGACTTGGCAGTCTCAGGAGAGTCTCTAGGTCCAACTGACAACTTGACGCCAATTCACAAAGTCATGGTTACGCCCACAAGGGTCACCCTCCATGGACCGGAATTGGAACCTTGGAATCGCATTCTGCGTAGGTTTCCTAATCACCACGACTATTTCATTAGAGTGCAATTCTGTGATGAGGATGGCCAGGATCTCTATTTTAACTCGCAGGTTAGCTACGATGATGTATTTTCCCGATTCAAAGCTGTGCTCACCCGGGGGATACAAATTGCTGGGCGAACCTACTCGTTCTTGGGATGGTCGCATTCATCACTAAGATCACATGCAGTATGGGCAAGTAGAACGGGAAGACCCTATATCTCTTGGGAAGTACTAATGTTTCTCTATGCGATAGTTCTCCTCCCCATTTGTCGACGAAGACGGTCGTTTCCAAACGCACTTCAGTATCATTAAGGCGCTTGGTGATTTCAGCAAAATACAATCGCCCGCTAGGTGTGCCGCGAGGATTGGACAAGCATTCACAGATACCCCATTTGCAGTCTCCCTGTCTGATTATCATATAGAAGTTTTGGAGATGGCCGATGTGACCTCCAAGGATAAATCGCGAGTGTTCAGTGATGGCGTCGGAACTCTGTCCTGGGATGTCGCAGAGTTCATATGGAGTAACATACCAGTGAAGAAAGGATATCCCACCTGCTTTCAGATTAGATTGGGTGGAGCGAAAGGCATGCTTGCTGTCGATAGTCGGCTCTCGGGGCCTCGTATCAATATTCGGCCGTCAATGATAAAATTCAACGGCGAGATGAAGGATCTTGAGGTCTGTGATATGGCATCCAAGCCAGTGCGCCTAGTCTTGAATCGACAGATGATAAAGATTCTAGAAGACATGGGAACCGCTGATGATTGGTTTTTCGGATTGCAGAATGCAGCAGTTGCCCATCTCCGCCAGGTCACCGCGAGCGCTCACAATACAGAAGTCTTCATCAAAAAACAGGCGGTCGGCGACAGCATAGGCCTCTTCAGGATCTATCGCCAGTGCCATCTGCTTCAGCTTGATTATAAGAAAGAACCTTTTCTGCGCTCACTCGTTGAAGCTGTGGTTCTGAAAGAGTTGCGTTTGCTGAAACACAAGGCTCGCATTCCAGTCAGTGAAGGCATCACATTATTTGGTATCATGGATGAGACTGGCTTCCTGGAAGCCGATCAGGTATACGTAACCTACAATCCAGTGAAAGGAAGACACGCTCCCCCTCCGAAAGCTGGGAAACTTCTTGTGACTCGTTCGCCGGCCCTCCACGATGGAGACATCCAATATGCATACAATGTTATCCCTCCCGCAGAACACCCGTTATCCGAGCTTACGAACTGCATCGTGTTTAGTAGCAAAGGAGATCGTGACATACCAAGCCAGCTCAGCGGGGGTGATCTTGATGGTGATATTTTTAACATCATCTGGGATGCCGGCGCCCACCCGATCCGAACCTTTGCGCCCGCTGACTACCCGCGTGTAAGCCCAGTTGATATTGGACGGCCAGTTCAGAGAGATGATATGGCTCAATTTTTTGTTGACTTTATGAAAACCGACCATCTTGGAATGATTGCCATGAGGCATATGGTCTTAGCGGACCAGGAAGACGGGGGTACATCTCATCCCAATTGCAGAAAACTGGCACAGTTGCATTCCACGGCTGTGGACTTCTCGAAAACCGGTATCCCTGTGCAAATCAGCGAGATTCCACGGGGTAGCAATTTCAGGCCGGATTTGTACGTTGTCTCCCATGATCATAAAATTTCCTACGCTGTTTTCTCTGACATCCTAGCTAGCATGGCGCCAGGTCCCCTAGCCCACATTCACAGCAAATCGGAGATTGAGCTCGATCAGTATGTCTTCCAAGCTGCTTATGATGAGGACGACCCCGAGCCGTCTCGCAAGTACTATCGGTCCGAGAGGATTCTAGGCAAGCTCTACAGGGCTATAGATGAGCGGAAAATCTGGAATGAAGACGTTCACTCCAACGTCTCGGCAGACGAAGACGAATTCTGGAACGAATTCCTTTGGTCGACTTATGAGCGATGTAACAGCATTGGTCCTATCTCATGGGAACGTTGGCTGGATGAAGCTCGGCGTGTACGCCTGGTGTAGGTTACCAGAGACCCGAACCTGCCGATGATGACTGACAGGTGGCTTAGATACGAAGAGGCCGTGTTCTCGGCAAGAAACAATTACTCCGACCACCCAATCAACCCTATCAGTGAGCTCGAAGTGTTCATTGGATCTGTCTTGAACAAGGGTGGTGTACAGACTCGCCGCCAGCGGGACCAATCTACTAAACTCGCCGACGAATTCGATCGCATCTCTACCTGGATCGTGAACCAGATGCGAGGCAGTAGCACAGCCGGTCCAACAACCAAACCCTCGGATCCGCTCGACCCTCTGGAGTTTTGCTTCGCCTGCATCCATGCCGGAGGTGAAACAGACCAAGGTTCAACCCGACGTCGCAGAGACGAGTACGGGGAGCTCAAGAGCTTTCGAATCGTGGCATCCTGCGCCTTGCTTTTTGAGCTGGATCAATTCGAAAAGGGAAAGAAGCAACCGCTCGGATCCAACAACTAAATCTCACTTCCCATTTTCATTCTTCTCCGAGTCAATAGGCAGGTAATAATCACTGCTATCATCACCGTCTCAGTCTAAATACGCTCAGCTCGCTTGTCTACTCCTGTTCCATCGAAAAACATATGATGTGCGGGTTGATCTTTGCAGATACGAGTCAGCCCCGATTTCAATGTGACATGCGGTTTCATAAACTGAAACATCTCCTCTGCATCTTGGTAACGGTAACAAATGAAATATTCTCCTACCGACCGCCAAGATACTTAATCTCCTAGCTTTCCGAGACATGTGTTTCTTTCACAACTCCCATCATCCCTAGTCTATGTTACAGAGAACCCATGTCGTTCCTTCTCATTCCCCGCCTCCTAACCCACCCTTTAGTTGCACAGTAGTACCACTAAGTACCCTGCTCTACCAGACAGCATCAGCATACATATACACCCCTTGCGCGTCCAAAAGGTCACAGCCCATCTCAAAACCCATCCTCAATACCGTAGATCCACGCTCCCCCATTTGTACTAAGCAAAACCCGATCGTCAAACCCCATTTCGAAAGATTCGTCCATAAAGCCCACCTTGACTGAACACATATGCCTTACTTTAGAGCTTCCAACGAAAGTTTCCCCGCCTCAGGCCACTAAACCAATTTTATCAGATGAGATCTTATCCCAGGCACCAGTGTAGATAGATGACGTTGATGCGGAGCCGACGTGCGCGGTCACTGGTCGTGGGGTTTGTTTGGTGTCTATCTTGTTGATGTCTGTATGGAAGAAAATGAGGGGACAGTGAAGCATTATGCGGTGAGAAGGTTCTCTGTCTTTTTGCAGAAATTACCGAAAAGAAGAATTCACAGCAAGTATTTTCTAAATCTCTGTATGTGCTAAATCTCATTATATCGTATGTATGGCCCGTCATCCCATCATTAAACATTTAACCCAAGGGCACAAAAGCTTCCAACAGGGTAGACTGTACAAAATCAAACTTCCAACATAATATGCGAGAAATGGTCCGAGACATTGGCTAGGAAAAAGGAAAGTGTGAGAAAACAAACAAGGTGAGTTTATATTCCCGACTCATACGGTCCATGAAGACCGCGATACTGGTTTCCGTACGGGTTGACCTTGGCATACTCATCCCATGCCGCGCAGGTATTGTCCAACAGATCTTCGTTGAAGAAAGTGTTAAACTCACTCTGCCGCTCCACGATTTGCTGCGCGAACCCCTCGGTTGCGTGGAACCCTATGTGACAGTGGATGAGCCACACACCCGGGTTATCAGCGGGGAATGCGATGACCAAGTACCCGCCGTTGCCTTCAACACTGGCGGTCATGAGCGCAGTGTCACGACGGGGCGGGTTGATTGTTTTGAGTGTGACATTCTGAGGATTAAATTGGCCAAATCCTTGAGCAAGGACGTAGAAGTCGTGGCCTGCGATTTTCCGTTAGTAAGAGGAGAGTCCATTGTTTAGGTACGGGTACATACCATGCAAGTGTATCGGATGAGGGACTGGAATGTCCGTATGGATGACCAATACGGTCCATCGATTCGCTTTTGCAACCTCTATCACCCCTTGTTCGGGTGTCCAGTCCATCTTGTGAGGGTCTTCGGATGTCTGCTGCAGCGTGGGGTCTTTCCATGAAATGTTGAGAGCCTGCCCACCCATTGTCCATAGGTACAACGGGACGTCACCAAATGGGAGGAAGTCCACGTCTGATGCCACCGTCTGAGCACCCCCAATATTTGCATTAAGGGCAAGCCACGGGACAAGTTCGGATGATGAGAAATCTAGGCACTGGATGTCGTCGCCATAATCCCACTTGGTGCTCGTTGGCTCCGTGTTTTCCATAGCTCCTTTGTAGTGCAAGATACCCCTGATGTTATCCGCGTTCTCATTGTCGCTGCAGAAGGACTGCGGAATGGCCCTGATCCAATAGTTGTCCGGGGTCTGGTCTGCTGTCACGACGATATCGTAACGCTCCCCCATGCCGATAGGAACATTGTTCGTTGTAAACGGCACAATTGGTACAAAATCACTCGCAATGACAGTAAGGTCGTGATTGTCGATAGAGAACTTGAAATGAGTGTGTATGGCTGCATTGACCAAGCGAATACGATACCTCTGGCCTGGAACAAATTCCGTCTGGAACCGACGACCGACCGTCTGGTTATCCATGGTAGTCCAGATGTTGCTCCCATTGATGAGTCCTGTCTGAAAATGAGGAGCACTGGGGCTCTCGAGCACCGATTGATACATCTCATCGACTGTTTGGTGTGACCAGTCGTTGAGGAAAAGCACCCCCAGATCGTGGTCATATTCGGCTGCTGCGGGGCCATGAATCACGATTCCTCCGAAAACTCCCTCCCATGCTTGCAATGAAAAGTGCGAGTGGTACCAGCTCGACCCATATGCCTCTGCTCTCCAGACATACGTGTAGCTGGAGTTAGGGGGAACGGGGCACTGGGTCAGCGCCGCGACACCGTCCATTTGGTTGTTGTACAGCTGTCGGACTCCGTGAAAGTGGATGGCGGTACCATTGTCTTGCATGCGATTTGTGACATGTACTTTGACAATGTCACCCCAGTTGGCCTCAATGGTAGGCCCGGGGAACTGTCCATTCACAAGAAGCACCGACCTTTCGACTCCGTCAAGAGCGGCGGTTGTGTTGACGATATCAAACCAGTATTCGCGGACGACGTTGGTTTCTGGAGTGGTTTGATAGTAGTTTGTGTTAAGGTCGTACCCCTGCCACGGGGTACCGGCTGATGGTAGAGAAGTATTGCCTGGAATTCCCCGAGAAATTGAGCCAGCTTGACGAAAGTCAGAGCTGGCATGTTTGATTGGACTGCATAGAAACAGTGGGGCCAAAAGCCCGAGTAGCAGCAGAACGATTTCCATGACGGGGCCACTAGTGTCGAGTAGCGCGAGATCAAATAGATTAATTGAAAGGTAACGATCTACGCAGATCGTGTTCTTCTTCCTGTCCCCTCCGTCCATGATGACCTGTCTTTATATACTTCTCCAACAGGGCTTGGTCATATTTTCTCCTTGTCTTTGGCTTCCCTCAGGCCTCCACTGGAGGAGTCACTTGGCTCTGCTTGGCCGGGGTATAGCCTCCACGGAGATCTGAGAATGTCCTGCATCACCGGGATTCACCCTGGGTCCGAGTCCACCGGATGTGGGATCTAATGCACAGCCTAATGCAGATAATCCTCCAGCTGTACGGGCTCTGCCCAGCTGTGTGGGACGGGGCATCAAATGAGCGGTGCAATGAAGTCACAGCCAGGAGCCCTCCAGCGTAGCTTCGCCATGTGCGTGGGATAATACATGCGAGGGGCCCGGCGGAGCCGCAACATCCGATAGGACATGATTTGTTGGACTTCGTGTTGAACACATCACACTTGGTATCGGTCTGAGTGCATGGCTGGCTATGCCTGAGTATCGGCCTGATAGCGTTCAGAGGCGACCAGGGATGTCATTCCAAGGAGCCTCAGCTGCCGGTCGCCCTGGACTCGCCTATAATCAACTGACTATCTGAACCCTGTACTTGAAGCCATCCGCACTGATCCGAGGAGTGGCTGGTTTTAGATACAGACCCATGATCATAGTAGCGGATACTATAGTACCTGTCATGGCTCGGATGCCGAACACTTCATCCCGGTAGATGTGGCGCTGATACCATAGCTCATAGTCGACCGATTTAGCTCACCACCGGCAAACGCTGGCCACTCCCAGGCCCGGATTCTACCAACGCCCAGAATGCCTTATTCAGGTGTCGGTCGTGTTGTTGGAGGCTAGCTGACCGCTATTCAGATCGTATAGGCCCCGCTCAGGCACACCCACAGCACGCTCGACATATCAGACCATTTCCGTCAACTGGTCGCTCATTTTCTGATTCATGCTTTGCCCGATTTTAAAAGATTTAAGGCTGACCATAATTATCTAGTAGCGGGATTGTCGCTAGGATGGGAACTGGGACGTCTTGGGCGGATCCCTCCAACGAAACGCGGTAATGACTTTTGCCTTCTCGCCTAGCCCTCGGACTCAGGCAACCCACCCAGGCCAAGGCACCCCAGCGCATCGCCCGACAATTCTCTGGTGATGGGCAAGTCCAGATGGGGGTCTGACCGTCTGGGGGTCGTCCCCATCTCGGCTATTTTAGAACGATCCGAGCCAAGGCAGCGGTGACGGGCCAACCGCAAGCGGGAAACGCCCACCCGACATCGGTCAGGCTGCAGCCACCATCAGAGACGTGGATGGAAAAAGCAACGACGGCTCGGCCCTCTCGTCTTCCTTGGGTCTCTCTTCCAAGCCTTGCTGGCAACAGTCTAGTTGACTATTCCCAACACAATTTCACCCTCTAAGCCATGATTATACCCACGCTCAGAAAAGAAAGCGGTCATGCGCTTCTATACCAGTCACCTTATCAATCGTGAGTCAACCTTAGGCCATCCGTCGCCTGTCTTCCACCTTGGGCTATGATGACGTTAGCTGTCTCGGCTCAGTTGGTGAAGTTCCTCCGGACCCAAAAAAGCTTGATATTTTCTGCCAATATTTCTTTATCTAGGACCTGTTAATGAAGGTTGACTGGCGGCATTTGGCTCTGACATCACTCGGAGTTAGCACGGCATCACTCTGTCTAAGGCACCCAAGGTGGGTGAGCACGCGATCGCAAGGCCCAGTCAGGGGAGGAAATCAAAACCCCTGAGAGCGTAGACCCATCATCGCCGACGCGAAAGCGGGTTGGTGCAACCAGTGCCACAGATAGCCACAATTTCAGATGTTCCAACGCTGTGGGAGCAAATAGACAAGAGCAATCTGTGTGGCTTGGGCTTAGCTACCGTAATATCAGCGATCCAATCAACTCAGAACTCGCATCCAGCGAGAGATGCTTACGGCCTATGAGCCGTGTGGAACACTTCGCTTAACTGTGAGTTCCAAATCAGCCTGCCTGTTGCTGTCCACCACATAACCACATGCTTGTCTCACATTCAATGCGTGTCTTGAATATCTCTCACTTACCAAATCGGCTTATGTTGGCTTTGACGTCACAGCTTCTAGTCCAGTCCAGCCTCCGCCCGAGTATCCATTTGCAAAGGACTTCCGATCAATCTGAATCAGTCTGCCCTCACAGAATACCTCCCCACGTGCGCGAAGTAGGCCATGAGTCACGATGTGAAGCGTCGGGGAGTACCTTGATTGTGAAGACACGAGGTACCAGATACCAGGGATGACCCTGAACGTTCAAGTTGAGATGCGAGTCACAGGTGCCTTTCTCCGATCTCCACTCGTTGCAGCCACCCTCAAAACTGATATATAATTACCTCCCAAGAGGTAACACAGATATTCTCCGGTATTTGCATTAACTTCGGTCTAGTGACACCCTTCGTGACGACAATCGGGAGTACTCGGCCAAGGAGCAACTCGTACTCCGCTGGCAGGTATTCTGGACATTCGACAGGATGAAGCATCACGCGGGTTCCACGATCGAGGAAGAACAAAGAACATCGAGCGCATATCCTTGAAGAATGAGGGCAGTAGCAACGTGGTTGGACTTGGTTGACGCGGTTGCGTGACCAAAGCCCTGCAAGAATGTTGCAGTACTCCGGAAGCCGCCATTCCGGCCGCCGCCCCCCATCGACCACTGCTCCTTCCTAGCCAGGCATAATTCAACGTCAAAGCAGCGTCTGTATGCTCCATGACCACGCTTGTCGCGGGCACGGCCAACTCTTTGGGTTCTCATGACCTTTGATACCCTTGCGCGTCGGTTTCGAGATACTTGTTTTCTCTCAACCTTATTCGGCTTTGTGATCTAATGAGTCCTTCTGACAGAGCGGGTTCATGATGCAGTGGGTGATTAACGCCTCATGTCAATCCATTACGTTTGTTCTTGGAAAAAGGCGTCGCTAATTGTGCCTACATGATCGCAGCAGCCTAATTGCTAGGTCCGCCTGTTCATTCAATATATCGTCCACACTTTGACATTGACTTTCTTTTACCAGTTTAGGTATATGAGCTGCTTGGCCTTGGGTTGTTTGGCTCGTTGGAGCTTTGGCAAATCGCATTATTCGGTCTCGTGAAATCATAATCGAGTGGAGATGTGCATGGCGAACGAGTAATGGAGGAGTCTAGGGCGCTCAGCATCCCAGGATACGGCATCGCTGGTCATCTGTTGAGGTCGTCTGAGTGATTAACATAATGGGATGATGGTCTGAATACCGTGCAATTCTATTGAAACGCTCAGCATGCTCGATATCTACCAATGCGAATGAAGAGCATAAGTCATCGCCATCAATCGTTTACTAGGACTCATCATAATCTGTCCTTGTCCATTTATTTCGCCTACTGATGCTAACATTGGAGTATCACATAGTCGAGTTCAATAATGCCATGTCCATTCTGCTGAGTAATCTGCTGTCAAGTACTTGGTCTGTTTAAGCGAGTTGTATGGGCTCTTCTTACTAGCGGCGATCTAATTGGGATCACGATTCGAATATTCCTAACACCGTAAACATTAATTGAAGCATGAAATTTCGCGATATGTATGTACCTTGATTATAGCTTATACTCGGGACTAGTGCTCCTACCTCTAAGGCTAAGCTATCCGTGCATGTACCTCGGGCTGACGCCATCACACGCCTCGAAGGCGCGATAAGATCCACGTCAATACAGAATCCAAAGCAAATGTAAACCAGACTACTTTCCAACAAGTCTCACCCTTTGTTTCTCTGCCATAAGATGAATGTCTTTGGAGAGAGCTCTACACAGTGTCCGTGCGCGAATGGCCGATCGCAAGACTCAAAAAGCTTCATGCTCTCAGTGTCGGTCGCGAAAAGTAAGTAATGCGTTTAGTTAACTGCCTGTCTTCCTAGCCATTTAACAAGTCATTTCTAGGTTCGTTGCGACCGTAGGAAACACACCTGTGGAAATTGCCATCGGTTAAAGCACCCATGCTCTTTTCGAACGGAGGCCGCGTTTCCAAGTCGCCCAACGAGATCTGAAGATGACCAACCTGAGAGACGTCGGGGCTCTCGTGCGTGTATCAATTGTCGTCTTCAGAAAGTCCGTTGCTCCGGTGAACTGCCACGGTGTTCTAACTGCCAACGGCGACATCGAGAATGTCATTATCCGGCATCGGAACGGGTCCGTCATTTCCCACTGAAATCTCCTGAGGCATTGGGAGTCACATATTCCAGTCGCACTATTGCTGAATCGGAGCTACAACAAGGATTGTATGGCAGGCAGATTAGTCTGGATTTCACTTGACTTAGAGACTGACGTTGTCAGAGTATACCCCGTTAAAGATGGCGCGGAGTTAGCCAGAATCCTTGATGACTATTTCTTGCATTTGTATCCTCTACCGTCATACAGCTTTCTTCATGAGCCTTCCATCCGGCGGATGTGTGCGGATCGAACCCTTGAGCCAAGCCTGGTGCTCTCCATATGTGCTATGGTCAAGCTGCACTGTAAGCGAGGCTGGCCTCAGCCTTCCGAGAGCGGATTGTTGGTTGAGTTATCAGAAAAACGCATCTGGGATCAGCTTGATAAGCCTTCAATTTTTAGACTTCAAGCACTATTCCTCATTATCCAGTATCATGCTGAAGTTGGAGGATTCGAAAGGGCCTTCATGATGGCTTCTATTGCAAGTCGTCATGTAGCCGCTCTTCGATTGAATCATGAAAGTCCGCAACTCAGCTTTATCACTCAGGAGATTCGACGAAGAGCTGTCTGGACGATGGCACTTTTGGATGGTTACTTCTCCGTGGGCATCCCTGGATACAGTATCATAAACTATGAAGAGATATATCAGCAATTCCCATGTCGAGAAGAAAGGTTTGGTTCGCCAATTCCGGAGAATATAGCCGTCACAAGAACTGAAGACAATATTAATGGCCCTCGCAGTATGTTGGAGCTAGTTCTGCGTATTTCAAAACTTCGCAGAGATATCATGCGCTTTACAAGGCAGCTAGCTCTTGTAGAGCAGCCTCTGAAGGAATTTCAGGACATAGTTGAAGGGTTTCGAGTCAATTTATCGCAACTTCACGAAAGAATCATTTTGGCTGTTCCTCTTTCGGCTCCCATCTGGCCAGAGTCCCGATGGGTTGTGCGAGCTTTGGAAATCCAACTGGCATGGCGACAGGCGAACTGCGACCTATTTCGCCTTTTCCTGCCTGGGCATCCTAACGCAGCCCCCGATGTGGTGTTGTGTCCACTAGAACCAGATATTTATGTCGGTCAAGCCAGGGCTATCTGCGAAGAACACAGTGGCTGGATTGTGGAAACTATCTCGGGGGCCCAAAAGATGGACCATCGAACACTCTTCTCGTTCGATATCGCGAGATGTGCTTATCAAGCGGCGCGACTTGGTCTGTTTCTCGGCCATATGCCAGATGCACGGTCGGAATTAAAACCAGATGCTGCGATCGCAAATGCTGCATTGTGCCTGGATTTCATCAAGCGAAATTTCGCGTCAGCTGCTCACGCACGAAGGATGATCTCGGATCTCAGCCTGCTAATAGGAGCCTATGAGACGCGGCACGGGCATTTAGGAGCGGCAATGGCGCTGGATTCATTCCGATCTTCCGGCGACGCCATTGAACGGCATAATCAACTTGCGGTTCACAGCCTCATTCACCAGGCTAATTTTGTTGACGATAGCTTTCTCTATGAGTTGTAGAGTTTGTATCTGGAAAAGTCAAGTGATACTCCATGTGAGGCGAGCGTCGCCCGCTACGTCATCATCATCACGGGCGGATCTCGGAGGCGCTCCGGTGCGGGGTCACCTGCGGGGCTTGAAGTACTTACTTGTTCCAAGCCTACTATATCCCTTTTGCACAACTTCACCAAGTTCTTGTCGCGCCAGAAGTAACCATGGTTCTTTCTAAGCCCGAAAATAAACACGTCCTCAAAGCTTTTGACCTCACCGGCAAGGTCGCTGCCGTTACAGGTATGTGCCCTGCACTTGAGGACTGACAGGTACTGAACGATCATCAGGTGGTGCCCGTGGGATTGGGCTAGAGGTCTCAAGAGCTCTCGCGGAAGCTGGTGCCAGCGTAACGGATATCTTCATGGTGGGCGTTTCTTTGCTAATATTTCGCAGGTTGCTCTCATCTATAACTCGTCCAAGAATGCGGAAGCACTTGCCGAAGAGATCGCAGCCACGAACAATGTCAAAACAGCCGCATACAAAGCTGACGTTGGAAACCAAGAGGATATAGAGAAGGTCATTCAACAGATCGCTTCCGATTTTGGCAGACTTGATATCATCGTTGTTAACTCGGGTGTCACCTCGAACATTGCGGCCGAAGACTACACCTCGGAGCAATGGCGTGACATCATGAAGGTCAATCTGGATGGCGCATTCTATAGCGCTCAGGCCGCTTCTCGGATCTTCAGGGAACAGGGACATGGAAATGTTATCTTTACAGCCTCTGTCAGTGCGACGTTGGTGAACGTGCCTCAGAAGCAAGCTGCGGTGGGTTGTGCTATGTGCGGTGCTGAAATGTTTGCTAATGACGAGGTCCAGTATAACGCTTCCAAAGCTGCCGTGGTACAAATGGCGAAATGTTTATCAGTGGAATGGGTTGACTTCTGCCGTGTCAACTGCATTTCCCCTGGGTTTATCGCTACTGAGATTCTCGATATTCACCCTCAGGAATGGCGTGAGAAATGGAACAGCATGATACCGGCTCAGCGAATGGCGGATGCCCATGAGCTCAAAGGAGTAAGTTAGCTTCCTCTCTTTGCGCACAATTTTCATCCAACTTATCTGCCTTCCAGGCTTATGTGTTTTGCGCCTCCGATGCCTCGAGCTATATGACTGGGGCGAACATTGTGATTGACGGTGGCTACACGCTTCCTTAGGGAGAGTTACTTAACTTAGCCCGATATATGCCGGATCATGTTGGTAGCCTTGGGTGTAGTAGATATGTAACCCTTCCCAAGCTCGGTTTTGCAGGCAGATAATCTGGGCCATGCGAAGCACAATATGATGATTGGGTTGTTTGAAGGTTGAAGGACGCGGTCGCGGTTGAGCCGTATCTTCAATGACATGCCACCAGTTAGTATGAGTTCATCTCTAGCAGCAGTGAAAATGACTCACCAAGTGTGTCCTCAGGAAGGATCAGCATCATGAGACCGAGGGTGATTCTGTAAATCTTTCGAGAAAAGCGACAGCGCCATGTGGAGGAGGTTCAATGCTGCGTGTGTAGATGGATCGGTGCTAATCCTATCTGGGCAAACCTGTTGTAGATCAGTGCCTCAGGTGGCGGCTGTTTGTCTTGTGATCTTCGTTCTCCTGCAGTCTCTCCGACTTGCCATGCGCTCACCACAATCCAAATCTATCTGCGACAGAAGATAATGCAAGGTCTATATCATGCAGATGAAACTAATGCAAATGCCTAGCTGACAGAATGATCACTTTTAGGCACCACCATAATATTACCCGAAGTCCCAATGAGCATGGGCCGCTGGTTGCTTCACCCAAGGATCACGGCGCTAAGCTCTGACTACGTGGCTGTCATCCCGCCTATGAACATCGGATCCCCAAAGTCAAATCCCAGCCCGAAATGCCCCTCATCAAGATAAAACGAGCTTCGTCAAATGGGATTTGCAAAAGACGGTGAGTGGAAGCCAAGCTGCTACCTACGGTGTGCCCAAGAAGCGGGGCGTTGATTCTATTTGCTGTTGCTTAGAATCCGCATTGACAGTGTCGATCAATACATCGGGCCGGAATTAATGGGAGGGGGTTTATCACTGGCTGCACTGATACCAGCCTCGATAATGCTTTGAGCCTGATCAGCCGTTGAAGTCTTGCGTCATGGGCTTTGGCGTGGGATGGTTTCTGTAGCCACGTTCGGTGTCGAAGTCATATAACTATGAAGCTCCGCCTCATGGTGGCTAAACAAGTCAGCTTCTACGCGGCGATTTCTGAGATCTGCCATAGCTACTATGATATCCAGGAACGTTAGTCTCCTCAGCCTCGACGGCGGGGGCGTCCGCGGATTATCCTCCCTCTACATCCTGAAGCACATAATGGAATCCATCGATCCCGAAAACACACCAAAGCCATGCGAGTATTTTGACTTGATAGGAGGTTCGGGATCAGGCGGGTAAGTTATCCGAATCACTTCCAAGCAGAGTCCTTCCCTAACTTCTTATTCAATAGATTGATAGCTATTATGCTTGGCCGTCTCGAGATGGATATTGATCAGTGCATCAACGCATACAAAAGGCTCTCGAACCATGTCTTTTCTCGAAAGCGACTTCTACCGGTCGGAGGAAACTTGCGCCGACAATCGAAATATGACGGTCGCAGAATTGAGACTGCCATGAAGGCAATCCTTCATGAGCTTGGCTACGAAGATGACATACTTTTGAGAGAGCCGGCCTCCTCATGTAGAGTGTGAGTCCCTCTAATCCACGTTCAACATCACCCTGCTAACGTGTTGAAGCTACGTCTGCGTGACCGATGACGGCTCCAAACGGAATCTAGCACCCTTGACCAGCTACCCGAGCAAATACTGCTCCAATGAGCTCTACAAGTCTGCCAAAGTATGGCAGGCGGGTAGAGCCTGTTTCTCTACTGCGCCTCTCTTCGATCCGGTCCCCATTGGACCAAGCGGACGGCGATTCTACAACAGCAACACGGACGCCAACAATCCCGTGCGAGAAGTCTGGATTGAGGCAAGAGGCATATGGCCCTCCGGATCATTGGACAGTCAGATCCGATGCATGGTATCAATCGGCACCGGGGTTCCTTCCATCAAACGGTCCGGCAAGGCGATGTTCGGCTTACTGAAGACATCCCGGGCTGATTCAATTGACACTGAAATGGACATGAACAAGTTCCTCCGGGAACATACCGAACTAGACGATGAGAATCGGCTTTTCCGGTTCGACGTACCCAATGGACTGGCCGATATTGGCCTCGACGGCGTGGATGAGATCGACACGATTGTCGATGCGACTGAGGAGTACCTCGCCAAGGAGCTTGTCTACAAGCAGATACAGAAATGCGGGAATGCTCTGAGTGAAGGTTTATAGACCATCATTTTCTTATATCTTGTCTTGTTATATAACGGGTGGCAGTCTCTGGAGTTGGAGGAATTACTCATTAGCTTTCATACCAATTTAATCCAACATCCTTGATTCTAGATCCGGAAACCAGATAACCTTCCCGAACCTTAACCTCAACCAAACAAACGCCCTCCAACTTGGAACCTCAATCCCAAAGCGATGACGATAGTATATCTATTCCCTAGAACATGACGTCAGATCCAGTTACCTCACATATTACCTCCAGAATACTTCACCTCCATCAACCCCATCCTCCTCACCAGCCCAACCCATCAATCAATCCTCACCACTCCCCTCCCTTTCCTCTTCACATTGAATCCCAACCAAAACCACCAAACCCAGCATCTACAATGGTCAAAGACAAATCCACCGTCATCGAGTATTCCCCCTCCCCCAAATCCCATCAACCCCCAAACTAACCACCGCACAGCGAATTCAACACCCTCGTAAACATGACCCCCAACGACCTCCGCACATGGCTAAAAGACACCCAATCGGAGTCCTCCGGCTGGACCAACGAATCCTCCACCGAGACAATCGGTCATGAAAGGTACCCTACCCACACAACAATCTCCATGCAATTGAACCCATCTCAAAGAGCGAAGCTAACCAAACGCTCACACGCAGCGGACGTAAAATCGTCTCCATCCTAGAACACAACCCTTCAAGAGACCCATCGAGCTACACAGACCACGACATCGATCATATGCGTCGGGTAGTAGCGTACTGTAAACGGCATTTGGCGCAGGAGGAGACGGCGAAACAGGATCCGGATAGTAGGAGTTATCGGTCGTTGAAGAATTGGGGGCATGATGCGTTGAAGGAGTAGATATATTCTTTTGATGGGTTTGGTGGTGGTGGTGGTTCATAGTATTTGATAATGGGATCCCAAGGTGGTTGGGTTGTGGTTTGTGATGTGTGGTTGGTGTTGTTGTTGTTCTAAGCATCTCATGACTTACTATAAAGTCGATTAAAAATTGTAGCTATGCGGTAGTCAGTGTTTTTATGTCAACACTTATTTGTCAGGAAAGGGGCTCAATGTGGTTCGGATAATATGTTAGATGAGTTTCGCTTGATGGGACCTGACAAATTCATGGTGTGGTCAACAACAAGGCCTACTACATCAATGTCCGTGGAATACCATAATCCACCAAGTTATTGAGATGGATTGCCAATATTCTGATGCTTGGACAACCTTGGAATTTCATGAGCTGGCTGGCTGGCTTATTATTGTCTTATTCTGGCGTTCCGGTTACGACTGATCTACTTCGACGTCTGCCGATCTAGTCTACGGAGCATATCAGGTAGTAGGACAGAGAATCTATTACTATCTAAGTTGAGCTCGTCTTAGCTTCACCATATTTATGGCTACTAGACTCCAGCACCACGATGAGGTGCGAGCTCGTCGCTGGAGACCTGGCCCGCACAACCAGGTGCCTCACCTTTCGGTGAGAACCTTTGACGCTTTCCAAAAATGGAGCGTGTCCCTAGCAGCACCTTTCGGCGCCAAGCATGTCCAGAGAACTTAACAGCGCAATATCCAGTGGGGTGTGCGGATCGGCAACACAGATGTGTACCGAAAGTAAGTTTTGTAGACCGAGGGGTGGCATAGCGGACACTTTGTACATGCCAAGCGACAATGCCAGGACGCTTTACAGCATCAGCCTCACGGAAACCCCGGTATCCCTAAGCTCGCAAGCAAGAAAGGGAGACGTATTTATTATGACCGAGTGGTGGCAGAGCGTACGCTTCTCACAAGTGAATAGATAACGACAAAGCCAGAATGCTTTACAGCATCAGCCTCACAGGGCACCCCGGTGAGAACACTTTTCAGCGTCTTTCCACCTCAAGCTCACAGAGAGCCAGTGTGAAGCACTTTGCAGCGCCATATCACCTCGTCAGTGCAAGTTGCACTCCTATCGGCGGGACAGACCTTGCGGAACCGTCACTGGGCAGAAGGAGGGCGGGCGTCACCTCGCCGGTCAAGCAGCACGAGTACACAGCCTATAAACGAACACCGTATGTTAGCAAAGATGCATTGAAGTGGACAAGGGACACTTGTATACGATACCAAAATACATATGTATGCTAAGGGCTGCGCGAATCAATCTCGCACGAGCTCCTAAAGGCTTAGCCAAGTGGACCGAGGACGTACTTGCCTCTCTTCCACGGCTATGGGTACATAGGATGAAGCAAAGATCGATGAGTAGAAAGAGAGGCTCGACGTGTAGAACGAGAGAGCCAACGTGTAGATGGTATAAAGGTAAAGATAGGAATGTGACAGCGAAGATAGGATATGAGGAAGCAGATAGGAAGATGAGAATGAAGATAGGAAGATGAGAATGAATATAGGAGGATGAGGGGAAAGATAGGAAGATGATGAGAAGGAGTTGGTGAGGAAACGGTTGATGAGAAAGAGAAGAGAAGGGAAGAAGAGAAGAAAAGTGAAGAGACGAGAGATGGGAATTGAAAGAAAAAGAAGGAAGGGAAGGGGCAGGCTAAAAGTGTTGGTCCAGGTGGGGCTTCAATCACTGAGTACATGCCCTGACTTCACTTTCGACCTCTGAGTCAATGGAATGAGTGACTCACGTCAAGCAGTCACAATTCTGAGGCCAGAATGACGAGGTTGGCTAGGTTGGCTAGGTTGGCCGCCAGGTTTATTGTGTACCTCGTGACGAACCCATTATGATAGGTAAGGTAAGTAGCAGTCGAATATAGTATAACCCGGAGCGTCATTCCTAGCTAAAAATATAGTCTAGTTGCATAACTTTAGGCATCATCTTCATATAGCACTATCATAGCATCTGATATAAGCCAAGAATCTCCCCCTCGCTCACAACATCCAAACTGAAAGACCAAGAACTGCCAGAGCAACCATGTAACTTGAGACCTTGCTACGAGAAGACAAATCATTTCCATCTCTATCAAACGGCGCCTTAACAGGAGGTATTATCTTCATCATCTTCTCAATGCTATAAGGCGGATACCTCGCATCCATAAACCGCTCAAGGTAGTTTGGAATGGCATTCGTGTATGTGCGAAGGTACGAGAACGCCATTATCCCATGATGCCCATGGTAGGCTCCAATACCCGAATTCCCGACGCCACCAAACGGTGCATCGCGGGCAGCTGCATGTAGGAGACAATCATTGAAGGTCACACCACCTGAAGCCGTCTCGTTCTGGATGCGTATCTTCTCAGTCTCATCGTTGGTAAAGCCGTAAAGGGCTAATGGGTGTTCTCCGCTGCGGGTAAAAGATATAGCAGTGTCAAGATCTGCATCGATGATGGGCAAGATGGGGCCGAACAGCTCTTCGGAGAGGAGAGGATCGTCGGTCTTGACGTCCACAACGACGGTGGGTCCAAAGTATCGGGTTTGACGATCGCGGATGCCACCGTAAACCACGTTGCCGTTTGTTCTCTTGAGAAGGGACTCGAGACGGTCAAAGTTTCGCTCGTTGGCAATGTGGCTGTAATAATCCGGTTTATTGTCTCGGCCGCCGCTGAATTCGTCAAAGTAGTGGGTTAGCTTTGTTACGAGGGCATCCCGTACGCTGGGATCGACGAGGATGTGGTTTACGTTGATGCAGAGCTAGATCGAGCAATGTTAGTGTGGCATGAATAGGCAGTGTCGGCTTTCCAGATGGGATGGAGGTCATACCTGTCCAGCGACAGCGAACTTGGCCGCAGCGATGCGTTTGGCTGCGAGATCGATGTTGGCGGACGGAGAGACAATGGCCGGCCCTTGGCCTCCTAACTCAAGGGTGACGGGAGTCAGATGTTTGGCAGCGGCGGCGTAAATGATCTTGGCGACATTCGCGGATCCGGTGTAAAAGATGTGATCAAAGCGATGCTCAAGAATGTACTTCATCTCTCGCGATCCGGCACTGACACATTGAATGGCCTCGCGATCCAGGTACTGGGGGATGATCTCCATCAGTAGATCCTGGCAGGCCACTGCGACGTCCGATGGCTTCAGCACCACCGCGCAACCAGCGGCGATCGCAGCGACCATGGGTTGTAGACTCAGTAAGATGGGAAGATTCCAAGCGCCGATGATCAAGGACACTCCCAGTGGCTCTTTTCGAACCACCGTCCCGCCAAAGAAATTGATGGGATCCTTTCTCGTGGGCTTCTCATCCTTGGTCCATTCATCGAGCTTGTCAAGTGTGTGTAGGATATCTCTTTGGAGGTTCCCAATATCCGCGAGCATGGATTCCAACTTATGTTTGTTCAGATCGGTGTGGATTGCAGCAAAGAGGCGGTCCTTGTTGTCCTCGATCATCCACCAGGCCCTTTTAAGCTGATGGCGCCTCCATTCTTTGGTCTTGGTGCGCCCCGACGCGAACGCGGCTCGGGCACTGCCGACTGCCTAAATCCTGTTAGCAATGGCGCTGTTGCCGCGGTCGCAAACAACGCTCAGAGCTTACCTGGTCGAATTCTGCCTCGGTAGTAAAAGCCATGGTATCACTGCGATGTTTGCTGGTAAAGGACAGTGCTCACGGAAGCTGCGGGTGGAGATGTGGCTACTTAAAGGTGATTCTCGCCGCATGTTCATCCCGAGTAGTACAGCCCAAGCCCATGTGATACCTACGACTACATCGAATAGTAGCTACTAGTGCGGAGCAGTGCTGCTTAAGGAGGGCCTTTGTCCGGTTATGCAAGGGAGGGCGCTGGCTTGATTGGACCGAAGCGTGCTGCTCAGCTGCTGCCGGGAATCCACCGCGGGTCCGAAAGCGGTCTACGGAGTAAAGTGACGAAAAGATCTTGCATGCTTGGGAAATGGATTCCCTCGGCGATCTACACCTGCTGCACATACACTTGAGTGGCTTCCCTTTTATCCTCCTCGAGGTGCTTGTCGCTTTGACCCTCCAGTCGCGTGGCTTTTGTGCTGATACCCCCATCGACCTCGGAATCCCAGCCTATACCATCTATTAGCTACGAATCTCCTCGAGACATCCAGTGCGAACATACCAGAGAATTTCCGGGCGGGGATCCGCCGCTGCCACATCTCTTCCAGCTCCTCAAGGGAGCGTCCCGTGAGCTCTGGCAAGAAAAAGTACCCGCAAACCACCCCCAAGGCTGCGAGGGCCCCGTATATAAATCCGACCTTGGATTGGAGGTCTGCATATGGAGCCTTGAGCAAATACGGGAGGGAGTAGGAGACTGCAAAGTCGCACACGATGCGGATAATCCAGGCAACAACGGAGGTCTTGTCCCGCAGTCGAAGATGGGGCGTTTCTGCGCCCGTGATGACCGCGCTGTCGGGATCAACGGTTAGCGCTTACACACTCGACAGATGCTCATTCTGATCCGGGGGAAGCCATACATAGAACCAAAGGACATGATGTAGAACAGCCCGTACATCATCAGTACCCCACAAACCCCACGCTTTTTGCCATCAGTTATGATTCCCGTCCCTAGTCCACCACAGGTGAGGAGCAGGCCGGTTGTCATGGTGCCGCCGATCAGATAGATGGGTCGTCGACCTGTCGTGTCTACTAGAGAGAAGGTGACCAGTGGGCCGATGGTCGAGATTCCCCGGGACAGAAGCGTGAAGGCGAATGGGTTCATGACCTGGAGCGACTTGACGAAAAGGCTACCGTATTGACTGACGAAGCTTTGTCCTGTTAATTGGTTGAAAGCCGCAGTCATGACTGCAATCATTGTCCTCCTCTGTATATATGTCAGTATCCCACTGATGCAAGCCAGCGCTCGTACACAAAGGGCGGTAGCGTACTCGGTTGGTTCCCTGGAGAAGCTCTGCCCAGGAGCCCTTTGTCTGTGAATCTGCCTCGATAGACGCTTGCAAGAGCTTCACTTCACTGTCAACATCGACAGTATTGCCCTTGTTGAGATATTTGAGCTGTTTAGCCGCTGCCTGGGCCTTGTTCTTCCGAATAAGCCATCGAGGGCTTTCGGGCACAAACCAGCTGAAAAGCAGGATGAAGCAGGGAAACGTCCACATCATGCCAATTGGGAGCTTCCAGGCGGAGTTCCCATCCAGCTTGGCTGTTTCATATGTGATTATGGCGCAGATGAACGAACCAAACATATGAGCAAAAACGTATACTACCACCGTTGCTCCGCGAACCATGGCAGGGCTAATCTCAGCCAGAAACATGGGCACAAGCCAGTCTTCCCATCCGATAAAGCATTGCACTATCATCCGCCCGGCCAGGATCTGACCAAATGACGTCGCACTGTAGCTCGTCGAGATACCAGCAATGCAAATGAGCTGCATGCCGATAAAGCAAGCCCGGCGTCCATAGTATTCCCCAATGGCCCATCCAAGAAAGGTGCCGACCGCTTTTGCAGGAAGCCCGAGCGAATTGAGAAAGGCCAAGTGCTGGGTACTGAAGCCGTATTCACCGGTGGAGCGATCGTAGGTGCCAAACTGCTTCTCGAACGCTTCTCGGGAGTCAGCAAGAGCTGGTACACATGCCTGGAGGAGACAAAAGATGGATCTCAAGCTTACAGTCCATGGTCTGGATGGTGGAAAATACAGCGTCGTCAAATCCATAGCTAAACACACTAATGGCAATGATCATGTATGCTATCAGCATATTCCAGGTGAAAGCATGACGCATGCTATGCAAGCTCTTGAGACCTGCCATCTTGCCTGTTCCAAGTGAGGGAGGTCGACGAACTTGAGTATATCTCAACAAAAGTCAAGGACGTCTCGCCTCCGGTGAGCTCCAGAACGAGCATGGGAACGCTTCGCCAGATATTCATCACTATAAAAATATCCGGTGTCTCTAAAGTCGCTTTATAGACTTTCCAGCGATATATCGCGACATTCTGGGGCGATGTTGCCATATCAGTCTCGAGAGGTTAGCGCTCTCTACCCTGCTCAGTCAAGACCAAGCTAAGTGACCGACAGCCGTAGCTTCGCCGAGTACCGTGCACTAGGTACTCTAGAAGCTTAGACCGTCACGCAGTGGGGGGAAAGGGACAAGGTTAATGGCAGTGGATGGAGCCATCGTGCGGAAAGATGATACCATCGCTGGATTTCCCGCGCCAGCATTAGCGGCAGAGCTAATATCCGGGTTAAATCCACGCCCTCCAATTATTCCAGCCAGGACCTCCAAATTTTGATATTTATCGAGACAGCGGAGAATGAAGGAAATCGGCGCGTGCCTCCAGCAAACAAGTATAAAGTGGCCAAGCACCGTGCGTTGTCGCATCAACCACTTGAAATCCACCCGCCTAGCACCGCCAACATGACTGCATCCAAGCGCCCGAATTTCCTGGTCATTGTCGCTGATGACCTTGGCTTCAGCGACACTTCTCCCTTCGGGGGAGAAATTGACACGCCCAACCTCCATCGCCTGGCAATGGAAGGGCTTCGAATGACCGACTTCCACACAGCGGCCTCCTGCTCCCCAACCCGGGCCATGCTTCTCTCAGGAACAGATGCTCATATCGCAGGACTCGGAGTCATGGCCGAGAGAAGAAATCGATTTCCCCACGTCTTCGACGGCAAATCCGGATACGAGGGCTATCTGAACTACAGGGTCGCCGCATTGCCCGAGATATTGCAGGACAACGGATACTTTACGTGCATGTCCGGGAAATGGTGCGTCTCATCACTACCCAATCCTTTCATCCACCGCACTCTAACCTCAAAAAACACACAGGCACCTAGGCTTAATGAAAGACGTCGCTCCCTGCTCACGAGGCTTCACCAAAGTCTTCACCACCTTACCCGGTGCCGGAAACCACTTCAACCACGAACCCCAGCTATACGACACCACCGAAAAGCCCCGAGTCATCTTCAAAGGCAACGAAGGACTCTGGATGCGCGACGACCAATTCATCAACGGCGCCACCGATCTCCCCAAAGACTTCTACTCCTCCAACTCCTTCACCGACAACCTCCTCTCCATCTTGCAGAACCGCACCCCCGATCAAAAACAACAGCCCTTCTTCTCTTACCTCCCCTTCACAGCCCCCACTGGCCCCTACAAGCCCCATCCTCAACCATCCAGAAATACCACGGCCTTTACGACGATGGCCCTCTCGCCCTCCGAGCTCGTCGTCTCCAAAGCCTAATCAAAAACGGCCTCGTCCCCGCAGACGTCGACCCCGCCCCGATCCTCACCCTCGGCACGACCCCCTGGTCCTCCCTCCCAGCCTCCGAGCAACAAAAATCCTCCCGGGCCATGGAAATCTACGCCGCAATGGTTGACCTCCTCGACGTCAACATCGGACGGGTGCGCTCCTACCTCGAATCCACAGACGAATGGGACAACACATTCGTAGTCTTCATGTCCGACAACGGCGCAGAAGGCCAACTCCTCGAAGCCATTCCGATCCTCGCGGGTGCCACCCTCGGCGACGTCATCGAGAAATACTACGACAACTCCCTCGAAAACCTGGGTAACCATAACTCGTTCATCTGGTACGGTCCCCAATGGGCCTCGGCAGCTACGGCGCCCTGTCGAGCTACTAAATCCTTCACTACCGAAGGAGGCATTCGATGTCCGTGTATTGTTCGCTATCCGCCCCTCATGAACATGAAACCGGGGAGTATCACGAATACGTTCACCACGGTCATGGACATTCTTCCTACGATGCTCGATTTAGCTGGGGTTGAGCATCCTGGGCAAATGTTCAGAGGGAGGGAGGTCGATCCGGTACGGGGCCATTCGTGGAGACCATTGCTGGAGTCGGAAGATGGGGACGTTGATATCTATCATGAGGATGTGGTGGGGTGGGAGCAGTTGGGGATTGCGGCTGTGAGGGTTGGGAATTGGAAGGCGGTTTTCTTGCCTCCGCCGAGAGGGGAGGGAAAGTGGGAGTTGTATGATCTGGAGAAAGATCTAGGGGAGGTAAATGATCTTTCTGAGGAAAGGCCGGAGAAGTTGGTGGAGATGATAGCGCATTATGAGACGTATTTTCAGGAGTCTGGGATGTTTGATTCTTATTCGGTTTTTCAGGAGGAGTTGAAGAAGAGTGGTGTTAAGAGGGCTTGGTAGAAAAAGATGAATCTATTTCCCACAGAGTTTATGTTGTATATATCACAAATCTTGCGCTGTAGGATTCAAAATGGCGCTTCTTATCCGTTTCTTTTCTTTTTTCTCTTCCCTCCGGGTCATTTTATCCCCTCGTTCAGAATCCGCTAGTCGAAGTTCCTAGTCACATGTGTCATCAGCAAGGGGGCCAATTTCTCACGTTATCTTTATGATTGTAGGATGGGTTGATTTACCTCTGGAGAATAACTTCGATAAAACGCTGTAGCGCAGATATGCTGAAAGACTTCCTTCTTCCCGTCGACTAGGTCGACATGACAGTTACTGTGCATAACCAACAATGAATAATGTAGATCCAATAAGCATGATCATGGGGACTGATCATACTAGTTAAATTCCTTGTGCTCGGGGGGGGGGGGTTTCCAAACGAGCTGAATGGGCCCATGTCTCTGGGTAGAGGTATGGGGGCTGTTGGTGTGTCTATAGAGGTCTTCGATGGGGCTTGCACGCTCGCTGATGGGTGTGCTCCAAAAAGGGGCCTTGAGGTTGAGGGATTCGGTGGCGCTAGCACGCTCGCTGGTGAGGGTGCTCCAAAGGAGGGTTTTGAGGCTGGGGCCGTCGGTGAGCTCTTTGGTGTATCTGTAAAGCTCTTCGGTGGAGGGAGTACACTCTCTGATGTGGCCGTTCCAGAAGGAGGCTTTGGGGCTGGGCCCGTCGATGGGGCTATGGGATTCTTTGATAGAGAGCTTTTTGGTGGATCGACGAGGCCCTTCGGTGGAGCTGCCGGGCTTTCTGCTGGAGCTGGAAGACTCTTCGAGGGAGCCATTTGGTTACGTGCTGGAGGATATTCATGTCAACTATGCATCAACAGAAGCGTTATGCTACTAGAGCTCACCGAAGAGACTTGGCATTTGGAGCGACGGCAAGATTGTGTTGAAACGGTTGAACAAGCGCAGACTGGTTTGCAACTTTGTGAGTTCCTCGGAAAGGAGTTCCCGCTCTTCGCGAACGAATGTTGGCTCCGTGGCTAGATCTTGAATCTGCTCATCGCTCATTTCGTTGATGCTCTGGCTGGTGAAGATCTTCTCGAGAGGGCCGAGCAAGCAGTTCTCAATACCAAGAGTTACGACATTGTTCATAAACGTCACGATAGTTGCCTGGATGTGGGAGTTCAGCGGCGTTTCCATGAACCCATTAGATGCCTAATCAACATAGTCCACTTACAGAATAGTATGCTTGCATCTGATCGACGATCTTTCCGGAAGCAGATTGCTTTTCTGGAGACACCATCGCCTGGTCGAGCTCGTTGAGAATGACAGCCGCCTGGATAGATTCATCTTTTGCCAGTCTGGCCTTGAGGGCAGAAATCTGGCGATTATATCTGGACTCTCGGGTACTCATGGGGAAGCTCTTTCCAATGGGCAGAGGGTGTCTTCGCTTGAGTAACGAGGTGAGCTCGCCAAGCTTCTCGAGGAGCGCATCCTTCAGTCTTTCTAGCTCAGACCCAATAACAGAGCTTAGCAAGAGGGAGGATGTGTTTTCGTCGCTGAGGTCCCTGAGCAGCAGATGCACAAAGCGTCTCACATATTCCCATGTAGTGAGCATGTGTTCTCGGGCAATTCCTTCCCATGGTTTCGACTCTTCACGAAACAGGTCGCCAACAAGAATTTGATTGACAGTACCCGGCAGCTCAATACCTCGATGACGACGAGCTTGTTCATTAACCTCCTGTTCGATGGTTTCCCGTGAAACGTATTCCGGAGTCCAGTCGTGCATGTAGGGTCTAGCAATAGCTGCGGTATATTCGCTTTGCGGCAAAGGGCTTTCGTTTGATTCAAGAATATTTCGCTGACTGCCTCTGAGGTGCATCGCTTCCGCGAAGTCCTCGTTCAGCTCATGAACAAGGGAACGCAATCCACGCACGTGGGAGTCATCGTTCTCCCCATTCAGTCTGCCGAAGAATTCGTCGGCGTATATCCCGTTGAGAGCTTGTCCTGTGATTTTCTCAAAGTTGCTGCTGATGCTCAAGAGGTAACCCCTCTGCTCTTGAATTTTAGGCCGTGCAGTTCCCAACCTGCGCAGTTTGCCCTGACAATCGGCGATACATTGCTCAATACCATCGATCAATCCTGGTAGACTTTGACGGATCTGCTTAGACATTATGCTGCTGAGACGACAGCGCAGACGATCAATTTTCACGCGCTCGCGTGGAAGGTGTCTCCATCGTCCTTTACTAAAAAAAGCCTTCGCCCGTTCATCTTGCATATCGTCCGAAACCTCGGAGGGCTAATTGTAGATTGCATGCAATCCTAACTTCTCGTTTTTGGCAAGCTCAAAGTAATTTTGCTCCTGCTCCGATCCTGATTTGAGGGTATGCAGATGGGTGATAACTCCGAGGGTCCGCTCTCTTTGACTGTCGTGTTTTTTTGCAATATTCAAGATATCCTGTTTGTTATAGCCGACTTGTGCAGAAATAACGGCCAGGACTATAGTCCGAGGGTCTTTAATGTAACGCTATGTCAAGCTGCGAGCAACACTGACGCCTTCATCATCCTGATCCTGGTCTTCTGAGTGACGGATTTCGGGCAAGTCCACAAGTATGAGCTCAGGCATATCTGGTCCCGAGAGTTCTAGCTTAAGCACATCATCGCTAATGCTAGGGCTCCCTGTATCGGAAATTCCCATGCATATTTTTGCCGCTTTAATTATCGCAGAGAGTTTGCTGCTGTCGGCATCGTCGTCTGCAGAGAAATTCTCCAAAGCCTCCGCCTGTTCATCCGTCCTCAATGATCCCGGCTCAATTGAGGCCTTGATGGCACTACAAGATGGTGCTCAGCGGAGTACTAGCTCAATCGCGAAAGGCGCGCTTAAGTCCTTGTCGATGGAAAGGGGAATGCGCGATATGGCAGCCAAGATCGAGTTCTTCTCGCTTACCCGGTTACCACAGACTACCAACCGCGGTGTCTTTAGTGTGCTTTCAACGCCAATATCACGGAGTTCATCGATACTGTCCAACAGCAGAGCTTGTTCTAACTATAACTATTTCCAGTCCATGATGTTGCTGATATTGGTCCAGATACGAGTAGGTGCTAGCTCGTTAAATGGGAACAAGAGAGGCTATTTCAAAAGTTGAAGGCACAGTGGCTCGAACTTTACAACGAACGACAGATGTTGTTGATCAACTCGAGGGAGAAGGGAAGAAAATGTACTGGCGCTGCTCAGCGCTTCGCAAACAAAGCCGGTGAGGGAAAATCGGAAGAAAGCGTGATTGGCGAGGAAGCAGCCGAGTGAAGGTGTTAGATTACAGTAGGTCTTATATCTCAATCTGCGCAGCAGGCATATACAACCTCTTGCCGATTCCCATTGCTTCCTATTAGCTACTATGTAAATACGTAAAACAAAGACGCAACTCTATGCATGATTACATGTATGTACTCCACTCTACCGTCCATCATATGACTCGTTGCTAGTTGATACAGCTCGTCTCCCCCATCCACTGAACAGCCCTCCTCCGTTCGCTGCAGGCTCTGTCGCCGCCTTAGCAATAGAAGGTGGCCTTCCTAGGAAAGAATGTCGGCCCTCGGGTATGATTCCGTGCCGCGTCATAACCTTCCGCATCGAATCCATTTTGCCCTTGGCTTCTTCTAGCTCCTGGCGCGCGACTGCTTCGGCAGTCTTTGCGTTCACGAGCTCAAGAAGCAGGGCCTCCTCTGCCGCAGGTTTGTTGTTCTCCGTTGCAAGAACGGATTGTAGTCCCAAGCTGCTGGACCGTTTGGTGAATGTCGTTGGCGTTGTGGTGCTCTTTGTACTCTTTTGCGAGTTCGTCCGGACTAGTTTTAGTTCGCGCAAGCCAGTGCTTGTGTATCCCTCACTAGTGTCGCTAGTTGGGGAGCTGAAGGTCTCTGATGGTGCCGTGTCCGAGTTCCGGGTCTTAGTTTTGACCGTGCGTAGCTCTCGGACCATCCGTTCCAGACGCTGGCGCTCACGGTAGCTGTCTTGGATACGACCGCGAGCTTCGCGGAGTTGCTCTCGCAGTGAGGAGTTCTCCTTCTCGTGCTCGTCAATCCGACGAGTCAGGCCCTTGCATCGGCTGGATTCTAGGGCATGCATTTCTTTGTAACGGTTGAGGTCGTCGCGGAGTTGGTGTTTAGTTTGATTGTTCGTGACAGTCTTGGGGGTTTCGATCATTGCGAATCGCGCATCAGCTTTGTGTACAAGGTCCATTGGTGGTTCATCAGACGTTTCTTTGATGTACTGGAGCATTGACTTGGCCAGTGTTTGGTCCTCTTCGCGCTCTTCCCGTTCTTGCTGGAGTTCTCGCGTGAGGTCGGCGTGTTGACGTTGGAGGTCGCTGAGCGCCATGAGAAGTTCTTCAATTTGTGTGTGAAGGTCGCGATCTTTGTGCTGGGATATAGCTGACTTCGCGCGCGGTTTGTGTGCGTCGATTGACAGTTCGGTCGGGGCCGTGCTGGCGTCGGATGCCGATTCTACGGAGTTAAGGGTTGACGTCATGCTCTGTTTCGATGCTGATCGTCGGATGCTGGCCAGATTTGACGCGCTTGCACTGTTGGGATTGAGGCTGATCGACTTGACGGAGTTGTGCGAGTTAGATCCTGCCCAGAGGCGGCCGAGGAATCGAGAAGCTGCGGCCTGCATCTGGGGGAAGGACATGCCGGTTGGTACTCCTTGTGACTGGTTGTAACTGGCTTCAAGGGCCTGGAGGCTTTCTTTGGTGACAAGCGACGTGAGAGAGACGAAGTCATTGACGAATTCGTCTGCGTGGCAGGCATATCTATAGAACTTAGATTTTTTCATTTAGAACAGGCCGAATACTTACGTGTCCCACAGACTTCTAGAAAGCAATAGTTGCATGACGTCCTCGAACTCGGCGCATGCCATAATCTTCTTCTCGTTTCGTGTCATCAGTGAGAGAGCAACCCGCATCAACGTTTCGCAAGCTCCCTCGAGAAAGATGACATCGTAGATGCGAAGAAGCATCGGAAGCGGACACGCGACTGCAAAGAAAGACAGGAACCATTGTGATACGTAAACCGGCTCGACATTCAGCGACTCAAGATGTGCGAACAAGCCGGGCCGTAGGCGAGCCAGGAGATTTTGGAATTGGTAGACACGAAGATGGAGCCCCGAGAGATCGGGAAGGTAGCACGTCCGCAGATCATAGTGGTCCATGAGCCTAGAGCCGTCGGTGTTAGCTTGTCAGCTGCAGCATGTATGAGCTTATAACCTTACCGAACCAGCACACAGAACGCCTCCGCATCCGTCATGTGCATCAGCAAGGGGCCAACGACAAATCCCAGCCCCTGGCAGTAGCCGATTTTTGTATCGTACAGACTGAAGCACTTCAGCACCCGTCCGAGCATCTGCTGCCCCTCACCATTGGGATCACGGAACATCTCCACATTCGGGAAGCTCCGGCCGATATCTTTGCCGATCAGCCCTTCGTATGGACTTGTCTCACCGCACAGCCTCTGGTATTCCGCCAACAAGGTGTTGTCCCGGGCTCCCGCCAGGCTGGGCCACACCACGCCGCGGAGTGGGGGAGGAACACCGCTCCGGATTTTGTTCGAGGTTAACGTTGGTAATCGCTGGGCTGTTTGGGGATAATCTGCGACTAAGGCTGCCCAAAACTCGAGTTCGGTCATCGGCGGAGGAGGGAGTTGGGAGTACCGTAGTGATGATCGAGGATCCTCGTCGATCAATCGCTTGATTTGGTGCAATGACTGCGACCGAGACGGTCGGGTTAATCGCTGCGCATGCGATTTGCTTGCCAAAGCAGACTTGGGATTCGTCGCAAGCGCATTGTTTTCCTGTTCTAGTCGTGCCAACAGAAGAGCAGTCGACTGACTCATATTAATTGCTGCGTCTCCGGTCTCTCATATTATGTCACGCACCTCATCCGAGCCCTCACAACGGGGTTCCTGCTCTTCTGTCTTTTCCAGCTCTTCCCAATCCACTGCATCGTCCTTTCTGTCTCTCTCTGCGCTGCTGCGGGATCGTATCGAGCTAGCGTCACCACAATTGGAGCTTGGTGCTAGATCGGCTCTCGACGGTTCCTGGGTCGGCGTGGTCTTAGAGTCGGTCTCGCCATCGCTCGAGTGTTCTTGGGTCGGGGACGTCACGTCGACAGGAGTTTGAGGGATGTCGAGGGTCCGCCAGTCGGGCTGCGTGTGTTCTGAATTAGAGGTCAATGGCACGGTCACCATGGAGTCAGTATCGTGGGACCCAGTGTTGACGGAGTCCGAATGGACATGAGAGGGGGTGCGATCGGCGCCGTCCATGGCCATTGCGTTTCTGATTGGGTTGTGACGTTCAATGCCGATGCCAAAGGCACATTCCTCGGGAAGATCCAGATGTTAGGGGGTTTTCGTGGAGGGCGGCGGCGGAGGGGTTAAACCAGCAGCCAGACGCGATAAGGAGGGCGAACAGTCGGGGGAGGGGCTGTCAATAACAACAGCATATCTCTCCGGTGTGGAAGTGGGATCGAGGGGAAGGACTGGCGTGAGAATTGAGGGGGGCAGAAAGAAGGAAGAATGATGGGCAGAGGCGAGGGAGAAACGGCGTGATTTTGGTTTCAGGGCCGGATGGGGGGGAAGGGATCAGGAGCGTCGCCGTCGCGAGTATTCTTAGCGTTGGCGACGGTTAGCCCCCGACACTAACAGACCACTAACCTGTCAGGTCCCTCTCTGAGGCCTCAGTCAGGGGCAGTGGCGGGCCACTCTCGACTCCAATCCCCCAATCGCGCCCCGTCGATCGCTTTCAATAATCGTCCCAGACTACTGTCTATCTACGTAGTGAGACCCTGCAAAGTGTTGCCCTTTTTCTCTAGGTAGGTATGAGCCGCCGCAGCAACATTCCTCCGGCTTACGTGCTTCAGCTCGCTAGCAGACCCGATCTCCATGCAGCCGGACCATGGACTTATCTCCCTGCTCGATTCTATTGTCATGAATCGCGAACGGGTCGAGTGTCTTAGGTACTGATGCCAGCGCAACTTCCCACGGCTCTGCCGCCGTTTGGCTCGGGACCGGTCGATCCACGACCCATCTGGTGCAATATCGGCCGGTGCTCTTGATCCACTGCAGAATGACTCGGGGCGGAGGGGCTACAGTGTAGGTGAGGCGTTGGAAACACAACCACAGATCGCTAGGCCAACTCTTCGTATCCTGCTTACCTGTAGAAGAGGGGCCAGCGCCCTAAAAATCTGTCGATAGTGGTGAGAGACTGAGAGTTGTGTTTTTGAGGTGGTGAACCCCTGAATCCTGTTTGAAACGTTACGTGACCGGTTTCATCTTGCCCAAGTTATGGTGTTACTTATTCTGATTGGATGGGCGTTGAATGAGTGCTGTTTTCATTGGTTTGTGTTAGACCCACATTGAAAATTACCGTACCGACCCGGCTTGCATGGTCCAGGCTTCTAGAAGGCTGCGAGAAAGATGGCCGACTCGATCCCACTTTAAACTGAAAGGAAAGTGAAAAAAGACATTGAGCTAATAGTGATAGAGAATAGGCGTACGGAGTAGTCTCTCTTGCCTGTCTATAGTGATTCAAGGTCACCTTAGAACGGCAAAGTTGGTCGGGATGGTCGTTTTTCCCGGAATTTCATGGGATCGATGATTCCTTGAAAAAATATATGTTCCTTGACTGGGACGGTTTATGTTTGGAACCTTGAACAACTTTCAAGATTTTATATCTACATCACTAGCGCGTACTTTATCTGCAAAAGGGTATAGGCTTTTGAGATAACCAACTCAGATCAAACAGAGAAGGTAGACAGCTCTGGTGAAGATCAAGAGAGCACATCGTCTACCATCGTCTCTCTGGTTGTCCAGGGTGATCCACCACTACCCAAATGACAGCTGTCAGCGCTTGGAATAGCAAGCCGTTTTCCATTACTGCGAGGGGTAAGTTGCATGCCATTCCTCGTCTTCTCTTTGAGCTAAGAATAAACTTGCCGGGTGGTGGTAGTGACTTCCATTGTTGTTCCCCTCCCCCGCGGAAGCCTTGCATGTTTTGGTGGTGCCTTCCGCTTTGGGGCCCGAGTGTTTGGAGATTTCCCCTTCGGGCCACCTTGGCGCCACTTCAGAAGCGGCCCGATGTTGATCCGGGGGGCGGTCGGCGGCCAGTTCCTGTTTCTTCTGCCAGAGTGCAGTCGCATTGAGCGCGTCAACAAAGATCTCGACAACAAACAGCCGACACAAGGTAGCCTGCCTGGGGAATTGGCTGCTTTCAACATATATTTCCCCCCAATTACTTCACTTCCCCTCTGGCTGGATACCGTCAACTTCCAGCATTTCTCCGCTCTTCCCGTCACTCCTTATCCTCCTTTTATCTTATTTAACCCCGTTAACCTGCGTGTGTGAAGCGTCTCCCTCTCACAATGGACGATTCGATGATGGATTCCGTTTTTGAAGACGAAGGAAGCTCCGACTTCATCCCCGAGCCCGCGCCCGTACGTAACCTCTCTTTCTGACCCTCAAGGTTCAATTGCAACTAACTCACTGTGACTGCAGAAGCCTAAGGCAAAGGCGGCTCCCAAGAAGACGGCTTCCAAGGCAGCACCTAAGAAACTCACACAGACCACTCTCACCGCAAAGCCCGCGACCAAGGCGAAGGCTGCTTCTAAGAAGCGTGCCAAACCGGACAGCGACGACGACGACAACATGGACGATGATGACGACCACATGTCGGACGACTCCATGCTGTCTCACACCCCTCCCAAGAAGGCGAAGAAGTCGGCTGCCCCTTCCAAGAAGGGTGGTTCCCAGCCCCTCGCAGACTTGGAAAATGAATCATTTGGAATTGAAGGTTCCGCAGAGCCCTCAAAAAAGACCGATGTATCAGAGAAGTACCAGAAGGCAAGTATCTACGACACTGTTTGTCGCGCCAATAGCTAACATTTGCACTTGTAGCTTACACAACTTGAACACATCATCAAACGTCCGGATACATATATCGGTTCCACCGAACGTACGAATCAGCAAATGTGGGTATACAGTTCGGAAACAGAGGGGATGGAGTACCGTGAGGTCTCCTACGTGCCGGGTCTCTACAAAATTTTCGATGAAATTGTCGTCAACGCGGCCGACAACAAACAGAATGATGCGAATATGAGTGAGATACGCGTGACAGTTGACCGCGAGTCGGGTGTAATCAGCGTCTGGAACAACGGCCGTGGTATTCCTATCGAGATGCATTCCAAGGAAGGAATCTACGTCCCGGAGCTGATTTTCGGTCACCTCCTGACCTCGTCCAACTACGACGACACGCAGCAAAAGGTCACGGGTGGTCGCAACGGTTTCGGTGCCAAGCTCTGTAACGTCTTCTCCACCGAGTTCACGATAGAGACCCAGGACTCTCATCAAAAAAAGAAGTACAAGCAGACGTGGACCGCCAACATGACGAAGATGGGCAAGGCCAAGATCACTGAGGCGAAGGGAGAGGACTATACCAAGATTACATTCCACCCAGACTACGACAAGTTCGGCATGACAGGCATGGACGATGACTTCGAGGCCCTCATCAAGCGCCGTGTTTACGATCTGGCAGGTACCGCGAAGGTCAACGTCAAATTGAACGGCACTCGCATTCCAATCCGCGGTTTCAAGAAGTATATGGAGATGTACACCAAGGCTATCCGCAGGGAACGCGGAGATGATGGCCCTGCGCCAAAGGACGAGATCATCACCTGCTCCCCAGACCCTCACTGGGAAGTTGGTTTTGCCGTCTCTGACGGCGCGTTTCAGCAGGTATCCTTCGTGAACTCCATCGCGACGACCTCCGGAGGTACCCACGTGAACTATATTGCCGACCAGATCTGTGTCAAATTGGCCGACCAAGTGAAGAAGAAGAACAAGAACGGTGCCACACTTAAGACGGCCCAAATCAAGAACCACATCTTTATCTTTGTCAACGCGCTGATTGTCAACCCGGCTTTCACCTCCCAAACCAAGGAACAACTCACCACAAAAAGTTCCCAGTTTGGTAGCAAATGTGTTCTCGATGAGGATTTCTACAAGAAGGTGCTGAAGACCGAGGTCATGTCGAACATACTGCATTTTGCACAACAAAAGGCCGACCAGATGCTCAAGAAGACGGACGGTGGACGTCGTGCCCGCATGAATAATCCCAAGCTGACGGATGCCAACAAGGCAGGCACCAAAGACGGCCACCACTGCACGCTGATTCTAACAGAAGGTGACTCGGCCAAGGGTCTGGCCATGGCCGGACGAGCGGTGGTCGGCCCAGATCTTTTCGGTGTCTTCCCGCTTCGAGGAAAGCTGCTGAACGTCCGTGATGCCTCATTTGACCAGATCTCGAAGAACCAGGAAATCCAGAACATCAAGAACTTCCTGGGGTTGCAGCACAAGAAGGAGTACACCGAGACCCGCGGTCTTCGGTACGGCCACTTGATGATCATGACTGATCAAGATCACGACGGCAGTCACATCAAGGGTTTGCTCATCAATTTTCTTCAGGCTCAGTTTCCTAGTCTGCTCAAGATCCCCGAGTTCTTGATTGAGTTCATCACCCCTATCGTGAAAGTATGGAAGGGTGATCCGAAGAATCCTTCCAAGCAGCGCTCGTTCTTCACTATGCCGGAGTATGAAGCGTGGAGGGAGGAGCACCAGCATGAACGTGGTTGGGATCACAAGTATTACAAGGGTCTGGGTACTAGTACCACTGAGGATGCTCAGGTCTACTTCCGCGATTTGGACCGTCATCTCAAGGAGTTCCACACCATGCAGGATAACGAGGCGGGGCTGATCGAACTGGCTTTCTCGAAGAAGAAGGCCGATGAGCGTAAGGAATGGCTGCGGCAGTTCAAGCCCGGAACCTTCTTGGACCATTCCGTTTCGAAGATCACCTACACCGACTTTATCAACAAGGAGCTCATCTTGTTCAGTATGGCGGACAACATCCGTTCGATTCCTTCTGTTGTGGACGGTCTGAAGCCTGGTCAGCGTAAGGTCCTATACACCTGTTTCCGTCGCAACCTGAAGAAGGATATGAAGGTCGTTGAGTTGGCTGGACACGTCTCGGGAATGACTGCATACCAGCACGGTGACACTTCCTTGCAGCAGACCATTGTCGGCCTCGCGCAAACCTTTGTCGGGTCCAACAATGTTAACTGCCTGGAGCCCAGTGGTAACTTTGGTAGTCGTCTCCAAGGTGGTTCCGACTGTGCTAGTGCGCGTTATATTTACACGCGACTGTCTCCGTTCGCTCGCCGCATCTTTCAGGCATCAGACGAGCCTCTTTTGGCTTACAACACAGATGATGGCAAGACAATTGAGCCCGAGGTTTACATGCCGGTGGTTCCCATGATTTTGATCAACGGTGCGGACGGTATTGGAACCGGCTGGAGTTCCTCGATTCCCAACTATAACCCGGAGGATATCGTGGATAATTTGAAGCGACTGATGGAAGGTGAGGAGATCAAGCCCATGCAGCCCTGGTTCCGGGGCTTCACAGGTGAGGTCACTGCCATTGGCGGCGATCGCTTCAAATTTAGTGGTATCATCAAGGAGACCGGTGAGAAGGAGGTGGAGATCACCGAACTGCCCATCCGGACCTGGACTCAGGATTTCAAGGATAAACTTGAGGATATCATCAAGGCGGAGAAGACACCATCATTCATCAAGGACTACCGGGATTATAACACTCACACCAAAGTCCACTTTGTGATTCAGATGGACGAAAAGCACATGAAGGCCGCCGTCGACGAAGGCTTGGAGGATAAGTTCAAGCTGACGAAGACAATCGCCACCACAAACCTGGTCGCTTTTGACCCAGAGGGCCGGATCACCAAGTATGCAACGGTCGACGACATTCTCAAGGAGTTCTTCACGGTCCGTCTGAAATTCTATGAGCGCCGCAAGGTAAGTGACCCGATAATTCCATGCATTATACTGTCTACTAACATGGGAATCTAGCAATACCAACTCAATGAAATGCAGAAGGAGTTGGACAAGCTTAGCAACCAGGCCCGATTCGTCCAGATGATCATTGATGGCGACCTGGTCGTGTCGAAGAAGAAGAAGAGCGCCCTGGTCGTGGAATTGAAAGAAAAGGGTTTCAAGCCAATCCCCAAGGTGGCGGATGCCGCCAAAGCGGGCGAAGTTGAACCGGCGGCCGAGGACGAGGAGACGGAAGAAGTGGACGACACCGACAACCTTTCCGGCGCTTACGACTATCTCCTTGGTATGGCGATCTGGTCGTTGACGCAGGAGCGCGTGGAGCGCCTCCGCCGCCAAATCGGGGATAAGGAGATGGAGATCGACGTCTTGATCAAACTCTCCAAGGAGGATATCTGGAAGCAGGACCTGGACGACTTCATCAACGAATGGCGCTTCCAGCTTGATGATGAAGCTCGTCGCCTGCGCAAGGTGGCGAACATGGGCCGTCGGACCTCCGCCAAGTTGATGACGACGGCGGGCCGCGGCGGTGCTCGCAAGCGTAAGGCTGCTAAGGACGACGACTCGGATGATGAAGACTTCGGCGCACCCAAGACCAAACGGGGCCCGAAGAAGGCTGAGCCGAAGGGCACTCTCAGTAATTTCTTGAAGAAACCTTCCCCCAAGCCTGTTGTGGACGAGGACAATGACGATGACTTTGACTTTGACATGGAGGTCATGCCGAAGAAGGACCGTGGCGCGACCAAGGCTGCACCCAAGGCGAAGGAGGAAGAAACGGGCGACTCGGACGAGGAGATTGTGCCGAAGAAGAGTCGAGCCGCGCCCAAGGCCGCAGCCAAAGCCAAGGAAGAAGAGTCGGGTGAGTCGGATGTGGAAATCGTGCCGAAAAAGAGTCGGGCCGCGCCCAAGAAAGCGAAGACCGAGGATACCGATAGCTCGGAGGTAAAGAAGGCACCTAAGCGGGGTCGCCCAGCCGCCAAAGCGAAGGCTAAGCCAGTGGAAGAGGAAGACGCTCTGGACGACGACGAATTCATGGAAATCACCAAGGCACAGGCCGCAGAGAATGCCAGGGTCGAGCCGGAGCCCAGCCGAGCGCGCAAGCCAGCCAAGTACACGCTGAGCGATTCTGATAGTGACAATGGCGATGACCTACTCGGCGACGTGAGCAAGATGGTCAAGGGTATCGGCGGCACCGCAGGCGGATCGACGTCGAATTCCCGACAACTCTTCTCGGAGCGGTCAGGGCTCGGCAGCAGTTCGGGTCTGGCGACCAGCTCGAAGACCTTGAGGGAGTCTCCGGAATTCGACGCGGACGAGACGGACTACAGCAAACTGGTACCAAAGAGCTCTCCGCGCCGGGCCCTGCAGGTCAAGTCGAAGGAGACGAAGATGTTGGTTGACAGCGAGGACGATGAGCCCGTGAAGCCGGCCGCTACCAAGGCCAAGCCGGCGGCCCGGGGCAAGGCCGCGGCTGCCAAACCGGCGGCCAAGCCGCGTGGCCGACCCAAGAAGGATGCGACCACAGCCGTTTCCGCTAAGCAGACGACGCTGTCGCCGGCGGCCAAGGCGTACGCTTCCAAGCAGGCCAAGACCACCAGCAAGAAGAAGCAGTTGGCGGACGACTTGTCGGACGATGACATCGATGCGATGGCCAATGACATCCTGGACTCTCCCCCGGCGCCCAGTCGGCCATCGCGGCGCACGGCGACCACCAAGAAGAAGACGTACGTGATTGACGATGACAGTGAGGACGATGGTGGTGCGGGCGGAGATTCGGCGGATGATTTTGATGATGACAGCGAGTAGGGGAAGGCGATCAGCCTGGAGGGAATAATTTTGTTTCGTACTTGTTTAATTAGTGCCACCTGGATGCAATAATCAAGCAGTCTGTGCCGTGATGTGTGTGTGTATCTCGTAGGCTAAATGATTTACTGATTACCTACATGGTATCTATCTACATTGTACCTGTCGGCGAGAAGTCCGAGACTGGCTGAGTCAGGAATCCACCGGGATCCACCGGGATCCACTCGCCGCCGCGAGAAAGCCGGAATGTGACGCTTTTTTGCGTTGGTTCCTTTCCTGTGGCCCTGGTCGCCTTCTCGAATTTCCGCCATTGGGCTCGATTGCATTCGCCCTATCGACCGAGACTGGCCCATTATTCAGCACTACGCTGCTCCGGGATTTGGCCCTTGTTTTTATCTCCAGGTTGGTCGTCGGTCTCCCCTCTCTTCTCTTCTTCTCTCCCCGTGCAATTCTCACTGACTCCCCCCATGCAGGCCTATCTTCAGTACCGTCGCATCGGCCACGTCGTGCGCAGACAGCTCGAGGATTACCCGGAGTTTGCCCGGCCAGAAATCACCAAGGATGACCTGCCGGGGGGGAACTCGGACTCGCATCGCCGTCCCAGCCCGCTGCTGCCGGGCGTGCAGCTGAAAGACGTCGTCGAGAACGATGGCTCATCGTCGTCTGTTCTCCTGGTCGACTGGGAGAGCCATCACGACCCCATCAACCCGCGCAATTACAGCCGCGCCACGCGCTTCGGCGCAACCCTCATGGTGTCTGCCCTGGGTTTCGCCGTCGGTGCAGCCTCCTCCATTGAATCCGGCGTGCTTCCGCAGAACGCAGCGGCCTTTCACGTCAGCGACGTTGTCGCCTCTCTCGCAACGGGCATGTACCTACTTGGTTTCGCAGCCGGCTCGCTCGTCTCAGGACCCCTGTCTGAAATTGTGGGCCGCAATGTCGTCTACACCGGCTCTCTCACCTTCTTTATGATCTTCGTCATGGCCTCGGGTCTAGCCCCCAATATCGGCGCGCAGCTCGCCTTTCGCTTCCTGGCCGGCATCTTCGGCTGTCCACCGCTGACCTGCGCCGGCGGCACCATTGCAGATCTCTGGGACCCGCTGGAGAAAACCCTCTTCTTCCCTCTCTATGCCATTCTCTCCTTTGGTGGCCCCGTCCTCGGTCCGGTCATCGCCTCCTATATGGGCGAGGGCACCCTCTCCTGGCGCTGGACCAACTGGATCATCCTCATCCTGTCGGGCTTCATTCTTGCCCTGATTCTTCTGCTGCAGCCAGAGACCTACGGCCCGCTTCTCCTGAAATGGAAGGCGCAGCATCTCCGACACCTGACAGGCGACAATCGATACCGCTCGCCCATGGACCTGCAGAAGACGGATCTGTTCTCCCGCATCGGTAATGCCTGCATGCGACAATTCGCCCTGACGATTCACGAACCCATCATCCTGCTGATCGCCCTCTACATGACCGTCATCTACATCGTCCTATTCACCTTCTTCGACGGCTACACGTACATCTTCACTGATGTGCACGGCCTATCCCAAGGCCTGACCAACATCGTCTGGGTGGCAATGTACGTCGGCATCTCTCTAGCCAGCCTCTTCGTCCCAATCGTATACATCTGGACGAAGCGCGAATTCACCGACGCCGCTGCCTCCGCCGCCGCCTCAGCAGCAGCCTCCCGATCCGCCAGTTCGGAAATGGTGGCCGCTGATCCCAACCCCAACGGCCTTGAGGAAAAACCCAACGATGACGAAAAACCCACCCACAAGCACGTCGCACGTCCCGAAAATCGTCTCTGGTTCGCCATGCTTGGCGCCCCAGGTATCCCAATCGGATTATTCTGGATGGGATGGACGGATTATGTACGTTTTTTCCCCAATCTTATCCTACCCCACATGTCCCCCACCCCCAATTAGTACTAACAAAGTCATCCAAACAGAGCTCCATCTCAATCTGGTCCCCTATTATAGCCTCCACCGTCTTCGGCTTCGGAACCATCTGCGTCTTCATCTCCTCATACATGTACGTTATCGACGCCTACGACATCTACGCCGCCTCCGCACTAGGGTTCATGACCGTGTCCCGCTACTGCGCGGCCGGCGGGATGACCGTCGTGGGGATTCCATTCTACAGTAATATGGGGGTGCATTGGACCTTGACGATCCTGGGGGCTATTAGTGCTCTGATGACACCCGTGCCGTATGTGTTTTATCGCTATGGACGGGTGATTCGGGGGTGGAGTAAGTATGCGGTTTAAAATTGTGGATCCAATGGGACGAATGGGTAGGTTGGGGTGGTTAATGTGGAGTTATGGTGGGTAAAGAATTTAAGTGGAGTTGGTTGGGGTGGAATTGGGGGGGATATTATGGGGGAAGAAAAGGGTTGTTTTCTATCGGCCGGGATCCACTCACCACTCACCCACCACTTACTTATTACATACATATTCTATCATGGGATGGATAGATTGTTAGATACTACACTAGAATTTAGATAGCTAGATAGCTAGACAGAATGCGGGTAATGATAATGTTTGATTCATGGGCAATCAAAAGGATAGTATTCTTGGACTCGCTCAACAATAGAATCCCTCCCTCCCATGGCCGAGTCCATTTCTTCAATCTTCAATCTTCAGAATTCATCCCACCGATAAGAGCCACCACCACCACCAATGGTCATTCTTTCGCATCCCCATCATGATTTCTTGAAGACCTACTCCGTAGATTTCACAAACCAATACCCACCAGAAAATTCTAAGTCCATCCCCCCCCCCCCCCCTCTCTCTCTCTCTCTCTCTCTCTGCCTCTCTTATCAATTCGAAATATCAGACCCAGTCTATCTATCCTTAATCCCAAGTTATCCTTCCAAACGAACCTCAAGGACCCCTACCCACCCCTACATTACCTAATATAGAGAGAACCCGCAGAAGCTAGTTAGCACAGATAAAGGAGGGAAACAGTGATGGATGACTCTGCATAATCCTTGTGGTTGCGTTTGTGGTAATAGACTCGCGATGGAAAGGGTTCTATCTATCTATCTATCTATCTATCTATCTATTTATGGTTGGTTGATTTTGTATTCATAGGTGTTGTTGGGGATTTGGAATAGTGTGTGTGCAAACGATTAGCTGAGTTGTGTGATACACGGTCTGTGCGACTAGGAGAGTGGTTTGGTTTGGTTTGGTTGAGTCACATGCTTGGAAGAGACTCTCGAGGAGGGAGTTGGTTAATTGACTGTTGGGTTTCGAGGGGTGGTAATAGTGGTGTGACTCGAGTGGTTCGATGGCTTTTTGCTGGGTTGTTGTGTATGATGGAATGAAGGGGAACTGGTTAGTAGATGAGAGCAAGCTAGACTTGATGAGTGATTGCGATATGAAAACATGTACGATAAATTGCCGAAAATACCCTGCCCATGTAACAAAACGCCTCTCATTATGTAGCCCGTCCGTCTTGTTAAAACCAAGTGTACTTTTGACCTCTATGTACCTGTTTATCCTAGCAATGTCCAAAGCAAACGACTAAGACTCTAGATACAAACCACAAAATATATCAAAACATAGGAGAACATGAGTAGTAGACCGAGCTCATCAATATCATGAAGAGAAAGACAAGAGGACGGATGATCAAAAAGACGCCCGGCGTCGCTTCATCCCGTTTCCCTTCAAGGGCCTCTTACTACTCTCCGGGTTCTTCTCCAGCCTCTTACCCGCGTTGCGCAGTCTCACTAGCGCATACGCGGCGAGCATTGTCTGCTCCATGTCCAGGTCGCTCACTGTAGACTGAAAGGTGTACGTGGGTGAGCAGGAACGGGTTTCGATCTTTGGAGTGATGGAGGGATAGCAGGAGGTTGGGGAAGAAAGGCAATTCTCGTCACGATCTCGGGAGCCATCTTCTCCCTCATATGTCTGCTCCTCATCCTCAATATAGCTACCATCCTCGACATCACTGTCGTCGTCGTGGCCGTCGTCTTCGATGTAGCTCTCCGAGAGGCTGGGGTCAGAGCCCATCACCCACGTGTTGAACTCATCGTGCATACTGCCTGGTAAAGCTGCATACGACAAGCCGGTTCCCGTTCTTTGTGGGGTTTTGACTGGGATGGACCGGACTGGGGAGGTACCGGGCGAGATACAATAATCCTCGGGGTCCAGGTTCGGCGAGGATTTCGGGAAGATGTGTCTGACATACTGTCGGTCTCGGTGGCAGTCTTGGGAATGAGGAGAGGCAGCCACCTCCAGGCCGCGATAGTAGGTCGCCTCTCTAGTGGCTTGTAGGATGATCGCCGGGTCGATCCTCATGTCACCAAATCGGGTGTCTTCCGGGTGAATGCATCGCGAGGGGAAATCGAGACCAAATATAGGCGTCAAGACGTAGCGAATCTTCCAGCAGAAGGTAGCAGCCAGTGCCTTGGCGGCCTCAAAGGGCATCCAGTACCCTTTTATTCTGGTCAGCGGTGGGTGGCGTGATGGGGAAAGGTATGTTACCTTGTCCAATGAGTGCGCCGCCTGTGATGCTGTGGCTGATTTTGCCGAGGCCAGGGTTCATCTTCAGCGCCTTCGCAGGGGCAGTCTAAAATCAGTCAGACTTGCTCTGTTATAACCATATGACGGACGCACCTTCGGATGTTGGGTGCATTTGAAGAGGGACGTCGTGCGAACGAGCCCAATATTGTAGTCCCAGGAAATGACCCACTTTTTGCCGTCGCCGTTGGGGATCTGGAACGTGTAGTGGAAGACTATCACGGTCAGCGTATGGTTGCAGCGTGATGGCTGGCAGCCCACCTTCCAGGCTACCCCGTCCTGTCCGCCCCTTGAACGACTTCTTCTGACTGCAGTAAGGAATGTGGGCCGGAAAGTTGGCAATATTGCGCAGTGGATGGAGATGGAACTGTGTGTGGACCCTCTCCAACTCTTCGTCGCGTTCTTCGTGAGGTGGATAGCGAAGGTCCCCTCGGAGATTGCCCCTTTTGAAGGACGGCTGGTCCTTGACAAGCTTGCGTCTCTTTTGGCGGGGCGACCGGGAAGCCACCGTGGCGGGGGACAAGCTCGTCGGGGTAGGGCTGCGCTCCCTGGAGGACGAGGAAATGGGGTTGAGAAGATATTCTATCGAGGCCATGATTCTGTTCTCAAGACACAGGTAGATCAAAGATGATAGGAAGTCTGGGCCCAGTCAAGGAGGGAGGGAAGAACTTTAAATAGGATAGAAGGTCAGGCACGCAAGAAAAAAGACCGCTTTCTCAGCTCCTCTGTCACTGTCTCTTCACATCAGCTGTTCAACCCCCCAGGAAAACAGAATTCTAGAAGCCCTGTGGAGGTTTCCAAGAGTTAAAGATTTGCCAGCCAACAAAAATGGGCAAATCACAGACATTCAACGCAGACGCGAAGAGGCTCTGCATGGGTAATCATAGAGCTAGGCAAAAGAAAAAACAAGGAAAAGAAAAGAAAGGATCACTGGTGCATCTTTTGCACGAGCTCTGATGAGTGTGTTCCTGGCGACATCTCATCGGATGGCGTCGATGGCTGATTCGGTGCAAGGAATGGCTTTTTTCGTTTGCACGGATTGCCCGTCTGTCGAGGCTTTGGGCTGGCGGTGGACTAGGCCACGAATAGATACTCGAATAGACGGGTGGCCTGGAAGATTGTCTTGGATGGAGATTTCGACTTGAGACAACCTCGTCGACACTTTATGATAAATATCACGAGGTGTCATCAGCCCCTGTTCGCTAGCCCAGACCTCCGCTGGAAGGGACCCGCTGCCCCAGATATCACCGTCAGTCCCGACACGATCGTCTAGTAGAGTGCTGTCCCGGTGCGACTTCATCCCCAGCATCAACAGCATCGGTTATCCTAGCACAGTCGGATCCCACGTAAGTGTCCAGCTTGTCGAGGTTTCCATCGTTCCACGTCAGCTGCAGCTACCCAAAGCGAGGATTATGACGCAAACCCAAAGGACGACAGGGTATGTCAGGTTTCAGGGACTCCTGCGGCCATGTGGAGGACCCTGCTAATTGACCGTCATTGACAGCACGGCCGTGGCCTATTGGGTCCGCGATCACCCCTCATGCAAACATATAGAGCCGATGATCTGGGGAACGTAAGCCCAAGAAAGGGGCTATGGATCCACGAAACCTAAAATGAGTGTCTACATGACAACCTCGTACCGCCCCGTCTGGGCCCTGCTAACGTTGAAGTCTTGGGCTATCTCGTACCTTGCCATCAACATTTTCGTTTCGGCGAATTCACATCGCTCATCCGTGTCAAGAGTTCGATCTCAGGTAGGCAAAACTGCTGGAGTAGCCGGGAGATTAGGCATTTGCCCGTATGACCACCAATAGTAAACGAACAGGCCGAGATGGTTCTGGTTCGGCAAGGCGGATGTTAGAAAAGGTCTGAGGACGGGAAGCTGCAGGAAATTTTCTTCGTGTATCACCGGAAGCTGCTTTCCTGCCAATGAAAAATTACCTGGCGTCTCAGGGGTGCCGGAAGCTTTTGCAATACGGTGGTTTTTATTGAAGTGGCTTTGTGGCTGGCAGGCCGCGGAGGCCAAGCTGGAAATGCGGTCGAGGAAAAGAAAACAACGGCCTCTATTGTCTCACATCCGCACCAATCGATGGGCACCCGTCGATGGAGTGCACTGGGCTCGACGGGCTAGTAGATCGCACTGCCCCTTGCACAAGCTGCTCTTAAATATTCACTAAAAGGGCCTGCCTTGGGCCATCCTAGCTCCCCGCTTTTTATCAGACAACTCTGTCAAAGGCCACCTCAGTAAGATGATTCTAACCCAAGCCTCACTGTTTTGGGGGTAACACCCGTACTAGCAAGGTTACTCAAGCTCACCTGCGACATGGCTGCTTTGGTAAGGGATGGCCCCCATGCCGTGTATGGAGGCCATGTAGACCCCGATACCAAATCCCATTCAGCTGGGGTGGTTCGTCCTAGAACTTTCCACAGAGGCTTCTGTGCAGAAGTCCCACACCTGTGTGGCGCACTAGCTGCCTGTTTCATCTATTTTTCCTGGTGATTCCAAATTGCTGTCGTGTCCATTCCCCAGCCCAGCCGCGTGTCAGTGGCAAGATGAGGAAGACACAGTAACCTGCAATCAACCTTCTTGCGAAATTAAGGAGAGCCTCTGAAGGTGGCACTGGATAGCAGGCTGTGCAAATGAGCAAGCCGCGACCGCTATTCTGAGTGGGAAGCCGGTGCTCAAATTGCGACAGGAGGCTGGTCTAGAAAGCGAGAGGAAACTCAATATCCGAGACAACGAAAACCTACTGTGGCTACCACTCGTGCCACTCTTGCTCCAGGATTAGAACATCGGAACGATCCCCGGTGTTGGACGCACTTGGAATCATGCATGTGCTCGTGAGACGTCATACTTGGCTGGTGCGTGAAGAAATTGGCTGCTTGATCAATGAGCTATCCAGACTGCAAGAACATCATATGGCCTTGGTTCTCTGCAGCCGCGTAGGTGGAAGAATAAGGTGGAGTGAAGGAAGCTTTCTACTAGGTTTGAGAGAGGGGATAAGTGATTGACTGAATCAGAAAAAGAAAGAGTGCAGAGAGAGTGAGTGAGTGAGTGTCGAGGGATTAGTTGATGGATGAACACGACTCCCCCTTAGTCATCAGGCAGCACTAGGCCAGCGGCCTTGCGGGGCGGCCTGGAGCCGGTCCCGGGCTGGCTCCAGTGTCCACTGGGCAGCGTCGGCCCCCCCTGATCTCCAGCTGTCAACCAACTCTAATTCAATGACTCTTCCAACTTTGTCGATTGCAGATGCAGACAGCAACAGTGTCATTTATGCGGGTAATATTCTTTTGGTCTCTAAAGACTCATGGTGGCATCAAAGCAGCCAGGCCAGTTCCGCCATTCTTCCTTCCTTCCTTCCTTCTCCCTCCCCCTTGTCTCAGTGAAGGAAAAAGCAATGTCTAATCGTGCATAACATTAAAGTTGAAGTTGTAAACCCCTCCGACAAGCTGGACCTTTCTTGCAAGGAGAACCTGTCTACACTCTCGTTGTCAGCGTCTGAGGCCCCATAGGCAACGAGTCTCGTCAGTAATAATCCTCACACAAGAGTCTAGCGTCAGCACACAGCGCCATTCAAAACACGGCAGTACAGTCGTACGACTACTTCCTGAACCTAGACTCACACGCCCGTCGGGTCCCATCTGGGGATCCATCCGTACGTCTGCATCGTCGGCGATCATCGAGGAACTGGAGCTTATTTTGCTTCAGCTGCTGTGGAAGTCTGGTGTCAGGGGATCAAGGTGATACGGGCTTCGATGCAACTCGACTTCCCAAAGCCTTGGGAGAAGCGGGGCGCTCGTACTTTTGTTCGGAGATTCCTGTACTCGAGGCTTGGCCTTCTGGTCGCAACTTAGAGACGGAGTCGGAATGGGACAAGATGCATAGATGCATTAAGTAGTGCTCGATATAGCTAGAATTTAACACTCAATCTGATAAACGCCGGACCTGCCATGCCACCCACCCCTTGTCTGCAGAAAACGGCTTCAATGATACTAAAACATCCCAGATAAGTCATATAGCCCCATGGAGGTATAAACACATAAAATCAAAATCAAAACGAACTGCGATCCCCCTCAGTTGAAAGACCAACCCCCGTTCAGGCGCAAACGCTGTCGCTCGGCAAGGTCACGACGGATCTCCTCCTGCGTCAACCCATCGGCTCCGGACCAGTTCGCGCTGCTGGTGCGTTCGCGGAACTTCTTGATCTTCTTGTCCGACTTGAACGTCTCCTCCAGGGAGAAGGGTGCAATAGGCCCGAAAATAGAATCCACTTCCATGCCTTCCTGCTGGCGCAGAAGAGACTCCAACTCCTTCGGCTGGGCCCACTTGGGCACGGGAAGCATCTCCGCATCCGAGTCCTCGTCCTCACTGTCGGTCGCAATTTCGGGGAGGTTGATGTTCTCGCCATTCGGATAGTTTGGCGACTCCTTCACCGGTACTTTCTGAGACGAGCTAGCGGCAGGAGTTCGATGCGCAGCCGGCTGTGCGTTGGACGGTTCCGCGAAGGGGATCTTGCCGCTTGCATACTTGGCCATATCCAGCGGATGCGCAGGTCGCTGTGCTTGGGCCGCCTTGAAGATCGAAGACCCTGACTGATGTGCGACAGAAGGTTGTGTATGACCAAAAATGGATGGCTTTGGAGGGTGTTCGTTACACGTCAGCACAAGATCAAACGCGACTGGGGATTGTGTATGACTCACCTTACGAATGTTTGATTGGCGAATGGGCGGGGCCATCGCCGGACGCATGGAAGACATACGGCTTTGCTCGTCTTCTGTTCTCCTGCGCTTGGACTCGCCCGACGGCTGCATGGTGGCGGTCTTTGGTGCTGTCGGACGGTGGCTGGTCTCGTCGTCGAGCCCCCGCTTCGGCGGTTTGGCGGGATTAGGCTGGGGCTGATTAATTGACCGGTTGAACGGCTGGATGGAACCCAGTCGCGAGGCTGGTCGAGCTGATCCGAGCTCGCTGCGTTGGGAGGCTTCAGGCTGTTGGCTTCCTTGGCGTTCTAGTCGGCGTTGGTTCTCCAACCGGCGTTTCTCGATGGCCTGCATGTGGGCAGCCTTCTTGGGATCCTCAGCAGCAAGACGCTCTCGTCGCTCAGCCTCTGCCCGACTGCGCATTTCCTGGCGACGAGTTTCTTCCTGCTGCTGAGCTGCGCGCTTCCGCTCCAACTCACGCCTCTGTTCCTCCCGACGCCTGGCTTCGCGCTCCTCCTGCTCCCTCTTCCTCTCGCTTGCAAGTTGTGCTTTCCTCTGGCTCTGACTAGAGATAGAGCTCTTGAAGCTACTGTTCGAAGAGGCCGTGTGCAGTGAAGAGTTGCTTGCCTTCTTCTTGAGAGTCGGCTGTTTCGACGCCGAGGCTGGTGTTGGTGCAGGGACGCTAGATTCTCGGGGGTTCGAAGAGACTTGCGACGCCAGTGGGATTTGCCGAGAAAGTGCACTTCCCACGCGGATGGATACAGGCTGAGGTTTCGGTTTCTGGAGCTCACGGGCGGGTTTGAGGGGGCGACGATCAGTCTGCTTTGACGCCTGCTGCTGCGAGGCGGGGATTTGAGCGGCAAGTTTGGGGCCGGGTTCTGTGGACTCTATTTCCTTGGATGGTTTCTGTAACTGGGACACCTTTTGCGTGATTGGTGCGGCTGCTGGCTCGGCAGCTGATGCACGAGCTTCATAATCAGCACTCGACTTCTCCTGGGTCGCCCTGAGTTTCATGGCTCTCTGTTTCTCCTGCTGTCGGACTCTTTCTGTTTGTTCCTCTTCCCTCTGGCGTTCCTCAAGTTCTTTCTGCCTACGCTTCTCCTCCCTCTCCGTGGAGCTCCGTGTCCTGCGACCTTCTTGGCGCGGAGGACTCGGGGGTTGTGTAGACTGCGGCCGCTGGCTTCCCGCCATGCGATCTGTGTCCAAACGTCCTTTATGCCTTAACCTCGGTGCGTCCGGAGAGGCGGCTTCCATTCTGGCGGCAGCCGCAACACCACCGGTGTTCGTAAAAAGCCCCTTGGCGGATTGCACGATAGACTGTAACCTCGATTTAGAAGCACTTAATGGGCCATCATAGCGCTCGGCGGGCGAGCCAACTGGAGTCGTCGACATCTGATGGTCAATATTTGCGGATGTACTCTTCTGGTGGCCAGGCCGCTGCGGTGATGAGTACATTGGCGTTGACGACTTGCCACGAGCTGCATCCGAAGTGCGTTTCGAGCTGGCCCTCGGTGCCTCTGAGACATGAGCGTCTGCTTCTCGATCAACGGAATGACGATTTTCATCCGCAGCTGGGGCCATCCGAGCACTTGAATGTTTGCTCATGCTATCAGCTTTCTGACTAGCACGCGTATCTGGCCGGTAGGGCGAATTTAATGGCTTGATCCAATCATCATCCGTAGCAGAGGGTTCGGGGGCTGGGGTATCACGGGGTTTCTGGCTGGATGTTTCCTGTTTGGCATCGGATTTGGTAGTGGGAAGTTCGGGATATGTCACTTGTGCGGACGACAAGCCAGAGACCGAAGGAATAGATTTTGTAGGTCGCGAAGGCTGAAGTTTTCCAAGCATGCTAATCTTCTCGTGGAGGAGCTGGGTAGATGACTTGGTTTGGAGCTTGCTGGCTCTGGCATCCGCATCTGATTCTTCATCGGATCCATCTTTCTTATCATCGACATCCATTTTGTCACCATGAACGGTGCTGTCCTCCAGAGCATGCTGGGTTGTTCTGTGTCCTCCAGTCTGCCTGCCCAGGTAGCCTCCCGTGGTGTTACTTAGCTTACCAAAATCAAGATGGCTTGTACGAGAAATTCTCGAGCCGCCCAGGCTCTTCTTCATCAGCGGCTCCCGAGCCGGGAGCGATGCAAAACTCAGACTGCTCTTGCGAATCAGAGGGCGTGCGGGCGAGCCTTCCGAAGGTGAGCCAATGTCATCAAGACTGTCAAGTGCCATGTCGTCTTTTCCATTGTCTTTGTCTTCCTTGCGAGGTTCGGGGGACTGTGCGGCTGGGGTCTTCAATGGCGAAGCCGATTCCACTTCTTTGGACGGCTTGGGCTGTGACTGTGGCTGTGGCTGTGGTTCTGGCGCAAATTGCTCCTTGGGCTTGGATTCACGCCTGGGTGTAAATTGAGGCACTGGTTCGGGCTCGTGTTCTTGCTCGGTCTCGGGTTCTGGTTCGGGTGCGTGCTCAGGTTCCAGCCCAGGCTTGTCTTCACGCTCCGGTTCTGGTTCTGATTCTGATTCTGATTCCTGCTCTTGCGCGGGGACCAGGTCCGGCATTGGTTTGTCTTCAATTTCTGGTTCTGCATGTGAAACTGGTTCTGATTCATTCGTCACTGGCTGCTTCTTTGGAGAACTAGTCCCAACATTCTGCTTGGGCGACGATTCAATAATGACAGGCTCCATAGTTTCTTCGCGCGGGCGCACATCTTCCTGAGCCGAGTGAAATGATGACCCTGTAGTACGACGGTCTTCTGGCGGTTGATTTGTTTGCTCTTCGGCGGCGACAGGCTCTTGATCCATGGGCTGAGTGGAGGGCTGGGACTCCGTCTGTACTTGCGTAAGGACAACATCATCATCCACCTCCTCTTCTTCCTCTTCCGGCATGCCATGGTAGCCCGAATCCGTGTTGTATTGGGGGAAGGAGTTGAGGTTCTGGCTCAAATCCGGGTACTGCGGTTGGGTCGTGGGCTCCGCGGTCTTCTTGGTTTCCGTCGTAGTGGCTGGAGCTGCGGTCGCAGGGGCGGGGGTCTTGGTTGGTGAGCGCTGAATTGCCGGGCTAGCGGCAAGTTTATTCTCTGCCTTGCCGTTGTTATGCGCTGATGAAAAAATCTCGCTCAGGGGCTGGAGGCAGTCAGTTAGCAAGTAGCAAGGGCGGACTAGGTATTTGTTCAACACACCACTCGGGGCTCGTTCGCATCCCGCTTTCGAACTGTGCGAGGCGTTTTGCCTCGCAACTTTCCGGGAGTCTTGAAGACATCTGCAAAATTGCTGTACGACAGTGAGCATGAGCAGCTATGCGTAATGTCTTGAACCCGGCGCAACCCACGGTTGATTGTTCGAGAAGACCTCGGCCATATGTTCATTCAACCAATCCATCTCATGGCGCACTGGGTATTCGACTTCTTCCATCTCCTGATCCACCAGCTGCATGAAGTTTTCCTTTTCGGTTGAGATCCACGCTGCAGAGCCTACAGGCTTCTGCGCCCTCGCGCCTGCCGCGGCCATGGTGATGTAAACAAAGCGATCGCACGGCGGGTTCACTGGGTACTATAAATCGGGCGGAATTGATCAAAGGGCAAGAAGGCCCGACCTAAATTATAGCGAGAGACAACGATAGGGACATCGAATAAAGGTGAAGTGGTGGCGGGAGTTGATGGTCGACTGGTGAGCTGAGATCGCCTGTCGTCGGGAGTCGAGGCATCAAAACATCGGCAAACGCGTGAGTCCCGCCATGGCACGTGACGGTGCATCATATTTGGTGCCTGATGTTACAGGCATTCAATTCAAGTAGAAGCCAGGCAGGAAGTGAAGTAGTAGTACATCGATCACAATCATCACTCCTAGGCTGCAACGATGACAATATGCAAAATCCCCGAGACATCTTTTGGCTTTTTTTTACCGATCTGTTCTACGTCGTATCTATGTTACTTTACTCCCGATACCATGCCTAGCCTCGTCCCGTTGGAGTATGTTCAAGAGCATACCTAAGGCCGGGAACGGAAGGTGAGTGAGATGATTCTTATGGGGTGCTGGATACTAGGAGCTCATCGCGGCAAAGACCTCAGAAGCACTATTTGTTGTTTCCGAGCTCAAAATTGGATTATTGTAGCGCCTGATCTCCAACCAGCCCATGTACCATACCAAACCGGACGGTATCACAATCGCGACATGACCGAGGATCCGGTCAATCTGCCCCCGACCCGACCTCGACAAACTTAGGTAGAAGCTGGAACCGTCATCCATCGTTGAGGATACTTATGACCTGATCATGACATCATCGTTACCGGTGGTACAGACTCTGCTCAGCAGAGTCGGTAAAACCCCCCTTCAGCTCGGTTCGGAGAACATTGAGTGGGCAAGATGTACACTAGCCAATGCCTCGCTACAAAGACCCGATGGGAAAGTCCGGAGCGTTGCTCGAGCATTGATTCTAGACCTTGCACGCCGTCTGTGCGGGGCTACAATCCACAGGGAACGAACGCATGATGAAATCCGAACGGGGGAAGGAGCACGCACTCTCACTTTAGATAGATAGCTGAATGGGATGGATGGATGAAGGAACAGATATCGGTCAACCATGGAGCCGGGGCCTACTTAAGTACATACTTGGATAGACACGTTGGCCGAAGCCCCTTGCAGAAGGGCACACCGTCTTGGAGAGGGCGACAGCGATGCCACCAGGAACGACCCAGGATATTGTTCCCATTAGGACAATGTAGGTAGATACTACAGTAATACTTAAGACAGACTAAAAGTTAGTCCGAAACACCCGCGCATCGTCACATGCGGGCCCTTCCGCTGGAAGGCGCGAGAAAAGCAAAGCAAAGCAAGCAGCAACTCAGCAAAGCACACGACCGGCGGCGGCCTTGCCATTGCATCACCCTCCAAGTCCTCTCCTATCCTCCTCTCCTCTTTCTTGTTCTTCCTCCCTCCCCCATCTCACCCCCTCCACCGCCAACCCTCCAATTCTTCTACTTCCCTTCTTCTAGCCGTGGTCATTCTCTTCATCTTCAATTGTATTATTTAATCTCCGTTCCCCCGGGCTTCCCCTGGGCTTCCCCTGAATCATTGTCTTGTCCCGGCGCTTTCCTCCTTATCTTTTCGACCCGAAAATCCTCCAAACCTCCCGAAACGCACACACAACACAATCTTTCGCCATGGCTGACGTGAGCTATCCCGACACAAACGGCCACAGTAAGGTATGGGCAATTACTATCCGCTGCTTTTTGAGAAAAGCGCATTGAAGCTGATTTAGTCTGTGATCTTCAGTTCCAGGTCTCCCACGCACATATCTACGGTGTGGGTTACACAAACTGACCGTTACTTCCTCGCTTAGGTGCTCTTGCAAAAGGTAAATATCTGTCTCTGGACATGCCAGCTTCATGTTTTCTCCTTGGGGGACATGTGGAGAACCAATTGATCTGACAATTAATCGTTGCAGGCCCCATTGCTGATAACATCAAATCCGAGGCGTCCCGCACCGGTCAAGAATTCCGCGACTTGAGGAATGCTACTCCCTCATCCACCACTGCGACCGGCCAGCCCCTGACGTGTATGTTTCGATATGGACCAGCGTGTAGGCTCTTCGCTAACCCGGCTTAGACTACCACTCTTTGCTATACGGCCTTCTGAGCGTGAGTGCGCCATATCTCACCAAATGCGAACTCAGTCTAATCAATTGTTACAGTGGGAGCAACCCCGAGCCACCGCCGTCTCCTTCGCGAGCGTCGTCACATTCATCTTTGCCGCCCGTTACCTCCCTCTCCTCCGTTGGTTCTTCAAGTTCATCTATGTGGTTCTGGGGTGTAGGTCAAATCGTGGCTCCTTATTGTCAACGCCCTTATACTGATGCCTGGTTATACTAGTCACCGCTATTGTCGAAGTCGGCGGCAGACTTGCTCTGTCACAAAGTGTCGTGAGCTCATTCCGGCCTCGCAAGTACTACACTGTTCCCAAGGAGACGATTGAGGCTGTATTGGAGGACCTGGAGCAACTCATCGACTTTGTCCTTATCGAGTTCCAGCGTGTTCTGTTCGCCGAGAACATCGTCCACACCATCGCAGTACGTTTGGATATCTCAACCGCGTCCCAGCGACTTGAGTTGATACTAATGTGGCGTGCAGTCCTTCTTCGCCGCTTTCACCGCCTACTGGCTGATCAAGTTCCTTCCTCTCTGGGGACTGTCCCTGATTGCTGTCACCATCGCGTACATGGGACCCCTGGTCTACATCAACAACCGTGAAGTCATCGATGCACACATTGCGCACGCACAGGATGTTGTCAACGCCCAGGCTCACCAGCTGAAGGATCTTGCTGAGGAGCGCACTTCCCATGCCACGGGTGTTGTGAGACAGTACGTTGGTGACTACAGCGCCAAGGCCCAGGGATACATGCGTCGCTCCGCAACCCCCGAGATGGCCCGGGCCCCCAGCCCTATCATCAAGAAGGAGCCTGAGGCCGAGCCCGAGATCAAGACTTCGGACTTCCCCGAGGCACCTAAGGAAGAACCCGTCGCCGCTAAGGGGGAGCCCGTAGTCGAGTCAATTGAGCAGCCTACCGAGGAGGTGAAGGCGGAGCCTCTCGTGGCGGTTTAAGGATTTGACTCATTCAGTCTGGCTGGTCATTAGTGGGGAGCCACCAACTTGCTGGTCTTTGGGGCATTGCGAAGTGAGCGCGGGGGATTTGAATTGGTAGGTGGGGCATATAGGATGTATTGGTTTGGTGCATGATGAGAGATTGGTATGATGCGTTCCGAGAGGTTGCGGGCAGAATTTCTGTCTTTTCTAGGCTGGCTGTGACCTATGCTGCGGCTCTTCGAATGGATTCGCTGTATGACATTAAACTTTTACTGGTGGTGTCTCAACCTGTGCTTATTCATTATGGATGTAATTCGTACACGGTCGGTAGAATTGGGGATGGGCTCTGGAGTAAATTGGAGTTCAATTCCCCCGACCCATACATTGAAACTATCAATATTAATGATGTAACCAGAAACCTGCATAATCGTCGAAGATTCATTGGGCAGTGAGAGATAAGAGTTGGGCGGGTGGGTATGTCGCTGCTCCGAAAATGATTGGTGGAGCAGACAAAACAAAAACAAAAAAGAAATTACTGTGCATCATCCGTGAATCGAACACGGGCCTCATCGATGGCAACGATGAATTCTACCACTAGACCAATGATGCTACTGGATGATATGTGTTGCTTTATTTTGAGTTACATCTATTACTAACTCACACAAGATAATCTTCTATTCCTTTTATTCAGGTAGTCGGGGCAACTTCTAGTTTCGGCATCGGATTCATTATTCTATTCGCAACTAATTATTCGATCGTACATCTTCGCTTATAGAGCTGTTTAGTAATGTCTCCACTGTGTTTTATGGTAGATGTGGGAAGTAGGGCGAGATATATTTCTCCTCCCATGTCGGTACCCGCATCTTTATGCTTGTCAGTGAAAAGGATGAGGGCGTGTATAAATACCAACCAGAAAATTGATGAAAACAATCCATCTTAGCTCACCAAGCTTTAATCAATAGACCTTCCAATGATCGACCAGATCAAAGAATAGAAGAGAGCTTGTAGCTACAGACAACGGCCGAGATCAATCCTTACCTACACGTTCAACGAAAACAATCCACCAAGCCCACTCCCCACACAATACCACACAGATAAGTAGGTACCTAAACACCATGCATAACCCCAATAGCGCGCCTCAAGTCATAACGCATATAACAAACACCCAACCCCTCCCATACACATATACCTACATACATGCACACATACATACTATACATCAGATCCACGTACACCACGACCACGGAGTAAGACCTATCAAGTACTCCGTACACCCAAAACCTGTTTCCGGGACACAACAAATCAAGCTTTTTGTTGGAGACGACCAAGGAAAGCAGTGAGATGTGAGATATATCTACCGGTGGTAGGTAGACTAGCTTGATGGATGGAGTTGATGGGACCCCCTTGCGTTGTGTGGAGGGATTGTTGGTTGGCGGGTAGGAGGTGTGATTTGGGGGAAAGTTAGATGTTGGTAGGTAGGTAGGTATTTATATAGGAGCTGGGGTGTCCGCTTCTCTTTACGTGAGTTGTGTTTTTGTTGTTGTTTATTTATTCTTGTGTGTTATGTACACTGATAGCCACGACCTTTATCACACATTCTTCCCCTCCACCCTGCTTCTATGTCGAACGCAACCGAAATGTATGTTGGGGTTGATGGTGGTGATGGTGGTGGTGGTGGTCCGAAGCAGGGGTAATTAGCTAAGTAAGTATTATGGTATGTGTGTGTGTGTGTGTGTGTGTCCTTTTATGCCGTTCCTCCCAAGCGCATCATCTGAATCACGACCAGAAACAAAAGAAATATAAGATGAAGACGACCGTCATCACGCCCCGCTAAAAATCCAACCACACCCGAGAAACAAAGGAAACTTGCAACAAAGGAAAAGTCTAATAATTAAAATAGTATGGATGCGCGCATCCTCCGAGTTCTGTCCCGGATAACCCCAACACAGGCAATGACTGCTGTGCCTGACTGTGCGGGTAGTACTTCATCGAATATGGGTTTGCGTCTAAGGTGGTTGCTGCTGCTGTTGACGATTGCTCTTGGTGGAACATGGATCCACCGGAGAGATCAAGTGGGTAGTCACCCTCGCGGTGTCGCTTGAGAGGTGCGAATGAGGCCGATGCGCTGGTATCCCATGTTGTTGGGATTGGGGGCTTGCATGGGTCTGAGGTTTTGGAGGTGGGTGGCTTTGAGGTCAAAGGGGAGCTGGTGGAAGTGGAGGGGAAGACGGATGTGTGAGATTCAAGATCGGGGATTTCCTTTCTGTAGACGGGGTTGCCGTCTTTGAGGGCTTGAGTGGGCGAGCCCAATGTTTGGGAGTCGGTCAATTCAGGAAGGTGGACGCGCGAGACGCAGACTACGGTGGAGCCATCTGCAGTCTGTGAGTATGCGATGACTTGAAGGAACCTGATAGCAGGAAGAGCTTACCTGTTCGGCCGTCTAGGTATCGCTCCTCTTCTTCTCGGACGTGGTAAATTTCGTCGAGCACGGGGATGCGCTCGACGGGGGCGATTTGTCGGCGAACTGATTGGTCTGCCTCTTTGAGTTTCTCCACGCAGATGGAGTGGCTTTCACGCAGCTCGCAGAGAATGTGGACAAGAAGACGGATTCGCTCTGCGTTCGCGGTTAGTGAGAACATCAGAAGCAGGTTGATGGAGTCACACACCTGCTTTGAGAAGATGGTCTGGCTCGCGGTGAGTGACGCCCGACGGCCACCAGGCGGGCTTGGTCAGCTCGGGGTCAAATTGCTGCGATGAGCCGGAGATGATCTTGCGTCCATTGTATGGATAATTGACCTGTTTCCGGGGCTCCACGAGCTTGATGTATGCTTTGGCAAGGATGCGGCAGTTGATCTGCTGCAGGCTGTCGAAGGCTTTCTCGTAGTATCTGCGCAGAAGGCCGGTGTTGCGGACGGGCAACATGGATTTCTGATGACAGGTGATGCTCATGGGGACGAGACATTCGTGGGACACGCGCTTCCGCTTGGATTGTGGGGGTTCGGGGGTGGAGTGGAACCTGGTGGTGCTGGTTAGTGTTTGGATCGCGTTGAACTGGGAGAAGGCGTAAGAAGTACATTGATTTAGCGGATAGATCGTTGGTGCTGGGGGATTCTGGCGAGAGTGGGCTTCTGCCTCGGACATCATCTGTTGGGGTCGGCGTCAATAGGGCATCCGTGCGAGGGCCTCGACAGGGAAATCCTACCGAGCAGTTTGGATGGATCACCTTTGCCCGACAACGCCACCGCGCGCAGAAAGTTCTCCGTCACATTGGGGGAAAGAATGCTCTGGCAATTGTTCGCGATCGACTGTGAGGCTTCGAAGCGCAATTTCCCATTGTCATCGATGTAGATGAGGGCAAAGTGAAGACAGGCCAGCCCGTCTAGCGGCGCATCCATCGACACAGGTGTATGAGACTGGCGACGGTCAGCTTGCGTGTAGTTGAGACGGCAGTCGCCACAGTTATCGGTCATACCATGGAAGCGAAGCAGAAGAGGTCGAATGTGACGACTCTTAAGAAATCAAGGAAGACGGGCCCGTGGGATGACCTGTAGAGTTCTGTCAGGCGTCTGGGTGCAGTCGCGCAGAAGGCAGAGAAGAAGCATCTACACGTAGAAGAAGCGAAACTCAGAAGCAAGGCACGAGAAGGAGCATTTTTAAAGAGCAGGATCGAGGCAAGAGGCAAAGAAGAGCGATGCTGCGAATGAATGGGGGAGTGGCCAATAGATCCACCGGCCGTGTTAAGCTTACCGGATCGTCCGCGAGTCTGGCCTTCAGCTTCGTTTCGTTTCCGGATCCGCGACGCCCCCGATGCAATTTTATATGCGTGCGCGAATATATTTTCTGTCTCTATTAGAAATTATTTAACCGTTGCGCGACGGCAGACCCGCGTCGAAAAAGGAAGGAAAAAGCAACTCGAGCGTCGGCTAGGCTATACTTACACCGTAATGATGGACAGTAGCAACCAGATCAATGGATTAGCCCAAGCTGTGTCACTAATGTGCGTGGCCCTATGTGGCACAGCAGCCGACGGGTCCTTATCCGCTCGCATGCATTTGGGCGTAGGAACTAATGCCCTGCTGCGTCGTTGCTTCCAATCACCGACCCCGAGGGGGAGGGTCAGCCTAAGGGTCCCATTCTGCTGGCAGCCCTGGAGTAGAGCAAGTGGCTAGCTACTCGAGTGGACCATTCGGGAGTCTCTTGGTGCCATCCCCGGTTAGCTTTCCTTCAAGATCAAGTTTCATCCCCGATGCTGGGGGCATACGCCGTGTGGAGGGAGGATCTTGAGTCGTGTAGCGTGGACCGTCGACGTCGACAGGCGTGGTGTGGCAGGCCATGCAACCTGCTAGCAAGATTAGCAAGATTGCCTCGAGCTGGTGGCCTAATAGGCCCGCTGGGGCAACGATGTATGCTGCAATACCTACTCTATCTCGTTCGATAGCATGCGGAGTTGCCAGCCTCTCTACCCTTTCTCGTTACGGAACATGTCGTGTGTGTTTTTCTCCTATCTACGCCATACTCCGTACGCGATTGCCTCTTCCAGAGACTGCTTTATCTTACCGAAATACGTCCCCTTGCCTGATGCATCGGGTGTCAGACATTGATAGTTGCAGTGCGTCCATGGTTCGCTATCCGGTCTGACTGACCTGCGGGGCGGACGCTGTCACCAGATAATAGCCAGCACGCCAGGCACCATATCGGAATGTCCCGAGCACATTTGTCATGTTATTAGCAAAAGTCAATAGCGGATGGCCGAGTAGGTAGGTACGTAGTAACCGGAGGGCCATTCATTGTACGTGGTCCACCCGAGTATCTGAAAGCGATGCACAATACATGCAGCGGCAGTTCCCAGTTCCCACTTCCGGGATCCATCCATTAGTCAAAAGCAGCCTGGTGCCATTTGCCCAGCGTGTATAGGTATGGACCCAGGCGGGGCCCATAAAATGGACTAGCATTGTAGATGTGCTAATCAAGGCAAGCAGGTAGGTAGGTAATACGGAGCGTCTACTCCAGGATGGGTTCGGAAAACATTTGCGAGGCTGCCTCGACCCATGGCGATCATCACTGTTGCACCGCATCATATTTGATGGTATTTTTCTCCATTGGGGACACCGGGACAACACAACGCCATTGCTGGTCATCGTTCCTGCTACCCACATGGCAGATGTCAATTAGTGACTTGGTCGAGTCTAGATCAAGGGTAGCCTTGCCACATTGCGGTACTTCGTGGCGACAATGAGCTCGATGTCGGGATGCCCAAATTGGTGTCGCTAAAAGCCCAGAGACTCCGAATTTTACCTCGGATCCCGTGGAAAAAATCCGATGCAGAAAGAATGAAATAAAAATCAAAAAATAAAATAAATAAATAAAAAATCGAGTAAAGAAACACCGAAGAAAAAACTAACAACCTATCTGGACCCTTATGGAGACAGTATGGAGACGGTTGCCGCAGGCTCACCCAGATCATTGGTCCCTCTGCCTTCGGATCATGTCTGATCAGATGATGGCTGAACCGATCCTGACGCGACTGATGGAGCCCCGCCTCTGCCGAGACAAGGGTGTGACAGATCGCGGCCAGACCACCCACTTGCGTAGAGGGAAGAGACCATCGGCGAACAGGTGGATGCCTGAGAAGAATTCTTAGGGCGTCTGGCTCTTGATAGTACCGGCAGAAGCGAGAAAACCATCGCGGCACGCATTAGTCCGCAGCCGAAAAGGAACTGACATTTCAGATAAACGGCTGGTCGGGAGTTCCAAGACCCGTTGACGAGTGCGGTCCTATCCGTCTGTTCCAGGTGTCGACGGAGGGATGTTCATTTGCCCAGATGTCTGATGTGTCGGCCGGCCGGGCTGCAGCAGAGTGCATATTGCATATGATACGGTGACCTGTCACGGTGGCTGGACGCCCATCATGCAGGCCGGAAAGCATCCGGAAGTAACGAGTAATTTATTAACCTACGATTGAGGCTTCCTTTAGCATGATTTATAAATAAATAAACATCGGTTAGATGGGGGGAACTTTGCTGCAGGTGGAACAAGCGCTTTATCCAAAACTATTGTTGAGGATGGCTGCGCCAGAAGGCAGATCATCGATAGATAGTAAGCTGCCAGTCGATTGACAGGCTGCCTAATTGCTCAAATGATGTGAAGTGTGTGCTCCATATACGTTGAAGACTGGGCCATATAGGTCAAGTCAGTGCTTCGACTAGGTTCATACTATACCATGATGACAGCTTGGCTATCGAATCTCCCGGGGCTTGAAGGTATCCAACACCCACACATTATTGCCACGATCTTCGGCAAACAAGGTATGAATCTGGAGGCAAGTAAGCTTAGCTATCCCTGCCAATATGCTTGCAGCCCACCATTGATTGCATGGATACCATATGCCACACCACAGACATGGATCCTGTCATACGTACAGGGAAACATGAATGTAAACGAAGCGGAAGTAATATCCGCATATTGTTTCCTGTATATGAAATGATCATGTAGGTATGCTATGAGTGAGTCCCCGATTTGTATTTCAAGTGATAAGTCAGGTCGAAGTGGACATGGCAGGGGTCAATTCCCCGATGTGGCAGGATTAACTATCGTGAGCCCCGTATGAGATAGGAAGGAGGCAGGATGTGTCCACCCATATCGACAGGCGTGTTTCTAGAAAATTGCCCACTCTGCGAGGTAGATCCACCCGGGGTGTCTGTTCCATAGTTCGTCTTGGGTTCAGCGTACGTTTGTTGGATTCGGGTTGTTGTTGGAAAGGGGTCGTTTCAAGCGATTGCCCCAGGCTCCTCGTAGCGGTATGGAACCCGAGCCATGAATGCATTGATCGTCTAGGTGCCGACTGTGTGTATCCAGTGGCTGACAATGCTGACTAGGAACGGTCTGTGCATGAGATTGAGAGAGCTAGCTCTATGGAGGCAACGGATGACTGATCAGTTTTGTGGACGATGTGAATATGAGTGCCTACTTGGTTTAGTGCAAGCGTAAGCCCACACATCAACATGAGATAAGGTTCTTGTTTATTTGATGTGTGCTTGTGATGGTAAGGAAAGAGGGTGAGTGAGTGAGTGAGTGAGTGAAGCCTCGATAGTAGTTTAGAGGTACCTCTCTAGAGTACTATACTGGGAGATGCCATGGTAGTTTTGATGCGGTCTGTACAGCGACAGTACAGTATTATGAGCTATTTATAGGCAATATCGGGGCTCAACCATACATACTGTATAGCAGTACGTGTACTGTACACGTAACAACTTCTTCCCCCCAATGCCCGGGACTCTGCCTTCTCTTGACTTGCGGCCACCTCATCTTTTCCATCATTTTCTTTTCTTCCTCTAACTCGCCCATTCGGGGAAATCACTCTCCCCCAGGATCCTATTCATTCTTTCATCCAGCTCTTGCTGGTTTTAATTGCATTTCCCGATCCACCTATCCATCCTCGGCTCTGACCATCCAAGTACCCATCTACCTACCTATCTGCTACTCCGTACATACTACTACTGTGTAGTGTGTACATTCCCCTCCTCCACTCCACCGCCCGGACGAATCCCATCCACTGCATTAGTCCGTTCGCCCCAAGGCTGATCGCACTGGACCGACCAGCAAATCTCTTTCCTTCCTTTCCGTCCGTTCACTGACTCCGTACTGAGGTCGCAACCGATCTTGACTTTGGACTAACTGACTTATTCCCGGTTACACCTCCAACCTGACTAAGTTGTTGCTTCCAGGGCCTGTCCTTTCAACTGTCGCCCTTCCCATTCCACCCCCTCTCTTTTGGCTGTCGTGTCCGCATCGGCCAATCATCGCCCCTCCGTTTCCTGTTTAATTTTATTTTCTTTCATTATCTTTTATTTCCTTTCGTGGATCGTTCCAGAAAGAAATCATACCGAGATTAAGCAGCGCAATCGCCAGGACACTAAGTCCTTAGAGGAATTGGCTTAGTGTCTCATCCCGTCCATCCCTGGATTCCGGCGAGTCAGAGAAAGCGACCGACGGTGACAGTCGCTGCTGCGGACCTGATCCGTGGACGATTTTAATTTAACCAAAAAATAATAATAAAAAAGAAAAGGAGAAAAAAAAAAGAAAGCGGCCTGGCCCAGCCATTGATTATCGTTCCCTCTTGCTCTTATCGACCGACATGGACCCCAACGTTCCCGGCTTCCCTTCTGCGATGCAGCAGACCGCGGGTTTTTCTGTCACTTCCCAGAGTCCACAGCAGTTCCCCTACTATCCGAATGCCATCCCCTCCTACCCCCAGCCTAAACCCGCCTCTCATCCTCCACCGCAGCAACAACAGCATTCTACTTTCGGTGCCGTGCCCATGCAAGCCGGTCCTAGTGGAGCAATGATGCCGTCCGGCTTCCCCCAGCAGTCATCCGGTACGTCGGTATATTTCCCTACCCCTTCTCTTGACCTCTTATCTTCAATATCATTTGTCTTTGGCTCTGGCTCTTTATTCCCTGCGACTCTCTGACCCTCATTACCCCGTCACCCCGTCACCGCTTCCCCACCTTTCCCCCTGGATCTACGTACTGTCGCTCCGTGGCGCCGGATCCTGTCCCCATGCCGGATCTACTGGACCTTGCCTGGCTTAGTAGTTCGCTACGTGTGTGCTAATGGCCAGACGGGTATCCACTATTGCGCTACCATTGCTTCTCATCCTCTTCTCCATTGTGTTGCTGTCCTTTGATCAATTGCCCTGGCCGAAGTGTTAGACACGACGTTGGCTGCAAGGACTAGCCGCTAACCAACGGGATGGACTAGCAGGACCCCACGCCAACTTCTCTGCACCATTTGCCCAGCCACCTGTGCCGACGTCTATGGGCCAGTTTCTCCCTCCTCAGGCGACCGCGACATCTTCTCTCCCTGCAACCACCGCGCAGTCGTTCCCTCCCAATATGGCTTCGTTACCTGCGACCAACATGATCCCTGCGCAACAGCAGCGGCCTGTCCCTCAACAGACACCATTGCAGAGCACCAGCCAACCGGCTGCCCAGTCACCCGCAACGACCGCGCGAGAGAAGGCTCGCGTGTCGACTCTCTTGGACATAAACTCAATGTTGCTGCAGGAGGTCATGAATCTTCAGGCAGCGGGGAAGGCTGGCGGGCCTTCGCAAGGGTCACAAGAATCGAACCCATCACCTGGATCTGACCAGACCCCCGATAAGACGACCCAGCGGCCGAGTCCAGAGTACGTCGAGTGTATGCGTCGTTTACAAGCCAACCTAGGCTATCTCGCAACCATTGCCGACCGGGCCAAGAAATCAGGAGGCGTCCCCCCTGCCGCACCAGCGATCATGTCGCCGCCTCCGAATATGCCTTCAATGAATGAGATATATAACAAGCTCAACGAGCTCTTCCCTCGCACTGCTCAAGGTGGCGTAGGAACTCCCCAGCCCAGCCCACAGGCATTGCAGGGCAACGGACGGCCCAGTCCGTCTCCAGCTATGGAAAACGTTGTCTGAAGAGTTCCTGTCTCCGAGAATAGAAAGATGACGAACTGCGGATACGTGCGATGTCTTAGGTGATTTGAGCGCACCGATTAAAGTTAGAGAGCATACCGACTCGCACGCTGCGTTTTGCCGATACTTCCATGGTCGCATCAGTTTCTTGCTATGATTGGCTGTCAATGTGGTGATACGGCCCTACAAAGTACAAACATGTCCTCCACTGGGTATCGCATGCGGGATTATCGCACCATGCTTCTCGTTTCCCAAATGGCCCCTGAGATGGGATAGTGGAGCCCAGCGTCCAGGTGAGGTGTCCCTCTCTTGAAGGAAGAAGCGCTCGAGGTACGGGAGGCTTCTTGCTCAGGGTCATCAAGCAGAGTATGATGCACAGGCACTATTGGCACCATGAAGGGATAGAAATAGGATAGTAACTAGAAGCCAATTATGGCCGAAAAGAGTCGGACTGACTGTACGATAGCAACAGATAGAAAAACATAAACTAGATGTATTTCACTGTAAAACCGCCATGGATGTGAAGATCCCACCAGTCGTTGTGTAGGCTGGACGCAGCAAGCAGCGATAGTGATGCTGGCCTGAATGATCAGGTCAGAAGACGCGCAGCTCAGGCGCGCGGCGGGCACAGAGAGTTCCAGGGCCAATCAGAGGGCGCCAACCGGGCTGTTTGCCCGGTTCCTTTATGTCACTGCATATGGTGCGGCCATACTCCGTACGCCGTATTCCAGAAACCAATCTGATTCTTGCATTATCCGTTTTGTAAAATTTGCAGCATTCTACCGGCAGAATCGCTTTGTTTGACTTGGATGGATTCAGCCAGTTGCTTATCATCGTATATGCACTCTCGTCCAACCTGTGTAGGAATGAAAGGCGGTGGAAGGTGAGCAAGCGGTGATTGAAGCGGTGACCGAAGCGGTGGAGGGACTTGAAAATAGAATATCGTTTTTTCAGTACGGCCGCTATCGTCCGCCGTACTACGGCACTGCAGCTCGCCTGACTCCAGTCCTTTTCTTCTCTTTTTCACGGTCCTCGTCATCCCCCTCTTTTGCTGTCCTTCTCATTATTGTCGAGGGCTTTGTGAATGTCTTGCGCCTGGCTCCACACCTACAGAAGGAGCCTGCTGTCTGTCGCTACTAACACTTCTGCTGTGAGTGCCGCTACCTCTTCCGCCGCGCCGCCGCCGTCATCGCCGCCGTCAGGTTCTATTTCAACACCTCTTCATCACCTTGCTACCACCAAATCCATCGGACTTTCCTTGTCATCTGCGTGGTCACCGTGCTCTCAGTACCGTGCCTCAGGCAATTGGAGCTTTAATCAAAATTTTTCTTTGTGGCCAGCTGTAATACCCGGTATCGCCACTAGCATCGGCACCCGCCAGGCCGTCCGCTCCCTCAGCTCGTTCGTTATATCGCCCTCAAGAATCCGTGATCTACACTTTCGGACACACCAGATGGATTTGAATGGGGACGCAGGTGCAAAGCGCAAGCGCAGCTCGATCGCCGCGCCCGCCGAGCGGCCTGTCAAACATCTTCGCCCTGAATCAAGCGCATTGACTCCTGGAGATTCGACGCCTGCGAATGGGACCGTCTATGACGTGGAGGATGATGAAGATGCAGGGCGCGTGCTGCCCGTTGGGCCTGCACAGGCGGATTCGCCGGAATGGCAGGCTACCATTGAGGAGGTCGTAAAGAGCGTCGTGTCAATCCACTTCTGTCAGACCTGTTCCTTCGATACGGAGCTGTCAATGAGTAGCCAGGCTACTGGCTTTGTGGTGGATGCAGAGAACGGATACATCTTGACGAACCGACACGTGGTCTGCCCCGGACCATTCTGGGGATATTGTATCTTTGATAACCATGAGGAAGTATGTGTGCTTCCCTCACATTATCTTCATGTGCTAACAATATTGTTCGATTACTAGTGCGACGTGCGCCCTGTGTATCGGGACCCTGTACACGACTTTGGGATTCTTAAATTTGACCCGAAGGCTATTCGATACATGAAGCTGAAGGAGCTGAAACTGCAGCCGGATGCAGCTAAAGTGGGATCGGAAATTCGCGTCGTGGGCAATGATGCAGGAGAAAAACTGAGTATTCTGTCTGGTGTCATTAGTCGGCTGGATAGAAACGCGCCTGATTACGGCGAAGGCTACAGTGACTTTAATACGAATTACATCCAGGCCGCAGCAGCAGCTAGCGGTGGAAGTTCCGGCAGTCCTGTAGTTAACATCGATGGTCATGCAATCGCTCTGCAGGCCGGTGGCCGTGCTGATGGCGCAGCGACGGATTACTTCCTCCCGCTGGACCGGCCGCTGCGCGCACTGGAATGTATCCGTCGCGGCGAGCCTGTCGCTCGTGGAACGATTCAGACTCAATGGATTCTGAAGCCCTTCGATGAGTGCCGTCGTTTGGGCTTGACGCCCGAGTGGGAGGCGACCGTGCGCAAGGCAGCGCCTACGGAAACGAGCATGCTGGTGGCGGAGATCATCCTGCCTGAAGGCCCGGCGGACGGAAAGCTCGAGGAAGGAGACGTGCTCCTGCAAGTCAATGGGGAGCTTCTGACCCAGTTTATCCGGTTGGATGACATTCTGGACTCGAGTGTTGGGCAGACAGTGCGTCTGCTCGTTCAAAGAGGCGGTCAGGATGTGGAGATTGAGTGCCAGGTTGGCGACCTGCATGCCATCACGCCCGACCGGTTCGTGACAGTGGCTGGGGGCACGTTCCATGACCTGTCTTACCAGCAGTCACGGCTGTATGCCATCGCAACTCGCGGTGTCTATGTCTGCGAGGCGGCGGGCTCCTTCAAGCTGGAGAACACCCTGTCGGGATGGATCATCGATTCGGTGGACAAGCGACCCACTCGCAACCTGGATGAGTTTGTGGAGGTGATGAGGTCGATCCCCGATCGCTCGCGGGTCGTCATCTCGTATCGGCACATCCGCGATCTCCACACCCGGGGCACCAGCATCGTCTATATCGACCGGCATTGGCACCCGAAGATGCGACTGGCGGTGCGCAACGACGAGACTGGTCTTTGGGATTTCTCTGACCTCGCAGATCCCCTCCCGGCTCTTCCTCCAGTTCCGAGAAAAGCCGACTTCATTCAGCTCGATGGAGTTAGCCAGCCGGCTGCGGCCGACATCGTGCGCAGCTTCGTGCGAGTATCCTGTACGATGCCCCTGAAGCTAGATGGCTACCCCCAGGCCAAAAAGACCGGCTTCGGATTGGTTGTCGATGCAGACAAGGGTCTTGTGGTGGTGTCGCGAGCGATCGTGCCGTACGACCTCTGCGACATCAATGTGACTGTGGCCGATTCGATCATCGTGAACGCTAAAGTGGTATTCCTGCATCCGCTCCAGAACTACAGCATCATCCAGTATGATCCGAGTCTGGTGCAGGCCCCAGTCCAGAGCGCCAAGCTCAGCACCGATTACATCAAGCAGGGGCAGGACACCCTCTTCGTGGGTTTCAATCAGAACTTCCGGATTGTTGTGGCCAAAACGGCCGTCACCGACATCACGACGGTTTCCATTCCAGCCAACGCCTCTGCACCGCGCTACCGTGCGATTAATCTGGATGCTGTCACTGTGGACACCGGTCTTAGCGGGCAGTGTTCCAACGGAGTTCTCGTTGGCGAGGACGGAGTGGTGCAGGCGTTGTGGTTGAACTACCTTGGTGAGCGCACTGCCAATTCGCATAAGGATGTGGAATACCATTTGGGATTTGCGACCCCGTCGCTGCTCCCTGTGCTGTCAAAGGTGCAGCAGGGAGAGATGCCCAACCTGCGGATTTTGAACATGGAGAGCTACGTCGTCCAGATGAGCCAAGCTCGCATCATGGGGGTGTCGGAGGAATGGATCCAGAAGGTGACACAGGCCAACCCCTCGCGGCACCAGCTCTTCATGGTGCGCAAGGTCGACTGCGCCCCGCCCGGATTCAACTCTGCCGTCGATTCTTTCGAGGAGGGCGATATTATCCTGACCCTGGACGGACAGCTGATCACCCGCGTTTCGGAGCTGGACATCATGTACGAGAAGGAGACCCTCGAAGCCCTGATTGTGCGAAATGGGGAGGAGAAGCGGATCCAGGTGCCGACTGTGCCGACCCAAGATCTCGAGACGGATCGATCCGTCGTGTTCTGTGGTGCAGTGCTGCAGAAACCACACCACGCGGTCCGGCAGCAGATCTCCAAGTTGCACAGCGAGGTCTATGTCAGCGCAAGAGTATGTCTCACTTTCTTGTTATTCCTAGCTCACTTACTGACCGTCAACAGAGTCGCGGATCCCCATCATACCAATACGGCCTGGCCCCAACCAACTTCATTACGGCCGTCAACGGCGTCCCAACCCCGGATCTAGACCGCTTCGTCGAAGAAGTGAGCAAGATCCCCGACAACACGTACTTCCGGCTTCGGGCGGTGACATTTGACAATGTGCCGTGGGTGGTGACCATGAAGAAGAACGATCACTACGTGAGTTTTCCTTCCTTTGAAGTGTGATTATGAGACGCGAACTAATATAACCTAGTTTCCCATGTCGGAGTACATCAAGGACGCGGCCCAGCCCTCTGGCTGGCGGACTGTTTCGCACAACAAGGATAAATACAAGGATGGGGTTGCGCCAGATGCATCGAACCTGAATCCGGATGCAATGGACGAGGGATTTGATGGTGTCAGTGATATGGAGCCGGACTTGGAATGAGTCGGTGTACGGGTGTATAATATATGATGGATGGGTAGAAATGTATAGCAAAGCTCAGAAATTGAGGCATAGAGTTGAGGATCATGTATATGGAGGATTAATCCATTTCTCACAGTTTCAGGGAGGTGCCAATATGGTATTCCCCTTTTCTTTCAGTAGAATAAATCGCAACCTGAAGCTGGATTAAGGAGAGTATCATGATTATCATGAAAGCTGCCGTTAGCATGTACATTGTCTGCCAGGGGAATCTTCCTGCCATTGACACACTTTCTTGGTATTTAATCTCTGCTTTTGCTCGTTGCTTCGTCCTCTCGTTCGTGTCTTCCTCATAGTGGCCTCACTTTTCATCCTCCCAGACATCTTTTCATCTTTGAATCACTACAATGGAGAACCAGGAATCTGAAGACAATATCCTCGCCGAATGCCATGACATACTCTTAGGCGTGCCTGGCATAAACTTTTCTCGTGCCGGAGAGTTCCATGATCCTAATGTTACTAAAGTTGCTCCTGAAGCTATCCCCAAAGCTGAACCAGAAGGGGAACCAGGCATGCTCCTTGGTTTACCCGTTGGCTACGTCACCAAGGATTTCATCAATTTTGAAACCCTTCAGGAAGATGCCCGGGCTATCCAACAAGCCCTAAACACCAACAAAAACCAGGGTAACCAATGGCTCCTTATCCGCAATCTGACGGATGTAGCCATCAGCAGACTTGCCAGCGACGAATCCCCCATCCCAGATATCGGTTATTGCTTTGAATGGGATGGATCAACTGGACTTCTTAAGATCATCCATTCCAGCTTCCTCCACGAGGAGATCTTTACCCGCCTCGCGGGGACTATCGATCATCAGCTGAAATACATGAATGCTCCAGGGGGTCGATTCCATAAAGACACGGCCTATGGAACGGGTCAGCGTGGGAAGAGCGGCGATTGGGTCTTCACACCACCTACACGGGGGTTGGACGACAGTGGAAAATCTCCTTCTTGGCCTACTCTTGTCTTTGAGACCGGGGTTAGTGAGTCGTATGATAAGCTCGTCAACAACGCACGTTGGTGGTTTAAAGCCTCGAACAATGATGTGAAGATTGTTCTTCTCATACTGATGGGGCCGGACGAAGTCAGGTTCGCGAAGTTGCGGCGGAAAATTGACTCGGATGGATCGGTTCACTGTGAGAGAGTAGTACGGGTTACTGAAAGTGAGATTGTTGGAGCGCCTATGGTGTTTCCTTTGGTAGCGCTGTATGGTGTTAATAGGATTTCTGTGGATGGGGAGGAGAGGAATGTGAGTTTGTGGAAGATTGAGATTGGGGAAGAGGATTTTAAGGGGGTTGTCAATGTTCTTTCCAGGTGATGGGGATAGGAAGGTTATTTGGGTATTTTGTGTTTAGTTTGAGGATTTCTAGGTAGTTTGGCTTCTGGTTGGTAGTGAATATTGATTATATTGAATATCTTTCTTTTCTTTTCTGTGTCTTGGTAGGCAGCCTTTGCGTATCACCTGACTCGTCCTTCCTTTTGTCACCTCTCTCTACAACCAACCTACACTTCTTGTTTACATCACGAATACAACCTTCCTTGACCCATTCTCAACGTGACCCCGAAGATGGCTCAAAGAAGACCCCACTCTGGCATCTTCTCGAGAATATGTACTAGCTAGTAACTTTTGATCACATCAATCATCTCCTATCATCCCATGGAGTATTCCTTCGGCTGCAGTCCCCAGAGCTAACTCCCAGATTTAATTAGCAGGAAATTGCAGCACTCCTGACCAACCAGTCGAGAGTTCCCGATTTTCCAGTGAGATTCACCGAATAAAATAACATCCTGGGTAAGTATAAGTACCAGAATACTTCGTTTTCTTCTCCGTTGCCACACAGAGTGACTGGTCATGGAGTACTATCAAAGAACCAGATCATGATCCCCAGGTTCTGACATCTATATCATGTTCTTTTCTAAAGGGTCTATAGCAAGTGATGATGACGACGCATCTCTGGAGAGAGTCTGAACCGCAAGAGCAAATCATATAAGCCTGAATGGACATGCACCTCAGGTCGTTCCTTGCTGACTCCGGGACAAGCAGAGATGGACCATCCACAGATGTCGGGATGGAGAACAACGGGATGAACAATTTGGCAGGAGGTTATCCCCAAGTCAGGGAACACAAGATGGCTCAAATCTTGTTTTGTTGTGATACCAATGGTTCGAGGGGATCTATGAAGTGGAACTCAAACTCGCCAGCCTTGAGAATCATTCTTCTTCCCAACTATCTTGTTGCATCTTCGAATGTCTACCAGACAAATCGACATACCAGGAGCTCGCCCATACGCTCGCTGCCTTCTTAAAGGTTTACAGTATATGAAGTCTCTATACATTGATTGACTTGAGACTCGCCATATTATCTATCGTTGAATCGAATCGATTCCTCATATCCTTCATAAGCTTCTCGCTTTGACTGGAATATCCAGATCGAAATTTATTCACGTCTGCTCCACAGACTAAATTCACTAGTCTATCTCGAGAGGCCCTCTTCACTCATAAATATCAACAAAATGGCCACCAGTTCCAGCAGTCCAAGACCCCCTTTTCCCTGGAGATCGTCGAAGAGACGATACCAACCAGCAATCTTCAAGAATCAGACTAACTAACAACCACTGATCGTAAAACGCATTACGATTATCAGCAAGGCCCACCAGAGACGGTGACTCCAGAGCCTCCGTCTTGTGAGCGGATTTTCCATGACATCGCCTCAGCACCTGCCGGATATATTTCATTTCCGACCAAAACAATCCCTTCAATGACCTAAAATACCTCAAGGAGAGCAACATAACCTCCTTTATTCGCAACCTGATAATTAATTTACCGCCCCGCGGAAGACCTCCAATCCATCCCGCATGCCACTTAACAATTGAAACCCCTCCTGACCACCTGCCTCCTTCGACTTACCCGGCTCCGTCGTTGGAGTTCCAATCCCCAATGAAAGGCACACAATCCCCAAACCTCCTAGCTCGCGTCATCCACATCCAAATCTCCAACAAATCCCAATCTCCCGGGAATTATCCCATATCTTCGATATGCTCGACACGGCCAACGCTTCGTCACAGTAGGGCCCTTCGGCATTGAGGACCTTGAGATTGATGGCGCATGCGGATTCTTTATGCATTCCGATGCCCCGCTTCGTCATATCAAGCTGGAAATGGATTGACAACGGCGACGCGGTTGATAGCTCTCCGCGACGTGAAGGAAACGTTGTGCCATGATGGATTCCATGAGGTGGATCTGGCTACTGGGACATGGGAAGAGGTATTTCGGGCATTGAGTGAGTGCGAGAGAGTCTTGTTACGTTGGAGGTCTCTAAATGAGGGTATTTTCGTCGGAAGAGGGGTTCGCAGTGGTGTGAACAGAAGGAGGATATTCTGACGACTAAGTTGGGGATTACGGCGTTGAAGAAGAATAGGGCGATGTTGGAGAGTAATCGGGGGAGATTTTGTGATGCACGACGAGTTGTGGATCTTTTTGTGCGGGAGTTGGTATATTAGGGATCGGTGTGGATGGTTGAATCGGAGCTGAGTATTGTGTGTGGTGATGCATTGAAAGAGATCTCAGCATCTCGAAACCCTATGGAACAGATTCCATCTATCTTTCCTGACGAAAGAGACGAGCACAATGTGCTGCTTTGTGCATACCTTGAAGCTATGCAACAGAGTATGTCGTGATGCTATACAGCGATTATCCAACTGGGGGAATCGATATCTTATTAACCTACAATGCAAGGACCTGTACAGGGTAATGACGCTCCCAAGAAAAGAAATGACCGCCAGTATTGCGAACCCTTTCCTGGAGTTTATGCCAACAAATTCATGAAGGAAAGCCGGTCCTCTGCCGCAAACACCTGGAAATAATCTTACGGAAGATGCGTTTGGGTCTGAATCAGGGTGGTGAAACCCTCTAAGAGTTTATGTAATCCGGCTTGCTTCTTCTTTTATTTCGCACTACGATTAGATTCATACTCTCGGACTAGACATGTGGTATAGAAGTGGATAGTCTTAGTCTAGACATACATCATAATGCTAGATACACGGTTATCCTAGCCGCACAAATCTCCGGGTATAACCCGATCCGGACATGCAGTGCGTGCATGCTTAATCCTGGATCGACACGGGGTGGGGGTGTCTGCTTTGCTGGCTGAACTACAGGCGATATGACATTTCACCCGAGTGTAAGCAGAGCAATCAGAGCAGGGGAGGTATCCTGTGGCGGCGGTAGAACCTTCGCCTAGGAACTCAACCTGGTTGGTTATAGATAGTATGCATCGCTCAGCCCTCCTTCCTCGCCTTCATCTCAGCAATAAAAGTAGCCGTCTTGCTCGTAGGCACGACATAAATCTTAACCAACTCATCGACAACCTCAACCTTCCCACCACTAAGAATCTGCAACAAGGGGACCTTCTTCCCAGCACGGATCAACCCACCCGTGACCGTCTCCATAAAACACTCCACCGTGTTCATCGAATACTCCTTGTTCTCATCCCACGGCAAGGGGAAGATATAATCCAAATGATCCGCAATGGAATGCATCTCCGAGAACCCCTTGATGAAATCCGTCTGCGCATCCATATGATACAGCAACACAGTCGGGAACTCCAGCGTACTCTCCGGCGACAACGGATCAGGCGTGAGTTTGATCCCCGCGTCTTCCATCTCCGGCGGCTGGTCTGTCTTGCGCGTACGGATCTGTCTCGCGCGAAGAGCAACACTAAGCAGGTTCTTCTCTTTTCGTGTGCGCTCATCCTCGGCCTTCTTCCTCGCTGCAATTCGCTCAATCACTCCTTTCCGTTCGGCGATCTTCCCCGCAACAACCTGCAATGGCTTATTCATCGGGTCCAGTTCCAATCCCCGCGTCGCCACATCCTCCGCCTCGACGATCTTATCCAGCGCGTACAATGCCATCGCGGAGCGATAATACGCTTTCACGTTCTTGGCGTTGAGCTTCAAAACAGCCGCGCAGTCGAGCGTCGTGGACCGGAAATTCTCTAGAAAACTCACTCATTAGCATCCCACCCTCCCCAGAAAAGAAAAAGGAATGCATACTCAATTCCAAATGACACAAAGCCCGATTAATATAACACGCCTCCTCAGCCTCCCTCCTCAACTTAACCTCCTCTTTCTCATCCTCCGGCTTATCCCATTTATCCTCCTTAGCCAATAACACCGCAATACCCTTCGAATAATGTTCCTTGGCATCAACCCACCGTTTCTCGCGCGCCGCTTCATTCCCCTGTTCCCGGAAGTTCTGCGCCACTTCGCCGCGTGTTCCTTCATTCTGGAGCGCGCGGATAGCGTCCAGCATGACGTTCTCGCCCTCTACATTACAATAACTAGCATATTAGCCCCATCACCATTACCAAAAACACAGGGAAAAGATAAGATAAGGCAGGGAGACACACTCTCGTCATAAGCCTTATTGATATCCGTCATAAACAACGGCGTGCGGTTCAGAATCTCCGCCAATTCATCCGTCGTGTGGGTATTCACTGCCTCCATGGCGGGGGGCATCTTGGGCGCCAGCGGGTCCGCATTGTCGTTGATATCCTTCAGTCGCTCTTCTTTGATCGGGATGGGGAGTTCTTCGGGTGCTGGTGGTTGGGGCTGGTTCAGGTCGAGGGACTCGTCGTAGTCGTCGGGGAGTTCTTCTATTTGGCCCATTTTGGATAAAGCGGTGGAGGAGAAGTATGGGGTGAGGTGGGGGGGGTGAGGGGAGCTGGTGATGAGAATTTGTTGCGAATGCGGATGCGGATGCGGATGTTATCGCGGTTGCAAAGGGTGCAAACATGAGGGGGAGGGCTAGCCCTAGGTAGGTCTTATCTTATCGATCGCTAGCTGTATGGGTAGGTTGGTATATGATAGGAGGAAGGATTGGATCTTGCAGATACTAAGTCTTTATTTGATAAACTAGGAGTATCCGAAGCAAACGAGGTATTCCCCAAAAGGCGAAAAAGCAATTCCAACTCCATACATTCATGGAACATAGGCCTAGAAGCCAGCTCTATTCATCCCTATCGATACATTCCCCTCCTTTGTAAGAAGAATCCCTCAAACCGACACGTCTAATCAAACAATACACCAATAACATATACCCTCTCACGCCTCCTCCCGGTATATCCCAGCCTCTGATCAACTAGTGCAGGGGATATCCTACATCTTTCCCCACTATAAATACACAGGTCATCCTGGTAATACAGATAGATCCTCACCTCTAATTCAAACCACCCTGCTTTAAAATTACCCGAAAATCCCAATTACTCAACCAACCAACATGTCCTCTACCAGCGACCAGACCTCTCAGCCCTTACCTTCCATCCCCAATACCAAATCCAATGTATTCAATGCGTGAGGATCAAGCCGGTATCCTGATGCATTCGACATCACTCGAATGAGCAAGACTAAGTCTAAGACCGAGCAAGCTAACAATCTCAAGGAAGACAGTTCATTCGACTCATATGTCCCCGGAATAGAATCTCTTTATCCTTCTATCGAGAGTCACGTAGCCGAGTTGCCTGATATTAATAAACTTGGTTGATCTGGGGGGATTGGAGTGACTGAGGCGGAAGCTCAGCCTCAGCCCGGTTTCAATGATATGTACCCTAATGGCCTTTCGTGGGATATTCCACCCGGCAGATATTCTGAGTCCAAAGGAGAAGGATACCCCAGGCACATCGTTTCTAAACTCTTCAGAAAGACTCCCGACTTCCCTAACCCCAAGGAATCCAGCTTCACTATCTACCACCTTAAACGAGCGCTCCGCTCCTCATCTAATCCTACGGATGTACTCAATAGAGAACTCATTGGCCTCGCCAGAGATCTCGACCTCAAAAATTCGATCAATCCATGTCGGTTTCCAGGGGATACGGCTAACGACCTGTGCATGATTCTGACCGCGGTGGCGGAGGTGATGGCTGACGGGGACACCAGTCTCGGGGATGCTACGACAGTGGAGAAAATAATGGTCACTGTGAGTGCGATGGTGCAGAGTTTACGGTTTAAACAGTGGATGAAGGAGATGAATGATTATGCTGAGGGGTTGGGAGGGGAGGAAAAAGAACGGGCTGGGTATTGGTCGATAAGGAAGTTGGACGAGGAGAGACCGTGGAAGGAGAGAGAGAATTAGCTGCGGGAGCAGAAGGGATTGATGATGGCTCACATGGAGGCGGAGAGGAGGGAGTCGGGGGAAATAAGGGAGATGAGGGAGACTTTGCAGGACTGGGTAGAGAAATTAAAGACGATGGAGGGAGAGCGTGAGGATAGGAGTGCACTTTGGACGGAGACAGAGGCTCGGTTGCAGGCGCTGGAGAGAAAATTCAGATCTCAGAGTCCGGAGGCCACGAGTTGTGACCAGGACTGCAAGATGGGGTGGAAGCCTGCTGGTTGGGAAAAGTAGTAAAAGCATGCGAAGAGATGCAGTGATGATCATTGATTGAGATAAGATGTATTAGGGTTGGCGGAGCGATGAACGAATCCAATAAAGGCGGCCGGACTGTGATGGTTGGCTGAATGGGGAAGAATGTTTGCTAGTGGCGCCAAGTAGATGTTAGTGCGGTGAATCTGGAAAGGACAAGTCATTTCCTCAGGTCCAGAGTAGCTCAGGTGCATGCGTGGTAAGCATCGTTGCTGGACTAGTAGCTGCACTACAGCAAAGTAGACCTAGACTAGCTAGTCAGGTGTGAGCAATTCCCCCGCCCTGATAACGCGTCCAGTGTTCACCGAAGACGACAGAGATAAAAGGCAAGGTCGAGCCACCGAGTCAGCCAGGGGAAAACGGGAGTAGAAGAAATGCAGAAGCCGGCCGTCTCCACCCATTCCCACTTTTCCCACTTGCTAGTGCCGTTTTTTCCCACCTCAGCGTGACATCAGCTTGACCAGTCAATCAAACCCAAAAATCCCTGAAGAGATATCGGAAAAAAAAGTTTAAGCCAAACAAACTCATCGGGAACCGATACCCGTGGCAGATCGCCAACGCTTCATGCCTTGTCAAGGCACAACCATCCCCATCTCTCCCCATCTCTCGTGGCCTTAGGCTACGGCTTCAAACCATCACCATGACCGACACACCAAAATTGGCCGAAGACACAGATCTCGATCGCACCCTCTCGCGCTCCGAATCCATTCGTTCCGCCGTCCAAACCTTCTCGCCTCTTCATGAGATCGTCTTCGTCTTCGTCGTCTGCATGTCGCAGTTCATGACCCAGGCCGCCCTGGGAAACACCCTTGCCCCACTCGAGATCATCAGCGACAGCTTCAATATCACCAATCCAGGCCTCTCCAGCTGGCTGATCGCAGGATACTCTCTGACTGTCGGAACTTTCATTCTCTTCTTCGGCCGCTGCGGCGATATTTTCGGATACCGTCTTCTCTATATCATCGGCTGGGTCTGGTTCGCCATCTGGTCCTTGGTTGCGGGCTTGAGCGTATACTCAAATTACATCCTGTTCGTCTTTGCGCGTACCCTGCAGGGTTTGGGTCCTGCGATGCTGCTTCCTAATGGCTTGGCGCTGCTGGGTGCCACCTATCAACCCGGAAAGAAGAAGTACATGGTCTTTTCGCTGTTCGGGGCCACCGCACCGAACGGGGCCGTGATCGGGGCCGTTATTTCCTCGCTTTTCTCGCAACTCGCCTGGTGGCCGTGGACGTTCTGGGCCATGGCGATCTATTGTGCCGTATTGGCGGTAGTGTCGGCCCTTGCTATCCCGTATTCGCCGTCGGTTGCGCAAGGCATGTCGCTGAAGCAGCTGGTGTTCGAGCTGGATGTCATCGGGGCAACCTTGGGAATTACAGGCCTGGTTTTGATCAATATTGCGTGGAACCAGGGGCCCGTGGTGGGATGGCAGGAGGTGTATGTGTACGTCCTGTTGATCATCGGGATATTGATTCTGGCCATGTTCTTCGTCTGGGAAATCAAGTACGCGTCCGAGCCGCTCATCCCATTTCACGCGCTGGATCTCGATGTCTCCTTCATTCTGGGCTGCGTTGCGTGTGGCTGGGCCAGCTTCGGAATCTGGGTTTATTACTTTTGGCGGTTCCTGGAGAATATCCGGGGTGTGACGCCATTGCTAGCATCGGCGCAATTTGTCCCACCCACCTTGTCGGGACTAACGGCGTCCTTCACGACGGGGCTCCTCATGGCCAAATTGCGGCCAGGCTGGATCATGTTGATCGCCATGGTGGCCTTCACCCTTGGCAATCTCTTCTCAGCCATTGCCCCAGTCCATCAGACGTACTGGGCGCTGTCTTTCGTGACGCTGGTCGTCACCCCGTGGGGAATGGACATGTCATTCCCTGCCGCCACAGTGGTCTTGTCAAACGCGGTTGGGCGTCGCCACCAGGGTGTTGCTGCATCCTTGGTCACGACGGTTGTGAACTACAGTATCTCCCTGGGACTCGGGTTCGCGGGAACGGTCGAGGTGCATGTGAACAACGGTGGCAAAACTTTCCATGATACGCTCAAAGGTTATCGTGGGGCTTTGTATATGGGCGTCGGACTTGGCGGGCTGGGAATCGTAATCAGTCTGCTCTACCTCATCAAGAGTAGAACAAAGCCGGGCCAGGAAGAGGTTGAAGTTGAAAAGGCCACCGAATGATTTCGATGGCTGAATGTGAAAGTGCGCATAAAATAGGCATATAGAATTAGACGGCACATTAGACTTAGCCACAGAGCCGCCGAAATAATGGCAAGATCGAAGATACTTAATAGACGTTGTACCGGCAGTCTGACCACCATTCCGAATAATTTTTCTGTACTAATCGCATCAGAAAGATTCGCAGGTGTATACCGTGGCACACAACGTTGCTACGTCGCATCGCTCACGATAAAGCGCCTCGACCCCGGCATCCGTACGCCCGTCCTTGTCCAAGGGCAGCGGGAGCAGACCGGGAACCCAAATTCCGAGGCGAGCGGCTATTGACCCGCGTTTAGATGAGCCCAGGAATAACAAGAACCGCACGTAAATAACCTGGTTATCACGCATCTATTCCTGTGCTAATGGTGATAAATCGACCACATGTTCGCGACCGACTCCCCACGGCAGGAGAATGCAGGGGTCGCCTCTTCATATGAAGATGGGTCGGCAAAAGCTGAACCAAGGGATCCGCCCAATCAGCAATAGCGATAAGCAACAGAGTCTGAGGGCGATTTTAATGGCAGGTGTTCCCAAAGATGGGGCCGGTCGCCGCCCTGGCGATGAACCTCGGCTTTTGCCTCGATCAATAATTCGGGCCGCGGATCCACTGCTCGCCATCCCTTCATGTGCCAACAAAAGAGCGCATCCCTAAGCCACTTTACTCCGTATCTCTCCCATATCTCTTGATTGATCTCTCCTCTTTGACCCTTAGACATCATATTGTCGCTCTCTTGAATCTGCTCAAAACCTCCAGCGCGCACGAACAACTTTTTGTATTTCCTGCTTCCGACCCACCGACACTGCGCATTACCCCAGACGAACGATCTATCGGCCGACATGAGCAGCCCGGGCGATTACGGCGCCGTCCGCAAGGACATTGTCGCACAACTGAAGAAGCCCGATTATGACGATGGAAACGCAGGTCCAGTGTTTGTCCGTTTGGCATGGTGAGCTTTGCAGTATTGTTTCTCCATACTCGCCACTGACCCCTGACTAGGCACTCCGCCGGTACCTACGACGCCGAGACCGACACGGGCGGCAGCAACGGCGCGGGCATGCGATATGAAGCAGAGGGAGGCGATCCATCAAACGCAGGTCTGCAATACGGTCGAGCATTCCTAGAACCAGTGAAGGAGAAGCACCCGTGGATCACATACTCCGATTTATGGACGTTAGCAGGTGTCGTGGCGATCAAGGAGCTGGGCGGGCCCGAAGTTGACTGGAAGCCCGGTCGCACCGACTTGGTCGACGACTCCAAGGTGCCGCCCCGTGGTCGCTTACCCGACGGTGCGCAGGGTGCAGACCATCTCCGTTTTATCTTCAACCGAATGGGCTTCAACGACCAGGAGATCGTGGCGTTGGCGGGAGGACACAACCTGGGCCGGTGTCACACCGATCGCAGTGGATTCGAGGGTCCCTGGGTGAACAACCCGACGCGTTTCTCCAACCAGTTCTTCAAGTTATTGCTGCAGTTGAAGTGGACGCCGCGGAAGTTGGCGAACGGCATGAGCCAATTTGTATACGAGGATCCGGACGCGGAGGAGGGGGACGAGTTGTTGATGATGCTGCCCACCGATGTGGCCCTCAAGACGGACCCATCGTTCCGACAGTGGGTGGAGAGGTATGCGGAGGATAAGGATCTGTTCTTCGATCACTTCGCGAAGGCGTTTGCGAAGTTGGTCGAGCTGGGGATTAGACGTGATGAGAAGGATGCTATTCTCAACACCGATAACGTCAAGGGAGGATACATCTCTGCTCCCAAGAAGAGCAACACGCCAACTGGACCTCCGAAGAAGCCCAAAGCCCCGCGGGCTCGACTGTAGATTTCTGTTTGTTTGGGAGGGTCATGATTCGATATACCATAGAAGAGTTCTAGAGATTGGATAGAGACAGAAGCATGTATAGTGGCAGGTTAATAGATATCAACGAATGTTCATGATGGTCACCAAACAAAGAAGCCCGATAGGAAGAATAGAGAGGGATGAAAGAAGGGGGAGCAGGCCAAAGGGGCCACGACAAAAGGGCCGGGGTTCAAATGCGGGGAAAGTCCATGCGCTGACTTTGCCCCGGCCGTCATTGGCCCAGCCCGCATGCTGCCAACGCGTTCATCGGGGCCAGTCCAGTAACAATTCTTAAGCATATCCTTGCTAGTGAGCTGCGTGTAGTGTCTCGACTCTCGAGACCATTTATTGTGTTGAGGCAGTGCAATTGTGGAACAGACAGGCTGGCTTCCCGTTACCCCAGATCCTGGATCCACATGACCTATCAAGTACAACAATCGACTATATTTTGATAATAGACATATGCTTCCTATCTACGAACCAGTAAATTTGCAAGCATACTAAATCATCCATTTCTATCATCAAGCAACCCTGAAAAGTGAAAACTTCATGCACAGCTACATCACAGACAGCCTCCCCTAGAACCCGGAAGCAATTTTGGCGGTGAAACGTGTTTCTTCTTTGAATGGACCATCTTACCAAGCCCTCTCGGCCTCCTATTCAATCCGGCGATGGTGGTAGCAGTCCCTGTGGATATCAGGCATTACAGCGTCACCCGCTAATATCTCCACGGTCTTGTCGGCGTCGAAGTAGTGGAAAAATGGCAAGCATTTGCATCATAAGCATTTGCATTGAAAGCATTTTCATTGAAAGCGCTCATAATGTTGCTTCTGTTTATTCTCTGCGCCGAGTGAACTGGGCTCACCTGTTGCGTATCCATGGCGGTAGGATATTGGCCGTAAAAGGGGCTGTGGTCGAGGCCACCAACACCGAAAGGAGAAAACTCAGGGGTACTAAGGTAGGAAGGGAAAGTACCGGATGCTGAAGGTGCACTATTCGGCCCAGGAACCTGGGGAGTGTTGGTATAATCCGCGTGCAAGAATGGAGCTGGCCTGGGTGACTGGGGTCCCCGTATGGGATTTGTCAGATTAGATGGAGAAGTCATCATTACATCCGTTGTGTCCATCATCGTGTTCGAAGCAAGAAACTGTGCCATGGGTGGAAATGCAGACCCTGCTAGCGCTGGCACTCTGTTTGGGATGCTGAAAGGGGCATGCATTCCAGTCGGTTGCTCTTGAACTGGGGTTCGAATCCTGGTGGATGGGGCTGGGTTCGTGCGGCGGCGGGTCAGAAGAGAGAAATTTTTCCCAGGTGGATTTAATATTGGTCCCCATGGATACACGTCCTGACCCCTAGGGCGTCCGGACGGGGCCCATCCTGGGTTCTGCTGAAGGATAAGGTCACCCTGTTCGATGTATTGCAGCATGTTGTTGACCGCGCTCAAGGCCACACGGAAGTCCTCAGTGTCAGGGTTCATGATCCGTTCATAGAAGAGTAATGGTACCTGCTTGCCTCTCCAGTACTTCTCTGGCACTCTGTCTGTTAAGTCGGCTGGGGCTATGCCACCAACGATGAGTCCGGAAATTTCACGACTGTCATACATGCGGAGTGAGCCTGTGTTGTCATGCTCCCCGCGTTTGGCATCGGTCCAGAAGAGACGCATCTGGCTGTCATCACAGTAGATCCCTCCTAACCAGCGGTATGTGACCTTGTACTGTCTTTCCTGTTCATCGCGATAGGTAAAGGTAAGGTCCTGTGTATGGGAGTGGACAAAGATACCAGGGGGAAGCTCCACTGCTAGACGCAATGGAAGCTTTTGATATCTCCTGCTGTAGGCCACCAGATTCTTACCACACCATTCACAACGTCTGTAGCGCTGACGGGAAAAATCACGAGAAAGTACATCCTGCATTTCCATGTTCTCGTGACCGCTTGGCGGCCCACAAGGTCTCACAGAAGTGCTTTCACAACTGACCTTGGTCACCTCACTTGCATCACACTTGCAGGGACTCCTAGTCTCAGTGTACGTAAGGCGGAATTGGTCGAAATTCTGCGTACATGTATTCCAGATATCCCGAAGAGTCTCAATACTTTCTTGCTGAGCATCAGCAGATGGATCAGGTAGTAAGAAATGGAGGAAGCGGTCTCTATGTGAGACACTCTCCTCAGAGATCAATACATCCCAGTTTACATCTGTCGCCTCGATGAAGGCTTTCTCGACGTCTGTGAAACGGTCCTGCCAACCCTGCCGCTTGCGGTCGATGTTGGTGGACCCAGCATCCAGCAGTCGGCCTGCCACAATAGCACAGTCCACAGCACTTGAGAAGTTGCACCACTCAGGGCCTCGCCCTCTGTAGGGGTAGGTATAGCCATCAGTAGCTAAGCGTAGGTTGTATGTTGCCTTGGGGTCTTGGGCAAGCTTTACCTGGGATGTTATCGGGAATAAGCCACAGATGGCAATTCTCAAGGCACTCTCCTCCGTGGCAGTAAAGTGTGGCCGTGCTGCTTCTAGCGAAGCGGCAGTGGGATGGCGTTCGAGTTCGGAATAAGCGGATCTCATAAGAACACGCTCTATCTCCTCAGCAATTGGCAGGTGTGCTTCTCTATCAACCGCCGGCACTCTAGCATTGCGATGAATTTCACCTCGATTTTCACCCCTCATGTCATAGTCATTGGCGGCTCTGCTCATTCTAGGGGCCATTGTGATACGTTTCGCAGGGGGTTCAATACTTGGTCCTGCAGACGATCGGCCATCAGCTCGGTCATCTTCCATATCAGAGTCTTCGGCGATCGGTGCACTTTCTGTCATTCTCATTTTTTCACCAGCAATTCCGCTCTTTCCTTGAGGCATTGTGATACGCATCCCAGGGTGTTCGGCGCTTGGTCCTGCGAATGATTCAGCCTCGGCTATCGGCGCATTTTCTGTCATATTCATAATACCAGCGGTAATTCTGCGCTTTCTAGGGGCTATTGTGGTGTGCTTCGCAGGGAGTTCGATGTTTGGCCCTGGGAAAGATTGGCTCCCAGCTGGGGGGTTCTCAGGACCACGGACATGAAGATGTCCTGCACTGTAAACATCAGGGCTATATTCATTTCCTTGAATCGATATGCCAAGATTATCTTGCAGAGGGTTTATGCTGATGAACTGTGCTTCTAAATGATCAGACCCAAGATCGTTGTTAGTCTGAGAAACACGTTCTTTCGGTCCCAGAGCCTCAAGATGGTGAGAAGCTTCTGCCTGTTGTCTTTCATTTTCATAGGCAGAAGCCTGTTCGCTGATTTGCTGTTCTCTCATTGCAGGTAACGCCATTCTCTCCAGATAGGCATCCGATATGCTTGGGGGAGCATCAATTGGTCTAGCAAAGCTTGGCTCCACCTGTGCTGCTCGCTCCGGGGGATCAGGGTAATGCCAACTGATAGGAAGGAATTCTCCTGTAACAACTGCAGGTTTCAGCAGTCGAGGCCCCGCGTCTCTTGTGAAGTCATTCAATTCATACCAGGAGCGGGGTTGGTGTTTAGGGTCTTGGTTAAAAATTATCCTGAGCAACATCGAAATTCTCACATCCTTGAAGCGAAGATTATGGCCCCAATGAGCGTATCCCCAGCTATGAAACTCCTGCAATTTTCTGTAAGGACTTCTCTTCTTACGCAAAATCTTCACCAATTCTTCCTTCGTCATTCCACATATGTTAGCTCCGTTAGGAGGTTCCTGAAGAGTAAAGGCATGATATGGCGCATGAATGCACATTTGGTGTTCTAGTGTTATATCTCCCATCTTAAGGCAGTGGTTTGTAGACCGGGGAATCGTGAGTAAAGTGCTGGTAGATCAGACACTTGCAAGGGTGGTGTCAGGAGAAAAAAAGAGACAGGTGACGAGGTATATATAGATCTTTGTTTATAGCCAGTTGCCCGCAAGTTGTAGGAATTCTCCTGGAGTACTATTAGACGATCAAGCCACATTTTGTCACCTATGCGATGGATGCCTGGTCCTACTTTCTTCCATCGTCTGTATCCAGTCATTCATCAGAGTCAATCATTGAATACAAGCAACATCGTCTAGTTCCGATTTTTATGCACCTTTCTACTTCTGAAGACGCAAACGGGTCTGCCAAGAGGTTGATGGCCAGCATAGCTGGATGCATTGTTATATGGTATATTCATTCTGCGTGAGTTGCCGGAGACCAATACCTCGAGCTTTTCAGAGAAAAGGAATGTCGCATTATTCCAGCTGAATGCCACATTTCACTTTTCTTGGATCGTTCGAGTGATGGACGCATCATTCTTTCAAAGCTCCGTCTTGGAGGTGCTTTATTCCGATACGAGGAACGTATCAAGGTCTAGTATCATTCATTTCATAAGGCTTACTGTTAAAAGATATGGTGATTATATCGAAGATTATGCAGCTAGTCGAGCAGTGAGAGCATTCGCTGGTATAAGAAGCCAGCCATGCATAAGATTTGTAATGACTGGAGTCGTCCTTTCCTCAGTCTCGTCGCTGTTGCACAGGTAAGACAGAAATTGAGTATGACCTGCTGACACAAGGGGATAGTCTAAACTTATCACAAGACCATCCACTAGAATCCATAAGACAGGGTAGTCCAATACAAACCAACAACAGAGTCAGAAGTATGTCCAAGGAAGACTCCGGACGTAAAGAAACAATACCCCAGATACCGTACCAAAACCCTCCATCACGTGTAGATTACAGTCCAGTGACAATATACCCCTTTCGGGCCTAGTCCACCTCACAAGCGAGCCCTTAGACGCACCATTCCTAAACGGGCTAGGCGCCAGCTTACCCGATCCCACAACGGGCTGAGAGCAAAGTTGGAAGAAGCACTCGCAAGCGCCTCGATTTCACCTCCTTCCTCATCCCTCTCGCCTGTCGACAATCAATCGCGGTCCCTCGCGCCATCGCCCATCATGTGTACGTGAAAGAACCCTGAATCGGAATCCAGCCTGCATTTGAATTCTGTCGCTGTTCGTTTTTGCCGATGGAAAAAAAAAATATCGCTGGAAGAAATGGTTTCAGAATCATCATCGAAAGAGAACCGACAAGCGGCGGCGGAATCAGATGGAGTGCTGTGTTTTTTCGAATACAAGAAGTCGATAAGGGACAGAATGGCTGACTGCGGATTTTTCTCGAATTTTTAGCGCTCGTGTCCGGCGAGAAGACGAACTTCCAGTACATCCTGCGTCTGCTCAACACCAATGTTGACGGTAAGCAGAAGATCATGTACGCCTTGACCCAGATCAAGGGTGTTGGTCGCCGTTACTCCAACTTGGTCTGCAAAAAGGCCGACGTTGACCTCAGCAAGCGGTACGTTTTTTGACGATTTCCTACGATGGATGTGATACGATGGTTCGACTGGTTTAAAGAACGGGCGCCATTATACATTGGAAAGGGGTATAAAGGAACAACAGTTAACGTGATTTACTATACAGCGCTGGTGAACTCACCACCGAAGAGCTCGAGCGTATCGTCACCATCCTCCAGAACCCCACTCAGTACAAGATCCCCACCTGGTTCCTGAACAGACAGCGCGACATCACCGATGGCAAGGACTTCCAGGTTGTGTCCAACTCCCTCGACAGCAAGATCCGTGAGGATCTCGAGCGCCTCAAGAAGATCCGCTCCCACCGTGGTCTCCGTCACTACTGGGGTCTTCGTGTCCGTGGTCAGCACACCAAGACCACCGGTCGTCGTGGACGCACCGTCGGTGTCAGCAAGAAGAAGAACTAAAAACATCATCGGGGTCATATCTGCGTTTGTTTCTTCGTACTTGCTGGAGTGGATCGTGGGAAGGAGGATTCCTTTTGTATGTTGGTGTGTTTTAACGAATCTTCCTGGGACCGGAATCATAGAAAATGCCGAGTCCGAAATGAAAAGAATCATACCAATATGAATGAATACTGAATCATCTTTCCCTCATTTCGTTGCCACGGACTACAGTCTAGCCTTAATAGACTCAACTATGGGGTAATGGTCCTTTACATGCCTCGGGTATCAAGTACTGTAGACTAACACTGATCATTTCAACTACGCGGTGTACATTATGGTATGGAGATATGATCTTCATTCTCATACGAAGTACAAAAGCATAACGCACTATAGTGACCGGTTCATATATTCCATGCAACATAACCTTTGGAACTAATGGGCATGGGCAAGCATCTCAAACTATCGTTAGAAACATCTGCAGTCACGAAAGGAGCAACGCAGTCTAATCGCTGGTGGCATGTCTTCTCTAGAACCATTCGCCTCCCAACCAGCGGTTGAAAAACTCGAGACTGGCCTCGGGCTGGTCCATAGGGACCATGTGGCCACCGCCAAAGAGACGCATGAAGGTGAAGTTGCCATGAGACTTAACCTGGCCGATCTTCTTGCCCTTGGACTCGTTGTCAACAACGGTAAGATCCTCCAGCTCAAGAGAGGCATATTCAGCCTGTCCGGGCCATTCCAGGGCCTCGGTCCAGGCCTTGTTGCCCAGCCAGTTGCAGATGAAGTCGGCATCACCGGCGTAGATCAAGACAGGGATCTGCTCCAGAAGGCCGGGAACGAGGCGGTGGTAGGGCTTCATCCAGTCACCGTGGAAGAGAAAGTTGCGGTTGATGTCAAAGTTGCACGAGTCGTAACCGCTGACCTCGGCGCCAACAGCCTCAATGACCTCAGGCTTGTTCAGGTAGTCGCTGACGTAGCCCATAGCCGAGTAGCAGAGGTTGGAGCTATCCTCGCACTTGCCACGGACATCGTAGACGTTCTGTCCGGTACGCTGGTAGGGAGCGAGGAGGGCGTTGTTACAGTAAATCGAGGCAGGGACACAGACCCAAGCGCTCTCGGACTTGTAGCAGGACTCGATCATAGAGCGGCAGCGAGGCAGGGCATTGTCCATGGCCTGGCAGGAGGCCTCGTCCAGGACAGCAGGGTAGCCACCGTCACCGCAAGCCATGGGACGGTAGTACTCGTACTGAGTGTAACCGTCGGTGAGACCGTTACCGATCAGAACGGACTGGAGGTTGATGTTGCGCTTCTTGTGAGACAGGATCTCCGAAGCAAAGACGGGGATGTAGTGACCAGCATAGGATTCACCGGCAATGTGGAAGTCCTGAGTCGCATACTCGGGGAATTGTTTGAAGAAGAGAGTAAGCAGGGCGTAGACGTCCTTGCCAGCAGCGACTGTGTCACTGACAGGGGAGTTACTGTAGGAGTAACCGACATTGACGGGCTGATCAAGGAAGATCACGGAGGCGTTGGAGTTCCAGGCGTAATCATTGTAGACTGGCTTGAGCTTCTTGTCGATGCTGCTAGGGCCGAGCTCCATAAAGAGACCGGTGAGGGAAGAGCATCCAGGGCCACCGTTCAACCACAGGACAACGGGGTCATTCTTGGGGTCATTGCGGGATTCGAAGAACCCTATGCTGAGTTAGAATCCAAGCCCTTATATAAATCTATAAGGGAGCAGGCAACTTACAGTAGAACAGATGCTTGTCGTTCTCATTGTCATCGAGATAACCGGTGTACTGCTTGACGCCGGGGTCGATGCCGAGGGAGCTGGGATCGGTCTTCTTAATTCTGAGATCATACTCCTCCAGCTTTCCGTCGATCTCCCGCTCCTTCTCACCGCTACTTCCAGTGACCCAGACGCTCTGGACATCGGAACCGCGGACGATGTGATCCCAGTGAGAGTCGGGACGGCGGTTGTGCTTCTTCGGGAGAGAGAAGACGGGGTTCTGGTCCATGCTCTCGGGGAAGAAGCTGGCAACCTCATCCCAAAGCTTACGGGCCTCATCAGAGAGGGTTTTCAGCTCCTCCTGGAACGCGTGAAGTGGCTTGGAGAAGCTGTCGGTACCGTGGTCAGCACCGTGATTGGCACTGTGCTTGGCGCCTCCTCCCAGGACTTGCTGGAAGGGGGGAACGGCCGCAGTGGCCGCTCCAACCAGCAGAGCAGCTGGAAGAACTCTCATTTTGTGTTATATACCCTTTGGGCAGTTCTGAAATCGAAGCAGTGATGGAAGGTGTACGCAGAGGATGGGGACCTTGCGGTCTGGATGATAGAGTGCCTGGACAGGGAGCTTATCAGCACGGTTATCAAGGGAGCGATGGGGGAGCTGTAGAGGCAATCTTACAGTGCAGAGACGTGAAGACCAAGTGAATAAATATCCGAGTGAGTACCAGCTACTGGGTGATCAATGGGAACCCAGAAGAGGATGGAGAGAAGAAGAGGAGAGGAGAGAGAGGAGGTGTACTCGCTGGGCTGCAGATGACGCCTTGATAGAGGGAAGGAGGGCGGCCAATCAGAGACCGGTGCCTTCCGGCCGCAGAAAGTCACGCGCTGAGTCATTCCGGCTGAGTCAGCGCATGGCACGGGACCAGCGTCATCGCCCTTTCCTCCAATCACAAGGCGGTCGGTGATGGCTTGGAAGAAGTTGTCAACAGCGATTTTTTCGCGCATTCAACATAAGCCTCTGCTGTCGCAACTATAAGATAGCGACTTCTTTCGTTTTATCTAATATAATTTATACAAAGGTTTACGGCTTCTTAAGAAGCAAGCCACTACCAAGATGCCTATCAACCAGCCATCAAATCAGATCAAATTCACCAATGTATCAGTCGTCAGACTAAAAAAGGGTACGTCTACAGATCCCAGCTTTCTTCGCAATATCTTTCTATGATATACCTCATAAAAGCCGGGGCGATCGTACCTGAGCCCAAACCCATCAAGAAAGCAACCCAAGAAACTTCCAACCCACCCCGCAACCCCACTAACCTCACCCCAACAGGCAAAAAGCGCTTTGAACTCGCCTGCTACAAGAACAAACTCCTTGAATACCGCTCCGGTGCCGAAAAAGACCTCGACAATGTCCTCCAAGTCCCCACGATCTTCCTCTCCGTTTCCAAAGCCCAAACCGCCCCCTCAGCCGAATTAACAAAGGCCTTCGGCGCCGACACCCCGGCCGACGAGATCCGTCAAGAAATTCTACGAAAGGGCGAAGTGCAAGTTGGCGAACGCGAACGGAAAGAAATTATCGAGCGAGTGGAGAAGGAAGTGTTGGATATTGTATCGGGACGGCTCGTCGACCCTACGACAAAGCGGGTCTACACACCGGGAATGATCTCTAAAGCTTTGGACCAGCTGAGCTCGGCTAGTGGACAACAGCAGTCGCAGGGTCAGCCTGCTAATGGGGAGGCAAATGGGGGAGAGGTCGACCCGGCTCAGCCTCGGAAACCTCTGTGGACGGGTGTTACGGCCAATAAGTCAGCGAAGAGTCAAGCGCTTGATGCTATGAAGGCGCTTATTGCGTGGCAGCCTATTCCTGTGATGCGGGCGCGGATGCGTCTTCGTGTTACTTGTCCTGTGTCGCTGTTGAAGCAGAGTGTCAAGGGTGGTGCGGCTGCTGGTGGTGCTGGGGCTGGTGGTAAAGAGAAGGAGGCGCCGTCAAAGGGAGGCTCCAAGGGCAACAAGAAGGGCGGAAAGGGATCCAAGAAGTCGCGTCAGCAGGAATCGGATGACGAGGCTGGTGGATCTGATGCAGAGGCCGGGCCAGCCAAGGGCCCGAGCAATGTCAAGGACAAGATCCTGAGCTACATCGAGTCAATCGAGGCCCAGGAGGTCGTCGGCGGGGACGAGTGGGAGATCATTGGCTTCGCAGAGCCAGGGGCTTTTAAGGGTTTGAATGAATTCGTGGGCAACGAGACACGGGGCCGAGGACGTGTGGAGGTCCTGGACATGACGGTGACCCATGACGAGTAAGCCGACGACAGCCTTGCTTCCAGGGATCGGACGGATTCATGTACAGCCTGATATGATTGATGACTAGGAAGGATACCATAGATATGAACCAATGCAAGACCATTCCGGTGACAACCCAATAGTCAATGATTCATTGTCGTACACGACCAGGAACACGACCAGGAACATGACCTACTTATACGAGACGAGAATCTCATACCACCCGAAGTATTCAAAACCAACCCAGCACCTGCATATATCTCTCCCAATAAGCATAAGCATACAAGATCTCGCATCAGCTGAGCAATATCTTCATGGTTACCTACTACTTGGTAAGATTCACCTCGTCAGCAAGCGAGTAAGAAATGACCGACCCCTCGGCAGCTGAAAAGAAAAGCAACAATGCATGCATACCTACACAACAAAAGAAACTCCAATCACATACATACAACCTGTAATCATCATCGAAGAACGAGAATCAAACAACGAAACCTACTAAGTAAGAAAAAAAACCAGCTACTCCTAGATAGAACTAACGCCTCACCACACATTTTAAACAATTCTGGGCATATCACTCACCCCCCACCCAAACACCAAAATCACAAAAATATATAGTACTAGTAGCGGAGTATCTCCCATTCCACCACACCGTAACCCAACCCAACCCAACCCATACTTCTTAACCCTCACTCTAGTACTCCATAAAACACCCGTCTCTCTAATAATATAAGCAAACTATTCGCCAGAGTAAAATAAATGAAACAAACCAGAAACCCAAACTACCCCCCCCCTCCCCCCTCCACCAACCACACAAGCTTCGCACCTCCAACCAACCACGACCCCCAAACCAAGAAATTAACCTTTCAAGATCGGACCGAATGCACCCAGCTCCGTAGTGTATCTAGTCCGTACTCCGAGTCCAGAACCAGACCCAGAACCAGAACAAGAAACAGACCATGCGAGTAAGCTATTAATCCTAGTTTATCCGGCTAATGATTCTAGGATTGCCGATCAAACCAAGCCGCCCTGTCGGGTTTGGAGGGTCTTGGCGGGCTGGACAAAGGAGTACGTCATATTATCCATGTTGGATACGTAGTAGCATATTCTATATACGGAGTAGATAGTCTGGGGCTGGGCTTATCGATAGATTCTCGATAGTGGCTTGGTAAATGGGATTGGGATGTCAGTTGGAGGTGTGATGTTGGGGTGGCGGTGGGGGGAGCTGATTGCTGGCTGAATTGGGGAGTCAGCTTGCCACATTCTCTACTCTACATACACAGTGCAGTATATTGATATTATTTAATTGATTTCTTTAAAAAGTGCTACCTTACTCTAGATAGTACATTACAATTGGTACGTGGCCGGCGATTATCCTCGGTGCTAGTAGTAGGCACCCACTAGGCACCAGCACACGACGTGCAGGTTGATGGGTATACGCTCAAACGCAATGCACGAAGCAGAAAGCATAAAACAGACGCTTTTCGAACATCGCTCGTCTCATGCGTGGAAGGGCAGACACGGTCCAGAATATGCAATAACCCAGACGCCCCTCACGCCGGCTTGCATACGTGGACTGCGTCAGTGGAGGGGAAACGGCTGCCTCGAACACGGCCGGGTATTCAAGGTCACCCTCTGCGACCCACCGAGGGGGGGGGGTCGAACAAGGTAAGATGCTCACACCTGGGTCGCATAGTGGATTTAAGGATTAGGGTAAAAGGGACGGAGGAGTCGAAAAGGACGGCATCGATAGGGTCGGTAGCCTATTGAGGCGTTGTCACGTGATGGAAGAAGCGAAGATCTTGCCGGAAGTCGGAAGCGAATTAGAAAGTACTATGAGCAGATCTGCACGGCGTTCAACGCCCGTGTCAAGTCTTCCGGTGAGAATGGCATGTAACACCCCTTGGGTGACAAGGGGGGCGGCGAAATGGCTCGTACGACCGGGGAAGTGTAACGGATCGTTTCCTTCAGCTGGGCGATCGTGTCGACCGGGTCGACGTCGGCATAGAGCGTCATCATCGATTCGCTGTAGCTTTCGGGCTCCACGGCCGTTGATGACGACGAACCACTGTCTCCCTGTCGGCCGCAGGCGTATTCGTCGGGGTGAACAGAGGGTGATGCTGGTGATTGGTCAGACGGTCGTTACACATTGTATGGTTATGATAGGTCAAGGCTGGACGATGTCCCAGAGGGCTGACGAGGAGAAGCATCCCACATACCAACTGTCACGTCTACTTCTGGTGCTGCTGTCGGGATCTGATCGGGGGCCAGGTCCTCCTCGTCTTCGTAATGAGATCGCAGATAGTCCGGTATCGACGCACATGGGGATAGACACAGGTCGGGAGTACGCGGCCGCTCTTCTTGAGCCTCGCCGAATGACCATGCTGCGAGTTTGCGTTGATGTTCTCGATCGAAAGGGCCCTTGAATTTGGACCGGGGGATTTCATGGCGTTTATAGTATTCGATCTTGATTCCATTGCCCTTGGATTTGGACGAGGACCCACTGCTGGACCGACGGAACACCTTCCGCACCTTTTCTCGGAAATTCATTCTGACTGGAGCACAAGGTTGGCGAAATAGAGGGGTGATACCGAAGCGTAGTGGACCAAAGCGGGATAAGCGTAGAAGTATGCGTTTAATGTCGACTCAGCACCTCAAGGTTGCATACCTTTCCCGGTGAGGGAGCGGACGCTAGGGAGGGTGTGCAAGCACAGACGACAATCGAGTGAGTACAAGACCCCTGGTATCATCGTTTGGCTGGACTAGGCGGGGAAGGAGAGTGGAGGGGAGTGGAGAGGGGAGGAAGGAAGAAGGAAGGAGGAAAAGAAGGAGGGAGGGAGAGAGAGAGGAAGAGGGGAGAGTGGTAGTAGTAATAATAGTGAAGCAAGTCAGAGAGGGAGGAGGAGAGATAGTATGTTCGGACTAAGACCAACAGTTAGTAGAACTAACTGGGGGGAGTAATCGGAATCAGAGTCCATACCTATGATCCAATGCGATGGGGCATTAATTACATTAATTACTCGTCGTCGAGACCAGGGGGGCAGCTGATTGGCCGTCAGTTCCATACCACCAGGCCGGGCTCCATCCACGGCGCGCACTTGGCCCAGAAGGCACTGGGACTTACCGGGACGTGACTTATCATCGCTCGTTCAACCTTACTTTTCCCCCCTGCACAGGCCAAGGCGACCCCACGGCCGAAATGGTCACTGGCGAGTGTGGTCTCTGGTAAGCCGCGATTGCCTTGCGGCCAAATCCGATGCGAGAATGAGAAACAACGCCGAACGTGGAGGATCCACCCGGGCCGGGGGGGGGATTGTGCGTGAATTTAGCAGGCTGGTTAGTTGCCCTTGGCCGGAACAGATGAGGAGAAGAGATAAGTTGGTAGTGTCCGGTTTATGTCACTGGGGAGGGGAATAAGATTATGCTGGATCATAAACTGCAACGCAACGTATGAAAGAAAAAGGGAAAGCCATTCGATTATTATTATTCCTGACCAGTCTGACAATCCCAGCCGAATAGTACGAGGGGGAGGGCTGGGATGTCATCACTTTTCATCATCGTCAACGCCCGCAGCCTGACATGACATTTTTCGTTTATTCATTTTGGATTTTTATCCCTCAATCATTCCGGGGCACCTGCAAACTCGGCGTCGCAGTGCCGAGTCCCGATGGTTCCCCAGCCAGGCTGACTAACCCCTTGATTCCTGCCCCTTCGGTGCCCTCTCCTTCCAATCAGGGCCGCCGGGGAGGTTCACCGTCGGGTTGCATCGCCCGAACAGGTACTACGGTGGTGGTGTCTACCATCCATCCACCGGTTGTCTCGACCATGGTTGTGCTGCTCCAACGCGATGCCTCCGCGGAGCAGTGGTCGGGACGAACCTCCTCCGGCCTTTGGGTTGCGACAGGGAAGGTCTGGTCTCTTGCGTCTGGATCCTCAGACTGTGCAGGCTGGCGGCGGCGACAGTCACACTCGTAAATGCAGCGGACTGGTATATTTGCCTCTGCTATCATCCACGCTGCAGATTCTGCATGACCGTGTGGCAATGGCAAACCGGTCATGTCCAGTCGAAGAGTAGAGAATTGAAGCAAGGCGGGTTGCTGTCGTGGTCCTGCACCGAACGCTTCCAGAACACGGCCAAGCGGTCCGATCTACGTGCCACCACCGACTCAACCATTCCAAGAAACCTCTGGGCATCTGCGCGACCGGATTTTCGCCGGGATGAGACCTTGCGGCCGACATCATCATTCGTCCTTGCGACGCCCTTGGCTGTCGAGTCGGCTGGGCAGATGACTGTCCCACGTCAGTCGCCGGAAAAGAACGGTGCCACTGGGAGGCGCTCCCCCATCATGGTGTAGGAATCGCGTAGGAAAGATGTGGTTTTGACTAATAAGATAATGGAGGAACTGAGAATGATAAGTGTGTGTGCGAATGATATCTCTGGGACGGCCATGGTTTCCGACTGCCCCGCCGGATGGCTTGGAGTCGCCTCCACTCGGCACGGTGCTTCCGGTGAAGCCCGCTTGCTGTGGTTCATGATGCAAATAATACCCCCTCTATTTTATCAAATTGGCCTGCTGGCCCAATGGTAAGGCGCTTGACTACGGATCAAGAGATTGCAGGTTCGAGTCCTGCGTAGGTCACTTTTTTTGTCCATGTTCGCTCTAAACTGCCACCAGTTGATCTCTCTTTTTGCCTAGCCAACATAGCAGATACATGCACCTCTCCACAAGGTGGATGTCATAACCACGCAGAGCCCAGGTAACTATGAGGAACTTTTAGGTTGCGTAAAATGCAAGGGCACAAAGGCCGCACGTTGTTGGGCCGTCAGCTTCGTGGCATCGTAACCACCTGGCTCCATCCATGATGTCATGGTAGTTTGAACCCCGGGTTTTGCCTCCCCAAGCCCCCATCATCCCAGTAAACTTCTTCGGGCATGTATACATACGTTCCGACAGTCGGAGTGCAGCGACTTCGGCCACCTGTCGCCAGCAAGGGATGCGGAGTACAGCCTCCGTGGCCAACTTGCGCGACCGTTTTAGGCCGTTCTAGCTCGAGCCACCAATATATACCAGACGGCTTGTTGGGGTTGTGTCATGGCCATTCCACGTGACCACATCGGTAGCCAGACCCCGTCGATAATGCTAATCAAGTGTGTAGGTTTCGAAGGACCTGGAGCGAGTGAAGAGCCAGATACCATGTAGATAAGAGGACCGGTATGTCGACCGGAATCGTTCCCAACATTCCTGGCCGGGTTTGGCCGATCCAGGACCCGGCATGCCTCATGATGCAATCGACCTCTCCGTCCCGATCGAACAGAGTCACATGGTACGTCGATGGAATCTCAGCTGTAAATCCCGGTGTATGGAGAACCGGCAGAGACTCACAGACACGGGCTCAGGTTCTCTCTGCACTGCTGACACTGCATTAGCTAGCAATCCGTCATAAAGACATTGTACGGGGTACCATTCGACCTGGTCGGCCAGGGCCTCGGATAAACAAAGGCCCCCGCTTGGCGGGATGGATCGCCTGCCATCTTCAGGATTAGTCGACTTAATGCGGCCTGTTAAGAGTTAAGGCGCAAGCCCAATCTGCAGGTACAGGCCCGAATCACCGGAATCAGGGGGATGTGCGCCAACCCAACCGCTCGACTGAAGGGTGGCCGCTTCGTAACTACCCATCCCTGTAGAAGCCGCAAGCAGCTGGCTGAGCTGGGTTCGGTCTGATGCAGAATAGCAACAACACCATGGGCGTTGTCGGTGGCTATGGCTGAGCGCAGTGTTTTGCAGGAGACGAGAGTGCCGTGTAGGACGTCAATCCACGTTCATTGTGCCCCTGTCGATAATAACCATCCGTGACCCTCAACTACGAGCCATCCCAGTATCCCACCCATATTTGGATCCGCGGTCCTGGAGCCCCTTCCAATTAACTCCCCTTGACCCCATGTGACCGCGGCGTGACCATTGCCCTGCTTTGGAATTCCCCGCTCGCACCAGCGTCCATTGTTCCTCCTCAAGCCTCAAACCTCAAGCTTCAAGCTTCAACCTCTGCCATCTACACTACAAGTCTACGACGCATTGACTGTGCGGTTGAGACCGTTGCAAGCTGTTGGGCGATCCCGCGTGGCCCGAATTGCGCCGGATTAACGTTCCCCGAATCGATTAGGCACAGGGCAACATACCAGAGCAGCCCGCCCCTAACTTCCCACTTCACCTGCCCGGTCTTCTTCATCCCCATTCTCCAAATCGCACGATCTTGTCGGTTCGCATCCACGATCCGAGTCCATTCCGTCCGCACAGACCGTAAGTCTCGCCCTTGGCGGCTGCATCGAGTCGTTGTCGTCATCGCCAGGGTCTAACAATTTCGCAGTTGAATAGGTTGTTCGCCCACAATGCCCAAGAAAGGAGGAAAGAGTAAGAATAAGGGTAAGAAGAGCGGCGGTGGTGCTGCCGCTGCCGCGAAGAAGCCTGCCGATGCCCCCAACAATGTGTGAGTGGCCCCTCAGTTGCACAGAAAATTGGAATTGTGCGGCTGCTGCCTTGTCGCATCTGTGTTTCGCACACTGACAGTTGTTCGTTTAAACAGCGCACCCGCCAACGAGGTTGAGGAAACCATCACCAAGAGCGACGGCGAACCCGAAACTGTTACAAACGAATCAGGCGTCGCAGTGACTACAGTGCCCGAGACCATCGTCCCCGTAACGGCCTCCAAGAGCGAGAGCGATGTTGAGGCCGTTGCTGAAGATGATGCTGGCGTGACTGCACCCGAGGTCGTCATTCCCGAACCCATCACCAAGAACGACAGCGAAGTCATCGCCGCCGAAGCCACCGAAGCCAACGCGACTGCACCCGAGACTGTCGTCCCTGAAACTGTTCCCAAGAGCGAGACTGAAGCCGTCGCCGTTGAAGCCGCTGATGCTGGTGTGACGGAACCCGAGACTGCCGTTCCCGAAACCATCACCAAGAGCGACAGCGAAGTCATCGCCACCGAAGCCACCGAAGCCACCGAAGCCAACGCGACTGCACCCGAGACTGTCGTCCCTGAAACTGTTCCCAAGAGCGAGACTGAAGCCGTCGCCGTTGAAGCCGCTGATGCTGGTGTGACGGAACCCGAGACTGCCGTTCCCGAAATCATCACCAAGAGCGAAACCGAAGCTGTTCCTGAAACAGACGCTGCAGTTGCTGCGACACCCGAGACGCCTGCTTTCAACATTACAACCGAGATTCCCTCGGCCGCCCTTCCGATCAATTTTACCGAGGCGGCCTCGAACGCGGTCAACACCTCATTCCCCAAGGTGGATGAGAGCGTCGTAGAAGATGTTGCGCAGAAGGCCCCGATCACCCAGGATGAAAAGGTGGAAGAGGGAACGAGTAAGTCGAACTCAATAGCCGCGCATGTGGAATCCAATGATCACCGGCTAACCCCTACTTCCCAACAGCTGTATTGCCTTCCCCCAACGAGGTGGCGGCCACCTCTCTGCCGGTCAAGGACAGCGCCTTTGAGACTCACACCGATGCCCACGTGAAGCGACCATACGAAAGCAGCCTCTTCACGAAGGAGGAGAATCACAAGCCCCACAAGATGCCCAAGATGGAAGACGAACAGGCCCCTGCCATTGAGAAGGATGCAACTGCCGACAAGGTTGAGGTTCCCAGTGGTACAACTGTGCAGCCTCAGGTAGTTCCGGGACTTGGTGCTGATGCCTCGGATGAAGTGACCAAGGACTTGGAGGTCCCCGGGCTTGCTTCGGCGGACAATGACGCCAACAAGGTCGCTGGAGCTACATCCAGCACCGCACCTCAGTCTACCGAGGCTGCGACCGAAAAGGTCGTTGAAGTTCCGTCCACCACAAGAGAGGCCAAAGCGGCTGAGACCAGCGCTGCCGACACGACTGCTGCCGCCCCGGAGGAGGTTTCCGCGAAGCCTCAGACTGCCGAGGCCATCGCTCCCTCAGGAGCACTCACCTCTGACGTAGCCGAAAGCACCAGTGATGTCAAGCAGACGACTGATGAGGTGACACAGGCGGAGTCAGCAACGGCCACTAAGGCCCCAACCGCAGCCGCAGACAGCAAGCCCGTCGCTGTTGTTCCCACCAGCCTTACGAGCCCCTCTGCGACCGACAAGGATGCAAACAAGACTGTGGAGAAGTCCGCTGTCAACCCCGCCTCTGAGGTGGAACAGCCCGTGAAGGCTACGGAAGACAAGCTGCAGCCGGCGAAGGAGCAAGCGCCGGAAAAGCGCCAGAGCGTTGTTCCTTCCACGATCACGGACACCAAGCCCCAGGAGACTGAGCCCCAAGCGACTCCAGCCGTTTCGGAGGCACCCAAAGAGGAAGGTGCTGCAGTCAAGAAAGCCGAGGAGGCTAAGCCTTCAGAGACCAAGCCCTCGGAGCCCCAATCGGAGGGTCCTTCTGTTGCTAGGACTGCTGAAGAGAGCAAACCCGAGGCCGCTCAAGCTGGACAACAGGCCGCAAAGCCCGAAGAGGGCAAGACTGCCGTTGAGCAGGCCAAGGATACTGCCAAGGGCGAGGCCAACAAGGCTCAGGAGACCGCGAAGTCCGAAGTGAGCAGCAAGGCCGAGAAACGCAAGAGCGGCCTCTTCGCCTGGATCAAGCGTAAGGTCAAGGGCGACAAGAACTAAGCGTTGCCCTGTTTCTGTGGCCTCTTCCTACCGGATGGGTTTCCGTCCGGATCGATCTTTTGGCTTTTTTTGGTGGATGGATGCCGACCAAGAAGCCCGTATTGCTGATACCCCAACACGAATGGTTGCATGGAGTGACGGATATAAAAAAAAGCAAAAGCCTTAAAAAAACACTAAGGGAAAACCCGCAACCTAGGCAGAAATATACCAGAGATAACGCCCCTGTATGATGATGGATGGCGGGTGTACGATATGAATGGACGGGACGGGATACCACACGGATTGGGCTGGGCTTTCTGACTGGGATGTTTGTAAAGCATTTGTGTTTCGTACGGATGTATGGTTCATGTTGATGTTCATGTCCAGGGCCGAGAATGGGACGCTGTATGTACTGGTTTAATGGTAATGGAGGGGAAATGCGACGATTCTGATTGTTTTTGTTTTCTGGCTTTTTCCGGGGTCTACCGGTGTCTACCGAGAGGTTGCGTGTTGTAGTTATCTATTCTACGAGATAGTGACAGGTGATGGGTGACAGGTGACAACTGACAACTGACAACCGACAATTGACAACGGAGGTGTTCGCTAGTAGATACTAGATAGAGAGAGAGATACCTAGAAGACCTCCTAACTCGATGATGATTAGTTCCAGGCCAACACATCGTTGCAGTTGACCGCCATTTCCGCCGAAAGGGAAGAGGGGATCGGGATCGGGAAGGCTTTGTCCGGGTCGTTTTGGGTTAGCCGTTAATACCGTCAGTCTGTAGGCTACTTACATAGTACTTCCTGTACACTGTACAGGATACAGTGTCTGACTTTAGTGTACGTGATGGCGGTTGAGGACCCCTCCATCCCAATAGCTCCGCTTCTAGTCTTCTGCCTACTGCTTCCACAACCACAACTATTCCCTTCGACGTTCTTCTCCCCCCACTCGACTATTCCCCTAATTGACCGTCTCGAGTCCTCGACTCCATTACCGGATTCCAGGAAAGGGGATCAAGATCGGCTAGCAGCCCATGATATCACTCGCTTGGCCGATCCCTCCGTCACCCCTCCACTTGCCGCCCCACGATGAGGGAATTCGCGTCTCCCCTTCGTCCTCGTTTTCCCCTCTTTCGGACCTGCTGGTGAATCAGGATCCATCCGGTCTCCATTTCCATCGTGGCTGAGACAATTTCCACCGGCTGTCGACCGATCCAGGCCAAGCTTTCCTTAAGCTTTTAGCGCTGTGTCCCTGGACGTGGCCTGCTGATTCGCCCACCCGTCCAAACGAGGAGGGGGCCCCCTCTACCCACTCGTCCTCTGTCCCTCGCGATGGGCGTCTAGGAATTAGGACAGTGTCTGAGCTGTTGGAAAGGGGGCGTCATGAGTGGCTGCCACGCCCCCTGGAGCTGAGGAGAACAGCCACTCGTGGGCGGTTGTCTCCTCCCGTGTTGCCTGAGCTGACGGATGATGCGGCAGACCAGGGCAGGGGAGGGGGAGAATACCGAGCTAACTGGCCTGAGGGCTGGCTGATTCTCGTGGGACGAGCTGGCCCCTCCATTTATTACTTCACTGCTCCCTCCCCCTTTCTGCTGTTGTTCTTTCTTCATCTTTCCTTCTCTCCCTCAATTCACTCACCTGCACACTCACTCGACACAATGGTTCATCTTGCCAAGGTTAAGCGCGACAGCGAGATCGACAAGACCATCGAACGGGTCGACTCGATCAAGCTGGACTCCACTGAGGAGGATGGCTTCTACTCCAGCGTCTACGGCACTCGCTTCGCTACGGAGCAGCTGCCTTCGACCGAGATGCCGGAGCGTGAGATGCCCCGGGAGGTGGCCTACCGTATGATCAAGGATGAGCTCAGTCTGGATGGTAACCCCATGCTCAAGTAAGTACCGGATCGTGAGAATGGGGGATTGCGCTAATTGTTGGATAGCCTTGCGAGTTTCGTGACGACCTACATGGTATGTTTCCATCCGATGTTCATACGTTTGGCAAAACGCTAATTTCAGTAGGAAGAGGAAGTTGAGAAGCTCATGACCGAGTCGTTCAGCAAGAACTTCATCGACTACGAAGAATACCCCCAGTCCGCCGAGATCCAGAACCGCTGTGTGAACATGATTGCCCGTCTGTTCAACGCCCCCACCGACAGTGAGGATGAGCACCCCATGGGTACCTCCACCATCGGTTCTTCCGAGGCCATCATGCTGGGCACCTTGGCCATGAAGAGACGTTGGCAGAACAAGCGCAAGGCAGAGGGTAAGGACTACTCCCGGCCGAACATTGTCATGAACAGTGCCGTCCAGGTGTGCTGGGAGAAGGCCGCCCGCTACTTCGACGTGGAGGAGCGGTACGTGTTCTGTACGGAAGACCGCTACGTCATCGACCCCCAGCAGGCGGTGGACCTGGTGGATGAGAACACCATCGGTATCTGCGCCATTCTGGGCACCACCTACACGGGTGAGTACGAGGACGTCAAGGCCATCAACGATCTCCTGATCGAGCGTGGCATTGACTGCCCCATCCACGTCGACGCTGCCAGTGGTGGTTTCGTCGCTCCTTTCGTCAACCCCAACCTGGAGTGGGACTTCCGTCTGGAGAAGGTGGTGTCGATCAACGTGTCCGGCCACAAGTACGGTCTGGTGTACCCCGGTGTCGGTTGGGTGGTGTGGCGCTCGCCCGAGTACCTGCCCAAGGAGCTGATCTTCAACATCAACTACCTGGGAGCCGAGCAGGCCAGCTTCACGCTGAACTTCTCCAAGGGCGCGTCCCAGGTCATTGGCCAGTACTACCAGATGATCCGACTGGGCAAGCGGGGCTACCGGTCGATCATGCTGAACATCACGCGCATTGCGGACTACCTGGCGGAGGAGCTGGAGAAGCAGGGCTTCATCATCATGAACCAGCGCCGTGGCAAGGGACTGCCGCTGGTGGCGTTCCGGCTGCCGGCCGAGCGCGACACGCAGTTTGACGAATTTGCGATTGCGCACCAGCTGCGCGAGCGCGGGTGGATCGTGCCCGCATACACGATGGCTCCCAACAGCAACTCGTTGAAGCTGATGCGGGTGGTGGTTCGTGAGGACTTCACCAAGAGCCGGTGCGACGCGCTGCTGGCGGACATCAAGCTGGCGCTGAAGACGCTTGGCGACATGGACAAGAGCATGCTGGAGCGGTACACCAAGTAAGTTTGGAGTCTAGTGTCTCGGAAGGAGAGCGAAGCTAACGGAAACAGGCACGTTCAGGAACACTCGACCAACTCGCACAAGGCTAAGCATGTGCACCACCACTACAAGAACGAGACCCATTCTTTGCAGGGCAAGCATGGCAAGACTCACGGTGTGTGTTAGAGTGTTAGTGGTAGCGTGTTAGGGATGAGATGGGAAGGCTGTACATGAAGGACATCGGATGCTACTGGTAGACATCTCCGCACATGAAATGAATATGAATCATTGAACTGCATAGTGGATCTGCTGGAACGACGAAGGATGGGGGTGGGATTGGGATGATTTGCCTGAACGCGCGACCGAGGGGCGTAGTTGCAACTAGACAGGCTAGACAGGGCCGTAGTGAGCAGAGCGTAAGCACCAGGCTTGCCGGGACACGGCAGAGCGCCAATGGGATGCGGCTGTCCCGCGGGTGGCCGCCCGGGCCCAATGGAGCCTTTCTTTATGTTGATGGCTTGTCTCGTCTCATCCATCCATCCATCCATCCATCGCCAACGCACTTCTCCTCTTCTTCTTCCCTTTCCTTTTCTTTTCCCTCCCCCTCCTCCTCCCCCCTCTCTTTCACCACCATCTCCATGCCCCTCTTCCGCCGCAAGCACAAGCCGTCTGCTGCCGCGTCTGCATTCCGATCCGTCGAGCACCTGCCAGCGGCCACCCCTGGCGTCTACCCCGACCCGGACGATCTCGACCGTCGTTTCTCCGTCTCCACCTCCCGCGAGCCTCTGCCTCCTCTGCCTGTCACCAACGCTGAAACAGCCCCTCCATCCAACACCACCACCTCGACTCCTACCACGACCCCTCTTCTCAACAGCAACAACAACAAAAGCAATACCAACCTCCCCCAGGTGCACCATCCTGCGCAGTACCCTCTTCGCCGCTCCAAGAGCCAGCGTCATACCAGCCCTCGAGGCAACAATAGCGACGATTCTCCGGTACTTGCAGCGCCCCCTGCACCCATACTCGATGCTGACCCTGCCCACCAGTCGTGGCCTCTACCAAACGAGCCACTGCAGCCCGTGGAGCCAGAACCTCGCAAATCCCGTCGCAGTCTCTTTTCTCTCCATTCGTCAGCCGCCGCTCGTGACCAGTCCATTCTCCCACGCAGCCGGTCGGTGAAGAAGATCACTGGTCGACCCAGTCCGAAACAACAGCGACCGTTGTCGATAGACACCACGTCGGAACATCGCCCAACCACGGCCTGGTCGAGGGAGCATGAACTAGACGCCCCGTGGCCTAAGGTTCCTCAGCCGCTCCGTCAAGCCCCACCGCAGCAGCAGCAGCCGCCGTCCCAGCTTCAGCCAGGAGCTCAGCCAGAGGCTCAGCCGGGAGTTCAGCCGGGAGCACAGCCTCAGCCCCAATCTCAAGCTCAGACGCCTATTCGGAGTGCTGTAGACGCTCCGTTTCAGCCCCAGACGCGGCCCCAATCCCAACCGCAGCCGCAGCCGCAGCCGCAGTCACGGTCTCAAGACCGATCACCGATGCCGCCGAGCACAGGACCAGCTCTCGACACCCGAGCCCCTCGTTCACCGCATCCTTCCATTCAACGAGCCAACACCGACAGCGGTCTGCTCGACCTTGTGCCCCGTCCGTCGCCGGTGGAGCCGCCCCGACCGCCCGCTGACCTGGCCCCAACACAGCCCCAATTGGACCCCACGGTCGGAGCTCGTCCCTCCTCCCGCCAATCCCTCGGGCCCCCGTCACCGTTACGCCCCCTCCCTATCCATCTCGACACCATGGCCAGTGGCATGCATGAACGTCCATTCGCGCCCACGGGACAGGCTCCTGCCCAGGGGCATGCTCCTTATGCTCCGGAAGCTGGCTTCCGGAACCCTGCTGGACCGCCCGCAGCGGAGCCGGGACGGAACACGCCGATTTCCCGCGACGGCCGGCGTGAACCTCGCGAGGAGACGAGCGAGATCGACGTGCGAGCGTTGGTCCAGAAGCATGACGAACTTCGTAAGTGAGCCGCTGTTGTGGAAGATGAAGACTAATCCAAGCAGAGGCCAAATACTCCAAGGTCAAGCGATACTATTTCGAAAAGGAGGCGCAGGTGCAGCATCTTCAGAATACAGTAGCTCACCAGCGTATGGCGGTGTCCCGCACTGTGTTGGATGACAACGAATATGCCAACCGGTTCGGTCGCCTGGACGGGGCGATCAAAGACCTGGCGTTTGCCATTCGCAGGGACTGGGCGACGCTGCCGTCGTGGCTCAGCGGGTACGTCAATGACGACGCTCATACCACGGGCACCAAGGAGATGACAGCGATCGGTCGAGCGGTGATGAGCCGGTGGCTGGTGGAGGAGCTGTTCGAGCGGTACTTTCACCCGGCGCTGGAGCCCACGTTCAGCCGGCAACTCAAGAGCATCGAGATGAATCTGCGCCGGCAGCAGGTCAAACCGAGCACGGAGGAAGACAAGGAGAATGCGATCGCGCGGATCTCCAATTGGCGGCGCACCACGCTGGACGGGCTCACGAACCTGCAGGGTCCGCAGGCGGACGAGTACCGGGCGCAGCTCATCGACCAGCTGATTAGCAGCCTGGTAGCCACGTTGGTGGCGCACCTGCGCGAGCCGCCACCGGGGGGGCTGGACAACGGGGCGCGGATGATCGTGGAGAACGCGGTGGGTATTGCAGAGAAGATCCCTCTGGAGTCGCGCGACGTGTGCGTGGAGTATATACCTCCGGGGACGGTGGTCCAAGAAGGGACGATGAAGGTCGAGACGGGACTGCCGCCACTGACCCATGTACGGGCGGAATCGAGCGGGTCCGTCGAGTTGGACCGGGAGGGAGCAGCCGAAGAGAATGACGAGGGGGCCGAGTCGGGTCCGCCGCAGCGGGAGCAGCGCATGCGATCGGTGTTCAGCTCGCTAATGGGACGCCGACCAGGACCGTCGGCGCCAGCAGGAGAGCCACGGGTGATGGAGGAGCGCGAGCGTGGACCGGGACGAATCCGATTTGCATCATTCGTGACGGCAGAGGTGAGAGGACGGGGACCGATGAATGTGCTGGTGAAGGCGCCTGTATATATGGTGGAGTGAGCAGGGAGCAGCAAGCGAAGCAGCAAGCGAAGCAGCAAGCAAAGCAGCAAGCAAGCAGCAAGCATATGATTGTAAATGTAGGATGAGCCGATTATCTAGTAAGTGAAATCGTTATACATAAAATGCAGAGAGATAACTTGACCATGATGTTGACATTAATATTAATAACCTATCCCATAACCGTAACCCATAGCCCTTGATCCACTTTTCTATAATATAGTGTAGTAGTATATCTATCAATATGCCAGCATATACACCCCCATCCCCAGATGCATGCTCGCATGCATCATCCCATCCCATCCATCCCTCATCCTATGCATTTGTGTCCGGCACACTAGTACATATAACAACCAACCAACCAACCAACCAAACCAAACCAAACCAAACCAAACCAATTGTGTCCTGCACATCACATCACACCCAAACCCCCATTTCCATCATGATGACGAAGAACCCCCTCCCCCTCCCCCGACGCAAGAGAAGATCGATAAACCGCACACCCCACAACCTCCAAAAGCCATCGTTCGCGATACGCAATGGCCTTTTTCCCAAACAACTCCAGATATTCATTCATTTTGGAAAGGAGGATTTCTTGTTTGCCGTATGTGAGGAAGTCGGTTGGGGTTAGGATTATTTCTATCCTTTCCTCATCCTCGGGGGTTTCCTGGACGTGGTTGGGTTTTTCTGTTGTGGATGTGGTGGTTGGTGTAGGGGGAGATGGTATGTCAAGGACGTCTTCCACGCCAGCAGGAAGGGTATCGTTGATCCAGACGCAAAAGTTCTCGAACATGCCGTTGCGGGTGATGAAGGTTAGGGTTGAGTAGAGATTTGTGGGGGTGAGGATTGTTCGGGGAGGAGGTGGAGGGGGTTAGGGGTTGGGGTAGGGGTAGGGTAAGGGGGGAGGTGAGGGTGCGGAGGATGTGGGTTGTTGTTGCGAGGTCGGTGATGAGGTCTGTTTTTTCGGGGATGTCTTCGTAGGGGGTTGTTGTTGTTGTGGTTGTGTTGGTAGTTGTTGGGGGTGGGGAATGTACGGTATCTGTATCTGCATCTGTATCTGTATTTGTGTTTGTTGTTGTTGTTGTTTCTGGGGAGTGGGTTGTAGTGGTGGTGGCAGTGGTAGGAGCAAGTAAAGGGCGATCATAACCCAATCTCACTCTCCAGAACCAATTACAGGCGATCAAGCTGACAATACACGGGATGAGAACCACATAACCGTACCACATGGTAGCGGTGACGAGACTGGCCGCGCCGGCAACAATGCCATTGATTCCATTGACGATGGCGTGCCATTGTAGACCACGGAAGCGAAGCCGGAGATTATCTTTGAAGCAGGAGATGTCGAGTTCATCGTAATCATTGTTTACGTCGATCGGGTTGGAGGCCATGCATGCTTTGTAGTGACGTTGGAAACGGAGAACGAGGTACCCCGACCAGATGGAATTGACGACCCCGAACAAAGCAGCCAGGCCGTTGCCGATGTATCCGGAGAGGAGGTTACTGGCGCGGTAGACGTGGTGATTGGCGCCCCAGATGGCCATGAGGGTCCCGGTGCCGACGAGTAGCGCGCCGAAGCCCATGAGCGCGTCCATGAGGATGCGGTCGACGAGTTCGGTGCCGAGTTCTCGGAAGTTGACGCTGAGACGGGATTGAATGACGAGGGTGGTGTGGGAGGACGGGGAGGAAGCGAGGAGGTGTTGGAGGTGAAGGCGTTCCTGGCGGAGGAGTTGCACGTTCTGGTAGCTGAGGTAGAGGTCGCGGGCGGCGACGAGGGTGATGAGGAGGGCGACGGGGCCGCCGATGGCCATGAGGATCATGGCGTATCGGGGCACGGGGATTTGATTCCAGACATTGGCGGCGAAGTCGGCGGCGTTGGCGAGTTCGAGGAAGCCGACGCCGGCGAGGAGGGAATTGCGGAAGAGAGGTTGTTGGGTGAGATGGAGTCGGGGGCGGAGGCGGGAGCGGGTGAAGGGGTTGCAGGACCGGCGGTGGGAGCGGATGAAGGACACGGTGGTGTTACTAGGGGAGGTGTGCGAGGTGGAGGTGATGGTGAGGTCGCTCGACTCACGGAGGAGCTTAGGGATGGGCGAGGGAGGAGACATGGTGGTGGTGGGAATGAATGGGGAATTGGGCCACCATGGGGGAAAACATGGGGTGAGGAGGAAAAGAGGAGGAAAAGAGAAAGAAGGGGGAAAAGACACAAAAACGAGTGGCCGGAGAGAGTCATTATATTTGGCCGCATTGGGACGGGCCGTGGGGCCAGTCGCCCTGTAGGGCTGAGCCGATCTGCCGTGGTTGGCCTATTTTTGGGGGCCTCTCTTGGCCTTACGTGGCCTGCTGCAATGCTTCATTCTCTTTATAATACACTGCCTATCTACTCAGTCACTCGCACCATCGATGCCTGGATGTATCCAGGCACCACTTCATACTCGTGCACCATCCGGAACCCATACCGCTCATACAGCCTCCGCCCTTGCGGTGTCGACGACAGGAACGTGTCAACCCCAGCCGCGTCTGCCCGCTCCAACCCCCAACGCAGCAGCCGTGATCCGATGCCCTTTCCGTTGAACTCGGGCCGGGTGCCGAGCAAATCGAGATCTCACCAATCAGCTAGGTCCAAGGTGAAGGAAGACTAACTTACAGAAATATTCTTTCTCCCCCATGATGCGGGTTCGTTCGCTATCCATCCCTTGGAAGAATTGTTCGCAGAGATCTGCATCCGAGCTTGGGGGCCAGGCGGTCTTATGTTTATCCTCCGGAGTCGGAGGGACGGGAAACCTCCACTTGGCAAACGCAGCAATCGCCCCGTCGGCCGCAGTCACTTTTAAAAATGCACTGCTTGGGTTGGCCGCACATGACTGTTCGATGTCCCGTCGGAACTGGTCCACCCACCATCTCCGCACATCCTCCGTGAGGGGGAACATGCGTCGGTTGAAGGGATCAGAAAAGGAGTGCAAGAACACATCGGCAATGGCGGGGCTGTCGCTAGGGGAAGCGGGGAGGAGGTGTAGGTCGTGATGCCTGGATGCGGGGGTTGGTTTGGGTGGTGAGGGGGAGCTGATCAGGCGGGTTTGCAGGATGCGTGCCTTAGGGATGGTGGGACGGAGGGGCATGATAACTGATGACTGTGACTGATGATTGGTGTACTAGTAGATAGTTGAGATAGTAGGCTAGCGAGACTAGCATATATATAGTCAGGGGGTTTTGCCACAATTTCTTACGAGGAAATTTGCCTTGGGATATCACGTGGTGGCTGGAACCATTCCGAGGTGGTTCCGAGGCTGTTCGGAGGCTGTTCGTGTTACGTATTTGGCTATACGATCCTGGTGGTGTGTCTGGAATCTTTTCATTTGGAGCAGATGTTCTTTATAGAGTAAATGTTTTAATGCAGAGAAAATCTTCATACGGAGTAAATGGCCTTGAATTGTGGGATGCCTGCTGATCATCAGCCTAGCTCAAGCTAGACAAATAGTCGTCGATAGTACTCTTCCAGTCGAGAAAAGCAAACACGGCAGCAACACTTATCCATTCATCTGGCAAACTCCGTGAATCGGTTCCCGCGGCCTCCGATGGGATCCTGCAGCCTAGCCATAGGGCTGACCATGGCCCATTCGCGGTCCGCCGAGGCAATCCCCTAAGCTTTTGCAACCGCCCTCCGAGCCTATCACCGGCTTTTCTCCCGCCCGTGCCCCACTTGGGCGACAAGCTTTTCCCTGGAAGCCCTCCAGGGTCCAGAGTCGTACGGTGATGCATCACCAGGCAGCCATATTCTGCGTGGCTACGAATACGAGCCTGACCGTCTGAACGGGAACAAAGACGTTATAATAGGAACAGGCAAGATGCTAATAGCCATTGGCGGAGTAGCCGCCAACAGTTGGCCTGACTTGGATAATGAGTCATTGGCCAACTCATTGGCCAACTCCTGGTCGTAGAGTTGGTTTCAAGGAAACTTCCTAATGTCAAGACTGGCTCGACCAGGACTTCCGATTCCGATGTAAATTACCAGGCTGGCCCCACCGGCCAGGGTTTCATGAAGATCCAACCCTTTCGGACACTTCTGCAGGCATTGTTGCAGCGCTGACGGCATTCCGAGCACAATGAGCGGTTAATGCTGTTGATGGCAGCCTAGCCGTCTCCTTTTCTTCTCGTCGGTCTTGTTATCCTGACAATTGCATCTACAGTTCGTATCCAGAGCCACCATCCTAACAGCAGACAGACGGTAACATGCTATGTAACCCTCTCGACATGAACTCGGAGAAACCATCCAAGACTTCTCGGAAGCAGAAGCCTCTCAAGGCTGAGCCCAAGATTCTGCTTGCCGACACCATCGGCCAGACGCTATACGAGCGGCTGCTCCAAGCCCGCCTCGACTGCGCTGCCTCGTCAGTTCACCACCAGCTCGCCCCATGGCCCTCATCTATTCCCTCCAACACCAGCATCAGCGCCAGCAGCAGCAGAACTACTCTTTCTCCAACAATTTCCACCTCCGACATCAAAAGCCTCGTTTCCAGCCGCACCAGCCATGATTCCATTCCAAAGCCCCCTCCATGCCACCTTCTCTTCCCAACCGCATCATCACTCTCTCCGGGCCCAACACCACTCCCACCACCCTCTCAAGCATCGCCCATCTAGCAGCCTTGCACAGCCAAGTGTCGCACATGGGCCTGCTAGACCCGAGCTACTCCATCTTTCTCAACACCACCCATACCGCGGCGCTGTGCTTCAAAGTCCTCCACAAAACCGCCATCATCTCGGGCGACCCCATCAGCCATGCCACCGACATCACCTCCCTTCTGTCCGAATTCCAAACCTACCGCAAAGCCCACCACCTAGGCATCGCCTTTCTCGGCGCCAGCCCTATCCTCACGCACTATGCCCACACCCACCACCAACACTGGACCATGCTACACTTTGGCAAAGAGCGCGTCCTCAACCCCACCACCAACGCCATCCTGCACGAACAAACGGGGAAACGTATTCTTCTACAAACCAAACACCTCCTCAACCCAACAAAAGGCGGCCTCACCTTAGACATCTATGTCCCCACAGCCAACAAAGATAGTGACAAAGAAAGAGACAAAGAAAGAGACAAAGACAAAGACCTCGAACGCTCCCTCCAATCCATCTACAATACCTGGCGTTCTACCCGAAACGCCTCCTCCACCCCACAAGCCTTCATCACCTCCTACGATCTCTTCCCCACCTTTCTCCCCTCCCAAATAACCTACATCTACGCCCGAAACCCGGTCGGAGAGCCCATCGCCTTTGCGGCCCTTCGTTATCTGGGCGGTAAAAAGGGGTATCACATTGATCCCTGCATTGCGGATCCTACTGCTCCAAAGGGCACAACTGACCTGTTACTCTTCTCCGCAATTGCATTGTGCAGGACAGCGGGGGTATCCTACCTAAGTATAGGTTACGAACCCTTCGATGACCTAGGCGAGGTAATCGGGCTCCCTGGCCCGTTGGAACGGGTAGCGCGTCGCATGTACCGATTCGCATTTGGACGGTTACCCTTGGCGGGGAAAAAGGCATACCATGATAAATGGAAGCCCGATGAGGGGTTAGAAGATCCTCTATATATAGTCTTCCCTGGGGGTGGGGTACCCGACGTTAGGGGCGTGGTTGCATTGATGCATGTTGCGAATGTGAAAATTAGGAGGGTGGTCTTAGGATAAAGATGATATGGACGGGGTGAGTAGAGAGACATTTACCATTCATCTAGGTTCTAATGCGTGGGTATGGTGTATAGGTCATCTTCATGTTTTGCATGTGTTTGATTCTCTGTTTATTTTGTCTCTATGTATAAGAACAACCGTTAATAGCATGGTAGGAGTGACATGGATTGAAATATAAAAAAGGATTTTACTTTACCCTACAGCATAGCATAAACCAGTATTGTACTTAATTCGCCATCAAGTAATAGGCGTCACATATACAAAAGAATGTCATTACCACGACGTCACCTACAGGCATCCACTCATGATACTCGTCGCTGCCTTGTGCCTGTCACCATCCGTCATTGCTAGTTTTCCTCCATCCCTCCACAAACCAACCTTACACTCCTTCCATCCCAGACAAACCCGCGATCCGATCGAACCCATCCAAGACACTTATCCTCACATCCGTCCTACCTTCTCAATATGTCAGCAACAATCCACTCCCACTTCGATACGGACGCGAGACTGACCAGCGAGGACCGGATCCCTCGGCACAGGAGGAGATCGTTCTACCCCGGAGAAGCTGGACAAGGAAAAAGGGGAGTGTGATTACATCAGAGGGGTTGATTTTACGGGAATTGATGATGGAGGTTTATACGAGGTTGGAGAGTGAGGGTGTGGATGTTGGGGAGGAGGTTGGGATTCGGTGGGTTATTTTATTTCACTTGGTGTTTGGGTTAGTTGCAGAGAGGTTAACGTTGAGAATACTAGGTTCCCTGACAATACGCCAACGGTGAAGTATGTGATTGGCGGGAAACGGTATGCTAGTCGGGCAGAGGGCGAGGTTACTGTTGGTCCTGGGGGTGGGAATGTGCCGATTTTGTCTTATACGGGGGTATGTATGACTGATTCTTGTTGTGGTATGGGTTATTTCTGATAAAGGTTAGTGGTTTCAAGGCCAGACGTGGAGGGAGTTGCTCGAGGAGAGTCTCAGTATTATGTTGGGTCAGTTGGCGATTAATATCAGGGTGCAGGCACATCTTCAGGATCAGGAGGTCTTTCTTCTGGGATACCATGGAGATCGTGTGCATATTGTTCGGGGGTATTTTTCCAAGGAGAGGATCGCTAGAGTGCTCGCGAAGGGGTTTTCGGATAAGGAAGTCTTCGAGTTGGGATTCAGCCGAGGTTGGGATCTCTGTCGGAAGGAGGATTGGCTGGAGGTTATGCGTGGGCTGACTAGGCTGCTTCGGTATTTGATGAGTGGTGAGGCTATGGTTGGTGCTTTGCAGGTTCTTTTGCAGGATGGTGCAGAGACTGATGTTTGACCAATGTCGGGTTGTGTATTGCCATACTTGGGTTGTAGCTTTAGTTTAATGATAGCTGATATGATTACTGGCTTGTATTGAAAGGCGTTGAGATTTATCTCTGATAGTAACGATATCTAGCAATCTAGTGGACGACATGTATCAGTTACATCAAGCAGAACCGAGATATCTGATTACGGCACAGTCTATCTCATGTGTTACAACCGGACTGAAAGCAGTACGAAGTATCTTGATAGTGATCCTCCACTGCAATTGATTGGCTGTCAGCTCTGCAGTGTCAACACCACCAACCAGCGATAACCAAAGCGGGGTCCGGATCAACAGGAAACCTCCTCACTGGCCATGCCACCCCAACCCTGCCACTGAGTTGGCACGGCAAATAAGCGGGGTAATCCATATGCCATTATCATCCCCATCATAAATTCTATACAGCACTCCATGCCAATAACAAAAACGTCATATCACCATGCCATAGCAAATACCAACCCAGCCAGCCCTATTGCCAATCAACCCACCACAAACCAACAATGTCAACCACCACCACCCAAACCACAACCACCACCCTAACCACCCCCCGCGTCCTCTCCGTCTCCAAATCCACCACACACTCCTCCCCCTCCAAAAACCCCGTCCCATTCATCACCCTCATCACCGACCTCGGCGTCGCAGGCGACTGCCACGCCGGCAAAACCATCCAACACTCCCCCCAGCAACAAACCAACCCCACCAGCACCAATCTCCGCCAAGTCCACCTCGTCCCGGTGGAAACCCTCCGCGAAGTATCCCAGAAACTCAGCCCAGCCCTTGCCCTCACTGCAGGACAGATCGGGGAGAATGTGACAACGGAGGGGATCGAGTTGGCGGGGTTGCCCCGCGGGACGGAATTGCGGTTTGGGAACGGCGGGGCGGTGATTGTTTTGACGGGGGTGAGGGAGCCTGGACCGGGATTGGATCGGGTGAGGGCTGGGTTGAGGGGGGAATTTTTGGGGATGGGTCGACGGTGGGCGGGCGTTATGGGGGTGGTTATGAGGGGGGGTGAAGTTAGGCCTGGGATGGGGATTACGTTGGTTAAACCGGGTGGGATGGAGACGTTGCCGGTGGTTTGAGCTTTTGCTTTTGCTTTTGCTGTTGGGCTGGGGTTGGGGTTGTGATAGGAGATGTTGTTTGGGAAACCCTAATTAGGTTCCAGGGTGTTTGGACTGGTGATGATGTAATTGACTCTATCACATATAACCATTCATAGTACGCAATTCAGTACATTCAATTCATCCAACTTGACCATTGTATCAGATCATCATGTCCCAACGCTACTACACTCTCGCAGAAGGTACTCAACCCATCCCTCCTCTCCTCCCCAGCTAACCATCCAGGATGTCCGTACGCGAGCAACTCCAGCTCGGTGCAGCTGCGCAGCGGCAATGCAGGCCTGCTATTGATGCAGGATACCCAACTCATTGAGACACTGGCGCATTTTGCCCGTGAACGGATTCCCGAACGGTATATCATATCACCCCCCTCACCTCAGTACACTCACTAATACCCGCAGGGTGGTCCACGCCAAAGCAGCCGGGTCAGTACCCCCATCTATCTATCCCACCATCCTGCTGACAACAGCAGTGCATACGGAGAATTCACCTGCACTCACGACTGTTCCGACATCACCTCAGCCAGCTTCCTCAGCGAAGTCGGCAAGACCACGCCTCTGCTATTGCGCGTTTCGACCGTGGGACCTGAGGCCGGCTCGGCCGATACCACGCGGGATGTGCACGGCTGGGCCATGAAGCTGTACACCGAGGAGGGCAACCTAGACTGGGTGTTTAACAATACCCCGGTGTTTTTTATTCGCGATCCGTTGAAGTTTCCGTCTCTGAATCGGTCGCATAAAAGACATCCGCAGACTCATTTGCCGGATCCGAATATGGTACCCATTCCTTCTCTTCTACGGTATAGATGCTAATAGCCACAGTTCTGGGAGTACGTCCACATACACCATAGTCAAAGACAAGGCAAGGTAGCTAACGACATAGTTTCCACGTCGGCAACCCCGAAGGCTTCCACCAACTCCTCCATCTCTTCAGCGATCGAGGCACGCCCGCCTCCCTCCGACATATGAATGCCTACAGCGGACACACCTACAAATTCACTCTCAAAGATGGATCCTTCAAATACGTCAAATTCCACATCAAAACCACCCAAGGCATCAAAAACCTCACCAAGGAGGAATCCGTCCGGATAGCTGGAGAGAACTCCGATTTCCTCATCCAGGATCTATTCGAGGCCATCGACCGCAAAGACTACTCCGAGTGGAACGTCTACGTGCAGGTGATGACACCCGAACAGGCCGAGACCTACCGATGGAACATCTTCGATATGACCAAGGTGTGGCCGCATAGTGATTTTCCATTACGGCAGATCGGGACGATGAAGTTGAATCGTAACGTATGTATTATACCATTACCAGAGTGTGTTGTTGATGATAAGTCCAGCCACGAAACTACTTCACCGACATCGAACAAGCCGCTTTTTCACCCTCGAATATGGTCCCTGGGATTGCTCCCTCCGCGGATCCAGGTAGATACTCCACACCCCCGCCTATTGCCTAATAGCATACTGATAAGAACAGTCCTCCAAGCCCGAATGTTCTCCTACCCCGACGCCGCCCGCTACCGCCTCGGAACCAACTACCAACAACTCCCCACCAACGCCGCCAAAGCCCCCGTGTACTGTCCGTACCAGCGTGACGGCCACATGAACTTCTCCGACAACTACGGGGCGGATCCCAACTACGTCGGATCAAGTCTTCAGCCCATCACCTATTACCAAGATGTGAAGGGCCAGGCCCCGCAGGCTGTGAGCACGCTAACCGAGCATGAGAAATGGGTGGGCCAGGTGAGTAATTTTCAGTATGGGCTGTACGAGGACGACTTTGAGCAGGCGGCGGGGTTGTGGAAGGTGATTGGGAAGGAATCGGGACATCAGGAGAGATTCTTTGGCAACGTGGCCGTGCATTTGAGTCAGGTGAAGTCCAATGGACTCCGAGAGGCGGTTTATGGTGAGTACATACCTTTGCTGTGGGGGTTGTGATTGGTGTGGTTGCTGATGGTTGGGCTTAGCGTTGTTTGGGCGTGTGGATAAGGGATTGGGGGAGGGGGTGAAAAAGGCGACGGAGGGGATAGTTGAGAAAAGGTGATGGAGAGAGTACTCCGTAGGAGTAGTTTGAAGACATTCTTGTTTTTGATGAAAAGCGATGTATATCACGATAAACAAACAGATTTGATGAATTTGGATAATTGTTTTGGAGAATTGGGTTTGGAAAGTCCGTACATTCCTGACCATGGCAGACAACCAGCCATTGGCAGTCATTTATCCTGCTTACTGTGTACGGGTTCGAAAGAATGCATTCATTACCATAATACGGATTTCCTCCGTATTGATTAGCATCTGTACTTCGGTCTAGACTATCCATTGACTTTGTTACCTACACGGTATTATCACATGCAACTCACACCATAGCAGTCAATGATACTAACCGCGTACAGACAATCTAGATAGATACCATTGAAATAATCCAAAAAACAACCCCAATAACAAGCCGGTATGCAGTATACCAGTAGTACTCCGTATCCCTACTAGGTATTGATCGGAAAACGGCGACACGTCAACCCCCATCCCAAATTAGTATCACTATCGCACCAATCAAACCCACTGTATTGGCCATCATATCGGACCCTGCAAAGACAAGGTTTTTAGCAGTTAGGTTTAGTGGGGCCCACCACCACCCACTACCTATCTTCTAGACCACCTAGGTAGATAGATACTTACTTAGGATAGGATTATTTACATCCACTTTTGCAAAACCACAACCAATAACCCACCTCCAAACAAAAACCCAATTCCCTAACAATTGGCTGGATCGGATCTCTCGGACCACCACCCCCTCCCGGTTATCTAGCACTAGCACTAGGTAGCAGTCATGAAGTCACCGTCACGCATGCATTCAGCTGAAATCCTAATTTGCATTCCACCTCCCCTGCCCCTCACTTCATTTCGTTTCGTTTCCTTTTCCGTAGATATTGAGTATATATCCCCACTCATCCATCCGAACATTCCTCCCTCCATCCCTTCATCCTAAATAGTAATCTACCTACCTACCAACACACCTATATCTACTTATACTTACACTCACCCCAGCTGGGTCCAACCCACCATGCCATCCACCACCACCACCACCACCACAAATAACAACATGACAACCATCACCGCCCAAATGGACACAACCAACCGTCCCGACGAATGGAAAATCGAACAGGGCATGGCAGGGCACAAACTGCCGATTCTGGATCAAACGGGACTAGACACCGTGCATATCTATCCGCCTGGTCCGACCAAGCGAGATAGAGACGATGAGGCGATTGCTTCGGTGGGGGATCGGGCGGAGTTGTTTAGGAGGGAGAGGGAGGGGTGGAAGGGGTATTCTCCCCCACCATATTCCTATTTCTTTGTTTGATTTGTTTGTTACTATCGGTGGGATAAAGCTAACAATGGTTATGATGATGATGGTAGATACGTGGAATGGGAAAAACACCCCGAGAAAAAAGCCGCCGCGCATAAAATCCTCACCTCTCAAACCTTCGATCCCTGTCCTGATTACATGTTCGGACCGATCCCCGACTCCAACCCCGTGTTGACCGGCGAAGACTTCAAACAATGGCATGCCGCGTTGGGCGGAGAACTCGCCTCCGTGGCGGATGATTCCTGGCGGACGGTGCTGCGCGAAAAACACCCCGACATGCTGCACTTGTTGCAGTTTCCGTATAACGGCGAGCCGCCGAAGCGGTTGGTTACCTCCAAGGTGGTGACTCCGAATCCATTGCATTTTGTAAGGAATCATGGAGGGATTCCGCTTATCGATAAGGAGAAGTGGGGTTTGTCGCTGGATGGATTGGTGAAGCATCCGAAGAGTTATACGTTGGAGGATTTGCAGGATGAGACAAGGTTCCCGAGGATTGAGAAAACGGCGACGATTCAGTGTTCTGGGACGAGGCGCATCGAGCAGATTAGTCTGTATGGTGGGCAGGGGGATGAGGTGCCGCAGGCGCCGTGGGCGGAGGGGGCGATTGGGACGGCGAGGTACGTGGGGATTAGTTTGAAGAAGGTGATTAAGGATTGTGGGGGGTTGGTTGCGCCCGCGAAGCATTTGGAGTTGTATGGGGCGGAGACGTATATTAAGGATTTGGAGGCGATGAATTATGTGGTGAGTGTGCCGTGGTCGAAGGTCAAGGCGAACGAGGTGATTTTGGCGTGGGAGATGAATGGCGAGCCGTTGCCGAAGATTCATGGGTATCCGTTGCGGGTGGTGGTGTTGGGGTATATCGGGGCGAGGAGTGTCAAGTGGTTGTATCGCATCAAGGCGATTGAGAATCCGTCGCGGGCGCCGGTGCAGAGTCGCGAGTATCTGTACTTCAATCAGCAGATTGGCAAGTACAATCAGAAGCCGACGGAGGGGATCCAGATCCAGGAGATGCCGGTGAGTTCGGCGATTATGTCGCCGTGGACGAAGCAGGTGATTGTGCATGAGGGGAAGATTCGATGCAAGGGCTGGGCGTATTCGGGGGGTGGACGGTGGCCGGAGCGAGTGGAGTTGTCGGCCGATGGAGGGTTCAGTTGGTATGCGGTGCCGCAGGAGAAGTTGTCCAAGAAGGGACGGTGGACGTGGCGGACGTGGGAGATGGAGTTGCCGTGTGATGTCGAGGGGTGGATTGAGATTGTGTGTCGGTGTTGGGATAATTCGCTCAACACGCAGCCGTTGAATGTTCGGGCCGCGTGGAATTGGGGTCTGCATGTCACTTCGTCGGCGCATCGCATCAGCGTTTACAGCGTCAACAAGAAACATCCCGCCACGCGTCAGCGCATTGAGAAGATGGAGCATTTGGGGATTCCGTTGGCGCCGTTGACCTTTTATCAGCCTGTTCCGGGGCAGACCGAGGAGGAGTATGAGCAGTTTTGGCGTGAGCATGATCCTAGGGATGTGGATGATTAGTTATACCTATCAGATTGTGATTGTTGTATTGAGTTATATTTTTCATGTCATGAATGATTGTTGCCATCAAGGCTAGGAGAGCTGGAAATAGTGACCTGCCATCTGATTTAATTGAGGAGAGAGACAATTGATACTGCAACCCGCTAACTGCCAGTTTTGATTGATGATTTGCACCACTGTAGTTCCCTGCTTTCATACCAGGGGAAATCCACGTTGGCACTCCTGTTTACCAAGAGCATGTAGTTAAAGACATCCTGTATAGCTAAAGAAATTGTTGGGACAGTCTTTTGTTCCGTCTGTTCGCCAGAGGCCAGCGGTTTGTCGTTTTGGTCTACTGGTATGAACCGTGACAGAAACCCGTAAAGCAGCTTCTAGAAGACCTAGACAAGCGCCTCTAAAGAGGCTAATCAAGCATTCTAGAGCACAGTACTTGATTCAAACTTTATGCTTGAATCTACGTAAAGATCTGGTTCAGACCTACGGTCTGAATACATGTTCTGAGGGGTCCTGGCCAACCACCTTCCCGAAGACTGAAGCGGTGAGTACTGGCAATATACAGTAAGTCACTTGATCTGTGGAAATGAGAACCAATCAGAGGCCAACTTAGAATCGCTCAGCGCTAGCGCGCTTCGCAAACAAACTGGCTCTTGTTGCAAGCATATCTATATCTAGAATATTCACGTACATAACTTGGTTTGAGACGCATGAGGAAGTTGCAGGGGCTCGAGCGGAGCCTTCATGGAGTTATTCGATAGGTATTAGCCGTGGTTTATGCCTTCGAGGGTGACACTTGGCTGACATTATGTCATGTATTGTCGAAGTAGGTACGTTACTGAGGCAGTCTCGGATGTAACTTTCGTCAAGATACACGTTTCCTCACGACTCCTGTTATAGTTATAACACGGTATTAGTCATGGTACCACCGGACGCGTATATAAACCGCTGAGATCCCTTTGCAACTTTTGTCTACCAGTGTGCAACACTCTCGTCCACACCTTCAGTCGCCATGGCTGATGCTGCACCAACCGCGTCTCTCTCCTCTCCCGAGGCAGCGCAATGGAACAAAGAGCTTATGCAAAGATTTCAAGTCGCACTGGAGAAAGATCCCACGGCTGATCTTATGTCGATGTTTCCCTCCTCGTATCTCCACAAACATCAAATCGCTCAGTACCGCCAGCAATCCTATGCCGGTCAAATCAATTCCCGGACGTTGAACGAACTACAAGATAGACTGGATCATGAACCAGAAGTCAATCTGCTATCTATATTCCCAAAGAACTACACTCGCAGGATCACAATGGCGACAGGTCCGAAAGTTGAGCCGTAACAAGACAAACCCGACAAGAAAGAGTCCCCTGGGTCCCGTGAACGCCTTGATCTCGCAGAGACTGCTTCCGTCGTCTTCCCTTTATCGGAGGAGGTGACTGCTCTGCTTGCACCGTATTCCGAAGACAGAACCGGAGACTCTGGGAAATCACTTCTTCACTCATTGAAACAAATCCTTTGCAATTCGCCCTCGCTCTGGGATGATTGCAGCCGACGGATCGTGGTCAAATGCAGCGATAATATTGTGGTCAAAGTCATCATGGGAACCAAGGAATTCACAGAGTATACGACCTTGCAATACCTTGCAGAGCATATGCCTGATATTCCTGCTCCAAGGCCCCATGGTGTGATATTGTTTGCTCCGTTCCGTGCTGTATTCATGTCATATATTCCCGGAACGACATTGACTCAAGCATGGCCTACTATGACCCACGATGAGAAGGTATCCATACAACACCAGCTGGATGAAATCCTCTGCCGAATGAGGCGTCTCCGACCACCTGATGGCAGCATGTTAGGAGGAGTCACCGGCGAAGGTGTCAAAGAGATGCGAATTTCTGAACGCTCCTTGTTCAAGAAAATCATGACAACAACAGAATTCAGCGACTTGCAATTTTCTGCTCGCCATCATGGTAGTAATACCTATGTCAAGTTCTTACGTTCTCTCTTAGAACATGACCGATCTACTTCGGAACAAGAACTGGTGTTCACCCATGGTGATATCAGGACTGACAATATCATAGTGACGCAGGGTACTGATGTAAACAGCGGCTACATCGTCTCTGGGATCATCGATTGGGAGAACAGCGGCTTCTATCCGGGATTTTACGAATGTACCACAGTGACCCGCACAATGAGTATGGTGGATGAAGATGAATGGTTTCTGTATTTGCCGGATAGCATCTCACCATCTCATTATCCTGTACGTTGGCTGGTGGATCGGCTTTGGGAGATTCATATCTGGACCACGTAGTGCATTTGTTTCTAATCAATGCGATCATTTCCGTACGCTATGCGATATTGCAAACTTCCATTATGCCGAGAGGAAAAACATAATCAACAGGACCTTGGAAAAAGACCCGTGATGAAACGAAATCAACGCACCCCGCCCCTTTTTCCTCCATTTTTCTTTCCTTTTCCTTCTTCCATTTCTTATTTCACAAGGTCCCAGCAAACCTATAAACCCTGGCACCTAGAATAATCCTTTCTGTTTACTCTTGACCAGTTCCTTTTTCTCCTTATAGTCCGGGTCGGTTCTATCAATGAGCCCGCATTCTTCCAATCGATCGAGAAGCTCGATATTATAATCCTGGCAGTTATAGCCGGCGTATTGATTCTTAACCTCCTGTTCTTCGGCAATCTTCTCAATTTCAGCTGTCTTAGAGACAGCCACCCGACACATCTTGATCATCTCCAAGACTTTTGCCGACTTGTGCGCATTCGAATATTTAGATTCGAACCTGAAGTGCTGGGGACGTCCCTCGATGTGGAGAAGCAATTTCTCCTCTTCCGTGGGACCGTCGATGAAGAGGCTCCAGTGGTTATATAGACCGTTATTTTGGTAGATGACGACGTAGATATCGGCAAGCGGAGACATTTTGAATCTTCGTGTAGAAGATGTTCTTCTGGGGTCAAGTAGGCTTTTCGCGGCAAGGTTGACGTGTCTGGTCTTTCAACTTTTGGTAAGATGAGGAGGTCGATGGACAGGTGGAATGGGAGGAACAACCCGCAAGAGAACGGCGGGATTTTGCAGGCTTGAGTAAAAAGACCCGAATTACTGCTCATCAGTTGGAAGGTGAAGTGAATGGCACAGTCATGATGATCGATGAATGAGGAATTGCTACCCCTCATCATCTGACATCCTTCGTCGCTGCTTCTTCATCTGAATATCATCCCATCCTTGAAAGCTCTTTCCCCCGAAACAGGCCTTCCCGTCCACCTGGTCGAGTTCTCTCAACTCAACCAAGATGTCCGCTTCATCCGCCTCCTATGGATGGATTTCAAACGAACCCTCCCAGTGTCTGGTCCTGTCTTTCAGCCACTTTCACAATCTCGCAAATGAAGGCTCCTTCCCCCGCATCAGACGCTCATCCACGCCCAACAAACCATCCAAACCGTCTACCACGTCGCCGGTCTCGTGGCATCCTTCCATCCCTGGTGCTCAAATGAAGGCAGCGGACTCACCACCCACATCCTAATCGACCAGTCAGATAACAACATCGACCCAATCCACGAAGAAACCTTCTGTGCAGGCATGCTAGAAAGCTTCGGAGCGATTTGTGCCTTTGCCTTGCCCGTGCCTGTGAGCTATATCCGCCTAAATCCTAACAAATCCAACTCCACTTCCTAGACAACTGAAAACCAAGACATCCCGATTCGAAAACTGGATCCGGGCCATTGGGAATGGAGATGGGTGGATAGTCTCTCGCATCCATTCTCGTTTCTGGCAAGTGTGCTCGCGGCTGGTGTGAGGGGAGTAAAGAAAAAGTGAAACTTGAGGCCTCCATATGTGAGCTCCTCCCTCCCTGTCAACTTGCTAGCGCATCGTATATATTAAACATTTTGTACAGATCGAGGCATATTATCCGAAGATCCTTCTTTTAGAGATAATAGTTGTGTGCCGACACGTACCCGTGAAGCGCACTCTATGTTAAATAATGATCTGGGCTTGGAGGGTTTCTTTGGACAAGAGCTTATACGGTATTACATTGACTTGATGAAAGAATATAGAATGTTCTTGAATCAGGTGGGGAAGTCAGGTTCGGATGCTCAGATTCAGTGGCTGACTGAGACGTTTTGATGTGGCTTCTTTTGAATCAAGCTTTCTTTCCATTATTTTTTTTCAAGATGAATACCAGTGTTGTGGGTATGTAACATGCACACACACACACACACACACACACACACACACAGAGAGAGAGAGAGAGAGAGAGAGAGAGCAACCACAAGACCAAAAGAAGCAAATAAACCATCCCATTTCTACAGAATCATACTCCACGTTCCCATATCTAGCAAATTTTAATCCAATATTCAGTTCCTCTAAGAAATCATCCCTATAGGTAAAATAAAGATACTACAGAATACCACTATAGTAAATCCAAAAGATCACATATTTCATATTAATTCCACCTCAACCATCCTACGAACATCATCATCTTACCACCTAAACGAAGATAAATAAATAGGGATCTACCTCCCCGATTCTCGAATCCCTTAACATACATCAATACAATAAATATAATCTTACTTCATCTCTACCACTTCATTCCCATCTGAATATTGAATGCAACATCTACCACACCACCAACAATACCCCCCTTCCATCCCCATCTTCACAAACCCCACCTCGGGAGAAATACCCTAATACGCCCCCACCCGCGACACGTACTCCTCCCCCCAAACCAGGGCGGGTTTCGCATACCCGCTTTGAATCACAGCATTAGCTTGGAGCCGTATACCAGCGAGTTGGAATGGTCGTGTATCCATGGACCAAATCGTTACCCCGAGGTAATTACTCCCGTTGTGATTGAGGATTCCTTCCGGGATGGGGAAGTGGGTTTGGGGGCCGATGTGGTTTACTTTTCTTTTTTTTTTTTTTTTCGTTAGATCTATTCGGGTTTTATAGAAGAGGAGGTGAGGTAGGGTAGTGTAGGGTATGCGAAAGGAAAGGAAACCAACGTACTATATTTCCCGAATTGCCATCCGTTTATGAAGATTTGGGCGCGGAATTGCGCGGGAGACACATCGCTTGTGTCGTTGGTGGTAGCGATAGTAGAAGTGTTGGTAAACACCACACTCAACGGAACATCATACCCCCCGGAAGCTGCACCTCGAACCGCGTAGCCCAGAATCCCACACCGGGGGTAGATATAACCTCATCAATAGGTGAGTGGACTGTCGTCCATTGATGCACCGGCGCCCCAGGGAGATGATATCCCATGCGCTCAACATACAACCCTCCCTCGTTCAACGGGCCCCTGGAATGATCAACGTATGCTTCGCCGCCTAGATTCCCAGTCATTTTCCACGCTATGGCATCCTTGCTCCGCCCGTGGAGAGTATAATCTAGTATACCGCGGGGATCTTTCATAATTGCTCCGTTAGCGGGGAAGTTCTCGTCGTTGCCCATGTGGTCGATTAGGATTGTGAGGGTGTAGGTTTTTCCCGGGTGGAGGGTGGGGAGGGAGATGGTTTGGTTGTGGAACATTTCGGATGGGGAGCCGGGCCAGGAGGTGAGGAACGTGGTGTTCAGCCAGATGGAGTGGCCGTAGGCGTAGCCGCCTTCGGTGAGGAGGTAGAGGGTGGATTCGGAGCCGTTGGCTGTAAAGGTACCCCGGTAGAGGAGGGAGCCCGTGTTGTAGCCGTAGTCGCTGGAGTAGAGGGAGGTGGGGGTGGTGAGGGGCGGGGTTGGGGGTGGAAGTGTGGTTGCAGGGGGTCCAGAGGGAGGAGTTGTAGGTGGGGTGGAGTTCGGGGAGGGAGGAGGTGAAGTGCCAGCGGAGGGAGGAGAGATGGGGGAGGGTGAATTGGGGTGGAGTGTAGGGGAGGGTTGCGTGGAGGCGGCCGTGGGGGTGGTTGTTGTTTGGAGGAGGTGGTTGTTGAAGAGGATGGTGGAGATGGATGGGGGGGCGGCGATGAGTTCGAGCTCGGTGGTGGCATTGAGGTCGCCGGTTAGGTTTAGGGTTGTTGTGTTGGTGATGGAGGCCGTGCGGAGGAGGTAGCCGGCTTGGATGATGACGGAGGTGTTGGTGCGGGAGGGGACGAGTGGCGGGAGATCGGGGGTGGGAGGGGGAGATCGAGCACCCAGTAGTTGTAGGCGGAGTTGCGCCATAGGAGGTGGATTTCGAGCTGGTCGGTGAAGTGGACGACGCGACGTGAGGGCTGGACGGTCCATTGGATGATTGTGGATGTGGATGTGGATGAGTTGATGAGAAGACCGTCTCCTTCGATGGCAGAGGGAACTAGGGTGCCAGGGACGGCGAATTCGTGGGTTTCTCCTTCGCCTCCGTACAGGATGAGGACGGATTTGTTGCCGGCTTTTTTCCAGGAAAATACTTCGGCGGTGGAGTAGATCAGGTTGATGCCTCCGATGTCGTAGTCGACGACGTGGATTTTGGAATCCCGGCCGTGGAGACTGAGGGATCCGCCGAGTTGGGGGATGGTGATGTTTCCGATGGAGGTGGGGAGCTGGAGACTGTATGAGACGGTGTTGTCGGTTGATAACTCGCCATGTCGTACGATGTAGAAGTTTGTAGTGTTGGTGTGCAGGCACGTGGTTGCCAGTGTGGTGCTATTTGTGTAGATCCCATAGGTGCCATTGTCCGGCTGCGATATCAAGTAGGCTGGGGATGCTTGCAAGAAGCCTGCCTGCAGCTTCAGCTCACTGTATTTCTCGCGAATGACTTGTCGATCTTCCATGATGGCAGCCCCCACGTCGTACGACGTGTATCCTCCGGGATGGCCGAGGTTGCCCCAGTTGGTGCCGCCGAAGATCTGGACTGTCAGCACTGATCGGTATGGAGAGGCTGACATACCATGTAGAGGTTCTGAATGGCCACCCGATAGCCGTAATTGAGCTTGTAAAACACGCGCTCAAATGCTGGTCCGATATATGCTGCAGATGTGTCCACGCCCACTCCTCCCCTACGACAGTTAGCGTGATCTCAGATGGAATAGGGATAGCAACCAAGCATCAGGCACTCCGCCTTGGAACTCGGAGATGGAGACCGGGGTGGTCGGACTCTGTTCCTCATGGACAGTGTAATTGTACCATTCGAGCGGGTTGTTCAGTGAGGACCAGCCCGACGCATTGCGAGCTGCTTTGTTAGCGACGAGCGATAAGAAAGGTCAAGACATACGCGCAGTACTCCACTGGAGGGGATAAAAGTCAAAACTGTAGATATCCACCGCTCCCACTCCAGTGCCCGGGGCAAAGTCGCCCAGTGGCTCGGCATCGTTGACGATCAGAGGGACAACAATTCCAGCCTGTCGGTATTGATCCTCCACATAAGCCATATACTCCTTTTCCAGGCACGAGTTGTTGCCAGCCGTGACGGTCTCGTTATTCATCTGCGTGTATCCGGTCTCTGTCATGCAGAGGGTGTATTCGTTCTCCGCTTGCACGAGAATGACCGGGCCTCCATTGGCGATCTGAGCGCGTGAGATGATCTCGCCCACGGCAGCAATATATGGAGTGATGGCATCTAGATACGGCGAATCGGTCCGTTTGAGGGGACCATCCACACGCTGCAGCCAGCCGGGGAACCCTCCTCCGGAGACTTCGGCATTGATGTAAGGGCCCGGGCGGGCAATCAAGTAGAGGCCCGCTTCTTGAGCAGCGTCGAAGAACTGCTCCAGGTTAAATACACCGTCGGTGCGAATGTGGCCGGGCTGTCCTTCGAGCAGGGCCCAGTCTACGTAGAAAGAGACGGCGGAGTAACCGATGGCGCGGACTTTTTGGAAGACATCTAGCCATAGACCAGGAGATGGGAGACGAAAGGGATGGAATTCACCCGAGAGGAGAAGAACGCGTTCTCCGTAGACGAAAAGGGACTTTTCATCCCAGGTGACGATGTCTTGGCCTAGGGTCGTGTTTTGGGTGACGCCGAGGACAGCCGAGGCCAGCCCCAGGAGAGAAGGGAGTGAGAAGCGCATGGCAATAGGTCTTTGGACCATTTCCCAGAGGATCAGGACAGTCACTTAGTTTTATGTGCAATCTGCAGGTATGACGCAGCAAGTGGACTCAACAATCGGGCAAAGTCCGGGGGATATTCAACCGAGGGAGAGAAGAGCGGGGAAGCCATCCAGATCATCATCATCTCACTGCATCCCCTCGACCACCAACCGAAAGACATCCCTGATGGCACCCCCGTCTTGATCCCAGCGAGCTCGGATACAATCCTCCAGATCGATCTCTCTTACCAGCAGACCATCACCGTCGCCATCCCCATCTTTTGAAGCGAGAATCTCTCCAAACGGGCTGACCATCCATGCCGACTCAACCCTACCTCCTCCCATCCCAATCACCGGTTTCTTCTCTTCCTTTCTCTTCGGACTCACCATCTCCTCATCTGCATGTCTCTCCAGCCAGACAATCTCATGCGGTCCTTCTGCTGTAATCGATCTTCTGATCCTCGGACTCACCACTCCATCCTTCTCATCCTGATCCCGGGGATGTACCTCCGGCCAAACAATCTCATGCGGTCCTTCCGCGGTAATAGACCTGGATCGTTTCTTCCAGTGCGCTTGCTGGGTATGCACAGCACCGAAACCGTCCCCAATACCCCCCTTGGACTCAATGACACCACCTTCAGTTCCAGCTCCAGAGCAATATACACTCCAAAGACCGACTCCAAAAACCCTCCCTTCAACAGCCACTGTCCTCACCAACGCCTCCCATATCTCTTTCTCGTGCGTTATATCTCCTCCACTTCCATTGCCAAAACCCCCAGCATCAACATCACTAAGCACACTGCCCCCAAAGACAAGATAAACTTCCGCTCCATCTTCATACAATCTCTCCCGAACCAACGGAACCCAATTCTCCGCTCCAATACCCACACTTATCCTCACCTCGATCCCATTCACCTTCGTAGTTAAAGGAGAAATATCACCTGGTTTCCCAGCTGAGAAGAACAATTTCTCAATCCCAGACTAGTATTCATTAACACATACCCTAAAGGAAAGATTTCAAGAATGGAATGGAATGGAATGGAATGGAATGTGAACATACCAATACACATCCCCTTCTTTTCCCCACGATCCCCGTATCAGGATGTATGAACAGCACGGTATAGAATAACCGTCCCCCGGCGCGTTCAACCACACCCACCATCAGAAAGATGTTTGTTTCGTGGGCGAGTCGTTCTAGAGATTCTTTGGTTTCATTACCAGGGCCGGATGGATTCTCTAATTCAATTGCTGAGTTGTAGAGTTTTAGGTATGTTTCTCTTAGTTTCTGAGTTGGGGTTGGATTTGGATTTGAGGATGAGGAGGAAGTATGAAGAGAAGGTGGTGGTATAGTCAAGTTTGGTATGACCAGGACATGTACACCTTTCGAGGCAACGAGATGGGTAGTTTGGGGGAGGGTTGATAATGAGGTGGGATTTGTGGTGATGCCTAGTTTCACGGTCTTTGGGATCATTTTGTGTTTTATATGATCAACAACTATCTTCAGTATTAGACAAGGTGTAGTACTTCTGTGCGGAATTTTCAAGTTCAAATAAATCAAGGATGAAAATGAGGCAGATAGATGCTGGTGAGGGGAGAGGGGAAATGAGGGGAAGGAAGGATAAGATGAGGTCAGGATGTAGGATCAACCCACGGTTCACATGGGCCGTGTGACACAACTGACGTGATCCCGAGTTTCTTTATCTGATTCTTATTCCTATTTTACTTTCTTTATTATTAATATTCATTCTTTCTTTTAATTCAAAGAAGAAATAAAGTACTCTGTATCTGTCTGTCTGTCTTATGATACAAAATGGCAGCGCTAGGCAATAACAACAGCAGCAGTAAATGCACCATGCGCCTCGCTAGATGATTAACATTTTATCGCCAAGTCAAGTAATTCATAGCAATTTCGTAATCTCACTTTCAATCTCACACGTGTGGTCGTTGGTTGGTTGGTTGGTTGAGTTAGACTTGCATGCCCTTGGCGTTGGCAACCTCCTGCAGCACGCGAGGCCAACGGGAGATCAGCTCGACGTCGTCCAACGCTCCCTTGCCCTGGTTGCGGACGTACTGCGCGCTCGGGTCCACTCGTGGCTCGTAGTCCCAGATCGATGGCGTGCCCTTGATCAGTGACGAGTAGACCAGTCGACGACGTCGCTGGGATCGCAGCACGTCTTCTCGGATCTGCACTAGGTTCCAGCGTGCGTGGACCTCCTCGGTAAAGAACGCCAGGAGCTGCGCTGGGTCGCTTGTCGCGGGTAGGGTAGAGGCCATTTTGGCTGGGCTGGGGGTACGTGGAGGAGACGGGAACGGGAACGACGAGGTGCGCTGCATCGGGGACACCCGGGGTGAGTCGTTGGGCGTCGGCAGCGGCGCTGGGTTCAGCTGTGTCGCGGTCACGGGTTTGACCGAGGCCAGCTGAGGTGTCTCTGTCAGTCCTGCCACCAGGTTGACCCGCTCCGCAGGGTCGGTTTCCAGATCGTACAGCATGGGCGGGTCGATCAGCGAGTACACGAACTTGTAGCGGCCGCGGCGGATCATCACTGTCGGCGACTGCGTGCCCTCGGCCATGTATTCGCCCAGCACGGTGTCCGTCTTGATGCCCTCTTCACCCGTCAGGTACGGCATCAGGGACACGCCGTCTAGAGGCAGCTCAGGGATCAAAGGGGCCCCGACCATTCCCGCAAACGTCGGCAGCAGATCCATGGTCGACACGTTCTCCGACACCCGCTTAGGGGCGAACCGCTTGGGCGCGTGCACGATGAATGGCACACGCGCCGAGTTCTCATACCACACCATCTTGTACCAGAGGCCGCGCTCGCCCAGCATGTCGCCGTGGTCGCCCGTGAAGACGATGATGGTGTCGTCGCGCACGCCACAGTTCTCGAGCACGCGCAGGAGCTTGCCCACGTTGGTGTCGACGTAGGTGCAGGCAGCGTAGTAGGCGCGGCGTGCAGCCTTGATGCGCTCCTCAGGCATCTCCTTACCCCAGAGGTCGATGCACTTGAGCACGCGCTGCGAGTGGGGATCCTGCTGGTCGTGAGGAATGGCTCCGTGCTTGGGGAGGGGAATGTCGACGTCCTCGTAGAGGTCCCAGAACTCCTTGGTCATGGCGTAGGGGTCGTGGGGGTGAGTCATAGAGACGGTCAGACAGAAAGGCTGGTCGTTGCGGTGGCGCACATGGTCGTAGAGATACTGAGTTGACTTGTAGATGACCTCCTCGTCAAAGTCAAGCTGGTTGGTGCGCACCACTGGTCCAGCCTCCATCACTGACGACATGTTGTGGTACCAGTCGGGACGGATTTCCTATCGGGGTCAATTCCACTGCGAAAAGCTTGAGATAGGCTAAACTTACTGGTTCATCCCAATTCACCGACCAGCCGTAATCACCAGGGTAGATGTCGCTGGTCAAACGCTGCTCATAACCGTGCAGCTGGTCAGGACCACAGAAATGCATCTTGCCAGCAAGAGCCGTGTGATAGCCTTCACGCCGCAGATAATGTGCGTAAGTGGGGGTGTCCGCTGGCAGATCGGACGCGTTATCGTAGGCACCAATCTTAGAAGGCAACTGTCCAGTCACCATCACGTAACGTGACGGGGCGCAAAGTGGCGCGTTGCAGTAGGCCGAGTCAAACACAACACCCTCCTCGGCCAGTTTGTTCAAGTTAGGAGTCTTGATAGGGGAATCCTTGTCGTGAAAGGCCAACAGGGGCGCCGCCATCTGGTCGGCCATGATGTAGAGAATGTTAGGCTTCTTCGCCGCCATGGTGATGGTGGACACTTGTCCGAACAGCAAGAGGAGTCAATCAAGTGGGAAGATGAGCCGCAATGTCGAAATGATGACGAGCGGAGAGACAGCGGGAAGATTGAGTTTGAGGGGAGAGGCAACAATGAACCAGGAGAAACAGAGAAAGGCAGAACGCGGGCCGTGAAGGATATAAGTAGTCGCGAGATGAAGACCGGTGGAGACGGAAGGATGTGGAAGGCAGAAAGAAATTAACCAACCATTCATGGGAGGGCGTGAAAAACGGGACTACCGGGGTCGCACCAGATCTTCATGTCACCGCAACAATGGAACCATCAGCGGGGACGATGGTGTGATTGCGGGAGGTTCCATGGTTGGTAGATGCAGGGAGGTGATTGCAGAGGCCCGGGGGAGATCTTCAGGAGAGGGCTGCAGAGCAGTTAGTTACATTGTTGAGGAATTCTCCCAGGTTCTCCTGAGTCTTGAAAATGTGATCCGTCTTGGCTCTGCTGCGAAAGGAGATCCTCGTCGATAACTTTGTTGATAATAACTGCCGGCCACCAGTCACGAGCCCTCCTCGGCCACCGCTTATCCTGAGCCTCGCCACGCGAGCCAATCGCGGTGGCGCGGTTGCACTAGCCTGGATGAGGTCTCGATTCCCTGCCAGGAGGACTTATCTATCAACCTTCCTGCTCCGTATCTACACACTAACAGTTAATGCATACGAATCCCCTACTGTTATCTCGACCCCGTAAAAGAAATGAGATAGACACACCGCCCTCTTCCCCGTCTTCCAGCCGAGCACCCACTCACTCGGACTAGTCGCGTCCTCCAGATCGTCCACTCTTGGCCTCTTGGCGGGGACTAGCCGCTGATTGGCCGAGCCATTCCACCCCCGGCCGGTTCCGACAGGGGTCCGGAGTGCTGACTAACCAGCATGCGTCAGCGCGGTTGCCACGGCCAGTTTTCATGCAGCCTCAGGGGAACCATCCATGATACCTTAGCACCTTAGTACTGTATACGCCTTACTAGGAAGAATACCAAGACGCAATGTGACAACCCCAAAACCCCCCCAAACAAAGTACGAGGCAATCATCCCCATGGATACCTTCTCCATCACACAATCCAAATCCAACCAAATTCCAACCCCGTCGCCACCAATCCATTCCCATCACCTGCTCATCCCCGATCCATGGTAATCTCCCCACCAATCACCACCAATGACTCTATACTTCGAAGAACCGGTTGTTATGTCCCATGATCAAACCAACCGTCACACAAACCCATCCCCACATGCCAGATTCTGGATTTGTAACGGCAGATCTCAGATGAAATGCCTGTATCTGGTAAGACACTTAGCGCTATACCAATCCCCCGGACCGATGGCATCATTCATTGTCTCCACCACCCGGCTGATTACAACCCACAATTCAGGAAATGTAAGTGCCATGCTTCCCGCGTTTACGTGGACGTCGCGGGATGATCATGCACTGCACTGGGTTGAGTTTTCCTACCCCGGAATTCTTACGTGGATTGACGGGGTGATTTATAATTAAGTCGCGGCTTAGTGTGTGAAGCTTCCCCGCATTTTGGGGGCGAAAATCATTTATTCACTAGGTGCAGATGCTAGTAGCAGGACAATTTGTATGTGGATATGGAGATGGTTGGGAGGCCTGTTGCCTAGTATTCGGATCTTGGGGTAGCTTGGGTGGTTTGGTTTGGGTAGGTTGTCTCGTGTAAGGCCGAGACCGTCGCATTACTGATCGGACTGGTGGCACAGGTTCACACTGATATTGGTAAGGCTCAGGAGGAGTGTTGAAATTCCACCGGCTTGGCACTCCGCGATGCGGTCTCAAAGATGGGACGCTTGGCGGGCATCGTGGGATCAGGTGCCCCGTCCCTTGCGGAAGAACCTTGGCATCTACATTTTGAGTCTCGCCACCTCCATACAAAGAACTGCTATGATTTCGCTAATAACAGATGTATATATATCAATCAGCAGGGCCACAGGCCACCACTGCAGGCCCGCCGCCATCCTATTTTCTCTCAAAGAAATGTCAGACGCAGTGTCAACCGATCCAGCATCGCGATCCATGGTAGGACAGTCATCGGTATGACAGCCGGTCATCTGCCTCGGCAGCATTCAATCGACCTTGACAGAACTGCTCCCGGTTAGCGTCGGCTGCTTACCCGGATCATTAACTTACCTGTAAATCCGTCGGATGAATGCATATGCCGTCAAGAATCCAACCGTGCCCGTCAGAAGACCATACACCGCGCAGGCCAGGAAGCTGTAACTGAAGAACAGGAGACTCGACACAAAGCCAGTGATGTGCAGGTGGAAAATGTAGTACCACACGCAGTAGCCAAATACCCAAAACGCACTGCTTCCCCCCGTGAGGAAGCTCTGCCACCACCAGTGGTAGTTCTACGCCAGTCAGCTCGGCTCGCCGATCCGGTCAGGGGACTTACCTCCGCGCAAAGTTGACTGTACGTCGCGATAATGGTCACCTCGCTCACCGTCACCATCAGGACCGTCGAAACAGCGCTCAAGAAGCCAAACACATAGTAATAGCCACTCTTGTCCTGCCACAGGTTCTTGAACACAAACAGAAGCTCAATGAACAATACAGCAAACGGTCCCAGTCCGGTCAAGAGCGTTCCGCCGATGCTGTGCAGGTACCAGGGCTGCGGCGGGACCTGACGCGCAATTGACGTCGTCTTGGTCGGGTGCTCCCAGGGCGTCGTACGCACGTAGCCGTACCAGCTGCCAACATAGACCAGCGGAACTTGAATGAGCAACCAGAGCGCCAAAAGACCAACCAGCGTGCTGAATGGAATGGCGGTGCTAGAGGCCTGGGCCCACACAAAGAGGTTGAGGATGAAGATGAGGGAAAAGGCCAAACCAGGGCAGAACAACGCGGTCTGATCGGTCAGCAGCTGCGACACAGTCCGGACGGGAGACTTACAATAAGGGTGTTTTTCCGCCAATAGGTGCCGCCAAAAGTCTTATACAGTCGCCCCGAGAAGTACCCCGAGAAAAGACCAGCAAAGACAAACAAGCCCATGCCAACGCTGACGAACCCGCCCCGGAAACTGGGGTTCAGGACTCCCAGGCAGCTGAGCAGCAGAAGCCCCGACACCATGAACAACAGCTGCATGCCGGAACCCACAAGCGGCGCAAGGAGTCCACTGTACTGGGGCACCCGAAACACATCCCCATGAAGGAGTTTCCAGCCGCTCACATCGTCAAGACCCTCGTCATCGGATGAGACATCCGCATCCCGTTCCAAGTCTGCTCCTTGCTCATCGCCCTTTCTCTCCAACCGAGACTTGGTGCCCCGAACTTTGAGTTTGCCATCCTCCATGGCCCCGTCTCCACGACCCTTGATATCTCCCTGGACTGTCCGGCTCCAGATAACGTACACCGCCACTCCAAGGACACCCGCGATGGTCATCGAGTTGAGAATAGCAAGCCAATGAGTCGTAGAGCCCTCGTCCTGGTTGCTGAAGTAGAGCTCCCACCGGTTCCACCATTCGACGCTGTTTTCCTCCTTGAAGTAAACCGAATAGGTGTAAGGGATCTTCAGAGTCGCATCATCGTCGAGCTCGTCATCGTCCTCTGGAATATACGACGAACCAGGGTACATCTCGCGCAGCTTGGACGTGTTCGGGGGAATGTACAATTCCAATCCGTCGTGGGCCTCGTGCACTTGTTTGGGGCAGCCACCCTCTAGATGATCGGCGGCGCGAATGCTCTTCGGATAGATCTCGAATCCAACAATAACCTTGCCGCCCTCAGGTGCCGACCGCCAGCGGATGACAATGGTGAAATGATTGTTGATGTAGTAGCGCGCCTTTCCGTCAATGGGCGAAAACTCCTGGAACCCGAGCTTGAAGCCAGTGGCATAGTACTTGCGACTACGATCAACGGTCACGAAGCTGGTTGCTCCAGGCAAGTTGTCCGCGATCCACTCCGCCACGTAGCCTTCCTGGATGAGCTGACGACTCGATTTGACATCCTTCCGCCCGATTTCCTGCGTACAGAGCGCCTGGCATTCGACATTTTTGCCCATCTGGAGTTCAAAATCCGAGGTCATGATGCGGTCGCCTCGGAGAATCTCTCCCAGGTTCAGGGAGATGCTCTGCCCGGAGCCAAATGGGGAACCACCGTGCGACCTGCCGCTGGGGGGACAAACAAAAGGCAAGTCAAAGTAGGCATATTGAAGCTGAGTGTGGTCGGAGAAGATCTTGTTTACAAGGAGAGGAATATGTTCGTCGTCATTGTAGCGCTTGATGGAGTAACCTAGCGGTAGCATGCACGCGTAAGCGACCAGTGCGAACAGCGTCGTCGCAATACAGACAACCTACCAGGAATGTAGAACGCATAGGCATAGGACACAAACAGCAGCCATAGCGTCCACTGTCGGGGACGCCAAAACCGAGACAACTCCATGATCGGATAGCAGAATAGATTCGATCACGGTCCAGTAGTGCTTTGCAACGATCGCAGTCAGCGGGATCGTACGTGGCGGATACGAAGATCCAGATGCAGATCAATAACTTTCAACTGACCACCCGATCTTTCCCTCAGAGCTCAACTCGTGTGGTACAAATTAAATTGGTAAGTGTAAATAATTGGCAGGCTGGGCTCAAAAGGCGAACATAGTCGGAAACACCGACGAAAGGACTGGCAAGTTGGCAACGCGGACAGATGACGCAGCCCGACAGGTGGGTATTGAACGAAGATCCAGCAGTTCAAATACGAGGTAAGACGGCAGATCGGGAGGGACAACTCAGGCCGAGCGAACGAGTGGAATCGGCATCGAATGCCAGAGGAAGCGAACAGACCGCGAGGATGGAGAGATCGAGGGGGAACAATCTACGGGAAGGACGGGGTTGAGATGCTTTGTTTCGGGACGGGCGAAGACCACCCGGAGACCCCCTCAACGGGTTTAGTGCCATTCCGGAACAAATCCCGCTGCGGTCCAGCCAGTCTCCTTTTCCCGGATGCCTAATGCCCCAGGTATCCATCCATCGTACTATCGAGCCGCAGCTGCGCTACACACTACGTAGCGATCGGTGTGGATAACATCATAATCTGTCATAATTCTGCTTAATAACGCCTTCATCAGGCCATGGGAAAATTGCTACATCAAGGCTCCCCAGTCATCCGAGGAAAATCCACGCAGAAGGGTAGTAAGAAAAAAGGTCAACCCGCCAGATATCGACTTGGTCTGCATCGACGCATACGCAGAAATGCATCGTCAGTGAACATAATTATGTCGACAAAGAGAAGAGATAGATACCGCACACATCGTTGAACGCGCCGGCAGTGTAATTAAGAAGGATGGCTCAGCAGATATTCCACGGCCCCTTGCACGCTACCCCCTGACCGGCGGAGAGCCTCAATGTTCCTCTCGAATTCAAAGAACCCCATGTCGTTCAACTGACGAAGCTGTTCGGCATAGCGTTCCTCGGGGGGGCGGTTGTCCTGGGGAGGGGGCGTGCCAAACCCACCACCGAGAAGTGCCGCCAGAGGATTGGTGCCAGCCGCACCCCCCTCTCCCGGGCCAGCACCCAGGGACTGCATCACCTGTTGCAGTAGCGCTGGGTCCCGGAGCAGCGGGTTATGTTGCGGGTCAAAAGGGTTTCCACCGGCCTGACCCCCCTGACCGCCAAAGAGCGCAGGGTTGAAAAAGCTGAACGGGTTCTGGAAGCCCGGCTGATTCTGCCCTTGTCCGGCAGCATTGTCTTCCCCAGTGGTGGTGCCGGCAGCCCTCTGAGTAGTATTAGGCTGGTCACCGCCTGCGGTGGATGTGGCCCCAACGGGGTTACCCATCATGGGATTGCCTCCAAAGAGGGCGGCAAAGGGATTTCCAGCACCAAGTCCGGCGGGCATGAACGGGTTGAACGCGGCGCCGGGAGCTGGGGTGGTACCGTTGTTGTTTTGGGTGTTTCTGTTTTCCTCCGGGGTGGTGTTTGTGACCCCAGGAGCCGGGAATGCACTGCCTCCCAAGCCCCCGCCACCCATGGCCCTCTGCATTTGAACCATCTGACGTACCGAGTTCGGGTCGGTGAGCATGCGGCGGAACTCCGGGCTCTGCATCATCTGCCGCACGCCGGGACCCATGTCGCGCAGCATGGGGTTTTGTTGAATCATCATATCAATCATGGCGGGGTTCTGCAGGGCCTCGTTGAGAGTGGACTGAAATTGTGGGTTTTCAAGCATGTTGAGCATCGATTCTGTGTCGGGAGGAGGTCCCATCTAGAAGTAATTTAGCAGTCGTTCCGGTGTTCGTCAAAGCACGCGACTTACCCCACCATCAGGACCAAACATGCCTGCGCCTGGGAGTTGCGCAAACCCGGCATATCTCGCCCCCGTCAACCCAGCGAGCGGATTGTTGCCTGTGCCGGCAGCAAGGTTCGTAGGAACGCCCGCTGCCGGAGGATTGGCAGCAGAGCCAGCTGGTGCAGTGGAGGTGGCCGGCGCAGCACCTCCCGGACGCTGATTGCTGGCAGCACTTTTCACCAAATGAATAGTATGTCCATCCTTAATCTTGTAGGTCGCCAAGGTTTCGTTGTCCTTGAGGACTCTGCCCGAGTAGATCAGACGCTGACGCTCGGCGGGGGTATCAGCGTATTCCGATGACGCGAGCTTTTCCTTCAAATCTGACACGGGAGTTGACAAGGGAAGGGTGAGGGTGAATTTAACATCATTCGATGACTTGACGGTAAAGGTGATGGGCGCATCTTCGGCCGTGGCGGTGTCATCAGCCATGATCCGTACAATTTGCGGCCGTGGAGGGGATCGAGGGGTCCCAGGCAGTAAGCCGGAGAAGACAAATCACGTCACACAGGAAAGGTGTGGACAAGGAACCAATTCAAACCTAGAATGGGGAGGGCGGATGCTGTGGTATAGAAGCTGGGCGGATGGGAAGATGTGAACAATGGAGTAGGGAAGTTGTCCTCTTACAACAAGCCGACAGTAGGTAATCAGTAATTGGCAAGTCCGTCGTCCCAGCCAGTTAGCGGATGATAGCGTAACCGGCAAGGTGGAAGCGGGCAGAAACCCATCGTCCGCCTTTCCACCCGCGTGGGATGTGACCGCATGCGCCTGGTACCGCTAGAACGGTATTTCACCGCCGGTGTGCCCGGCGTGGGCAAATCTCTGGGTAAGATTGGTACGGCGCATACAGCCTAGCTATCACGTGATGGAGCCAAACCGGGCAAACTGCCCCAAGCTCCATTTCCTTCTTCGCACCGGAATTTTCACTCTTTCTTTCCTGCAGACACGCGTGTTGGCTCGGTCCTCTCTTTCCACCCAACCTGCCCTCAGTGTGAGGACACTCGGTCTCGAGAGTCCTCCTTCCCCATTTGCTCCACTAGCAATGGGATTGCTTGCACTGTAGTGTCACCCTGACTGCAATCGCGTCGTAAACAACTCACCCCTCCACGCTCTAGGCTCAGTGTGAGAGCCGCGTCCGTCCATCATGGCGACTACTTCGCACATGTTTATGTACTCCCTGACGATCCAGCCTCCGACTGCGATCTCCCAAGCAATTCTGGGTCAGTTTGCAGGGACAAAGGAACAGCAGATCGTCACCGCGTCCGGGTCGAAGCTCACCATCCATCGTCCCGATCCGACGCAGGGCAAGGTCACTCCGCTCTTCTCCCAGGATGTCTTTGGCATCATCCGCTCCCTAGCTGCCTTCAGGCTGGCCGGTAGCAACAAAGGTATGTTATGGTCCCCTGTCTGGACGTTCAAGATCATCATAGTGATTCTTCAAGCTTCCCGGGCAGCACGATCCTTTGCCGATTCGTCCCTCCTTGATGGGACGTGCCCCCGGGCGGCGACGTTGACACTGGGTCTTGGTGGTTGAACTGTGCTGAGAGATGCCTCCAGATTACATCATCATTGGCTCGGACTCAGGTCGCATCACCATCATCGAGTATGTGCCCTCGCAGAACCGGTTCAACCGGATTCATCTCGAGACTTTTGGCAAGTCTGGCGTGCGCCGCGTGATCCCGGGCCAGTATCTGGCGGTCGACCCCAAGGGCCGCGCGTGTATCATTGCTTCTGTGGAGAAGAACAAGCTTGTATACGTCCTCAATCGGAACTCGCAGGCCGAGCTGACGATCTCGTCCCCGCTTGAAGCCCACAAGCCCCAGACCTTGGTCTTTGCCATGACAGCGCTGGATGTTGGGTATGAAAACCCAATCTTCGCCGCTCTCGAGGTGGACTACTCCGACTCCGATCAGGATCCTACGGGTCAAGCTTTTGAGGAGCTTGAGAAGCACATTGTGTACTACGAGTTAGATCTCGGTCTCAACCACGTTGTCCGGAAGTGGTCTGACCCGGTCGATCGCACCGCCTCCATGCTTTTCCAAGTTCCTGGAGGCGCTGATGGCCCCAGTGGTGTTCTGGTGTGCGGGGAGGATAGCGTCACCTACCGTCATTCCAACCAAGATGCGTTCCGGGTGCCGATTCCTCGTCGTAGTGGTGCCACCGAGAACCCCGAACGTAAGCGCTGCATCACTGCTGGTGTCATGCACAAGATGAGGGGTGCTTTCTTCTTTCTCCTGCAGACCGAAGACGGTGATCTCTTCAAGCTCACCATTGACATGGTTGAGGATGATAACGGTCAACTGACTGGTGAGGTCAAGCGACTCAAGATCAAGTACTTTGATACTGTTCCGTTGGCGTCCAGCTTGTTGATTCTCAAGAGCGGTTTCCTGTATGTTGCTAGTGAGGCTGGCAACCACCATTTCTACCAGTTCGAGAAGCTCGGTGATGATGATGAGGAGATCGAATTCACCAGCGAGTCCTACCCGGCTGATCCCTCGGATCCTTGTGAGCCGATCTACTTCCAGCCCAGGGGTGCAGAGAACCTCAACCTTGTGGAGACGATCAACTCTCTCAATCCGTTGATCGACAGCAAGGTTGTGAATATCTCTGATGATGATGCCCCTCAAATTTACACTATCTCTGGCGCTGGCGCTCGGAGCAGTTTCAGGACGCTCAAGCATGGCCTCGAGGTGTCGGAAATTGTCGAGTCGGAGCTTCCGAGTGTACCTTCCAACGTTTGGACTACCAAGCTTACCAGATCCGATGAGTTTGACGCCTATATCATCCTTTCCTTTGCCAACGGTACACTTGTGCTCAGCATCGGTGAGACGGTGGAGGAAGTTACGGATACCGGCTTCCTTTCTACTGCGCCAACGCTGGCCGTCCAGCAGCTGGGCGAGGACTCTCTTATTCAGATCCACCCCCGTGGTATCCGTCACATCTTGGCGGATCGACGTGTGAATGAGTGGCCCGCCCCTCAGCATCGGTCGATCGTGGCTGCCGCAACAAACGAGCGTCAGGTCGCTGTGGCTCTTAGTTCCGGTGAAATCGTCTACTTCGAGATGGATTCTGATGGATCTTTAGCCGAGTATGACGAGCGGCGTCAGATGTCTGGCACTGTCACCTGCCTTAGCCTGGGAGAAGTTCCTGAAGGTCGTGTTCGGAGTTCATTCCTGGCTGTCGGGTGTGATGACTCGACGGTTCGCATTCTGAGCTTGGATCCGGACTCGACTCTTGAGAACAAGTCCGTCCAAGCTCTGACGGCTGCTCCCTCAGCTCTCAACATCATGTCAATGGCTGATTCCAGTTCCGGAGGGACGACTTTGTATCTCCACATTGGTTTGTACTCAGGTGTCTACCTCAGAACCGTGCTGGATGAAGTCACTGGTGAGCTGTCGGATACCCGCACACGCTTCCTGGGATCGAAGCCTGTGAAACTCTTCCAGGTCTCGGTCAAGGGACAGACGGCTGTGCTTGCTCTAAGCTCGCGTCCTTGGCTCGGATATTCTGACGTCCAAACCAAGGGCTTCATGCTCACTCCCCTGGACTACGTCGGCCTTGAATGGGGTTGGAACTTCTCTAGTGAGCAGTGCGTGGAGGGTATGGTCGGTATTCAGGGCCAGAACTTACGGTATGTCCTTATCTTGAATTTCCCTCCCCTGAATTTGATTGTATGATGAGAACTGGGATCCGAATATCCATGTGGAAAAACTTTTTATATTATTTTTTCCAATTGTTCCTACTGAGATCAACCTACCCAACATTTTTGCTGTTGAATATGCTTGGTGAATATCAGCTAATCACCATTGCTAGGATCTTTTCCATTGAGAAACTTGACAACAACATGTTGCAACAGTCGATCCCTCTGGCATACACTCCGCGCCGCTTCCTGAAGCACCCTGAACAGCCGTACTTTTACGTCATTGAGTCTGACAACAATGTGCTGTCTCCGTCCACTAGAGCGAAACTGCTAGAGGACTCCAAGTCCCGCGGCGGTGATGAGACCATCCTCCCGCCAGAGGACTTTGGATACCCCAGGGGCACCGGTCATTGGGCTTCTTGCATTCAAGTGGTCGATCCCTTGGATGCGAAGGCTGTCATTCACACCATCGAGCTAGAGGAGAACGAAGCGGCGGTTAGCATCGCGGCGGTCCCATTCACTAGCCAAGACGATGAGACCTTCCTGGTCGTAGGAACAGCGAAGGATTTGACCGTGAACCCGCAATCTTCCGCCGGTGGTTACATCCACATCTATCGCTTCCAAGAAGATGGACGAGAACTTGAGTTTATTCACAAGACGAAGGTTGACGAACCTCCCCTCGCCATGTTGGGATTCCAAGGCCGCCTGGTTGTTGGCATCGGATCATTGCTTCGCATTTATGACCTCGGTATGAAGCAGCTTCTCCGTAAGTGCCAGGCACCTGTAGTCCCCAAGACCATCGTCGGTCTCCAGACCCAGGGTTCCCGAATTGTCGTCAGTGACGTCCGGGAAAGTGTTACCTACGTCGTGTACAAGTATCAAGAGAATGTCTTGATCCCGTTTGTTGATGACTCCGTGTCGCGTTGGACGACCTCCACCACTATGGTCGATTATGATACAACTGCTGGTGGTGACAAGTTCGGTAACCTCTGGCTGCTGCGTTGTCCCAAGAAGATATCTGAAGAGGCGGATGAGGATGGGTCAGGTGCTCATCTGATCCATGAGCGCGGCTATCTCCAAGGAACCCCCAACCGCCTGGAGTTGATGATCCATGTGTATACCCAGGACATTCCAACCAGCCTGCACAAGACTCAACTCGTTGCCGGTGGTCGGGACATCCTCGTCTGGACTGGTTTCCAAGGTACGATCGGTATGCTGGTGCCGTTCATTAGCCGAGAGGATGTGGACTTTTTCCAGAACCTGGAGATGCAGTTGGCTGCACAGCACCCTCCTCTCGCTGGACGGGATCACCTGATCTACCGGAGCTACTATGCGCCGGTCAAGGGTGTCATTGACGGAGACCTGTGCGAGATGTACTTTTTATTGCCTAATGATACGAAGATGATGATCGCAGCGGAACTGGACCGTTCAGTCCGGGAAATCGAGCGCAAGATTTCGGTAAGTTTACCCTTCGGGTGGAGGTATCAAGACTAACGGATTACAGGACATGCGAACCAGGGTGGCGTATTGATTTAAACGGATTTGGCGCTTATCAGGACTAATTCTGTATGCGGGTTTCAGATACCCCATAGTTATTCTGCATGAACTTGTACATTTACATCCAATACCAGAGGGATTGAATCCGGTACTGGTGTATGGCGTCAGTAGTAGACTGTAGTACATGTCTCTTGCCTCGCTCGGTCTCCCGCTCCCCTCGGTTGATCTTGAGCTGGATACAGCTGTACCAGGTACAGATTGTACGAGACGAGAAGAAGGCTTTGCCTACGACGATCTTTGAGTACGATTTTATCCGCATGCCACGGATATGATCGTAATTTATCCGTCGGGACATCCATCAATTATATTCCAATATTTGCATAACTTTTTCATGTCTCTATCCTAACCGCAAAGTAGTTCTCTTTTCCATTTCACCCATTCAAGAATAGTGACAGTCGTATGTGATCACCTATCTATAAACACGGACAGATCATATCCGGCTGGCCATATGGTCAAGTGCTCAATAGACAACCTAACCAAAAAACACAACCGCCTAACAGTTCATAGCTCTTACACATACTATCAACATGGCTGAATAGTCACTCAATTATGTTGACCTTCTAAGTCCAAAGTCATATACAGAAACTTTCCCCGGCAAAGACAATCATTACATTTATGTGACTCCAGGACCTCGTTATAAATCGGACGCACTCTCTCGACAGTTTAGCATGGATCTCCTACTTACTCGATTTACAAGAACCAGGGGCCAGGGGTGAGAAACATTAGCAGTTATATACATAGTGATAATTATCAAAGCCTCGAGATGCCTTGAAAAGTCTATGCGAGGATGAACGGGTAGATGAGGCCTATAAAAGATAACCACCAAACATAACAGACTCGGTGATCGAGCCAGATTGCTTGAAGAGGCCAGTATTCATGAGATAATCATGACACAAAGTAGAGCCTTTATCGCCTGAAATTCATACAGTCTGGATAGGATTGATGCTATAAGATGAACGATTTGATATCATGTGGCATAGCCACATGATTATCCTTCGGACCGCTCGTTCTGGCCCATCCCTGTTTGCTCTTCACCATTTTCACGTTATTGCTTTCGAACCCATCCATCATGTCGTTTTTCTGGCTCAGAGATTCGGCAAAACCAGCTTCTAAAGATCGTAAGTTCCATAAGAAACAACTACAGCTATCTATATTAATCAGATTCAGAACTGCAGATCCTCCATTCTCTCGGCTCACGCAGGGTTGAAGTTTGGAACAACCAGGTGATCAAGTCTGGGACCACTCTCTATGATCATGAAGTGGACAACATGGAATTCATTGCCGAGCATACCACGATCCCCATTTCGTGCGTCCACAGCGTTGAAAGAGACACAGATGGAAAGCTAGTGAAAATCTACATGGACTACATTCCCGGAAGACCTTTGAATGAAGCTTGGACCACGATGACTGAAACTCAGAAGAGATCCGTGGCTGACGACCTCCACAACTATGTTAACCAGCTGCGCACTTTGGTAGGCAACTACATTGGAGCTGCACACCGTGGCCTGGCGGTTATTGGACAACATGTATTCCACGAAGGCGGACCTTTCGACCAAGAAAGCCAATTCAATGATTTCTTATTGTCCAAGATAATCTCAAAAGTACCGGACACGTTCCGGTACCATGCAACTCGCACTCTAAAAGATAATCATGAGATTGTCTTCACGCATAGTGATCTGGCCCCGAGAGATATTTTGGTGAGAGACGGTCGGGTCACGGGTATTCTGGATTGGGAGCACACCGGTTGGTATCCGGAGTACTGGGAGTATGAGAGGACGTACCGGCACTTTAATGATGTTCCTGGCTGGATGGATTATGTTGATATGTTTCTCCCGCGTAAGTATTCAGAGGAAATTGTCGCCTTGTCATATTTGTCTCGATATAGTCATTAAATGGCTATTGGTGCTGGTCTTGTGATGATGTGGTTGGTTTTCTGTTATGGTTCTGATGATTACTATTCAGTAGTTGCATTTAATCTACTAGTATCCAATTTGCATGTATACTATTATTTCGTTATAATATTTAGTCAAGACTTGCTGGAATATTTTTACCCCAGAGGTTCTCGCTAATATATGTTGTAACGGGTCAGCAAGTTCTTTTCTGTGCGTGGTCTTATATACACAGGTGTGAGACAATGATAAAGTATATCAACTATCACTTCTAATGAACTTTGCGTGGGCAATGACTTCCACTGGATGTTGAAGGTACTAATAATTCACAAACGAACTGAATTATCGAGGGTCCTTTAATAACTACGTCGGACCATGATTGAACTTATAACCATTTTGTATTCTGAATGTATCAATATATAGCATATTACCTAGCAGCTTGTATTTCCGGTCCTGATGATCAGACTTTCCGAAGTCCAGTAAAGCAAGTCACGACGCATTATACCGCTGTCCTTTTCAGCCGGACTCTAGAGGATGTGATTACCTAGTTCAATGCAGCAGATGACTCGATCATCTTTAGAGTATTTGGCATCCCCCGCACCATGCCCGCTTACTGCATTCTACAACCAGATTGATAGAAAAGTAGGATATAAAAAAGAAAAAGGGTCCAAAACATACAACAGAAGGGATTCGCTGGTGGTCACCCACCCAACTACTAACCTCCCGGCGTGTGGCTTAAGTACGGCTGAGCGGACGGGAAGCCCTGTTTTCCACACCCTGTGATCGTATGTACCAGACAATACATTATAGTAATTTATATAGGTGCTATTGGGTTTGTAAATACGGACAGAGTCCATTATCTGGACCATAGGATCCCCGTTTGGGCGATTCTTTATTATTCGTTGAGCATTCTTTCCCTTGTGTAACATTTTATACATAATTTGTACCATCAAAGCTTCCAGGACATATTGGATTCTTGGATCCAATCAGGGACAATAATCAAAGATGTGATGAAGCATTGTGTCTTGCAAGACCCTCCTGTGGGCTCCCTATCTAACCATAATCCGCTTGATTGTAGAAAGCCAGGACTCAAGAATTGCACCATTTGCATTGCTAACCGTGGGCAGCAGGCCTAGGCCCAATGTAGTTAGTCCCCACGTGCCTCCCTCCCATCAGCTACTCGAACAACTTACCAACGTTCACCATGAAGTGCTGGATCTACCCTCTTCCCCCTCCGCTTTCCTCGAAAGACACTGTGTCGCTGAACTATACATATATGAGCTTGCCTTTTTGCTCTTTTCACCGTACATCAAGATGTTTTTAAGTGAGAAACGTCCGATCAAAAGACCTCGGGTATCACTCAGTTGCATTGCCTGCCGCCGTCGCAAGGTTCGCTGCACCCGCGAACAGCCAGCATGTGCCAACTGCATCCGCACGAAGGAGACTTGTGTATACAGTGCCACAAGCCGTGATGATAATGCGAGCCAGATACCTCAGGTGCCTCCGCCTCAGGAGAGGAACTCCGGTGCATCTGAACCTCGGACCCAAGACCTCACCTGGTCGCACTGGGTATCTGAAGAAACTGACATGGCGATAAACCTGAGCGAGGAGCCTGCACCTTATGCTGCTGCTACTACTACTAAGCCACGGTCGAGAAGGGAACTGAACGCGAGCAGTTCGTTAGCCCTTCCAAGCACGTTGTCTGTTAATCCCAGTCCGGCTCTCTCCTCGAACCGTCAACGGATTACTGTGGCCGATCTGACAGCGCCCTCATCGGAAGAGGCTATTGGGCTACCTGATGGCCATGACAGCGAAGCAAAAACTAGCACCGCAAGCAGTGACTATCTCAGTCTACGACCGGGCGCTCGTGCGCGATACATCGGCCAAACTTTCTGGGGATTTGTTACCGGAACGGTGAGACGAGCGAGTATATGCTAGAGCGTTGATGCTGACCTTGGTTGGCTGGGTGCAGGAAGCCCTGAGTGACGATTTCTTCGACGACAACCGCAATACTGACCCTGATCTGCCCCCCTCATATATTTCTTCTATGGGGATGTTCAATCTTTTACAGTCGTTGCCCACCAAAGCCGTGAGCGATGCTCTGCTTAAGGTATTCCTCTTTGCAGTTTGGCCGCTTTCCCCTCTTGTGCATTGTCCTAGCCTACAGGCAGATTACGATGAGTTCTGGGAGTGGTGCCGGAATAGCGATACAGCTGTTCCTCCAGGAAAAGTTCGAGATGACCCGACCTTTCTCTGCCTTCTCTTTGCAATCCTGTACTGTGGCGCATCTGCTGCTCCAGAGGCCAGTTGGATGGGTGCCAGCCTTCAGGATGTACAGAAGGAGACAACAGTGAACAATCTCAGGTCGGCTTATGAGACAAGTATTTCTCTATGTCATCATCTGGACCATCCGACATTGAACTCTCTAGTTTCGACGTTGCTGACCAGCCCGTTTCTGTACGGATGCAAACCGATGTACGAGTTGATATCCGTCAGCATGACACTTCGACTTGCCCAGAGTATGGGATTGCATCGGGAAGATACGTGGTCTGCACTAAGTCCGGTGGATCGGGACATACGACGTCGAATTTGGTGGCATATTGTCAGGCTTGATCTCCAGTCAAGCATCTCCACTGGGCTACCACCCTGTTGCGGGAGCGAGGCGCTGGACGCAGTGGATATGATGGCTTCTGCATCCGTTAAAGATATTAGTGATCCCTCTGTCCGCTCTTCGAGCCCAGACCCCATGGGGTCGAAGCCATCGATAGCCCTTATCTTTGCCGTTGGGTGCTCGGAGACGGCTCGCTTGCAATCACGGACTGTGACACGCTTACAGAGTGGACGGATTCTGATTCAGAATGAATTGAGAGGGCTCGTGACGGCTGCTAGGAGGCAGCAGCAGAAGATTGACACACTCATTGCGAGTATTCCATCGCAAGGGATCCCCGAAAGGGGACTTATCCCCTCCCGTCTGGCAAACGCATCTCCATCCACCCATCCTTCGCTTTACAACGACGATGCGACCCAGCCTACCGTCCTTTCAGCATGGACACGCATTATGCTGACCCTGTTGAAATTCGACATGGCCATATTATTACAAAAGCCGTTTCTGCCGCCCCCGGACAGGTCAAACCCACAATCGTGCAAGGCATGGACTAGGTATGTCTTTTCCACATCTTATATGAAAAACACTAATGAGAGATTAAACATAGCATGGCACAGCTTTGCGTGAGCTATCTTCGCATAATCCTGCCCATATATCAATCTTCCGCATTCTCGCCCTATACGTGGTTCTGCCGCAGCTATCATGGGCCTCTTCAATGTGTGTTCCTTACCTTAATCTACCTGGATTGCTTCAGGGACTCGAAGGAGACCACAGCCCGGTATTTCGTTGATGAGATCATGGAGCACATCGTATCTCATTACCAAGGGGTGCATTCTTCAACAGCAAGAAATACCCCAGACTCCCAATCGCCGTCAAAGACGCAATTGCCGCTGGCGATACAAGTACTTGTCGACCTTCACAATCGCCTCGACTCGCCTTCCGAGCCTGATGACCATTCCCAAGTCGCCAATACTGTGACAGATGGTTACTGTGCAATGAATCTAGACGAAGCCATCATCGCCGACCTTGACTCTTTATCATCATCCTTAATATTAGACTAGGTACTTCACCAAAAAAATATAAAAAAAATGAAAAAAATAAAAATAAAAAATAAAAAATAATCGATCAACGAAACTCCGCTGGAAGGGTTGTCAACTTGCTCATTTCCACCATCGTCTCGTCCCACACCTTTCTCTGAACCTCCTGGCCCTCTGGCGACATAATATAAGGTGCTTTCCTATACAAAGTCAGCTCATGCACACACTCTCAAGCATCGCAACATACTCAGCAACCGTCTTGTCGTTCAAGAACCTGCCATGCGACTCCGGCCCCGCAACAAGCGCACTATGCAAAACAATCCACCCTGCTGTCTTCACACTCCTCGCCTTAATCGCCTTCAACACGTTAAAAAAAAACCGTATATACAACGGCAGCACATCACTCATCCCCGTATTCACCATCCCAGGACACATCATATTAATCACCACCTTGTTCGAATCCAACTTCTCCGCCAACGCATACATAAACAACACACAAAGCAGCTTCGAGTCCCCGTACCGCGAGAACGGAATAAACCCCTCCTCACTATCCACATACTCCAACACGCTATCCTCCGTCACCATGAAAGCCTTCTTCTCCAAACTGGAGACCAAATGCCTCCGACTACCCACCCACGTAATCCTTCCCGGAACACTATTCTTCTCCGCACCAGCATGAAGCAATGGCAAGAGTTCCGCAATCAGCAACACATTGGAGTAATAGTTCACCTGAACAGTTCGCTCATGACCGCTTGGACTGCGTTCCAGGGTGATGAGACCCGTCCCGGCGTTCAGGATGAGGAAATCGACCGATGGAATCTGGCCTTGGGCTTGTTTCGCGAACCCCTGCACGCTATCATATCGATCCATGTCGAGTTCCAGGACCTTGATGACAGCATTGGGGTTGTGGGTTTTGATGATGGGGTCTTGACGGAGGGATTGAACACAGGCCTCGCCTTTGGTGATGTTTCGGACGGCGAGAATGATGGTTGAGATGCGGAGTTGGAGGAGTTGTTTCGTTAGTTCTAGCCCTATGCCGGCGCTGGCGCCGGTGATGATGGCGGTTTTGCCGGTTAGGTTGATGTTGTTGGGCAAGGGGGAGATTTTGGGTTGGGTCAAGGTGATCATGATGGATAGGAGAGTGAGAGGGTTGGATTGGTTAGAGAATGAGTGAATCGAGGATACATGATAATTGAAAACAGAGGACAGTCGTTGTTTATATCAGTAGTTGAGGATGTTAGGGCTTACAAATGCCTCGCTCATGACTCAGCATTAGACCGAGCACAATCCGAAAAGGGAAATGCGTCGCCCGAGCTGGTTCCAAAAAGAGAAATATTTCGCCCGAGCCGGCTTTGTAATCAGCATCCTGCATTCATATCTTTTTTCGCTGCTGATCATAACATAGCTGAAAGAAATGGCCCCTTGTGTCGTACACCTTCACGGATGGCCAAGAACGACTGAAGATGTTCGATGCAGAGATGTCAGTCGGGAATCTGGCCGTTGTGCAGTTCGCAGTTCTATTTCACAACACCATGCGTCCAAACAGTGGCTCTATTCCAAGCTGATTGTATGAGGGTGTGGATTTTAGGCGTCCCCGTTCTTGGAAGGGCGATGCTGACAGCAGACTTGATGGAACATAGCAAGTTCAGAGCCAGATAGCGAGGGACAGAGAATATTTCCAGCTCGAATAGTTGGCGTGTTGAAAGAGGGCCGTCCTTGGTATGTGAAGCCTCATTCAAGAGACAAAATACATATGCTGATGCGGTTGCCGTTGGCTCAAAGCACTGGTATCCCTCCATAGCGAAACCCAATGACACTTCGGCCAGTAAACGAGTGTATCCGCATCGACACCCCATCATGCACTGTAAACATCCCTCCGCTGCTCACCCCTCTCATCCATCGCCGCCAATTCAGCCGGATATCCTCCCTCCGACGGCGGTCTATACTTCCCCTGCCCCTGCCCCTGCCCCGACACCGAATAAAACGTATCCGCCGGCAACTCCGCAGGCCCAAAATCCTGCCCATACCTCGGCGGCGCAAATCCCTGAGACGTCATGGACCCCTCCCTCGAATGCCCCGACGGCGACTTGGGCATGGACTGATACGACCATCTCCTCTCTCTCTCCCTCTCTCTCTCCCTCTCCTCCAAACACGACCTATCGGCCGGATTAAACGTCCTCAACACCCCATCCTCAAGACTAACCTGCAAAACGCCCCTATCCACCAACTCCGCCTTCTTAATCAACCTATCCACCAACATCTTACTCGCCGCCCGCAACTGACTCTTCACAAACGCAATCAAAGTCAAATTACACTCCACCTCGACATCCTCCCTGAGCGATAACCCTCCTCCCCCATCCTCCCCCACAATGCGATACGAATTGCGCAGATCCACGCCCATGGGCGCATACGTATGGGTTCGCAACCCCCACGGCTCGTCATGGAAACATCCGTTGAAGCTGATGGTGCGGGGCACGTAGCGGACCCGCTCGGTGATCTCGTACCAGGTGGAGTAGTATTCATCGGCGGGGGCGTTTCGGGGCGCTTTGATGGCGTGGTGCGAGATGACGAGCGGGTTTAGACTGATGATTTCGCTGTGGCTGTGGAGGATGGAGATGGCGAGGTGGCGTGGGATGGGGGGTGGGAGGGGGGTGGTGATTGTGTAGGTTTCTTTTTTACGGAGCATGATTCCCACTTAGTGCTTGATGAAGGGGTGATGAATGGAAGTGAGGGGGATGAGGAAGGGAGAAAGGGTTAGAGAATCGCGAAAGAAAAAGGTGGCATGTCAGCAGACATGCTCGTATTCGGTGTCACATTTAGAGTTGGGTTGGTTGGAGATGGGCTTAGTAAGCATGACGGAATGGGGGCCGGAATTGGTGAGAATAGAACTTGTCTTTTTGTTTTTGTTTTCCATTGGAAAGGAGATAATTTGTGATGAATGGTGAGAGTATTGGATGGGTGGAAGTGGTTTACTTAGGGTTGTCACGAGGGGGTGGGTGGGTTGGCAGGGCTCCACATTGTAAGCTTGATTGAACTACTACTGATGTATGCAAGGGCCATGATAATATGAGGGATATTTAATAGCTGTCTTTGATTCGCACCTCGTATTCGATTTGGCCCGGTAAAGCGCGCATGCTCAACGTCTCTTATCCTAGGAATGTGACCCCATTTGAGGCAAGTATATCCTGGGCAGCACTTGTTCCCTTCACCTCCTAGCACCAACCCCACCAGTAACACTAACCACACCCTGTCCTTTACCAACATCACCCCCCTGCTCCAAGCCACTCTGCGCATGTTCCCCATGTAAGGAATTCTCCGGTGTCCGATTAACCAAAACAACCATAGGGAGTACAGCAGCCCCCAACAGTCCAAACGTCACACAACTAATAACCCAATTAGCCAACCCCTCCCATCCCATCAAAATAGAAATAAAACTCACAACCCAACAAGCGGATTCCCCTGCGTTTGGGTATTCATCCCATACGCAATAGCCTGTCCGACTGCTTCGATACAGCGGAATGCAGCGCCGTTGCGGACGTTTTCTATTCATCACGTCAATCAGCCAACCTTTCCGCATTCTCTCATCTAGATATCGTTGGTATTAATTGTAAGAAGGGAGGTGGACCTACCCTGCGCACTCCTCCCAAACGACGCAATCAACCAATACATATACGACTGCGAGAGCGGCCCGTCGTCTGAACAAAAAAATAAGGCAGGAAAGACGAAGGGTATTGGTGATCATCCCAGTCGATCCGGCCGGGATTGTGGCGGTTGAATTGTACTTGTTTGACGATGGACCAGATATACACGCCTATGTTGAGAAGGACGACGATCACGAGACCGATTTGTGCGCGACGACGCTGGCTTATGTATCTTGTGTCGAGGATGAAGCCTAGGCAGAAGCAGCCGATACTACTGTGGATTAATATGGAGGGTAGCAGCCCCCGGTTGGGGGAGGGGTACATACATGCAGAAAAATGGCGAGATGAGGGAAGATAAGGCACGGGCTCGCACGGAAAAGTACAAGGCCAGATAAGTGGACCAGGAGCCACCGTAGAAGAAGGACCAGATGGCCCATAGAGCGGAGAGGAGGACGAGTTTGGAGGTGATGGTGTTGAAAAGAGTTTTTAGTTCGTCTTTTGTGGAAAGGGGCTTGGCCATGATGGGTTTTGTGCCGTCAGATCGGATGACCTTTTCGAGGGGGGCGATGAGGAAGGCGAATGGGAAACTAGGTTAGTTAGCAACGTGTCTATATTCGATGAACTATGGTGTTATGGGCACCCACGCAAGACACTCAATGATAATGAACGGAATGTACGTATCAGGCGTCACTCCATGATCCGTACTTTTGATATGATTCTCTGCCAGACTGATATGACTGTCAGCAATGTTCAATCGAACCAGAGAAGGGAAAGGGACATACTTAATGGTGCCCCCAACCAGCTGTCCCATATTCCGAGACACAATCCAAAGAGCCAAGTACTTCCCTCTTGCCCCAGACGGCGCAAGCGTCAGGATTGTTCCGGCCTCCGCAACATACCAGCATCCAGCACCAATACTGCCAAGGGCACCCCCGAGGATTAGATACCACTGGTTTCCGAACTTACTGTTGCAGTAGTATGATGAGCCGCGGATGGGGAACGACATTGCGCCCACCACTAGAGCCCACTTTGTCCCGAGTTTGTTGGTGATGGGACCGCCTAAGAAGCAGGCTGGAGTGTTTTTATTAGTGCTGGTTAGACCTTGAAGGATGATGGGGGTGCGTACTGACTGCGATGCAGGTATATCCGACTGCAGATGCGATGTTTGATATGTGGGGGGTTGCGAGGCCACCGCCGCCGAGGCCTGATTTGGTTATTATGAGACTGTGTTGGGTTCAGGGATTGATTTGAATAAGCATACCGCCGATAGCATCGCCCATGGCAGGTCCGCAGAATGCTTGGATGCTCATGAGAAGCATCTGCGTCAAACTGTGTTGCCATATGTGCTTCCATAGAGGGACGGTGGATTTGGATTCGTCCAAGTTGACTATGAGTGTTGTAGTCCCGGTTGGCTTTGATGTAGATTCATTTGGGAAAGAGGGAACGTCATTTGAGGCGGGCATTGCAAATAGCAAATATCGTCAAGTTCACGACAAACAAATCTGCGTGAAGGATGGGAAGAGTATTGCTGCTTTCTATGCTGTCTATATAGTATCTCCATCACCCCATTAGCATATATCCTAGTTCGTGATATACATAAGAATCTCGCAATTCGACCGACGTATTCCTTCCCTGGATTCATGGAAGGTCCACGCGATAGATGCACCAGAGTGGGCCCGGAGGCGCAATATCCAACCAACGTAATTATTCGATTCCTTTCGCTGATAAGGTTTGGATCCTGGCTGTCAGGGTCCACTCCAGGTGTGCTTCTAGATGAATGCACGGACCCGATATTGATCTAGAGGAAGTAGTGAATCACAGCCTGTTTCCCACAAAGCACTGATCAGATGGCTGACTTGTGCACCAATCATAGGTAAGAATGATGATCAGTCAGCTGTGGCTAGGACCTAGTACTGATTCCACGTCACTGGAGCCCTGAAAGACGTGATATTTCTGATAACAACTCTGACTGCAGCTACACTCATACAGTTACATGCCATTTCATGTGGTGGCCAGTGTCTAATACACAGGGGGCTTTTATCAACGAGACCTAATTCAGAGCTGTGCGTCAACGAGAGCGATTGTCAATGTCTGTTGTGATCTAGAGACCTTCAGGTATCAAGTTCAACACCATTAGGAGGCCTACGGCTCCCCTGTATGACTCCGCACCTGGTAATCGGATAGATAAGAAGGATAGTCTAGGCCCGGGCGTGACAACATCGAATCTAAAATGGCAATATGTTAAGATACAGTCTTCGTTCTGTCTGTTCTCCACATGCCAGCGGTATATCGTTTTGGCCTACTGGTATGAACGTGACACAATACTATGTATATCTCATCGCTGACTACTCCTAGTACCAAGAGTAAGTGGAAGGTGGAGAATTAAGAACTTAGCGCACAGCTTCCTTCAACTCTAAACGCTGGCCAGCCTTTTCCGACACAATTGTCTCGAGGGTCAATGATAAGGGTTGCTTGATGAATCAACATCATGTTAATATATTATGAAACTCTTTGCAATTATTTCTGTCTTTAATAATATTATGTACATCAGTTTCCCTGAGGCTGAAGAGAAGAAGCTCAAGATAGATGTGCATTTCATCGCGTAATGTGAAGAACGGTGGGTTAATGAATGGGTGGCAAAACCGAGGAAGAGGGAATGGAAAATGAGTGATAAGAAGCGCCATGTTTCAGAAAAAATTCGAAAAACGAAGCTCACTGATGCATTAAAGGAGAAAAAATAATCGATTGGAGTGGAGTAGTGTTCGATCCCAGAAGTATGCGAACTCAGTGACAAGCGGTTTATGTGACGCTACAATGAGGGCTCAAGTCCAGCCCCACTGACAGCCCCACGGTGAGCGGCTTGGCGGTCGGCTAAAAATAGACGGCCATTTGGTCGCCATAAAGCAAATGCAATGCTCTGCTTTTTTGACTTTCGGGATAATTTTCTATCAATAGTTCTATCTGATAAACGCACGCAAGGAAGTATTAATACCCTAGCCAACTCTAACCCATGTTGATGGGTAATAATACGAAGTGGCCTTGATCGTTCCAACTGTATGCTGCTTCAGGGGGTGCATACCATGTCTAGTTGGTTATTGCTATTATTTCAGTGAGAGGATGTGGTAAGTCCTTTTCAAATACGCTGTTTAATTCTCGCGCGGAGTCTAGTATCATTATGCCTTTATTCTCTGGGCCGGAGTGGCCCCGAAACATAAGATTGAAAGAACATAGATATTACACCTGATGCGTTTCAAAAAGACAGCATGACCTGTGTGGTGTGATAGTATGCCAGAAACAGGGATCGAATCCCGCCCAGACAATCAGTCAAGTTTTACCTTGAATTGTAAGACTCCGAGATCGTCCTCTCAATGTTTCATATTCTCCCAAAATACACCCCCAGCCAAGTTTGCTTGCGTTTCTTCCGAGATAGAAAGAATCGTGGGCAGATAATGTGAGAATGCTGTCGCTATAATATTGATAGGAAAGTGAATTTCCAAGATGCGGGTCTGGACCTGGATAAAACCCATTTCGTTAGTAGGGTAATTCCTGTACCCGAATGAGGGATATGTGGAGAGATGCTTACCTTTTCTGGTCCACTGTTGAAGCCTAACCGTATTTCAAGCTTATAGCTGCGGCGGATGTTACATGTCTCGGAATCAGGGGTGATGTTTGACGGCAGAGATTGTCCTCCCCATAAATCGTCCGAGAGACTCATCGTCGTTCCCATGGGAGTTTCCGGGAAGTATATTGTTTGATCCAGATTGCTCACAGTTCGTAAAATCCGAGAGCGACGCTGGATCTGGGGAAAACCCCTCACCAGCATGACGGTTTCTTCAATAAGCATTATTTGGTAGTCATTCAGAACGAGGCTGTCGTTAGCAGGACCGGTCCGGGTGATGTACACGTTGATTGGCACGTGTAGACCCGGGCTTAGGCATGCTCCTTGACTGAGCTCGATAGTAACTTGGTAGGTGGTGATGGTGCCTCCGTTGTAGCTGGAAAAGATGACTGCTCGGTGCTCGGCGATGGCCTGTGGTGGCTGAGAGCTGATTATTGGGCAGAAGAAAACTCGCAGAGACTGTTTATAGTATCAGAGTATCAGCGAGTCGTGTTCTGATTGTGGGATTGCTTACAGACCTGCTGGATGGATTGTTTCAACATGCCGCCAAATATCACGCTTGCCTTGAGTATATAGACTATTTCGGCGCTGCTGGATTGATTTCCAGTGGAGGGTGGAAGCTGTCGGAAGAGATGTGATTGTGCTGGGGATTTTGTCTCTCGGAATTGGTGTATGTGTTTTGAGTGACATTGACAGTCATGGAGGAACTAGCAGTTGGTTAGCAATTAGTGCCTTTCATGCGAGGTGAATCAGTAGGGCATTACTGGCATAGAGAAGGGAAAGCCGTATTGCTTGGGCCCAAGGTCAGTGACTTGGAGCTACTAGCATTGAACTCTCCATATTGAAGGAAGATATGCCGCGTCTCTTTGATGAACTGGGAGTTAGTTAGTTTGCATGCTGCATCCACTATCTTGTATTTAAACTTGCCTGGTGTGAGTCAATGTGTTTGGAGCCCTCTAATCTGGATATCAAGTGCCCTGAAAGGTTGACTGTAATTTGGGAGATGTTCATATGGGCCTCCAGGTCAAGAATGATGCGACCTGAAATATGATCATTGTTAGTATATGTTGGGATCCCCGATGGGCTCCCACGCCGGTAGGCAACGTAGGGTCACGTGACACTCCCCCTACACCGCTAGTTAGTCCATATAGATGGCCTACGAGGCCCCTAGCTAGATCATCATCCATCTCATTCTACACGGTTGAATCGCCTTAGTAGCCACTCCAACAGTATATACTGGTTCGCTCTTGTCCAATACGAGATGAAGCGTCATGAGAGGGGCTGGTAGAATGTGATCCAGAATACGCAACATGGAGGAATAATGGACAGAGCCGTGGTGCTGAACTGTGAAAAGTCATTGAGGGTACTGGTAGATGTCAACGATGCAAACAAGTATGATGGAGTACAGAAGGTAAACTGCTCAGCATGAGGAATCGGGAATCTACTGATTAAAAGTCATATCACTGATCTAAACTGAGTGAAAGCATTGCGTCTTGGCACGGGTAGGCCATTCACCGAATATCATGATTATGTTTACCCGGCTTAGGACAATCAAAAGGCAGCCAAGGTCTTGGGGTTGGAACTTCCAACGATGCAGAGATGGTCAAGATGCCCCCATTGGTCGGTTGCGTCGGCATAAGGGCGGGTCCTCCACTGACCAATGAAATTTCTCTGAATTGAATCCAGTATATCGAGACACTCCTGCTGGAAAAAGGTCACTTCCGTAGGGGTTTCTCTGTGGGATCATATTGGGCAGAGCCTAGTCTGCTCTTTCAAACTCGTTGCACTCTTCTCATTCCCTCTAGTCATATTATCTCGGTGACGTTGCCTACGCTTTGCCAGCAAAGTGCTGCTGAGGAAGATCATGGATCACCACCCAGAGCAGAGTTACCCGCTGTCTCTTTACCCAGGCTCACAGGGTAATGACCCAGCGAGTACAAACTTCACAGATGAGCATGACCAGTCTATGGTAAGTGGCCTTCGCACCCACAACTAAAAGAGAGACACGGGAAATTGTCTGACATTAAGACTCATAGGAAGAACATGGGCTTGCTGCATCCCCCCCATCCCCCAACATTTCAGCAAGCAATACGTCAGTGACTAAACCCCGAGGATATACTCTGGTTGAGCAGTACGCAGAAGACAGCAACAGGAATCCATTTAGCGAGAACACATACAAGCCTAGTGGTTCACCCGAAGCCTCAACATCTGGATGGCAGCAGCGCCAAACAATCGGTGCCAGTCGACTTCGACGGTACCCAACACGCAAGATCCACTTGGCCAAGGGCACAGTTCTAAGCCTCGATCATCCAGTCCCGAGTGCGATTCAAAATGCCATCGAGCCACGATATTCCCAGGATGCGAGCATCTCACCCGAGGAATTCACCCACCTGCGATGTAAGCCTGTCGAGAAGGAGAACCATGGGTCCAATAAGATGCTAATTTACCATTTCAGATACAGCAGCCACCTGTGACCCCGATGAATTCACCCTCCGCAATGGGTATAACCTACGCACGGCCATGTATAATCGACATACAGAGCTATTGATCGCCATTACATACTACAACGAGGATAAGGTTCTCACTGCTCGTACCCTCCACGGAGTGATGCAAAACATCCGGGATATAGTCAAATTGAAAAAGACAGAGTTTTGGAATAAAGGGGGCCCGGCATGGCAGAAGATTGTGGTCTGTTTGGTGTTTGATGGCATTGGCCCTTGTGATAAGGATACTTTGGACGTGTTGGCCACTATAGGCATCTACCAGGACGGAATCATGAAACGGGATGTCGATGGCCGGGAAACAGTGGCTCATATTGTTCGTTCCCACTATCCTCACACACCTCACACAACGCTGACATTCTATAGTTTGAATACACGACGCAGTTATCTGTCACTCCGGCGCAGGAGCTCATCCGACCGCAAGCCGGTGATAATCGGGCCCACAACCTACCACCGGTCCAGATGATCTTTTGCCTGAAACAGCAGAATAGCAAAAAGATCAATTCTCATCGCTGGTTGTTCAATGCGTTTGGCCGGATCTTGAATCCAGAAGTATGCATCCTCATCGATGCAGGCACTAAACCGGGCCCGAAGTCTCTGCTTGCACTGTGGCAGGCTTTCTACAATGATAAAACGTTAGGAGGTGCCTGCGGAGAGATCCATGCCCTGCTTGGCCAGCGCTATGAAAAGCTTTTCAACCCGCTTGTAGCCGCCCAGAACTTCGAATACAAGATCTCTAATATCCTCGACAAGCCCTTGGAAAGTGTCTTTGGATATGTAAGCGTCCTTCCAGGCGCGTTCTCGGCTTACCGATACCGGGCCATCATGGGCCGGCCCTTGGAGCAGTACTTTCACGGTGATCATACGTTGTCCAAAAGACTGGGGCGGAAAGGCATCGAGGGAATGAATATCTTCAAGAAGAATATGTTCCTCGCTGAAGACAGAATTCTCTGTTTTGAACTTGTGGCCAAAGCGGGGTCCAAATGGCACTTGACCTATGTGAAAGAATCAAAAGGCGAAACAGACGTCCCTGAAGGTATTCCCCATCCCCTGATACATAGTAACCACGACTGATGAATGCATCAGCCCCGGCCGAATTCCTCAGCCAAAGACGACGGTGGCTCAACGGGTCATTTGCAGCCGGTTTGTACTCTATCATGCATTTCACTCGAATCTACAACAGTGGCCACAATGCCCTTCGACTAGCATGGCTGCATGTCCAGCTCGTCTACAATCTGTGCCAGCTCGTCATGACGTGGTTCTCTCTCGGTGAGCATCTTCTTATCCCTTTACCAACTCCCAAACCAACACTAACAATCCACAAGCATCCTACTGGCTAACCACCTCCGTAATCATGGACATCGTCGGCGTCCCCAGCTCAACCAACAAAAACCACGGCTGGCCCTTCGGCAACGAAATCACCCCGATAATCAACAACGTAATAAAAACCACATACATAATGGTCCTCATCCAACAATACATCCTAGCCCTAGGAAACCGACCAAAAGGGCAAGTAACCCCCACCCCCCCTCCCCCCAAAAAAACCAACTAACACTCCGCCCCCCCAGCTCCAAAATCGCCTACCTCCTAGCCCTAACCTACTTCGCCATCATCCAACTCTACATACTCACTCTCTCCTTCTACCTCGTCGCCCAAGCATTTACCGGCGGATCCCTCAGCCTGGACACCCACCACGGCATCGCCGACTTCCTCTCCTCCCTATTCACCTCCACATCCGGCCTGGTCCTCATCGCCCTAATCTCAACATACGGCATCTACGTTCTCGCTAGCATCCTCTACGCCGACCCATGGCACATGATCACCTCCTCGTGGGCGTACTTCCTGGGCATGCCCTCCTCGATCAACATCCTCATGGTATACGCTTTCTGTAACTGGCACGATGTATCATGGGGTACGAAGGGGTCTGACCAAACATCCTCTCTCCCCTCAGCGCATACCCACCCCTCAACTGACCCCTCCTCGGCAACGAATTATGTAATGGAGGCTGATAAGCCCCAGGCGGATATTGATATTGAGTTTGAGGTTACGGTTCAGAGAGCGTTGACGCCGTTTCACCCGCCGGAGGAAAATGAGAAGATTGAGTTGAGTGATTCGTATAAGACTTTCCGGACAAATTTGGTGCTTTTCTGGTCGTTGACGAATGCGCTTTTGGTGTTGTTGATTAATAATGCCGAGGTGACGAAATTGTGTTTGACGGTGGGTTTATTCCTTTTCCCATGCACCCGTGCCTTGCTTTTTGGTTTCTCTTAAGAGAGTGATGTAGTTTGATATTTGAGAGGGAGTTATTGACCAACGATGGAAGTAGAGCACATCGACTACCCGAACAGCATGGTACTTCAAGATCATTCTCTTGGCTACTTCTGCCCTATCCGTGTTTCGATTTCTGGGCGCGTTGTGGTTTCTGGGTAAAACGGGGATTTTGTGCTGTTTTGCCCGGAGGTGAGTTTATTGGTGGACCGGGGTTGATGGAGAGGGTTTTGGTGGACCAGGAATTGTCGTATATCTTTTTATTTTATGCAATCATCCAATGAATCTAATAGCAAATAAATAAATAGATATCTTGAATCATTGATTGAAATAGTTACAAGATCAGGAAACTCTTTCTGCAAGGTCAAAGTCCAGGGGGATAGGAATATCCAGTGACAAGTCTAGCAATAATCCAGGCTGGCTTTCTGTCGGGTCTGGTGTCCACGTTTCAGATAGATCAGGTGGAAGAAGTGTGCTAGTATGCTCTGTCCAGAAAGGAGCAGCGGGGGTAAGAATAGCCTCATTTGTAGGTAAAGGCTGATGGTGCAGCATTGAAGGTGGCATTTGGAGGAGCGTCGACGTTTGCCCTACCTCGCCGGCACCGATGCTTCCGTTGGAAAACACTGGCTGGGAGAGGGCAACGAAATCCTCAACAAGTCGCTGGATGATAGCGACGGGATGGCTCATCGAGACGCTGGGCATCAGAACTGTTGCTACGGTTTTGAGCAGGTTCAAGTGCTCAAGGTTGGAGGCCATGACAGCGTTACAGAATAGAACGAAACATGCAGTTAAAGGGTAGTACATTAAGGTCCTGTTGGATTTGATTCTTCAGTTAGTGGCATGGTATGAACGGGGGCAGGGAATAGCGTATGACTGACCAATGCAAATAGCCTACGGCTCGGTGTTGTTCATTGATGAGACATATAGACAATAGTGAGGATAGCTCTTGACGTGCAGATTTGAGAAGTAACTCTCCGGAGCCAAGGACCTGGCCTTGCAATTGCTCGGAAAGGTAGAGAATCGTGGTGCGGATCGAATTGTTGTCGAAGTGAAGCGCGGAGATCTCGTCTGCTGCATCAACGCCTTTCCAGCATTGCGGGGAAGCTAGAGATATCTGAGACCAGAGTAAGACTTGTATTGAAGGATGTATGAGGTTGTTGCCTACCTTCTCAATTCGCTGCCGCACCTCTTCCACTTTCTGCAATAAGATATCGATAGAGTTATGTAACATTGGCCTAGCTGATTGTGGCAGTGTCGATAGAAGCTGGAGTCTTTTCACTAACGATGAAGTTTCATCCTGCACCTGGGCCATCACAGTATAGATAGCGAGAAGCTCGGAAGTTGTGCCCTAGGCATAATCAATTACCCCGGATTGGGGGTCGAAGTACGATCGAGTAGGATCGAACTTCCATGCGTTATTCTTATCCAGCATATAGCACCACAGGAGACAGTAAATCTCTTCTTCGGCCCTGGCATTTCGCGACCCACCAGCATTACCCAGATTCATACCTAAATCAGTGGCTACTCGACAAGCAGCCTTCGTCAATTCGTAGCAATAATGGGTGTTGCCAGATCCTTGGTGGAGGAAACCCTGTTGATCTCAGTCAGTATTGATGTCACATGTAATGCAAAAAGCAACTCACGCCACAAAGAATGGCCTGAAGAAGCGAAAGAGAGGGGGCGGTCATGAGCCGAATCCGATCCAGTGCTGCTTGTGCGGACTTTTTATACTCTGAGAACCTCATTCGGGGATAGTCTGTCAGGTCATTATCGTGCCCCCCAACCATGAGGACAGTGGTGAGAAACTTATGGGCAGCGGCGTTGGTGCAGAAAGTAAATATATCCCTCTCACCGTCCCTCTCATCGTTCGACACATTGTTCGACAAAAGCCTGGAGCACATTTGTTTCAAGGTTGACTTGGCGACATGTTTGAAGTAGTCCAAAACATATGATCCAAACTTGGCACTCCCAATATCTTGTTCGCCGGGGTCAATTCTCGGTCGTAGGTATGTGTAAAAAAGCACCTCTTACCTTGCAGCATCCATGTCAGACACTCCAGTGACACCGACTCCATCGGTATACCTCGTTCGTCTTGAAGAAATGCCCTCAACTCTTGCTGGCCAGAAGATGAGTGGACCAAGGCTGAGCGTAATGCTTCCTGGGCTTTGCAGACTAGACCGTGCTCGAAGCCGCCCACGTTACCAGGGATAATGAAGTCGGTTTCGATGGGCCTATTCAGTGGAACACACGCCGTCCATTCACTGCTTAATGGTGCTTGTTGCTCACGAGTTGCTAGGCCTCCCTCTAAAGCGCCTGCAGCTCTAGGGCCTGTCTCAGTCCGGACCCTCAGATCTCGCTGAACATCAAACAGTTCAATCGACATACCAGCCTCAGTCTGCGATACCGGCACTCCTGGGGTAGGAGCACTTTGCCGAATGGTATTCGTGGTCATCGTTGTCATCTCATTGCTGGGGTTTAGTACTCTTTTCGGAAGTCGCCTTCTATTCCGCTGTCTGGTACAGAGGAGACCTTGATCTTGACAATTACTACATGGCAATCCTCGATTGCAGCGGACCTAGACATATAGTCAACAAATTGATTGGATTTTGGGAAAGCCTGGAATGGGAAAGGTGAGTACCTTGCGCGTATGACAGGAATCGCACTTTATGATCGTCAGCCTTATAACTCCACCATGTAAAATTAGTGAGAGTAAGAGAACTCATACAGCTGAAGGAGGGTAAGTTTGTTGATAGATGTGTTCTGTTGGCTGCATTATCTGTATTTTATCTTGAATATCAGACTCTCCTGCTGAAAATATATGTTAGACAACTGTTTAGAATTCCAGGCATTGCTAAGGCATCAAGATAAAGCGCAGCAAAGGCTTGCTGAATCTTCAAACTGTGGCGAAGCAGCATCTTGGCAATTCACTATGCTTGGTGATTAGTCAACGCACGGGCCAAAAGAGCCAAAATTGTAACAACAATATAAAAATAGATTCTTAGCTACGATGAAACTTAGAGTTGTAGGCCCACCATATTAGCTGGGAGTAGTAGAATATATGCTAAGATTGTTTTGGTTCATGGGGCATAGACCAACCGAATGTGTATTTAGGATATTGAAGTGGCTTTTCTGGAAGGCGAGAAGTACTATTTTCAGGCAGCAACATTTTATACAACGGGGCGGCCTTGTGGGATAGGTCCACCCCGCGGGGAAGAAAATAACTCTACTATGCTCTAGATCTTATAGCTATATTTAGGTCGAAGTGTATGTCAGCTACAGTATTTTCCTCATTGAGTTATTACCTCTTATCTCAGATTTCAGTAGGGACTACTGCAATAATCAAGGAGTCCACAAAGGAAGCCCCAACCACATATCCAACTCCGATCCTGACATCATGTCCAGAGAATCCAGCAGTCCGAGGTCCTCCGCCGGCTGGGCGACGAATTCCTGTATTCGTGTCTCATCTAGCGCCGTTTCCGCATTCCGGGACAAGACATCCCCTGCCCCTCTACCGGGGGTGGACGACGCGACGATAGATGGGAAGATTGGCCACTGCATTCCGGCAGATGGTGGTCCGTAGGAGCTACTGTGGTGGGATGGGTGAAACGGCACCTGCGATGCAAAGCGCCCGGTGCGTAGACATTGTTGTGCACGGACAAGATGTCGGTAGAGGTCGTCGGCCACGAGACTGCCGTTTGCTGCGAAGGAGCTGAGCATCTCGGTGGCGGTCTGGACGGAGGTCAGATCTTCTACCGCGGTATTTCCAACGCCGCCATCGGGGACGAGGCATGCGATGATCAGGATGAGCGCGGCGGTGAAGCTATACTGTGCAAAGGCGTATCCGTACGTTGCGGAAGACCCGTTGGTCCATTCGTCGGCGCAGAGGACCAGCATGTGTCGGGCTGAATGGATGCATGCATCCTTCAAGGCTGCGAGGGTAGGGGAAATGGTGGTTTGCGGGCTGAGAGCGAGGTTGTCGAGGATTCTGAGGAGGATGGGTCGGATGGCAAGGATTACGCACTGTGGGTTAATTAGAGAGTGCGGTGCGGGTGCAGGACAGGATAGCTCTCGACGTACGTAGTTGAACTGGAGATGGATCAGAATGTTACCCTTTGGGTTGGGTTGATTTGTCTGTAGTCGCAGAGGGCCGGGTAAGGATTGCATCCACTGTCGCAGTTCAATCAGGAGCCGCTGCTCCCTTTGGAGAAAAGTCTCGGTGAATTGCGTGCGGCTGTAGATGGTTCGCATAATGCGGGTGGAGATCTGGGCCAGTTTGATGAAAGCAACCTGGTACAAACTGGGGACGAAGTCTTCGGTATAGGTCGGAGTGTCAAGATCCATGGGTAGGCCAACATGAATATCATCGTCGCTGAGCTGCACCGGTAACCCCAATTTGAGTCCCCAGAACCGATCAAAGATATATATTGTCCACCAGAGGCGGAGACGATGTTCTCGCGCTGTTGGATCTGGACACTGATTGTCGGGGATATTGTGGTTCAAACCCACCAATAGTGCAAAGCGCAGAGCATTACCAACCATGAGATAGGCGGAATGCCATCGGTTAAGAAACTGGCTGAATAAGGCCTCGGAGAAGTCAGCCGAGAAAGAATGTCAGTAGATTGACCTTACCAGTATCAGCAAAGCCTCAATGTGGACAATTGTAGGCCTCTCCGGCAAGACGGCAATCAGGTTCATGGCCCGCGCATGGTATTCCATCCCTGGGACCAAGCCCTGATTACTACGGTTATTGGGGCTCGAGTAAGCTTCCCCCAAGGCAAAGAGTGCAAAATATTTGCACATTAGGACCGGATCGGTGTCTGGTTGCTCATATATGGTTTGAAGATAGTCGAGCGAAGGTTTCCGCAACGCGACATGAAAAAACGGGCTGGCGTGATCCAGCGCCGTTTTAACCAGCAACCGGGCGCGGATTAAACTGGGCCATTGAATTCCAGCGTGGGTGACCTGAGTGAGGGTAGACTCGGCGATATATCGATTTCGCGGAATATGCGAAACTGGAGCGCTGTCGCCATCGAGGCACTGGCACAGGCGCGTCGCAAAACCCGTACAAGCTGCTTCGGACACAAAGACAGGAAGGGTATCTCCCTCATAGGGCTGGAACCATGCCTGGTCTTGCAGCAGCGGATTTCGGGTGTTTGAGTCGCTCTTGTCGAGGGTAGAGGAGTTGCCACCACCCCTTTGCCGGTTCCGCCGAAGCTCCTCGCTGTCTTTGATCAATTGTTCCAGATAACTGTTTGTACGAGGTCAGCATCGCATGATTCTACGTAGATGTCCATACCTTTCATCAACCCGAACTTTGCGGTCGCGGGCTACGTAGGTGCAGGCATCTCCACATCCCGCCAACTGGCATCGGGAACAGGGTCTTTGGCCGGAACACTTGACCTTTTGCGCATGACATCTCCGGCAACTGACCTTCTTTGATTGCTTAGATTTGCCTGGACGACGGGTGCGCTGGTACTTACGCCACTGATCTTTTATTCCCTAGGATGCTTCTCGGCAGCGGACCTGCCTGATTCTGCTCCTCCTGCATGGCATGATAAGTAGTAGTAGAAAAGAAAAGTTTTCGGTCGGCCAGATTCACCACCACCGGAGCTGCCTCAATCCCATTGGCCATGACTCAGCAAAGAGGAGCTGTTCTTTCCCTGATCTGGCTTAGCGCCGGCCAACGTTAAAATGGCCGAAATGTGCCTGAATCCTGACTCTTATAAACGCCTGCATCGTCCTGATATCACATTGCCATACTTCTAACCCTCAATTATCATTGTACCCATGAATCCAGAAACAACTCAACCGTATACCCTCCGCCACCATCGCCCAGGCGACATAGGATGGATCATCCACCGCCATGGCATCCTCTACGCACAGGAGTATGGGTGGACCGAGCGCTTCGAGGCCCTCGTCGCCGGGGTTACTGTGGATTTCATCGAGCATTATGACACCACCTGTGAGCGCTGCTGGATTGCCGAACGCGATGGAGAATTTCTTGGTTGTGTCATGTTGGTCAAGGATCGGACGTGTGATTGCGGCAATACAGCCAAACTTCGTCTTCTGCTTGTCGAGCCGAGCGCACGAGGGCTGGGACTGGGGCGGGCTTTGATCCGGCAATGTACCGAGTTTGCGCGCGAGGCAGGTTATGCGCGCATACAGCTGTGGACGAATGGTGTTTTGGCATCGGCACGACGGCTGTATGAGCGAGAGGGATATCGGCTTGTGTCATCGGAGGCAGATGACAAGTTGGGCTTTCAGTCGGTAGGGGAGTATTGGGAACTAGGTCTTTGAATATCTTAAGCGCAAAAGCTTGCACTATCGATGGTTCATGCTGAAGGTGAGTAACAGATTCCATGTCCCTATCGCCGTCTTGATGTGAATATACTAAGATCCATGGTTCAAATGTAGTGGATTATTTTTCCCGCACTCGACCAATGCGTTGCATCAGATTATGATGACGATGGTTATTGCCTTGTACACGAAAATAGCATGTCTTCGAGGCGATTTAGGAGTCACCAATGGACGCAGCCGTGGGATTATACATGTTCCTTGCTTTAGAGATCTTTATCAAGATACCAGTTGCTTCTATTATTTCTTTCTACTCAGTTGCATTCAATCAAGGTCCTCATAATAAAGTATTCATATGGCTAGGCGTCACTTGACCAGGCGAACCCTAATCCGGCTCCAGTGGCCTAATTCGCAACGATACTATCATCATTGAACTACAAGACCTTTGCTCCATCGTTCACGTTCCTAGTACTCCCTTCTATCCTTCAAGATTATCACGTAATGATTATAATCTATTTAGTTCATTACGGGTGTTGGATCAAATCAACAGAATCTTGGTCTCAGTCCGGTAAGAATATAGCGACTCCGGGTGGCGTCAACACCTGAGGCAGAACCATCGCGATTACCAACACCACATGCCTGGAACACCGGTCAGAAAACAAGGTTTCAGGGACTAGACTTTCTTTCCCCACGAGATATATCATGTTTCTTATCTATAGGAATTACGTAACTTTTACTATGGCTACACAGACCATCTGACGGGTCGGTCGCAAGTGACGGCCATCCCACGTCATCCATAGCTCATAAGCTCGAGTATATCTTATGACCAAATGCACACCTACAATTACTCCCTTAACTCAGTCCCCGTTTCCTATCCAGATTCAAAGACAGTCTGTAAATAATCAGCAAAAGGAACAACCACCATGGCCCTCGTTCTCCAAAGCGCAACCTTCCTCCACCAATACCTCGGGTCGCTTCTCCACTCGCTCCCGAACAAGTCTGGCACCGCGCTGAAGCTCGGAGTTTTATCCTCAGCCCAGATCAATGCCGCTTCCAGTATGCCTGTCTCTCTGGCACACTTTCAACACGCACTAAGACCACTTCGCAGTCATCCATCCCATCGAGACACACCCAGACGTTATCTTATATTCAATAGCCTCACGTGATGCATCCACCGCAGCCAAAGCCGCAAAGCAATACCACTTTGCCAAATCTAGCGGCTCGTACCAGGAACTACTCGATGACCCAGAAGTCGATATCGTTTTCATCTCCACACCGAACGGTCTTCACTACGAGTGGGCATCCAAGGCTATTCAGGCCGGCAAGCACGTTCTTTGCGAGAAGCCGTTCACTTCGAACGCATCGGAAGCTCGGGCGCTGATTGAACAGGCGGAGAAGAAGGGAGTTGTTATTGAGGAAGCGGTATGTCGTGCGCTTTTAGCTATGCAATGTAGATTTTGCTGATGGGAAGTTGCAGTTCCACTGGCAATTCCACCCCGCTGCCCATGCATTCCGCCAAATCCTCGAATCCGGTCACCATGGGAAAATCCTCCGCACGGAAGCTGTCATGACGGCGAGTCCGGGGGTACCTAAAGGCGATATTCGATGGCAGTATGACTTGGCTGGTGAGTAAAGTACTAATCGTAGAACTCGCAAGTGCCTGATTAGAAGCTAACTACAGCAGGTGGCTCGGCCATGGACATGACCTACGCGCTTTCTTTCACGCGATATGCCCTGCGGGCGCAACGTCCTCAAGCCGTCCATTCCGTGACGGCCCGTAAATCGGGTAGTGATCCCCGCGTCGACGAGGCCATGTACTCGTACCTCACCTTCGCGGATCCCAGTGGCCACGAAGTACACAGTCGAATCTACACGGACATGGCACGCAAATGGGTCGGTGGTGTCGTGCCGCGGCTCTGGGAGCTTCCATCTATTGAAGTGGAGACGGAAAAATCCATCATCTTCTTCTACAATGCCATGATGCCGCATTTGTATCACTATATTGCGGTCACGGACAAGACGACCGGAAAGACCCAATATCATCGGCAGTATAGCGGGGGACCGCTTTGGGGGAATGTAATGACGAGTAGGGGCAAGGGAGGCAATTCGCATTGGAGTACGTATCGCTGGCAACTCGAGGCGTTTGTGGATGCAGTGCGTGGGAAAACTCCGGCGTATTGGGTCTCGGGAGAAGAGAGTATCTGGCAGATGGAGTGCATTGATATGATGTATCAGGCTGCTGGGTTGCCGGTGCGGGGGGGAGATCCTGAGAAGCGGTGATTTTATTCCTGAGACTGGGGTTTGATACTTAATGCACTCTGAATTAATCTTATCTATCGAGACAAATAGTTGATATCCCCCAAAGGTAAGCGATAGAATGTCGATCCTAAAGTTAGAGAGGGTCAAGTGGAAACCGGAACTGAGGACCATGGGTCCGGATCAATGTCTGAATTGTTCCAAGATCGTCTAGATATCCACGTATTGCAGGGTATTTTCCGAGTGGTTATGGATATAACCCAACTGGCGAGTTAGTCTTCGGAGATGCATGGCGGCTGTAGATGCCACGAACATGGCTGCTTTCGATTTTTACCATACAGTTGAGGCAGGTTTCCTAGCTCGAGCCACGGAGAGTTGTTGGAAATATGCTGAACTGTATGACGCAACCAGGGTGAGCATAACTACTCGGTCAAATCCCAACTGCATCATAGTAATTTGTGCATGTCGCCGAGGAAATGACGTAAGAATAGACCCTGATGTGTCCCTGACCCAGATATTTGATTCGTCAGTGGTTGTGGTTTAATTAGATGTGGGGCAGGGTCTTGCTGCACGGAGCCAATGAATGGGCTGCCTGCGTGGCCCTGCAGTTCTCCGATGATCTGCAGGGTAATGACGTCGGTCCATATTTCGATATTTAACGATCGACACAGCCTCACCAGGTTTGCATCCAACAAGTACATAATTCCCTTTTCAAGGTCTGCTAAAATGAGGGTGTCAACATCTGCCCGTCAGACCCTGGTGCAGGCTGCTCTTCTCTCCATTGTCTCCGCCGTCCCGGCTCCTACAGCCTTTGTCAATGATGTCGCGCCACCTGAGCCCGTTATCACTCCATCCCCCGTCCAGAATTATCCTTCTCGAGTGGCGGGTCGAAATATCTTGAGTGATGTGGATTCCGACATTCACAGCGTTCTTTCCGGACTCGGGTCGGATCTACCTTCGTGGGTCGCATCGGGCGTGCCCAACTACTTCCAGGGCTTCCCCACGGGCGATGCTGTGGTGAGCTCTCTGGGCTTAAATAGCGCCGAGTTGGCAGCCTTGCCCACCAATGTGTTGAATATCGACCCCTACGCCAACTGGACAAGCTCCGGCTGGAACGTCCGCTTCCACGGAAATGTCTACAAACAACCCAACACCTCCGTCTCCGATTTGAACAAGTTGGCCAACGTCTTCCTCGGAAATACCAGCATCTCAGATCTTTCGCAATCCGAGCAGGATCAAGCGCGGAACCTGACGGCGGAAATCCTGGTGGTTCAGCAGCCACACGTCCCTGTCAACACCATCCACCTGGAGCCAGCCCCGAGTCAAGGATCCAGCGGCCAGCCCGGCGGCGGTGGAGCCTCCAATACCACCGGTGGCACCCAGGATCTCACTCTGCCATACAATACCACCGTTGAAGGTGACTTTGACACCTTCGTGCCAATTGCACTCAATAATCTGACAGCCGGCAATGAAACCTCGGCCATCCAACGACTGAACACATATGTGGAGGGGGCAACCATCGGAAACAGCACAGCCTATCTGGTGCCTCCCACCGGTCTTACCATCATTTCCGACATTGACGACATCCTACGAGTCACCAAGATCTATGAACCCGAGCAAGGGTTGCTTAATTCATTTGCCCGTCCCTTCAGACCATGGGAAAACATGCCCGACATTTACCGCAACTGGTCTATCAGCGTCCCAAACCTACACTTCCACTACCTAGTCAGCCCCCCCTCACCTTTGTCACACCTCCATACTAACATCATATAATAGACAACAACCCCCGAACAAGTAACCCGAAACTACATGCAATTTATCTACGACACCTACCCAGGAGGCTCCTTCGACACCCGTCCCCTCAACTTCAGCGACGTGTCCGCCACCCTCTCCATCCGCAAATACCTCCTCACCAAGATCTTCGAGACCTTCCCACAACGTAAATTCATCCTCATCGCCGACACCAGCAACAGCGACATCATGCGCGATTACCCAGAAATGGCCACCGATTTCCCGGGCCAAGTGCAGTGTATCTGGCTCCGGAACACAAGTGCGACGGACTCCGGGGATAGATTCCCATATGATACTTCGGGGTTCAAGAACCTGAATCAGTCGAATTATATGTTTTTCTTGCATGCGGAGGATTTGATGAACTTGGATATTGCCAATGGGGAGTGTTATAACACGTCTATTCCGCAGAATTTGACGTTTGGGTATCAGGGGTTGCCGTTGGGGTTGGGCGATGGGACGACGGCGGTGAATGGGTCGGCTAATCATACGGCGGAGTCGGGGGGTGCATTTTTGAAGGGTTCAGGTGCGATGCAGAGTTTGCCCTGGGTCATCGCATTGTTTACGGTGTGCTTTATGTTGTTGTAAATTATGCCGTGTTATGATGATGAGCTATGATTAATGTACAACCCTTCAATACACATATAAATGTAGTACAAGTTCGGGTATATTCCATAAACTATCATAGGCTTAATAGTTTGAGTGACTAGTAGTCAACTAGCCAGATTTAGTCCTCCCCTTTTCCACATCAAATCTACCCATCATGAGAAGATGAAGCCCCGAGCATACGACCATAAGAAACCAACCAAACATCCAACCTCCTGAAAAACGGAACTGCTGCAGCTTTAGTCCGAAAGTGAAAAACACAAAACAAACGACTTGCCTAATTGCCCCTCCCAAATTTGATAATTGAATGAAGTCGTCAATGAACCCCCGGGATCAACCAATTATCCACCCCCTCCGTAACCAAGTCAAGAACCAACCCCAACCCAGTATTGCAGGTTAATAAGTTTATAAACCTAACGTCTAAACCATCAAATGGCCTGCTGGCCCAATGGTAAGGCGCTTGACTACGGATCAAGAGATTGCAGGTTCGAATCCTGCGTAGGTCAATTGTTTTTTTCATCGTTATGATATAAGACGGGCACCACTGATGCCACTAAATTATTATGATTTGAGGGACTATAATAATAATTAGCTGCTGCGTGCGGGTTTGAATCCTGCTACTGCTACAATTTTACTTAGTCAGAATACCTGACATCAATCTACTATTTTCTATGTCTTTACATAGAGACTTAATACGGAGTACCTGAAATCTCTACAAGTGGATAGGATAATAGGGTGTGTGTCTGATCGTCATGTTTACAGTACTTACATGGATGATGATAGACAGGTGGGTTGCTTATTCACCTCGGGATGTAAAATAAGGCCGACGGGAATGGCAATGGTGATCTCATGACTTGATAGAGGGAGGGGGAGTGGCGAAGGTAGGATTTGAAATTGGATGAACCGTGTTTGAGTGCAGTGGTTACTAGTAGATATTTCTGTATTAAAGAAAAGATAAATGAATCAGGCTTGACCTTATTTATTCCTGATATATGTGACTGTGGAATCGCATTACTTATATTATAAGAAATCCTTTACAAATACTTATTGCCATATCTTTAAACTCTGAATATTGACTTCAACTTCAACCTTATTTATCTATAACTGAGTAAAATATCTATCTTTATTTTTATTATCTCTGCAGCGCCATGCGCGAAGTCGCTGCCCTGATTCGAACCCTCATGCTCCCTGAATACAACGGTCTGCTACCCCTTGACATCTAGGTATCACGGTTTGCCGTTGGGGTTGGGGGATGGGACGACAGGGGTTGGGCTTGGGGGGTTGTGTTAGCGGTGGGCTTATTTGTGTTTTTGTAAATTATACTAGTATGTTATGATTATGAGTTATGTATGATTAATGGACAACCCTTCAACCTCGATCTCGACAACCGTAGTAAGATAAATCTATTGTATGTATTAATACAACCATAAAACTTGGAATTCATTCCATCCAACCAAATTGACCCAGACTCCCTGTTTTGCGCACACCAAATATACCCTTCACCAGCATCAAGCATGCAACCCCCAAAGAAGAAACTAAACTTCCTCGCCATGAGTCCAGAATAGGAAACATACATCCCCCAAAACCGAAAGCAAAAAAAAAAAGGGGCAATCTCAATAAACCCCCGGAAGCAAACGATACCCCACGTTCTTCACAATCTCCACATACGCATCCCCATACTAAAAACAAGCACACATCCCCGTCAGCATTCATTCATTCAATCAATCCACCCACGCACCCCCGAACATAACCCCTAACCCAGGGTAGGGTAGGGCAGGACAGGGTATGAAGAAATCAAACTTACCCTCTCAACCAAATACCTCTCCAAAACCGGCACGCCTCTCACCTTAAAATCCCAAAAGAAGAACCCAAAGCACGCAATTGCCCACCCCCAACTACCCGAGACCAAGGCATAACCGGCACGCCAAACCGTATACCCGCCGTAATTTATATTCGTTGCGAACGAGAACAAGCCCCCGGCGAACGGCTTACCTTTATTAGCGGGGTTTTGTTTGAACGCGCGACGCTGGAACTCGGAGATTGTTTCTGTGAGGAGGCCGAGAGTGTAGGCTGTTGTGCCGAGGAGGATGGCGGGGGTGGACACGGATGCGGAGGTGGGGGACCAAACGGCCAGGAAGGTGTTTAGGGTGTTGAGGAGGGTGTTGAAGAAGGCGATTAGGATTGCGGAGGAGATGGGGGTGGATTGTTCGGAGATGAATAGGATGGTGGTTATTTGTTTGAGACTGGAGCCTAGGGCGAGAAGGGTGAGGAGGGTGTGGTAGGTGGGCAGGTTAGGGTTAGGGTTGGTGGTTGTGCCGCCGAGGGTGGTGATGAGGGTTGAGGCCCATCCTTGGTGTAGGAGAGTGTATTGGAACCAGACGTCGAGGGCGCGGAGGAGGATGAAGGTCGCTCGGCCGGGAATGGAGGCGGATTTGGTTCGGGCGACGTTGTCGTGTAGGGGTTTGGACATGGTTGGTATTTCTGTGGGGGGTTGTTGGCAGGTAGAGCACGGAGTAGTGGTGAGTTATATGGATATTGATGTGGTGGGGTTGCTTATTCACCTCGGAATATAAAATAAGGCCGACGGGAATGGCAATGGTGATCTCATGACTTGATAGAGGGAGGGGGAGTGGCGAAGGTAGGATTTGAAATTGGATGAACCTGGTATTAAAGATAAATCAATCGGGCTTGACCTCATCCCCGACCCTTGCAACTGCGGAACCGTATTACTCACTACTCACCTCATGAGAGAAATCCTTCATAACCATCCATCGCCACGTCTTAAAACTCTAACCATTCCCCAGTCAGACTTCAACTTCATTCAACCTTAACATCCTACCCACCCACAACCGACCCGAACAAAATGTCCACTCCCACCCCCGTCATCCTCTGCGGCGCCATGCGCGAAGTCGCAGCCCTAATCCGAACCCTCCTCCTCCCGGAATACAACGGTCTGCTACCCCCCCTCCCCCAATCCTATCCCACACACCCCCTAACAACAACCCAGTCGTCTACGCCGGCCACAATCTCTCCGCCGCGGAGCGCGAAGTCCCCCTAATCCTCTCTGGATCTCCACCTCCCCCATCAAAACTGCACACTCAAATCGGATCCAACGACTTCACCGATCCACCCCGTGCTGTGATCACCGGTGGGGGATACAACGAGGAAAGATTCCAAGCGCTATATCAGGCCTGCACAGCAGCTAAGAATGGCGTTCCTCCCGTACCGTTCTTCAGAACGGATAATGGACTTACGGATCGATTGGCTGCGACGGGAGAGGGGCCGGCGCATGCGTCGGCTGAGTATCCGGCTGCGGTTACGCGGAGGTTGAAGGAAAAGTTGAGGGAGGCTGGGGTTGGGGAGGGGGAGGGGAGAGGGGGGTGTTTTGGTTTTGAGGGTGGAGGAGTATGTATATAGGTTATCAGATGTTATTATGTCTGAGTTATTTTGGTAAGAGGTTTAAAGCGCATTGTGCACGGTACTACTGCTTTTTAATTTCTTATTGTGTTTGATTTATTTGTCAAATCAATTACTTTGTGGGATTGATCTGGTTGAGGGCATGTCCTTTTGACTGAGTGGTTAGTTGTCATAATTCATGCGATAAACCTATTTCAAAACACTGACCAATGGAGACAAATCTACTGCTCATCCAGCGGCCACTCAGCAACCGTAGTTGCATTGCCCGTCAAAGTGAATTGCAGTACCACCGATCGCTCATTATTCAACGCGAGCTCATACTTCCCCGGATAAACGATACGGTTACCTCTTGTATCCGTGCGAGCGACATTATCCAACGACACAGGAATCGACATTTCCATGGTAGCACGTGGCTCCACCGGTCCGATACGATCAAACCCAACGAGCCATTTATTAGGGTATGGACTTGGACCCGCTGTTGTGTTTGCAAAGAGCATAGCGGAGTAATCGGACACCACGTTCCCGGTATTTGTGATGTTGATGGTGAAGTTCGAGAAGGGGAGCTGTTCGACGACATTGTATCCGCCGTGTGGTCTGGATAGGAGTTCAGTAATATCGAAGGAGGCCATGTTCTTGAGGCTCGGGGAAAGGGATGTCTCGAATGTGGTGTAGAAGAGACCGTGTCCGAAGTCGTAGACTGGTTTGCCGGTGTACCACATGTAGGTTTGGCCCGGGTTGTCGCCGTGGGGACGCAAGTTCATGTCGATCGCTGGAAATTGTAGGGCATATTCGGCGGGATATTGGGTTGTGGTTAGTCGGCCGGCAGGGGCGCGGGTTCCAGTGATGATATCTATTAGGGCCTGGCCGCCGGATTGGCCGGGGTAGCCGCCCCAGAGGATGGCATTGATGTTGTTGCTGGTTTTTAAGGATGAAGAGTCGACTTGGCCGCCGCCCATTTGGAGGACAATTAGCGGCTTGTTGAGATTGCTTAGTTGATGTATCAGCTCGAGCTGGTTCCCGGGCCAGGTAATGTTGTCTCGGTCTAGCTCTTCGGCTTCGAGAGTGTTGTCGATTCCGCCAGCGAAGACGATAATATCGGATTGTTTGGCTGCAGTGAATGCAGCGGCGAAGTTGTCAGTGGAGTTGGAAGAGATGTTGGTCCCAAAGGCGTAGTTGACGGTCAAATTAGATGCTTGTAATGCATCGAGTGGGCTGATGAGATAGGGAGCGACACCGTGATAGTTCCCCTGCATTTGCGTGGTCGCGTTAGCCCATGGCCCGATTAGGGCAACGCGCTTCACGTTCTGCGACAGTGGAAGAGTGCCGTCATTCTTGAGCAGAACGATGCCTTCCACTGCAGCTTCGTACGCGATATTCCAGGAGTCCGTGGTGACGACATCAGACCATTCTAGGTCGCGGTACAGAGCGTCGGGTCCATCAAAATAGCCAGCGCTTACAAGGTTCGAGTAAAACCGGGTCACTGCACGCTCGATCTCGCTGGGAGAGATCTCGCCCTCGTTCAGTGCCTCCATGAGGGTGTTTTGATAAGAGATTCCACAGTCGATATCTGTCCCGGCGCGTAAGGAGTCTGCTGATGCGCTAGTCAAATTGGCTGCATACCCATGAGGATTAAAGACGTTGTAAACCGCATCGCAATCAGATGGCATGAACCCATCCTCGATAAATCCCCAGGAGTCACGGACGAGAGTTTGTAGAAGGAAAGAGTTGACCGCGCTAGGAACACCGTTGACCGCATTGTAAGATGGCATCACGCTGCGTACCTTTGCATCCCGAACAGCAGTGACAAACTGTGGGGTGAAATACTCAGACAGATCTTGCTGGGTTATGTTCATGTCATTACCGAAGCGGGAATGCTGGTGCCAATTCTCAATATCGTAACCTGCATAGTGCTTTGCTGTAGAAATGATTTTGGGATGGTTCGGATCTCCCTGTAGCCCGGTGATGTATTCATATGCGTATGCTGCACACAAACAGTTGGCGTCCTCGCCAGGCGTTTCCTGTCCACGGCCCCAGACTGGGTGTCTAAAGGCATTGATGTTCGGCGACCAAGCATTCAGACCATATCGTCCAGCGTTGTTAAACGCGCGGCCTTGGGTAGCAATAATCTGGCCAATCTGATTGATCAGAGTTCGGTTCAGGGCGGCCATGGTCAGAATTGGTGATGGGAATGAGGAGGACCAGCTGTATGCCCCCGACTCCGTGAAATTAGCGAGGTACAGGCCATGAAGTGCTTCATTCCAGATTTGATAGGGTGGAAGACCCAAGCGAGGGATTGCAGGGATTCTGTTGCCGGTGCTATTGATGAGCTCTTCCACGGTAAAGATGGAAACGAGTGCTGCGGCTCGATCATGGGGGCTGGCAGAGATATTGCAGACTAGGTTTTCGCTCATTGGGCCTTTGGAACAATCTGGGAAAGAGAAATCGACCAAATCGGTGCTCAAGGGAGACAGGTCCGGATGAGCGACGATATTGTAGTCGACATAAGTGGTGTTGACCTGAGCCAATATGGTGGAGGGCAGAGCCGCCAAAGCGACAAGTAACGAAGTAGTAACCATCGTACAGATGTTTGATATCTTTCCTCTCAATGCTCGCATATTCACTACTAACCATCCCATTTATATGTCACCGCACCTCGGGTCAACTTTGACGGCCTGAGATAAGCTTCACTATGGTGAACGGAACCGGTAACCCCGCGGTCGATCACCCGCTCAATTTAGCCTGAAGTGTAGCAATGCAGGATTTCAATTAGCAGACCATCTTTATCCTCCGTGGCTACCCCGAGACTATGTCACTAATGATGTAGCTTGCCTGATTGTGCCTATTTCCTGTAAGCTGCTTATTGGGGGTCTTGGCGCACCAAACAAACCGTATTCGGAGGTCGTAAGCAGGCACGATGGGTCTGATATTTGTTCAATATATCTTCATACGTCATACTCGAGGGGCCTAGATGTCAAGTCCGACAACCCGAGCACATTGCCTCCCTGGCTACACAAAGTAAACATCAATAGCGGGTACATTTATACGTCGGGGAGCGTCCTTCAAGCCCTAAGTATAATATTGCAGATTATAATCGGAGCATAATCTTCAGGGTATTAATACTACTCTCTTCTGCGGGTCCAGAGTTCTGCATGAATCATTAGAGAATCATTATCCAGCAATCGGAAGCAGGAGCAGGAGTGGGGCCAGGCGAGCTATAACCATTCGTTCATTCCAAGTTACGGTTAATCAACGATGTAAGCAGCCACCCTCGGGCTTGAAATTGACCCCGAAGACTGAATGCTGAGTAAGACGCCACGATGCCCTGATTTATCCGTGTGAGGGGTTCTTCAGTAGGCCAAGGATTGCCAATCCAGAAGGAATTATACTGATAATCTCCCATCAAAAGTTCAAACTGGTTGTATCCTCCATCCCAACAGCATCACCGTTTTTCGTAGCAGAAAACCAGATCCCTGATCAATCATCAAGCTTAGTAAATCCCGTCCTCCGCCATATAGGTAGCTCTGCCCACAGACATCGCATCTCCCATCAACGTCCACAGGCGAAACAGCTGAGAGATAGAGCAGTTTATCCACCCTTGGTAGTCGTCCCCCACATCCAGATCCGGGAATGCCTCAATCACCGGAACATGCCACCGTTTCCAATCCTCGAGGCACTTATCCACAGACAGCTCATTATGCTCTTCTGCCAGGACCGCCTGGCTTAGCCGGTCCACTGCTTCCTGGTCGATCATCATACAAACGCGATATTTATTCCACTGATCTCGCATCCCTAGACTCTCGCCCCACGCCTCGAATTGTTCCCTGACAGTATCGATCGATGCTCCGTCCAGGGTGGTCAGATCTTCGAAAATTGTGAATTGGTGGCGGGTCCACAGCTGATGTCTAGGCGCAAGATCTGAGGGTGGTGCGGAGCGGTAGTTGAAGTTGGTTAAAACATCATGTTTAATCCAGAATGTGATGATGTCAATCGTTCTGTTAAATGCCGCGTCGGATTGGTAGGTCGTTCGATAGATCACCCAGCCCCAGGTCTCTTCGCGTAGTTCGACCGGCGTCAGACGAGAGATTTCAAAACTGTCTAACACGACCTGGTCGGCGGTGGAGGGTGTGGACATTATGACTCTGGGGTGTCAATATTGGAGAGGTGAATGAACGCCTAGGCCAGGTGGACGGGAGATGGTGCTCCTTATATACCTTGGTAAGGTCACACCGAGGTTTCTTTGTCTCTTGGAGCATATACCAGAAGCAGGTTGCGTGTTTAACTTCCTTTGTTACCGCCAAGACCATTTCAGGATTATGGAAACTTATATTCCGAACACGCATAGGAATCAGATCTAAGATGAGATCTTTCGCCCATACAACACAGGCGATTCGTTTGGGGCGATTACCGCGGCAACGAGATGCCCAATAGGAAGGAAAGCCCTTGTCTAGAAACCCCCTTTTACAGATGGCGTATTTATATAATCTTCACTAAGACTACTATTAAAGAACAACGAGACGGTGTCAATGCACCCGGATTAAAGTTATCTATTTCATCCCCACTAAGCCAATATCGTAAGGAGGGGAGTGGGAAATATGTTTTGCTGAAGTCTAATGGTAGCCTGTAGACTATATTTTATCGATTAACTTCGTCCATTTCAAACGTCATACTATGATATATCGCGCAAGGATCGTGAGTAAGATCAGTCAGTTACGAATATATCACAGATACTACCGTTCCCTCTAAAGTAATGATGTGAGGTCATACAGTGACTGCAGGCATAGCAGCAACTCGTGGCATTTATGCACAGGCATAATTCTGAGGCCCATTAATAGAACTAACAATCTTAACGCACGTACCACGATAGCATAATCATGTGTCTGGGGTGATATGATGCTCCCCACGGAGTCATTTCTCGAGGGGATCTCCTACTCCCTCACAACAAGACACTGAGGCTGAAAAGCCTGTGCCTCTGAAGCTCTGAGGAAAAGGGTAGATGCAGCCCGCGGCCATGTTTCATACCCCTGTGCATATGACGTTGGCAGTCCGTTGGTGAGGTTGGTCTATTTTTGCCGCTCATTGGTCCATCACACTGCATAATTAGTGCCGAGTCACATCTCCCGCAGCCAATGACCGGCGGGTATTGAGGGATAGCAAGGCTAATAGGGGAGCCAGTCGGGGATGGTTTTGTCTTGCCCGGTCCAATCACCATTCAGAAGGAGGGTTGTTCTTATCACCTTGTGAATTGGTCGGCACTCTTTCCTCCGCTCATAAGGCATTTTTCAGGGGCTCAGGAAGGGAGGAGTGGTGGTAATAGCTACCATCATAATATCCCCACTTCTTGCGATCAAGGCGCAGCACAAATTCGAGGCTATGTTCTCATTATAACAGCGAAGTGCTGCTCTTTATTCTACCCTGGATCGGTCTAGATCAGGTGGGAGCGTCACCGATCCTGTGCACGGACTTGAATCCCCATGTTACTCCATGCTACTAGTAGCGATCGAGCTGCCGCAATTCCCTCCGATCAGGGAAATTACAACGGCCGTTGCGGAATAATCCTGCAGGATTGGGCCACAATAGTAGTAAGTGAGGCACTTCAGAATAGACCTCTACGACAATAGTGAGGGGCAAGGCTGGGGAAGGGGAGCAGGTACGGAGTACCTCCCTCATCACAAACCTGACCAATAGAGGGGGCAGCCAGATTGCCTCACTATCATGCTATTATTGGCACGTCGTGCTGAAGGTCCAATCATATTTTCAGGCGCTTATGCAGATATACATCCAGACCTCAGTGCCTTTGGCACCCGGGCTGTGCTGTTATCAGTGACAGGCTGATGATGTTTACGCGCCGAGGCCACGTGACTCCCCATCGCGTTTCAACCAACGAATGAACGTGTCGCCGTTGCCTGGTTGCCTGCCCACTTCATAAAATCACGCACAATTCAGGTGGCTCAGCTGGTAAGCATCGACTGTCGGTCAGTTGGGCAACAATGGATCTTTCTTCATGACAATCCCCTTTTTTCCAGACTGCCACGTCCGATGAGGTTCAGTCTCGTCACTCTGCCACAATGCTCAAATACCCCATGTATATATATGCGTCTAGCCTTCATCCATCATAACTCAATGCGGATGAGGAGCTCCATTCTACCCCTCAGCTAGACTAACTTCATGGCCGAAATTATCTCACTCATTGTTGCCACCGCTGAACTCTCCCACGGGATCCTCAGAGCTTTGCACTCTCTTGCCTCCATCCGACATGTGGTCGAACGCAGCCTTTGGGAGGCTGATAGGGTAGGGATGTTTTTGATCCAGTTGGTGGATATCTTGACCGATCCTCGGCCGCGTTACATGCCACAGATGCTGCCCTGCGCACTTTGGATTGCACAGGACTGCTCCTGGACATATACCAAACTCAGGGATGTTGCCCACGCTATGGCAGCGAGCCGAATTATGCGCCTCAGGCTGCATAGGAAGCTGCGTCAGATTCAGGCCGAACTGGAACACCAGAAGTCCATTTTACATTTCACCGTCACTATGCTACCAGCTATTGGAAATCAACCAGGGTGAGTATTTGTGACTTGCACCCAACATACGATAGAACTGACCCATTTAGGATCTACCGCAACGCATACCCTGATGTCGCTGTCGAGCTGGATTCTACCAATGTTGAGACTCTCATCCACGAGGCAGAGAGTAGGGGATCTGCTCGTCTACAACTAGAAGCAGAGGTTGACGGTGAGCCGGTGGAGAGATCCATCTCCAGCTCTCCCTCCGGATCGGCATCGGGAATTGAGTCTGAAGACTCAAACCCAGATATCGACACCAGTCTTATTCTACTCTCTACGGACAACAGAATGAGCCCAGTTCCTTACCAGGACTCAAATTCGCGCAACCAGGGCCAACAACCGATGGCTGGAACATCACCGGCCCCTACGCGTTCTGAGTGGATGCAAGCGCTTGTAGCGTTCTTGGCTGCCATTTGGAGAGAGCCTGCCGTGGTAAACCTCCTACATGGTCCTTCCTCTCCCATGGACAATCGCATGCGGCTTGAGAACCAGACTCAGCCTCCGCCCCTGCCTCCACGTCCCGGAGTGAATTCTTTCCAGGAAGATCCCGTGAATTTCCACACTATGGACCTGATGACTTCAGTAGGCCACAGTGTTATGTTGTTCCATGGTGGCCAGTCGGGAATTGAAGCCTACGGTTCAGCCAGCCGGCGGGATTCCGTGAACCCTCCACTAACACACAGGCCACAGTCCCCCATTACGCGCGGCCCTACCCCTGGGCAAGTGCGCGTACCCCCTACGATTATTGAGGATCATGATTCATTTTCCACTCCTTTTTCCAGTTCTGTTCCAAGGAATGTCTTTCACCAATCCTCACAGTCGCAGCTACCACCATCTACTCGGGGCCGCGCCCACGGCAACAACTATGCCGGGGACGCCCCTGACGCCGCCCCGAGGAGAATTCTCTGGGAGACGCGACAAAAAAGGCGCAACCGAACGGATTTTAAATCCTACGTGGATGACAGATTAGTCTCGCGGATGGATTATCCTTGGGATGATATCGTGTTGAAAGAAGTGTGGACCAGCCTTCGACGTCGTGCGGTAGACTTGGATGAGCTGCAGAGGTATGGTTTCGAATACCAAGCAGCGGGGAGATATGTGCATGTCTTTGCGAAGCTGGACTGGGTGAGTGCTTTTGGATACTCATGATCGCTGTTACTTATCAGTGTGCAGGGCCAAGTTCGAAGGATCTCTTTCACTGCAGGCCAGTGATTGTATGGCGCGGATTGCATACATCACGTATAGCCCTTGTAACCGGGTGTTGATGACCGCCTTTTACGACTAATGAACAGCATCTTTGAAAGATGATCGGTGTTATATGACTTATTCACGGTGGTAATTTGTATGATTACTTTACTAATTTTGGAGCTTGATTACGACAGAGTAAGAAATCTAGAGAGCTTTCTCGATCGTGTGACATGTAGGGCAACCTGTGGGGGGACTCGTCCTCACAGGCAAGACAAGACGATACCATCTGTATCTGTGGTGGTAGCTCTCACAGCCTCATTACAATACACTTGAGAACTCGGATAAAGAAATCACAATGCCCCCCGAAGAGAACGGAAAACTAACCCATATTGAGTATCAACTAATAAGATCAGTTATCAAATTGTCTAGTTAGTTAGAACAGCGAAAAGCTTTTCTGTCATGCACAGCAACTACACGGACATAGCCACACTCAGTAGTATAGGAATAATCGCTGTTGTGCATGGAGTTCAATGTTGGCCAGCCGTGGCGCATGCTCAAAGCGGGGGTGGCTGAGGAGATACCCCTGCTAGACAACCTGTGTAGCCAATCATGCCAGTGCGCGGCGTGTGGCGTGTGGCTGAACCAAGGCACCCTTTCAGCTAGGCATAACAAGAAGTACAGAGCCCTGAAAGGCTTGGAGAAAACAAGGCTGTTAGCCTTGTAGATCATAAATGATCCAGCTCTTGTTGCGCGGTTTTCATTGTTTTCTATCTGTCCACTTCAGTGATGCTCTTGTAACAGTTGATGGTTATTGTAGCGCCTATAACTAACACTCCGTGGTCACATCTTATCTTTACAGACAGATTCATATTATGGTAACCAGATTATCACCCACATATGCTATGCATATACATCAAAGCCCGGTCAAGAACCGTACCCAACATTAACAAACCAAGATCAACAGCCAAAACCTCTCAATCCCAGAAAAACATCAGACATACCACCACCCCCAATAATATCCTCCTACCAAATCCCCCTCAACAAACCCCTCAACCCCCCCTCCCTCTTCGCCGCCTCCTTTGGAAAAACCTTCCCGGACTCCCTCGTATATCTTCTCAACGCCCTCACATTCTGGAATTTATGAACCGGAGTCCCCGCACGCCGCGAGTCAATCAAATCAACCAAGTTGACATGAACCTTTGCCAGGGCCTATCCATCGACTACCTGTTAACCAAACCCAACCCACCCATTGTACTTAGTATGCATGGATGAGAGCTAACCTTCCGACATTGAGTCATCGACGCAATCGGACCATCCAGATTTAATTCCTTGCATAAAGCCTGCCAATTCTCTAGCTTGCTTTGCGTACCGAAGTGGTGGTGGAATTCATTTCCCGTGAAGGCTGCCCATTCGCGTTGGTATTTCTTGGAGTTGGGAGTCCAATGCATGTGCTGGGCTAGACGGGTGAATTCGTCTTTGGTGGGGGCGGATGGGTTTGGGTGGAAGGTGGGGAAGTGGGTGGAGAGGTAGGTGGTTGTCATGGTTGAGGATTTGATGTTTTGGATTGGGGGGGGGTAATGGTAATGGATGTGGGAAGTATAGGGGAGGTATGGTTTCGACTATTAAGGATTTGGTATTCAGGGATGGGCTGGATGCGTATGAAGAAGGCTGACTGGAGAGATGGACTGGTTAACGGGGAGAGAGAAGTTCTTATAGCTATGAGATTGTGTATCCTTGTCTAGTTAGAGAATAGAGAGCCTTGCGTGCTATCAGTGCTGTTGGAGGAGGCTAATGCTGCAAGGTAGCACAGCCCGGTGATGTGCCTAGTTCAGCGCGATTACAAGTTGGTAGGACCAATGATCGCAGGGAGACTTCACACAATATATTGTACCACAGGTATCTGTTGGCTATTACTTGCGCTGCTGAATTCTCGCATTAGTGTGGTCTGCTGCCTGGCGCTGTTGCGGCGCTTAGCTATCAACTAGGGTAGCTGCGCTCATAACAGCTGATATTACAAGTACCTAGAGCTGAGACAGGCGTCAGGAATAATTTCTTATGTTAGATTATTTGATACGAGTTCTGTCTCCGCATAATTTATATGTATGTTGGTCATACTAGAGAAATAAATTAGATGCTTTATTATGGTATGTTGGGATACAGTCTTTGTTCTGTCTGTTCCCCAGATGACCAGCAGTATATCGTTTTGGCGTACTGGTATGAACATGACAGATTACGAGCCCGGGAGTTAGTTTCACCCTAGTTAGTACCCAGACACATCTAAACCGGGACTATAAAGATTACAGGTTCAAGTCTGGACTTAGTTAATCTGAGGCTAATTTACATGGCAGATTATATAGAGTCATAAGTCCACATGTTCTCCTGGCAGCTAGTCTAAGAGGATGGTACTAGGATGAGGTCTTCATTCTGTTTATTCTCTAGGTGGCCAGCGGTATATTCATCTTAACGTACTGGTATGAATGTGACATGGTATAGTGACTGTCTAACAACTCCGCTCGTATGTAAATAGATATGTGAACCCTAATTTTGTACACCCACTCAATTACCCTATCTCACATCCTATCACGCGAGTATAGACTACACTGGCCTAGTAGCTCCCCTGAGCATTAGCCAGCGACATAAGCCACACACCAGCAGATAAATAGCTGGACGTGGAACCACCAGTAAAACTCTTTTTTTATATCTCTATTTATACACTTTAGCCCAATCTCTCAATCTTCACTGAATCGGGTATTGATAAAGAACTGTGTTCTGAGTTATCGTATCCCTACTGGTCACATATGAAAAGGGTTAGACCCTGTCAGCCATCCGGAACCGAAACATCCTATATCCCGGCCTGTCTGGCCTATAACTCTAAATCAACAACACCTGAAGAAGTATAGGATTTATCTAATAAAAAAGAAGAAATCTGAGAAGCCCTTTAAAAGCTACAGAGAAACTAGTTAAAAGATATAGAGACTTTTTAATGCTGTACAGAAAGTCTTTAAAAAAGATCAGCTATAAGAAGAATCATTTAGTCTATAGTTAGATAGCTTTCTAAAGAATTTAACTTCTACTTATCTTTATATATCTTAAGTAATTCTTAGATTCTTAAGCCTATCACAATTTTGAATTCTTTTTCTTTAAGAACTATCTATTAGACTGGTATTAATTATATATCATGATTATAATATATTAATAGATTTAATAAGTTAATCTAGCAGTACTTCTTGTGATAATATTATAGAATAATTAATTAAATAAATTAAAGAATTAATTTTTTAAAATATTCGGATACAACATGTCCTTTTTTAACAGGATTTTATAATAAATAATAAGATTTAAGCTAGTCTCTAATAAATTTAGTAGTTTATTAGTAATTGATTTCTATCTTCTTAAATATTTATTATATTAGTCTTTATATCAGTACTAATATTCTTTCAGAAACTAGCTGAGATAAAGAAGTTCAAGCTGTTAATCCTTATAAGCTATAATAAGAAATATAAGAGTAAGTTTTCCAGTTAGCTTAATAGTATATAGATAAAGATTAACATTAATTAATAGTTTATTAAGTTACTAGCTGAATAAGCTTAATATATATTTATACTTCTAGACAGAAAAGCTAAGATAAAGATTAATTTGTAGATTAAGATTAACTAAAAAAGCCTTATCTTTTCAGTTATAATCTTGATTTAATTATTTTAAATTAATCTATAAGGATTTACCCGCTAAGAGAAAGCTATTAATAAGTTATCTATATTTTATTAAGAAAATTAAACAATTAATAATCTTCTTATAGAGGTTAACAACCTGTTAATTAAAATCAGCAATTATAGTTAGAAGGATATAAATAAAAAGAATCTCCTGTATTAAGTCCTGAATAATAATATTTATTAATAAATAATAGATATTAAATAAAAAACTAACTTTGAAGGCTTCTGTTAACAGATTAAATAGATAATAAATAAATTAATAAAGATTAATTAATTCTTAAAGTAGTTTAGATATGTTACAGACCCCTGCTAGCCAGGTTACTAGCGGAGCGGGCTCGTTAGGCAGAAAAGCGATGACAAGGCAGGGCTCGGACAACCAGCAACTCTTATCGCGCAGAATCCCGGTCTGAGTAACGACCGAAGCAGCGTTGTGTCACGTGACCATCTACCATCGGATCTACCATCGAGGGTATACGATGTGGTATACGGGGACCCAGGAACATGATTGGATCGACCCCCGATCTACCCTGAATGGTATATGATATGGTATACGGAGGATAGGATATAAGGACACTCTTTCATGTACTTAGCTAGTTCTGTTCTTCGTGCTCAATACAACTGTCTTTAAGTAACCATAAGTTTGGTAAAGCTTAGCGACAACACTCGTCCGCACTTACTTACGGATAGCTGCGCGGCACTATCTGGCCTTACTTCTCTTCTCTTGTTCAGGACCAGTTCTCTTTAGATAGTCATCAGCCTGACTTACCTCGATTCAATTCGAAGGTACGTATTGGAACGGAAGCTAAGCTAACAGGAACAGGGAGAAGCGATCCTAGGGTTTGACAAGATATTTTAATATCTAGGCAGACAACTTTAGTAAGAAGATAAGCTTAAATAATATTATAAACTGAGAATTAATTATAGCCAATACTGAACTTATTTAATAAGCTTAATAAATATTGAAGAAGATCTTAAATTAATATAGAGGGTAAGGGCTGTGTCTTTACTATAAAGTCTTAGATTATTATTTTATTAAATATTCTTATTTATCTTTGCGACGTCTTTTAAATAAGATGAATTTAAAGAATGAGATCTTTTAAGCTTTACTTGAGAAAGATCTTATAAAAAAAGCTAGTTAAAAAGCTTTAATAACTTTACAGATCTCTTTAGAAAAAGTATAGCTTTTTTAAATCATTATTTAAAGAGGCATTTACTAGTGAATTATAATTATAAGAAGTTTCAAAATAAAGTACAGTGTTACGGACCCCTGCTAGCTGAACGACTAGTGAGGCGGACACGTCAGGCAGAAGGCTACGCCCGGACAGATAAGGACTCTTATCGAGTAGAATCCCGATCTGAGTAACCAACAACCGGAGCCGTTACACGGCACGTGACCATGACGGACATATCACCGACAAGCTATAACATGTCAGCGCTACGACAGGACATGGAAGCGCTACGACAGGACATAGCAGTGCTACGAAATAACATATCCGGTGATATGATATGACATAGCGATGCTATGACGAAGGATAAGATAAAAGGACACTCTTTCATGTACTTAGCTAGTTCTGTTCTTCGTGCTCAATATAACTGTCTTTAAGTAACCATAAGTTTGGAAGCTTAGCGACAACACTCGTCCGCACTTACTTACGGATAGCTGCGCGGCACTATCTGGCCTTACTTCTCTTCTCTTGTTCAGGACCAGTCACCTCTTAGATAGTCATCAGCCTGACTTGCCTTGATTCAGTTCAAAGGTACGTATCGGAACGGGAGCTAAGCTAACAGGAACAGGGAGAAGCGATCCTAGGGTTTGACATCCACCTACTGTTCAGTTAATTATTATGTTATATTCTTTATACTTTAATTATTTTATAACGGTATATCGTATTATAAAGACTTATATAAGAAAGAAAAGGTGGTTAAGAGAAGAACAGAGATACCACATTTAATATGCTCTAATCTTAAGAATTAAACTTCAAAATACTTAAATAGAGCCCTGGCTCCAGCCCGGAAATTGGTCTAAAAAAGTCCTTGTTATATCCGACCAAGATTATTTTTTATCCCTTCTTAATCTTAATAGAAGGTTTATCTTTTCAGATAATTATAATTTATCTTTCTAAAAGGTTTTACAGTCATCTATAAAATCAGCTAGCTGATTTAAATAATATACTGGCCGTACTATACGTTTAGGTATTTTTAAATTAGATTCAGATATATAATATAATAATATATCTTTAAACAGCCATGAAGTTATCTGACACGTGTAATTAAGATTCTGCTGCGGTTAGAGGGCTAATCATGGCCTTGAGAACATATAAAAAGTAAAAAGAGGAAGTGGTGTATATTGATATTAAGTAACAAGGCCAGTCTCTCAGTATGATATTTGTAAAGTTCTATAGTCAAACCTAGGAACATCATTTGCTAGTTATCTAGATAAGCTCAAAGTCTAATCTACAATTGGGTTCTAAGAGGTTTCATGAGGGCGTAGCTATTACATATTATCTGAAATAATGCCTCTGACTTCTTGACACGCAGGGTTGTCCCGATTAGTCATCGGGGTCCTGATCGACACAAGAGCGGGGTGTTGGATCACTGGTTGATCCCGTCGAAGCTCAGAGGCAGTGGTTCCAGAGTAATCCCAGCATGACGAAAATGACCCTCTGCACTCAGCTTTCTGGCACCGACAACGCCGATGCACCACTCTAGATATATATCGAAATTGAGCTCAGAATCCTCTTCAAATACCTTCCAGTTACGCTTAATGAAGGCCTTTAACTCTGCAAACATTTCCTCAATGGGATTGAGGTCCGGTGAGTATGGAGGCAGGTACAGTAACTTCACCCCGGCGTCGCTGCACATCTGTTCCACGCGCTCAGTATGATGAAACGATGCATTGTCCATTATAATCACAGATTTGGGCTCCGGCCACCTCCCGCAATGATGAAGCAGCTGCT